ACGGCTTGACCCGCCGCATGAAATTTGCGTGAACCCTCTGGTTTCATGGCTGCCTCTGGACAAGTCTTTTTGCGACCCTTTGCATCCAAGACGGGAGTCTGGAGCTGTGAGCATGCCATGTCCGCATCGAGACCTTCATGCCGTGGTTGCTGCATGCTCGCTCGCACACGACAAGCTGCGCGACAAGCTGCGCGACGAGCTGCGGCCGTTTTGAGGCCATTCCCCAGTCCCAGGGCAAGCCAAGGCCTCCACAGCTCTCTCGCTGCAGCTAGGAACTCCACCGGCGCCAATGGCACTGGTCTCCGGATCAGCGCGACCGAGCGGCCTATTCTTGGCATCGGTGGTTCATCCGGCCGGCTGGGTATTGACAGACCCTCTTCACCAGAACAGTCTGCAGAGTGGTGTCGCTCCAGGATGCAACCACGGCCGCAGCGACTGCCCCCCCACGGCAGCGGGCGGGCGGGCGCGCAGCAACTGCCGAAGTGAGGCGGCAGCGGCAGGCGGTCGGGGCTAGCCAACAGCTGGACGTAGCGGCGGATAGAAGCGATGGGAGCAGGTCCGGGCCAGGCCAGCGACGGCAGTAGTGAGCGAATGGCGCGGCGCCGTTTGAAGTGATGTGAAGGGGAAAGGTCGTGGGCAGATCGTTGCCTGCGAAATGGGTGAAGACGGGAGTCGGCCGAGGCTGGTGTGAGGGCGTGGGAGGCAGCTAGCGCCGAGCTGGGCAGCGCGCCTGATGAGCCTAAAGGACGTCAGTTTCGGGGCCTACGGGATGTGATGCGCAGCTAGCCCCAAGACGCGCAAAATGTCCGACCTGGACGTCTCGACGCCCTGGATCCAAGGGTGGCAGCCAATGCCGAAGCAGAAGGTGCCCCGCGTCCAATTGCCAGGGAATATGCAAAAGGCTGAGATCTTCAGGGATTTGGCGCGCTCAGAGGGGGCGCACGCGAGACGTGCGAGATTGCGAATCAGATACGGCGCTCCACGCGCGATCCAGTTCGCTGGCAAGCGCCTGGGCCAACACCATCGAGATTCGACCTTGGATAGCTGTTGCCGTGGCCGCTGGCAGAGATCGTCGCCGCCGCCTCAATCGAGTAGCGCCGCTATGCCGGAAGCTGATCCGCCGGGACTACATGCCGCGAGAGGTAGCTGTGCGGCGCGGAGCCACGCCGCTGGATCTTGCAGGTAGACTCGTCGGGTAAAGCGAGTGAAATAAGCACACGACGCCGGAAGGATGCGCCATGCAGGGAACACCAATGGATGCTGGCAGTCGTGGAAGGAGAACCGTTGCCGCGCGTTGTGCACGAGTCGACTCCCCGGCTTTTCCCCTTTGGCTTGCTGCCCGCCACAACCCGCCGAATGAGGAATCAAGACTTGAGCAATAAAAGAGAACCCGCTGCGGGTCGGGCGTCGCAATGAGTGAGGCGTAGTGCGTGAGGATGGTGCGAAAACGCACCTACGCTGCCGACGTTTCCACCTCTTTCTGTTTTCGCCCTCATGATGAAGCTGTAGGAGCCGACGCGTGCTCAGGCGCGCATCCCTCGTGTTTGAATTAGTGTTGCCGGGCAAAGGGAAAAAGATGGACGTCAGCGGAGAGGAGGATAGACAGATGCTCGCTCGTCAAAAGCTAGCAGTGATATCGGAGCAACTTTTGACGCTTTTGCGGAGTAGACCAGTGCAGAAGGTGTCTCTTGCTCACTGCAAGGGCATAATATGCTCTTTGAACAGCCGTGCGGCAGGCGAGGCGACGATATGCAAATCAGGGTTATCGTATGGCGACATCCCTCCGTTTTAATGCTGGCGGAGAGGGCAAAAAAAGTTTTGCGATCAACGACGTCTCTTCCTGCAACGTCAGTGAACAGTCAGCAATCTTCTCGACCACGGGCATCGAGCTCCACGCACCCCCACAGCCAGACTTGGCATTGGCTCGCCACAGACGTCTGATTGAGGGGAAGCAGTGCCGCCGCCCGCGCGAGGCTCGACACTCCGGGTTTGCGCGGGTTTTTGGATGTGGGCCCCCTCGGGTTGGCGGCCGGACTCCTCGTATTGTAAAGCGGTCCAGAAGGCCACTCTGGTGGATTGCGCAGCCCTCATCAAAGCCAGAACGCCACTGGCGGAGCATCACCCGCACTTCACCTGGCCTGCAAGTTGCAACGTACGACGCTCGGCAGCCCGCCAATTCAAGCATGATTGACGCCCATGTTCCGGGTACCTGGACTATTCACGGCTGGTCCACGGCCAGTCCGGGATCACAACGATCATTGCCACGTTGTTGTGGATAGCGAGCGGCTCTGCATTAGTTTTCGTCCAGTTTTCTTGGGGTGCCCCGCTACCGCCTAATCCTTTTTCCTTCCGTGATTTGACGGGCTTGGGTGACGTAGGCAGAAAAAAAAGCAAGACTGCAGAATAGTAGTAGTGCTGAACGACTTCGGGGCCGAAGATAAGATCTTGGTACGTAAGTCGTCGGCGGTAGGCACCGCTGCTGGCAAGAGTCAGGGTCGGCGGCGCAGGCGAAGTTTCTAGCAAAGCGATCTCGGGGTGGGCTGGGCGGGTTATGGAGTGGAGAGGCCGGTGAGAGATCATCTCAGGTCCCAGCGCAAATCTGCGTGGTCGGTGGAGAGCATGCGGGCAACATGTCGCTCGCTGGCCAGGGACAGGCAGCACAGCCAGAGCTACCGTTGTGCAATGCGCAGAGCCGTGGCCGGGCGCGGGATGTACGGTAATGGTTTTCGCGGCGCCAGTGATGTCAAGCCTATTTTTGAGCGCTGCAGGCATGCTGCAGGAACGGCCAGGAGAATGCGGATGCGCGGAGCTGCTAGAGCGCACGGTCCAGCGGGATCAAGTCGTCCCGCAACCTAACACGAAGCTTGCTAGCTACAGAGTACAGCCGCTGCATGTTGGCAGAGCCAGCCCACTGCCGACGGTTACGCCAATCTCGCGCGCGCGTGCAGGGCGAGCAGCCGCTCGGGATGGCGGGCGCTGGCGACTCGGGACGCTGAAGACGCCGAAGACGCTGAAAACGGAAGCATGGACGGGAACGCTTCGGAGAGGTGCAAGCAGAAATCCGCGATTGGCCGGCTTTCGAGAAATTCAGCGGGCGACAAAAGCAGCGGTTGGCCAGGAAAGCTGAAACGCCGTCTGCGGCAGCGAGGCTGCGGAGAAAAAAAATAGACCCCCAGCACCTTCTTGCGCCCACGACGATCGGTGGCTGGAGCTCGCCGTTCGGCGCGCCTGAAACGATAGTCTAGAGCTGCTCCTCATTCTGTTCTCGCAATGCTCCAGCAGCATTCGTCAGCGACTCGCAGCGCGCGGAACCCGCGCCCGAGAAGGCCATGTTGCACAGCATGCAGACCGCCCAGCAGCCACCGCCCGTCGCGTGGCTCTATTCGGCCGGCAGGCGGCAGTGGGTTGGTTGCATCACTGCACGCCGGCATTGATGCTGCAACGTCAGCACATGAGCGGCAATACTCCGTACCTAGGTAGCCAGTGCACGCAGCCGGCTCGAGATGGCCGTGTCCGCCGTACAGGACGTCGGCTAGTGCGGGGGCAGCGGGCGACGACGGGCGACGTTGCCCTCGAGCCGCAGTCGCGTGAGAACGCGGCATGTTGGCGCAGCAGCGCGCAGGAAGGCGACGCGGCGACGGGCGACGGGCGACGGGCGGTGTTTCGAGGCAGGACCAGTGTTTCCTGAAACGCAAACACGCCGGGGCGCGGTGGCCTCTTTGGCGGCCAGGCTGAGAGGTGCGCGGTGCCCTCGCGGGATCGACGGGCCTTGAGGCTCCCCCGCCCAGCGCACGGCGGGCCTCGGCCGCGTCGACTGTTTCGAGTGGCTCCGGGCTCGACGTCGTGGGCCGCGGCAGACACGAGCAGCACCAGCACCGGCACCGGGAGGGCAGGCCCCGGCGCGCCCTCTCCGCCGAGCAGCGTCCTGTGCCACCAGGGGTGGGGGGGTGTGATTCGCCCGCGCGCGCGAGAGCTGCGGCAGCGTTTGAGATTGAGCGGGCGCGTCGCGCATAAACGCCGCGGCAGCTGGGCGGGGGCAGGCCGGTCGAGGTGGGCGGCGGGCGGTGGGCGGTGGGCAGTGGGCGAGGCGCGGGGCTGGTTGAGGCGTGAGGCCTCGCAGGCTCGCACACGCGCAGCGCAGACTCGGGCAGTCGGCGGGCGGGCGCTGGCGCCGGCAGGCACAGGCAGTCTGGCACAGGCGCAGGCACTGGGCTGAAGGGCGCACGCGCACCCCTGCACGCAAATTGCGGAACCACAACGGCGGATGTGCCTGCTGCCCCTTGGCCGCCGCTGCACGGGCTGTCAGACGATGCCCCCCGGCGCGCGCCCGAATCGTGGGCTGCAGGCTGGCTGGTCCCTGTCGCGCGTGTGCTCGCGGCCCTGCGCTGCGCTTTCTCCACTGCGCGCTCGCCCACGGCTCCGTGCCTTGGGCGCAGTGTCACAGATCTGCGGTGCCACGAGAATCGCCGCTTGCCGTATACATTGCGCCTGGCCTGCCCCTTCCGGCCCCGTGCTCCCCAAGCCCTCCGCGCCCATGCTGAGGATTGCTGGTGCAGACTCGCATATCAGCCACCGCGCAGCCCTCTTGTTTCCCCCCATGGCTGCTGCCCTTTAGTCCTGCAGCACTCTCCCTCGCCCAAGTCCCGCCCTCGTCTGACGTAAGTGGTGGGCCCGTGAGGTACGTCGAGCGCGCTTCTCCCGCCGCCGCTGCTGCTATTGCTCCTCTACATGCTGGCAATCTGCCGCCTCCTGACCCTTCCGCCCTCCGCTGCTATCTTTGTCGCCTGAGATTGCCGACTGCCTGCTGAGCTTCGTCCAACTAATTTCCCTCTAGCTGCCCTTAGCCTGTCCTCCGCCGGCCACCGCGTCCACCCTCCGCCAATTTGATCTCCCGCCGCACTAGCTCGCGAATCCCACCGCCGCCTATTTGTTGACCCAACGGCCCTGCTGTGCGAGTGGACACAGTAGCTGCCGGTCAGCACCATCCATTCTCCTCCTCCATGGCCATGGACCTTTTCAAACGCAACAACGGCGGGCCTCCCAGATCCCGCCAGGGCTCCTTCGACGCCGCCATTGCCGACACTGAGCCGTGCCTGTCGTCCCAAGCCCAGGCTTCGTCCAGCTCCCTCCCGGATCTGCCCTCTCCGCCTGAGCGTCACTTGCGGGATCACAGCGGTGCCCGCAGGAGTTCCGTCTTCACCCTGCGCTCCCGGAGCAACACCGCCAGCTCCATGACAAAACCCACCAATCTCGACGCCCAGGACCGCGCCTCCCGGAGATCGTCGCGGGACATGTCTCCCGCCCACGCCAGCTCCGCCAGCGTCTCGGAGCCCCAGCCCCAGCCCGGCAAGCAGAAGGCTTCTTCAATGTTCGCCTCGAGAGGGAGGAAGCTGCGCCGCCAGAGCAGCAAGCTCACTTCGGCCACGGGCATCGACGACGTCGACGAGGTTGCCAGCGGCCGCAGAGGCTCAGTCTTTGGCAAGGACCGCAAGCGGAACACGTACGAGACCGTCGAGCAGTGTAAGTCCCTCACGCCATGCAAGCTGCGCGTGTGCTGATCACTGTCGTCTCAGACAACCTCAGGATGCGCCACATCTCCCAGCCCTTCGACTTCCAACACCTGACCCACACCAACTCGCAGCATCTCCAGCAGGCGCTCGTGAGCAGCCAGAACGAGCTTGTTGCCGAGTTCTGGGCTCACCGCGCCTCTCAGATGCCCAACAAGGAGCTGCGGGGGATCAAGGTCGAGGACCTGACCTCCACCCCCGAGCCCGACGCTGTTGGCAACTCGAATCAACCTGCCCGTGACAGCTCGCCCCTCTCTGGTGGCTCCTCGGTTGTGAGCCCAAGGACTCGCCATGTTCCGAACACACGATCCCCTTCGCCTAAGTCGGATGTGCGTCATACGCGATCTGTGGGCAGCTTCTCCCAACCCATCCCTCCTATTTCGCCTAAGTCGCCCAGGACCATGGACTCTCACGTGCCCATGCCGGCTCCCCCCAGCATGTCCTCCCGGTTGGCGTCAGCACGGGGCGAAGAAACCCCTATTGCGCAAGCGCTTTCTGGAAACCGCAGGCAATCTGGTATTTGGTCCCAAGCTCTCCACCGCCCATCCGTCTCGAACGAGTTCGTCAACGACCTCCCCTTCGTCGCGCACGCAGTCACCACTCCCGACGACTCTGCCATGCCTGCCATGTCTCCGCCCTGGAACGTCGAGCTGGAGCACATCGCCGAGGAAGAAGAGGGAGGCTACTTTGGGCGCAAGTCGCATGATCAGAGCGTTCTCTACTCGCCTTCGCCCGAAATGTCGCCAACCCAGAAGCCAGAGACGCAATCGGATCTTCCCCTGCGTGCGGACAATATGGGTCCTCATGAGCACCTGAAGTCGTTTGCCAATCATCGCCCCACAAGGCCCCGGCCCCTTTCTCAAATGTCGGATACCCTTGGAGCCCCCTTCTGCCCGCCAAACTCAGGGAGGAAGACGCCCGGCGCCCTGGGACCGATCCAGCGCTCCGCTTCGATGAGGAGACGTTCGACCTTCTTCAGGAGCTTGGAGGAGACCAACTCTTGGGAGGACGACATCGACTATTGTTACGATATTGGCGCGGATGCCGATTGCGACTTTGAGTGGGACCGCGTCTCCAACAAGTCCAAGGACGGCTACACTCCCAATGAAATTCCCTTTGCATTCCGCACGCCGACTGTCTTGGAAGAGGAGGATGAGGATGAGCGAAGCGGTGTTTGCGGCACGGAGGAGAAGCTCCAGCAGGGCTTCATGCCCAGTTCGATTCTTCCGTCACTCACAGTTCCCAGCAAGCTCTCTCTTCCCGACCTGGACTACCGCTCCGGTGTCTCGACCTCGACGAACAGCCTCCTGACGCCGGTTGACTATGCTGCCAACAACTCCAAGGAGTGCAGCAATGCCGCATACGATCAGGACTCTTACACGCCGTCATTGCTGGTGCCGCAGGACTTCAAGGAGCAGGTGACCAAGGAGGACATGTACGAGGAGATGCTCAACGACTACTGCTCGGACCGACACTATCCCTTGGTGCACGCCCGCTCCGACAACACGCTGAGCATTGCCGAGTCTAGCCAGAGCGGACCTTCGCGTTACAGCATGGCCAGCTCGTACGAGAGCAGCCTTCGTTCGGCGTCCATCTCGCTTGCCAGCCCGGCCCGTCGCTCGCGCGGCTCGACCGGTTCCGTGCCTGACCTTGTGCACAGCCGGCGCGCTGCTAGGCGGACGATGGAAATCATGGCCAATCGCCTCTCAAAGGAGATGACGTTCGCGGATGACGACGAGGAGTGCGATGATGGTGAAGCGACGCAGCAGCAGACGTTCTTCGCCGACGACCAAGACGGATCGGATGACGAGATGGAGGAGAGCAAGCCCGAGTCCCGCCCAAGCACGCACGGTCGTGACCCTTCCCCTTACCATGAGCGGTCCGCTTCGGATGGTGCGGCGAAGCTTCTGGCCAAGGCTGGAGTCAAGGCGCAGCATGCGCGCACGACCAGCAGCGCCGAATACCCGACGCAGCGTCGGGGCAGCAAAGCGCAAACTCTGAGCTTGTTCCCTCAGCCGCCCAAGAAGTCCAAGAACCTCTAAATGGCGGTGCCGCATCTGGACCCATTGCCTTCACCTGGACTGTATAAACACCTGGCTTACTGTCGTTTCTGTTTCCTTGTTTCAACTGTCTACAAGGTGCGCTGTTTTTCTGAAGCCACCACTGCTTTTTCATTTGGTATTTTTTCTTTTTTCGCTGCGCTTCTTGTCGCTCTTACACTTTCTGAGCATTTGATGATGCTATGTATTATCTATGACCGGTTGGGCTCCACGGGGTTGTGGAGTAGGGCAGTCTGGTTCTTAGGGGGCGGTACCGGTCATATCACAAAAAGCAGGGGTGCTTTTTCTGCGGAGTTTCTTTGCGTTTCCAAGGAGAGGAGTTTCGTTTGATCAGGAGCTATAGGATGTTCTTGGCGTGTGGGTTCCCATTTCTCCCCCCGAGTCCCAGGTTTTCCCAAAAAAGACGGGACTGGCGTTGCAGTTTCGTTTGCTGTTCCATGTCTCCTACAGTCTCAGTCTGTCTCCCGAGTCTGTCTCCTTTCCCAAGTTGAAAAGTCCATGGCTTTGCTGTTCCTTGGGCAGAGCTGGGCTTTGCCATTTTCGGGATCGAGTGCATTCTCGTGCCACACCAGAGTGGGCGAGGGTTGCTCGTCGTCCTGTCGTCTTTATTGTCTATTTTGAGCGAGGTGTTGGAGCGATGGCATAATATGGTTTAGAGGAGGGGGATGGCGCGGCGCTCAATCGGCGGGCGCGCAGTAGAAAGCAAGCAAAAGTAAAGAAGCGAAATCAAACGTGCAAGCAGCGCTCCGCTCGGCTACTCGGGGCGCTGCTTGTTTCCAACAATGATTGTTTCCGCCCCCATAGCAGTGTTGGTGAGCGTGCTTGTTGATTGATTGCACTTGCCGCAAAGAGCAGGTGAGCCAACACGCACCCTTGAAGATGGCCACGACGTACCTACCGCGCTTGGGATAGCCGCAGGGCATGCCCGGCTTATGCCGGACCATGCCGGACCCTTCCCTCCCTGCCTGCAGCGTTTTGCGCATGGTGTTTCCAGCTCGGCTCTCTGCACATGTGCCTGACTGACCGCCATGTTCCAAGATGCCTTGGCGGTGTCGTCCCGAGCTGCCGGGTGCGACAAAGACACATGCACCTTTTCTTTCCCCACATGGCCGCCTTGCTTTGGCTTTTAACGGACGTAACGCGACTACACGACACGCACACGTGCGCCGCAACCAAAAATTGCATGCCCTACCTACCACGCACTCTCCTTGGCGTTCCCGGCGTCTAGGTAATTGATATATTGCTCGAGCAAATTACCCTCCCAACAGCCGGGACACCACTGCCCCTTGTGGGCTGTGCATTTGCTTTTTCCCTCCACCTTGGGTCGCCCCGCCGATGATGATGATGATGATGATTCAGGGCTGGAATACTGTATTCTAGATTTTCTGAGGATCCACACTTCATGCGTGGTTTTTCACATGTTTGCTTTTTTCTTTCTTTCTTTCCCTTTACCCGCCAACCAAGCTGCGTGTGTGTCACCAATCGCTTTGGCGTTATCTTTTTGCTTTTTTTTTTCCTTTTTGTTTCTTCTCTCGATCTTCGCGCACCCGTCGTTTCGGAGCGCCTTGCGATTCGCGCTCTCTCGCTTTCTTCTGCCCCTCTTCACCGCTAATCCTCCGGACCTACATGTTGTGGGGCGTGCTAGTAGTTGCTTTGTTTCATTGTTTGTTCCTCAGGACAACCTGGACGCTGGGTGGCCGGTGGGCTGTACGATATACATACCAGCGACGCGCGCACAAGTAGCGCGCACATAGCTAACTGTATGTAAACGTATGTAGCATTCGCGTTTACACAAACTTCAACGAAGTAAAAAAAAAAAGGAGGGAAAAAGAATCCATCCATGAAAGCCAGACAGACGTCTAGACACATGTCCCCCGTCCGTCCATCCGTCCGCTCGCTTTTCCCTCCCTCGGCATCCTGCCTCTTATAGCTACAAACCCGTCGTTTCCCCCAACCAACCCCACCGCTCCCCCCTTGTCTTCCTGCAGAGAAACCACCCAAGCCATCGGAGTCGGAGAGAGAGAGAGAGAGAGAGAGAGGCGGGAAATAACAAAGAATCCCTCCGGTCCGTCCAGCCATAATATGCAACGCACGTACGTACATACATACATACCTACTCGCCCAATGGGAGAAATTTTTTTTTTTTCGCACACGCACAATACGTCGGAGCGGAAAATGCTCCGTCTCTGCAGCATACTAGTAGGTACGTAGGTATAGTCCAAGATGGGGCGTTGTTTTACCGTGCTTACGTCCGTGAGTATGTGAGGCGGTAGGCGCCGCAGCCGCAGCCGCAGCCGCCCGTCCGCCCCGGCCGTTTGCCCGCCCCGTTGATTGCCGTTTTTGCGGCGTGCGTGCGTGTGTGCGTGTGTGTGTGCGTGTGTGGGGGGGAAGAGGGCTGGAAAGGGCTGGAGGGCTGGAAAGGGGGGGGGAGGGCTGGAGGGAATCGGACAGGGAGTTTTGATTTGATTTTGGGGGCCGCGCGGGAATGGCGCTTCGCTTGGGGGCTGGAACTGGGAGTTGGGGGGTGGGAAAGCCGATACGCGAGGACGTGGGGGGGTGGTTTTTTGTTTTTTTTTTTTGGTGGGGAGGGGCGCAGGCGGTTTTGATTGATTGATTGATTGGTTGGTTGGCTGGTTGTGAGACATAGCACATGTCTGCGGCACAGGCGCCCTCTCTCTCTCTCTCTCTCTCTCTCGCTCCCCCGTCCCCCGTCCCCGGACAGAAAGCGAATTGTCCGAAGGAAGGGACGGGACGGGTAGATGCGAGGTCGACTTGCGTTATCGACACGTTGTGTAAATATGCGTGTTGCTGGGCGGTGTGTGTGTGTGTGTGCGAGGATGGCTGCGACTGGGTTGGGCGAGAGGTTATGCGGCGCGAAGAGCATTGAGATGGCAAAGGGCAGCGAGAGTTTTTTTTTGTCTCTTTCTTGTTCCTTGCTGTTCCGCTCGCCGCAACCGCCCCGCATTCGTTTTCGGTTTTTAGTTGCTGTTGGTTTTATGGTTGGCGATTGGCGGTTGGTTGGTAGCACTGCTCATGCAGCAAGCGATGTTCCTTCGAAAGTTTTGCACGCAAGAGCTGAGACAAGGCCCTCGAACCATGATCGAATGTTTCGGATCCCGTGAGCCGCTGCGGCTGAGAGGCCGGAATGCTGTTGTGGCAGCCCAAGCACGCGTGTGTTCCTGCCGCTACCGGCGTCCCGGCAGCCAATATATTGATGAGGCCTCGAGCTGGGGCGTCCATGGTAACGTGACTGATTGGTTGGCTACCACGCCTGTGTTACGCAAGTGAGGCGAGAGGCAAGACAGAGTGCATGTCGGCGTGGCCGAATGAGACGGCCGAAGCATGCGGGCAATGAGAATCAAGAGGCGAGGGAGTTAGGAGTCAGCCTATGTCTATGCGCATGTCTTCTTTTGCCTATTTGGGCCTGCTTGAGGGCCCCGGAAGTGCGGTTGGCCCGAGAGTCGCTGGGCTCCAGGTAACTTGGTCAAGTGCTTTATGGGCGGCTAATCCTGTGTAACGAAGGACAGGCAGGTGATCGACGTTGAGGAACGCTGTCGATTATTCCCCATTGCGAATGGCGGCTCAGCATTGTTCACTGAGCATGGTTCGAGTAGTAATACGCCGTACTTCATTTCTTTTTCGCAGACTAACGCATTGTTCCCACGCAGTCAAGCAGACCTACCCTTCGTATACCAGAACATGGCTTGGAGGGGGAATGTCCGTATCTGATGCCAGCGAACATGAGGGATGTACCGCCAGTAAGACCAAGTAACAAGTAGAAAAGGTGGTGAAGCGCATGTCAGCATCAGTAAGCGGTTACTCGCAGCACTCAGATGCCGGCACCGACAGCAAATGGCGGATATGCACAGTTCATATCAAGTGCCCAAGTAGTGCCATGTGGCTAGCCGGCACTACGAAAACGGTAGTGGAGAAGTTGCCAAATCCGGCTAGCGCGCAATCCACGACCACCACATCGGCCCTGGCCAACGACGTCACGCAGCGTAAGAAACTTCTGACTAGGCCCTCAGAGCCATCTCCACCTTGGTCTGGCTGGCACCGGTGATGGGGACTATGTGGAGGCCACTTCCTTAGGTTATAGACCCTTGACTCGGAAAAGCCGTGTTGGAGAAAAAATTTCGGCCGTTCTTCCAACCGCCCTCTTTTAGTCGCTTCCGCGGGCATCCGCGGCAGTCGCGTGCCATCACAATATTATAGGCCGGAGAAATCTCGTTGGAAACCGTGAGTGTAGTGACTAGAACAGGGACTTCTCCAACAACCTTTGCGTCTCGGTGACAAAGCTTAGGTGTAGACTTCTTTGGTACTCATTTGTCTTTTGTAGAATGAAAGAGTAATCTTCGACGTTGATGAGGGCCTCGCTTGCGGCAGAATCCGCCTTGTGAGGTTGCGCCGACTTGCCCAATGGGGGTGAAGTCCGACCGCCGCCAGGACCCACGCAGACATGGCGGACTACGAAAATTTCGTCAGTACCGGTGGGAGTAGAGAGATGGTAGAAAGAAGGAAAAAGCACTCTACGGCGAGCAACGGTCGAAAGATGTCCAGCCATCAAAATATAAGCCATGCGGTGAAATCCGTCCTCCATCAAGAACCACAAGAACCGATCGGTTCAGCTTCACGGTGGTGTGGTCCAATGGCAAGATGCCACGTTGTGGTGCTCTTCACGACTCCTAGAGTCTGAATACATCTACAATTCCGTGTCGATCTGGGTTCGATTCCCAGCACCGCCAGATGTTCGCATCTGGGCCTCTCAGAGGTCCTCCAACACTTTCTTTTTGCTTTCCGGTGCTCTTGTCACATTGGGAAGGAGACACCTGTTTTTTTTTTCTGAGCCCCGCGACGGCAGAGTGCGGGTGGACTTGGGTTCCTCAGCTCTTTTTGTTCTTCCTGGCGGTCTCTCCAAGGTTCGACTAGAGCCAGTAAGTCTGGAATGGATAGCGTAATCTCTTCAACAGATGCTGGTCCCATGGGATAGCTCAGAGCTGACGCAGGACACTTTCCGGAACCGGCCGCTTTCGACGCGTTCCCTCGGGGGTGATTCGCAGACAAGAGCGCGTTGCTCTCTTTCGAATACAGACAAGGCTTTGTCACCACTGCTGCGGCAACGACGGCAATAGGGCTCCACAGGGCTCTTGTGTGTAAGACGAGCCAAGTCGGATTCACATCCGTCGTGGTAAGTCAAGGGTCTCTCGGATAGGGCCATTGCGCCATGGTGTGTGCGAAGCCATTGTCATGTGACGTGTTCACAGCTCTTTCCCGGCGCCTTCGTCCTCAGTTCATCCCAGGGGATAGCGGCCGGTGCGGACTACGTCGGTATGGCGGGGGCGATGCCGAGTATGTCGGGACGGTTCGACAGCGGACATTTGGGAGCTTGCGTGCATCGATGCTGCAGCAGACGTAGTTGCTTCTGGGCATGCGAACGAGAGGATTGCGGGGTCGGAAATGGGGAGGGGGCCTGGCGGTTCGGGACTGGAGATGTGTCGTTGGTGGTGGACGGGCGCAAAGGGGGGGTGGCGGCCGGCGGGCGGGGCGGGATCAAAGCCAGCCAGCTGGGCGAGCGGAAGCTGAGCCGCTCCGATTGCGGTGCAACAACTGCCCGGTCTTGCAGCATCAACAGATGATTTCTTTGTCACTTGTTATTGAAAAATTAAAAAGACAGAGCCAAGACAAGATGCACTCATTTTTCTCACTGTGTTCGACTAGGCAGCATCCATGCTTACGCCCGACTCCCAAGTACTGCTGCGGCTGCGTGTGTGTGCATCTGCTGGCGCATGGATACAACCCCTGCAAGATCTTACTTGCATTGCTTATAAGCTGGTCTCTGATGGTCAAACGTAGGGAGAACAATAAGATTATAATTATAGCCACGGATGGTATACTGGAGCATTAATGCAAGGTCCCGAAAAAAGCCGTCAGTGCTGGGATGGGGTTTCTTGCGGCGGCCAAGTATTTATCAAGATGCCACCCGACGCGTCGCACAGAACATGGAGGCGGCAACGCACGAATGCGCTGGCACCTAAGATTGCACGAGCTCGACCGGAATGTTTCGCATGTTTGGATTGTTTGCTTTTCCGACTACATGCGTCGGCGCCATCGATTTTGGCAAGCAAGCATTCTTGTCGAGCGCAGACGCTGACGTTTCAGCATCTTCGTTGCATATGTGGTGTCTGGTAGTCTGCTGTAAGCAAAGTCCTTACTTTTGCAATGCAAGGGCCGTGGCAGGTGAGCCTGCATGATACGCATGGCGACATGGAGAGCTGGAGGCCCGATGCATTTGCGCCCAAAGAATCCCGAATGGGGAAATCAGACATTCGGAGTCAGCTATGGATCAGAACGGTTCCGGTGAGTTCGTGTGCTGTTAGACTTTCAGCAAAATTGAGAGAAATCATATCCTTTGTGTTCAAGTATGCATTGATATTTTTTAATTGAAGGGTCCCATCACCTATATCCCATATGTACGCAAATGCCACTGAAAAAAATAGCTGTGCTGGTATCTGGCCTTTGGGGGTACGTCGTCTAACTTTGGCATGAGGTCGAGCACTTGGCTTGGAAGGCCGGCCTCAAACTTGCTTAGTGTTTGAGAAGATTCGACGTCACAAGGCTGTGCCTTTCACACATCTCTACACACGTGATGGCATTGCCAATCTCGACTCGGCCCCCACCTTTCATGTCATCTGCTCTTCCGTCAATGCGGGGTACATCCCTGGGGGCCGCCTTCCGGTATGACCTTTCTCGCAAGGCAACAGTAAGAACCGCCTTAGCCTCGATTTGGAAGAACCCGGCCACAACCCGAAAAGCAGTAATGGATAAGCAAGTTGAGGGAGATGCGAAGAGTCCTTCGTTCGTTCCTGCGCCAGCCGAAAAAGAAGCAGCAGCCTTGCAAGAGTATCGCGATGCCTTCATCGAGAGGGTGGCCAAGCTCAGAGAGACCCAAGAGTATCAGAAGATGGATTTGTGGGCTCTACCGAGAGAATGGTCAGCGGATCAAAAGCTTCTTCAGCCAGTTAATGTCGACGACGTGGCAACCGAGGAGAATGCCGGCCATCTGTGTGCGAACATTAGCCTGTGTGAATTCTATCCGAGACATCTTTCCCAGCACCCGACGCAAGGGTAGATATCCCAACCCTGCACCCACTAAAGCGACTACTGGGCTGACCATGATACTTCAAATGTAGCATTATTGGCCTCATCGCGGACCATCCCGGGTACCTGGCCTGGCGGGAAGAAAGAAACAACGCATTCGAGCAGTGCCACTGGGACCGACTCAGCACACTCCAAGCGAGGTGCATGTCAGCGCGACTGAGAGAATGCAAAGCGAAGCGTTGCCTGGCCGCGCGGAAACTGCTGGCTTCGCACATGCCGAGCTGCGAGGACTGGGCCGAGTTTCGAGAGTGGGTCCTCACAGCAGCCTCGTGCCAGTCGGCTGCCTGGGCCGCAGGAGATAGCTGGCTGTACCACTTCGATGCGAACGAGTTTCTGGCCCACTTTCACTCCGTCATGATCACCTTCCAGCAAGGGCTGGAGGATCGATGGTTCTGGCTGCATAAGCTGTCCAGGCCCTCGAGGAAGGCGGATGGCCCGGATCTACTATTTCAGGTCCAGCAGGTCATTTTCTTCTGGGCGAGCCAGCTCCAGCCGCGGATCGTGCGGGACCTGGGCCACCGGATGCTGCGTCGCGGTGCAACCGCGTTGACGGTCAAGACTACCCCTTTGAAACAGAGCTTGTTCTCGCAAGTCGTCATGGATGCCGAAGAGAGAGCGGCAAAGCTTAGCCTCTGTCCGAAGCGGCTGTGGAGCGTGGTGCAGAGTCTGGAGTGGCTGGACAATGTACTGCCGGCTCTGGTGGACGTGTTGGAAAAGGCTCCACGCCCCCAAGCATTCGCACACCGAGGCCATGAGGAGTGCTCGGCGCAGTTTTGCGAGCTGTCCCTGGAGAACAGCGCGCTCAAGAAGCAGCTGCACAAACGCGACAGCGGCCAATGCGGGCGTACTACAAAGCTCCATCTTGCGAGACTGTCGTACGCTGTGCGCAACGGAGAGACCACAGCCTGGCCGATTGAGGAGTTGCAGGGGCGGAAGCCGGAAAGATCCTTGAAGAGCTACATGGCCATTTCGCATGTCTGGTCGGATGGCACTGGTGTGGGGACGGGTGGGCCAGGTGTTGTGAACGAATGCCTCCTTTCTTACTTCATTGACGTGGCTACGAGACTGGGGTGTGACGGCATATGGTGGGATGCCATCTCCATCCCCATGGAGAAGGAGGTGAGAAGGATGGCGCTGAACCGGATGCAACCGAACTACGAGAAGGCCAAACACACCGTAGTCCACGATGAATATCTGTTGCAAGTCGATTGGGCTGAAGATGGTAGCCCCGCGGTTGCTCTGATCCTCTCGCCGTGGTTCACGAGAGGCTGGACGGCGCTGGAGCTTTCGGTTTCTCGGTCAGTGCAAGTCATTTATCGAGATCCAACGGACCCGAAGAAGCAAGTGTTGAAAGACCTCGACAACGACATCCTGCCCCAAGGCTTCTGCAGCATAGGCCATAGGTTCGCGGCAGACATGATCCGAAATCTCCGGGGCAAACCACCAACCCTGGCGGGTCTCGTCAAGATCCTGAGCACGCGGTCAACCTCCTGGACGCGCGACCGTGCCACCATCGCCGCTCTGCTCGCACGCACCGAAGACTTCGATTACAGCGATGCACAGTCCGTAACGGTACGCAAAATGGTGGTCACTTACCGCCAAGTGCCGCGAGACTTTCTTCTCCACGGACATATCACTTTGGCGCGTGAAGGCGGTTGCTCATGGCTACCTTCCACTGTCATCTCACATGAACAGCCGTGCGATGACGAAGACGGCGACAGAAAAGACAGGGAAGTGATTGAAGTGGACCGGAAAGGCGCGGCTTGTGTGAGGTGGTCATATTACCCAATCCCGGAGAGGCGGGTGCCCTTTGTGAAGCCTTACAGCTCACACGCTTCGGTCGAATTGCGCATTCAACGAGCTTTGCAGATGGCGGAGAGCTGCTTCCTCTTGTGGGCCCCGGGCCAATGGTCAGACAACCCGCTATACGTTTTGGTTCGAGCCGCGGGATTGGGGAGCATGGAGGACGGTAGTATCTGCATCGATTCTCATTATGTCGGGTGTGTGAAAGTAGCCAGCAATGACTATACTGAGATGGGCATGATCGGGCTTCTGCCGTTCAGAGTCGGATGCGCAGCTGGAAAAGCACAGCAGAAGGCCGAAGACGTCCTGCGGGCGTACAAGGAGCGTGGCGGTCTCTTGGATTTGAAGGAATGATTGTTCGCATGTCGTTGCTCTGTAGCGAAAAGAAGAAAGAAGCAGGAGCGCTCGGACAGGATCTTCTGATGCACTTGTGATGTCACAGGCTTAAGCGAGCTGGTCTCATGGCACATAAGTACCGCCAACATCTGCCGTCCGAGCTTGCTTTTTCCACTGGATGCCATGCTTCGCCGTCGACTTCCTACGCTAGCATCAACAGCAGTCTTCATCGCCTGACTCTCGCTCATTTATCATTCATCTCCGGCCTTCCGCCTGCACGGCATCGGACGACTCCTCACCGCAATGACGCGTTCCTCATGCGAACCGGCACAAGTAATCAGCAACATGTCATCCACGGCTGTACAGTCCCAAGCCGGACTTTTTGGCTCCGAGAACGTGTGTGTTACGTCGGCGCTTACCACGGGCAATGAGACCATCTCTCGTTGTTGTATGCTTCGCGTGGGAGGGTAACGGACAGAACGTGCCTTGCCTTCGCCAGAACCATTTCCGACCTGTCGTCTAGCACGAATCATCCTACCAGAAACAAAACCTACCAGCGCAAGCGAGCACACAAGCCATGTCGGCAATCCAAGATCCCAGGAAGCGAATCTCCAAGGAACATTCTCGACGCCGGAACCATACGGCCGCGGAAACGGTCGGAGCCTGAAAATTGCCCGGATTGGTGCTACCTAGCGTCCGCCCTGTCGCCTTAAACTATGTGGGCCCTGTCTTAAGCTCTCAACGGTCGCCGCATGTCGTCAACAGGGTCTTTTCGCGCGACAATACGGCGTCGACGTGACCCTGAGTCGGCACCACCCGAACATCTGGAAATGATCGACAGAGGTGGCGCGGCTGTCATCCCACAAGTGATCCCCCGTGCCCAAGCCGACACCCAACATGCACTGCCCTGTCGAAAAGGGAAAACAACATAAAGAATGATTGCTTCCTATCGTCTCTCGTTCAGCGTAGTTTATCCATAACTCACTTTCTCGCCCACATATGCCTCTGCAATTTTCCGGCCTGGTCAAGCGCAGCGCACATTCGAGGTTCCGTCCAATCATGGTCGAGTAAGACCGCGACAGAGAGCTGATTCGAGAGCAGCAGTAATGCTTCACTTTCTGATATGCCAAACTTCAGCCGCACCCTGTACACTTGCGATGTCGCCATTGCAGGAGCTGGCCCGGCAGGCCTCATGCTAGCGTCAGATTTCATCCTACCAAGATCAAGACGCTGAGAGTTGACATCCAATCAGGGACAACCTTGCTCGCTTCGGGATAAAGGTCAATATAGTCGACAACAGAAAACACCAGACCTTGGTTGGCAGAGCAGACGGTCTTCAGCCCAAGACTCTCGAGACTTTACGTCAAATGCGGTTGGCTGACGGTCTCCTGCGCAAGGGCGTGAAGGTCTATGACATATGCTTTTGGGTATTCTCAATCTTTCCCCTGTACAGGATACATCGTCCGGTTTTATTTTTTCCCAGCCGATTGGTTGCGTTTGTTCATGTGTATGCCAAGTAAAAACAATGCTAATTGTCGAGAAAGAAATCCCCCACCAAGGAGAAGATGCAGAGATATGGGCGAGCCATACATTACCCACCGGACACTGCTGACCTCTTGGATCCCTATCTCCTTCTTGTCCATCAAGGTATCATCGAAGACGTCTTCATCAACGATCTGAAAGAGCGTAACGTTGAAGTCCGAAGGGATACAACGCTAATGGATTATGAATACTCGGGGAAAACATGTCCACTCAAAATCACCTACCTCGCTGACAATCAGTATCCGTGGTCCACGTGTGCCAGCTACCTCGTCGGATGCGATGGCGGGCGTTCTGCGATACGGAAGTCGATTGGCGCCCAGTTCATAGGAGCTTCGTCCGACTCGGTCTGGGGCATACTGGATGGCGAAATTGAGACGGACTTTCCTGACCTGTGGTCCAAGGCCCTGATTCATTCCGAAGACGCTGGCTCGGTCATGATGATGCCGCGCGAGCGGAACATGACTCGGGTCTATGTTGAATTAAAACCCGACTTGAGAGGGGGCACATCCAGGGACGAGCTTTCCCAGGAGCTTGTCATGCAAAGAGCCAAAGAAATTATGTACCCTTTCCACCTCCGATGGAAGACCGTCGGTATGTTCATCATTTATACGGACGCTACATATAACTCACCAAACTAACAATACCTGCAGAATGGTTCGGGAGGTATGTCGTCGGTCAGAGAGTCTCCACCAAGTTTGCAGATCAGAGGAGGCGGGTGTTCATCTGTGGAGACGTAAGTGACCCGCATGCTGTGCGAAACAAAGGAAAAAATCGCGCTCACTAGCTGCCGCACAGGCCGCTCACACGCACTCGCCCAAGGCCGCGCAGGGGATGTAGGTATAACGGGAACTCATGCTCCCATAACGCCTGACTCTCCCCGACCTCAGCACTGACCTCCCACGCCCCAGGAACACTTCGATGCACGACGCATGGAACCTCGCCTGGAAACTCAACCTCGCCGTCCGCAAGCTGGCCAAGCCCTGCCTCCTCGAGACGTACGAAGCCGAGCGCCGCAAGGTCGCCCAAGACCTCATCCACTTCGACCACGCCCACGCCCGCACCTTCACCACGGGCGACTGGGACGCCCTCGCCACCAACTTCACCGCCTACACGCGCTTCATCTCAGGCGCCGGGGCCGAGTACGACCCCAACGTGCTCAACCGCCCCGACCCCACCACCACCCTTCCCCGCGGTGATCTCCGCCCAGGATGCCTCCCGCCGCCGGCCAAAGCCACGCGCCTCGCCGACGGCGCCCCTGTCGACGTGCAGCTCGACATCCCGCCGCTCGGCCAGTTCCGCATCTACTTCTTCGTCGCGTCGCCGAGCGCGCTGCTGCGGCCGGGGCAGAAGAGTAGCAGTAGTACAGCGGCAGCGGCATCGGAATCGCCGGCGGCGGCCAACGGCTTCCTCGCCACCGTCTGCCGCGCCGGCACCTCGCCCCACCACTCCTTCACCGGCCGCATGAGCGCCGCCACCGACGCCAGCTACACCATCCAGCCGCCCGCCGCCGCCCCGCACGACGGCTGCGTCTGCCCCGCCCGCTACACCGCGTCGTCGTGCCTGCTGACCTGGGCGCTCGTCGTCGGCGTCGATGTCGGCGTCGATGTCGATGCACCCGCAGCGCCGCGCGCCCGCTCCCGCCTCGATGCCGTCGACTTGTTGTTGGCGGACTTGCCGCAGGCGCTCCGGGACTCGCCGTGGACCGTCTACCTCGACGACGTGCCCGAGGCCGACACGCGGCGCCGCGGCTGCGTCGACAAGTGGCTGGGCGGGCTGCGCGGGGAGGAGACGGCCATGGCCATCGTGCGGCCGGACGGGTACGTGGGCGCGGTGCGGGTGTGGCCGGATGGGGGCAGGGAGTGCGGGCTGGAGGCTGTGGAGTGGATGGATGAGTATTTCGAGGGGTTTCTGTCGGATAGTATTGCGTAGAGGGAGAGGGAGAGAGTGAGAGTGAGAGAGAAAGGGGGGGTGTTTTTTTTTTTTTTTTTACTGGGAGGACGGACGATGCTAGAGGGAAGGTTGGTGGTATAAAAGGCGAATTCAGGGTGGGGGAGGGAAAAAAGAAAGGAAAGTAGTTTTTACTTAATATCTGATAGCGAGCTGTTTTTGCATTGATACGTCTGATTGATCAGCAACATGCCTTGCCGTGCCTTGACGGTTTCGTTCTTTCGGAAGACAAGACGACGATGCGGCACGTGGCAGAAGACGTGAGCTCTGAACCCAGTGCCTGGATGAACTTGCCGATGGCCTCTGCATGACTGCGTCCGTAAGCGAAGTCAGTATATTCTGCATAATAAAAGTTTAGAGGCACAAGCAAGTCCTCGTGTCACTCGCCGTGGTACAGAAACTCGATAGTTGAAGAAATGGCAAAAGCACAGCGTTTGCTGTTGCGACAATGTCCGTCGTGGCACGCTTGCTGCAGGGATGGGGCGATATAGGGAAACAGTGACGTGCCATTCACACGACGCCAACCACAAACCACTTTCGCACAACATCTCCCCCCACACTTCGATCGTGCGGCAACCCATCCAAAACATTCCAGATGGCAAAACAGATGGTCAAAAAGCAAAAGAAATGCGTCGGCCGGGAATCGAACCCGGGGCTCATCGAGATTCACAAGCGAACTGATGTTCGTTATGGCAACGATGAATTTTACCACTAAACCACCAACGCAGTCGTGAAGACTATTGCTTCGATATTATGGTCAACAAAAGTTTTATTACATATAGTTAAAATTTTGGTCTGCAACAGACATCCTCCCATTTTTTTACGGAAATGCCTACCAGCGAAAGGAATGGGATATAAGTCATCTCTAATGGAAGACGGATGTAAAAATTTCATTAGCCAAACCTACCGAGCATGCTGACGATCATGGTTCGAGTAAAAATGGAAAGTGACAGGTTTAATTGCATTGCAAGCTCCTAAATCATGCATACCCGGTAGATCAGCAAATTTAAGAAAAAAGGAAAAAAAAAATAACATGCTCTTTTGTCTACCCTTTTCTAGCTTTGCCTAAGCTAATCAATTCCTCACGATCTATCATTTTCCGACTTACTCATGCCATACTCTGGAGAAACCAGAAGACCGGAAACCACTGAACAAATCATCGCACATACTCAAACCTAATTTTTTGTTCTCCAACTTTTTTAGTTCCAAGCCGACATGTTCCTAACCTCGCAGCCCTCCTGACCCTCGGCCCTCTTCACCAGCTCGCCGACCACGAACACCTTCTCGCCAGCCGCCTCCAACGTCTTGGTCGCCTCGGCCACCTTGCTCTTGTCGACGACGCACACCATGCCGAGACCGGTGTTGAACGCCCGCGAGAACTCCCGGTCCTCGACGCCGCCGGCCTGCTTCAGCCAGCGGAAGACGGGCGGGACGGGGTAGGTGGCGGCGTCGACGACGGCCTGGAGGTGCGGCGGCAGCATGCGCGGGATGTTCTCGAGCAGGCCGCCGCCCGTGATGTGCGCCATGCCCTTGAGCAGGCCCTGCCGCGCCGCGGCCAGGAGCGGGCGGACGTAGATGCGGGTGGGCGTGAGGAGCGCCACGCCGACGGGCTCGCCCGACTCGCTCCAGGGTGCGGGCGAGTGGAAGGAGAGGCCGGCACGGTCGACGATCTTGCGGATGAGCGAGAAGCCGTTGGAGTGCGGGCCGCTGGAGGCGAGGCCGATGAGGACGTCGCCCTCGGCCATGGACGCCGTGTTGGGGAGGATGGGTTGGTTGCGGGCCAGGGCGCCGATGGCGGCACCGCCGGCGTCGTACTCGCCCGCCGAGTAGAGGCCGGGCATCTCGGCCGTCTCGCCGCCGACGAGGGTGCAGTTGGACTGCTTGCAGCCCTCGGCAACACCGTGGACGAAGGCGGCGGCGGAATCCACATCCAGCTTGCTGCACGCGTAGTAGTCGAGGAACATGAGCGGCTCGGCACCCTGGACCACAAGGTCGTTGACGTTCATAGCAACGAGGTCGATACCAACGGTGTCGTGCTTGCCCATCTCGAAAGCAATCTTGACCTTGGTGCCAATGCCATCAATGGCTCCGACAAGAATGGGTGCTTCCTTGTAACCAGCAGCAGCAAGGTCGAAAGTGCCGCCGAAACCACCGATGTCAGCATCGGCACCTGCCCTACGTGTCGACTTGACCGAGGCCTTGATGCGCTGGACAAGCTCGTTCCCGGCATCGATGCTCACACCAGCAGAAGCATAGGTCATGGCCTCTTGTGGGGCAGGCGTTCCCCGGGTGACAGTGGTTCCATCCTCTGCGGGCTCAAGGAGCTTCCAGATGCAAGTGATGTTCTCCTTCTTGAATTCCTCGATGAGGTGGTTGGCGATGCCCTCAAAGTTGTGCGTGGCCAATGCAAGGATGGTAGGACCAGCACCAGACAGGCAGATACCAAGCAGACCGGGGTGCGACTTGGGAGTGACGGATTGGAGGATCTCAGTAAGACCAGGGATCAGAGTCTTGCGGTAGGGCTGGTGGACCTTGTCCTGCATGCCCTCATAAATCATGTCAGGATCGGGGGGAGATTCGCCCAGCGCGGTGGTTAGGAGAGCTATTCTCTGCAGGTTGAAGACCATGTCGGCACGGCTGTACTGGTTGGGCAGAACACCTCTTGCCTTGGCAGTCGAGACCTCAAATTGAGGGATGATGGTGATGCACTTGATCTCCTTGGCCCACTTGAACTTCTTGTAATGACCAATGTTGAGTGGCGGGTACGGAGGCTGGAGGCCGGTATCGACACCACCGGCGGGCTCGGGCAGCACCTCAGCCAGCGGAATCTCCTTGCGAGCCATATCGGCAGGGTCCAGCTCGTTCAGGTAGGTACCGACGAAACCACCATACAGAGCGGCGGCGACGTTGTCAGGGTGTCTTTCGATCATGAGACAGTAGTCCAGCATCCGGGCCTTGGACAGCCCCAGGTTTCCAACCTCATTTGCGAGATTCACGCCAGAAACCTAGACACGTATCAGCCGGTACAATGTGTGCAGTTGCCTTGCCGCCGGTGACCAGCTGAACTCTGGCGTGCGCAGCGCTGATCGTACGATGTAGCCGTCTGGATGTGGCTTCCTCTTGCGCTCGCCAGATTCAGGCTGGCCACAGCTCGCAGCAAGGTCGCGTATTTCAGGCGAGTCCTACCACTGCGGCACCGCTGCTTCCCAAGCCTCTACCCAGGGGAATTGGGTTCTTGATGTGTACGTGGGTGCCGGGGAACTTGCGCTGGCCGTGGCACTTGAGGACATAGAGGGCGACGCGGGTGACGAGGTTGACATCGGGGTCGAGGCTGACCTCCTCCTCGCCTTGGCCTTCATAGGTGATGCGACAGGCAAGCGAGTTGAGCTGCTCGGCGGAGGGATCGGGCTTGACGTGCAGCTCGAGGTAAACGGAGAGGGCGAGGCCGATGACGTCGAAGCCGGGGCCAATGTTGGCGGACGAGCAGGGCACCTTGATAACGCACGCCATGGCTGCGGATGGCTCGCTGGATACCGCGTCCTCGGGACTGAGGGGAAGGCTTTTTGTGGTTTGTGGGCGAAGGCTGCGGTGGTTCGAGGGGGAGTCAGCGTCGCGCGGCGGGCGCTCAGCCCTACGGAAAAGTTCCCAGACATGCCCCGCAATCGGCCCTGCTCCACCAAAATTTCAAGCCCGCCGCCGCGGGGCAGACCGAGAACCAAGCATCAACACGAACCCCCAGACTCCACAATGGCCGACGTCCGTGTCCTTCTCGTTGGAAATGGCGGCAGAGAGCATGCCCTCGCCTGGAAGCTCTCTCAATCGCCCCGCGTCGACCGCATCTTCGTCGCTCCCGGCAACGGTGGTACCGCCCTCCTCACCAAGACACAGAACGTCGAGTCCGTCAAGGCCGACGACTACCCCGGCCTCGTCAAGTTCGCCCTCGAGAACAACGTGACCCTTCTCATCCCCGGCCCTGAGGCACCGCTTGTCGATGGCATTGTCGATGTCTTCAACAAGGATGCTCCCCAGATCAAGTGCTTCGGTCCCTCCGGTGCTGCTGCCCGCATGGAGGGTAGCAAGACCTTCTCCAAGGACTTCATGGACCGCCACAACATCCCCACCGCCGCCTTCAAGAACTTCACCTCCCACGACGCCGCCCGCGCCTACCTTGACAGCATCTCGCACCCCGTCGTCATCAAGGCTTCTGGTCTCGCTGCCGGCAAGGGCGTCATCATTCCCACCACCAAGGAGGAGGCACACCAGGCGCTAAAGGATATCATGTTGGATCGCGAGTTTGGCTCTGCTGGCGATGAGGTCGTCATCGAGGAGTTCCTCGAGGGTGATGAGCTCAGTATCCTGACCTTCTGTGACGGCACCACCACCCAGAGCCTGCCTCCGGCTCAGGACCACAAGCGTATCTTTGACGGCGATCAGGGCCCCAACACTGGCGGCATGGGCACATACTCTCCTACGCGCATCGCACCCAAGGACGTCGTGGACAGGATTCACAAGGAGGTTTTGCAGCCCACCGCTGACGGCATGAAGGCCGAGGGTATGTTCTTTGTTGATATGCAACGCTTGCTCCAAGTTGCAAGTGGCTGACAACCACCGTTGTAGGCTACCCCATGGTTGGCTGCCTGTTCACCGGCCTTATGATGACTAAGAACGGCCCTAAAGTACTGGAGTACAATGTCCGCTTCGGTGACCCCGAAACCCAGTCCCTGCTGCCATTGATGGACAGCGATCTTGCTGAGCTCATGCTGGCCTGCACTGACGGCAAGCTGGGTAGCTTTGACCTCAAGGTGGGCGAGAAGAGTGCTGCTACTGTCGTCTTGGCTGCCGGTGGCTATCCTGGCTCGTACAAGAAGGGCATCGAGATGAAGCTCGACCCTGTTCCGAATGGTGGGTGATCTTATGCGGGTAGATTCCGCCATGGGCTAACTTGCTGCAGATACCGTTCACTTCCACGCTGGTACCACACTGAAGGACGGTGTGCTGCAGACCTCTGGCGGTCGTGTCATTGCATCGACAGCATGGGCGCCCACGCTTGAGGAGGCTGTTCAGAAGGCCTACAAAGGAGTTGAGGCCATCCACTTCGAAGGCATGCAGTACCGCAAGGACATTGCGGGTCGCGCACTGAAGAAATAAACGCGCCACTAGGTAAAGTGAGACGAATACGTGCTGTAGGAACGTGGACATGATCATAAACACAAAAGTCAGGAGACAAAAGGTACGTGGATCGGTTACGAATTGGGATATCCAAAAATAGAATACCAGGTCTGGTAGAAATTGCGGCTATTGGTAAAGTCGCAGAGCCCCGAAAGCGTTGCACAGCTCGGGTGGTCGACAGTAGAGTCTCATGCCAGAATGAATGGCCCGAAAGCTGTCATTGCATTCATTTCGTGAAGGCTGTCAGTGACTTGACGGAGGCCTGCATGGTTGGCATCATCTCATTAAATATGCAACATGACGAACACTTCAATTCCCGAAGTGAGGTCAAAACACCGCACGGGAGTCTGCGTAGCACCCCGCGGTCAGCAGGCCGTGTCATAGGCCCCTTCAATCCCGTCGAGGGCGTCCGGGCGGAATATCGTCACCACCGAGCGCGCGCGGGCGGCCAGAAGCTCGAAGGATTGCGTTGCGTCGCAGCCCGCCGCCGCCAAGAAAGCAGGCCGCCTCATCAACCAACTTCAACCTCCCAGCAACCCCGTCGTCACATAACCTCTGACCCGCCTCCGCCCGCGTCATTCACATCAACGGCCTTCTGCTTCCGCGCAACAGCCGTCGAGTACTCGCCCGTCGCACTGCCCGACCACCCGCCTGCCGCCCATTGCAGCAACGACCCGCTGCCGCCGCCGTCTCCTCCGCGACCGCAGCCGACCTCGCCGAAAGCGAAAGCTCCAGCCAGCAACCCACCTTTGACGAAAGGCATCATCATCCACAGCCTACATCATGAAGCCTGTCGTCTCCGCCCTCAACGCATGGACATGGTACGCCGCGCCTCGTCATCGCCCAGCTGCGGGTGAGACAGTACAAGCGCCGCTGTGGTCTTGGCTGGGAAGCTATGAACACCGGATTAGGCTGACTCTTGATGGGGGTTTTGATCGAACAGCATCGTCGTGTCCGTCTTCGCCATCGTCATTCTCTCCGTTATCGGATCGTTGTTTAAGGTGCGTTCTGACATGGACCTGTCGTCATGTGCCTGGCACTAGCTTCCTCGAACACCGGAGTGCATCGAATGCAAGCCCGGACTCTCAGCTCCATCGGCATGACAACCATCAGGAGGAGAAAGACATGCTGTGTTAAGCGGCAGCGCAATAGTCCCAGTGCTGTCGATGGCGTGGAGCAGCGCAGAGCAGTCCGTCACGGAGCTGACAGCGTGCTTTCGCTACCACGCTGCGCGGCATTGCCTCCGCATCGCAACATTGCCCACGCTTTCACCCATCCCACTCCAGCCTTGCGGAAACATTCTCCACCTCGCCCCATTCTGCCCAATCACACATGAGATGAAAAGGCAAAGCTAACATCCTGATCTCTTAGTCCAACAACCACATCATGATGGGTTCCACCGAAGACCCGGAAGACGGCAAGGCCGTCGCGGGCGCCGTGTTCGGAGCCGTCGCCGTCTACGGTGTACGTATCACCCTCTTTCTCCCATCTCCAATCCGAATCCACACATGCTACAAACAGATTGCGGGAGAAGCCGACGTCAGGGACTGATCGTTTCCCTACAGGTTTTCTTGATATTCTGCGCTGGTCAAGCATTCCTGCACGTGCGCGAGAGCAGGCGCGGCGCCATCGCGCTCTCGTAGAAACACCACTCCGTATCACTCGGATTTCCGCCCGGTATACTCGACTTTCGCCGTCGTACGTCGACAGCCGATATGCAGGGAGAGAGAGAGATAGGCCATGAGAATTCAGCAATGCAGGGGCGAGGGGGAAGCCTTTGATTTTTTATGGGGAGGATGGTCACGAAATGATCGGAACGGGGGATGAAAAGGGTGGTGGCAGCCCTAGACAGAGGCAGAGGCGCGTTATGACAACACAACACACCTGCATTCCAAACCCTTTTTAATGGCCAACATGCGGTCATTTTTGCTAAAGGGGGGGGTGGGGAAAGAGGAAAACAGACACGATCTTATACAGCAACCAACATTTCCATATCGCTCTCCTCGTCTCTCGACGACTTTCACGCTGCCTCCAAGGTGGATGAGCGAGAGAGGATGGATGGATGGATCTTTGGAAATTCTGGCGTTCCTTTTCTGCAGGACCATCTTAAAACACGATAGTCGTTTAGTTTTTTTTTGGCTTGAATGTTTCGTTAGCTTGGGTTGGTTTCGAGACTCTATTTTTGGCGCAGATCGGAAATCTGTTCCTCTTTTTGTTTTTGGCTTGAAGATGGGAGGATCGGTGGCAGGCGTAATTGTCTTAGAGGAAAATAATTCTCTCTGGGAGGGTGGTTCTTTCAGCAGGCAAAGTCATACGAAAGTGTTCGAATAGGAGAGAAATTGCTAAGACCTCGAGGCATGTGCGAGAGGTGAAGGATGAAAGTACCGTGAGACTTCACACTACGCCCACCTTTTAAGGATCATTCCTTGACCGTTAATTATTAACTTCGTTCATACTAGCTTCCAAATGTCACCGCCTCGTTCCGTAGAACGAAGGCACCGCACGAAAACCTGCGTCAAGATAAGAAACGTGTAAACTGGATGTGGGAGAAGAAAGAAACAAAGGCCCAGAAAAGGAAACAGAAACACCAACCCAATGCAAGCCTGGAGGGTTCTTGTGATATCATCCCGACCGTTGCAAACAACATAAAAAGCGAGCATAGGCACCAGGCTCCACCTTCCCAAACGCCAAGACCAGCCCAGCATTCCCCTCCCCTCCCCCCCTTTCCCGGACGTTATGTACGATCGCCGCCTCTTTACATGTCCATCAGCTTGCTTGGTCTGAGCCGCTCTCGTGTCTAGAATCTGATCTCGTAATTTCCGGCGCGCGTCATGTACCGGACCCACTTGACGCTGCTGTAATTGCTCTTCTCGAAGACCTTGAGGTAGCGGACGAGCAAGCCGGAGCTGGTGAACATGAGCAGGGAGAAGTTGAGGCTGAGCGGGGGCCTGCTCCAGGCCTTCTGGTTGGTCATGCTGGTGAGGGTGGCCTCAGCGCTGAGCACGTATTCGCTCTGGCCGGTGAAGCGGGGGATCTTCCAGACGATGTTGTTGTGCTCGGGCTCGTACTTGGCCTTGCCCTGGCTGGTGCGGGAGGAGATGCTGGCGGTGTTGAGCGGGGTCGGGATGCGGACGACGACGTTGGTGGCGAAGAGCTTGGAGCCGTAGTTGGCGCGGATGGCGATGCTGTACTCGACCTTGGTCTTGCCGACCTCGTTGACGATGGCGTGCACCTTGAAGGGCAGGTTGACGTTCTCCGTCGCGCGGTAGCGCATCAGCTCGAACTCGCCGTCGGGCGGCACGAAGCTGATGATGCGGTCCGTGTCGAACTTGCCCAGCTTCACGCACTGGTGGAATTGGCAGTCCTCGAGCGTGACGGAGCCCGCGGCCGCCCGCGTCGCCTTGGTGCCCGCCCGGTTGCCCGACGGCGCCGAGAGGCTGTCCTCGCCCAGGGTCAGGCGGTCGTTCAGCCCGAACTTGCATTCCGGCGTGCCCGAGAGGTAGGCGCGCATGACGATCTGCCCGTTGACGTCGGCGCGTAGGACGGTGCCCGTGGCCGACATGAGCAGGTTGACGTCCTCGATAACGTCTACGAAAGCTTCGTTCTTGCGGTATTTGATGTCGGCCCGTCTCCAGGAGAGCGCTCCCGTGGCCTGCATCGTGATCTTGGATGAGTCCTCCTGTCAAGCTGTTGTCAGCCGAGCGTTCCAGCATGCATCTCCACATCGCGCGTACCATTGCCCGCTCCGACTTGACGCCCTCGGTCGTGATGTACATCTTCAGCGTCTCCGTCTCGGTGTTCTGCGGGTATCCGAAGTCGAGGATTTCTGCTCTCCTTGTTAGCCCCGCTTCATCACGCCGCCGCTGGTGAGCTCGACCAGCGGGGTACATGTTTGGGGTTCCAGCATACCATCCAGCAGCTCGTAGACCAGCACAAAGTTGTTCTTGACGGCCTCCTCGTCAAACTTGCCGAAATAGGCCTTGCCCAAGCCGACCAGGCGGTACAGGAACTCGAAAACGAGGGCGGCGTTGGCATTGCTCTTGGTGACGGCGACAATGTAGATGTTCTCGTGTTTCACATGGCTGAAGGTCGTCGAGCCGAGCGTCAGGATGGGCGAGCGCACTTGCGCATTGCTGATCACCTGGATGCGGAAGACATCGGCGAGGCGCGGGCGGCAGTCGTTGCGAAAGGCGCGGAAGATGAGGTTCTCGCCCTTTTGGTTGAAGATGAGAATGCCGGAGAGCCTGCGGAGAAGGGCCAGGGGAAATTAGCTATAGGCGCGATTGCGCGCGGCGACGAAGAGGGCGACGCACATTTTCACGGACCGCGGCGAAAGAAACGGAGCAAGGATGAAGGGATGTTGGGTAGGAGGAACGATCGAGGGGTGATGGTGATTACAATAATCCGGGGCGGAGCGGGAGCAGGGATCACCGCGGATCCCACATTTGCACCCGCCCGCCCAGCCGCCGTTCCAGCTCAAGCTTCAGCATACACCCAACGCCGTCGCCTTCATCTCAGCCAATTCGTAGTTCCCGTCCGCGGGTATTCGGGTTATAAGTGCCAGAACCGCCGTGTTGCCGCCAATCTAAAATAACTGTACAACAGCGAGCAAAATCGCCGCCGGAGATGATGCAGGTACATCCGCTAGAAATTCCAAGCTCTGATCCGGCATTAAACAAATATCAACTCATGTCCCCGCCCCACCTTTCTTTTTCCATCCCGTCCGCTGAAGTCTATATCAGGTCGCGCCTGACGAACTCGGCGTGCAGAGACTTGCCGAGAGCAGCCGGACTCCGCTCAACAATGACACCAGCAGCCTCAAGAGCCGTGATCTTGGAGTTGGCGTCACCCTTGCCGCCGCTGACGATAGCACCTGGGTTTCATCAGTAAACATGCAAATGGAGCTCAAGAGTGGATGAGCATACCGGCGTGACCCATGCGCCTGCCGGGGGGCGCAGAGATACCAGCGATGAAGCTGACAACGGGCTTGTTGGACGTGTTGTTGGCCTTGAGGAAGTCCGCAGCATCCTCCTCCGCGCTACCGCCGATCTCACCGATCATGATGATACCGTCCGTCTCCTCGTCCTTCAGGAAGATGTCAAGGCAGTCAATGAAGCTGGTGCCGGAGAAGGGGTCACCGCCAATGCCGACGACGAGGGACTGGCCGAGACCGGTCTGGGTCGTCTGGTTGACGGCCTCGTAGGTCAGGGTGCCCGAACGGGAGACGATACCAACGCGGCCGCGCTTGTGGATGAAACCGGGCATGATACCGATCTTGCATTGTTCCTGCTCCAGCTATCAGATACGCGTACCCCCAAGCTAGAGGTGGGGGATGAATTACCGGAGCAATGATACCGGGACAGTTGGGGCCCAGCATGCGGGTCTTGTTCTGGGTCTTGAGCATGTCGGTGATGCGGACCATGTCGTGCTGGGGGATACCCTCGGTGATGGTCACGACAAGGGGAACCTCGGCGGCGATGGCCTCCTCGATACTGGCGGCAGCAAGCGGCGGGGGAACGAAGATGGCCGAGGCATCGGCGCCCGTGGCCTTGCGGGCCTCCTCAACGCTGGCGAAGACGGGCTTGCCCAGGTGCTCGGTGCCGGCCTTCTTGGGGTTGGTGCCGCCGACGACGTTCGTGCCTTGATTTCTGCTATCAACGTGTTGCTTGCGCGACTCGCGGCGGGAGCTGCATACCGTACTCGATGGCCTGCTGCGCGTGGAAGCTGCGGGCGAATTAGCGTCGCATTGATGCACGGCGAAAGGGAGCCAACGTACGTTCCCTGCCTGCCAGTGAAGCCCTGGAACAGAACCTTGGTGTCCTTGTTGACGCGGAGGTTGACGTTGGTGGAGGCATAGGGCGAGGCGGTCGAGTAGGCCTGCCTGCGGCCGGCGGCGGACAAGGCCGCTTGGACGGGACGGCGGAAAGCCTGCATGGTGAGGTATGCGAGAGGGGAGAGAGGGGAGATGGAAAAAGACGGGGGTGTTTGGTGTGGTTGCTGGGTTCAAGCAGCTGCGACGCGGAGGTGTAGCAGGCGCAGGGACCGATTGGAGGTTTTCATCGGCGCAGCGCCGCCCAGAATCCGATGACCATCCCGCCCGCCGCCGCCCACATGCACATGCCCGCCATGCCCATGTCATAAGCTCCACCTCCGCAACCGCAAGCACAGGACCCCAAGGACCTCAGCTGATCAGCCCTCAGCCCTCAGCCCACCATGGCGACTGCCACCATGACCGAGGCCATCCCCAAGGGCAGACGGCTCCCCAAAAATGTCAAGCTGCCGCCGGAGAACGAGCGCTACATGCGCGCCTGCGCAGACATTGCCAGTGCGCTCATCCAGGACTATGAGGCCTCGCTGGATGGCTCCAAGCCCAAGAAAGACATCAACCTCAATGCGCTTCGCGGCCAGATGGCCAAAAAGCACTACCTGAGCACCCAGCCGCCACTCACTGCCATCATCGCCGCCGTACCAGAGCACTACAAAAAATATATTCTACCAAAATTAATAGCAAAGCCGATCCGTATGTCACGCCATGGTGATTCTTTCCGCGTTTGCAGATTCTCACTGAAGCGCTGCAGGCACGTCGTCCGGCATCGCCGTGGTGGCGGTTATGTGCAAGCCCCACCGCTGCCCTCATATTTCCTACACCGGCAACATTTGCGTCTACTGCCCGGGCGGGCCTGATTCCGACTTCGAATACTCGACCCAATCATACACCGGCTATGAGCCTACTTCGATGCGCGCCATCCGCGCTCGGTACGATCCGTACGAGCAGGCGCGTGGCCGAGTCGACCAGATCAAGGCGTTGGGGCACAGCGTGGACAAAGTCGAGTACATCATCATGGGAGGAACCTTCATGTCATTGCCCGAGAGTTACCGCGACGAGTTCATCTCCCAGCTGCACAATGCACTGAGCGGGTACCAGACCACCAACGTAGACGAGGCAGTCATGGCGGGCGAGATGAGCAACGTCAAGTGCGTGGGCATCACAATCGAGACCAGGCCAGACTACTGCTTGGACCAACACCTGAGCGCCATGCTGCGGTACGGATGCACGCGCCTGGAGGTCGGCGTGCAGAGCTTATACGAGGACGTCGCGCGCGACACCAACCGCGGCCACACGGTCGCCGCCGTTGCGGAGACATTCAAGCTGGCCAAGGACGCCGGCTTCAAGGTCGTCTCGCACATGATGCCGGACCTGCCCAACGTCGGCATGGAGCGCGATCTCGACCAGTTCCGCGAGTACTTCGAGAACCCAGCGTTCCGCACCGACGGCCTGAAGATCTACCCCACGCTCGTCATCCGCGGCACCGGTCTGTACGAGCTGTGGCGGACGGGCCGCTACAAGAACTACACCCCCAACGCGCTGATCGACCTCGTGGCCCGCATCCTCGCCCTCGTCCCGCCGTGGACCCGCATCTACCGCGTCCAGCGCGACATCCCCATGCCGCTCGTCACCGCCGGCGTCGAGAACGGCAACCTGCGCGAGCTGGCCCTCGCGCGCATGAAGGACTTCGGCACCAGCTGCCGCGACGTGCGCACCCGCGAGGTCGGCATCAACGAGGTGAAGAACAAGATCCGGCCGAGCCAGGTCGAGCTCGTGCGCAGAGACTACGTCGCCAACGGCGGCTGGGAGACGTTCCTGGCCTACGAGGACCCGAAGCAGGACATCCTGATCGGCTTGCTGCGTCTGAGGAAGCTCAGCAAGACGCACAACTTCCGCCCCGAGCTGACGGGTCAGCCGACGAGCATGGTGCGCGAACTTCACGTTTACGGCACGGCGGTGCCGATGCACGGTCGTGATCCCAAGAAGTTCCAGCACCAGGGCTTCGGTACTCTGCTGATGGAGGAGGCGGAGAGGATTGCGAGGGAGGAGCACGGGAGTAAGAAGATCAGCGTTATCTCCGGTGTGGGTGTGCGGGATTACTATCGGAAGCTTGGGTACTGGCTGGACAACGGCATTTACATGTCCAAGTGGCTCGATCAGGATAAGGATGAGGATAGTAGTGACGAAGAGTGAAGACGGGCAGGTCTGGAAAGGGCGGCGTTGGATGCATTTACAGGCGTTTTTTGCGGCATGCGCTAGGAAAATCGACTGCATGGAGTTGGAACACCAAAACAAGATGAAGCGAGTAGAAATGGACGTTTCGAACCGTGAAGATGCGTACATGACCTCTCTGATAGCTCGAGTGTAGTTATTTTCTGCGTAACAAAATCTCTAGTGATTGCTACGAATGACTGTATGTAGGGGGCGAAGTCGATCGTGTCGTTCAAGGGCGGTACAAATTGCCTTCCTTAGGATCTTGTATTGTTTGCCCGAATGGCCTCTTTGATGGACATGCACTTACCGCTTACGACGCTGCAGCACACCCAAATCAAGGGCTCTTTCGCCATTTAGAATGACAGACTTGGTCTACGTATCATTACTTTCGATCACATGGCGCTTACTACTATGATACTGTACTAAGGGCGAACAGCAACCTATGACAACAGCATCAAGACACGGTCTTCGCTGCTGCCTGCACGTACCTCTTGCCAGATGTCCTGACTACCTCAACCTCAAAGTGTATTACGGAACGAAGAAGCTGCATTCGTTGAAGATCGATTCGAAGGTCGCTACACTGTCGCTTTTGAAAAGCTCCGCGGCAGTTGCCTTAGGACAGAAGACTGATGCGCAGTCATTCCAGAAACCTGATCAGAAAGTTGCTGGGGGATTTATTGACTTCACTTTGGACACCCATTTCCATGGCTTTACCCGTTGCATCGCCGTGAAGACGAACAATGCACTACCGAGAAAGCTTTCTCCAAATATTTTCAATATTCAAACAAGCTTGAAGGTCCGACGAAAATGTGCCTTGCCACCACCACCAACGCTACCCTCCTATATGTAGCTACCCTGGCAGACCGAGCTCTGCAGTCACCAATCAATGGCAATGAGACAGCCCACCACCTCCAGAACCTAAGCCAATCTCGATCAGCGAGCTGCCCCTGCCACCTATCATTCCATGCACCGAAGAGGATCCATTTACGCCAGATATCAAACCAAGAAGGATAGGATGCATTGGACAAACAACAGGGCTCCAGTCGGGAATCATGTGACGGCTACCAGAAGCGAGGATTCAAGTCGGGCGAAGGGCTTGAGGTGTAAGTCGCAACCATGAACTATTCTTGGTGGTGGATGGTCATGAGGATGTCGAAATGGGAGTCGATCTGCGAAACTAATAATTCCTCCTCGACATTGTGTATGCGCAGATCAACGGTGTTGCATTGCAGTCGAGAGGCAGTCAACAGCCTGTCTACCTCAAGTCATAAATTTTGTCTGCAGCATGTTCTGTCACGTACGACCATAGGTCGCAGAATATAGGGCTTCCCGTCCGCTCAGCCGTACTCAAGCTGCGAACCGGCCGATTAGTACTCAAGTGGGTGACCATTGGGGAATCCCGGCTGTTGTACGTTTTGCATTTTCTTTTTGGCCCCGGCACCCCACGGGTCTGTGCGTTCGTTTTCTCGGCCTGACCTACCAACGTCAACTGTTCTTTTGAAGTCAAGGTGTAAATTACGTGATCTTTGGTGCCAAGAGGTGTGGTTACAGACGTGAGTGGCTTACGACTACCGAGATGACAATGGTATTCACAGTCACGAAGAAAGAGATGCGCAAATTTTTGGAAGGGACGAGTTATTCATTATCTATATATTATGGCATTACACATATCCTTCCGGGAGATGAAGCCATAACCGACCGAGAGGGTCTAAGCAGGCAGGAATAATGCAAACCAAAAACACCGGGAACCAAAACAAAAACGCATTTCTAATGTTTTTTTTTTCTTCTTCTTCAAGGGGGGCGTGATCTGGTTCAAGTCGTCAAACAGTCTTTCAAGTCGTCAAGCGAGAAGCTGCTTTACGGGGTGAAAGAACCGCGGGTGATGGTGTTCCGGTTGGTGTCGACGGTGAGCATGAGGCCGGCGGTGATGATGGCCTGGTTGTACGAGTACTGGACGGCGGAGCCGCCCCTCTTCTGGGCGCCGACGGTGGCCGAGTAGCCCGACTGGTAGACGTCGTAGTACCTGTACACGGCGACGCCCGGGTTGCTCTCCGTCATGGTGATGGTGAAGTGGTAGAACTCGGTCGAGCGGCTGTAAGCCGACGTGTAGAACTCGAAGACGACGGTGCGGTCGCCGACGGCGCCGGTGACGTCGTAGTAGATGCCCTGGTTGGTGCCGCGGTAGACGTACAGGTCGTCCCAGAGGCCGAAGAGCGCGGCGTTGCCGAACGAGTTCGTCGAGTACGGAAGCGGTTGGTTGGTGTACTCCCAGCCGTAGTTGTAGGCGGCGTCGGACGAAGGCCAGTAGAGGACCGAGTTGTCGGTCAGGTAGACGACGCTGCTGGAGATGCCGTAGATGCTGATGGAGAAGGGAAGCTCCAGTCTGTAGTAGTTGTCGTCCGAGGACGTGGTGGCGCCCGAGACAATGGTCGTCGGCGACGAGAGAAGGACGGCGGGGATGGTCAAGGTCGACACGGTGGACACGGTCTCGGTGGTGGTGCGGGTGACGACGGCAGTGGTCAGAGGAACCGGGGCGGTGGAGATGCTGGTGGTCAAAACGACACCGGTGGCGACGTTGGAGCAAGCAGCCGAGATCTTGGCGGCGGGCCAGTTCACGATCGAAGTAGGCGTCTGGACGGCACGCTTGGCGATCTGAACGTCGGACGGAGTGGCGGTCGAGTTGCCGAGGGCGGCCTTGTTGGGGATGGACACGGTGGAGGTGGAGACGTCGATGCTGTAGTCGCTGCCGGTGTAGGCCGAGTCGTCGTCTCTCTTCAGGTTGCCAGCCGATGCCGTCACAGTCGCAGTCCTGGTGTAGACAGTCGTGGTGGTCGTGGCACCGGTGGTCTGGTAGACAGTGGACACACCGGGGACCGTGGTAGAGACCTCGACCGAGGTGCTGGGAGTGTAGCTGATGTAAGACGAGCAGAATTCAGCGCCCGCGGACTTGAGGTAGCTGATGTCGACATCGCAGACGGGCTGGACGTCAGGCTTGGAGTAGAAGTAGCTGTAGCTGTACGTGTACTTGGCTCCAATCGAGTCATCGTACGAAGCCGTGTTGACGGCATACTGGGCGTCCCAAGCCGAAGTGTACATGGTGCACATCTGGCCCTGGATGACAGAGCCCGAGGAAGTGGTCTTGGTCAGGAGGTAGGTGCCGAATGCGGCGCAGAGGGGAACATAACCAGACGACGGCGGGTGGGCGATGTTGTACTCGGTCTGAGCGTCGCAGGCGGCGGCGCAGGCGTCGACGCTGAAGGGACCGTCGTTGAAGAACTTGTAACCCATGTAGGTCCAGGTGCCGGCGCAATCACGCAGGGGAGCGTTCATGGCGGCGTTGTTGAGCCTCAGAGGGTCGTTCCAGCCGGCAATAGACGGGCCAACCTTCTCAGAAGTGTAGGCGTTGGATCCAGCGATGCCAACCTGGAACTCGGAGCGCCACTGGCCATCGTTGGTGGCCGTGGTCTCGTCGAGGGCGCTTCCCCAGAAGGAGCACTTGATGTTGGCAAAAGCAGTCGGGTTGGTGCAGCCATCACCAGGCTCGATGGTGGGGTCACGCTCGAAGTAGATGTTGAAAGCAAGGCAGCCCTCCTTGTCGGTACACTCCTGAGCGCAGTTGGCGACATCATAGCCGGTCTGCAGGACCTTGTAGCCCAAGTAGGCATCTGACGATTGGTTAGCTCACTCAGCACGGCAGAGCGGGAGGAGGACAACGCACATGCGCTGTTGGCAGCCTGCTTGTTCTTGAAGCTGTTGGTGTAACCCGAGGGGGTGGCGGCATCGTTGGCGACCTGGGCGATCTTGGTGTCGGCCTTGAAGCTGGCATAGCTCGACACGTCGACGTTGTAGTAGTTGGAGATGGTGGCCTGCGAATCGCAAGCGGCGCGCCTCTGGATGGCGGCGGCAGCGGCAACGGCCTGGCGCTTGGACGGGGTGTCGGTAGCGGTGGCATCGGATTCACCGGCGGCGTTGATGGGGACGGTGGTGATGGCGGGGAAGACGCTCAGAGGAGTCTCGGAAACCTCGGCGGCAGCGGACTGGATGGCGGTCTGGGTGGCGTAGGGCACATCCTGAGACAGAACACCCTCGATGGTGGTGTAGGTCGGGGCGGGGATGTCGCGGAGGAAGTCGACGTCCAGGGCATCCGGAGTCGGCACCACGTCGGCCGGGATGTCAGTGGTGGTCGACTGCGAGGCAGCCAGACCAGCCAGGAGAGGCAAGAGATAGGCGGAATGCATGGTGAAGCAAACGATGAGAGACCGGAGACGACTGAAGAAGGCGATGGTGAGAGATGGTGGGCCACGACGGCGGCGGTTCTTATACACAGCAGCAGGCTCTCAGCACCGAGCAAGAGCTGAGGCTCCAGGCCATGGCTGTTGGCGCAAGCTGACCGCCGAAAGCCACAGCTGAAGCAGTCTGGCACCATGGCAGCTCGTTGCTGTCAACGCCTCTCGAGGACAGCGGGCAGTTCCCGAGGGCTAGTTGTTCGAGACTCGGGGAGGCCAGTATGGAAGGCTCCGGGCAGAGCTGGCGTGGAGATTGCTGTGGCGCGAGGCGGAGCGGTCGAGTCAGTGATTGCCAGGCGGCGGGCGCGGCTTGGCACAGAGGCGGGGGGTCCATCGAGGCTCGATGCATGGGTCGGGTGCGGGCGAGCCCGGGGGCCAGGGTCCAGATCAGGCAGGATGGGGTCTGGAAGCAGAGGGTCAGTGCAGAAAGAGGAAAACTGCGGCAGGTGAGGCTGAGCGGAGAAGCTAGCATAGGGAGCAAGCGGCTTGGCGATGGCGGTCATGCGGGTGTTGTAGGCACGGGTGGTGCCGGAGAAATGGTCCGACAGGCAGATGGAAAAACCACGGATTGCCATGTGGCTCAGGGGAAAGTCGACGGGCGCAGCTGAGCCTTGGCATCCCGAGCTTGGCGGAGACAAGACTTACTGCAACGAGCCTGAGCCACAAACCTTAAGCCCGCCTGTCCCTAGCGCCCCGCTGCCTCGCTCCCAATCCGGACTACGACCAAAGATCCGGGGCCCGGAGGGGAGAGCGTAGCCAAGTGATTGGCCGCGGGGGGATCTTGGCAGTTGTGCGTTATCCTCTCTCCTGGCTCCTTCGGCGCGTCCCGCCCTCGACCCTCCCTTTGGCACTTGGCCATGGGGCCGTAACCATCACCGGCGATCCTCCGTCGCTACTGCCGTTCTTCTTCCTCCTCCTCCTCCTCCTCCTCCTCCCGAACCTCGGGCACCTTCGACTCGGCGCCAGCTCCCCTTTGCCCATCGGCGGCCCCGGCCTCCTCGTGCGCGAGCCGCTGTAGCTGGAGCGCCTCGTTGGTGCACCACTCCAGCCGCGCGTGTTCCCTCCACCCGCCCCGCGCCGCCGCCGGCTCGAGCACCACCGACGCGACCACGGTGAGGGTGCCGACGGCGAGGACAGCAGCGCCGCCGTCCCCAGGTTCTGCACGATGCCGCCGCCGCCGTGAAGTGTGTTTGGGTGGATTCCCAGAGGAAGTCGTTCGAGTACTGGTAGGTAAAATTGCCGGGTTGCAGTATTGCGTGACCGTAGTCGTATCTCGTGTGAGACCTGTCGCTGGAAAGATTCCACGTGCTGGTGCGGCCAGCCGTCGCCAAAGGCGAACAGTGGAAGACGTTTCTGTACTTGAACCTCTGACTCGGCGGAGCATTGAGCCCAAAGTCGTCATGGCTGTCCAGGTAGCCGGTGTCGAGGACCAGGTTCCTGTCATTGCTCTTGCACATGTCTCGTTGGAAAGGGCAGCTGGCATTGGTCTGGACTTTCAGAGGCAATCGCTTCTTGACGAAGGTGCCACAAGTCAAGACACCGGTCGAGTTCGAGGCGTAGCATTGCTGGGCGTAGTTTGCCGATGTGAAGGCGTCTCGATAGGTGTAGGGTATGTATATGGTCTCGAGTTCGGAGCTGTCCATGTTGAGGCTATAATCGAGCCAACCGCAATGGGGGCTGGAGATCAGAACCTCGCTGTTGGTCGCAACTCGGGAAGAGAAGCCGCTGGCGAGGGCAAAGGCGACAAAGAACAGCACTGCGAAGGTCAGGATAGGAAGGGTCGTCGGTGCCAGCCCTTCGCAAGGCCGCGCCATGCCCAAGACAGTTGGACGAGAGTGACGAGCGCAGAGCTGACGTTGGAAGCGTTCCGGAGTGTCGCTTGAAGCTGATGGTAAAGGCCGTCTCGAGGCTGGCGAGACGAAAAGGCCTGATGGAGACCAAAGCAGCAGATTCGCCAGGCACGGGTTCCCACAACGGTGACAAACAATGCCACAAAAGCGATGAGCAGGTTGGCGTTGTCGCGGCTCAGGGTCAGGGTGGCCCCGAATACAGAGCCGTGGCTCCAGTTTGTCCAGAGTCCCGTGCGGACAGTGTAGAGGATTTCCGAGCCAGCAATGAGATCGGCCATGTTGGATGTGGAATCGAGCATGCGACATCAACTCAGCTTGATGGAGAGCACGACTGATATACTACCATTTTGGACCCCATATCGAATACATGTCTCCCATTCAGCTCTGGCATGCGGCCTCTTGACTGGCTTGATGCACAAAGCCGAGAGGGTCGCACAACAGCAGTACACCGTTATCTTTGGCGCACCAGTCAGGGCGACGGCAAGGCTGTCAGCACCTCAGCTCGGTCGATCGGACATGGCATCGCGCCTTGGCCTTGCCACCCCAGTGCGTTCCTTATCTTCAGCAGTTAGTGAAATTTTGTGACGGCTAATAATAAGTGTTGCTAGAAGCAGCAAAGATGGGCCCGAGTGCGACGACCAGATAGATATTCTTGGAGATGAATCGTTTCCCCGCATCCTTTTTGTTTCTTCCAGTGCGCCACTGGCCGGAAGAGTTCGGGCCGAACTGAAGCAAAAGCTGACTTCGTTGCCTCCCTTTCCTCCACTGGTCTTGAACTGTCGCCCGTGGTTTAAGATGCCCATGGGTCGAGAAATGAACGGGTATGATGACTCTCTTTGCTGGCAGTGTATTGTTGTCTACGGGCGCAGCGAATGACGGCAAAGTAGAAGTCCACAGCCAAAGCAGCTAAACCGCGCGCGGCTGGCGAGTCATGATACCTAGCCAGACAGCCGGATCCTTGAGCGGGCACGGCTGCCGTTCTTCCACTTCTTCTCTGTGCCTTTGCATTCGGCTGCAATGACGTGGCCGGCTACCCTGTTCCTTCACTCCTGAGCCCCCAATTCCTCAGCTGGGGGAAGTTGCGCTCGGAGATTGGCTGGCCCGCCGGCGGGGTCTCGCATCTCTTCAGCTGCAAGGTTACAGCCGTGGTACTCGGCTACTACCTCCTCAGCCTGATCCTCGACAAGCTGCTGCCTGCACAGGAGGTTTACGGCACGAAGCTGGTCCACCAATATGGCCGGCCGCTCAAGTACCGCCTCAACGGTAAGCAACGGCCAGCCCAGCCCCTCGACCCAACCGTCTTCGCCGCCGACCTGAACGTCTTCCGCACCGTGACGGCGGGGCTGTAACTGAGTACGATAGGAGGCGTACGTCCTGGTGGTATGTGGTGACGGTGGCTGCTGCTTTCAGTCCTTGCTCTCTCTCCCATCATTTGCTCCGTGACGTCATGGTGTTTCTTCAGTGTTCTCTATGTCTATGACAAGTGTAGGCAGCTGCTCCCATTCTAGTTGTTCACCATCACGTCGTGTCTATCTATGACAAACAGTGTGCCATCGTCGCAGAGGTCCATCTCCTACGCTACCTTTCCTTCACCTCTTCAATCTGAGCCAGCCATGTCTCGTCGCTCTTCGCTAACGGTCCCTTGATGAACCGCTTGATCGTCAAGTGCACAATTGGAAAGGCGTGGGCCCGGGGATCACTCCCATACCCTGACGTCCAATACAAATACGCCTCCACCTGGCACGTGCTCCTCGGACATCTGTGGCTCGAGATTTTCGATACTTGGCCACCATACCTACCAAGCCGTCCCCATTCCGACTCGTACGTCTCAGGATCGCCCAGACGCACGTGGTTGCACAGGAAGAGGCTGTAGCGGTCCGCCGCTGCCTTCAAAACGGCCATGACGAGCTCAGGCGTGAAGCACGTCTCAGCGTCCACGACCGGCGAGCAGTTGCCATCACCAACCCTACCCGCCAAATCCACCTCTCTCGTCGCGCTAAACCACGTGTGCATCCCGGTACGGTACGGGAAGTCCATCAAGCCCATTAGTGTCGTATTTGTGTTGTATTTACACTCGCCGCACGTCCACCAGAACGTATCATTGTGCCGGCTACCGCGTGCCGCCGCCACCCGGTCCTGGTCGATACGGCGCAGATCCGCAAGGGTATAGGTGGCGTGCGGGCAGATACGAATGGCGCCAATCGTGGCATTGCAGCGGCGCGAGGAGTGCCTTGTGCCGACGGCTAGCTGGGCGGCAGAGAAGCGCGCGCGCGGGTGCATGCTCTGACAGCTGCTGCAGGGGTGTAGGAGAGATGTGCGGGTGGTGGTAGAACAGGACACCAGTTCCTGTTGCTCAGGTCCATGTTCCTGACGTTCTGCTTCGCAGGCGCGCATGAAGTCGTCCCGCCGCAACCGCTGGAGATATTCGTAAGCAACATTGGCGTCATATTTGATAAACGGTGAGCGGATGATGGGAGAAAAAAACAGGGCGCGTGTAGAGGTGCGGAGGGCGAGGAGGTCGATCGGATCGGGAATGTGGTGAGTTGCGAGGTAGTAGAGAATATCTAAGGGCAGGCGATGGAGGAAGCTGTGGTCGATGTTGTGAGTGACGGCGGGGGCGTAGGGGGGGGCTGCATCTTTCGTTCGTAGGTTGTCAATCGCGGCTGCATCTTTCGTTCGTAGGTTGTCAGTCGCGGCTGCCTCACCGAAAATACAGCCCAGGAAGAAGCTTCTGAGTGACTGGAGAATTTGTGCCATATTTTTTTCGGAAGAAAAGGCAAGAGGAGGATTCGCGTCGGCCTTTTGTACTTGTTCTATCCAGGGGTGAGCACTCTCAACCATGGATACACTTCCCATACTTAGTCTCAACAGCGCTGTGGCAGCATTGTTGGCGCATGCAAGTTTCTGTTGGCTTCTATCGGCAACTTGCTGCATGGCAGTGGTGATGAAGATCCATGGTCCTTTGGGGAAGGTGTCTGGCCACAGCCGCAGCTGCCAACTGCCAACTGCCAACTGCGCGACGCGGTTCCGAAGTAGGCAGCGCCCGCCAATTCCCACGCAATCACCACCAAGTAGCCTCGCCCGAGCCAATATACTCCTCGCTCATCTTCGAGAGACTGAGACAAAATCCGTCAAGAACATGCATATATGTAGCACTTCTTGCAAGCCCCCATCGTTCAAGAATACTCCTCCCCTCGGTAAGATCTGACTAGCGGCGTGGTGCAATAGGCAAATCTCAACGTCACGGAAGCACGGCAGATTGGACGGGAGCAGTTGGCCGCTTTGGGCCGCGCGACAGATGGCGGAGCGACGAGGGCAGGCGCGAAGGCAGGCGCGAAGGCGCCCACTGCTTACTGCCTCATGAGCGTACCTGCTGCACTGACGGCAGCGCCTTCCAGTTTCAACGAGGAAGCAGCATCTCTCATGCCTCGCGCTGGCTTACTTCTCGCCTTTCTTTTCTCTCTACTTGTTCTTCCCTCTCCATCTGCACTTGTCGAAAATCGTTGTCATCGAGCAAGCTTTCTTCCAATCTTTGCCCCCTTTTTGTTCTGCCCAAGATGGGCATCAGCACGGATATGTGGACGGTCGGTGGGGCAATGGCCACGATGATTTCCATGGTGTGGCTGGTGATTGTCGGGGGGCCGGTTGGCCGGTGGTTGTGGGATTGGTGGAACAAGGAGGCGAGGGCCGCGGAGAGGGCCGCGGAGAGGCAAAAGGAGGAGCAAAAGGAGGCGCAGCGGGTGGCGAAGGAGGACGAGAAGTCGGATTTGCTGGGGAAGATGGTAGAGGCGCAGCAGGGGGTTTTGGAGTTGCTGCGACGGGCAGAGGCGGCGGATGAAAAGAGGGCGGAGAGGGAAGGGGAGATTTTGAAGTTGCTGCGTGGGGCAGAGAAGGTGGAGAGGGAGAGGGCGGAGAGGGAGCGGGAGATTCTGGAGTTGCTGCGTGACGCAGTGTGGTCGGATGCTGTGGAGCAGCAGCCTGCCACAGCGCCATCATCCTAGATGATGGCTAGGCTAGTGGGTCTCCTGGGATTGGTCACCCCAGTCGAGAGGCCCAGGCCGACACCAACGACATGTTCGCACCTCTACGCGGTGTTGGTGACGAGTACTTCGGTTTTACAACAATCTACCGAAGGAAACTAAGACGAACATACCAAAGAAACAGCATCTTCTCACAGCCACGACTTCGACAGCAACCGATATCGCCTTTCGAATCAGTTTGAACGACGCATGGCACACTCGAGCGCTTCGGACCATACGCAATGCCCTCTTGTATCATCCGACACGTCAGACAAATGCCCTCGACGCTGTTTGAGCCAACGAGGCTATAACCCGATCGAATCTTTCCAAACCGTCCACGATACTTTCAATCAATTTGGATCAGCGAGGCTACACTGGACATTTGGGAACCCTCACAAATCCCTGCGCTTCCGTTCCTCGACGCAGCTCCTGATTGAACCTCAGATGAAATTGACATCGGCTGTGAGCCATGGGCTCCCAACGGAGAAAGCTCAAAACTCCATCAAAAACCGACTATCCTCGGGCCTTGGGTGTACATACCTTCTACCACCCTTCCAGCACAATGGACAAGGAATTTGGCACACAATGGCAAACAGTTTCTGCCCATCAGAAGTCTCTGGAGATGAGCCTGTCCCGAGCCCCTTTAATGCCGTCTTCAGAGCCCGAACCGAATCATCAAAGGAACCTTCATACTCAAAAGGTGTCCATGCGGCCACCACTACCAACCATATTGGTCAAACTTGCCACCAATCACCCCGACGTCACTGAGTCACAACGTCTCCGATCAACAACAGTCTTGTTTCTTCATGTGGTCATTTCGACTATTTGTTGACGTTCTTGATGATGCTTTGAATGGAGTTGGAATTCCCTCAAGTTTTGTACATAAATTTGTGTAGATGGTTTTTGGTAGCCTCGATAGCATGACCTCAGCCCTCAATCAGACGTAAAACTCAACAAATGTTCCTGTCACTCCCGCACCCTCATCACATTCGTATCTCGCACAAAGTACTCATATGCCGTGACTGCACCCACGACCCTGCGTCTCGTCTATAGCTTCGCACTGGTCCCACTGAACATCTCCCGCTTCTTTCTTTCTCCACCCGGCACAGCTTCCGTTTCACCACTCCTGGCGCGACGAACTCGACGCGCAGCGTTGCGAGGGGCATCGCCGGCGCTGTATACGATGCGATTGATAGGGGTCGTCAAGACGAGAAAAAAAAATCGGCCACCCCACTTCGAGTGCCTCTTCGGTTCTGACATCGCACAGCGAACATTTCCGGAGCGGACGGACAGACCGGGACATCTGGAACGACGCAAGCGAATTAGGATAGATGTTACGTCCGTACGAATACTTTCTTTGGAAAAAAAAAATAAGAAAAACAATTATTGAGCTACAACGCGCCGTTCACCTCCCCATTCATTTCGCCCTCATCGTCATCCGTCTCCCGTCCGTCCCCATACAGAATCTCACAAACACCGCCAACCGGCACATCCAGCACCGCGTCGGTGCTTTCGCCCCAGATGGTCTTCCAATCCACAATCGTCCCGGACTCGACCGCGTACCCGGCCCCGCCCTTGGCGTCCCTCACCGACCCGTCCCTGCTATGCCTCCCGCCGGCCGCCCCCTTGCTCACCGGCACCTTCTCCACCTTGCCGCCCTTGCCTTTGCGCACGACCCTGCCCCTCGAGTCCAGCGTCGCGATCTGCGCCGCGTCGTCGACGATGTTCTCGGTGCTGCCCATGGGCAGCGTCAGGTAGCCGAGGTTGTAGCTCGCCAGCGCGACGTAGATGTAGACGACGAGCGCGACGAGCCAGGCGGGCACGGCCAGCGCCCACCACCGGTTGGGGTAGTAGTAGATGCCGAGCTGGTGCAGGAAGGGCCGCGGCAGGTACGCCCACAGCAGGTACATGAGGAACGCGAAGCTCGACGCCAGGTAGATGAAGAAGCCGTAGTACTCGTACGTCGGCACCTTGGGGCTCGCCCGCGGCACCAGCGTCGCCGCCGCAAACGCCGTCGCCATGCTGTTGTTGTTGCTGCTGCTGCTGCCGCCGACGCCGACGCCGACGCCACCGCCGCTTGTCATCGTCGCGCCCCCTCCCGTCGGCGTGCTCGTGCCCGTGCCGCCGCTCGTCCCCGACGCGCTCATGGCCGACGTCGCGCTCGGCGCGCGCCGGATGCCCGGGTCGGCGCCTCCGGCGTCGGCGGCGCTGGCGGCGCGACGGCTGCCTGCGGCCGCGCTGGACGGCATGCCCTCGACGTCGGAGGAGTCGGGGGTGGTGGGCCGCGACGTTTGGGCGGAGAAGGACGAGGGGCGCAGCAGCGACGTCAGCGACGGGCTGGGGGGCAGCGGCGTGGGCGGGCGGTTGTAGAAGGGCGGGAACAGCGCCGACGACGTCTGGGGCAGCGCCGAGTGCGAGCGCGACGCGTGCGAGTACAGCGGGCGGCGCGGCCGCTCGTTGCCGTCGGTGCTGGTGCTGCGCATGCCGGCGCCGCCGTCGCCGCCGCCGCCGCCGCCGCCGAGGTTGGCGGTGTCGTCGTCGAAGTCGAGGTCGAAGTCATCGTCTGAGGCGCTGCTGGTGCCCGAGGCGTCGTCGAAGGTGAAGAGGTCTTCGGTGGAGAGGTTGTCTTCTACCGAGGCTGCTTCTGATGGCGAGGTGTTCGTGTCGGTCGGGGAGAGAGGGTTGCTGGGCGCGTCGGTTTTGGCGCTTGGGGGATTGGACGCGGGCGGCAGGTCGGAATTGAGCGAGCTGAGCGTCGGGAGATTGGGAGTCGATTTCGAGATGAAGCCTGTCGGAAGGCCATTGCCTCTGCTCTGCGGCGGCATGGTTGTTGGAGTAGCTTTGGGGTGGGCTGGTGGAAGCTTTGGTGCAATGATGTCGTCCAAGATGATCTGCGAGCATGTGAAAGCGCGCGACCGTGTTTCGCGTCCCACTTGCCGAACCCCCCCTTATGCACGGACTCATCCATACTCTGGTAATCCGTTCAAGCCAAGTTTAATCGAACCATACAATCAGCACAAACAGAATAATAAGAGCTGTTATGATAATAATGCTCGAAATTCTGATAGGATGACTATTGCCGAAGACAGTATGGCTGGAGTCGCAATATTCAGTACGCCCATGATGCTGCAGTTACATCTCTTAACGCCTATGCACCCCATAATCATTACTCAGTCCACATGTGCTCGCTCAACTGCAGCAAATAATCATTTGTGCCCGACTTGGCCTTCATTGCCACGTCCCGTCGCTCACTCGCCGAATTCTCGCTGTAGTACAGCTCCACAAGCGCCTTGAGCTCGTCATGACTGAAGGGGCATTTCTTTTCCTTGGACTCCTTGGCCACTGCCATGATCGACTCTGGCCCTGTAGTGAACATGCTGTAGAATTGGGTTGCTTTGTTCAACACCGCTCCTGCCTCGATGTTCTTGAGGTTTTGCTGCAAGACAAGGATGTTGAGCTGCATACGTCCACAACCGTTCTCGTTCATACGTCCTATTCTGCTGCAGCTCTTGACGAGAAGGGTATCGGCGAGAGATCCCAAGCCATGGGTAATGTAGCTGCGGGGTCATCAGCAAGACTTGCCTAGGTGTAGAGGATTCTGGAGACTTACTCGTGCTGCTGTTCCATAAGCTGGCCGCTAATTTCCTCGTCGATTTCACTTAGTTCTGTGTTCAGTTTGAGGACATCTGCATCCGGTTCATTGAATAGCTGGTCAAGACGGTATGATCCCTGGAAGAGACGGTTCACGCGATACATGACGTGGCATCTGACCTCCAAGTGTAGTGTTTGCAGGATAATGCCGGCAAGCTCGTGGTATGAGTTGACCACGCCATCGAATGCCCTGTTTGAGTCAGCTTGTAGTTTCTTCGGAAGCAACGAGGGGAGACGTACACTGCAGTCTCCTGGTTGAGGGGCAAGAACACAGGGTTGCCATCGCCACGTGGTTCCGCTGAACCGACATTAGTCCAACGCCGCCTATGCTGTTGTCTTCCTCCGTCAGGTCGCGATGAGTCGGTGGCGCGATCGCTGATATGGCGAAGGCTGTGCACTTTGCTCGCCAGCCACTTCATGCTGGTGTAAAGCAGACACAAGGCCGCAACGCTCTTGCGGTCGTTGATCAGGTCAGCTTCCTTCAAAGATTGATAGTTTGACGTTGAGATCACAAGCTCCATCGACTCGTTGAGGACGTCGTCCCGGTTCGTATCATCTGCCTGCAGTAGAGCTGCAAGCTTCTTTGCGACGTCTTGATTCTCCCTCAAAGCAGCCGAGGCCTTCAGCTTCTTCTCCTGGGCTCGGGTCACCAGCGTTTTGTACCAGCCATAGCACTTGTCGTAGTACGTCACCATCTGAGTGATGATGAGCTGGCTGAAAGCTTGGTCATGAGGAAGATTATCAAGCATCTTGCAGAACGCAGTGATCAGAGAGAAGAATTTGGTAGTGCCCTAAAATGTTGTCAGAATGTGTGTAACGTCCTCTCGTCTACATATGCCTTGACAATCACTGACCTTGAATATGGGCTTCTTGGAATGCAGTTGCCATTGTGCATCTTCCTGGAAAGTATCGGCTTCCATGAATGTCCCGGCGCACAAATCCATGAGAGTCTCGTCCAGTTGCGGGTGGAAGACGTTGACGAGGAAGTCGTCCAGGAACGACGTGAGTGTGCTCGTGACCACTTCGGATCCTGGAGGCACGACTTCCTTCAACCGGGTGAGGAACCCTAGCGAAGGAGGGAGCAATATTCCCATGTTGAAAACGCTGGGCTCCACGAGGAGCTTATGTCCCGTGGCACTGCCATCTTGTCCCTGGTTGTTGGAGTTTGTTGTCACCCCGCTGATACGTTTTGAATCAGACACAAGACCAGGAACAGAAGACTTGAGTATGTGCTCCAGATCGTTCCTTTCCGAGGCGAAGTCCGTGGACGTGATATCCATATCAGAGAGTTTGAACATTTTCTAAGATGGCGTTAGAAGATAGAGGCGACCGAGCATGGCGTTTGACTAACCTTGTTCTTGTCTCTCGCCGTTCTCAAGAAAGGACTATCGCTAGGCGCGCCACCCTGGCCAGATCGAAAAGCTAGTTCGCCGTCTGTAGACAAATAATCATGGAGCAATGAACGCATCTGCATCTAGATCAGTATTTCGATCGGCATACTGAATCTTGCATGGACCTACCTCGCTCTGGTACAGTTTCCACAGCTCTCTGAAAGTACTGGTCAACATTCCAACTTCCCGTAAGCCTTCTCTCTTCGAAATGCCAGCGACGACATCATGGACAACGCGGTGGCTCTCTGCGATGGCCTCGAATCTGGCATAAAGTGTCCAAAGAAGGTCGTTCAGAAGCGTAGCACGCGTCTCATCGCTCTCATAAGACCTGCTAGTCTTTGCGCCTCGATTGCTAGCATACCCGCGGACCAGGCTTGGGTGCCTTTGAGCGACCTCGGTGTTGGACCTTTCAACAACTCTGAAGAGCTCTACGGGCAGACGCTGAACGACCGATTCGATGGCGATGTCTAGGCGGCTCATCTTGTTGAGCGCCTCCAGAATAACCTGAATGTAATGGAACGTGTCGGCTTCTGGGTTACGCGAAGCGTCGTCCACCAAAGCTTCCGTGGTGTCCAGACCGTCCAGAAATTGGTAGAGAGCTTTGCGGCCGGAGTCGATTCCAGCTATTGTGCCATCGGCTCCGGTTTTGGGTTGGTTTTGGGCGTGCACCTTCCAGCGATCCTCACAGTATGGCGATTTAAGGTAAAGATGGTTGTGGAGCTCTTCGATAAGGACATCCGACATGGAATGTTCCTGGTTGCTCAAATAGACGCGAAGATCGCCCAAAGCCCCAATGTTCTCCATCTCAGACTTTCTTATCAACCTCAAAGCATCTTGCAGAACGTCTACCGCAGGTAGGAATCTTTTCTCGGATATCCGAATTTCCAGTCTCTCTGGGACATGTTGGAGCTGTTCTATGGACCCCAAGATTTGTAGCATCTCATCGTAGCTCTGCGACGCGGCGGAGAAGGCCCTCAACTCCGGTTTCGCGGTCGACAGATTGTCCTTTGCGGAGACCAAGGATTCCTTCAACGACCGCACGCGTTGTTGGGACTGTTGCAGGCTGTTCTGGATCTTGTGGAAGGTACCGATGGAGCTGTTGAAGCCCTGATGGTGCTCGTTGACAATGGCCTTCAGTGCGGTTTGGAGCTCAGCACTGGTGCCCATGAACTCGTCCTGACGGCCGGCGAGGCCGAGGGAGCTGGAGTCGAGCAGTTTGAGAGCGACTTGGACCGGGGTGCAATTCTCGTCCGTCATGAATGTCCATTCTTTCTGTATGCGATCCAACACATCTACAAACCTACTCGTCAGCACCACCGGATAACGCATGCAATGCCCGCCGTTTCTGCCCAATCGCGCAAATCCCAACCGTCCACGTATGCGCCTTCCCAGGTATCGTACACAGCCACTAACCTTCGATCTGCTTGCTCGCATTTCCCCCGCGCGCATAGTCCGGCCTGCTTCTGCTTCGAGGGCCGTTGAACTCGCCGCTTCTCCTTACTTCTCGTCTCCGCTCGATGCTCGTGGGACGCGCGACGCGGGGGCGTTCTTGGTAGTCGGCCGAGTCGTCGAAGCCGCCATAGCCTCCAGGGCGACGGTCACCGCGGCTCCGGTCCGAGCCATAGCTGCGCACACTGCTGTAGTCGTCGCCGTCGGGCTGGCCGTAGCGGGCGCCGGAGTAGCCGTTCGAATAGCCGTTGGCCCCTGGGCGCGGGTTGCGGGGCAGCGAGGACATGGCGGGCGGGGCTTAGCGGTGGGTCGAGTGCGGTCGCGGGATGCAGTCGAGGCAGCAGCTCATGCTGCAGCCTGCTCTTTGTCCAGGCTGAAGGTCGGCAGCATCTGGTGCACTGGAGTGGCGGGCGGGACATGTTTCGCGCTTGGCCGGCGGGCGCCCGAGCTTCGCTACCCAAGCCCCGTCGGTAAATGATCGGCCGCGCCCCAAGTTCGCGCGCTTGACGACCAGCTGGCAATCTGGCCTCAGCCTGGAGAGCGCACAAAACGCCCGTGTTCCATGCGCTTCCCGACCACCATCCTCCTCCGCGTTCCCATCACCAGGTCTCTCCCCGCGGCGCTTCCTTGCCGTTGTGTTCTTCGCTCCTTAGCTCTTTCTTTCTAATCTTCACTCCCCCCGGGAAACCGTCAAGATGAGCGGCTGTGAGTTACCTCCGTCTGCGCGTGCCACCCGCTCCCGTGCTGGCCATTGACTCAAATGCACGCGTGCTGACCAATGTTTCTCGATGCGCAGTACGGTTCCTCGATCTGATCAAGCCCTTCGTGCCTCTGCTTCCAGAGTATGTGTTATACTGCGCCTGCGCCGAGGGGAGCTGTGGGCTAACAATAATGCCAGGGTTGCGGCACCGGAGACCAAGACTCCCTTCAACCAGCGGTTGATGTGGACGGGCGTGACCCTCTTGATCTTCCTGGTCATGTCGCAAATGCCGCTTTACGGCATTGTGTCCTCGGACACCTCGGACCCGCTGTACTGGCTGCGCATGATGCTGGCCTCCAATCGCGGAACGCTCATGGAACTGGGAATCACGCCCATCATCTCCTCCGGCATGGTGTTCCAGCTTCTTGCTGGTACCCACCTCATTGACGTCAACCTCGACCTCAAGACCGATCGCGAGCTCTACCAGACGGCCCAGAAGCTCCTTGCCATCATTCTCAGCTTCGGCCAGGCCTGTGTCTACGTCCTGACTGGTCTCTACGGCCAGCCCTCTGACCTCGGTGCCGGTGTCTGCGTTCTGCTCGTCGTTCAGCTCGTCGTCGCTGGTCTGATTGTCATTCTGCTCGACGAGCTCCTCCAAAAGGGCTATGGTCTGGGCAGTGGTATCTCGCTCTTCATCGCGACCAACATTTGCGAGTCCATTATCTGGAAGGCCTTCTCTCCCACCACCATCAACACTGGCCGTGGTCCCGAGTTCGAGGGCGCTGTTATCGCGCTCTTCCACCTGCTCATCACCTGGCCCAACAAGCAGCTCGCTCTGCGTGAGGCTTTCTACCGCCAGAACTTGCCCAACATCATGAACCTCATGGCCACTGTTCTCGTTTTCGCCGCTGTCATCTATCTCCAGGGCTTCCGCGTTGAGATCCCGGTCAAGTCTTCCCGCCAGAGGGGCATGCGTGGATCGTACCCCGTCCGCCTGTTCTACACCTCGAACATGGTAAGATTCGACTCAATTGCGCAAAAGTTGCGGCGAATAGCGTGTTTCTAACCTTTTTTTCCCGCAGCCCATTATGCTCCAGTCTGCCCTCAGCTCGAACATCTTCCTCGTCTCGCAGATGCTCTATTCCCGCTTCAGCGACAACCTCCTTGTCCGTCTTCTCGGAGTCTGGGAGCCGCGCGAGGGTTCCGCCCAGCTCTACGCTGCCTCGGGTATTGCGTACTACATGTCTCCCCCGCTGAACTTCACCGAGGCTCTCCTGGACCCGGTATGTATTCCTGATTAGGCGCTCGCCCTGCAAATCTAATTTATTCGCCGACAGATCCACACCGTCGTCTACATCACGTACATGCTCATTGCCTGCGCTGTCTTCTCGAAGACGTGGATCGAGGTTTCTGGCTCGTCCCCCAGGGATGTTGCTAAGCAGCTCAAGGAGCAGGGTCTCGTCATGGCCGGTCACCGTGAGCAGTCCATGTACAAGGAGCTGAAGCGTGTGATCCCCACGGCTGCCGCTTTCGGTGGTGCTTGCATTGGTGCTCTCTCGGTTGCCAGCGACCTTCTCGGTGCTCTGGGCTCTGGTACGGGTATTCTGCTGGCTGTCACGTAAGTTCTCGTTAGCTCTGACGTCATTGCAAAGTCTGACAGTGTTGCAGCATCATCTACAGCTACTTCGAAATCGCCGCCAAGGAAGGCGACGCTGCCGGCCTCAAGGGCATGGTGCTCGGTTAAGCGCCTCATCAAAGACAATGACGATGGAGGGGGACGGACTTCTTTACAGGCGCACTTCGCCTGCCCTTTTGTATTTTATCACAAAATTTACATGCATGCTTCATCTTGGTGGGAGAGTCCAAAAGCATTGGAAGCGCAGCGCAGGTTGTAGGTAGCGTTTGCTTGGCAAAAATGAGCCAGAGCAAGGGATGACTCGGTCAAATGTATATTTGAAGACCAAACGAGACCAAACGATAAACAAGCCACGGGGGTGATCTGCGGAGATGAAGCGTTCATTGGAGGAGTGATACGGCTGATCAACTCCCTGACCACTGCGCCTCCTCGTCGCGACACTTGCGAAACCCCACTGAGAACACAGACAAGGCATTCGGCGGGCGAGCTATAAGCGCTCGTCTCGCGCAGCTGCTAAGCTGGTCCCGTGCAGAGGCAAGCATAGGCCCTTGTTGGGTGCCTGAGGTCCCCACCGTGGAGTTTCGCTCTCCTACCTTCGGCGCATCTGCGCGACTTGCGATCTGATTACACGACACTAAATGTCTCGGCTGCTGCGCGCCTTCCCAGTGCGTGCGTCAGGGTCGCCTATCAGTATACCATTTCCGGACTATAAGTTGGGGATGGTTGAGGTACTAGGGGAGGGCTAACGGACCCTGATGAATAGCGCTGGCGAAAGGCACATGGAAGGAGGGGCCGAGCGGGTTTTCGGGGAAAGAGAAGCAGGGCAGCTCCAGGATAGCAAGCGCGCTGCTTCGAGACTGTCTGCGCGCAGGAAAGGAGGCGAATCCGGCAAGACAGACGGACAAGGTGCAGAGGGCCAAGACCGAGGGGCCCGGGCGCATCTGAGGCTGGGCGGAGGGGCGCAGCGGCGCAGCGAGACAGGGATGGCAGAGCTTGGAGCAGTGACGCCAATCCCGCGGTTCAGGTCCTCGACCCTCCGGTGCTAGAGCTTTGCTCTTGGCGGTTTTGATAGACACTGTTAAAAAGCGAGCCACGTCCGTCGCGCCTCACCCAGCGTCCAACCTCCCCGGCTCCGCCCTTGACCCTCCCCCAATTCCCTTGCCTCGCATTCCTTGTCGCCATGGCCGACCAGCCCGCCGCGGAGCCGCACCAGTATGGCCGCATTCCGAGCCTCAAGAGCTTCTTGCCGCTCTCCGAGGATGCCGTCATGTCGACGCGTGGCCAGCACCTGCCCTCCCTGCTCCAGCAGTCGTTGAGCTCGCGCAGCCAGCGCCCGTCCAGCGTCCGCAGCGAAGAACTCTTTCCCGACACTGCCAAGGGGAGCCTTCCGCCTACCCCCAGCTACCCCGACGACCGGCGATCGAGCCTTGGCGGTGCGTCGCTGCTTCTGACGCCGCAGATGCGCAGCCAGCGCCTGATCGGAAACAGCAACCCGCGATACAGATGGTAGGGGATCTGGTGCTGCGCGTCGCGTTGGGCCCGTCGCTGACTTTGAGGGCAGGGAGCAGTACTGGAAGTCGGACGAGGAGCTGAAGAAATACCCGAAGAAGATGTACGTACAGCTTGCCGGGAGCTTCGGAGGACGGGAAGCCTTTTTATCTCCCTCGGACGCCATCATATGACACGGTGCCACTATTCTCTCGCGTGCTGACTCGTTTTGCGACAGCCGCCAGTACTACGAGCGAAACAACGAGTTGATACAGCAATATGCCTTCATCGACCGCCTGCTCGACTCGTCGCTCCCCCACAACCTCATCCAGGAGTACAATACGGTGAACATCCCTGATACGATCTCCGAGGAGTCGGGCACAGCGCCCCACTCCCCTTACCTGGCTGGCCAGCACTCGTCCGAGGACAGCACCAACTCATCATCGATTGAAGCGTTTGGCCAGCGCAAGGTCAAACGCACGCCCAAGAACCTGTACAAGGTGCCCGATGAGGAGACGTCCCCACTGCTGAGCGGACAACAAAACGGCTATGGCGGCATCAGCACCGACGTGGAGGCCAACGAGCCACGGATGCCCATCTACGAGCCCGAGGAAGAGACGGGTAGCCAGCACAGAATCGTTACGATCGCCATCTACGTGAATCTGGTCGCCAACACCGTGTTGCTGGCCATGAAGATCGTCGTGACGATCATGACTTCGTCGCTGTCCGTGCTTGCCAGCTTGGTCGACGCTGCGCTGGACTTTTTGAGCACCGCCATCGTGTGGGTGACGACTCGCCTCATCTCGCGCCAGGACCGCTACTCGTATCCCATCGGCCGGAGCAAGCTGGAGCCCGTGGGCGTGTTGATTTTCTCCGTCATCATGATTACCGCCTTCTTCCAGGTGCTCCTGGAGGGCGCGCAGAGGTTCATGGGCAACGACCGCAACATCGTCCAGCTGACGGCGTCGGCGCTGGCCATCATGACGGCCACGGTGGTCATCAAGGGTCTCTGCTGGTTCTGGTGCCGCATGATCAAGAACTCGAGCGTGCAGGCCCTCGCCCAGGATGCCATGACCGACGTCGTCTTCAACTTTTTCAGCATCATCTTCCCTCTTGGTAAGCTCCCGCATGAGATGGTGGGGACGCAGGCTAACTGTTGTTTCAGTGGGCTACTACGCGCAGGTTTGGTGGATGGATCCGTTGGGCGGTGTGCTGCTCTCTCTCTGGGTGATCATCAACTGGTCGGAAACGTCGTCAAACCACATCAAGAACCTGACGGGGCGCGCGGCGTCAGCCGACGAGCGCAACATCCTGCTCTACCTGTCGATGCGTTTCGCCAAGACGATCAAGCAGATCCAGGGCCTGCAGGCGTACCACTCGGGTGACAAGCTGATCGTCGAGGCCGACATCGTGGTCGACGAGGGCATCAACATCAGAGATGCGCACGATCTGGGCGAGAGCCTGCAGTACGTGCTCGAGAGCGTTCCGTCGGTGGACCGCGCGTTTGTGCATCTTGACTATGCTTCGTGGAACCTGCCCACGCATATGCAGCAGGAAGATTGAGTGGGGCGAAAAGTGGCATCGGCACGTCTTGTGTAGTATAGCCAGGGGTGGAAAAAAAAATGCAGCGCTGGCTGCTTCGTTGTCTCTATTGCGATGGGGGGTTTCTGGTTGCATTGGGTCGTCGGCGTTCATCGGAGAGGGGATCAACAGCGAGATATATCTGCCTGATCTAGACTCATAAACTCATCTGCTTTCCCGTTTGGGAGATCACGCTCTTGCCATTACTACAAAGACGCCTCGTTCCTTCTACATGAGCAAAGAACCATCCTTCTCGCATTCGCATTCGATTCGATTCGATTCTATTTCTTAACACCCAGCCTGGCCCAGCGGAAACGAGGGGGCGAAAGTTTTTAATGACCTTGATGGCGTGATCGCAGCAGACACATGCCGCGGGCAGGAGACAACCACACATAGACTCCCGCCATACACCACGTTGCACAGCCTCATCCTAGCCAGGAAATAACCCTGCCTCTGTTTCGCATCTCTCCATCTACAGCAACATCTACTCTACCCCGCACAGCGAGTCACGCGAGCAGCTATCGAAGTGGCTTATCACTCTCCATTTCGAGCAATTGGTCCGCCGCCGTTGGAACAGTATTCATTTCCTTGCCCATCACAACTTCCTTGTCGAATCTCGGTACAAGAAGCCCATCCTCGTCTTGCTGCTGTCTACGCTGAAGACGGCACCTGTTTCAAGCCACACACGCACACATCCCAGGACCCGCTCGACTCAGAGACTTGGAACTGTCTCCGCTCCGAGACATACACACACACACAAACACGCGCGTTTGCGGGAACCGGAGAGGACAGAAAAAGAAGCAGAAACGTCGGCATAACACGAACGACCAAACCAACCACCGAGCAGTCGACCAAAGGCCCCCATCGTTCCCCCGCGCAACCTGGAAGGGGAAGACAAGAGGTAGAAAGGAAAGTAAGAGAGGTGCTTGCACGACGGAAAAGCATGAATTGCCGCGGCTCAGCGAGGTACATACCTCGCTACGACAACCACCAGCCACCAGTCCAGGCGGAGGACGACGCCGTCGGCGATCTTGACTTCGACATCGTGTTCCCGCATAGTCACAATCAGCAGCAGCAGCAGCAGCAGCAACAACAACACCGCGGTGACCAGCCACACGTCCTTCCTCCAGCTCCAGTGACGAATCCGGCACCGCTCGGAGGACTCGATCCCCAAGAGTTGAGGCAATTCGGCATACGGGTTCCGGGCGAGGACGACCACGATGCCGACGACGACGACGACGACGACGACACTACGGACGACGATGAACAGCTCATATTCGACTTCGACCTCGAGGACGACAGCCAAATCGATCACTATCACTACCGCCGCAGCCGCAGCCGCCGCCGCCGACAGCTTCTCCCAGCGCTGCCACCTCCGCGTGAAGAGTGGCTTGGGGAAGAAGCCGACCCAGAGGAGGACATCGCCTGGCATGGGCCACAACGCGTTGCGGATTTGACTGGTCAAGTCGCTCGCCAGCAGCGGTACGTCGACAACGTCCGCGCGCAACTACGTTTCGGGCCGCATGCGCCGGCGGACGGTGGGGTGGAGGGGTGGAGGAGGGAACTGCGGAGGGCAGAAGATGCGTTGAGGGGGTTGCGAGAGACATTGAGGGTCGCGACGGGCGTCGAACGAGGCGGCCGAAACGAGGGGGGTGCCGCAGTGCTGAGGAGGGGAGTCGGAGACGTCGTCGGCAACGCCGAGGGTGATGGTGATGACAAGGCTAACGGGTACAGCGGAGACGACGAAGGCCGACGACGGGCAGGGACGGAGGCCGGGCAGGAGGGACATGGACGCAGACGACGCGGAGGCCTCGACCCGCGGCGCCGCCGTGAGATCGAGTTGGAACTCGCGGAGCTTCGCGACATGGAAGCGCAGCTGCAGTGGGGCGGCGCGGCGCCGGAAGAGCTGCGGCACGTGGCGGCGGAGATGGACATCCTGCAGAGCATACTGGACGGACGATACGCGGCGGCATGGGGCAGGGACGGCGACGAGGACACTAGAAGGAGCCCCTCGCCCAGCTCGCCCTCGCCCTCCTCTCCCTCCTCCTCCCCCGCCTCCGGTTCCACCACCACCATCACTTCGTTCTCGAGCCCCGATCACCACCACCGCGGCCGCCGCCGCCACCGCCGCCACCATAAACGCAACCACCACCGCACCCCACCAGCACGTCCACCTCCCGACTACCACCACCCCCTCCCGCCCCCGCACATCCCGCACACGTCGTCCCCCACGCCCCTCCACGACGCCTGATCCGGCCCGCGCCACCTACCTCGCACTCTGATATCACCCTCAACAACCCGCAGTGACCCGGCCGCGCGCCTACGTTAGACGTAACATGACCGATCATGATCGACAGGCTGGGGGGAATTAGAGCAGGGAGAAGAGGGAGAGGGAGAGGATGTGGGAGAGGATGGGGAAGGGGGAGGGGAAGGGGGAGAATGGGGGTGGTGCTGGTGGTTCTGGTGGTGGGAGTGAGGCTGGGTGAAGAGACTGGCTAGGGTATAAGTGGTTGCACTTGGGTTGCTTGAGAGCGAGCATGGTTTGAGGCTCAAGTGGCCGGCTTTTTTTTTTTTTTTTTTTTTTCAAGAAAAGTTTGGTGGGTTGATCCCGATGGTGCGAGTCGTGGGCGGTGAGTGGCGGCTGGAGATGTCATAAAGGTCGATTTCATGGCAGGTCCTGCACGACTTTTATTTTCTTTTTCTCCTCTCTCTGGTATGTACATACTACATACATCAGAAGATAGATTGCAGTCAAATCAGGCGGGTGCGGTCGCATGAATGATGGAAGATTTGCGGGGAAAAGGCTTAGCGTGCAGGTGAGAAGCAGGCCGTCGTGGACGGGCGTTCTTGTGTAAATATAACCGTTGGGGGCGGAGTGCAAGGGGAAGGCAAGGGTGAGGCAAGAGTGATGGTTGATTGGCTCGCAGATGGTACCTAGGCAAGAAAAACAGGCGGAAGCTTGGCAGGCGAGGTTCCGGGCGTGCGGGCTGGCGATAGCGCGTGGAATTAAGCTAAGACCGGCGGTTCGGCAGCCTATGTTTGGCTCTGTGGCTCTCCTCTGCCGTTTGCGCAGTAGTGGGTGGCGGCGCCCGGGCGGGACCAACGGTCGACGGTGCTCCCAAACTTGGGCTGGAGATCCACTTGAAGGCGTGTCCTGTGGCGCTTTGTTGGTTCTTTTAAGGTGTGGTGTAGCGTCTCCGACGGTTACGGCAGCCGGGCTTGTGCGCGGTAAAAATAGGCCTGGCATTGCGGCCTGGCATTGCGGCCTGCCCCTTGCTTACTCAAAGCATTGCTCGCTCGGCAAATATGGCCATGGGCTTATCGAGACAGGCCAGCCGGGCCGAAAGCTTCACGCACCGACGCCCTGATCTGATGTCAAATCACTCTCCTCCACCTCATCGTCCTCGTCGTCCTCGTCGTCCTGGCGATTGCTGTGGTGCCGCCGCCTCGCTTCGATGCGCGCCCCGGCTCCGTCGTCTCGGGGCACCGCGACGGCCGCCGTGGCTCTACAGCTCAGCACGGTGTCGTGACGACTACTCGACCGGCTATGACAGGCCGGTGGCGTGGCCGAAGTCCGTATCCGCAGATCTCGCGGTGACACAGCAGGCCTCGAAGCGGAAGCATGGCCGGCGTCCCTACGCGCACGCGCGGACCGCTGTGAGGGGGCAGCCGGGCAGGTCCAATGCCTCATCGCGCTTCCAGCCCCCACAAACGCCACGGTCGCTTTCCACTTTTCAGTTGGCTGGGGTGCGAGAGCGTCGGGTGCAGCAGTGGCGCGCTGCGAACCTGTCCACCTTCTGCTTCCACCCTCACGATGCAGGGCGCCGAAGCCACGGCCTGGACGGCCCAGACGTGCCGTCCGCCGCCGCGACGAGCTATATACGCTGCCCGGCGCCTCCCGCTGCGCCCAGGCAGGCACACGCCCGCCCTCCCCGAAGGATTCTGCCTGCCGCCCCCGACTCGCGCGACCCCCAGGCGCCCCAACACCCTTCTCCACTCCCCGTGCTTCTCTAGCGCCGACGCTCCACCCGTCCCGGCAACGCTTGTTCTTTAGACCAAGTCCTTGCTTTTGATCTGAGCCTGCCGCTCCGCAGTCCAGCCTCTGGCACTTCCAACTCCCGCAAACATGTCTCTCGTGACCGACTCGACCCAGCAAGCCGCCAGCTCGACTGCCGTGGCCGCTTCGACTGCAGCCGCCGGCTCGAGCACGACGCTGGCCACTTCGACAAGAGCGTCCTCGGGCTCAAGCGCAGCATCCTCGTCGTCTTTCTCCTCGCCGCCCGCCGAGACCGTGGCCTTGACCACGACCTTCACTCCGCCGCCATCATGCACCCAGAATCAACTGACGCTGTTGTCTTCGCCATGGTACAACATCTGGCTGAACGAGCCGTCGCCAGTGCCCGGCTCGCTCTTCACCGATTGCTATCCCTCTCAATTCATCAGCGGCTACTCGTCTGTCTTCAACATGACCAGCTCCATCGCTCCCGTCTTCAGCCCGCTCGTGTGCCCCGACGCGTGGGAGACTGTCAACACCTTCACGAGTAGCTATATCGCATGCTGTCCTTCGTACGTGCTTTCTTTTTCTCCATTGAAGTCGCATCCCCTCAATCACACTGCCATGTCTGCTTCCACCCCCAGCTAACATTGAACTTCGGGCAGCGGCTACGCTCTCCACCCGCCTACCACGACCGTGGACAGCAACAGACCAGCATACGGCGGCACCTGCTACAGCACCGTGACCGTGGGCAGCACCTACACCGTCACCGCGTACAACGCCTCCGCCTTGACGGCGACCCAGGATTGGCCGGCCACCACCTCGCTCGACCAAGTATACGCGCACGTCATCGAAGGCTACGCCCTGGAACTGAGAGCAGCATCGGTAAGCAAAGCTCCATTCCTCCCTCTCCCCCCTTTCGTCAGATCCCGCTGGCTTTCCCAACAACAACAACAACAACAACAAGGCTGACCACCCCCATCACCTCCCACAGACCAGCTCCTCATCCTCAAACTCCTCAACCACCCTCCCCGCCTCATCCAGCACCACCACCACCACCACCACCAGCAACGACTCCTCCTCCCACTCCCTCTCCGGCGGCGCCATCGCCGGCATCGTCATCGGCGTCCTCGCCGCCCTCGCCCTCCTCTCCGGCCTCGCCTTCTTCCTCTTCGTCGTCCGCCCCCGCCGCCGACGCGCCGCCGCCGCCGCGAACGCTGCAGCAAACGGCAACCACCGGCGCGGCTCGCCGTCGCACGAGGTCGACGGCACCGACGCCTTTCACGAAAAGGCCGGCGACGAAGGCTTCCGGAAGGAGTTGCCCGGGTCGCCGGGGACGCCTGGTGCCGGTGGTGGTGGTGTCGGGATGATGCAGGAGATGGAGAGTCCCGGGCCGGTGCATGAGTTGGATGCGGGGGCGGAGAGGAGGGTGGCGGAGTTGGATGGGGCGGGGAGTGGGAGTCGGGATGGGAAGGGGTCGGTTGGTTATGGGGAGGAGGTGGGGACGATGACGCCGGTGAAGAGGAGGGGGTCGGATCTGTGATAGATCGAGCGAGCCCGGGGGGGTGGAGAGTGGGAGTGGTAGGGGGGTTTTTCTTTTTTTTTTCCGGGGAGGGGGGAGGTTGCTTGAGGGGCAGATGGGAGAGCTTTTGCTACTGCTGCTGCTGCACTCTCTCTCTGCGCCCCCGTGAAAAGGACGGGGATTCCGGACGGGCAGGTGCGCGAGCAGACAGCTGGCTTTATTTGGGAGGGATATATGCTTCAGTCTCTACCTTTTTTTTTTTCTGATGTTTTGCCGAGATACCTAATTGCGAATGCGATGCAAATACATTGCGCGTTGCTTCGGAAAGACTCTACGCTTCGCTTTTTTTTTTCCTGCTTCAATTCTTTTTTTGCGGTTGGTGTATCACTGCTTACGAGTGTCGTGGATATTGTTGTTCCCGGTTCAGTCCATACAGTCCGGCTCTTGCTCTCTCGGTCACTCACTTCGCATTAGGAAAACATGCACGACGGGAGACCAGAACGCTTGCTTATTACACGGTGAAAACGCCAAACGGGTGCTGTCGTCGCATGCTGCCATGTCTACAAGGAACCAAAGACTTACCGCAGCAAGTCTGTCAAAATACATGGAACTCCTGTCAAAGGAGGCGTGCGTGTTGTTGAGGGCGGTGAGCCTGGATCTACGTCGAAGCGGATGATCTCGCAGAGCATATATACACATCGCCAATCGGAGCGTCGTTATCATCCCTCATCCAACCAACCCTGTTCTCCTACAAAGATGCAGCAATGTATGTACGCATCTATCCCGTGAATCGAACAACCCCACCAAATTCATCCGTCCACCCAGCACCAGCCCCAACCTTGCGCGCAGCCAGCCAGCCAGCCAGCCAGCCAGCCAGCCACACCGCAGCCGGCCTCTCTGCTATTTGCGCCCACAGCAACCCCACCACCAATGACGTGCGGAGGAGTGTGTTAGTGGCGGTTGCGACGTTCGAAGTTAGCCAGCCGACGCATTAGCCGTTCCCCCGTTGCAGCAGCAGCAGTCGAAGAAAAACATGGGAGCCAATCCACGCGCTCTCCACCCGCCGCTACCAATCAGTGCTTGATGTTGGTGGCGCCGCCGCCGCCGCCGCCGCCGCCCGCCGGAAGGGGTGGATCAGAGCCTCGTGTTTTGGGCTTGGCGGGGGGAGGTTCTTCGTGTTATTGGTATCTTTGGGGGAGGAGGCGGTTTTGGGGTAGAGTTTATTTTTTTTTTGAGGGGGGTTGCCGTTTGATGTTTTGTTGGAAGTATGATTGTTAGTTTCTGCGCGTCTTTCGAAAATGAGGGGTGTAGGGGAGGGTATGGGAAGGTTCAGCCGCACGCACTTTCGTAGGTCATGTGTGGAAGAGGAACAAACCCTGACTCTGCCGGCACTATGAGACCTGCGCTGATTGTCTACGTGCTAGCCATTTCAAACACCGCACACGAGTGCTTGCCCCTTCTTTAATTCCGCTTGTATCGGTCGTACGTTCCGACGCCATCCAGTGGCCTCGCATATAGCGAAATTCTAAACTCCATATGACCCTACATTAGCGAGAGACGAGTCAACATCTGCAGTTACGCCGTCTGACAACAGCAGTGGTGCCACAGCACCACCACCACGACGTCCCAACGGGCACGCGCATCTGGTGTGGTCGCACCCAACGCACGCACGTCCTGCACGCCGCACGCAACCCACGCACGCCGGCCTTTTTCGGAGAATTTGAAAAGGACACACAATCTTCGTTCTACGACATTTGCCAATTGCCGCCGTCGGAACCAGTGGTGGAATTTGCCGGTGTGAGCCATTTCGGGCGCGGGGGGGGGGGGGCAGTGGGTGGTGTATGGACGGGCAGGTCACAGAAGAGGGAAGCAGACTATAGTGTGTTCAGCGCCGGGCGAGGGAGAGAAATATCGCTCACTGCACCGAGCCGATCGAGTTTCGGGTGTGTTTGTAGTATGGAGAGTCGCGGTGACGCCGGAGCTGAGAAAAGAGGAACCGACCAGCTGCAACGGCTGGGGTCATGGATGGTCCCAGATCTCGGCGGACATTCCACGTCGGGACCTGCGGACTAGGAGGAGCGAGTCCGATTCATCTCTAGGTCCCTTCTCCCTCCCGCGCCCCCATGTTGATCATGAAGGCGGATGCGCCCAAAAAAGGAGCTGCGACAAGCAAAAAGGAAACGAAGCGCGTGGAGACCCCGGCTCAGCAAACTCCCCACAGCAGGCATGTGAACATCATACGATCAACACCCCTGATGAAAGCACAGAAAACCGCGTCAAAGTCGTTGGGTGGTGCCAAGTCAGATGGCAGAGCTAGCCTTGCGGCGGTTACAAAGGACGAGGAGTCATCCATGGCATAATTAACAGCCCACAGGCGCATGTTTCAGCTCCGCTGCCGCTGCCGCTGCCGCCGCCCACCAGCTCAGCCCTTATTCCCGGAGAATGAACCCTTGCCGATCTTTTGCCCGTTTCTCTGCTGTACGTCTGGTACGTGGCGAGCTAAAGCACCAGAAGAGGACGCCGGGCCGTCCCGGATTAGGAAGAACAGCACAAGATGCAGAGAGCTAGACCGCGGGTCTTTTTTTTTCTCTCTTCTTCCCTCTCTTTTACCATCCATTGATCTTTTTTGTCTAAGATAGACTATCTTATCCTGTCAACAAAATAAGCACCGATCGAACTTTCTTTTTTTTTTTTTTTGGCCAAACTACCGAAGACTATCAGCGCTCGCTTCTATGGTATCTACAGGTTCGAAGAATGAGAAAAAAGGAAAGGAAAAAAATTCCCCACGAAACATCATCGCAGTTTCATGTAGTACAAGGCCGAAAAAAAGCCTCAGCCAGGTTCCCCCTCAATGCAATTAGTTCAAAGAATTCAGCCACCATTTTCCCCACCATCATCAATATCGTGAGAGAGAGAAAAAAAATTCGAAGCAAAAACAAAAACAAAGAGGAGGCCAAATCATCACCACCCACCCATTCGCCTCCCGCGCGCCCCCATCTCGTCTTCTCATATACATCACCATCACCACCATCACCATCATCCTCATCCTCAACCACCCCCATCACCATCATCCCCCATTCCTCTTCCTCCTCCTCCTCTTCTTCTTCCCCCCCACCCCAGCACCCCCCTTCTTCCTCGCCGTCACGAACCACGCCTTCGTCACCACGCCCCCGCACCTCCCCTCCAAAATCTCCCTCCGCGCCTCCTTCACCATCGCCCGCACCCGCTCCGGCGTCCACCCCGCATGACGCGTCAGCAACCTTAAGCAGCTGGCCTCGAGCCCTTCGGCGCACACGACGAGCCACATCTTGCCCAGCGACGCGAGGCGCGAGTGGTGGTGGTGGTCGTCGTCGTGATGATGAATGCCGGACGAGCCGGAGCTGATGATGCCGTGAGGCCCCATGGGCACGTCGACGCAGCGGCGGCGCACGTCGCAGAAGCCGGCGTCTTCGAGGAGGCGCGACTCGGGCAGGATGTGGTCGAGGGAGAGGGGGCGGCCGGACGCGGCGGCGGCGGCGACGGTGGCGTCGACGAGGGTGCGGACGGCCGAGGCGGAGGTGGTGGAGGATGAGCAGGAGGCGGCGGCGGCGGGTGAGCGTTTTGATTTTTTCTTGTTGGCCGAAGTGGTGCAGGGTGAGGAAGGGCTGGGGGGCGAGATGGTGGACAGGTCGGGCATGACCTCGACGACCTCGAGCAGGCCGCCCGGCGCGAGGCTGGTGAAGGCTTCGCGGTAGACGGCGCGCCAGTCGCGGAAGGCGCCTTTGAGGTCGCGCACGTGGACGAAGTCGAAGGGCTCGGAGAAGTTCCAGCCGTCGTCGACGGTCAGCTCGGCGCCTAGTAGTTGGGGGTGGTGGGGTTTTTGGGATGATGATGGCGGCGATGCCGGCGTCTTGTTGGTATCACCGTTGATGTGGTCGTCGTCGGCGCCGCCCTCGGCCGTGGTGCTGCCGCTGGCGTAGCCCTGGTCGTGGTCGATGGTGAGCCCTTCGACGTCGGCCGTGACTGAGGCGAGCTGCGCTTCCAGCGCCGGCGTCGAAGAGGGGTTCACGGGACTGTGGGTTCGGCTGCTCTCGGAGTAGGGCTCCAGGTCGTCAATCTCCCAGATGACATTGGCCTTGGGGTCGATGTCGTCGCAGGACGAGTCGTCTTCGTCCGAGTCGACGGCGGCTTCGCGGGCAGGCAGCTCCCATACGGCCAGATCGACGGCGACGATCTCGGCGTCGGGAAACTGCTCGGCCATCTGAGAAGCCCATTCGCCCGGGCCGGTGCCGACATCGAGCACGCGCTGGATGCCGGGCGAGAGAGGGGCGGTGGTGAGGGCACCGTCGAGGGCGGTCAGGTAGAGGCGGTGCAGGATCTCGAGGCGCGTCTGCTCGAGCCCGTCGCACGGCATGTAGTAGGTGTCGTTCGGGTAGGTTCGCCCGTTCTCGACGACATGAGTAAGGTCGGTGGAGAGCAGCGAGCGCGTTGAGTGGCTACAGTGATGAGTCAGTCAATCAAAACACACGACTCTGACACGCCCCTTTCCGGCAGCCTGGGAACCGCTGTTTCGGGTCGCTGGGAGGATTCTGGGGCTCCCATAAACCAGTCCCCTGGGTCCTTGCAACAAGCAACTGAACTGATGGCAGAGAAGCCTCAGCCCGCGTCGCCGGACTGCGCGGACTCGGACCGCGGGCCAGGCTGGAGGTCGGCGTGCTGTTCAAGCGCGACCGACTGCCGGATCAGGGCGGCGGCGGCGGCGGGGTGGGTTTTGCTTGGGGCGGGACCGGGCGGAAGCATGGTCGCACAGAAGTGACGGCGGTAGGGCGGCGGCAGCGCGGCAGCAGCGCAGGCGGACGGAGAGGGCACTTACATTGAGCGAGAACTGATTGATGAGGCTCGACTGTCCGGACGGCGCACCGTGGCGTCGCCCATCTCTTGTTCTGGCAATTCCAGCGGATCGGTCTCCATGTTCGGCGGGGCGCCGGCTATATGGGCTCGCAAAGGCGAGTGCGAGGGCTGCACGCTCTGTGTCACGCCGGATGCTCGAGGGGCGGTATAAGTGCGCTGGGCCAGGACAAGACCCCGAGACGAGGAAACAGTGGACTGTCTTTGGGACCCTGGTTCGGAGGATCAACAAAGCCGTCGGGGAGCAGCGAGCATCTGGGAGCTCACTGGGCGCGATTAATAAATCTCCGGATGGCGCGCCCCTGCCTTTGGGTGTGGAGAGAGTGGAGGAGCGAAACACGAACAGCGCTGCTTAAGGACGCATGCACCTCGAAGCAGGATCCTCGTGCGTGACGCGCTGCAAGCAAGGGACCAAAAGACACGGGGCTCTGATGGAATCTCCAGACCCTCCCGGAGAGCGATTGATCCTGGGCGCGCCGTCACCAGATCCCCATAGCGGCGGCGGCAGCAGGGTGGGCAGCAAGCAGGCGGCGGCGGCGGCGGCGTGGGTTGCGGCGGGAGGGAGGGCCAAAGCTGTGTCAGGCTATGCGTGCGCGATGCGGCTGCGGTGGAAGAAGAGAGGAGCTACACTAGAGCGCGGCGGCGGGGCGATGGAGCGCAGGCGGGGCGAGAGCAGCAGCGGCGGCGGCAGCAGCAGCAGTAGCAGCAGGGCGCAGGGCGCAGGGCGCAGGGCGCAGAGCAGCGGCAGGCAGAGCAGGCAGAGCAGGCCCAGCGCGCGGCACAGCAGCAGCAGCAGCAGGCACCGCAACCCAACGGCCGTGCGGGAACGGCCGCCAGCAGACGGGCCCGGCCATGGCGTGCAGACGGGCGTGGGGCGCGCCAGAGAGCGGGTTGCTGGGAACGGGCGATGTCTGCCCCAGCTGCAGGCAGTGCAGGCTGCTCTCTGTCAGGCGGGGCCCAAATCCCTGCACCGCGAACCGGCCTGTTTCCCTCGTCCCCAGCTTCGCCTTGGCGCGCCCGGAGCCTGCGCCTGCCCTCGCGGCCGCATTCCCCGCCGCACGTCCCCGGTGCCACTGCATGAACGCACTCTGACAGTCGATTCCTCTTTTGCCCGCCACGTATCGTGACACTGCCGTGCTATCTACCCACTTCCCTTTTTGGTCCCGCCCACGCTATTCTCCGGCGCCAAGCATCCGCTACTCCCGCTACTCCAGCTGCTGGCCTTCGAACATGGGCAGCCGCTGCGACACGTCCGCCCACGACTCCTCGCCATCGCACATGCTCTTGACCGCCCCCACGATCTCGTCCTCCGACGCCCGCACCTGCTTCGTCGAGTCGCGGTCGCGCAGCGTGAACGTGCCCTTCTGCACCGACTCGAAGTCGACCGTGATGCCCAGCGGCGTGCCCAGCTCGTCGTTGCGCGAGTAGCGCTTGCCGATGCTGGCCGACGAGTCGTCCACCCGGTTCGAGATGCCCATCTTGCGCAGCTTCAGGCTGAGTCGCTGCACCAGCGGCGCGAAGTCGGCGTGCGTCGACAGCGGCACCAGCAGCACCTTGGTCGGTGCCACCACCGGCGGGAACGACAGCACCTGCGGAGAACTTGTTAGACGCATGCAATCATAACGTGCAGCACGGCAGCACTTACACCACGCGCTCCCTCCTCGTCGCCAGGCCGCACCCAGTAGTTGTGCTCGATGATGCTGTACAGTATTCTGCCGATGCCGAACGACGGCTCAATCACGTTGGGCGTGTACTCGCGCGTGTTCTCAACCCGCGTGCGCTTCTGGATGTCGATGAGATCGTGCCCGAGCTCAACCTTGCCGTTGCCGACGCCCGGCACGTCGATCGTGATCTGGCCCTTCTGCTGCAGATCGAGCGCGAGCTTCTCGCGCAGCTCCTGCGTGAGGGAGTCGACAGCAGCCTCGACCGTCTTGCCATCCTTCTTGAACTTGGGCCCGAACTTCTTCTTGTCGATTTCCACCTGCCACTCCTCCACCTTGAGCGGCTCGGCGCGCTTCTCCCTGACAAGCAGAGGAGCCCCGGTCCTGTTCATGTGCACCGTCAAGTCTTGGCACGCAGCGTCAGTTGCATGTTGCACGGAAAATATCAGCACGGGTGTAACTCACCGTACGCGCTGCGGTCGGCGCATCCAACGCATTCGATCCAACCGGAGCTGGTGTGGAGTTCGGCGTCCCAGCAGTCAGCCGCGTAGTGGGCCATCTCGTTGGCCATGTGCTGCCTGAAGCGGATCTTCTTGGGGTCTGCGCCGATCCTCAGCAGGAACAGCTGTATCCGCGCGAGGAAGTAGCCCAGCGTCTCGTTGTCCACGATGCCGTTCTTGACCGCCTCGCCAATCGGCGTGCTGGCAACCGTCGTCTTGCCGGAAAGCTGCACATTGCGGTTGAGCAGCTCCAGCTTGACGTCCTGGACCTCGTGGAAGCGAGGGTGCTTCTTGCCGCCCTCGGGATCCACAAAGTGCTCGATCTCAGCCATGAGGAATTCACGCACGCGCAGGAGACCAGCCCTGGGCGAAATCTCGTTACGGAACGACTTTCCGATCGAGGCAGAGGCGAAGGGCATCTGCTGCTGGTTGAATTCAAGGAGCTTCTGGAAGGTGAGGAACTGGCCCTGTGCAGTCTCGGGGCGCAGGTAGCCGGGCATGTTGCTGCTGGGGCCAATCGAGGTCTGGAACATCAGGTTGAACGCGACAGGCGGGAGCAGTTCACCGCCGGTGGCAGGGTTCTTAATGTCGTACTTGACGATGAGCTGGCCCAGCTCAGCACCGTCGTAGTTGTCAATCTTGGCCAGAATCTCCTCGTACTCCTGCACAACGGCATCGTCCAGCTTGATGGCCTGGATGTCCTTGACCTTCTTCTTCTTCTTCTTGGGGTCTTCCTTCTCCTCCACCTTCTGGCCACGGGCCTCCTTGTCTCCCTTCAGCCGCGACTCGAGAACCTCCTCGACGAGGTGGTCCGCTCTGAAGATCTCGCCGGACTTGGGGTCCTTGCACATCCAGTCGGCGAACTTGTCGACGTGTCCACTGGTCTTGAGCACCTCGTGCGGGGTCAGCATGGTGCAGTCGACCTCCAGCATGTCCTCCTCCAGCACGAAGTGCTTCCTCCACAAGTCAACGATGTTGGCCTGCAGAGCGCAGCCGGGCGGACCATAGTCAAACAGCCCAGAGACGCCGCCGTAGATTTCAAAGGCAGGAGTGTAGAAGAGGCGACGGCGCATCAATGACTCAAGCGCAGCCTTGTCAAAAGCCTGGCCGGTCTTGGTGGTGGCAGAGGAAGCCATTGCGGGTGGTTGCTTGCGCTGCGGAGCTACGAATTTGTAGGCAATGGGCGTGGACGCGAAAGTCCGGGGTTGCGGGGCGATGCGGCGGGCGCGGTTGAGGGTGGCGGGTCGGGCAATTGGAGAGGCAATGCGCAGGAGTTGCAGGGCCTGACGCATGTACTTTAACTGCCCCTCGGTGAAACCAAACAGCGGACGAAGCGAACGGTGGTGGGGTTGTGACTGTTCGGTGAACCACTGGCTGACTCTTTTGCTCGGTGAATCAGATCCCCGGCGGTGAGCCGCTTGCGGTATAGCTCCCGGGCAGAAAAGTGTCGCGCCAAAGAAAGTTGTCGACCCGCCGCACATCCCATCTCTCGCCCTTCCCTCCCAGCAACCGCAACCGCCAGTGCACCTTGCCCAACATGGTGTCCGAGCAGCTTTCCGCCAAGCACGCGCTTCCCTTCAAGACGAACAACAAGCTCAAGCGGAATGACTTCAACCTCAAGCAGAAGAAGGTCCGCGAGGCCGCCAAGAGAGATGAGAGGATGCGCAGGAAGAGGGAAGAAGCCAAGAACCCCCGCTTGAAGGAGGAGCGATTGGCGCGCAACGTTCCCCAGACCATCGACAATAAGCGTACCTGGGACGCTGTCGACAGCGACGACGACAACATCCTCAATGCGGCGGTCGATGTGGAGCGGTTAAAGAGGCAGCGGGTCGTGGGGGAGGAGGTTGCCGGGCAGGACGAGGACGAGGAGGATGAGGAGGAAAGTGAGGCTGAGGGCGAGGAAAGCGAGGAGGATGATCGTGACAGTATGCTCGACGAGTCTGAAAGCGACGACGATGAGGAGGAGGAAGAGGAGGAGAAGGCGTCGAAAAAGAAGCAGCGGGCAGCATCACCTCCACGGACACAACGAGCATCGAGTCCCGCGGGCTCCACGGCAACCACGAACCTCCACCTGACTCCCGAAGCCCTAGCAGGCAAATTCCCGTCCCTCTTCGAACCTCAAACGAAAGAGCCCAAAATTCTCGTTACCACCGCAATCAACAGTACCCTCCACAAAGAGGCAGAGCTCTTCACGAAGCTTCTTCCCAACAGCAATTACGTTCGCCGCTCCGCCCACCGCTACGGACACAAGTACTCCGTGAGAGAAATCGCCAAGTTCGCAGCCAATCGCGATTACACCACGGTTGTAATTGTCATGGAGGACCAGAAGAAGCCGTCCGGCCTGGATATCGTGCATTTGCCAAACGGACCCATGTTCCACTTCAGTATCAGCAATTGGATAGAAGGTGCCAAACTTCCTGGACACGGCAATCCCACCGAACACTATCCCGAGCTCATCCTGAACAACTTCCGCACTCCTCTCGGTCTGCTGACCGCACATCTGTTCCGCACCATGTTCCCTCCTCAGCCAGAGCTGGAAGGTCGGCAGGTTGTCACGCTCCGTAAGTGCACCTTGGGACGTCCTTGCATGCAGCCGAACTGACTTGACAAAACAGACAATCAGCGTGATTACATATTCGTGCGCCGACACCGTTACGTCTTCCGCGATAAGCGCGCAACGGAGAAAAGTGTAATAGGAGCGGACGGCAAGCCGATCAAGGGCGCGGAAGATATACGGGCGGGTCTGCAGGAGCTTGGTCCTCGGTTCACGCTGAAGCTGAGGAGGATAGACAAGGGCATCCAGAAGGCTAGCGGCCAGGAGTGGCAATGGAAGGCCGGAAGCGAGAAGGTCCGCACAAGGTTCGCGCTGTAAGCGCGTATTGCATGGTAATAGGAGTATACCCATCCGTTCAATTCGATGCCTTTTCAGCCGGGCGCATGGCGGAACAATTCATGTATGTCTTCCAATCATGAACGACTGTGATAAGGCGTGGCGATGGGCATGCCTGCCGACTTTCCCATTGAGGTTGAGAAATGCAGTCGGTCAGAGTAGCATCATCTCGCATCGAAAACGGGACTCTGATGGTGTGATGGGTCAGGGTCGCGTCAAAAATTTGCAGAAAAAGCAAGTCGACGTTCGCATTCTACTACAGCAACCACCAGTATGGCATGTTATGGCTTCCCGGCACACCTGTGTCGACTGATCACGTAGAAAGAATCACCGTAGACGGGTTTCTTTGGCAGTCACGCAGTGTGACTTCTGGGCGCGTCACAGCCGTGAGATTATCCGATTGGTTGCCTGGCTGGCTCGCTTACCAAAGGGAGTCTGGCAGCTTAAATTTTCTTGCGGGCCCCTTTAGTCGACTCTGGAGACACTCCTCGATGAAAATCGCGCACGAAAGAGTCCATTTGTCCCGTCAGTATCGCGCTCAATGATCCATCCACCATCTTGCTGCCAGTCCTCCATCATCCTGCGACGTGCCCGCTGTGGGCGGCTAGCATGTCCCAGGTAGAAGCACGGGCCCAGGGTGCTTGGTACATAACGGCAACATGCGACGCTCCACTTTCGAAAAGTCCTGTGACGCAGTGGCTAGCGTGTCGTTCTTATACTCTTCCCTCACGGGAATTGTATGGCCATTGAGGTTATGCGAAAGTCGTGGGTTCAATCCCCACCAGGACTAGGACTTATTTTTGCACATTCTTTTGCTGTTTTGTAGTGTCGGGACATGTCCGGGTGGATCGCAGGGCCTTTTTGCGGGGTTGTTGTGTCCGAACGCCCTGGAACTACTTTTTTGAGATTTTTCTGCAGGATTATTGTCGGAACATCACCGGATCGATTTTCGGTACGACTGGGGCCACTTGTTTTCTTTGTCGGCCCTCACTGGAAATGACCACCAGGAAGAACAATGAGAATCGAACGTCGAGTGATTTTGCACTTCTCTTGGGGTGGGGGCGTGGCGCGGCGCTGCATTCTTTTGATCGTTTTGGTGTGGCGTCACGTGGAAGTCTTGCCGCTAGGGGCTTAGCGTCTCGGGAGCTGACGGGACGCTTGGGATGCAGCCAATCAACGAGCTGATCTGCATGAACCAGCGGCAATTCCCGCCACTAGTGAAACTCTAACAAATGCCAAGATGATGGATCCCCTCCCTGAGAATGTCGCCAACATTTAGCATCATCGTGGCCCGGCAAACATGTATTTCGTCGACCGCGTAACTTGTCGGTACATCTATCTGTTCGACACTTTTATAGCACTTGACGTGGTTTTTACCTACGTGCTCAAGCGCAATCATTAATGAGAACGTCCGTCAATTTCCTACTGATCAGCCTGCACCCTGCGTACATCTTGCATGCCAGTCGGCTGATCATTGATGGCGGAATCTCCCAGTTTGATCTATAAAGCGTTGAAAGACGTGGTCTAGAGCCGGCCTGGAAATCCGTTTCAGAAACAGCTGGAGCACTTGTCCGGATGTAAAGGCGAGCATTTAAACAGCACAAATGCATCCAGATATACCCGTGTGAGATAGGAGTAGGTTCTCGATTGATTTCGTAGGTCAAAAAATGCTATTAACTCGCCCAAGGAGCAAATGTACTTCCGCTGAACAGTCCTCCCAACAAACTCTTCGTGACAAAATCCGCACAGAATCCACGTATGACCAAACGAAACAGAGTCTCGAAGCGTCTCATCCTCCTTTTCCTTTTCGAATGCTCGCGCTCTCCGTAGCTGCAAAACACCGCACAGTCAGCAAGCTAAGTCCACCAACGTGCGAACAGGAGGGAGGGGAAAAAAAACACTCACAAATGGCCCCCTTCACCCTGAGGAAAGTCGAAGCGCTCCTCCTCCACCCTCACCTTGTACCTCGCCACCACCTTCTGCCGATGCTCGCCCCGGCCCCTGCCCCTCATCTCCTCAATCTCACCCTCGTTGCTCCTGTCCCGCACCACCTCCCCGATGGACGTGACGCCCGTCCGCTTCTTCCGGTCGCGCCTCTTCTTCTTCTTGCCCGCCACCCAGCTCTGATGCAGCTTCTCCGACTTCACCCTGCGCCGCACCACCGGCGGCACTCCGCCGTCGACCTCCGCCTCCGCCTCCGCGCGCACCACGAGGCCGCCCAGCACGTCCGGCCCGCCGACGGCGTGCTCGACGGCCCTGCCGCCCGCTTCGAGCACGCCTTCGGACGCGGCGAGCAGAGCGTCGACGCGCAGGCGCGTGGCGTCGGAGACGCGGTCGTCGGGAAGGAGCGTCGGGATCTGGTCGTACAGGGCGTCGACGCGCGAGAGGACGCGGGCGTACTCGTCGAGCGCGACGACGAGCTCGAACATGGTCTTGTCGGTGTCGGTGCCGAAGTCGGAGAGCGAGGTGAAGAGCGCGGCGGCGGCCGTCGTGCTTGGGGCTTGCGCCGCTGCTGTCGTCGCGGAGGAGAGGGTGGCGCCGCGGTCGTCGGGGAGATGGTCTGGGTCGGGTGAATCGTCGTCGTCGTCGTCGTCGTCGTCGTCGCTGCTGTGCCGGAGCCATTCGCGACGGAGGAGTTGTTCGAATCGTTCTTCCTCGAGGCGTTGCCTTTCGAAGGTCTCGGTCAGGACGGTGGCGACGTGTCTTCCGAGGTCGAAGTCTTCGGTGCCCAGATCCGATTCGGAGTACGCGGCCATGTCTATGCTGTTCCTCTCTAGCTCGGGAGAGGAGTCGCGTTCTGCGATCATGGAGTCTATACGATAATGGTGTGCGGCAGCCAGCGTAGCCTGTCGTACACTGTCTTGATGAAGCTGATCTGCTCTCCGGATTGCCATCTCATGCTCTTCCGATCGCGATCTCAGGTTACGCAATGACGAACGTTTACTTGCAAACCACGACCGGAGTCCCACATTCGGATGCAACCTACCTTGCCATGGACTGAAGATACCTGACCATGGACTGTCGACGCCTGACCGGGGAGTTTCGACACCTGTGGGTAGACTGGCAACGCCTGGGGGCAGACTGGCAGCGCCTGGCAAGATGCGCGACTCGCTCGGCGGACAGAGGTCTCTCTGCACCTCAGACTCTTCTTTGGTCCTTCCCACCTTAATATCGTGCTCTTGGGAGCGGAGTGTGTGTTCTATTTTGAGGTGCCACAGCATATACTCCGCCTCTGTCGTGGCCTCGTTGACATTTCGGAGTGTGGACTGCAGCAACTCAAGCGTAGACGTCTGTCGCAAGCGGTCTTGTTCGATGGAAAGACGGTCGGAACGCCGAGTTTGTCGATGGGGTGGGACTTTGAGATCTGCCCAGGAGACATGATGTTGGATATTCTATTGGATGATGTCAATTTCCTCAAGCCTCATTGCTGGAAACCAAAGGTTTCGGAGAGCTTACGTGGCTTTCAGATTCATACCACGATCGTAACCTGGGGAGTGAGGAGTTTTCCCTGCCTCTGCGGGGCTGCCGACCGTAGTTAGCACGCTGTCGCCCCGGGAGTAGCCTGGAACTTGCCGCATCTACGTCGGCCTCGGACTTGACCCCTCGTCGGCGTCGTACAACGGTCATTCTGAGGAAGACGATGGCGAAATAATGGTGAAGAGGATTCCGATTTGCAAGATTGACGAGTGGATGCAGTGGGCTAGTGACGCATGTACTGCCAGACGATGACTGTGGTGAGAGTGATGCTGAAGGTAGAAGTGTTGACGGCAATGGAAGCGTGGATGGCGGTGTGAATGTTGATGGCGATGGGGGTGTTGATTTGGAAGAGAGCGTTGAAGGCAGAAGCCAAAGGACGGCATCAACCCTTGAGACGGCAAGATGGACTGAAGAGACTCACTTATCCCAAGATTAGTTCACACCCATCTAAGAAGGAGCGTCCAGGGCCGGCAGCAGCCGAACACTCACCAGTATTGCAATCCGTGGAAAGCTAAACTTGTGAGGCCAGTGTTTGGACGCATAGTCTTGACATTCAACGGCTCCTTCAACAACTCAACCGAGGAAACGAAACAGCAACGACGCCGCACAGAAGACGAAAGCAAGTGAAAAAAGACACGAGTGGTATTGACTCAAACCATGATATCATCCCGCTAAGAGCCCAGAAAAGCAAGGACGAAGGGCACAAGAAAAAAAAAAAGGAAACCGATTCCCCCCAAAAATAAAAATAAAAATAAAAACACACGCTGCAAATGCGATACAAAGAGACACAAGATTTTCCCTTCATCCCATCATTTCAGTCTCCTCCGGCCGTCTCCAAACCCAACGCCCAGCGCGACTCCAACGGCGAACACAGCCGCAGCCCTGGAGACTCCCATCCTCGGGGCAACAACCGCCTTTTCTTCTTCTTCCTCAACGAGCTACTTTGCGCAGCACGACCCGCCGCTCGCCTCCTCCTTCCGCTCGCCGTCAAACGCCAGCCGCGAGAGCTTATCCACCAACGTCGACCCTTGCCTCACGCCGCTCGGCACGCTGCAGTAGCTGGGCGGGACGTCGAGGCAGGGGTTGCGGGTGAAGAAGTTGCGGGGGCGGAGCAGCAGGGTCATGGGCTCGGCGGGCATGACGGGGAAGTCCTCGGGCGAGGGGAAGTGCGTGATGCCGAACGTGTGCCACATGACGACGTCGGTGTTGTCGATGTTGGCGTGGGGGTCGGCGGCGATCCACGCGGGCAGGCCCATGCTGGGCTCGCCCGACGTCTGCGGCACGTGGCGGCCGGCCGGGTGGATCTGCTCGTCGTCGTACTTGGTGACGTGCACGGCGTGCCGCGCGAAGCCCGCGCGCTTCCACACGAGCGAGCCCTCCTTGGGCAGCAGCGGCGGCACCTCGCGCGACACGAGCTTGTACGAGACGGGCTTCTTGCTGTACGGGTTCAGCTTGTTGGGGTTGCAGATCTCCCAGGTGCGGCCCGTGTTGCCGTCGTAGTCGCTGTGGCTGGTGCCCTGCGTGGCGAGCTTGGTCTTCTTGCAGTAGAAGGCGTTGCCGTAGAAGTTCTCGGCCGAGCCGACCTCGCCCTCGCCGCGGACGGCGTCGGCGACGACGACGGTGTTGTTGGGCCCGTCGATGTTGGGGTCCAGGCGCAGGCAGAACAGGTGCTGGTGGTTGTGCGCGTTGACGCCGGGGTAGACCTCGGTTCCCCAGCCGTGGAGGTCCTCGCCGGGGTTGCAGGCGTAGGTGTTGAGGATGCCCGTCAGCTTGATCTCGAGCTGGATGGTGCCGTCCTGGTGGAAGATCCAGTAGACGCAGTACTCGTAGTTGGCGGCGGTGAAGATTTGCGAGATGATCAGCTTGCGGGCGCGAGTGACGGTGACGGACTCGTCACGGAAATCCGTGTGCTTGAAAAGAATGCCGGCGTCCTCCTCGTGGATGCAGATGGCGTTCTTGACAGTTTGCGCCTGGCCAGCGCGGTTGGCAAAGGCAAAGTCCATGTAGTGGATGGCGCCCTTGCAGTCGCAGCCAAGAGACAGACTGTTGGTCATGTAGCCGCCGCCGTACTCGCCCAGGTCGAAGGCGTGCTTGCGCTGGTGAGGGTGCTCAGGGTTGCCGTAGGGAACAACCATCTCGGCAAGGGATATTCTCCAGAAGATGGGGCGCTCGTTGCCCTTGTCGTTGAACGACACGTTGGAGAGGACGATGCCCTCCTTGTAGTTGAAGCCAATGTGGAACTTCCAGTTTTGCCAGTTGATGAAGCGGCCATCCATGGTGAAAGAAACGCCCTCTGGCTGGGTGATGTTGATGGGTTTGAGATCAGTCCTGTAGCCGCCCTCGGCCTCGATGGAAGCGGCGTGGTAGTTGTTTGGAGGAGCCTTGTTCAGCGGCCTCCTGACCTTTGGGATGTCGATGTGGATGATCTCCTGCGTGTCTGCGTTGAAAATGGGGCAGAAATCCAGGGGGTAGACGTATTGGCAGTCGTCGACATGGGGACGGTAGTACATCAGAGCCTGCTGCAGACGAACTTTGTTGCCGAAGCGCTCATCGTAGCCAATGGTCCACGCTGCTCGTGGTTAGCGAAAGGGCTGACAACGTCAAGGGCAATTACATACGATCGCAGTGAACCTTGTGCATCTCGTCTGCGGGAATGCCAAGGATGCCGCACTGCTCAATGACCTTCGGGTCTTGGCGCACGACGGACTCGACGATTTGCAGGTCCTCCATGGTGATCTAGAGGCAATTAGCGGCCAGGGATCTGCGGATGCGGGGGGTGGAAATTCTCACCAGAGGCTGCACGCCATCGGTCAGGGCAAAGGAGATGATCTTCTCCTCGTCGAGATCGACGATGCCATCGTACACCTTGCTGCCCGGGCCAATGCACACGACGTCGGCCTTTCTCTTGGGCCTCGGGTTGACCTGGGGGTTGGCCAGCCACGCCTGCATCTCCAGCTTCCGGGGCTCCCAGAGGGTCACGGCATTGTAATGCAGATCGGGGTGCTCTTTGCGGATGACGGCGACGGCCTTCTCGATCTCGACCTCGGAGAGCGGGTCGATGGGATAGGGCGGCTCTCCCTGGCCAGTGATCTGGCCGGCCATCTGCTTGAGGCGGTCGAGGACCATGGTGGCTGCTGTGTAGGGTCAAGGTAGGGTCACGGCAGACTTCCGGGGGCGGATGGTAAGGAAGCAGAATTGATAGAAGACGTGTGAGGTGGTGAGTGCGGCGGCGGGCTCAGTGTTATATACAGGCTGGCCGATTCTGGAGCACGGCGGGCATGCCGTGGCCGGGCGGCGGGCAGCATCGAGGGCATCTGCAGGGAAGGCGGAGCAGCTGGTGAGGGGCAGCGGGCCAATGGGTTGCACGGCGGGCTTGGAGCGGGCTTGGAGCGAACGGCGAAGGCAAAGGGAAGGCGATAAGTCGCGATAAGCGTTGTGGCCCGGGTTCTTTTGACTGGATGCGGGCTAGCGCGGCGCTGGGTGCGGTGGAGAGCAGGCGCAGATCTGGGCCGCTAGCGCCCTGTCCCGGGCCCGCAGATGCGTGCTGCGATACTTGCCCAGATGCGGCTATCTGTTGAACCGCCCTTCCGGCCTGTGAGTCCCGCAGATTACGCCTTGGGCATGTCCACGCGATTGTGCTCGGGTCGCCTCGCCGACGCCCGGCATCGTGCTGCCCGGTGTCGACATCGCCGGCCGTAGGGCTGATGACTGCCGCCCTTCCTATCTGCTCCAGCTGGTCGTCTGATTTCATTAGTCTCTGCGAGATACTGCTGCTCATCAATCCAATCGTGTCATCGCCACGCTGCCACCTGCGCCGGCACAACGCCCCGCATCTGGACCAAGACACCAACCATACTGTACTGGCACAAGAATGAATGAGGAAGGAGGCTAGCAGTTGCTACCCTACACCATTGCTGAATAAACCCAGAGCCCGTGAACCCAACCAGCACCGGCAACCCGCCACCATCCTAAGAAAAGCACACATGCAGCACCCACCAAGTGCGCCGGGTAATGCAGGAGTAGTAAGACGAAGCCTCGTGGCACACGCAAGAAAACTCCCAGCTCGCATCAAAAATCAAAACCTCGTCATGAGGTCCCTCACCTGTCAGGGAACCCTGGAACCCTTCCGCTTCTCGACTGCGCCTTTTTTTGCAGCTTGCTAGCCTCGGAAAAGTATCGAAGAAAGGAAGAGCGCATTATTATCTTCAACAAGAACACCCACACGGCACATTTGACGTGAAGATCCGGAATCCGGGAAAGCTTATTTCCCGTACGTGAAGTTGCCAAACGCTCCTCCCGGCGTCATGGCCCCCAATCCGTGGCCACCGGGGCCAGGGGTCCCGCCCGCCAATCCCGCTGCGTTGGTGACTGGTGTGCTTGGGGAATCCCTGTGCGGCGTGCCGCCCGTGTGGAACGCCAGCGCTGCCTGGAAGCCTGCGCCGTTGACTGCGTTCGCTGCGTGCCCGTGAGCCGCGAGCACCGCCGCCTGCGCCGTGGCAGAAGCCGGCGGGCCCACGCCCGTCAGGCCCCACATCTGCCCGTTCATGTCGAGCGGCACTTCCCCGTCGAAGATCTTAGCGCGCATCTGCCAGAACACGTTACCCGTCAGCCAAGCATCCGAGCCGGCCTGGTGCTGCGTGCCGACCCGCTGGCACCCGAGCTCTTCCGCAAGGTCCTGCAATCCCGATTTGTTGCCCAAGGCGTTGAGGATGTTCTGCGCCTGCGCGTTGACGCCATTGATCGTCACCAGCTTCTGCGCATGGCGCCACAGGAACTTGACGTCCAGCAGGCGCGGGAAGAAGATGCTGACGAGTTTCCTGTACTCCTCTTCGTCGTCGGGGAGCTGCTTGCACCACATGATCTTGACCAGGTATGCAAAGTCGTAGCCAGAGTGGAAGGATATCCAGTTGACGTCGTCGGAAAGTGCGAGTCCTGAGGTGATGAGGAGGGAGCCGAACTCGTCCGGATCGATGCCCATCTCCGCGTGCTTCTCAAAGTCCGTACCCGCCTTTTTCAGAACCTGGATCGAGTCCTCGTTGTACATGTCCTCCTCTAACGAAAACTGGAAGTTGAAGGTCCACGTGCACGGGCACATGATGAGGTTGTTCGAGTAGGGTCCACGCTGCTGAACCGCGCCCTGCTCGATCTGCGCGGGTGGGATCTCGCCGGCCGGCGAGAAAAGGGTGATGCCAAGTTGTATTATCTTGAGGAGGTCCACATTGCAACGCACCGTCTGGTAGTGATAACTGGCCTTGGTGATGAAGTCGCCCATCGGTCTCGCAACGACGCCAGGGAACTCGGTGTCCTAGACATCCTGATTTAGTATTCAAGCCTGATCGGTGCTGCCTGCGCGGATGAGCGTACCATGCTGATGTATGGGTACTTGTCGACCAGACTCCGGAGTATTGCCATCTCCTGCGCCAGGTTATGCTTCCAGACCTCTCGTATCCTCATTCCCTGGCCCTTGGCTCCACCCGACGCCATCGAGGCAGCCTCGTGCTCGCGCTGCTGCTGCAGAGCCGCGCCGTGGGCGAAGCCCATCTGCGCGGCGTGACTAGCCAAACCAGTTCCGCCACCACCAAGTGCACTTGCGCCACCGAAGCTTCCCGCCAAGCCTGCGTTGCTCGTGGCGGGGCCGAAGATGTTCATGTTGCCGTTCGGGTTGCCGCCGCCGCCACCGAAGCCGGGCTGCTGGCCCATGTTCTGGTTCTGGACGGCAGCATTGACGCTGTGGAAGTGTGCCGATTGGAGCGCATGTTGCTGGTTGAGGTGTTGAAAGGGGTTTGAAACGTTGTGCGGCGGATACCGGCTCACTGCGGGCGGCATCCTTTATCGAGTGTCGAGTGCCAGTGCTGGGGTAGGTTGGGGCCGGTCGCACATACGGTCGCGGGTCGGGGCGATGGGGAGGGGATCAGGCGCCGGTCGATCTCGCGGGAAGGAGCAAAGCGCGGGTCTTGCGGGGTGAAGGGATGTCGCGTCGCGGTGATGGTGAGGTTGGGCGCTGCATTTGGCGGGAGGTCGGTCACGGCGACGGGTTGGAGGGACTTGGCCCGCGCTGAAGCCCCCCGGGCCTTGGCACTAAGCGAACGCCAGCCTATCCGACGCTGTCAAGTAAGCAACCCGCAACACCATCCGCCCTGCACTTTGCGAGGCCGCATCAACGTACGTCCAACCCTCTCAATTGCCCGTCTACCAGCTTTGCCCCGCCCGCCCGCTCCTTGCGGCTGACGTCCACCGACAGATCACCATGGCGCCGCCCAACCTTACCGGTTTCGATCCCAAGAAGTTCGCCGCGGCCGCCGGCACGCCCGCAAACGATCCGTGGAAGAGACGGTGAGTGGGGGCTCGCCCGTTGGTATCGGCTGTGTGCTGCGACAATGGCTGACTGGTCGTGACGGTACAGTGAGGCCTGGAGGTACACCGGCCCCTTCTCGCGATGGAACCGCTTCAAGAGTGCCTTCCCTGGACTCGGCATTGCGACGGTTGCGTTCGGCGTCTACCTCGGATACGAGGCCATTTTCCTCAAGGACGACCATGCTCACCACGGCGAGGGTCACCACTAGAGAAATACCAGAATCGTTTCTAGTTCAGATGCAAGAAGCTACATGTGACGTTCGACGCATAGGATGGTCCAGCTGAAGAGCACGCATTGATCGGTTGTACATACATATGACAGGGCTTGGCTCGGAACGCACCAGCGGAGCATTCTGGAACAAGACAGCCAAATGGTGCTGTACGAAGAAGAAGACCGGTGGTGAGGGCAGAAGATATACCAAATGCAAACAAGACTACCCATTCGTCCTAGAACCCGACTCGGGATCACCGTTGTCCATGGACGTGTTTTCTGAGCCGGACCCCACCATTCAATCTCGCCTAGATATGCGCAACTAGGATACGAGATTCATGATCATCAGGCTGCATGTCTACGGCCGCCTTTCAGGACCATCATGCTAACGAGAAGCACCTGTTACGACTCGTAACGGCTTGGTCCTTGGCTGCTGTAAATCCGAAGTGGTGCGATTGGCCAAAAATGAGATGTTCGGAGCTTCTGGAGAGAAGAGTCGCATGGACAGCTGGACATGGGATTCTTCAGCACGCGGCGATGGTTATATTTATGGCGCCAGCGAATGCCAGCGGAGGCCAGCGGAGGCCAAGGCGCAAGAGAACAAAAGTCGGGAGATCAGCGGCAGGAGAGAGGTCGAGGGAATGGCACACAAGAAATGCATGCTTCTGCGGATGGCTGCATACTGCCAAGGTACGATGGGCTGAGCGGTGGGAGAGCAGCACGTCATTGGTGCGCTGCTGAGGGGCAGGCACGCGCGCGGGCTCGGGGTTGATCGCGCACGTCTCACCGCCCGCCGACGATGTCATCCTGCTGACCCACTGCGCACCCGTCCCCGCGACAGTACTTCGCGCTCCCCTGCTCCAGCTGCTCCTACGGCATGCAAGTCACTCTCATTAGCATACCATGCCCAGAGTCTATCCTCCGATAGACGGCAAGACCTCTTCGCCTACCATCTCGCCCTCGATCGTCGAGACTGTCGCTGGCTTTTCCGCCGGGCTGATTGCAACCCTGGTCGCCCATCCGTTCGATGTCCTGAAGACGCGCCTACAGCGTGAGTCCGCCCCTGCGCCGCCTCGGCGTCCATCGTTGACGGGTCGACAGTCGACCAGACGCACGCGCCGCGATGGGGGAATTCGTTTCACATACTCCGCAACATTGTCCGCAATGAGGGCAACGTCGGCGCTCTGTATCGCGGCTTGATGCCAAACATGATAGGAAACTCTGTCAGCTGGGGGCTGTATTTCCTTTGGTAGGTAGACGGGCTTACCGGAGTGCAGGCTGTGGCTAATCCGTCCGAGGTACCGCAACCTGAAGGACCTCTTCAAGTCTTCGCGCGGCCACGGCCAGAGGCTGGCTTCCTCTGACTACTTCCTGTCCTCGGGGATAGCAGGTAATTCTGAGCTGCCACTGCCGGGAAATTTTTGCTGACACGCGAATGGGCATCATGACGGCCGTCTGCACGAATCCCATCTGGGTGATTAAGACCCGCATGCTCTCCACCGGCCGCAACACGCCCGGCGCCTACCAGAGCATCTCCCACGGCGCGTCGGAGATTCTGCGCACCGAGGGAATCCCTGGCTTTTACCGTGGCCTCATCCCCTCTCTGTTCGGCGTCTCGCACGGCGCGATCCAGTTCATGGCATACGAGCAGTTAAAGTACTACCGGGGCGGCCAGATTGGCGGCCGGTCGGAGCTGAGCAACTTCGACTACCTGTATCTCAGTGCGTCATCGAAGATCTTCGCGGGTAGCATCACGTACCCGTACCAGGTCGTGCGATCCAGACTGCAGACGTACGACGCAAGCGCAGCCTATCGATCGGCGCGGGACGTGGTCACGCAGATCTGGATCAGGGAGGGAGCGTCGGGCTTTTACAAGGGGTAAGGACGGCTGGGCCCAGGGATGATCACATGGCTGACGACGGTCTAGGTTGCTGCCAAACATCGTGCGCGTCCTGCCGACCACTTGCGTGACGTTCCTAGTGTACGAAAACACCAAGTTCTACCTCCCAAGGATCTGGCATCCCGAGGGCGACCATGAGACGGATTGAGGGGGCGAGACGCAGAGGGACCGACGGTGTGCGCGGTCTGGCGTGATGGAGAGCGCAGCGCGCCGCCTGCTTCAGCTCTGGGGTGCAGGCGTTAACCCCACTCCAGCCTAAAGCGCCGGCGAACCGATCGGTGACCAGTCGGAGATCGACAGACGAGCCGCGATGCTCGGTGCAGGGAGGCTGACGCAGAGCGGTACTGCGGCGCGATAGATGGGGCGCGACATTCCTGTGCATTCCTGGTCGCTTGCGGCGAAGGGCAACTCAACACCACGCAAGTGGGATGGTCGGGTGGTATAGACTTTAGCGTGCATGTTGCATATAAGAAAAATAGACGGCCGCAGGTTAGACTGTGCCCGCCCCAGGATTGTGTCTTTCTTTCGTCATCCTCAGATCTCCCCGCCTCCCCTCGCTGCTCTCCCCGCCGCCGCCGCCGTCGCCGCCGCCATCCGCAGCGCTGTCGCAGCTTCATCCGCACTAGGTAGCAGGCCACTGCGGGACGACACTAGGAGCCGCACAACCATGGCTCCGCCGCCTCGCAGCACACAGCGAACCCCGCAGCACCCCTCAACAAAGGGCAATTCGCCTGCACCCGCCGTTGCTCCTGCTCTCTCGCCGCCTTGGCCGCCCGCATCGTTATTCTACTCACCCACGTCGTTGACAGCCATCAATCCCCTCGCTGCCGACTCAACGGCTTTCTGCCACCACGGGACTCAACGTACCCCATTCGTCGCTGACGTCCGCGCCAATTGTCAGCACGAGCCACCGCCCAAGAGCCAGCGTCGCCATCCAATTGCTTGCACCATGGGCCTGTTCAATGGCGTCAAAAGCGCGGTCAGGCGTGTTGGCGGCAAGCGAATCAAGGAGGCCAACAGGGAGAAGAAGCAGAAAAGAGCAAGTGGCGCATGCGAGCCGGAAAACGACGGCGGAGGGCTGGCCGAGGAAGAGAAGGCACCGCCACAGCCAGAGCCGTCTGATAAAGTCGCAGTGAGCCTACAGCCTTACTCGGAATCAGTTGACGACAACTTCGAGCCAGAGACTGAGGCAGGTCTGGATCCACAACCATCATCAGAGCCGCCACTGCAACTGCCCTTGGACAAGATGCAAGATAAGCAACCGCCTCTGCCCCGGCTGCAGACCGACTTTCAGTTCGACATAAGGTCTGCGTCGGACTCCGAGCCGACAGAATGTGATTCTGACTGCGACTGTGGCCTGGAGACAGATGAAGAGGATCTTTCGGAGGACGGCCTGAGCCAGAGTCGGGGCCCAGATTCTCGAGCAGCGCGTCCAGAAAGGCGGAGGAGCGAACTAGGCCGGGAGCAGACCCACGAATCCGCGTCTCAGGGCGAGACATCTGTTGAGCCTTACAGGTTTCCTTTCCAAAGCGGGCCAGAGGATCAGCAAAGCTTCTATTCTGGCGCGGATAAGGCTCCCAGCCCCAAGGCGTCCAGCTATCGTGGCCACGGCCGGGTGGATTCGCATGCCTCGCCTATCGTCGAGGATCTCCGCCATAACCCTTCGATTAGGGCCGAGGTGGTGCGGGAGCGGAAAGTGTCGTGGGACGAGCTTCGAAAGCCCACGTTGCGGTCTCTGAGAAAGCCCCTGCCCCTGGAGCCGCTGCAATACTACGGTTTCGGAAAGCTTGGTCGCGCCAACAATCACAAGCCTCTATTCGCAGCCGCACGACGCAAGCTCAGCGATGATCCAATCAGCCCTACCTCCCAGCCTGAGAAGCAGGACATGCCAGGGACACCCAATTCCAGCCCACCTGCCACAAACAGTGCTCCCGGCCCGGACCTTGGCAGTTCACACGACGCCACCGTTTCTGATACCGAGTCCAGTACATCGGGCGGCTCGTCGGACGCCGAATCCGAGATTTCGGGGTCGGTGCTCGCTGTGGCTCGACGCTCTCAGCAGCCCACTCGCGCAGTCTCGGTGCCTGCAATGCAGGGACGGCGCGCTGGTCAGGAGCGTGGTGGTTCTTTGAATACTGTGCGTTCTGCAGAATGGATGAAAGGCGGTCCACCATCGTCCTTCTACCCCAATCCGGACAGGCCGGCCGGTCCCGCGGGCCTAGACAACCATATTGCCGGCTATTCCTTGCAGCCGCGCTACGGGTCTGCAAGCGTTGGCCATCTGTTTCAAGGCGGTTCTGCTGCCAAGCGACCACCGGGCCGTCGAAGTAGAGCCAGTCTTCCAGCGGTGCCCAGCTCAGGGGAAATGGGATGGCGCATCGCGAGATCCAAAGGGGATAGACGACAGGACGAATTCATCAAGCGAGAGGTGGACCAGCTGTTTGAAGAAAGGCGCCGCCAGAAACGAGAAAAGGAAATATTCGCGGGCCGTATCGCTGAGCTTGAATACGAGAACAGCCGGATGGCGGCCAACAACGGCGAAATATCCCTGAAGAACGGCAAGCTCGAGAAGACGGTTGCGACCATGTCTACGCGCTTCGTCGAGCAACGCCGCAAAATGGCGGAGCTGGAGATGCGCCAGCGGGGGTTGGAGGACTACGAGGCGCGGCTCAAGGACAACGCGCACGGCCTGCTCACTCCGCCTGACACTGCGTCATCTAGATCAACGCCGGGGAACCCGGATCGAGTCATAGCTTGGGCTGAGACCCTGGCCGACTCGGCCCAGATCGCCGCCGACATCCCGGCAGCTCCGGGGGCTTTGCAGAAACACGAGGCTGTGCATGATGTTGATGCATCGGGCCGGACCCTCGACGAAACCGTCGTCAATGCTCTCCGCGAACTTTCGAACCCATCCACCACCAAATCCTTCTCGGATTTCTCTGCTTTACAGGACCACCCCCACGACGACTCCCAACCTGAAATGCCAGTAGCGTGTGTTGCTCAACCGCAGGATTTCCCTTCAGCGCTCAAAATGCCAGGAACCAGACTCCGTACTCTCAAGCCTGCAACCCCAATATACTCGCAGTCCAACTACTCGGCAGCAACGCTTGGTTCTGAACAACAACCACGCCATCGACCTGGGCCAGGCCTGGATGGCGAGCAGGCTCCGAGCAATCTTCATGGCAAGGATGGATGTCAACGGCTGAGCCCTGCCCCGGTCCCAGTCCCCGCGGCCTCACGCCAGACTTCTCAGTTTTCCCTCAGATACCACTACGGACGGTCTCGACAGCAACCCAAACAGGTGCAGTTCGACAGAAGTCAGGGCGAGAAGGCGCAAGAACCCAGGAACCTCCCGGCCCCAGCTCCTACCCGATCGAAGGATATCGTGGACAGGCTTGTGAAACAGCAGCAGAGACCAGTCGATAGACACGTTTCTCCAACGGGCATCATCCAGCACCCACCACACCTCAACCAAGTGCTCACGCAGCAGCCATCAAACCCTTATCTGCCTGGCCACCCCAACGTTGCGGCAATGAACAATTTCCAAACGTTCCAGCCTCAACACCAGGCCCACAACATGCATAGCCTCCAATACTATCAGCAGCAACAACCGGGCTACTGCGAGAGTCAAGTGACGCCAGCGCATCAATGGCACATGCAAGCTCCACGCCAACATTCGGCACCCGCGAACGTTCCGCTCATCCAACACCACCAAAGCCCCCTCCGTCATGCCTATTCATCCAGTCAAATCCAACCATCCGTCCACGCATCAGCCTCGACCGGGGTCCTCGCCCGTGCCCAGCACGCACCCCTCCCGGAACCACTCCGCAAACCATCCCAGCAAACGCTCCAACCCCCCCGCCCGAGCACATCCGCCGGCGCTTCACGCCCAACCCTCCAGCCGCCCCGCCCGAGCACCTCCCACGGCCGATCCCAACCGCCCATGTCCCGAAGCCTCTACCCTCCCCGCCCGGGCACCAGCCACAGCACGTGCGCCAGCACCTTCGGCAGCAGCACCGTCATCGCACCACCCCCGCCCCCTCTCCCAACCATCCCGCAATTCGCCCAGCAACAACAACAACAACAACAACAACAACAACAACAACAACAACAACAACAACAACAACAACAACAACAACAACAACAACAACAACAACACCTCCCTTACCAACCCCAGGCGCAACCCCTCTCCCTCCCCCAACCACCCCTCCAACGCCACCCGACCGGCGCCGCCACCGCCTTCCCCACCGGCTCCTACCTCCCGTTCCCGCTGCCACCGCACCAACTCCTAGCAGCCGGCGGCCCGACGGCGAGCGCGCGCAGCAACGACACGAGCACGTCGACGCACAGCACCGTGCTCGGCCGCATGCAGCGCCGGGCGCGGTGCGGGCTCGCCGAGAACGAGCGCGCCAACGCCGAGGAGGCGGCGGCGACGCGGCGGCGGCGGGCTGCCGCTGGCGGACTGAGTGCCGATCAGCAGCAGCGGCAACAGCAGCAGCGCGGCTCGAAGGGCGTGAAGGCGAATGCTGGTTTGGCGGGGGGGCAGCAGCAGAGGGAGGGGGAGGCGAATGGCGTGGTTTGGGGGAGGGATTTGGTGGATGAGGGGGTGCAGAGCGCGAAGGAGGAGGCGGCGAGGCTGTGGAGGGAGAGGGAGGAGAGGGAGGAGGTGAGGCGGAGGGAGGCGGAGGATCGGCGGATCAGGGGGGAGATGGAGAGGTTGGTGGCGAGGGAGAAGATGGAGAAGATGGGGGTGTTTGCGTAGGGGCGGGGAGGAAGGGGTGGGAGGGACGTATACGACATACGTTGTTTTTCTGTTAATTCTTCTTCTTCTTCTTCTTCTTCTTTCCTTCCTTGTTGGTTTTTATTTTTTTTATATTTTTTTTATTTTGTTTTTCCCCCCCTTTTTTTTTTACCTACGGTCGCTGCCCGAGTCGGATTCTTTTTACACTTTGCCTTTTCAGCCTAATATCTCACTCGCTATATACCTCACTCGCTATGTGTCTCCTTCCGCGTCGTTGTTTCCCGCTCTACTGCGAGTACGGTAATGTTTTCAATATGGTAGTCATGTTTTTCTACCAGTAAATAATGGCCTTGGTACAAGGCAGACGGAACAGGCAGGCGGCCCGTACGGGCTTGACGAGGCAAAAGTGTAAGAAAGAGCGCCGAGAGAACCAAAAAGCTGGAGTATAATAGAGGCGTATGTGGATACCCTGGCATACTACTACTGCGGTCTGGCATCATCGGAAGCTACAGAAGTGGAGGAATCGTGGACGTTCGCTTCTCTGATCAAAAGGACTGAGCGTTTTTTGCATGTACAGCATTTAATCCGCCACCGTATGTAAACATCTAAAAGCATTCTAATATTGATCTTCCTCTTCTCCGCTCGACCAAGTCCCGTTGGCACTTTGAGGACTCTTGGGCATCCATCAATTCTTGGAGTAGGATGAATTAGGTCTGTTACTGGACCAAGCCTAGCTCCTTTGCCGCTATCGGTCATGTTGAACGCAAGGTTCGCCGGTGGTCCTGCACGAACGTATCGTCATGCATATCCGACGGGGGAAATGCATCGCTTGTTCTATATACCGTGAAATGCTACGCTACGCTATGCTATACGAAGTCTAACATATGCACGCTCGTTTATAATCATCAACAACACAAGCAGTAAAAGATCACTACCAGCATCCAGACAAATGGGAAATGCACACACACACACACATCTACAAAAGGACCACCACTCGCCACCTATCAACCCACGCGCCCACGCGCCCGTCCACCGCTCAGACGGCGTAAAAGAGCCTCGTTAAAAGGCAACCCCACTCTCCCACCACCTCCGGCCGGCCACCCACCTCAGCCAATCCGAGCCCTCCCTCGCGCGCCAGCAGTTCCAATGGGCGTCGGCGTCGCCGAAGCCCAGCGCGCGCAGCGGGCTCAGCGGCACGGGCTCGAACAGCCAGATGCCGCCGCGGGCGAAGTCGTCGGCGAGCAGCGGCGCCGTGTAGTAGAACCACACGTGGACGAAGGCGAAGTTGCCCGCGCGGCGCACCCAGCGGGGCAGCGTCTCGTCGACGGCGACGACGGCGCGCAGCGCGCGGACGAGCAGCAGCTGGGCGACGATGCCGGCGGCCTGGAGGACGAAGAAGGCGAAGGGGCCGGAGAGGGGGTGGGTGCGGCCGGCCTGGGTGTGGCTGCCGGCGGCGTGCAGGCAGCCGGAGAGGGCGAAGGCGGTCACGAGCTGCAGCGCTTTGGCGGGGAGGCCGCGCGGCGGCAGGCGCAGGCGGGCGATGAGGCGCTTCGAGGGCGCCTCGAAGGCGAAGCGGAACGTCTGGTGCCACCAGCCGCCCCACCAGCCGGCCAGCCCCTTGTCCAGGACGGTGGGGGTGAAGGCGCCGAAGGTGTCCGGGTACATCCAGGCGCAGGCGCGGGCGCCGATGACGCGGGGCCCCAGGAGGCCGATGAAGAAGATGGGGGCGAGGGCGAAGATTGCGGTGAGGGCCCATTTGATGGCGTTGAGGGTGATGATGAGCCGGTAGATGCGGGTCAGCGCGGGAGAGGCGCGGATGAAGTCGGGGAAGATGGCGGGCGCGGGGGCATCGACGACGCCCCAGAAGTAGGGGTCGTGCAGTACGATGATTTTGAATAGATCTAGAAGCAGGTAGCCCTTGAGGAGGGTGGTCCAGCCGGCACGGAGCGCCTCGCCGCTTGTTTGCGGCTGGCGTGTCCCGTCGGTGCCGCGGTGCGTGTCCGGCTTGGAGGAGATGGGAGTGCCCGAGTTGGAGTGCAGCTGCTCCTGCACCCAGCGCGGTGGCGGGGCGAGTCCGGCGATGCGCCAGTTCCAGCCCATGCCCCGGAAGTTGCAGAAGACATCGGCGACCCAGTCCAAACGCTCGATGAAGGGCGAGAGCGGGAAGTGCTGCCAGGCGAAGGTGCCTCTGCGCTGGCTAGGGCCGGCGGTGGTGCCGAGTCGTCTCCGCTCGGCGGCGATGTCGACGTCCTTGATGGTCGAAACGGTCAGGGAGTCGGACTGTGGCTTGTCTTTGACTGTAGTGCCGTTTGATACTGCGGACCCGTTGCTGCGGAGGCTGGCGCTGGCGCCCTCGGTGCGCTCGATCCTGGCGAAATCGGTCTGGGCATCGTGTGCGACCAGCAGAGTGAAGGTCCAGAGCAGCGACCAGGAGGATATCAAGCCGACGCCAAAGGCAGGGGCTATGTTGCGGGCACGGGTGTAGAGAACAGAATGGATTGACCAGTATGCGTTGAGAGCCCACACCGGGTATCTGAGGCTCCTGAGGAACGGAGAGTGGCAGTGCGGAACAAGCAGATAGACGAAGCAGAAGAGGGCGCCGAAGCTGGCCCAAGGATAGACAAAAGGAACAAAGTCACCTGAGCTGATGGCAGCGTCGTACCTTGCGTATATCTGGGCGAGGGCCTCGCTGTGTGTGGCAGGCGGGCCGTCGAACATGGCGCCTGTGTGCTGCAGAGTGAGAGGAAGGGTCAGTCGGGGGCGACATGGCGGCGGAGGGCAGTGGTCATGAAGAGAGCACTGCGTGTTTTGGGCATAGATCAGGATCTTGGCAGGCACCGCATGAGCCACATGACGTGGACCCGGTCGCGGCTCTGCCACGTGCATGACTAACGCCCCGCCGCCGCCGCTTTGGGCCGAATGTTACAGCCCGCGCTAACCCCCGCCGCCGCGATTCTTTACACCGCAGCCCACCCAACAGCAACCGCCTGCATCACCAGCCGCCGCCGCCACCGAGTCCCTTCCGAGCATTCGAAGCAGCCGCGGGGACGCCACTTCCGCCCCACCGCCAACATGGTCAACATCACGGAGAAGATCAAGGAGTACGATGCAGCCGCCTCTCGCCCGGCGTAAAAAAATGTCCCGCACCCCGCTGACGTCGTGTGCCCCTCCAGGATTGAGTCGGAGATGGCGAGGACGCAGAGTAAACCCACCTGCCCCCTCCTGCATGCGCACCCTCGGCTGACCTGTGCAAGAGAACAAGGCAACCGGTACGCCCTCCAGGCACCATTCACGTGACGCAAATTCTGACCACGCTCAGAGTACCATCTTGGTCTGCTTAAAGGGTATGTCGAACCGATTGCACCTTCTGATCCGAGACTGACGCTGTGCCAGAAAGCTTGCCCGACTTCGCGCCCAGCTTCTTGAGCCTGCAGGCGGCGCCGGCGCCGGCGGTGGTGAAGGGTTCGATGTCAGCAAGAGCGGAGACGCCCGTATAGCCTTGGTGGGCTTTCCCTCCGTAGGAAAATCGACCTTCCTGTCCAAGATCACCCGGACGAAGAGCGAGGTCGCTGCTTACGCTTTCACCACCTTGACGGCCATTCCCGGTGTGCTGGAGTATGGTGGCGCCGAGATCCAAATTCTCGATCTGCCTGGTATCATTGAGGGAGCCGCCGAGGGCAAGGGTAGAGGGCGTCAGGTCATCTCCGCCGCCAAGGTATTCGCCCATGCCGTGCCGCATGAGGAAAACCCGAGCTGACCGTGGCAGACGAGCGATATGATCCTGATGGTGCTTGACGCGACAAAGCGGGCCGAACAGCGCGCACTGCTGGAGGCGGAACTGGAGGCCGTTGGAATCAGGCTCAACAGAGACCCTCCGTATGTATCTTTCCACGTGCTACGGCAGTTTCTCGCTAACTCCTCCAGAAACATCTATCTGAAGCAGAAGAAGGCAGGAGGCATGAAGATTACCTTCCAGACTCCGCCCAAGAATATTGACGATAGGATGGTCGCCAACATCCTTCGTGACTACAAGATGCTCAACTGCGAGGTCCTTGTCCGCGACGAATACGGTGAGCATATTGATGGCAGCTCTTGCGCCGACTTCCGACTGACGTCCCGGTAGCTACTGTCGATGATTTCATCGACGTCATCATGAAGGACCACAGAAAATACATCAGATGGTAAGCCAGGCCACCCAGCACCCACCCAATGCAACACACCTGTCTCACTGATTCTGCAGTCTCTACGTCTACAACAAGATCGACAGCGTCAGCCTGGACTTCCTAGACAAGTTAGCGAGAGAGCCACACACGGCCGTCATGAGCTGCGAGCTCGATCTTGGAATTCAAGACGTCGTGGACCGGTGCTGGAAGGAGCTGAGGCTGATCCGCGTCTACACCAAGCGGAAAGGAGTGGACCCCGACTTTGGCGAGGCTCTCATCGTGCGCTCCGGTGCGACCATCGAGGACGTCTGCGACCAGATTCACCGGACCATCAAAGACACGTTCAAGCACGCCCTGGTTTGGGGAGCCAGTGCAAAGCATGTTCCACAGCGTGTTGGGCTTGGGCATGTGGTCGAGGATGAGGATGTGGTCAGCATCGTTTCAGCGTTCAAGGCATAGACCATGGTGGAAGGTTACACGGGTAGTGTGCAGATGACCCTGGAGCAAGAATCATGGTGCATGCTTCTCCACAATCTTTCGACCTGCGTATGACAGGGCGTGCCTAGAGAAGTCAGAAAGTTACTGGGGACTCTTTAATACAACTTGCTTTACGCCGTCGGGCAGGTGGCAGGCGTCAGGGTGACCCCTTTCCGTCAAAATATATATTTTTTGAAAGTAGCCATCTGCACATATCGTACAAGTCGGCATCCACGTTGGAACGAAAAGACTGGGGGCGGCCGGCGAGAAGGCGCGATGCATGCAGGGTGGTCACCGAGTCAGTTGGCGATGACATGTGCCGCGTGCGGAGGCCAATCAACTCCGATCATCCCCGCGACCCACGAGCTCTAACCGCGACCCGCTCTCTCCCACCGACAATGCGCGAGCGTTTGGAGCTTGACTAGCACACCAGAGCCTACAGAAGCCATCACCACCATGGCAGAATTCAGCACCACCAAGCTCAACGCCGAGCAGCACCTGCTCCTCGTGAGTCGGCACACCGTTTCCCCGCCGGTCGAGGTCGAGCCACCAAGATACACTAACACTCCTCTCTGCCGCACAGGACCAGCCGCTACTGCGCATGCCCTACGAGCTGGCACGCAAGAACTTCAAGACGGCCCAGCGATACGTCGAGCGCGAGCAATCATACGTCACCAAGGAGCTCAAGAGCGCAGCAAACGGCGCCGCCCAAGCAGCCACCACCGGCGACGCAACCGCCACTCTGTCGCAGCTCGACACCATGATCAACCGCATGCAGGTCCTGAAGCGCAAGCTCGACACCCTGCACACCGAAGAGACCACCATTCACAAGGCCACCAAGACCCGCATCCAGCACCTCGACGATCTCTACGACATACCGAGTTTGGCCGACGTCAAATACGACGAGTGGAGCAAGGTGCGCCTCGACCGCCTGCTGGTCGACTACCTGCTGCGCAGCGGATATGGCGACAGCGCGAAGGCTCTGTCCAAGGAGAAGGGCATTGAAGAGCTCGTCGACGTCGATGCCTTTGTCCAGTGCGAACGCATTGCCGAGAGCCTGAGGAGAGGGCGCTGCCAGGAGGCTCTGGCCTGGTGTGGTGACAACAAACAGGGTCTGAAGAAGCTGGAGGTACGTTGCCCGACGGACAATAAGTTCAAGAAAGGGACACAGGCGAAACGCTCGCTGGAACAGTTCTGGCAGGCGTTCTTCGGGGGACAATGTCCGTCTGGATGCTGCACGCAGGCCCAAGGCCTATCCGAGGTTATGGACCTGTGGACGGTATGCCGGACAGACTGCGTTTCATCTGTCGCGATTCGCTTCCAAGCCTGCTACCCTTGCTTCTCTCCTTCGCAGTAGCTTCCGGATATCGTCCGCTAACTTGTTGCCAGATCAATCTTGAATTCGAATTGCGTCTGCAACAGTACGTCGAGATGGTCCGCACAGGCACTACCCAGAAGCTTCAAGAGGCGACACAACATGCACGCAAGTACCTGGCGTCGCACTCGGATACCAAATACGCCATTCGCGCCGCCGGTCTGTTAGCGTTTCCTCCTGATACGACCACCGAGCCGTACCAGGTAAGTGTGCGACCCACCTTCTCTGCATGAGAATGTCGCCACGATTAACGAAGACGACTCGTCGCTAGACTCTCTACTCCACCGAGCGCTGGCCCATGCTCGCCGAGCTCTTCATCAAGACTCACAACACACTCTACTCGCTTCCGCCCAACCCCCTCCTCCACATCGCCCTTTCCGCCGGCCTCTCGGCGCTCAAGACGCCTTCCTGCCATTCGCAATACGCATCCTCGTCCTCCAATGCCAACAGCACCTCCACCTCCGTCTGTCCCATCTGCTCCACCGAGCTGAACGAGCTCGCCCGCAACGTGCCCTACGCCCACCACACCAAGTCGTTCGTCGAGAACGACCCGGTGGTCCTGCCGACGGGCCGCATCTACGGACGCGCGCGCTTGATGGAGATGAACGCCAAGCTGGGCACGCCGAAGGGCTTCGTGAAAGATCCCATGGTGCCGAACCTCATTTATGAGGAGAGTCAGCTGAAGAAGGTCTTCATTTCGTAGATCTCAACTTTTGTCTCTTTTTTTTTTTTCCCTCGGTCGACAGGTTGGGCCAAAGTAGAGGAAGATCGGTCGGTCTCACGCGCCATCCGCCAGCAACGGTGATTTCCGGTCGTTTCAGTCCATCATAGCGATGGAGTAGGCATTTCCGGCTGGGTTGGGGGGAGGCGTTCCTGCTTCCTGGGTATTGAATCGGTGTTAATGGCTTGGTGTTTCCAAGAAGGGATCAGGTGTATGGATTGGGGGTGGGCGGAGACTTCATCGTTATCGAATTTGATTCTTCCGCCTCTTTTTACTCGTGCGCCTGGAGAGTGGTAGAACCTTGCTGTCTGTACACAAGCCATGGTTTCTAACCAGCTCGGTCCGGACACCATGAATTGCATGAGCTTTTGTCCTTTCGTTTCTTTCAAGGGATGTTGCACTATTATTTCACGAGTAGCCGAAGTAGATCTCCGGGTGTAGACGTGAGGTTTAAGATTATGCGATTACGTCCAGGCTTAGGGCCCGGCTACCCAGGAAAGTAGGGCGAGACATCTCTCATGAGACGGATCGCAGGATTTCGATTCCATTTGAAATCCAGTACGCGGTAAGCGGACCTGATGATAAGCATAGCCCTTGCCAGGGAATGTGAAAAAAAAAGACCCTCTTGAAGCAAAATTTCCTTGTTTTTTTCCCCGCATTCCGACGAACGAGGTACGTCCGTCCTCAACCCATAACTCATTCATCCGAATCACTACCATCCCCACCACCACCACCACCACCACCCTTCTTCCTCTTCTTCCCCGTCCCAGCAGCAGCATCCTTTCCACCCCCGCCGCTTCCGTTCCTGGCCCCGCCCTCGCCCTCGCCAGCCTCAAAGACATACGTCCGCGCGCTCCTCTCCTCGCCGCGCCACTTGCCGCCCATCTCGCCCTCGACGTTGCCCAGCGTGCGCGCGTGGCGGTAGCCGGGGTAGGCGGCGGCGAGGAACCTGAAGGAGCGCTGGACGCGGAGGCCGACGTGGCGGGCGAGGTCGCGGACGTTCCAGAGGGTGTAGGGCTCGCCTTCGAAGAGGGTGACGGCGATGGTGGGTTTGGCGGAGACGGGGGAGGAGGGCGCGGGCGCGGCGGAGAGGAGCGGCGTCGCGGCGGTGAAGAAGGATACGAGGAGTTCTGTTGTTGTTTTTCGTAAAGGCATGTTAGTGGGGTGGTGTCGGAGGGGGTCTGAAGTTGTGGGGAAGGTTTGTTGTTGTGTTCTTACCTTGGTTGTACCGCACCTGCCGATTGACATCTGTGCTCTTTCCGCCCACGTGCGGGAAGTTGAATATGATCCTGTCCCAACCGCCGCCGCCACCACCACCGCTGCCGCCTTTCGTATCGCACTCTCCCTTCTCCACCAGACCCTCACCAAGCCCTCCCTTCTTCACTTCCTTATACGCCCCCAGTTTCGTTGCATCCACTCCGCACATGACCCTACATCCTTCTTCGCCCTCGATGTACGCCATGTTCGCCTCCGCTTGCGGGTACTTGCGCAGCAGCTCGTCGCGCGCGTCGTATGCCGTGGCCAGCACGTCGGCGCAGCCGTGGTGTTCGATGGCCGAGCGTGCGAAGCTGAAGTCGCCGTCGCCGACGATGAGGATGCGCTCGTTGGGGTCGAATGGGATGGTGTAGGTTGGTGTGTCTTCTTCTTGTCGTTGTTGTTCTTGTTGTTGCGGCTGCTGCTGCTGTGGCTCTTTTCCTTGCTGGTGGTTGTCGTCGGCGGCAGATGGCGCAGCGGTCGACGGGTTCTGCTTCTGCTTCTTCTTCGCTGGTTGTTGCTGCGACGGCGATCCGGCAACTTTTTTGGCGTCTGCGGTCGCGGCCTTTTGCGCTTTCGCTGCGGCGCGGTTCGCGCGGCCCTTTTCGAGCCACGGCTTCTTTTTTGTGCGGGCCATTGGCGTACGGGCCTGAGGATTTGGGGTGTTGAGAAAGAGTGAATGAAAGGTCGAGGTTAGATGTGAGGTGGGAACTGGCGGGGGAGCGAGCTTGAGCGGAAGGAACGAGAGCTCGGACGGAAACTTACTAAGTACGGTACCTAGGTGCGGCTCTGCGGAAAGCTTGGGCCAGTAGGCCGCGGCGTAGGGCTGAGACAAGCGGAAAACCCCAAGCTGGTCCCGTCTGAACATCGAAGCACTGGCTTTTTTGTGCGCCTGACGACAGCGTGTCGCTCCTGCTTGCAACAAGTAAAGAAGATGATCCGTGGCAGCGAAATTGTCCATGTTGATTCAATTTTTGATGGCTTTGGCCCGGATGCCCGGAGCCAAGGTTTGATTATTCTCCCACCCTTGCTTTGAAGACTCAACCAAGCCGTCTTCACCAGATCCCTAGTTCTGACACATGCCTCTATTGCATTCACTCGCATCCTCGCTGTTCGTACACGCATCCATCCCTCATCGTGCCATGCAGTCATAATCATCTTGACTTCGTTTATTCGGAATCTATCGCAGTCGGTCGCCTAAGTCGTTTCTGCGTCCCTTGGGGAGGCAGCGAAAGGAGACGCATGCTTCGGATCCTCTCCGAGTCATTGAACTAGCAAGGAAGAAGCCCCTCTGGATCGCTTGGTTGCTGTGGTCCTCAGAGCATCCTCATCTGCCTGGTGTAAAGCCAACGAAAGCAAGTAGATAGTGGGCAACAGACGGCCCACGTGGTATCTGGCCATGCGGCAAGACGGTTTCCAACACACATCCGCCTCGAGCGGAGTATGCATCGCCAGCCGCATTCGAAATCACAATCGCTTGGATCCGGCCTTCTCCTGAAAAGACAGAATCGCGCGTAGGTATCTCGAGCAAGCAGAACGGGGCGAGCCTCCGACTGCCTCTCTCTCTCTAAGCGAGATGTTCGGAATGTCGGGCCAGGCCAGAGAAGGAGCTGAAACTATAATACAGGTTTGATGGACTTGAAGGACACGGCGGCTCACATGTTGAGCTTCATGACGTCTGCGGTGCCGAACGACCTGCCATCCACAGGACATTTGCGAGAACGACCACGGAACTGCTCGTCCACGCAATCCCGGCACATTACGTGACCGCACGTCTTGATGGCCGTGTCCTTGAGATTCTTGCGGCAAACAGGACAAAGGGCATACGACTGTATACCGTCAGCGTGGCGATCAGACGAAAGGTGGGTTTTAGCCATATACTTACCCGCCACATCTCGTTCATGTCATCCCTCTTGTCCTTGTCTTTCCAGTTGCTTAATTGCCTGTCGGTCTCTTGCAGTCGAACCTTGAGCTTCTCGAGCTCAGTCTCAAGCTCCCTCTGCAATTGCTTAGAAGATAAAACTGCACTGTCCTTGGTGTTCAGCATAATCTTCAGCTCGACGATTTGAGCCTGGAGGGTTTCGGTCATGTTCGCCCTTTCTCCGGACTTCTGTTGCAGAATTCTGAGCTGATCCTGGAGCCTGTTCAGCGCTTCTCCACTCTCCGCCACCTGCTTTTCGAGATTGATCTTCATGTTCTGGTTGGCGCCTTCGATGGATTTGAGCTGAGCAATGATTTCCGCGTTGCGCGAATTCATCGTCTTCATGTGTCGACACTCAGCTTCCCTGGCGTCCTTTGCCTTCATGGCGGCGAAGTACTTCTGGTCTGCCTTGGACTTTTCTGCGGTTAACCGATTTACCTGTTCTTCCCAGTTGACCAGTTCGGAAGTCTTCTTTGCCGCCAATGCTTGTGCCTTTTTCCAGGCAACCTCCATGGACGGGAGCTCGTTGCTGAGCAGGGCGTATTCTCTCTCCAGGGTCGTGACTCTGACGCGAAGCTCGTCCGGTGACAAACCTTCCAGATTCTGGGTCGGCTCATCGGCCTTCGTTTCGCCGACCCTCAACCGAAGACGCTCGACCTCCGTCTCAAGCGCAGCTATTCTGCTTTCCCTGGCACTTGCCAGCTCCTTGATCTGCTCAGAAGAAGCACTGACGTCGTCTTGAGCCGCCTTACGCTGCGCCAGTTCGGATGCCAACTCATCCCTTGCGTTGCGGATGCGGGCAAGATCTGCTTCAGCCTTCGCCAACTGGGACTCAGTCTCACTGATAGCGGCTCTCGACTCCTCATCCATTTGTGCTCGGTAAGCTGTGCGTTCTGCATGCAATTTCGTGGCTTCTTCACGAAGTTGCACGTTAGTGGCCTCCAAGTGGTTGATCCGTTTGATGACGTCCTCATGCTGGCTTTTCAGTGCTTTGAATAAATCCGTTTTCGCATAGTCCTCATCCGTTAATCCGGAGAATCTGGCCTTGAGCGAGGTGACTTCTTCTGTCAGTTTCTTGTTTTCAGCAGCAAGTTGATCGCATTGAGCCTTGCGCTTCTCCGCAACAGCATTCGCCTCTTTACGCGCGGCTTCAACCTCAGCACTGTCGAGAGAGCCATTGGCAACAGGCGGGCTGTCAGCCTTCTGCTTCGAGTCATCCTTGCTTGCTGAAGGTACAGGAGCGGCTCCCAGCCCAACCATTGCCACAGCCTTACTCCTCTCACGATCATACTTTCTCTCGGCAAGAACGTAACGCTCCGTCGCGCCCTGCAATCGAGCCTCATACTGTTCCTTTTCTGCAATAGCCCGGTGAAGCTCTGCGGTATGCTGCTTCTCAACTGACAGCAGCTTAGAGATCTGACCCTTAAGTGCCTGGATCTCGGGGGCAGCAGTCGGGATCTTGGAGAACAGATCGGAAAGAGCCTTCTTTATGCTATCCGTGCGGGCAGAGAGATGTTCCTTGAAGGATTCGGAATCGGAAGAGAGGAGAGTTGTAGGAAAAGGCACCGAGTCTTCACAGAGGCATTAGATCATGTTTGGATGTACGATCGGGGAAGGAACGGCGACGTACCGGAAGGCCTGGTGTCCGACGTGGGGAGGGTCTCGTTGGCAAGGACGGCAACCTCATCGATAAGCTAGTGACGCGTTAGCGATAGCAAAGGATTGTGCGCTTTCAGTGATGGTACCTGAGAGAACCAGAGATCAATGACGCGCAGGTGGTCATCATGATACTTGGACTGATGCTCAAGATCTGCCACGCGTTGCTCGAGGTCGGCCTTCCTGCGCTTGTATTCATTCTTTTGTCTTATTAGGGCGTCCTTGGTGAATTCCTGAGAGGATGCGCTGTCAGCAGCGAGTCTTTAGTGGCAGTAGCAAGCACGAAACCGGAGCTGACGAACCTCGAAGACACGGTCTCGGTCGGTGAGCGGGTCCAGGTCCGTCAGGGCCTTGGTGCCGTTGGATAGTGTCGCCTGGCGCTTTGCGGGTGGTGCAGTCTCATCGCGGTCGGACATGGCTGGTCTCTTGCGGTCCTCCATCGTTGCAACGCCGAGGGAAGGGCCAGTCACTGACTTGGATGCGAGCCTCATGGAAGCGGAGACGCTGCGACGCGATGAGACGGACCAAGTACAAGGCGCAGACGGAGGCAAAAGAACGGATGCACGCGAAGCGACCCCGGCGTTGGCGGTGGGAGGGTCGGGGGGCGATGGCGGGACGATTGGGCGTGATCGGGGGATGTTGTGAAGTTGGAGCCACACAAGCGTTCAAGGAGCGGAATCGCACGTGACCGAGGATCGGCGTCGCACGGACTGAGCGATTGCCCCACTGTGCGTTCCCGTCGGCGCGACTCATCTGGCAGCCACGGCGGCTTGACTTTTGAACGCGACGCGACCGCCATGCTGCCCTGCCCATAGCATCTCCCCCGCCGTCTGCACCTCATCTTCCGCCGACGACTGCGCCTGCTTCTGGCCGCACACAATGTCGGCCTTCCATGGCAGCTCCGCCATCAGTATGCTCTTGCTGCCACCATAGCTGCAGCTTCCATCGCTAATGTCCGCCTCCAGACAAGAGCAGCAAAAAGTTCGCACCCAAGGTCGCAAGACGCCGTCCCGCCGCCGTCTCCGGATCCGAAGCCGCCTCCGCCACTTCGAGCGCTGATCAAACGCCTGTTGGCACACCCGCTGCCTCCGACGCGCCCGCAAATGAGCCTGTCCAGTCCGAACTCCAGAATGTTTTGCCTACTCCGCCCTCCACCCAACCCCCCTCACAAGCTCAACGTACGCCGGCTGCTGTGGTCGAGCAATCTGCTCCGCATGTCGTCCAGTCAGCCTCGATAGTTTCCGCAACAGTGTCGCACAATGATGAGCTGGAGGCCGGAGGAAGGTCGCCTAAGCGTAGGAGGATCGAAGTACCCACATCAGCGCCAGAAGCGTCTACTGGAGACATTGAATCAGCACCGCCCGCACTGCCTGGTACCCCTGCTCCATCGGGGACGACAGCCCATCCTTCAGGCCAGGCAGCTGAGGGCGATGTACGGGGAGCCAGTGCCGAAGCATCGCAAGGGACAGCCGGCGATGCCCAGGATTCGTCAGCACAAGCTTTAGTGACGGAACCAGTGGCTCCAGCTAGAGGTCAGAGCAGTGCAGTCAGCCCGCCCCCCCAAGATAGCTCTGAAAGCGCGTCTGCTGGTAATGAGCCCAAATCTACGAAGGTCACACAACCAAAGGCTGTGAAGAGGCGTGGAGCGGCCCGGCTCTCTAATCGGGATCTTATCAAGGAGGTTATGGGGAAAAATTCCGGAATGACCAAACCGTCAAGACTAGCGTCCACAACGGAAGAAAGTCCAGCTCATAGGGAAGACCGGCCCAATGCGAATCCAGGCAACAATCAGCACCAGGAAGAGCCAGCTCCTCCGGCTGATGATATCACACAGTCTGTAGACGAAGGGTCCGCCGCAACCCGTGCCTCCAAGCGGACACCAATTGTCGCGGCATCAAGGAGGAGAAAGCAACAAGCAGATGCCCCTGCAGGGAACGAGCAACATGTCGTCGAACAGGAAGCAGAAGCAGAAGAAGCGCAGATAGCCAGTAGCTCCGCACAGACCACAGCTGCGAAGAAACCACGCCAACCTCGTCCTAAGAAACGCACATCGGCGGAGACACATAACACTGAGGACGGGCCAAATGGAAACGAGGAGGCACCTAAGCCAAAACGCGCTAGGAGAAAGCCCAAGATTCCGGTTCGTATCTCCGAAGCGGATAGTGGAGCCGAAGGAACAGAAGCAGGAACCACAGGAGGCCCAGCAGAAGAACAGGGTGTCGCGGCACGAAAGCGACCTAAAAGTGTGTTGGACCATCTTGTGTTCGATGAAGAAGATCACGAGAATCCCGAGAAGACAAGAATCAACGCCAGCTCCATGCCCATGGGTGTGCTCACGAGAGACATTTCTCTAGTCGGTACCATCTCACAGCGAGAGGAAGCACTTTCGAGGGTGGATTGGGACGAAGAGAAGCGCAAACGAATGGAAGAGCGTGAGCGCATCGCCATGGGAGAAGAACAGGCTCGAACACAAGCAGAGCGGTATGAGGCTCTTGCAAGGCTTCAGGAGGCGGCCAACACTTCGGGCACTTCTGTGCAAGCTCCGCAGATGCGCGTTGTGAACGGCGTCGTGATGCTTGACCACACGTCTACTACGGTAGATCGGAATGCTCGAGCGCGCGAGGATGCAGAAGAACTCCAGGAAGTCGAAGAAGATGAGCTTACGACTCGAGTCAACCAAATGTCTTGGATCAAGGCCAATCGCAAGGATCCGCGTGAGAGGACAAGCTGGGGCCCAACTCGTGCAGACCGATGGTCGGACGAGCAAACCGATATGTTCTACGACGCACTGAAAATGTTTGGCACCGACTTCTTCATCATCAGCAAAATGTTCCCCGGAAAGACGCGCGCGAACGTGAAACGCAAGTTTGTCAAGGAAGAACGGCTGGATCCTGAGCGCATCAAGCGCGTTCTGATCGGCGAGAGCGTCCCGATGGACTTTGAGGAGTACAAGAGGAAGACGGGCAAGGACGACACTTTCTTCCGCGACCCTGAACAGTTGCGTCAAGAGCTGGCGCAGGAGACTGAACAACAGAGGCAGGAAGTCGAGGAAGCGCAGGCAAGGTATGCCGAGCAGCAGAGGCAGCGCAAGCTGGCCAAGCAAGGCGGTGCCGACGTCGATGGCGAAGAGGGCGAGGGGCCTAAGAAAGGAAAGAAGAAGAAGGGTGAGGGCAGGAAGGGCAAGAAGAGCAAGGCGCCAATCGGTGGTGAGGAAGTCGAAGTGGTTGAGTTTGAGGGTGACGAGCTTGAGCACCGAAGATGATGTCCAGGTGCTGAAGTAGAGGACGGAGCCAGGCAGGTAGAGCAGTGGATCCGGTGTAGCCCAGATGGTGGGGAGGATGAGACGTGGACAAAAGCAACGCAGCCAAGAATCCCAGGTCGGAACGAGTTGCGAGATGCAGTGCAGTTCCCAATCAGTACGTGCACGCCCGAATACGGCCTATACCTTGTCAGATTTGGATACCACAGGGCTTGAGCACAGCGCCATGGAGAGCCTTCTTTGTTCGAGTCTTGCGATAAAGGCTCTTTTCTACTAGGCGGAAGTGGTCGGACTTCACTCCGAAGACAAGACATATCGGTAAGCGTGCATTCTTTTTGAAAGCGGTTAAAAGGATGCCAATCATTTCCTTGGCCGGCAGCATCTTCAACTTCCATCCAATTGCGAGATCTGGCGGTTGCGATCGAAGCCGGAGCCCAACGCGAAGCAGCATCCATCTCAGTATACGTGGGCTTGTGAGACAGGGAACTCTGGGAGCTTTGCATGACACGATGAAGGCAACCCACCAGGGGTGCGGACAATAGGTAGGCGTCGGTCGAGCGCTGGGCTGCAGCTTGTGGCACCGCGTGCGCCCTCTAATCCCAAAGCCGCCTGCGCCTGGACCTGCGATACAGCCATTCCTCGGCCAGTTAGCATTTTATTTGTTTAGCACACGGCGGTCAAAGGTTGAAGCGGCGAGGCGACGGTGGTAGAGGGGCGAGGAGGAGCGAGCGGAACAAGTCTTACTTTAAGCGAACCAAAGTTGAAGCTGCGCGCGATTGCCAGAGGCCGCCGGTACCAGCGCCCTAGCCAGGAGCGACGGGCCAGGTTGGCGAGGAAGGGGCAGCCCAGAGGCAAGGACGGCAATTGCAGCAGCCGCGGCTTCCACCGTCTGGCGGCGCAGAGCCGTGTCTCAGTCCAAGACGGCGGTCATTCCTGGTCTAGGCTGCTTTGTTGCCTCAGACACCAGCCATGGAGCGCGCGCCTGCCTGTGGGCTTCGGCATTAAGGACCGGTGCTCTTTCATCCCAGGCCTGCCCCAAGCCCTTCCCCTGCGTTGCCGCACCGCCCGTCCTGTGTGCCGCCCGAGCCTCCGGCAACAACAACACAGCGGCGGTAAAGACACCTTTTGCTATCCTACCTCCACCCTCCAGGACCGAACGCCAAGCATGCCACCAGCCTAGCTCGCTCACATCGCCACCAATCCAATCCTTCTCCAGGAGCTGTGGCTCAGAGGCCCCTTGTCGCAGCTTGCGTATGTGGCGGTTGAAGGGCAATGAATGATTATGGACCTCTTGCGGCAACCCTCCCCGGAATCGCGTGGCACAATATCCAGGCCGTGCGCCAGTGACGATGCAACTTCCATCTACTTCATGTGTGACGACTCCTGGGCCGACCGGGGCGCCGTCGATGAAGTCAACCAGATCCGTCTTCTGGATTTTCTTCGCCTTGACACCCGCCCGACCTTCGTGCTCGACCTGGCTTCCCTCGGCGAAACGCACAGCTTGCTTCATCCCATCTACTGCAACCCGGCCCTGTTGGGCGCCGCAAACGGCACCCTCCTCCCGCTCATCACCGGCCGGGCCAACGTGGACGCCGTTGGCGCTCTCTTCACCGGAAGTTATTCGCGCTTCCGGACGTGGACTTGCAGCCCAGAGGATGGCTCTCGGAACGGCGGCTTCAGGTACGCCAACATACAGTGGACAAAGTTGGTGTTGATGGGCCGCTGGAGCGTTGTCAGTGGTGTGCTGGACCAACCACGTTCAGACCTGCGCCTCGCTGACCTCTTTCACACTTCTCCCCAACCGACCGCAAGGACACTTCCGACTTTTGGATTCCCCGGCTTTAGTCGGGACATGCATCCCAATCAGTGTGTGCACCTTGAAGCCCAAAGTGACGACCTGGTTGTTGCACAGCTGCCGAGCTTGACACCGGATTCGCCTGAAATGCCGGCCAAGACTACTGACCGTCCGCTTGGGATGGATGATGGCCAGTCCAACGATGCCCGCGACACGCCATCTATCCATTGCTTCGATTGGACAAGCGATCATCCGTACCCAGACATGTCGGCCCATGTCAAATTCGCCCGGTCCGTGGATTGGAGCCAAACACCGCTAGGCCCGATGGGCAGTTGGACAAGTCCTCTGCGTACGATGAGTAATCTGGTCATGCGAGATCCGAACCCTTCCGTCTTGTTCTGGGGAGAAGAGGTTACCATGATCTACAATGAGGCTTACATCGAGCTCATCGGAGAATTGCACCCGATAGCCATGGGCAAGAGCGCAAAGGTCGTGTTCGAGGAATTTTGGAGCCATTTTGTCCCTATCATCTCCCGCAACCGCCTTGTTGGAGAGGCTGTACCCGAAACTAACAAACCCATCTTCCTCGCAAGAAGAAACATGGTGGAAGAGACGTATTTCTCCTTTACCTTTCTTCCCGTCATGGATGACCAAGGGAACGTCGTTGGCCATTACGAACCTGTGAAGGAGACTACAACACAGGTCGTCTCCGAGAGGCGGCTTTCTACTTTGCTCAGGCTGATCGAGGAAACCTCGATTGCCCGGACACCGGATGCCTTCTGGAGCTCGGTGTTGCAGGGGCTATCAGCGAACGACAAAGACATCCCCTTCGCCACGCTGTACGCCATTGAATGTGACGGGGGCTTGAGCGAAGACTCGTATCTTGGCTCGATCAAGAGCGTTGTGAAAGAATGCACCTTAAAAGGCTCCCTTGGTATACCCGAAGGCCATCCTGCCGCTCCTCCTCATCTCGACCTTCTGGAGGGCATCGAGTCCTTCATGCCCTACTTACAGGAAGCCGTCGACACGGGAAAGCCGATACTTTTTGGCTTGGATGAGCCGGCTTTTCCAATGGACTTGTTTGATGGCATACGCTGGCGCGGGTTTGGCGATCCATGCAACGCGATTGTCATTTGCCCCATCACGCCGACAACCACCACGAACGCGCTCGGCTTTCTAATTGTTGGCCTGAACTCACGCCGTCCGTACGATGATGATTACCAGCAGTTCATGGGCGTCATCGCTAGATCACTGGCTACCTCGCTAGCATCTGTCGTCCTGCACGAGGAGGAAATACGGTCTCGTGAGAGGGTAATCTCCCAAGCGGAGCTTATGAAGACACAGCTCTCCGAGCAACTGGATGTCAGCCGGAAAGAAGTCGCGAGAAACGAGAAGAAATTCCAGCGCTTCGCGGAGCGCGCCGATGTGGCTATCTTCATCGTAGGCTCGGATGGCCACTACACTTACCGAAACCAGGCATGGTTCGAGATTTTCCAGCTGGGAGACGCCGATCTAGACGTCAGAGATGCTTGGCCTCGCCTTTGCTATGCAGAGGATATACCAAGGTGCGAAGAGTATTTCAAGCGGTTGATGGCCGACAACTGCCCGATAAACTTTGAACTCCGTCTCAGAAGATCGTGGACGCCAGCGACAGATGACGCAGCCCTGATGACGGCTGATGGGAATTCGGTGCAAAGCGTGTGGATTCTTTGTTCCGCGTATCCCGAGGTCTCTGAAAGTGGTGAGATCAAAGAGATTGTAGGATGTGTGACGGATATCAGCCGCCAGAAATGGGGCGAGTGGCTGCAGAAGCAACGAACGGAAGATGCCCTGGAATCAAAGCGACAGCTCGAGAACTTCATCGATACCACAAGCCACGAGATGCGCAATCCTCTCGGTGCAGTCATTCAATGTGCGGATGGCATCATCGCGTCCCACAGCGCTTACATCGACTCCAACAGTGATCTCGGTGAACTGGAACGAAAGCTTTTGGACAGTGGCATCGACTCTGCGCAGACTATTGCACAGTGCAGCCAGCATATGAAGCGCATCGTTGATGATGTCCTGACAATGTCCAAACTCGATTCTGGTCTCCTCATAATGACGCCCGTTGATACGCAACCGGAATACCTTGGACGACATGCTGTCAAGATGTTTGAAGCCGAAGCCAGGGCGGCTGGCGTTGACCTCAAATACACTGTCGATCCATCATGCCGTGAGCTCGGTCTGGACTGGGTATCACTTGATCCCACTCGGCTTCTACAGATCATCATCAACCTCGTCACCAACGCCATCAAATTTACGAGGCTAGAGTCGCGGCGGACAGTGATTTTGAGCATTGGTGCAAGCACGCAGCGTCCATCCAGGTGCAAGGCCCACGGGGTCAACTACATCCGCACCTCGGCCTCTCCCGAATCGCCTTCGCTCATTGCGGACTGGGCCAAGGGCGGCTGCGTTTTCGTCCAGTTCGCCGTCCAGGACACAGGCCGTGGCCTTACAGAAGAGGAAAAGCAGCTCCTCTTCGCCCGTTTCTCGCAAGCTTCGCCACGGACTCACATTCGCTACGGCGGCAGCGGCCTCGGCCTCTTCATTTCTCGCCGCCTTACCGAGATGCAAGGAGGCGCCATCGGCTTTTCGTCGCATACCCGGGGTGGCAGCACCTTTGCGTTTTACGTCAAGGCCCGCCGTAGCGCCCCGCCGACGCCGCTTGACGTGGGCAGTACTGAGTCGATGCAGGAAATGATGGACGTGTTGACTCCTCTGACACCTACCGGCAGCGCCGATGATGAGTTTGTGCAAACGCCTCCAGCGACGAAGGTGCACTCGCCGGTGCGGGCAAGGTCCGACTCGCTGGACCACGACCTTCAAGAAAGCAGCAGCCCGGCAAAACGTCCCAGCCTACGCCGCCAACAGTCGAACGTATTGGACCCCATTCACGTGCTACTGGTCGAGGACAACCTCATCAACCAGCGCGTGCTGGCCAAAGAGCTGAACGGCAGAGGCTGCCTCGTTTCCGTGGCCAACCATGGGGCCGAAGCGTTGGAATTCCTGCGTAGAACGATGTATGCCTCGCCCGAGTACGCCAAGGTCGCGACAGGCAATAGGAATGGCAATGGAAACGATAATTATGGTGCGAGTGGTGCCTTCTCGCCACCGGCCATGGCGCTCGACGTCATTCTGATGGACTGGGAGATGCCGGTCATGGATGGGCTGTCGGCGGTGAGGGAGATCAGGCGGATGCAGAAGGAGGGCGTGCTCAGGGGGCACGTTCCGGTCATCGCTGTGACGGCCAATGTGCGGAATGAGCAGGTCACGCAGGCCATGGATGCAGGCATGGTAAGCTCGCCGGCTTCTTTTCTTTGCTTTGTACAGCAATAACAAGGTTCTCATAGGACGATGTCGTGTCGAAGCCTTTCCGCGTCCCGGAGCTCTGCAAGAGGATGCGGGGGTTGATGCGCCAGCTGAAGGGGCCGAAAGTGCAGTTGAATGGGGAAGCGTGAAATTGTCCCTAGACGCCGATCTATTCATTGGTGCGCTCGTGTGGCATCTTTTCTGGTGAGCCGAGAGGAAAGCCGTGTTTTGGCGCCGGGAGATTCCTTTTCTTCTCATTGTTCACTAAGTTTAACTTCCCTTTTTATGTTTTTGTCGGAACCTCGGCCTTCGAAGCTCTATTGAAGATGAGATGCACTGGGAACTCGGGTTTATACGGCTGTTATTATATCCTCTTTGCTTCTCTTCGGAGAGCACAAACTGATGTTGCTTGAGAGCCTCACGTTGTACGAGGTGGCCACTGCCTTTTCTGCACACGATACTGGATGAGATGGGCCGCACGAATTATTCCCGGCGCTAAGCTAGTACGACGACGTTGGTCTGTTTTCTCTGTTTCTTTGTGCTCCTCGCCGATTTAGCGTGCAGGAAGGTTTCAAAATGACGCGACGCCAACGAGGAGTTGGAGTCCGAGCGCGTCGACAGGCCAAGTCCGAGTTCCTTGGTTTGAATTGCTTGTGGAAAGGCTTGTGCAAACCTCGCCGGGCGGTGGACCGAATGATACGCAGAGAACAACAGGATGACTGGCGCTAGCGGATCTTCTTTGCTCTGTTATTGGATGCATGCTCACCTGGCATTGCAGGATCCTTCGGAGCCGGACAGTTCGGGACACGCCATGGCCACGCACCTCAGTCAGGGGCCGTGATGTCGAAGCACCAACTACACTACCACCTATCGCTAAACAAATGGAATGGAACAACGAGAATGATTAGCACAGGCACGCTCACGTTCCGGGGTTTGTTCTTGTTGGATTCCCCCCAGACATATGAGATGGGCTGGAAATTAACTCAAGGGACTATGATTAGCTCGACGGAACTACCCCTATAGCATCCTTGGCACTTGCCGCAAACGGTTAGCGCTCTCCCGCTCACCGTACACAGTACCAATACCGCATAAGCGCACGCCGGAATCTATCTTTACCGCAGACACTGGATACCTATGCGGACGAGGAAACTGCACATCCACGGCTTCTCTTGGCCATCTCTGGCGGTTTAGAGGTCGGGTACCGGCACAAGGGAGTTCCGTCTGTGCCACATTGGCAAAGCAGCTACAAAGCCGCATTTGGCATAGCTCCGGTGCTGCCGGTGCCACTGCTGCTCCTTCGCTTTGCCATTCGCTGCGGCGCTCGACTTGGTGGCCCGCATCACTCCACATGGGGTAATTGATCCTGGAAAACCGCATCCTTCAGCACTGTAGCCTGGAGCCCGTGGTTCTTTATAAATATCACCGCAACACAGCAAGCACTCACTATTTCCCTCCGTGCTGTCGCGTCGAAAAGAAAGAGATCTTCTACCAGCAACCATGCTCTCCATCCTCTTGGCCGCCCTCGCCCTCGGCGGCTCCTCCTCCGCCGCTTCTACAACCACGTCCGGCCCTACCACCACCTCGACCGAACTATCCTTCGCCTTCCCCGCCGCCAACACGGGTCTCTACGTCCCCACCGCCGGCGTCAGCGGCAAAGTCTGGAACGTGACGTCGTCCACCACCACCGTCGTCTTCCACTGCCCGTCCGACACGGCCTCGGCATCCGGCAACGACACGGCGGGCGCCCTGTGCGCCGACGACGGTGACGGCCCCGTCCAGGTCGAGTGGTCCGACGACTACTGGTCCATGGGCTTCTACCAGTCCGTCGGCACCCGCGACTTGGCCCCGCGCACCACGCTGGCCGCGCCGGTGACGGTCGGGTACGAGGAGCACTGCGCCATCACCGCGGCCAAGACGACCAACAGCCCCGTGTGCACCGTCAACTTCACGAGCATCCCCAGCCCGGTCAAGACGGCCGACATCCTCGCCTTGGATCGCTGCTGGGAGGAGGACGTGGCCGGGCCCATGAGCGACGTCCAGCAGGGTACTTATGTGAGTCGCTTTTCCCCTTTCCTTTCCTTTCCTTTCCTTTCCTTTCCTTTCATTCTTCCTTCATCTCGCTGACTTTTGCGCAGAATACCGCCTCGGTGGACGCCTGCCAGTCTTCCGCATCGGCTCATCCGACCACCGCTTACACTGTCACGCGCAACCCCGACTATGTCAGGTACTGGACCGTCACCGTCACCGAGGTTGCTGCTGGCGTGACTCTTGGGTCGAGCAGTGCTGCCTCTGATACGATGACCGTACGTCTGTCGGCTGCTGCCGTCGTCGTCGTTGCCATCTTTGCTGTTGCTTTGTAGAAAAAAAAAGAAAAAAAAAAGAGAGAGACAGAGATTGAAACGAATAACGACAGCGTCTTGGATTTTGTTTACGAGCGCAGTCGAAGGAGATGTTGCGACGTAGATGTAGGTGCAGCTTTTTATTTGCGTGGGAGGCGAAGCAGGTGCCCGGAGGTAGATGTAACTAGACAAATGCATCCAGATATAAGATCCTACTAGGCGAGATCACTTTCTTTCTGTACCCACTATGCAGGCGTGATAGGCAACCACTATAACTTAGCATTTCCGTTATTCACATTTGACGATACGGTGAATCACCCAGCAATTCTGCGGGAAAAGCGGAACAAAAGAGGAAAAAAGAACAGGGAGAACTGTTACCTTCTGTGTGCGACATAGCATGAGCTTCTAGACCCTTCGGAGACCGGCAGAACCCTTGCACAAGGCATACAGCGCCATGAGTGTGGGTTATCGTACGTCATCACATGCATGATGATGGACCCCGCACTCAGCCTCCTTGCTCAGCCTTGCACCCAACACTGTTGAGCTGTGGACCCTGTTTCTGGGGTTGCGGGAGGACATTTGGATGGTCGGTTGCGGATAGCTCTCTGTAAGATTTCTTGCGCCGCTTCAAACCCTACATGGAGGTGGTGAAGTGGGCTCCAACGGTGATCAGGCTGGCTAGTTGCTGGCCCGTATGCAAGGCATACATGCTCATCAAGTATGTACCAGTCCAGAGCTAATCCGCAGAAACAGCTGTGCACATGTGCGCGATTTCGCGCAGGGGCGTCAGCTCAACCTCTGGTGAGGCTCAAGTACCAGCCCTTAATATAACCCTCGAGCCCCGAATGATTCACACAGTGAATGATCACTAACGTCTACATGCTTCAAGAGGTTGTTGCACCTCCTGGCTCCATCGACCATGCCCGAATGCACCTCCCGTCCTCTTTCGTCGTACACCCGTCCATCGATATACTCCCGGCTATCGGCTGACTCTGGCTACGGCCCATCCCCGTGTTCCGAAGACTCCATCGTAGCTTTGGCAAGCCGCACCTTGGAAACACAGTCTGGGTGTTCCATTGTGAACAATCGATCGTCTCCTGATTTCTTGGAAGACGGGCCTCGGTGCGAGTTCACAGGAACGGCTACTACCACATCCGACGATGAGTCACTGGATGATGCACCGTCTAGCGACGGTGATGGCGCGACCTCGAGCGGTCCTTCCAGCTCGTTGGGTCTGAAGATGATTACGCAATGGTCTGACGGAAAAAAGAAAGAGATTGTAAAGAGGGTGATGGAGACCTTCGATGCCATATACTTGTGTTCTCCGGGATCGCAGTATAGCAGTGGTATTGAAGAGGAGCTCTGTCCGGGATACGATACCGAGTCGGACACACTTTCATGGCCGCAGACGCCTGTACCGATGGTTGAAGGAAGCTTTTTGGCGAAAGAGAGCGGCGAATGCGGAGACACTCTGCAAGATCATGACACATCCGATACCGCAGGGACTGCGTCTCGTTCTCAAGCATCGAGAGAAGACTCGTCGGAGAAGCAGAGTCCATTGTCAAACCACAGGAAGCGCAAGACGGATGAACATGACGAGGATAGCGACGATCAGAGGAAGCGCCAGCAGATACCTGGCTCGGGACCGTCATCTCAGATGGCGTGTGGTCGAAGATTTGCATGCCCATACGTCAAGCGGTTTCCGAACAGAAGTCCGAAGGCACCTTCATGTGTTTTCCCTGGATACCCGAACGTCGCTCGACTCAAGTGAGTTTGACCCTTGATACGCCAACTTGGACTGCTGCTGATTACTCTGTCCCAGAGGACATTTGTACAGAACTCACATGCGACCTCTGTTGTGTCTCAGATGCTACGAGACTTTTCGGAGCGAAACAGAGTTGGGAGCCCACCAGAATGCTCCGGAGAGATGTGCCCAGGTTTCCAATGTGCCTGATATTGAAGGCATCACGCCGGAACAAGAGAAACAGCTCAAGAGCAAAAAACGCATCAACGGAGACGACAGCGAGGAAAGGAGATGGGAATCCATCTACCGTATCCTCTTTCCGGACGAGACAGACTCGCCGTCGCCGTGTAAGTGGATGCAGTGATTTTGCTTGCCAGAAGAGACTATTAACCACTTTCCAGATTGCGATCTCGATCCGCAAGTTCAATACTCAGGAATGTCTCCAGGCTCGGCGAATCTCATGGCGTATGAGCGATTCAGCCGCGCCAACCTGCGGGAGATTGTCCAGCAACGGCTCGAATCGCAGATCGAGAGGGAACAGATCATAGTCGAGGAGAGATTGAGAAGCATGATATTCGACATCATGCGCATGGCTCAAGACGACATGTTCGATCATTGGCGAAGCTCGCTGAACTCACGTGAGGTGGACAACCTTTCCGAAGGATGGACAGGTGCCTTGATGCCGGCCACTACGACGAACCAAGGCTCCATGGACAGCGACATTTCGAGTTTTGTGCTTCTACCACCATCGAACGACCATGTCGACGCCGGGGAGTCGCTGGCAGAATTGCCGGTTGACAGTGACAACCCCAGACCAGTAGGTGCCGACTTTTCTTCCTCGGACGCATCCAGCAGTGTTTCGCAGCAAGAGGACCAGCCTGTGTCAGACGGAAATTCGTTCCAGACTTTGGAACATCTGGATTTGACCGCTGTTGAACCGACAGATCAGACTCCATATGGCAGTGGATACCCACCCATCGAGGAAGCATTGATTGACTTTGGTGATTACCTTCCTCTCGATCTCGACTCTTGCGCTGCAGGCGGCCTTTTCAGCCTTCCGTGGTCATTCAATGGTTAGAATGTTTAGCTCTTTTTTTTTTTTTTTAGGAAGGAGAGTGCTGCCGCTGTACATTGAATTTTGGGGGCGATGAAACCAGAACGCTGTAAGTTAGACGGTAGTATGTAAGATGAATGTGAGGCTGCAGGGAGGATGGTCGGATGACGATGAAGATTGCAGTCCTTTAGTAGCGATGATCAAGTACGATTCGTTCCTGTATCAACGGGTGTTTGTAGATGCAGGTGCGTTTGAAGTGAACGACCGTTCGATCCACCCAGATCCGATGATCTGTGAAATGTTTCAGCAGAGCGTGCGCTTCGGCTGTTACAACTAATAAAGCGCTTGCTCGGTTTGCTCGCGTGAAGATGTAGCATAAAACACGACCTCAAAAGGGTAATTCTCCACTCTCTTCGGCGATATTCTCGGTGGACAACGGTGCGGTCGTTTGCATATTTGGCCACAGCTTGAGTGCTCAGACAGCAAATCCGCAGGAAGTACTTCCGTTCCAACCGTGGCACCTCGTCAAATGGCACTGTTGTGGCAATGGAGAGGTTTCCCCCTCAAGTTCACCGCCAGCTCCTTGGTGATTCCCCAACATCTCAACCAAGGACAGACACGTAAGCCTTGCCATCAACCACTGCGCCACGCCAAACCCAATCGGGAAAGCAAACATGTCCTCTCCCTCTCGCCACTCGCAAAAAGTGCACAAACCGCACCGGCAACCCTTCACCCATCACCGCTCTCCAAATCTCGGCGTCTTCCTCCTTGCTTCCCTGCCGGCCAACGCACCCCCGCGCAAGGACGCGCAGATGGCACCCTGTATAGGTCATCATGAGTCGCGGAACGCCAATCGATAACCAGATCGGTCAACATTGCACGCCTGTCGGAATAAGCTTCTACGGCCCCACTTGGCTCTGCCTTGCAACCACCCCTGGCATGATGAGGCCTCACAGATCATCGGGAGACTGAGCCTCCTTCAACCTGCTCGCTCGGGGGGAAGGCCCGCCGCTGTGCCGCTCCATACCGCGCGCACACACGCGTCGTCAGCGGTCAGTCGGCCTTTCCTCCTTTATCTAGATGCAGTGTCAGGCGTCCCGGCTCTTTGATTTCTTGCATCCCAGAGATAGGGCAGAAGGAAAGGGTCCAAGGGGGAAAAGAGCCGGAGAGTGGATGCTTGTTTGCTGAACTCCTAGCCGCTCAAATCCCAAATTCATCATGCTACCTCTACTGTGCAGAGCTAGACCCCCCGTTTTGCCTCAACAAACAAGCCGCACTAAGCCCTACGTAAAGAACAACCCCCGCCGCCACCGGTACGACCGCTTAGACCTTCTGTATCCCGAACAAGGTCCATGTGGAGACAGGAACGCGGATGCTTATTTCTCGAAGCAGCGCACCTACCCACCACATCCTTGGCCATGATTCACCCCCCACCAACGGCCTGTCACTCGTCCAAAGGGCGGCCAGTCACGACCCAGTGCGGCATATATAAACCACCCTTTACCAACCTCTTCCAGTCCCTCATCCACCACCAATCCCTCAACCAAACACACTCGCTTCAAAAACCAAAACCCCAATCCTTCCACACACCAAAAACCCACAATGAAGTTCTTCACCGCCGTCGCCATGACCGCCATGGTCTCCTTCGCCGCCGCCGCCACCCAGGCCGACATCCCCGACTGCGCTGTAAGCCCGCCGCCGCCGCCCCCCCCCCCATCCAAACCACGACCACGCTTCCTCTTTCCCTTCCCTAAACCCCCCACTTCCCCGTCCCCCAGCACAAACAACATCAGCTAACCGGTTTTTCCCCCCCCTTGCAGAAACCCTGCGCCGCCGCCGCCGCCAAGAAGGTCGGCTGTGCCGCCGACGACGTGAAGTGCGCTTGCGCCCACCAGTCCGACATCCGCACCGAGGCCGCCAGCTGCGTCATGGAGAAGTGCAGCTCCGACGACGCCGTCAGTACGTGTTTGAACAACCCCCCCACCACCGCCCGAGAAGACATGCTGACGCGGGTGATCAACGACAGAGGCCGCCAAGGTCGCCTCGGATCTCTGCAAATAAGCGAGTTGTTTTCCGGGATGCCTCGACGCTTGGAATGGGAAGGAAGGACGGACAGAGTGTGTGCAACAAGAACGAACGGAAATGAGTCAGCAGCCTCTCTCGTGCTGCATGGGCAGGTTGAGCATATAACACGTAGTAGTGCATAATCTATAATTCTGTGAACACCACGATAAGCCACCACCCACATTGACGGCGTGAAAAGGAAGAACTTGTGATGATAGGCCATAAAAAAAGAAAGAAAAGGCAAAAAAAAAGAGGATTGTCAGTTGTCATCACACGTACCTACAAGCGGTATGTTCTTCAGTATACCTGCCTCCACTCCGCCCTCAGAACCCCACAGCATCCCTCACCATCCTCATCGTCCTCTCCGCGCTCTCCCTCGCCTTCCTCGCGCCCTCTTCTCCAACCTCGTCCAACGCGGCCTCGTCCAGGATCAGCTCCCGATACCGCTCCCTGACGGGCGCCAAGCGCGCATCCACCACCTCCACCGCCCGTTCCTTGAGCGCCCTCATGCTCAACCCCTCGCACTCCCTCGCCAACCCATCGCAATCCACCCCATCGCCCCCCGCGCCGAGATGAAACATGATCTCGACCAAGTTGGACACGCCGGGCCGGGTCTCGGGGTCGTACGACACGCCGTCGACGCTGTCCGTCACCGCGGCCCTGAGCTTCTTCGCGATCGCGTCCCTGTCGTCGGTGATGAGGATGCGGCTCTTGGGGTTGGGGTCGCTCTTGGACATCTTCTTGGTCGGCGCGGCGAGGCTCATGACGCGGCGGGCGGGCGAGAGGATGGTGCCGGGCGGGACGAGCACGGTGCGGCCGTGGGCGACGGCGTGGTTGAAGGAGCCGGCGCACTCGCGCGCGAACTCGAGGTGCTGGGCTTGGTCTTCGCCGACGGGGACGTGGGTGGCGCGGTGGACGAGGATGTCGGCGGCTTGGAGCACCGGGTAGGAGAACAGGCCGAGTTTGGGTTCTTTTTCGGCCGAGGATTTGCTCTGGAGTAGGAGAAAAAAAAAGGTGTCAGAGTACAGCGCTGGCGCTGGCGCTGCCAGAGGGAGAGAGAGTTTTGTACCTTCCACTGGGTCATGCGTGACAGGTAGCCCATCGAGGCCTGACAGCTGAGAATCCACATCAATTCCGAATGGGCTGGGACCTACAAAGGTGCTGAATCAACGACCCAATTCAGGTTCCGGCATGGTGACGCGCGCGTACAGCAGACTGGTTGAAGATGATGGAGCGTTTCGGGTCAAGACCGACGGCCAGCAGGGCTGCAAGCATTTCCTTGCGCCATTGCCGCAACTGCCTCGGATCCTGGCGGAGGGTGATGGCATGCAGGTCGACGATGGAGAAAATCAGGGTGGTGCTCGGGACGGCGTCATTTTGCAGCTTGACCCATTGCTGCAGCGCGCCCAGGTAGTTGCCCAGGTGCGGGATGCCGGTGGGCTGGATGCCCGAGAAGATGACGCCCGGCCGCGAGGGCGAGGCGCTGGACGACAGAGGGCGGTTGGCTGTCAGCGCGGTGCGGAGGCGGCGCGGGAAGCGGCGCGGCGCAAAGGTTGAGGACATGAGGCGGTGGGTTGATGTTTTTGGCGGGATGCGGGCTTCGGGCGAGAGCGGAGCTTTGGCGATCGGCGTGCAAGCGTCATGCCAAGACGGCCGCCGGCAGCCCAGGTTGCGCAGCCATGCTCGCACCTCCCACACAGCCACATCACCACCCAAGCCCACATCTCTGTTGCGCGTCCTCTCGCCGCTTCGCCGCCCTCGTCCGCCGTCGCCGTGCCTTTTACCACCGCGCCCGCTCCGCTGCCGTGCGATTCCGGAACATCCTCTCAAGCGCCCACTTTCAGCCCCTCAGTCGCGAACCCGCCTCCGCCCAACACCACCCCCAGACTCCCGCCAGGCCGCCAACATGTCGTGGTCCGGTACGGGAACTCCTCTCCAAAGCCGCCTCCCGAGCGTGAGCTGACTCGCTTTCAGGCTTCAAAAAGGGCGTCAACCGGGCGACGACCCAGGTCATGATGAAGACTGGCCATGTCGAACGCACAAACGACCGCGACTTCGAGACCGAGCTCCGCCGCTACCGCACCATGGAGTCCGCCGCGAACAAGTTGCAAAAGGAAGCCAAGGGATATCTCGATTCTCTGCGAGGTTGGTCTACCATCAGCCAACAAAACAGTGACGGCTGAGCTGACGGGGGAATGCGATGCAGCCATGACCGCCTCGCAAATGCGCATTGCCGAGACCATTGACGCCTTCTACGGAGACGCCGGTGCGAGGGACGGCGTGAGCAGAAGCTACAAGGATGCCGTTGCCGACCTCGACGCCGAGACCATCAAGGCGCTGGATGGCCCGTACCGGTACGCATGTTTCGCAAGTCCTGCCCAACCAGGGCCCCCACTGACACCGTTGCAGGACCACCGTTCTCGAGCCCATTTCACGATTCTGCGCCTACTTTCCCGAGATCAACGAATGTGCGTAGCCGACCTCCGCCCTCCCCCTGGGCGCAACCGAACTGACACGACTTTCCGCCGCAGGTATCAAGAAGCGTGGCCACAAGCAGACCGACTACGACGCGATGCGCGCCAAAGTGCGCAAGCTGACGGACAAGCCCGACAAGGACCCCACGAAGCTGCCGCGCGCCGAGAAGGACGAGCAGCTGGCCAAGGCCGCCTACGACCAGCTCAACGAGCAGCTGACCAACGAGATCCCCCAACTCATCGACCTGCGTGTCCCCTACCTCGACCCCTCCTTCGAGGCCCTCGTCAAGATCCAGCTGCGCTTCTGCGCCGAGGCCTACTCGCGCATGGCCCAGGTCCAGCAGTACCTCGACGCCGACGTGCGCGACCAATACGCCAGCGGCCAGCTGGATGCCCGTGTCGAGGAGGTCCTGCAGGAGATTCGCGAGTTGAGTATTGCCGGAACCGTCTAATCTTGGTCTCTTTCTTTCAAACCCTTAGCGCGCGGAGCTAGGGAAAAAAAAGATTTGTGGTGTTTTGTTGGCTTTGTTGCTTTGCGTTGGGGTCGAAGAAATGCCGCGACATGGCATCTGGGAAGGTCCTTGTTTTTTCCTTCTCCGCATTTATACCGACGCGAGAGGATTCCCACGATTTTTTTTCCTGGCGTTGTATTTTTGTTACTGTCAAGCATAGGCTTAGAGCATCTTGTAACCACACCTGACAGGCATCGGCCTGGATATCAAATGTTTTCCTGCGCCCCATCATGACTTTTCAACCCTGTGATTCCTGTTCCGTCATTTGAAGGGTCGAGTGTCGAGAGAACTGTTCCATGCTCTACAGAGGTTCCCGGAAGTTGCATTGGTGGTTGTGTCATCGGCTGCTCTTGGAGTAGCACAAAGCAGGACGAAGCAGGACGAAGCAGGCCAGAGTACACTTGCGAGGTCTCTGGAAACTTTGGTACGAACCGCCGGCTCTGAGGAGGGTGGTTTGGGTGATCTGAGTCATGGCCGTTCGACTTGTTGGATGATCTGTGAAGCGGAGAAAGGCTGACTCGTAGCAGTTTGCCTCACCGGCTTCAGATGCATCCAAGTTGGGTGAGGGTCCGACAAACCTGGTCCAGATCGCATCTTCCTGTGAGTGCCTTGACAGTTTGGAGGGAAGACATGGTACTGTCACCAGCTTGGTGGAGAGCGTTCAGGCTTGTACTCGGGAATCGAAGCTGAGAGTGACCGGCAGCCGTGGCTGTGGCGGACGAGGTGGTTCGTTGGTAGGTGTCGAAGGTCAGTCAGGGTGTCACGGAGTCGGAAAATAAGTGGGAAGGGGTCGTAGAAATAAGGTTGGGTGGTAAGTTGCCGCAGTTGCTCAGGAAGGAAGGTACGGAGCTTGGCATGGTCAAAACAACCACCTACCGGGTGCGGAGGTCCAGCAAGTTTGACAATTGTGCAAAAACTATTTGCGCGCTCTCGCATGCCCTTGGGGAATAGTCTGGAAATTACAGCATGACATGTTCGCAGCGGTGTGCACTAGATTCGTTGGCTCGCTGACCCGTAAGGGATCACTACTACACATGTTGATATCTTCTTTGCTCTTGCGATTGCAAATCGTCGTCGTCGGAACTGGTCAGCTCGTGTGGTGGTTTGCGGCTTACGTCATGCAGCCCATCTCTCACACCTTTTTCCGACGGCGCCTACACCACCGTACGAAGGCCGCGAAGTCGGCATTTTCTCCAATGCCTACGGGCACACTCTCCAAGCCTCCAAGCCTCCAAGCCTCCAAGCCTCCAAGCCTCCAAGCCTCTCCGCTGGAAATTGCATGTGTTTTGTTCGTATCTGCTCGCCCGTGCAGTCTGTGGTTCGGCGCATGTCGCGCAATCCATCCAGACTCTGCCAGCAGTGCCCTGGAAACCCCCAAGCCTCATTTTCTCCCAGACTGCACTTTGCCCTTGATACCCATCGCTCTCCGATTGCAAAGAGGGATGCTTTGCGTCTGGTCTCTGAACGAAACCGATGCCGGCCAGCCGCGTAACGTTTTCGCCAAGTCTCGCCCTGCCTCGGCCCCACCTCAGCCCTACCACTCGTTTCACCGAGACTTCTCTAGCTTCCCACGCTTGCACCAGACAGTTTGGCCCGCCCTCTCGCTCTCCTGCCACCCAAAAAGCTGCCCGCGCACCGTCCGCGCCCGTGCTCCGCAACTGTCGCCCGCGCCGCCCCTCCCGCCGCCCGTCACTTGGCAAAACACGGCCCATGCCGCAAGCAGACCCGAACCTGCTGCCGCAGGCCGATAGAGCAGCCCTCAGAGAACAACCGGGCAAAAAGAGAGTGCTGGGGGGCCTCTGCGAGGCCCAGACTGAGCGTCTGGCGGTGCTGGGAATCGAACCCAGATCGCATCGGGTCCGTATGTGAGTTCTATGGCTCTAGAAAGCCCAGAAATACACCACAACGAGGCGTGCTGCCTTTACACCACACCACCGTGTTGTTCTTGATAAGAGGGAGTCCGCCAGGTCAAAATATGGCCGTCAGAACTTTCCCGAAGGCTGGGGTGCACGGTTGGGATTTCCGACGTTTTCCGACGTTTTTCCGCAAAACGGGGACCACAGAATCGTTCTCTGGGCCTCAAAGATGGGGGGTAGGTACGGGGGAAGCCGGTACGAAGCCAGTTTCTTATGTAATGATAAAAAATGGTTGGTCCGGGTGTCGAACTTGAGTGCAGTATTGACGGGTTGAACGGCCATATAAAGGCTCAGAATTTAACACGCACATTCTACGGCCGGTTTTCAAGATATTGGCCATCAGGAAATGTAAGAACCAAGCTGGATACTCCACAAGAGGCCTCCGGTGGAGGGAGAGGCACGTAAATCGTCCTCAGCTTTTATTCCACATTGTCCCGGGAACACCAGGCTGCAGAACGAATTATAGTATCACAACATCAAGGGAATGACACAAAAACAGGTCTATGAGGCCTATACAAGTCTACTTTTGTGTGATGATCGAAAGGGATGGTGGGTTAGGGGTTGGCGGAGCGTGGTTTGGACTTCGCGAACACGGCTTCATGCATTATCCCAGGGTTTGTATGCATTAAAGGTATCGGGAATTCCATTGCAGCTCTACCTCGACATTTGACTGATACGTTCATACTATGGTCGGACGCGGACCAATTCGGTGAATCAATTGCACAATAGGCACATTCGATATAAAAGTCTAAACTACACGTTATTCTTTATTTTGGTCGTTTTGTATATTATTTTATGTATTTTACACGTTTCTTCTATATTCCTTCATGTATTTTCGGCTCACGTGTACGTGTAAGACGATAGAAAAATATGAAGTGCCGTATGATTTGCACGTTATTATGGCGATTTTGCCCGTAGTGCCTAAAAACAACGTAGGACATCATGCGTAGGCTACCGTGTGTATAGGGACTCTTTAAAAGTTCGGTTTTCCCGAAGGCCGCCATATATAAATTTAACTCCCCCCAACCAGATTTTAACCTCCTCTGGGGAAAGCTACTTTTTCTCCGTCGCTCACCTCAAATTTATGTGTAAAATAGTAGGCAAACTCGGAGAACTCGCTGGCATCCTATACCTATATTACCATCTACCGGTCTTACCATTCACCGTGGTGCCTTGCCACCCACCAGCCACCAGCCTCACTAGCCCACCGGGCACACCACCCCCCTCCCCCCCGGGGGCGGCGGATAAGCACCTTATACCTCGAGTAATCGTTACCTACGAGGACGCCTTATCCGCCTACTTATCTACCTCTCGTAGTGTTTATGTTGGTGTATTATGCGCGGCGAACCGGTGGGTAGTAATAGGTATAGGATGCTGGCGAGTTCTTTGAGTTTGCCTACCATTTTACACATAAGAGATGAGCGACGGAGAAAAAGTAGCTTTCCAAGAGAGGGAAGGGGGGGGGTTTCAAATTTATGGCGGCCTTCCCCGAAATATGATCAGGCAAAGAGTCCAGACGGACGGGAGTCATGACCGCCGACGATATGGCAATTATCAAAATAGAGCTCTAGGGAGCTTGCCAATGAGAGAACGTCCATAACTCTCCTTGTTTCTCTTCATCGTCATCACGAAGTCACATGCGAAAAAAAAAAGGTGGTGGTGGTGGTTGTGGTACTTTCGTTGAAAAAATCCCGATTGTCCAAATTCAGATTGCAACTTTTCTTCGGTTTCTTGCTAGGAGCAGATTGACACAGAAAGAAAGAGAGAGTTGAACCCCAATTTTGTTTTTTTGCTCTATAAATCAGTGGCCCCCCATATGTTCCCTTTCCCAGGGACATTCGGGTCGCACTGTTCTCTTTTTGAATGTGACGAACCAGACCCCATCTCCATCACTTCATCCCCCTCAAGAGCAAACTTTCGCAGGACGAGCAAAGAGGCATACCTCCCGTTGAGAAAGAAAGATCGCTTATATCGAAGAGGGGTAGAGCATGATGCGGACGGAAGCACCGAAGGACTTGGGGGGAAGGTTGTTCCTGAACTGGGCGCGGACGACGCCGGAGTTGCCGTGGGGGCTGCGCGAAACCCGTTAGTCTGGGATGGATTGAACTTCCCCGGGGGCCAGGGTTCATCAAGGAAGACGGAGGAAGGGCTTACCGGGTGACCTTGCCCCAGATGACGCGAATCTTGGTGCCGCGGATCTCCTTGTTGGTGCGGTAGACGAAAGCGACGCGCTTGCCGTTGTAGAAAGCGGCCTCCTCGGAGTTCTCGACGCCCTCTGCAGTTTTTGTCGATACGAGTCAGCGCTTCCTGTTCTCTGTGGCCACGAATTCCGCTCCCTCCTTTGTTATATTCTTCTTTCTTGTGGCTTTCCCGGCTCATGATTCCGAGGGGTTTTCGGTTGGAGGATCTTACCAATCTTGATCAGGCTGGTGTTGGGGTTTTGGGTGTGCTTGCCGCGCTGGTAGCTGAGGTGGCGGCCCCTAAAGTTGGAAAGTCTCAGCATGGTCGTCCATTCGTTCTTTGCATATGACAGCGATATAAAAAAAAAAACAAGAAAAAATCAGAGCGAGGCGAGCACAGAACGGCGTATCCGAGAACGAGCGAAGACTATAACCGTGGATGTAGCCGGGAATGGCCAGGGAATTGTCGGGATCGTCTTGATCGCAGGCGCGGACGCGGTGGGGGCATGCTTGGACGGCAGTAGAGGATCCGAAGAGGGTGGCCACACGACGATAGCTTCCCATTCCCGCACCATAGCCCATCTACGAGCGAGAGCGCTTTCCCATCGTCGATGAGAGGAAGACTCGCGAGAATTTTGGAAGTGGGGAACGCGCTTGATGTAGCGGAGGGGCATCGCCAAAGAAGCGTAGTCCACACATCGCAACGGCACGCCATCGGCAATCATCCAGCATGTCTCCCCTTCCGGCAACTCCATCCTAGGGCGGGGTCAAACGCTTTTACGGAGGCCGATCAGGATAGACGAACGCAGGGTAAACTCAGGTGCGTGGGTATGCCGTAACTCAGCATATCGGGCCTCCGAAGGTTTTCCCCGCCACCCTAAGTGCCTACTTGTCGTGGAGTCGACCTTTGTGGCGCGGCGGGGCGATTTGTCGGTCGATGATTGTGTGGTGTTGGTTCGTTCAACTCGGTCGGCCGGTCTCCACGGGCTCCGTCGGGGCTCGCGGAATGTTGTGTGCGTTTGGGAAGACAAATGGAAGAGGCTCACTTACTTGACGTAAACTACAAACGATCAAAGTCAGTTCAAAAGTTCCAAAAGCGACGCACTTCTTCGACAGCGGTTGCAGCATCCGTGAGCGCGCCGTCGCAGGGTGTGGTCAGAGAGGGCGTTTCGCGGCGCCTCCCGAATTTTCGACCTGCAACGGCGACGGTGCCGGTGGAATTTCGAAATCGCACAAAGAAAAGGAGGAGAGGAAAGACGTACGGCGGTTGCTGGTCTCGGAAGGCATTTTGTCGGTGGAAAGGTGCCGATGGGGATCGTTGTCGGAGGGGTTTGGTTGTCGTCGTCGTCGTCGCTTCGTCACATCGCGAGTGTGCGTTTCGGCGCCCCAAGTGTTTCTGGTGTGGGTTCCACGCTCGCTCCAGCCCTCCGGGTCACGTGCGCCACGCTTAGCCGAACTTGGCCCGTGGTGACCCTGGCAAGCACAGCTGCTGCCCTTCGCATTCCCAGCTTCCAGACGCTTCTCATTGTGAAACATTAACTTCATTGAGACTATGTGCATGAGCGGTGCTGACATCAACAGAATGAACGTCTTCTACGAAAAAGCCAATCAGGCCCAATCCCGATTCAACCCCCTACGTAGTTTTCCCTCACGTCTTTTTGTCCCATCCTTTTTTGACCTACCCGGCCTTGATTGTGTTTTTTTTGCTTTGTTGAACGCCTCCCATGCAAAGATATGATCCCAGCTTTTTGTTCTACCCAAACGGAAGAACGCCATGTTGAATGCTCAATGCGCTTGCTCTGTTGCCAGAGACCCTATGCGCCAGGAAGAATACTTACATTTAATAGAGAACACGAGTCCTGATGTTGGACTGCAGGTCCTCGAGCTCCTGGTACAGAGCCTTGATCTCCGCCTCGTTCACGTCCGAGATATCGGCAATCAGGTAGGCAACCTAGTTTCCATGTTAGTCAAGGCTTTGGGTGCAGGGCTAGAACGTCTTACCTCGCCCTTGGCGTCGACAGTCTGCTTGTCGATGTTGTGGTCACCAAGAATGTCGTTCACGCGACGCAACACACCAGGAATGTTCTTGTGGATGAAGCAAGCACGGACGTGGTTGGGCTCATCCATGGTGAGCGAGCGCAGCGCAAGCTCGGGCATGTTGACCGACTGGAACGTGTTGCCCTCGTTGACGTACTTGGTCAGCGCGTGCGCCACCTCGATACCGATGGCGCTCTGAGCTTCTTCGGTGGAGCCACCAATGTGGGGGGTGAGGATGATGTTCTTCAACTTGCCAAGATCCTCCGCCCAGGGGTTCAGCTCAGCGTTAAAGTAGGGGCCGTTTCCGGCGGGCTCGTTGGGGTAAACGTCAAGCGCCGCGCCGGCGATGCGCCCGCTGCGCATGGCGTCAACCAGAGCAGGGATGTCTACGACGCTGCCGCGGCTGGCGTTGAGGAGGTAGCTGCCGCTGCGCATCTTCGCAAGCTGCTCGGCACCAATCAAGTTCTTGGTCTCGGGAGACTCGGGGACGTGGAGCGTGACAAAGTCGGCGCTAGCAAGGAGCTCGTCCAGGCTGTTCACTTGGCGGGCGGTGCTCATAGCCTGTAGTTCAGGTCAGTCGGCGAAGTCCGTCTGGCCCGCGTGCCCGCAGCATGAGTCACTTACCATCAAGTTCACCACATCGTAGTAGATGACCGACATACCCATGGCCTCAGCCATGACCGACAGCTGGCTACCAATGTGTCCGTAGCCAATGATACCAAGCGTCTTTCCTCTGATCTCCCAGCAGCCAGCAGAGACCTTGTTCCAAATACCATTGTGGAGCTCGTTGGAGCGGTCACCCAGCTGCCTTGCGAGGGCAATGATCTCGGAGATGATCAACTCGGCAACACTGCGCGAGTTGGAGAAGGGCGAGTTGAAGACGGCGATACCATTGCTGGCGGCGTATTCGAGGTCGACCTGGTTGGTGCCAATGCAGAAGCAGCCAATGACAATGAGGTTCTTGGCCTCCTTGAGCACCCGTTCGTTGAGCTTGGTCTTGGAGCGAATGCCAATGACGTGCACGTCCCTACGATGTGTCAGACCCAATGCAAGTCTCCTGATGTGCCCACAGTTCTCCGCGCTCGCGGGCCGTCACGAGCACTGCGCGAAAAAATGTCTGTGTCCGATGCCGGCAGCCAGGCGGCTGGGCAGCGGCGCGGGTGGCTCGAAGCCCTTCCACCGCAATGCATTGCTGCGGACGCGCTCGAACGTGGCGGCGGAGGGAAGTGCAGCTTACCGGATCTTCTCAATGAGCTGATCCTCGGGCAGCGAGCTCTTGACGAACTCGACCTGGTAGCCCTGGCCCTGGAGAATGTCCCGTCCGGTCTGGTTGACGTTCTCCAGCAGGAGGACTTTGATGTCCTGGGTCGCAAAGGGCTTGAGGTGCTTGGTGCGAGCAGCCGAGGCCATGTTTCTCGCTTCGGCGCCATAGCTGGAGGGCGGCGAGTGGAAGGCACCGGACGGGCTGGTGGAGAGGTTGAGGGTGTTGTGGACGGCGCTGGCGAGCGCGTCGCCGTGGGCGGGAGAGCGGCCGGTAATGTCAACAGCGGGCGTCATGGTGGTGGCAATGGTTGTGGTGAAAGAAAGGCGTGGGTGGAGGGCGACAATTAAAGTGCTAGGTAGGTTGACTCAATCGCGGGGCGCGTCATCCGACTCCGGGCGCTCAAAAAAGTTCTCCGCTGAGTCCGCCCCCGTTCCCGTGCCCTTCGCCGCATGATTCGCATGGCCCGCCGCCGGTGTCCGGCCTGCGCCCCGTCGCCGACCACTCGGCATCATCGGCGCCATTGTGCCATCGTGCGGCCGCTTCCTGCCACGCTGACGCTGACGCATTGTTTTCTCCGGGTGGTTGGGGCTATTGGCTAGCATCCAGGAGGCGTGCGCCTCGCCGGTGACGTGCACTGCTGCTGACCGAGGCCGGCGGCCCTCACGACGCTTCCCGCCGGATGCGCACCGTTGCCGCCGGGCAATAATCCTGCTCGCTGCTCTGTTCAATCGTCTGGTGCGAGGACATAATGCATTAAAATTCAGTAGACCAATGGAAGCCCGCATCTGGTGAGGAAGGGACGACGACTTTCCGTTGTCTCTAACAAGCTACGACGACTTTTTCTGTGCTGTGAAGAAACCTCTACGCTCCGCCCGAGAGATTAGATGAACCTGCCTGCCGCCTCCGCTGCCGCCGTCTGCAAGCATCAACATGAATAAGGGAAAACTACAACAAAAGACACCCTTGCCGCAAAGCGCCCGGTCCTCCTGAAGTGTGCAGAGCAATCTCGACCTACTTATCTAGCCGAAAATGAATCGCCGGAGCACGAAGGGGAAAAACTGCAACCCGAATAGCCTACAAGCCTCCATGATGCCCCGAGCTGTACCAAGGAAGGTATGGGGATGATCGTGGTGCTGCATGAAATGTCTGTTGCCAGGGAATGAACCAAATGGGGTGGGAGGATCGTGAGGGGGGAGATGCCGTCTACATCCGATGCCGTTAATGCAGCTCGCGAGGAGCCATAGAGGAGACAAGAGAAGATGACCTAGGCGGCGCGATGTTCTAGGCTACGGTCGAGCTGTCGCGAACGCCCAGCCTCTAGCTCTGCTTGCACTCCGCCGCCTCCTGCTTCGGCTTCGAGCCGTCAGCCTGTGATGAAAGTTAGTTTTTGGTTCGATCGGTTGCATTTTGCTTTTGGGTGAGCGCGGCATACCTCCTCGTCCGACTCATCATCCTCGTCCCTGTCGTCGCTGAGGTCGTCCTCCTCCTCATCGTCCTCGTCCTCGAACTCGCCCTCGTCGTAGTCGTCGATCTGCTCGAACTGGAGGGCCTCGCCGGTGAACCAGTCGATGGCGCGGGGGATGAGCTTCTCCTTGATGTCCTCGCCCAGCTGGTAGTCAAGCTCGAGGCGCTCCTCGATGTCCGAGGAGATGTCGTCATCCTCGTCGGAGGGTGCCTTGGGCGGGGAGAAGAAGTTGAAGAACGACTCAGTGGGCACCGTCTTCTTGACAACGCGGGTCTGCTTGGTGTCTGGACAAGGGTTAGCCAAGCCAGCATCTCAGCGTCAGTGCACCTTACTCTTGTTCCTCTGCTTCTTGCTCTCAACGCGGACGGTCAGGTCCTTGCCGGGCAGCCAGTCGATCTTGTCGCCCTCGGCATGGTCGTAGATGAAGTCACCCTCGTAGCCGTTCTCCTCCTGGTAGTAGTAGGTCTTGGTGATGGTCTTGTTGCTGAAGAACTCGTTCTCGTTGAACTCGAAGATGAGGCGGAAACCGGGCTTGTCGAGGTACTCCATGCGGATATCGGTCAGGGACTTCAGAGCAACCTCATCGCGGTCGGTGATCATCTCGGCAAGGGAAACCTGGTTCTTCATGGCGGACAGCCAGAACTCGGGGATACCCTTGACGGGTTCGGTGGGCTCGGCGGGCTTCTCCTCCTCGGCGGGCTTCTCAGCCTCCTCGTCCTCCTCATCGTGGATCTCGCCGGCCTTGACCTCCTCCTCACTGGGCTCCTCCTGGCCATTGACGATCTTGGCACGCTTCTGGTACAGCGGAGTGAATTTGGCGAAGTACTTCTTCTCCAGCTGCAGGACCTCTTCTTGGAACTCGGCCTCGAGCTTGGAGTGCTCTTTCTGGACGCCCTTCAGGCCGGCGACACGCTTACGGACATCGGTGGGAAGGGACTCAATGTAGCCGGACGAACGGCCGACGAGCGAGCCAAGCTTGCCCTGGATCATGGACACGAGCTGGGGGTTCTGGGCGAAGATGGACGCGGCCGTGGCGCGGTCGAAATCCTCTGGCGGGGTATTAGCCTCGGCGCGGGAAAAGCAGCGGGTCGCTGGCGCAGGCGGTGTTTTGAGCAGCGCTGCGGGCTGCTGCAAGGTCGTCGGCGGGCCATGCGTGCGTCGGGACAAGTGGCACTTTGGGGCTCGTCACGGAGGCGCCAGGCAGCGGCAAACGGAGGCGTTGCGGCTGCTCGACGTGCCGGCGCAGGCCCGCAGCGACGGGATTTGCAGCGGACGGGTGTAGGGGCTTGCTCACCTTCCTTGATGCTCGCGACGCCAGGCTGCTGGGCGCGCGAAGAGATGGGGGCGGCGTTGGCCGGGGTGTTCTGCGGCGTACTGAGAAGCGAATCGTAGTTAGCGGCCAGTGTCGTCGCCATGGCTGAGGTGTTGAAAGGAGCAGTGAGACGTACGGCGCGATGGCCTGGTCGGCGCGCTTATTGCGGATGGGCTCAGACATTATGCGGGTGGAATTTGCTGAGCGCGGGAAGAGGGTGGGAGAGAGGGAGGGGAGCGGTTGAGAGTTTGTTGGACGTTGGGTGTTCCGTTGTGGACTTGGGGCAAGACGCCTGCAGTTTTTGCCGCCGCTAAGCTAAGAGAGCCCGCGAACAATGCGCGTCCGTCGGCGCACTCACCTGCCTCCAAGCCACGCTGCCCCCGGGTCGAGCGGCCGGGTCAGCGAGCGAGCATCCCTACGCCTCCGCGGCTGACTCACAGTCCGCCCGGGTGGGTTTCTGCGCGCGCCAGGCCAACGGCCTGCCCAGCGTCGCGCCGCGTCTATCGTGGCACTGCATGAAACACATCACCGCGCGCGCAATTGGACGCCCGCCCTCACCGATTCTACCTGTCTACGGGTATCGCTCCATGCAAGCTCAACAAGAATGCTGAAATGACGCCGCCCCCCCGCGGCCCGTCCGCCAGAGCCGCGCACAAAACGCCGTTGCGGTTGCCGGTGGCTCCGGCCAGACACGGGTAAACAAAAAAAAAACACATTCGCAAAGAAAAATACGCCCCGTCGCTCCTGCGCTCGTCCCCGCCCGCATTCCTACTCGATGTACCTCAGCCTGCTGGTCGCGTAGGCGGCCCCTGCCGCAGACAGAGCCCCGATAAACAAACACACGGCGATTGCATTCGGTCCGTCTGTAGGATGTGTCTCGGCCGGATGGGCCTCCTTGGCCAATTCTGGGCTCTTGCCTGGCTCGAGCAGCGAGAAGACGGCCCAGCTATAGCCGCAGTGGTCAGCTATCGATAAACGCCCGCAGTGCACGTTTTTTTCGCGCCCTTACCTGATGAAGGTGCCGACAAACTGTGGCAACGTCGTGTACAGGTTCAGGATGCCGAGATAGACGCCGGATAACTCGCCACTCTCGCTCCGCGCTTCTCCATGCGCCCCTGTGGACCCCATCTCGATGGCACTGTTCGACAGGCGCCTGTACCCGTGTCCGTTGGCTGATGCGGACGATCCTAGCCGGTTGATCTCTGCTCCGACTGTCAGACGCCCGCAGCAAATCCCCATGTGCGCAAGTCACTCACCAACGCCCATGAAAGTAAATGGAGCCCAGCACGTAATCGCCCACGGAACGCCGCAGATCGCGACGATCGTGGTTGCATAGCGAAAAGAGTCGGCGAACGGCGCCAGCAGCATGGAGCAGGTGAAGATGAGATGAGACACCTGCCACGCCGTCAGGAGCGAGGGTTTGTTCTTCTCTACCTTCTCCATCGCCGACGCCAGCCCGGCTGGAGGCCGCGGCGTGAACTCTGGCTTCTCGTCGTCCGGCTTTCGGACCAGCCACGGCAGCACGATGGAGCCGACAAAGGTGATGATGGAGAACACGATCAACGACAGGCTCCCCACCCGGCCGATCTGTCCAAGTGTATCCTCGGACGACCGGGCGTCCACCGGCGCATCATAGCGAATCCAAAGCTCGCCGACCCAGGTCGTGCTGTAGAATAGGAAGGGGAACCAGCCTGCAACAATTAGCTCGGGTTTGGGATAGGAAGGGCTGCCACGCACCGATCCACGCCCAGAACTGGACCCAGCAGATGGCTGCGATGCGGGGTGGCAGATTCGTAGCCGTCTTTAGTATCTGAGTGAATATATCTATCGCACCCACGGCGTCGGGCTCTTTGCTATTTTTACATTGGCCGCGTTAGCATGTACGTAGTTGCGCGTAGCTACAGCGGCATGGCTTACCCGTCGTCCGGAAGCACCTTTTCTCGCACAGCCCACGAAGTAATGCCGACGCACAAGCACAGCACCGCTGCAGCTACCACGGTGAGCTGTTTGAACTGCGTGTCGCCAATCAGCGTGCCGAAGATGCTTCCGAGGTCAATGGCCCCAGCGGCGTAGCCCAGCAGGGAGCCGACGGCGACCATACGGCTAGCTGATGTTGATAAAAATAAGCACACATCATCTCACGGCTGGCGCGGCCACCAATCAACACTCACCCCAGGCTGATCCGATCTGCTGCTTTGGGATAGGCAGCGTGTCCACAACAAGACTTCTACTCGACGCTTGCACTGCGACACGCCAGCAAGGTTAACACCCCCTCCCCGCTGCCAGCGACGGGAAGACGACATACCGGCATTGATGGCAAAGTCAATGACATAGATGCACGCCACGGCCAGGGCGACGGTGGCGCGCTTCCGCGCCTCGCCCTCGGCAACGAGGCAGGAGACGAGCTCGGTGGCCCAGCCCATGGCCAGCAACGCGAGGGACACGACAAAGGCACCGCCTACCATAAAGGGCCTCCTCCTGCCCCACTTGGACCTGCTCCTGTCCGCGATTATACCGACTATCGGCTGCATGACGAGACCGGAAAGGGGACCGGCGATCCACACGAGCGAGACGGTGCTTTTGGCCAGGCCGAGGGCGAGCAGGTAGGGCGTGCAGTAGGTCATCTCAATGCCCCAGGTGAACCTGCGACGGCGGTTAGGCTGGCGGTCTGGGGCGGGCGTCGGGGCCGCTGGGGCTTACTGGATGCCGATGAGCGAGGCCGTGAGGTAGGCCATGCGCGCAGACTCGGAGGAGCCCTTGATGGCGGGCGTGCCTGGCCGCGGCGCGGGGGGCGAACGGACGCCGGCGGGCGGGATTGCTCCTGTGGGCATTGGTGCGAGGGCGCTGGAGAAGCACGAGCATGTGCAGCGGAAGGTGTCGCGTGTGGGTGGTTGTCGCGTAGGGATGAGTGCTCTCCAAGGGCGGGCAGAAATAACGCGGAGGGGGAGGCTTCACTTTCACGCGGCGGGGAGCTGGGCGAGGTCAGGGCGTCTGCGAGATTTGATTGCAACTGTGGTTCGAAGCGTATCTGTAGGTTGCGCAGCGCTTGGCTGAAGCCAACGTCAGTCAAGTCGTAAGCGGAGCGACCAGGGGCTTGTCCGGCCTATCTGGCCTGTCCGGGGTCGCCGTCGTATCCTGCGCCCGTCGAGAGCCGTCGCACCCGCTGTCTCAGCTCATTCCGCTGCAGAGATGGCAGATGCCAAGTCCATCGCGGATAGAAGCAGCCGGCGCAGGGCAGGCGGAGCTGGGAGTCGCACCTGGTGTGTTGCTTGGCCGCGCTAGGCAGCCAGGGTCCTCAACCGTCGCGCCCCCGCATGGAGAACCGCGGCTCCACTGTTCATCGCTCGCTCTCCCCGGCGTCGATTTTCTGCTCTCTCCCAACCATGTCCGCACGCTGCCCTCGGCCAGACAGACGTCGGCAGGCTCAATCTTGCGCCCAGCTGGTCGCTTCGCGACAATGCGCGCCTCTGATTCAGCCTGAGCAACCGTCCGTACGGATAAGCTCCGAACTTCGCCACGTCGTCCGTCATTGGTCAAAGCTCGTCTGCCTTGGATCCTTTTCTTCGCTTTCGACAGTCCAATATTTCCTTGACCATGTCATTCCGTACAACATCGGGTCCAGTCTGACATGGCGCGCAGCGTACTGCCTTGCACAAGTGCTCCCTGGCATTGCACTGTCTAAGACGTCGAGGGGGAGCAGAACCCAGGGAGGAACATGCCGTAAACCATATTGCAAACCTTACTCTATCTCATTATTGAGTTAAGAGCCTGGCCGGACGTGGTGGTCAATGTCTGTTCTCGGCCCGACCTCCGTCGCCTTTGCCCAATCATTTTTCTTCAACATCGTCCTTGATCGCGATCGTGATTCAAGGCAACAGAGAAACAGGCTGTCGTCGAAACGGACGCGTCAGGGACTCGATCCCACACCGACCATCCAATTTGGTCAAAGCGGAGGCCGTGTGCCGGTACCGCACTGTCACCAACACCCGCAGGAAATGGTGCGGAGGATTAGTCGAGGCCGACTGTCTCCCTATTCCAAGACCATTCACTGGCAATGCAGCCTTTATAGCCTTGGTTCCATGCGGCTGAATATCACAGCAGGCTGTTGCCCACATACTCCATGACGACACAATGGTAGATGCACGTTCAGGTCCTATAGCAGCTTCATCCTTTGTGCCTTTTCTCCGCTCATTACAATTTGTGTCTCTTCACGGAAGGTGCTCAGACAATAGAAAAAGCAATGGCCTTTCGTCGAATATATATTTTAACAGCTGATGCCTCACTCAATCTGGACTAATGTGCATGAAGACTTCTCAGGTGGGCAATCAGCACGTGCTGAATGTGAGAAAAGGAAACGAGAAGCCGATTGGCACAGGCTGGTAGGATTTTGGGAAGACTCGGAAGAGTTGTGTTTGACTTTCTACCTACAGCTCACGAGAGTCCTATGTAGTTTCCATCAACAATTCTACTGCTCCTTCAGTGTTAACAAACTTTCCAACTATCCATGCATATTTACACTTCTTACAATGCCTCGCAAAGTGATATCCACCCTGTCGAGATATCTTGCCGACTAGCTTTTTTCTTCAGCAGCGTCGTCTCCAAAAGTCAAGTCATCTTGAAACTAAAAAGACGTTGCCAACGCCATATCGATCCAATCGGCAGCATATGCAGACTCCAACGATAAGCAGCCCTCCCTCCGCTAACCGGGTTCCGGCAATGCAGGACACCAACAAGCTTGAATGACGACAGCACATGTTACCAAGCGGTCCGGCATGTGCCAGACGTTCCCGCCCGCTGAAACAGCCTCATGTCGTCCACAAATGTTCTCGGGTAACCTTCCCAAATGCTCTCGCATACCCATGTCTCTTGTTTGTTTCTTGCCCTTAGCCGCCCGCCCTCCTCGCTTTCCCCCAATCGATTTTCCAGAAGACCGCGTGAAGAAAAAAATTTAAAGAATGACAAGGTGGGTTCCAGACACATTCGATGTGCTTCTTCTCCACGCCAGGCTCCACTCTGTTAGCGGGACCCATTGAATTCCGCACGCTGGCACGGTCGCCCGGGTGGAGCGAGAGGCGAACCAGGGCCCGACTGACCAGTCGACGTTTGGTTTTTCTTGTGGAGGCAACGCAGACGCCCTCCGATGGCGCGGGGGTAAGGAATTATCTTCTTCCTCCCGCTTGCTGTCTGGTGCAGAGGCTCATCACGACGGGCGGTGAGAACTGTTTTATAGAGACCCCATTGAGCTGCATGTGGTAGGCATCCACGTCAGATCATGCAACCTAGTCCTAGCTGGGGCTGCCTCGGGCAACGATAAAACCGAATATCGCGATAAGCGCGCTCTACTCGGCGTCTCGATGGCTCGTGATGGAAGTCCATCCTGGCTACGGGCATACTCTTGCTAATAGTTCAGCATGAGACCCACCACCATGATTTCTCATTGGTGCTGACACCCTGGAGTCGGGGACAATTCCTGTGTAATAATAGCTCTACGACAGCATCGCTGACGATTGCCTATTCGGCTGTCACCGGACCATCAGCAAAACGAATTAATTACAGTTCTCCATTCATCCGTCTTGCAAGCTCTCAACCATATCCTATCGTTGATGAGAAGTGGACTGGCTATCCACATCCCCATGGCAACACCACGAACTGTTGCCTCTGCACAGCCTTCCTTCCCAACAAACTCCAGTTAGCACGCAAGCCATCCCAACCATTCCAGATGCCGAAACGGACTGCAAAAAGCAAAACGAATGCGTCGGCCGGGAATCGAACCCGGGGCTCATCGAGATTCACAACCGAACGGACGTTCGACATGGCAACGATGAATTTTACCACTAAACCACCAACGCTATCGTGGATACAGCTCCTTGATGAGAAAGGGGGTGAATTGTAAAGAAAATATCCTCAAAACTATCCCGGCACACAAACATCGAATAGTTGAATTGTTGCCAAACAATCAAACCTACACGACTGCTTTCCAAGAACACCAAGCCATACGTCCATAGGTAGTGGAATCCTCTGTACGGACGTGTTTGTGCCGTTTTAACTCTCCCATCTACGTCCGGACGTTTGCTTCAGCTACACATGTGAAGAGTGCAGTCTTCAATAGGCCTATGCTGGTTCAGTTCTACAAAGCTATATATGGTAGAAGATCCATTCGTGATATACTGGATTGCCTGATCACAAGCAGTTCTGCCGCGTCTTTAGCCGACGTGTTGCCCTTCTTACAACGTTTAAATGAACGTTTGAGGACCTTTACACTCCGAAAGTGTACTATCGGCCGAAAGCGTAGCATATCCGCGTATGACTACTATCATCCAGCTCGCAGAAGCTCACAGCAAAGTCCCTCCGGCTCGTGCAGCCCTCGTGCCCATGTACGCCTCAGGTCTTGTACGCCTCGGGCTCATCAGGCCCCACGCAGGCGAATCATCGTCAATTGCTCAATGCACGATGGCCAGGCTCGATCATTCATCTACCCGCGTGTCTTCTGGTGAAACCGCTGCGGTTTTCATTGGGCTCGCTCCGCCATGGTGTTGGCGTTGTTGTTCGCTTGGCTGGGGAGAGCACCTTCCGTGGGAAATCGCGACTTCCTCGCGCACTCACTTCCCCCCAGACTAGGCCAGAATTCGCACAGCGCGCTGGATTTTGGACAGGCACTCATTGTAAGCGAGAGCAATTTGTTCAAAATGTCTGTGGGCGTAGAAATTCCAGCATTTCCCCTATACCATCGTCTTCATACGTACCAAAATGGTCGTATTTTGTTTCGGCGCTCTTTTCGAGCAATTCGCTGGGCCTTCGGGCACTTATGTTACGCGGTCCTTGTGGCCTGGGCGCGAGCCCACCCCCGACTCCATCCCCTCTCCGCCGCCTCCCTCCCCGCCTTCCTCCCCCTCCCGCTCCCGCTCCCGCTCCCGCTCTCCGCTCCCCGACCCCCCAAAGAGGAAAAGGGCGGTGGACGACGACGACGACGACAATGACGATGACGACGCCGCCGCCGCCACCAGCACGCCCTCCCCCCCTCGTGCGGTCAAGCGCCGCCGCCGCGTGGTCGTCGACGACGATGACGATGACGAGGAAGAGGAGGAGGAGGAGGAGGAAGAAGAAGAAGAGGAAGAGGAAGAGGAAGAGGAAGAGGAGGCGCCACCTCCGCAGCCTGGCCAGCTGCCGGAGGTCGTGGTGATCTCTTCCGATTCCGCGCAGTGAGTGCCGCCGGGACGCCGGCAGCCCTCTTTGGTCCTGCCTCTGGATGGACCAAAGGGGGTTCCTCAGCAATGGCTCCACCTTGTCGTTGGTACTGAGGCTTACGGCCTCCGAAGATACCAATTCCGGAGGCCTAACTAACGGAGCTGGCACTCACTGCTTGGAATGCTTGACGGAGCATTTCAACCCCTATACTGTCACGATGGACCTTCCGTAAGTTCAAAGTGTTCCTCAAACACATGATTCCAACGTCTTGAAGTACTTATGGGCGTCCCAGACATTGCATCAGTCATGTCGGTCTCAACAGCCAAAACAGAAGACTGAGGAGTTTCATGTCTCAAAGGTGGCCCCCAGTCCACTCTTCATTGTCAACACCAATGTGCGGAATTCCCAAACACCCACGACGTGGAATATCAGAGCATCACTTCTCGCTTCTTGACAATACTCGAAAACAAGCCGAAAATCCTCACGTTGTTCTATACTCCGGCACTCCATCGAATACAGGCATCAAACATCCAAGCATATCAGGGTGCTTCATAAGTTTTTCGCAATACCGAGGAAAGTCATGGTACCTCCTTGAGGCTGTTCAATCAGTAATTGAGCCATCCAAACGTCCCACGGAGCATTCACGCGTATGAGGAATTCGTGCCGCCACAGCCATCGCCTATGCTCACCATTCCCTCACCGACACTGTTCGCAAATCCAAATGTCATCATTGGCCCTGATCACGCTTGGCACCTTCAAGCACTCATTTTGTGCAGGTGGGGTTCTAAACTCCTTCAAGCTCATGGTAGCTTGTGCGTGGTCGTTTATCTTCTCTTCACTCTATCGTGCTGTTGGCAGTGGTTCATGGGCTTTTCCCAAGCAAAGTGGGTAGATGAAATTCCCGAAAACAACGAAAAATTTGTATAGGGGGCTGGTTACGCACAACACCGGATTGTCGCTTCGACTTTGCACATAGCGCAATGAATTCCACAGCAAGTTGAACACAAGTTTACCCACTGTGACACCGTGATTCAAAATCTGCAACACCCGAATGTTTCCTAAGCATTTGCTATTGTCGCACAATGCGCTACATCAATAGAGCAAGGAAACAAGAAAGCGTGGGTGACATTACGAGCAAACGCCATGAATATGACATAAAGGAAATGGGAGCCAAAGGAAACAGAAGCTAAAGGAAACAGGAACTGAAGCAGATAAGAACCGAAGGAAACAGGAGCTAAAGAAAACAGGAGCTAAGGGAAACATGAACTGAGGCAGACAAGAACCGAAGGAAATAGAAACTAAAGGAAATAGGAGCTAAAGGAAACAGGAGCCAAAGGAAACAGGAGCCAAAGGAAACAGGAACTGAAGTAGATAAGAACCGAAGGAAATAGGAACTAAAGGAAACACAAACTAAAGGAAACATGATAGTGCCCAGTTCGTGACTGCAAAGTCGCACGTCTCAATCTTCGTCCTCGTTTACCATCACAAGGTGTGGATCATCGACTTCCAGTGCCTCAAGAGACCGTGTGTGCTTGTCCGGTGCTTTGAGAGCTTGGATCAGCCTAGGCTTTTGATTCAGTGCGGCAGTCGCAGTCCACGTGCAAGGCAGGCCAAGTCGATAGCAAGGCTTGCAAGCATTGCCGGTATTCGCCTCCGCTTTGCAACCTCTTCTGGGGTCGACATTGCCAAGGTGACAACCGTCACATGTTGGCCTGTATCTTGGCGTCGCACCAGTTGGAAACTTCTGGAATTCGCCTCCAATCTTGGTCTGTCCCCTCTGACCAAGTTCGGGGTAGTCGGAAGCAGCCCGAAGCTTGTCTTCGATTGCCTGATGGCTCAGCTTTTGCGGAGGTGCAATCGATCTGGTAGTGAGAGCGACGTCGACAAACCGAATCTTCTGCCTCAAGTGGTCGTACTTCATTTCCTTCACCTCTGCAGTGCCATACGATTCGGGCCACTTCACCATTGGCTGCTGCACTTCATGACTGAAGTAGTGGATCAGGGCCACAGTCTTACCGTAAGCCTTCACATGGCCGGGGTCCTTCCACATGCCGCTCGTATCCCTCGTGCCACCATAAGTGGACTGGCAGTATCGATGCTTCCACTGACCGTCCTCGTCCTGCCATTCTACCTTGATCCCGACACGGTTCGCTTGATCCCAGTTAGTCCATGGCCCAACTCCAGCCAGTCTCGCGTACGGAACGGGGTGGTGTTGTCCGCCTGGTGCAATCTCGATGACTGTGTTGACCTCCATTCCATCCGAAAGCTCTTCTGTGTCCTTGGGAAAGACGATTTCTATGACATCAGAATGGTCCATCTTCCCACCCGATGCCCAGTGATGCTTCGTAACTTTGCAGACGATGAGGTAGCCGGTCCTGTGCTTGTAGATTTTCGTCGGTGATCTCCGGTAGACGTCCATGTCAGGGTAGCTTGTCTTCAACCAGAGCACTTTGTCAGAAGTAGTGAAAAGCTCCACAAGTGGGCTGCTCCAGTTGAGACCCCTAGCCGCTCCAAACTTCTGCTGGCGGCTAACTCCGCCCTTCCATCCGCTCTTCTCACGAGTGCATCTCTCGAAGTACTGCAGGACGGCGGCATGCCTTTGGTGGTGGTATACCGACTTTCCGGCTTCGGCAGTGCTGTCCGTACCCATGAGCCCAGCCTCGTTCATGTCGGCAGCTGTGAGGAATCTCGCGGGATCCAACACGTCCGGGTGGTAGGTTTCCAGCAGACATATGAACATCTGTTCCGCCACCGTGCGCTGCCTCTTTTGGATCTTGCCCTGACCATCGATGAGGCAGACGATGTACATCTTCTGGTCAGTGCACTCCCTCCAGGATCGGTAGATCGCCTGGTTGCGCTCTTTGGACGAAGCGCGATGCTCACGTGCGCGCGAGCTGAAGTCATACGTTTGACCGATGTAGAGCTCAGGGGAGCGCTTGTCCTTGAAGTCGGCGAGCCTGATCATGTAGATGCCTCCGCGGTGATTGGAAGGGTCTACTAGAGTGGCCTTGGAAGTGATGTCGGCAACGGTAACGTCGGGATTCGCGAGCACACCGGCAAGCCCGGCATTCCCAACACCGGCAAAGACTGGGGCGAGGAAGCTGTCAAGCTTGTCTTGCGAGTTCAGTTCTAATAGCCAGTGGGGGACCACGCCTTTGAGATCGGCATTTCCGTTCAGGATGTAAGCAGAAAACATTGCCGTGGCTGCTTTCCTGAACGGGTCGCTGAAGCTACCGGTCGTACACTTGACAGTTTGAGTACTGGAATTTGGGCGAGGTAGGTTTGTCTCGATAGACAAATCTTCAACGCGGGAAACGCAAGGGACCTGACCGATCTCGATGTAGCGCATGCTAACCCAGCCACAGGGTCTGCTACCTGGACTGCCTCGAGACTCAATGATGACCATACAACGCTCGGATTTGGGGTCATGGGCTATCACTCGACCTAAGTCGCCATTGATGACGTTGACCGTGTCGTGTTGGGAGGATTGGTGGTCCTGAACAGCGACGAAGGGGTAGCCCTTGGGCCAGGTGGGGTTTTGAATTGGATTCTGCGACATCCTGGGAGAGGTGATGTAAATTGAAAGATTCAGTTGACAGAATCTTGAAGTCAAAATTGGGGGTGCAGTACAGGACGAAGCGGCGGGATATTCAGCCCATATAAAGTAGACGGCAAAGCTGGATGCGGGCAAAGTGAGGCTTTGCTCTGTAGAACAGACTTTCCAACAATCGTGTCACGTTGCGTTTGTTAGAATTTTGCAGTGCTAAGCTTTGTCTGAGTTGCTTTGATTGTTTTCACGTTAACCAATCTGGACAGCTTTATTTTGCTCCTCCAAGCAAACATCTCGGCGAAGGCGTACCAAACCACATAATCATTGATGTCGTCTGTTGCTCATGGCTCGATTGGTTGCAAAATAAATTGGCCCACCTACGTTTATTCTACGTAAATAGTGAAACACCATCTGGATGCATTGAACAGTTCCGATACTCAGATCTACGCTGAGAAATTTATTCGATTGCCAACACATACAAGATCGCCGTTGGTCAAACTGTTCTTCCGCAATCCATTGTGGTGGGGATAGAAATCAAGTAGGTAAATGTGACGGTCATTTAGTCTTAGTTGGCATGCGAAACTCCATGGCTGCATGGTGTTAGGCAAACGTGGCGTAAGAAAGCATCTCTGATTGAAGTTCAATGCTGACCGACACGCATGCGTGTCACGAATCAACAGCAAGTAGTTGGTGCTACTTTCAAACACAAACTAGGCAGATGAACTCAGCTCGACTGCTCGTGTGCAGGGAGACCCCGTGGCCAAAAAGTTTGCCGTAACACAGCAATGCGTTTGATTTCCTGCTATCTGCCTACCTAATGTGTCTCCAACGGCCAGCCAGTGCTCTTGCTCATTGCGTGTTTGTTTCCCTTCGATCATCCTTCCAATATTCCTCCCTACTTGCCCGATCAACGCTCCCATGTAGAGAGCAGGAAACTATCTGGCAAAGGCAAGCCGTTCATCCATCCTTTGAGAGAAAGCACCACCACCACCGCTTCCCTTGGGAAACCCCCCATCGCAGCCAGAGAACAATACCTCCCAACCTCAAAACACACACACCCTCACCATCCCATAATCATAGGATGATAATCCATTCGTCCCTCCCCACCAGCCAGTCTCTCCATCCCTGACCTCCGACCCCCAACCCCAAAACAAACCAAAACAAAAACAAAAAAAACCCCTATGCCCACTCAACCCAAACCCCACCACCAAAACCCAAACCCCAAGGCTTTCCCTTTTGTTTCACCACTCCGCCCCCATCTTCTTCCTCCACCCCGCCGACACGTCATTCCTGCCCGTGCCGTAAAACACCGGCATGCCCACCCCCTCGGCCGAGCGCTCGATGAAAAAGTCGCGCAGCTCGTCGACGGGCGTCGGCGGTCTCCTGCTGCCGATGGCGCCGACGGCGTTGTCTGCATTGTTGTTGCCGGCACTGCCACCGCCGAAGTTGAAAGGAAACGACGAAGAAGAAGAAGACGATGGTGATGGTGAGCGCGACGGCGGGGCGTCGCCGAATTTCGCGGTCGTCGGACGACGGCCCGGATGGGAGGAGACGAGATCGACGGAGCCGAGCTGGAGGACGGGGGGCGATGCGGGAAAAGCTGCAGAGCGTTGAGACAGACGGCGAGGACGGGTGGTCTCGTCGTTGATGGACCAGTGTTGGTGGAGGTGGGCGTTGAAGCAGCTGTCGCTGCTGCTGCTGTTTTTGCTGTGGGGAGGATGACGCGAAGATTGGATGGGGAGGCGAATCTCGTGTCCCGACGCAAAGGCTGGCGCATTCTGAGGAGCGGACGGCGTCGAGAAGGAGTTTGTGAAATATTCGGCATGGTCAACGGCCGAGTCGCGTCTTTTGCACAGGGCGGTGGTATAGTTGGCGTGGTAGGGATTGCTGAAGGCAATGGCGTCCGAAAGCGACGTGGGTGGGACATCATCGGTAGTCCTCCAGTTTTGGGGATGGCGAAGTGAGTGCCCACCTGCGCTGCTGCTGCCTCGGTGAGAACTATCCGACGAGCAGCAAACAGCAGATCTGGCCGGTTGCTGTCCCCATGGCATTTGGAAAGGCCGGCGAGGCGGCTGTTGAAATCCCGGCGACATGGACGATGTCGGAGTGATTGCTGATTGGACAGACGATCCCGAGAACGAATTGGACCACGAGCGACCGCATCTCTTGAACGTGTAATGTCTGTATCCTCGCTGTATCGGTGCACCGCACGGGTAATGGACTGCCACGGCTGGTTCGACCGACTTCTCAAAGTATACATCTTCAGGAAGCGGTTGAAAATCATCGCTCTCAAGCTGAGAAGTCTGCAGTGCTGCATTCAGCCGCTCCCTTGCATCTTTGTTGAAGCCACCTGAAGACGCCTTTCTGATCGGATCAAAGAGGCTGATCCAGTCAAGGTAGCTTCTGTCCTGAAGCGGGGGCATGCCGCCAAGCAGGCCCGTGTCGCTTTCGTGGTCGATGCTATCAACGTCGAAACGGTCAAGCTCATCGTAGTAAGTGATTGTAGGAGGCCTCCGAGCAAAGCGTGCATCGTCGACGCAGAAGAGGCTGCAAAAGTACCACCATGGGAACACGATAGGAAACTCGTCCTCGGGAATGACTTCGTAGCCGAGCGCCGGGACGAGGAAAAATGCATAGACGTATGGGTGGTCACCGTATCGCTCGATCACCTATAATTGGAACACGACTTTAGCTTAGGAGCCCTCTTTGTGCCTCCGAAGCGACCTTTAGCGATGGAGTAGAATGGTCGTATCAAAGTGATGGGGGGCGAAGGAGTGGGACGGGCAGCTCATACATCCCACGCCGGGAACAGCGGCGGGTGTGCTTTCAATGAGATCAACTCGTAGTCTCTGTGTCTCTTGAGCTGCCGGTCGCCTCTCCGATACGCCTGGAGGACCTCTGGTCGAGGAGTCCTGATGTCGCGCCGTCCGAGGATCTTGCTCATTCCAGGTGACGTGTGGAACATTGGATCGAAAGCCAAAATGTTGCGCTGGCCACCTTTGTGGCGCTCGTAGCCGACGATGGTGATGGAGTGACCGGGCTGTTGCAGGTAGATGGGCGGGAGGTGCGTCTTGATGACTTTGAGGCGCTTCTCTCGCTGCTCTCCCGTCGTGCCTTCTCTGAAGTAAGACTCCACATAGTCCAGAAGTTGCTCGTGAGCCTGGCCTTTTTCAGGGCGGTCGCTGAAGATTTGAAGACCATGGTCGATACGAAGGCTGCGGAGCAGCGCTTGAACCTGTCTGGTGTGAGCACACAAGCTCGGGCACGTGCCGGGTCACATACCTCTGGGGTGCCAATGTATTTTCTAGTGCCTCTGATGCCACCCGTTTGAATGCGGCTGACTTCATTGATGCCCATGTCCCAGGCTTGCTCGATCAGATCCTGCAAGACGAGGATGCCCGGCGTGCGGGGAGGAAACTGAGAGTGGCCCTGGGCCTGGGCGCCTTGGATGTACGAGACCAGCATCTGAATGTTACGATAGCCGCAGAATCCGCCTTCTCTCGGTCGTTTGAAGATATGGAGGGTGCTAGGGTGGCAGATGTAAGCTTGGTCGACTGATTTGTCGATGCCACACAGCTGCGCGAGGACCGGCAAGACGCCAGGAGTCTCGTTGTCGACGACCTCATGCTTGATCAGGCGGCCGTCGCGGCCGATGCGGGTCATGACGGAAACCTTGGGTCCGGCTTCGATCTGCTTGTAGAGCGCATGTGGCATCTGCTCCTCGTAGGCATAGGGGCCCAATTCGGATTTCTGTGGCCCAGAGTCAGCGCCGTACATCAATCCCAAAGCGAACTCGAACATGGCTTACACCTAGGCGGGCACTGCGAGCGCCGGGCGCCTTGCCCTTGTGCAGCTTCTTGGAGCTGGAAGGGCTCAGGACATCGATCATGCGGCGGGAGAGGGTGGTCTTCTCCGAGTTGGAACGGGCCCTGGTCTTGACATGGGCGTCTTCGTAGCCGTTCTCGTGATGATGATGACGAGGATGCTTGCTGCGCCAGCGGTCTCCGTCCGGTGCAAGGGCCGAAGAGTCGGAGCTGTCGTCTTGGGCGGTGCTGAAAGAATGCTCCGAAGCAATGGAGAGGGGAGGCGTGCCGTGACGCATCTTGGAGAGCTTCTTGGGTGGCTTTCTGGACGACGGTGGATGTGGCAATGCTGTGCTATGATCTGCTGGCGCCGATGCGTCCTGTTGCGATTCGAATAGTCTCTCGGCGAAGTGCAGGTCAAGGTGCTCGGTGAGGTCCTCGGCGGGAATCTGCTCGCAACAGTCCGGATTGGGACAGAGCATCCATCTCTCGCCGTCGTCGGCAGGTGCTTCTGGCAGGACGGGGCCAGAGGAGGAGCCGGGTTGGGAAAGCTCGGAGGCGGCGTCTGGGCCGTCCCTGACCACAAACGGCGAATCGGCCGTGTGGCGCTCCTCGACGTGCAGCATGAGCACGTACGAGTCCTGGTGCTTGAAGGCGCAAAAGGGGCACTCTAGGACCTCGGCGGTGCTTGCCATGCTGGCGCAGTCAAATCGGGGCGGCTTGGCAGCTGGACGGAGGTCGAGCAGACGGCGAGGGGCGGCAGCGCGGAAATAGATGGCGGTCGCGAGTAAGCTCAGTATGGGCACAGGCGCGTCTTCCTGAGAACGAGACGAGGGTGCTTGGGGGCGGACGGCGCGCAGCAGCTTGGGCGAGCAGGATCTTGCTTGGACGGGCCGTGGCGGTGTCGCGGGTTTGGCTCTTGCCTGAAGAGCGGGCTGCAGCTGCGCTGGCCGGGGTGCAGCAGGCTAAGGCGGCGCCGCCGTTGGCCACTCGGCAGCCCGCCGGCGGATTTGGCAGGCACACGGACCAGTGACAGCCAGTTCAATCCTGATAAAATGGAATCTACATCGTGCGCTCTGTGCTTCATGGACGCATGGCAGGCGTAACTCGACCTCCCCCCTCATCGTAGCCACCTCCCGACCAACAACCCGTGTGGTGTCCTTGACATGCATGCTCAAGCGCGAAGACATTGCCATCCCGAACGCCGCTCCCCACGCCAACGCCGACCGGCACCTTGCAGATACACAACAGCGCTCCCAGATGCCATACATGCGCAGATGCCTCCTCTCAATATCCCCCGCCCCGCAAAAGAGATTCAAAAATTACGTGGGAGCTACCGGTATCCAAATCCGCTTCAATGTCAGTCCGTCGTGAGGAAATGTCGTGCGACCCCGTCTACATGCCGTCCACCTCGCTGATGGCAAGACCCTGCACCTCGCCGTTGCTGTGCCCGTTGGTCGGCTCAAACTCCAACTTCTCCTGTTGTGCCATGGCTTGCGCCGACACGATCTCTGCCAGCCGCTTGAGACGCGGCGTTTGCAGCCCTGTTTGTCCGTCAGCATCTGCGCACCGCCATTGTCCTGGGTCACTTACACGATGGAGTGTACGTCTCCAGAGCCGTGATGACGCGAGGCTCGGCGATCTCGTACGGTCCGCTGTCCTCCATGTCGACCGCGGTGAGCAGGAGGACGTCGCTCTTCTCCGTCACCCTGGAGGCGACCGCCTTCATGATCTCGCCGTTGATCGGCTGCTCGTAGTCGGCCACCAGGTACTGGTTCAGAAGCTTCTGGATCTGGTTGGGGGAGAGCCTGCAAATCACGTCAGCCCGTCATTCCCACGTCAACACCTGCGATGGCACTTACATCCAGCAGATGTCCTGGATGATCTCAATGTCGTTCAACGTGGCCTTCTTCAGCTGCAGGAGCTTGGTCGCCTGCATCAAGTGCTCCAGCTGAAGCGTTCCCTCGGGCATGTCGTGGCTCTTGCACCACTCCTCGATCCTCGTGATGTTGTAGTTGATCTGCAGACCACGCTTCCACGAAAGGAAGTTGCGGCGCATGAGCAGGTCGTTGAACGCCGTGACGCCGACCAGGCGAAGGAGCTCGGTGATGGCCTGCGTGACGATCGTGTCCTCGAGGAAGTAAGACTTCATGGCCTTGAAGACGTTGTTCATCAGGCTGAGGAGGTTGTCCATGCTGTAAGCCGGCGCGCTGTTGGACTGGAGAAGCTTGCCGAGGAACCTGTTGCTCTCGTTGGTGACGAAGCCGGGCAGCGACTGCGACTCGATGATGGCCGGGACGATCATCTTGTGCAGCTTCTTCTTGAGCACCTTCATCCACGTGTGGTAGATGTTGAACTCCAGACTCTCCAGGTCGTGCTTGACGATCTCAAGCAGCCGGTCGTACTCGTAGTTGTCCGTCTTCTGCGTCTCGTACCAATCCTCGGCGAGGAAGACGAACGAGAGCATCTCGTGGACGTTGGAGAGCCAGAAAGCACCCGGGTTGATGGCCTCCTCGCCGTCGTGCTGCATGACCTCCTGCTGGATCGACTGCATGACGTTGGCAAGGAACCTCTCCGACTCCTTGACGAAGCCGTTGTTCCACATTTCCGAAGTGACCAGGTTGATGAGGTAGGCAGGGAAAAGGACCTCCTTGTCGCTCGGCGCCGGGTTCGTGCTCGGCGACGGGATCTTGAGGTTGCGGATGAGGCCCATGGTGACCTCGTCGTTGAGGCCATCCTCGTCAGAGAGTATGTTCTCGAGCTCGAACTCGATGTTGTCCAAGCCGGGGGTGAAGGTGGAGCCCGAGAAAGTGCTCTGCTTGTGGAGCGATTGTCCGGTGACAGCCATGGACACCGGGCGTGGGTTGAATGCGCCGCTGAAACGCTCGATGTCGGCGCGCTCGCCCGCACTTCTTCTCTTGGGCTTCTTCGAAGAGACGAGGTTGATGAGACCACTTGCCGGCGCGTGGTTGCCGTTCGCGAGATCACCGTTGACGGGTGCGGCCCGCTTAGCGAGCTCGAGCTGATCCTGGAGATCGGCGAGCTGTTGGCGAAGAGAGATCTTCTCGCTTTCGACCTGGCTCGAGCGACGCTTGGTGTGTTCGAGCTCTTCGGTCGTCTCCTTCAACGTCTCGCGCAGGTGCCTCTCCTCCTCTTGCAGGCGGCGCATGTTGGTGGTGCTCTCTTCGTAGTTGGACTGGAGCTTGTTGAACTCCTCTTCCATCTGGCTCAGGCGAGCGGCGGTGATGCCGGCCTGGTTCGCCTCGGCCTGCAGCTCCTTGGTCCTGGCCTCGAGCGCATTCGTTCTGCTCTTCCACGAGTTGATCTGACTCTCGTAGTTCTGGACCTGCCCTTGGAGCGTCTTGTTCTGCTGCTTGATCGTGCCAAGACTCTGGGTGAGCTCGACGACCTTGTTCTCCAGCTTGTAGGAGATTTGCTTGAGATCGTGAGCCTCCTCACGCAGACTCTTGTAGGCGCTACGGGCTTTCCTACCACGCCACAAGCTCTGAATGATGATGACCTTGCGACGGTAAGTCCTCCAGTCCTTGAGCTGACGGTAAGACCTCCAGTTGCGCTGGATGCAGCGAGCGGCATCGCTGAAACGCTTGTCCAGGAGACCCTTGCGGAGAAGCCAACCCTTCGCAACCGCGTCGAACTTGACGACACTGTTGCGGATGTACATGAACCTCTTCCTGTCCTTGTAGCCACGGAAGACACGCTGGATGGTGGTGGCAGACTTGACTTGCCGCATCTCTTCCGTGTGTGCTCTTGCCAAGAAACCACGGACGAGTGCTTGGGTGGAGATGACGGCTTCACGAGCCTCGAGATAGCGGCGTCTGTAGTACTTGCAACGCAAGTTCTTCTGTATCATGATGGCAGCGCCGTTCAGGCGAGCGGTGCGCTTGTTCTCCAGGAACGCAAGCATGCCCGCACGGAAGAAGATCTTGGTGAGACCGAGCTGGTACTTGTCCTTCTTTCCACTTTCGTCGCTCAGGGCGCATTGCAAGATTTTGTTGGCCATGTCCTTGATCTCGGACGTCCATTGGGCAGAGGGCACCAGCATGTAGTAGCGCAGAGCGAACTCTTCGTACGTCCATCTTGTCGGGTAACCAGCACAACTGATGCGGACGGTCTCGAGGACACCGCAAGCACGAAGCTGACTGAGAACCATGGGTCCCTCAAACTTCCAGGCTTCCTTCGCCTCGTTGGGCTTGATACAACGGATGTAGTGGACATCGGTAGAGTTGATGGTGTTCATCAGCTCGATCAGGGAGGCCTTGAAGATGCCACCGAGAGTGGGCTTGCGGTTGACCGCGACTCTCCGACCCGCAGAGACAGCGGTGCCCGGCTTGGCAGCCGAGCCGCCGCCAGTCTCTTTCTCACGGATCGACGCCGCGGTGTCGATGATCTCCACGAGGAACTTGTTCGTCGAAGCCTTGAGGACCTCCATGTGTTCATCTGGCACGGTATCTCTGTTCTTTTCGATAAAGCTCTCCGACTCGTACGTGACATCGACCGCATAATGGCAGACGGTGAAAGAAGACTTTCCGAAACGCGGCTTCTTGTAGAACTTGTGCTTGTCACCAGAGTAGTTGTGGTGCAGTTTTGTGACGAACTGTTCATCGGAGCCCATGGGAAGACGAGACTCTTCGTCAAGCAGGGACAAGATACCGAGCTTTCCTTCAATGAGGTCGATACAGGGCTGGTTGTCGGAGAAGTCGATAAACGTCCAGTCGATCTCTTCACGGAGGTATTCCTCCTGCTCGAGCTTGAACACGTGCTGGTTGAACTCCTGCTGCAGCTTCTCGTTTGCGTAGTTGATACAGAACTGTTCGAAAGAGTTCTTGGCGAAATGCTCGAAACCGTAGATATCGAGAACACCGATGAAGGACTTCGTAGCGGCGACGATCTCCTCAGAGGCCAAACTCTTGTTGACCTTGTCGACCAGCCAATCGAAAAGACTCGAGTAGATGTATTTCGCGACGGAGTCTCGCACGACAATGGCTTGCGCTTGCGTAAGGTTCGAGGTGATCTTCTCTCCGCGAGTGATGAGTTGCTTCTTGACACACCACCTGGCAAAGCCGGCTCCATCGATGCCCAAAAGCTTCGAGGCCTGAACGAGCGACGGCTCCTCGGGCGAGAGCGAGGAGTCGGTACGAGTGGCGGTAATCTTGACGTCTCCGAGGTGCAGCAGCGCAGCCAAAAGCTTGAAAATCTGGGTCTGGGTCTCGTCGTTGACGCCAATGGTCCCCAGGGATTTCCTGGTCAAATCGTATTCGGCCTTGTCGTCGACGCCATCGATGACCGGCGCGCTGCCCTGGTTCATGTATGTGAAATCATCCGGGCTCTTCAAACCCCACTCCTCGCGCTCGGCATCCGTGGCACCGGCGCAAAGCTGGTAGAAAATGTGGTAGTTACGCTCCTTCAACGGCTGGAAGACCAGTCTCGACCGTTCCAGCAGGTAGACACGAATCTTGGCGCCAATGATCTCCGTCGCCTCGTCGAACATGATCTCGATGTACTTTCCGAAACGGGACGAGTTGTCGTTACGCGTCGTCTTGGCGTTACCGAAGGCTTCCATGATGGGGTTGGTGGCCAGGATCTGCTTTTCGGTCTCACTCATGGCGTCTGAGTTTGCCTTGCGCTGGCCGGGGTTGTCGGGCGACTCGCGGGTCGCAAAGTACCGCATGATGTATTTTGCACTGACTGTCTTACCGGCACCAGACTCACCGGACACGACGATGGTCTGGTTGCGGTTGTCGCGAAGCATGTCTCTGCGCGGACTGTGTTAATAAATGCAACTTGCTGTATCATGAGCAGGGAAAGGGCCTCAACGCACGCAAAGGCCTCCTCGGCAATGGCGAACAAATGCGGCGCCTGCGAAGCTCTGTGCTTGCCGGCGTACACTTGGACCATGCCGGGGACGTATAGCGAATCGACGCGAGCGAAGGGATTGGCGGCGATCAGGACGATGCCGGAGTATGTGTAGATTTCCTTCTGGGCATAGCGCAGCTTGATAGCTTGCAGCACTGTATCACCAGTGTCAGCACAGATTCTGGACAGGCGGCGGCGGGCGGGCGGAGCTGACCGGCTGGCTCGTTCAGATGTGAAAGGTTCGTAAGGTCATCGCTGGCTTCGAGCATGGTCGGGTTCATGAGCGGGGGCAGTGTGCTGTCCTTGTCATCTTGGAGGGCTTCTGTCGTCGTCTCTATCACCTTCTCCTGCTCGGGGGGTCAGCGTGGGCTCAGCGGGCGGGAGGACACAGGCGGAGACGCACCTCGCCATTCTCGAGACGGAAGACAAGCTTGACCTTGTCCCCGTCCTCGATCTTCTGCTCGACCTCGGAGGCAACCCATCCCTCGGTGGGATCGGGCTGCCAGGCGCGCGTGCCGATTTCGTAAAAGTGCGACATTGTCGGTGGCGAGCAGCACGCGGGCGTGCTCTCTGTGGAGGGAGGCGGATGGGGTGTGGACTCGGTGGGCGGCGGGGAGTTGGGCGGACTCCTAGGGAGGACAACGCGCGCGCCCCAGGCGACTCCAGACCGATGGCCGGCGGATCTCCTGCACTAACAAACGACCGAAGCAGGATACAGGGGACGGAGGACGTCAGGCATCCGCGGGGCCTGGGCGGGGGTAGCAGGCGGATTGCGGCAGCTGGAGAGGGCGGGACGAGAGGGTGGAGTTGCAGGTAGCGCGTTGAGTGAGGTCGTCAATTATTTAGAGATGCTGTCCCGACGGTTTGAAACTGGACCTTGCACGCACGGGGTCCTCGCGTTCACCGCTTTTGGGCCGCGCAGCCCCTGAAGGCCGACCCTGCCACCTGCCACCTGCCACGGCGACCCTGCGCCCGCGCCCGCGCCCGCGGCAACACAGACCGCACCGCTGCACCGCGGCACCGCTGCACCGCTCTCCGCCGCGGCCGCAGCTCTTCCGCCGCCAGCAGCGCGCGCTCCGCCAACCCCCAGGACGACTCGCGCTCGGCCGGGCGACGGGCAACACGCTCCACACGTGCCTGGCGCGGTGCCTTGCGCGAAGAAATGCCCGCCTCGCGTCTCACAGCGCCCCTGCCCTGCGCCGGCACGCGCTGCCGCGATTGGTGCCGTCAACCTGACACCCTATTCCATCGCCGCGCAGCTCTTTTAGCCCAAGCCCGTGCCGCCGCGCCCGCCGTCAACCAACGCCCGCTCCGCGGCCGCTGCGGCCGCGCTTTGTTTTTTGGCCATTTCCCGCTGCTCCACGGGCACGTCATCGGCATGATCAATCCCAATCTCCATGGCCCTTGAATCATTTCACTACGCCCAAGCCCTCCCGCATCCCCCTAACCAGCCCTCGCTCGCTCCTTCCCGCCCTACTCGCTCGCCAGCGGCGCCCGCCCGATCCTGACCCTCACGTTGCCCTTGGGTCGCGCCGTGAGCGGCCCGTTGGCTCGTCGCGGTATTTTCCAGCCCGCCTTGTCCACCGGCTCCATCGTCCACACGCCCAGCACCGTGGACACGGTTGCCAGGCAAAGGCTCTGTGCAAACACACCCAACCCCGCCATGCGCCACATGCCGTTGTCGTGTTTGACCCTCCCCCAGTCTGCTCTGATCGCCTTTCCTTTCTCGTCGTGCACCACAAATCTGTCTGCAATGAACTTCTCCGCATTCCGGTACTGGCTGTCCGTGTTGAGCAGCCCGTTGGACACATCCACGTGTTCGCCCTTCCTGACTGCGTACTCCGCAGCAACCCCGGCGGCCGACTTGTCGCTGAGCACGACGTCCTGCTTGGCTTTGCCAATGGACCAAGCTGTGTTGTACAGCCGAACCGTCTCCATGTAGCAGCTCAGCAGCAGCGGGCATTTTGTCCGCAGTCCGTCCAGATCGACGTCGATGCGTGGTGGCTCCATCAGCCCAAAGCCATTCTTCGGCCGCGTGGCGCGAGCAACCGGACGGACTTCGTCGCGGATGCGCTCCGCCAGTCCGGGTTCCGCGAGGATGTGGATCGTCATCCAGAAGACCAGGTCGCGAGTTGCCGAGTTCAGGGCCCAGAACAGGTAGAGGTGAGCGTTGGGGTGGACTTCGGAGGGCACGTTTTGTTCGGCGAAGAGGCGTCGAGACGCGGTGAAAGCGGCTGAGAAATCCCCCACGTTTTCTTCCTTTGAGATGATGTCTTCGCCTCCAAGCTCTCTGTCGTAGGACTTTTGCAAGTTGCTCATGTTTGCGAGCAATGCCCTGCGTGCGATGTAGCCAGCCGGAAGGCCGGGAACGGGAACCCAACGGGGATGACCAGTACCCAGAATGTAAGCTTTGGAATCGAAACTTTGCAGAGTCTCGTTGAACGTGGGATAGTCGTCCATGAAAGCTATGCCTGCAAAAGAACTGTTGATGATATGGCCGGAAAATTCCTGGAGTAGCATGCTGACATCTGATGTGAGCATCCAATCAAACGTGGGGATGAATCATACATACTCTAGGTTCGAGTCCGAGAGGTCCCTTTCAGACTCAGGTGCCTCAACCACAGTCGTCAGGCTTGCCCGTTCCCATGCCTGTTGGTCGACATAGCTTTCGTTGAAAGTGATGAGGTCCGGGACGATTTCTTTCAGCAGACCCACGGCCTTTGCAGAAAGCGATTCCATGTTCGATTCTGTAAAGACCTTCTCATACAAGTCCGCGGGAACCGTCGTGGGGACGCCAAAGATGTTTTTGCGAAGAGTAGAAACAAAGGCTTGATCATCCAATCCTTCTCGTTCTTTCGCTACGACCGATTCGACCACCGTGGGTGATCCCAGAACGGCATGCCTCGTGCCAAGAAGGCTCAATCCGAATACATTCTGCGTGACATCATCCCTAGTGAAGGCCATCAATCACGATTCAGGAGATGTTGGCGTCACGCGCACTTACCTGGCTTTCTTCAGGAACGAGTCTACGTCCCAGATGAGATGCAGTGCATGGCCGAGGAAGGGAACCGAGGAAGGCAGGACAGGGACGGGACTTCTCTCGCCTGCCTTGCTGCAGGCATCCTGGTACTTGACACCAGTCCAGATGCGGGTCAACAGCAGAATCACGGTGGTGACCACCAGTGCCCCAACTACACGAATTGGCGTTTCCAGGGAGTTTACTGGCTCAGGCACTGTGTCTCGTGTCAGTTCCTGATGTTCAATCCCGCACGTTGTGTGTCGTCGGTGGAAAAGTCATGGCCGCCCATGCAGCCAAGTAGAATGAGCTGGGTGGCAGAGGGCTGTGACAGCAACGTTTCGAGCGAGTAGTAGAGAGAACGACAGAGTCTAAACAGAACGCGTGACGGAGTTCGATGTAAAACCTCAGGTCGGACAGGGGAAAGGGGAGGGGTGAGTTTCCACTCACCAGCGATCCAGCCCTTCGCGATGACCAGCGCTGAGGCAGTCAGAGCCCAGGCGCTGCTCCAAAGCAGCGTCTTGCGCTCGAGATACACCGCCAAGCCGAGCGCCATATTTGCTCGTGGTCGATGGCAGATGTGGTGAACGAGACAGGTTTGTTGTTGCCGGTGTCTGCCACCGGTGCCGAAAGCGGTGACCGCCTAAGTAGCGAGCGGGCTGAACAAGCGAAGCGGCGGCTCTCAATGCGCAAGAGGCACCATGCTCCGGCTTCCTCAGCTACGCGGAATAAGAGCGCGATTGCCTAATCACCAATGTAGCGCAGCTGGACGGGGGGTGGATCGAGGGCGAAGAATGAGGAGTCACAGCGAGACGGTGGTGTGGTGGCTTGGATGCGGCACGAACATCGACTTTCCTCAGCCCTCCAGGCTGTGTCTGTGCTCACATATATTTAAACCTCCACGTCCTGCACCAAACTTGCATCCTCATCAGCAGCAACCGCACCACAGACACAACAACAAAACTTGGAACGCCGCCTCGTGTTCTCACAACCGAGTCCGTTGGCTTTCTCGAAAACAGCAAATTCCACTCACAATGGCCCCAAAGGAGCTCAACTTCATCACCGGCAACGCCAACAAGCTCCTCGAGGTCAAAGCCATCTTGGCCGACAGCGGCGTCGAGCTGCGCAGCCAGAGCGTTGACCTGGTTGAGATTCAGGGCACCGTCGAGGAGGTGACACTCGACAAGGCCAAGCGAGCTGCCGAGCACGTACGTATCTCTCTCATTGCTCGTCCCAGCCGCCCACTCATTCCTTGAATGCAATAAACTTACGACCCATGCTACAGGTCGGCGGCCCCGTCCTTGTTGAGGATACCTGCCTCTGCTTCAAGGCCATGAATGACCTTCCAGGGCCGTACATGTAAGATTTTACCTGCATCAACCCCAGAACGCCCCCTCTCACATATCCCCGTACCAATTCCCACAGCTCTGACTTTGTCTCCCTGTCCCCTCAGCAAATGGTTCATGCAGTCCATCGGCGTGCAGAACCTCCACAAGATGCTTGACGGCTTCGAGGACAAGTCGGCGCAGGCCGTCTGCACCTTCGCCTACTGCGAGGGCCCCGGCAGCGAGCCCATCCTCTTCCAGGGCCGGACGGATGGCAAGATCGTGCCGTCGCGCGGCCCCACCAACTTCGGCTGGGATTCTACCTTTGAGTACGAGGGCCAAACGTACGCCGAGATGCCCAAGGTCGAGAAGAACAAGATCTCGCACCGCGGCAAGGCTCTCGAGAAGCTGAAGGAGTGGCTGAAGACCAACGTCGACTGAGAGGAAACGAAGAGTTCAGGGAGGAGAAAGAAGAGAGAGGGCAGACCATGATGCTGCCGCTATGGGAGAAATTCTTTTGTCTATCCAGAGTCATAAAAAAAAACGCCACCCAAGAACTATCCCTTTACCCATATCAGTAGATAACCCCAAGTCCCACAAGCCGATAGACGGGTATATGCAGAATGCCACTTTTCCCAACCACCATCACGTCAAAAGCAAAAAGCAAAGCGAGTGTGAATTCCTTCATCACTCGTCCACCTCCCCCTCGTCCTCCTCTTCCTCCCCACCCAACCCACTCACCCCCTCCACCCCATTCTTGTGCTCTTCCTTCCACTGCCTCACCCACGCCTCGATGCGGTCGCAATTCGCCTCGACCTCGTCCGCCGAGTCGCTGCGCAGCTCGACGACGATCTCCTCGTCGAAGGCGTCGCGCGCCTCGTCCAGCAGCACCTGCATAATCTCGGCGTCCATGTTCTCCTCCAGCTTCTTGTCGCCGTAGCCGCGCGCCTTCAGCCGGTCGTACAGCAGCGTGCCGTCGGCGCGGACCACCACCACCAGGTCGATCCAGCTGCGCGGGAACAGGTCGCACGCGTGCCAGTCGATGATGTTGCCGCCCTTGAGCACGTCCGGCTCGATCGCGTCGAGGAGCTGTTTGGAGGTAACAGGGTCAGCAAAAAAAAAATAAGAAACCAAGAATGACCAGCCATTGTTAGAAAAAAAATTAAAGCATATAGTCTCGAAGAGGAGAGAGACAGAGAGGGAGGGGAGAGAGAGAAAATATACCTTATCCTCGTCCACGATCCAGCTCCCCAACTCCTCGTCCTTGCCATCGTAGCAATCCCGCTCCTTGGCCACCTGGTTGATTGCCAGGTGCTTTAGCTCCCCCGCGCAGTTTTGCGCCAGCAGCTCCGCGTGCGTCGTCTTGCCCACGCCCGGCGTGCCGGTGATGATGATGTTCGGACTCGTGCGCTTGACCATGATTTCTCTTTCTTTCCCGTTTTGTTCCTTTTTTTCGGTTTTCCCTTTCCTTTTCTTTTCCGTGCCCTTTTAGTCGTGCGATGTGGTTGGAGATGAGGGTTTTTTATTCGTTATCGTCGTGGTAAGTAAGGTATAACTAGGTAGTCGTCGGACCTCCGTCGGGAAAGGGTTCGCTCGCGTGAGAGGGGATTGCGCGTGCCTTGAATCGAGTGAGTGGCGATATAGCTGAGCAATTGGTAGGTGCAAGGCGCCGGGACGAGGAAGCGCGAGAGTGAGTGCAGGAAAAAGCGTTGCTGCGGCGGAAGCTGGTGGTGCACTTGGCGGCGGGCGCCGGAAATTTTGGAGAGAGAGCGGGAGAGACCAGAATCCAGCCGCGCACTCGGCCCGAGCGAGCTTTTTAGCATGACGGCATACCCTAGCTAGGTTGCACTAAAACATGCAGCTCGGTAGGGCACCCTGAGGGATAATCTACACCATCAGTGAAATCACTTATCACATCCAAACTGTCGGATTCAGGATTCATCAGAAAAGAATTCATTGCCAGGCTGTCATGGACTCCATTACATGCTCTTTCACATGTCCGAGCAGGGTAAATACCGCCCTTAAGAAAAACTGAAAAGCGCAAAAAGCCAAAACGACCAAACAAGACCCTGTGCATTCCCCAAAAGTTCGTCGTTCTGACGGTCTCCCTGATTCTCCGGTCGGGACTGAATGAACTGTTCGGGCGCCGTACATTTGGTTGCTCTATTGGTATTTTTTTCATTGAACCAAAAACGAAAGCCAGATTTCATTTATGTAATTCCCAGCAACCAGTCGCTTAGAGCTTGTTCTGGTCGCCCGTCAGCGGCCACTGGTAGCCGGCAGCGTCGCTGAACTTGTAGCCGTACGAAGAGGTGAAGTCGTCGAGAACGGCAGGACCACGGGAGCCTACAAGTAGAATTAGCAAAGTGATGGAACGCATCGAGAGCATCGAACGGGCTCACCGTAGGGGTACTCCATGGGGATAATCTCCTTGTTGTCGTCCAGGTAGTGCAGCAGAGGGGTGAAGATCCTCCAGCTTGCGTCGAGCTCATCGTCACGGACAAAGTTGGAGTGGTCACCCTTTAGGGCATCGAGGATTAGCGACTCGTAGGCCTCGGGGATCTTGAGGTCGGAGAAGCGGCGACGGTAGGTCAGGTCGAGCTCGGTAACGACCGTCTGCATGCTGAGGCCGGGGAGCTTGGAGTTCATCTTGATGTACACACTCTCGTTGGGCTGGACACGGATGACCAGCTCGTTACGAGGGATGTCCTTGAAGATACCCGACGTGACATCCTTGAACTGGATGCGGACCTCCGTCTTCTGCTCGTTGAGAGCCTTACCCGCCTTCAGGATGAAGGGAACGCCATCCCATCTCTCGTTCTTGATGTAGGCAACCATCGAGGCGAAAGTGGGGCAGCGAGACTCCTTGGGAACGGTGTCGTCCTCCTTGTAGCCAGGCTTGCTGCCGTCGAGCGACTTGCCGTACTGGCCAATGATGACGTTCTTGGGCTCGATCGAGGGCATGGCGCGCAGCACACGGACCTTCTCATCACGGATGTCCTCGGCAGAGAAGGAGATGGGGCGCTCCATGGTCAGCAGGGTCAGCACCTGCAACAAGTCTTTGTCAAAGTTAGCTGATGCATCGAGCTACACGAGTCACAACACCCACGGTTCTGCATGACATCGCGGATGATGCCGAACTCGTCGAAGTAGCCGCCGCGGCCCTCGGTGCCGAAAGGCTCCTTGAAAGAGATCTAGTGCGAAGTCAGCAGCTGAAGGGCTCTCGCAAATCCAACCTCGCCGTACCTGGACGTTGTCGATGTGGTTCCTGTTCCAGGTAGCGCCGAAGAATTCGTTACCAAACCGAAGGATGAGGATGTTCTTGACCATCTCCTTGCCCAGGTAGTGGTCGATACGGAAGAGCTCCTCCTCCTTCCAGTCGGGCGCCAGCGCGCGCTGGAGCTCACGAGAGCTTCCGAGGTCCTTACCGAAAGGCTTCTCCACCTGTTTCCGCTGTCAGCCTAGCCCCTAACTCCACATCCCGGCAGTGGTGCCACTCACGATGACGCGGGCAATGCCGCTCTTGGGGTAGCAGTTGCGCTTCAGGTGCTGCGAGACGGTGATGAAGACACTGGGGGGCAGGGCCATGTAGAAGACGCGGTGCGTCTCCTTCCTGCCCTTCTCCAAGCCCTCGAGGTGGCCCCTCAGATTAATGAACGATTCGTCCTGGTCGTACTGGCCGGAAACGTAGCTGCAGAACTTGCAGAACTCTTCCAGCTGCTCCTCCATCTCCTTGGTGGGCGTCTTGATGTACGACTTGACGCGCTTGAGGTACTCCTCGTGGTCCATCTTCGTCCGCGCATATCCGACGATCTTGACATTGGCGGGAAGGAAGTTGTTGCGGAACTGCCAAGCCTGTCAGGCCTTCTGCTGGGCTGCACTACAGCTGCGTTACACTTACGAGTCCGAAGAGCGCGGGGAACTGCGTGGCGGGGGAAACAAGGTCAGCAATCGATCGGCGGGAACCTGCAGATGGCCCGAGGGCCGGAGCGGGACCTACAGTCTTCTTCTTGGCGAGGTCGCCAGAAGCTCCGAGGACGACGACGATGGTGTTGTCCTTGAGCTCGATGGTGCTGGCGGTCGCGCGGTTAGCCCTCTTAGCTCCGCAACAGCTCCCAATGCGAGACCGTCTCGCGCGCCCGTCGCGCCCGACAGCCGCCAATGCGTTGAGAAAACCACTTGGGATTCCATGGGCAGCTGCGCCTGCGACGCGATGGGGCGGGGGAGCGAGGCGCCGTCGGATCGGGTGGCGGGCGCAGGGCGGAAATCGAGGGGCAGCTACTCACCCAGCGTTGGCCTCGACATCAGGCTGGATCAGCGTGTCGGCCATTGCGTCTGTTGGAAGCGGGGTTCGGCAGGAGTGTTGTAGGGGGGAAAAGGGCGATTCGAGGGGGGGAGATGAGTGGACGGGAGGCAGACGCAAAAAGTCCGGGCAGAAAGGTCGACGGAGAGGGCGGGCGTGGGTGGATAGAAGTCGTTGAGATCCTGGTGGGGTTGATTTTAGTGAGCGGCGGGCGGACGCTTCGGAGCAGTGACGTTTGCTGCGGCGGGCGGCGCTTCCTCGCTCGCGCAACAGTGCTCCCAGCCCGTCGCACGACTGAGGCAGCGGGGACCAGAAGATCCGAAGGAAATTTTAGCACAATCACAGGATCGGCGCCAATGCTACGTGTGGATTGCGACAGCTGGATGGACGACGGCGCTTCCCAGCCCTCGCCCGCCTCGCGGGCTCTCGTCAATAAATGCGTGCCCCCCGATGACCGGACGCCATGGTTTTAGCCGTCGTGCATCAGTCATCGCCCCCTCAAAGAAATTGCGTCCGTTAACTCCAAAACTCCGCCCGCCGCTTTCTCAGCGACCCACCCGTCGTCAATGCCACGTCCGCCTCGGCCGGTGTAGGCCGTAGCGTGCCGCCTGCCCAAGCTGCAGTCCCCGCCAGCGTCGGCAGGGTGGGTGGTGGCCTTGGGTGCTTCCAAACACCGCTGCTTTCGGTGCTCCGCGGGGCGCCGTCCAGGCCCCTCTCGAAGAAGCCCAGGCGTCCTGACGTGCTGACCACGGCGGCTCCATGCGCTGACAGAGCGCAGCCGCCCCGGTGGGCGACGAGCTATTGGCATGCTGCCGGATCCCCTCCTGCTCGGCATGCCGCACGCGTGCATGTTCCGCAGCGAGCACCGACGCTGCATGGCACCCTGCCCTGTGAAAGCTTGCCTGGGTCTCACCCACCCGCGCGGTGACGTCGGGCCAGCAGCGACAAGCTCTGGGAGCTAGGACGCCTACTTTGCAAGGCTCAAGCCACACCGTATGTGAAGCGACGCCGAGCCTGGTCCGCCGATAAAACTTTCTTATCTGATCTCCCGCGCCGCCGGCTCGCCTCCCTACGTAGTATACACAGTACACCATTCGCCGAAGGCCGTGGTGGTGCGGGCACGCAGGGCCATTCGAGGAATTTCTCATGATTGCTCGGGTTGTCTATTCCGGTCCACCTTCTATGCGCAGTCTATCTAATAATGTATTATACGAGTCGTACAAAGTCTTCGCTCGGCGGATTAGTCAATGGCCAGGGCGATTAGAAGAGATCCATCCAGTCTCCACGTGCACCCTCTGATCTGCTCGCAAGCTCCGAAGCGTCCCCGACCTGTCGTCATGGGGCACCAGCGACATCGCCCTCGTCGCTGCGCGCAACGTGCTGCAATTTTTTTTTCCCCTTCGCACCTTCGGGGCCCGCGGAAACAAAGGTTCTTACTCTTGATCCTGCAGGAACTCGAGGACAGCTGTCGCGACGTCAGCATATTCGGCTGAGCAGGAAGGTAGCGCCCGTGCGGAAAAGCTGTTGCTTTGCTTTTCCGCCGTCCGGTATTCAGGGGGTTCGTCCGCGGCCCCAAAAGCCGGTATTTTTCAATCCGGATCGGGATGCGCAGATCGCGCGCCTTGACATCAAACAGTGGCTCCTGCGCGGCTGACTGGCCTCACGAATGCCTCATCCCTTCCGCGAACGCACTGCCCGCAGGACAAGGATCGACGAGTCGATTGTGACGAGGGCGCATGCCATTGATCGGCCTGGCGATGCGGGAAGAGCGATCACGGAAGACAGGACTCAAAGAATGTGTAAGGGAAGATAGGAAAAGATCTCACATACCTTGCCTGAAACCCTCAGGGTTCTCAGAAACGACCCAATGGCCGGATTCCACGTCCTTCATCTTGAACAGCGGGAAGAACCTGCCGATGATGGGGATGGTCTCGTCGGGGACGTAGTGGCTCTTGGTGCCGCGGATAAACAGCGTCGGCTTGCTGAAGCGCGTCTCGTCGGGGTTGGTGAAGGGGAAATCGGCCATGTTGTCGAGCGCGTTGGCGAGGTAGCCGACGGGAATCTTGAACTGCAGGTGGTCGTTGCCCGGGGCGCGCACCAGGTTCGACAGCAGGAACATGCGCACTCCAATGTCCTCAACAAACGGCTTCAAAATGGCGTCGGCGTCGCTCTGCTTCTTGGGCCGGGCGGCGTCCACCTTCTTCATGCCCTTCATGTACTGCGCAAAGTCGCTCTTGAGCGCCGCATCTACGGGTGCGTTGTCCACCGGGATCAGGTCGCGGACCAGCTCCGGCCGGCGCAGGGCCACGGCCATGACAGTCTTCGCGCCCATCGAGTGCCCGATCAGCGTGGAGCCGCTCAGCCGGTGGTGCTCGATGAAGCCCTCCATGTCCTCTGCAAGCGCCGTGTAGTCGTGGCGGGGGTCATGCGGCGAGTCGCCATGGTTGCGCAGGTCGACGGCGTAGATGGGGCGGTTCAAATCGCGGGACAGCTGCCTGCGCAATCGCGTAAGCGCAAGAGATCTTGGAGTCGTCAGAGGGCGGGCAAAAGAGACCGTACTTACTTATGCTCCTGTTATTTCTCTTGGAGCCGAACAAGCCGTGCAGAATAATAATCGGAGCATTTTCAGAGACAGTCGTCGAGGACCCTTGCGACTTGGGCGGCTCGTGCAAGTCGTAGGAGAGGTCCAGGCGGGCGAGCGGGCGCGAGGTGCTGAATGGCCTGATGGTTGCGTGACGCGCCAGCCTGAGCGGCGCAGCAGCTCGTGTAGTGAACATGGCGAGTGGTTGCTGACAATGCTTCTTCCGCGATGCGAGCCTTTGCCGCAACCCCGGCCAAGTTTTTAGAAGCGCGGATATTAGTAATATGACGGGACGAACGCTTTGCCGGGAAAATCGTTTGGCCGGCAGAACGGGTGCATGGCGGTTGAATGGGATGCAGGGTGTGAAGGCGGGTGAGTCGCCATGTTCCAGCCCTTTTCCAGCCCTTTTCCACCGACCTGGACGGCGTCGAGGTGAGACAAGGCGACTCCGACAGTGCGGACGGTGGCTTGCGAGTTGCGACGCTGAAGTTCTCGAAGCCAGGATGGAGCTGAAAGTCGCCGTTCTAGCCAATGTTGAACTATCCACGCAAAAGACCAGATGTCCCCAATCCCTGTCCTCCCAACGCCTCTAGGTACTTTGCAACGAATCCAACAAGTGAAAGCCCGCCCGCTTACTCCCGTCACGTGCAGGACCCAAAGCCTTCTCCGCCGGTGACTCAAAAAATTCCCCAGGATTCTCAACGCCAACAATCAATCAAGCATCCAGCCCCGCTCTGTTCCCCTCTGTCTACTTACATCACTGTGCACTTGCCGCCGGCGGGTGCCTCGCCGGGGTTTTGGCTCTTCTCGATCTCGCCGATCATGTGGTCAAACGCTCTGGACACGTTCTCGTTGTAGCGCGCGCTGGCCTCGGTCCACGCGCACTTGAACTCCTCGGCAAGCGCCTTGCCCTGCTCGGCCGTGACCTGGCGCTGTTCCGGGCGCAAGTCGCTTTTGTTGCCGACAATGACTAGCGGAACCCATTCCGTGCCCTGTGTTCCAGAAGGTTGCAGCGTTAACATGTGTTCTCTCTGCCACCTGCTGCCCGATTTACCGGTCGCCCTGCACTCTCCCCTGTCCGGCATCACACCTGGTCACTTCTGACTCGTGGAGGGGGGTGAGACAACGGAGACCGGGAAGTTTGAGCAGCGGGCCAGCGAGCGGTGGCGTTTGGGCGTCCAAGGATGGCCTGTTGGGGCATAGCTTACCAGGTGGTTGAGGATCTTGTCGCGGATGATGCGGGCCATCTCGAACGTCTGCTTGGAAGCGACCGAATAGACAATCATGTAGCCGTGGATGCCGATGAAATGCTTCGAGTTCAGGATGCTGTACTCATCCTGCAGGGCAGAAACGCTCGCTCGTCAGCCATTTTGTCCTTTGACACCAGCGAAGCAGGGGCATTGTTTCTCCAAGCCACAGCGCTTCCCGTTCTCCTGGGCGTGGGTGGACAGCTGCTCCTGCTCGACGTCTCACTCGGCCAAGCGGCTTCCGTGTGAACCCCTCTTGCCGCCGCACCCTCTCGGCGAGTAGAGACGTACCTGGCCGGCCGTGTCGATGATCTCGCAGGCATAGTCCTGGCTCTTGTAGCGGATAACCTTGCTAAACGTGTTCTCGATGGTGGGATAGTAGCTCTCGACGAAGTGGCCGTCTACGAATTGGACGGTGAGGGAGGATTTGCCTGCGGGAGCCGGAGCAAGGCGGTGGTCAGCGAGGGCTGTGCCGGCTGCGGGGCGCAGAGGGGAGAGCGAAAGGGGAGCGGGACGGTGTACCGACAGAGCGGCTGCCGACAATTGCAATCTTGCGCTGTTTCGGAGGCGCAGGCATCTTCGCACGCGGGCGGGGTTTGTCGTAGGCGAGGTGGACGAAGGAATAATCCAGGGTACTAGAAAAGAGCTCGCAAGGAAGGGGGGAGAGGAAGGATACGTCAATTCGAGGGGATCCGGGCGTGGAGGGTGTTTGGGACTGGCGCGCAGCAGCTTAGCAAGTCAGGCGGTGACGACGACAGCAGGACCAGCCTATGATGGCACAGCGGGCAGACGGGAAAGCTGCAAGCTGGCAACTGGCAGACTCTCGCAGGCGCAAGGCAAAAGAAAGAAAAGGTGGAAGCTGCAACCCTACGATGGCAGCCTGTCGTCTTTTACCTAAGAGGCTGCCCGTTCCACAATTGATCGAGTAATGGAAACAAGCCACACCATTCGTCCGGCTGCCTCCAGTGCGCTCCCGCGACGCTGCCAAGCCGCGCCTGTACGTGAGATGTGAGCTGCCGTTGCTCCAGCCCGCGTTCTGCAAGGGCAGCTTGTGCGACCGCAGCCTTGACGAGCACAAAGGTCGAGTTTGAATCGTGACGCAATATCCGCAGGGCTGGACCGCCGGACCCCGAGTCTTTGCGTCGTCTGCCCCATGCTTCGAGGCCGCGGAGGTGCCCGCGTCACATCAGGTGGCATGCCACCCAGATGCCGCAGCATCTCACAGTCCTCCTACATTTAGCTATTGGAAAAGGTAATTTCAAACGATGCATGTTGCGGAGTAGTTTTCTCTTTTTTTTTTCAAGAAAAAAAAGAGAGAAAAGAGGCACGTGCTGTGGAAGCATTCATCCGGTGGGGAGAGATCAGCCAAATATATCCGTCCGGATCAATGCTTTCACCATCTCTGTGCAGCTTTATAACCATGCCATGTAATTGAAGCCGCGCGCCGCCTTTTCCATGACTGCAATCGACCCTGCCCTTGTAACCCCCCGTCTCAGCACTTGAAATGATGGCTGTGCTGCAGTACACTGAGAGTCAGAAGAACATAAAGTTGCCTTCACTGGCGCAGCGACCACCTTTACGGCTCCACCACTCAGGCATATTCCGATAGCCACGGCTGGCGGATCTACCGCCATCTATGTGGGAAAGAGGTCCCGACGGTTGGAGAAAGGCACGGATGCTGCATTGGCTGCTTTAACCGAGAGATCCACACCCAACTGAAGCCTGGGCCCCGACAGATCCGAAAGGCAAGGCACTGGGGTTATCTAGATCAACGAGTGTGATGGTCTATCTGCAGCCTTGACCATTTTTCTTCCAAGGGGGAGAATACTACCTAGTGGTGCCTCCAAGATGTATGACGCTGCATGTCTCAGCCCACATCAAGCCGCCAAACATGCAACCGCAAAGATGGCTGCTCTTCCTCTCCAAGTCATTATTCAGGGTATCGGGTATCTCGAATTTCCTCCCATAAGCCACCGCCACCGTTCATCATCCAACGGAACACTCAAAACGCTCTTGAACACAATGACCGCTCACTATAGGAGGGATTTCCCAAGTGGGCCAGTCCGGTTGATTCTTCGTTTTGTTGTCGAATCTTAGGTTTGCCGTCCTTGAAGCCTGTCGATCACTCCCTGCAGCCTTGCCGTGTAGTTTGCCCAGACCTCTCTGCCCTCTTCGCCATCAAATGCTTCTTTGTCAACCTTTTGATGGACGAAGATGAATTCTTCGACGGCGTGGATCAGCACATCCAAGCGCTGATGCGGTAGTCTGGCGCGGACTTTCTCTCTGACTGCCCAGTTCTGGCAAAGATTCCCAAGCAGAACAGCGAGGTAGCCGTACGCAACGCTGGATTGGGATTCTTCCATCGAGTCTGCTTGAGCAGCTCGCTCCATGCCCTCAAGAAAAGCCCGCACGAGGGAATTAAGCAGGTCGTCGCCATCTCTCATGGAAGCCACTCGTGCCTCATTGCTGAATTCGGCGAGATTGATCATTGCGCCAAGTGTGAGGATGAGACGGTCCAAAGTCCTGATGTGCTCTTCTTCATCCAATGGGTCCCCCAAAGCACGACACCTGTTGTCTATCGAGCGCAACAGGTTCTGTATGAGCGTTGGCCGAGCAAATACGTTGCAGACTTCAGGGTTGTTGTTTGTCAGGTTCAACGTGAGACGAAGACTGAGTGCTTCCAACTGGTCGGTCAATGACGATCCCGTGCTGATGACTGCATCAATGGAACTTGCAAGCTGGCCCATGGATGCGTCGGCATCCGTAGAGGAGTTGGTCCAGGCTGACGCATTCAGAGAGCCAGATTCTAGGATTGACAGTGTGAGCTCCAGCAGCGCAGCGTCCGAAGTCGAGGCAGATCCTGAAGCCAGCTTGTGCGCTGGCTCCTTGGAGATGGCCGCCACGTCTGCAAAAGCCCGGAAGCCAAGGATATCCTCAGAGTTCCCGCTTTCCCTTAGCCTGCGCACTACAGATTCCAAGCTCTTCAGTGCGACAGCTCGTGGGGAGACGACATCGAGTTGTTCTTCGGGCCAGATACTCTTCACCACCTGCGACCGGAAATCACCCAGCATGCCTTGCGCGACCTTGGACATGTTGGTGCGACGTTCTCTTGCGATTTTTGTTATGTCGGAATCATACTTGAGCAATCCAGCTAGCGTCCTCAGACATCCAGCACTGTACATGGCAGCAACAGACGTCTTTGGTGCTTCGGCCAACACCATGAACTTCATCGCACAAGCAACGAAGAACCCAAGAATAGGATCCGTCGTTGTACCACAAAAGTGGAAAAGTCGGCTGTCCAGGCTGTGATCGACCATGCGACTAACATAAGACTTATCGGTCAATTTCGCGCACAACTCCATCAGAGCACTGCGTCTCCGCGACAGAGAGTTCACTTTCTTCTCCTCAATGTCATCGAGAAGATTTTCGATGTCGTCCACGACACGTCGCGCAGTTCCTGCAGCCCGGAGTTCATGAATGTTCCGCATACCGCTGGTACCGTCTTCGAGTTCATCCAGGTCAGCCTGAGCTGGTGCTCTACGCGATGGACCGAGATTCTCAAAGCTAGGAAGCCCTAGCAGTAGCTCATCCTCGAGACTACTCTCGTTAAGATATGATCTTGTGCGAGCGTAGGTAAGCTTTGGACCTGCGTTGCCTGGAACTGATGGTTGAGATGATGTGGCTTCTTGAGAAAAGCTTGAGTTTGGTCCAGTACATTGGGAGCTTCTTGAAGATAGGCCAGCAGGAGCTCGGTTGTGACTGCTCTTCTCAACTTTGGGGAAAGTTGTCTCATCGGTATCGGTCATGGATTCATCTTCATCACTCTCTTCTGAATCTGTATCTTGTTTCAACGTGTCTATTAGACGTCGTCGCCTGTTACCAGACGTGTGTGTCATGTCGGAGCTAGATCGTTGCAGCATGGTTTTTCGGGATTTGACAGATTGAACTATTTTGAGTTCATTGAGGTTGAGAGCACTCGGGCTCCCTGCTACAGCGTCGTCCTCATCCAGAAGTTTGCTCCACGCCTTGTGTTGTCGCGGGGTCACTGTTCCAAAGGGTGATTTTGATGTCCTGCCGGGCGGCGTCGCTGGTGTCGGTGCTTCATCGTCTTCTTCTTCATCATCGCTTGGCAAGTCAGGTGATGGCGGAGATTGGAGTGACTCGGCAGGGCTGGAGGGTTTGGTCTCTGGCGAGGGCAGCATTTTTTGTAGCAGCGTTGGTGCAGACTTCCCTTTTTGAACTGAAACTCTGGAAACCATGGGGTTTGACTCGCTCCGTCGTGCTCTTGCTAATCTGATTGCCTGAGTTGCAGACGTTGCAGACGTCGCAGACGTTTTGAGTGCGTCTGTCTGGCTTGTCGGAGCATTTTCTAACTCATTCTTCTGCAGACGTGCGGTCCGTATCCCCATTACGACGGTTGTAGGTCGCGCTTTCTTTGCTGGCTTGGTATTATCCTTCTGAGACGGGCCAGCCAATTCGTCTGTGGATGAGCCGGTAGCAGGATGCTTGAGTTCTGGCCGTTGATGACCTGCCGTCTGCACGCTCTTGATGGACTTGTTAGGCCGCTCGTTGACGGCAGCCACTGCATTAATGTCATCCTCCGATGTTTCAACCAGGTCGAGAGACCTTTTGCCCGAGGGTTGCTTCGCCATTTCTGGTCGTGTACCGCGTATCAAAACAACGGGGTCACGGCGCACCACTTGGTTTCCACTTGTGGATGCCTTTTTCCCAACAGGCTTCTCTGCATGCCTGCTTACGGACGGACTTCGTTCCCGGAAGACTTTCTTGGCCTCTGCGGCTGCAACCTCTTTGTGTAGCTGTTCAGACGCAGAATCCTCGGAAGACACGTTCCCAGCCTTCGCTACAGTCTGCGGCGCAGTCTTCCTGGTCGGGAGTTTCTTTGCCGCAGGTTTCGAGGGCCGAGAAAGATCTTCGTCGGAAGAGGGCATGTCGAATATGGACATGGAGTCAGCCTTCGCCTTTTCCGGGGCATCTCTAGCGGGCGCGACATCCTGGCGCGACGAGATGTTGTATTCCCTGCTTGCGGTCCACGAGGGTTTTGACAGACGCGGCTTCTCGGGTGACGGCGCTTCGTTGAAGAGCTTAAAGCCCGTGTTGCGCGACGCTTTGCCGTAGGTTGCAGCCTTCTTCCGCCGTTGTGGGAAGTCCATTGTTTACCGGAAGTGAGAGGCAGCGGCCTCGCAGGCTGGAGCGGCTTCGAAAACGCAAGCGTTCAGCATGCGCATGTCATTGCAGAGCCCAGAGGGAATGGCGACAGCAGGCGGGCCAATGGTGCCGCAGATGAGTTGGTGGTGGTATTTCCGGAGCCGAAGGCAGGTGCGTGTGAGTCGAGTCAGAGTGACAGCGTGGTGCGAGGTTTCCGGGAAGCACGCGAGCAGCTGGAAGCCAGAGCAATCGGGCACGAGTGGAAGGTGTGGGGCGACAGGCGGAAGGTGCAGCGGGTCGGAGGTGTGCAGTGTCGCGATGCGCGCGGCGAGGGTTGATGCTGCAGCAGGCTTGTTGACGCGCCTGCGGCGATGCGACCGCTGAGCACCGACGCACAAGGACGCTCTTCCGCGCCGCAGAACGGGCCCGCCCGCCGCACACCGCCCGCCGCATGCGGCCTAGACCCTGTGCCCTTGCCGCCAATCGCTTCCTCAGTGGGGTTGCGCATCCCACGGGGAGGGTATCGTCCTAGGAGCTCGCCGACGGCCATCTAATGCATCTGCGGCAGACCTGAGCACGAGGGCAGTATCGCGAGCTCCCGCTATATACTTCCCCTGGGCGCCGCCATTTCCTGGATCCTCCCACTTCTCCATTCCGCTCACAACCCCCTCCCCCCGCTAAGCTTGCAAGCCTGTCCGCATTGAAACAACGAATCCGCCTTCCTTCAGCCCTACCAAAGCTTTTACAGCTGCAGCAAGCACACAATGCCTTCCTCCCAAGCTGAACAGGCGCCCTCCAAATGCATGGGTCCCGACTACCGCCCGGCCACGGAGAAGCCGACCGCCACCGTCTCTACCCAGGTGTCACACGATAACATTCACATCCTGTCGCAGACGCCTCAGCTCATTGCCCTTCTAACGTGCGTCCGCCCGCCACCTTGAATGCCATGACAGCCTTTGACACGCGCGCACAGTATGATCCGGGATAAGAACACCGACCGCGCCAACTTCATCTTCTACTCCAACCGTATCATTCGCCTCCTGGTCGAAGAGGGCTTGAACCACCTGCCCGTCCAGGAGCACACCATCACCACGCCCCTCGGCACGCAATACTCGGGTGTGCAGTTCGAGGGCAAGATATGCGGCGTGTCCATCATGCGCGCCGGCGAGTCCATGGAGCAGGGTCTCCGCGACTGCTGCCGTTCCGTGCGGATAGGCAAGATCCTGATCCAGCGCGATGAGGAGACTGCCAAGCCCAAGCTTTTCTACGACAAGCTGCCCGAGGACATTGCGGACCGCTGGGTGCTCTTGTTGGACCCCATGCTCGCCACTGGTAGGTTCAGGACCGTCTATGAAGAGTGACAATGAAAGCTGACCAAGCAAAACTAGGCGGTTCGGCCCTCATGGCTGTGGATGTCTTGAAGTCTCGTGGTGTGCCCGAGGATCGCATCCTCTTCCTGAACCTCATTGCCAGCCCCGAGGGCGCCGCAAACTTTGCGCAGCAGTTCCCCAAGGTCCGCGTCATCACCGCTTTTGTCGACCAGGGACTGAACGAGAAGAAGTGAGCCTCCTACGTTGTGGTCTGATAAGTCGAGCTAACATACTTCTAGCTACATCGTCCCTGGACTCGGTGATTTTGGTGACCGATTCTATACTATGTAAATGTATACTAGAACCTGGCGGATGGCATCCATGCGCCGCTTGTTTAAGTTTTGGGATAGGCGTTCGATAGCATCGACGGACCGACTTCACTTGAAGATATAATCTCAGGACGGATCCGGTCGCATCTGCACGATAAGCACGATCTAAGAATATAGTGCAACGCGGAATGAAGAAAAAACGTGCAATGGAATGCAATCAGCTGGTTGCATGGATTTGGAGCCTAGAAGCCTAGACGGTACGCTGGAGCAACGCATACGCCAACATCAGCGTGACCATGGAATGATCCGAATTGTGAGACGGAGTATGAGATTTCGGGAAAGGGGCGATTATGGCGTACAAACACATCTTGACTGTGCAAAATTTTGACCTCGGTCTGTGGCTCATTACATAAACAGAACCTGAGATGTATCTTCAACAGGACTTTGGATTGTGTAGGACTTTGTGCTGTCTGATCACCGGGCAACGCAAATGGAACTTTGAGCTCGAGACATTATTTTTTTTGCTCGTTTCAGAAATTCGCAGATTCTCTTGCCAAACTCGGCTTTTCAATGCGGAATCTGCTGGACGCCTCTTGGGCGCATATCAGTGATGGCTCCATGTGCCGAGATTGATCAAATAGCGCCAGTGAGGCTACGCTCAAGTTCCTCCTGGGTCACCAGACGCCTGAACTCCGTCTTTGCCAGCCAGACCGTCCTTTTAAAGCCTGCTCCGTGCATATATCGAGCTTTCCCCTCAGGGGATGCATGCGCCCCGCAACCGTTGTTACCGCGCCACTCTTTCGAAAGAAACCACTCCATCGCCCAACCATGCTCAATCATCGTCGGCGAAGTCGCCCTCTGCATCGGCGTCATCATCGTCGATGAAGTCGTCTCTTTCACGGCGAGCGCCGCCAGATTGTCCTCGTTGCAGCGATCCGGGTTCGCGGAAGGGTTTGCTACTGGCGGCGTTGGCTTCGCCATCGGCGACGGCGTCGCAGGCGTCAACCCAGTCGTAATACACGTCGACGGCGGCGGACAAGGCTGCGAAAGGAAAAATCATCACCGTCAGAGCGATGGTCAAACAATACTCATGGTGCGCACGGCCTACCGTTGATATTGCACTGGAACGACACGCCGCACACCTTGCACGAAAGGTGGCCGATGGCGGCCTTCTTGTCGAGCTTCACGAGGACGGAGTTCTCATGGTTGCAGAAGAGGCACTGGAACGTGGTCGCCAACGACTCTTTCTGCGAACGCACGGCGCGTTAGCGTTGCTGGTGGTGGTGCATGGCGGCGCGGCGCATGCGGTGCGGCGCTGCAGCGCGGGCGGCAGGCTGCGTTTACCTTCTTCGGCTGGGAGGGCTTCTTGGCCGCCTTCTTGCGCTTGCCCTGAGGTTTCGGTGAGCAGCGGACGCGACGGGGGAGCGCGGGCCTTATCATACCATATCTGCAGGGTGGGTGTGGTGGTTGTCGATAGGGCGATGTTGGAGTTCTGGCGTGTCAAAGGGCTTTCGCGCGACAGTACGTCAGCCGTAGCCTGTCATTCTTAGCTCCATTATCGCGACAGGGGTCCGCGCCGACGCCCGCCCTCCGCCCGCCTTCAGTCCCGCCCTTTGGCCGCCGGCGCGTCCACCATGTGACCAGATAGGTAGCTTCGCGCGCGGGCTTGCGGTTACAAAAGCCCCCTTGCAGCTCGAGCCGCAGATAGCCAGCGTCCCGTCTCTCAACTCTCGCATCTCCCGCCGGCGTGCTCTCGCGCTCCCGCTTTCCCCGCAGATAGGCGCAGCGTTTGTCTTCCCGCCAGCGTTAGATACATTGCCGTATTTCGAGGAGTAGGGCAATCGAAGCTCCTGGTTGTTTGTCTCACCCGCTCCCGCAGCTTTCCCTGAGCTCTTCTTCCCTCCCCCGTATTTCCAACCATGTCCTCGAATCCAGATGTCTCTGCCCTGCTGGGCGAGATCCTGTCCGGCTTGAAGACGCTGCAGCAGGACAATGCCCAGCTGTCGTCCCAGGTGGACGCCATCAACGGCCGTGTCAATATGCTCGCGGGAATCAAGCAGGTCCAGGACACCGCGGCGCACGGCCAGGCCGCAGCTGCCGCGCAGAAAGACGACACCAAGCCGTCCGAGAGCGCGAAGGCCGTCAGTGATCAGTATGAGACCGCGGCCGCCGAAGCCGCCCCGCGCCGGTCAAGCACCTCCCTCAACAAGATCATCTTGACCTCCTATCCCGGCCAGGCTGGCGTCGATCCCATCCCCATGCAATGGGGTCACGTCGACCCGGCAGTCCGCGGACCGGTCGTTGTTTCTCGCCATTCCAACACCATAAGAAGAAGAAACGGTATGTTCCGCCGTCAATTACACGCAGCGTCGGAGCTAATGATTTGTCGCAGCACTCGGTGCCCACGGTGGCTCGTACTCGATCTATCATGCGCTGGCTGTCGCCAGCAAGAACCTCGACATCAACCACAAGCCCGATTTCACCAACACCGAGCCCGCAGCGGACATTGGGCCGTTCCCGCAATGGAGCGACCCGAAGAAGATTGTGTCCATGGACCCGCTCGGGCATCTGGCGCCGTGGCTTTACAAGGAACACATTGACAAGGATGGCGTCGAGATCAGGCCCACGATCGCGGTGACAAAGGCGCACATGAAGCTGCCGGAGCTCGAGGAGAGCGTCAAGAAGGGCCGTCTCGTGCCGGACGGCAAGATTTGCCTGAACGAGCACGGAGAATTGGCTGTCACCAAATTTGCCGTCGAGCCTGTCTGGTACCTGCCCGGCGTAGCCGAGCGATTTGGAATCGGTAAGCGTTGCACGACCTGGTGCGCGCAGGATCCGTACATGTCGACTGACTGCATGGTTTAGACGAGGGCACTCTGCGCAGGACGTTGTTCGAGGAGACGGGCGGCTCGTACCCGGAGCTCATCACCAGAGGCGACATCAAGCTGTTTATGCCTCCGATTGGCGGCTTGACCGTCTACTGTTTCGGTGATCCCGCCAAGATGTCGGACCCGAATGTGCGTCTCGCCCTGCGTGTACATGACGAATGCAACGGCAGCGACGTGTTTGGCTCCGACATCTGCACGTGTCGGCCCTACTTGATCTTCGGCATCGAGGAGGCCGTGAAAGAAGCGCAGAAGGGCGGTAGCGGAGTTGTCATTTACTTCCGCAAGGAAGGCCGTGCGCTGGGGGAGGTCACAAAGTACCTTGTTTACAACGCACGTAAGTTCCCGCCCTTAGATGAAACAGCTGGTAGTAGACCCAAGGCTAATTTGCGGGCGGCAGGCAAACGTGGCACCGATCGTAGGTGTTCCTGCGGGGACGGCGGTGATGGTGTACAACGAGCTAATCGGCGATAGGCGCGAGCGAGTACTTCCAGCGGACGGAGAACATTGCCGGCGTGAAGGTTTGTGTCTGCAACACCATTAGTCGGCAGATCCCTAGCTGATTGCGCTCTCACCGCAGGACATGCGTTTTCAGGCGCTGATGCCAGACGTGAGCACCACGCCCCCGCTCCGCTGCGCTGTCTTGTGATGACTGACCGCACTCTCCGGAGCACAGATTCTGCACTGGCTCGGTATCACCAAAATTGACAGGATGCTCAGCATGTCCAAGTAAGCAGCCCGGCGCCCGCACCGCCTCTGTGTACTGACGGCTGGGACAGCATGAAGCATGACGCTATCGTGGAGCAGGGGATCCCGATTCACGAACGGGTCCCGATCCCCGACGAGATGATTCCGGAGGACAGCCGGGTGGAGATTGACGCGAAGATCCACGCGGGCTACTGTAGGGGATCCCATCTACCATTGCTTGACTCGCGTTCCACGTGGTGCGGTGCAACGGCTGACAGCCCCCAGTCACGACAGGAAAGGTGCTCAGCCTGGACGAGCTGGCCAGCGTGCAAGGCCGTGCATGGGATGACGTTGATGTAAGTTGTGAAAACAAGGCAACTCCCAGGACGCGCGACGCCGCTGACACACAAACCACAGCATTAACCGCGCGCCGCAGGACGCTGGGGCCGCGGTGGGCGCTGGGCCGCTGGGCCGCTGGGCTGCCGGGGCAGGAGCAGGCGCGGCTGCTCTTTGCGGGGGAGCACACGGGACGGGCAAGGGCGAGACACATGGATTGTCCTGGCGGGTCTGGTGGGTGGGATGTTTGATACTGCTATCTCGGGGCGGCTGCCGCTTTGGCGGGCATAGATATAGTTGGAGCGCGGCGCGGAGACTAGATAAAAGCATCCGCCGATCCAATCCGGAGTTTCCAAGGCCGCTGCAGCCTGTCGGCATGGGCGGATGCGTGTACCTTAAACCCAGTGGTGGCCCGGCCCGAAGAGACGGCGTCGATGCTGCGCGATCAAAAGCCGGTGAGGAGCGCTGGGCAGCGCCGCCGGTCAGACGACGTGCGTCGCCCGTCGAGGCCTCGGAAGCGCGCGCATGCTGCCCGCGCAACGGCCACCGTACGCGCGTGGCCGGCGAGTCAGGCGGGCCAGCGCTGCTGAGGCCTCGGTGCCGCGCCCGTTGGAGGTGAGCCATTCCTTTACGTGGCCGCCGCTACCTGGCGACTCGACCCCGGCACGCACACATGCTGGGCGGCGGGCGGCCGGTCGGCTCGAAGCCGCGGCGCCAACGCAATGCGGGCTAGTGGATCTGGCGCGCTCCCACGGCGACGCTGGCGGGCGCCGGCTATGGGCTGACCATCCCGGCCAGCCTGACACGCCGCGCGGGCGGGACCAATCCGCCGAATGCAACGCAGCCGGCTGTGCGGTGAGTGGTGACGAGAGGCCTGGCCGAGGGTGGGGAAGGCCCTGCTCTGGCGGATGGCGCCCCTCTGGATCAGCGCCGTTCCAGAACCCCTAATGTGGGCTGCCCGGCCATCATCGGGGCAGGCCCGCCCGTATCGACGGCAATTCCACGCCAGCACAAGCTTATGCAGTCGCTGACTGCCCACGTATAAACGCTTGACAGCGCACCGAGCTCCCTCCGCAGACCAAGTCCACGTCTTCACCAGCACAAGTGCATTCCGCCCATTGGTCCTAGCCACAACCGGTTATCCAACGCGTGCAGTCCCGGGTGCCCGCATATCAAGGCTGCATCCCCAGCGCGCATCTGCCGTCCGCCGTTCTATCAGATCCTCTCAAGCCTCCACGCTACCAGTAATAGTGCCGGACACTTGCTGCTCTCGTCGCTCCGCATTACGCAAACATCTTCTTCCTGTTCATATACCAACCTCCCGCGCCCCGTCGCCCACCATCACCATGGCAAGCAGATTCTACATCCAGATGCCTCCGACTCAGACGCCGAAGCAGCCGTCGCGCCGCTCACCACTCACGCCATCGAGTCCTGGCGTGTCGCCACCTTCGCTGACGACGCACACCTCTTGCGCCTCGAAGCACGATGCTGGTGTCCACCCGGCCAAGGCAACTGCCATCCTCACCAGAATGGCCTCGAGCAGCTCGCGGAGATCGTCAGACCCCTCCAGCCCGCCCCAGTCTCCTGGTACGTGATTCCTGCGCACCGCATGCCCGCACGTGTTCTGACATTTACTGCAGAGGAGAGATCAAGTATCATGTCAGACTCGTCAGACTACTGGTACCACGGCAGAAAAGAAGGTCAGTCCACAATGCCCATCCCATCGCACTTCTTCGCAAACGGCCATGCTAACTCGGGTGCAGGCGGAGGATACATCAGCTTTCCCGACTTCGAGAAGTACTGCTCGCCGAACCAAGACGGCTACCAGGACGAGCGGACATGAGCCGGCGTCTTCATGCCCATAGAGGCAACGCATCTCCACTTCATCACATCATTCTTCTTGTCACCCACAAGACGACCTTCCTTCGACGCATCGCGGAATGGATCTGCGAAACGCGACTATTCACTCGTCATCCTTGACCCGGAATCCAGGCATGTCCCAATATTGGGACTTTCCCGGGACGGCCGCGTGTCTAAGCGGCCATTTCCGGTTGACAGGCGATCTCCGAGGCGGCGTTTGGGAGTTTTTGGACGGACTGTGCAAGCAGTGTGCATAATTCAAGCCAGCGCTAGGCTGTAGCACTTGGAGGGGTAGGGTATCATCTGTGGTGGGGGCAGCAAACAGGGCTGCGACGCAGTCACCCACGATGTTGCCTGCGAGCGCACTGGGCCAGCATCCGCATAGGATTTTTAATAAACTACGGGCTACTCACGCCCGTCGCATTTTTGAACCAAACTTTTGCGCATGCCGATCTATTGCTTTGCGAATTGTGACGTCGTCAAATGGGCGACGGGTGGTTGGCGGGGTTACTTTTGGTCAGCGTCGACTGCCCCGCTCCCAAATTTTCATGCGCAGAGTTTGACTGTCCCGATGGGCGGCTCGGCAGCGAAACACGGCGAGCCCGCCGACCGGTGACACCCGCCGGCTGAAGAGGCTTGAAGTCGCTCGAAGGTGCCAGCTGCATATGGCGCAGCAGTTGACGCGGGAAGTACCTGAAGATCGCCGACCGGTCAGGACCCGGTGAAAGAGCGCCAGGGAACCCGCTGCTAACTATGTCACTGAGGCGCAGTTGGCGCCACTCCACTCTTTTGCCAGTGCTGGGGCTGGAGTGGATGTTTGCAGGGGATGCAAAGGCGCACGTGAGGCGCGGCGCATCCTCGGCGCGTGTGTCAGTGTGGGACGGCACAAATGGCGGGTCAACGGTTTCGCCGGCTTGCCGAGACGCACTTTGGCGATTTTCCTTCTTGCCAGTTGCAGACGCCCGAAATCAGCGACGACGACCACGACAATCCCGCCCGACACCACACACCGGTTACAACCATGGCTGTCGGAAAGAACAAGCGTTTGTCCAAGGGCAAGAAGGGCATCAAGAAGAGGACCGATGCCTTCGCCAAGAAGGATTGGTACTCCGTCAAGGCGCCCTCGACCTTTGCCATCAGAGAGTACGGCGCAAACAGCTAAAGCCTCCGCATCGCAAACGCTTACGCATTCGCAGTGTTGGCAAGACCCTCGTCAACCGCACGACCGGTCTGAAGAACGCGAACGACGCGCTCAAGGGCCGCATCTTCGAGGTTTCCCTGGCCGATCTCCAGAAGGACGAGGACCACGCTTTCCGCAAGGTCAAGCTCCGCGTCGACGAGGTCCAGGGCAAGAACTGCCTGACCAACTTCCACGGTCTCGACTTCACCTCCGACAAGCTCCGTTCGCTCGTCCGGAAATGGCAGTCGCTGATTGAGGCCAATGTCGTCGTCAAGACCACTGACGACTACCTCATCCGCCTCTTCTGCATTGCCTTCACCAAGCGCCGCCCCAACCAGATCCGCAAGACCACCTACGCCGCCTCCTCCCAGATTCGCGCCATCCGCAAGAAGATGACCGAGATCATGTCGCGCGAGGCCCAAAGCTGCACTCTCTCCCAGCTCACCACCAAGCTGATCCCCGAGGTCATTGGCCGTGAAATCGAGAAGGCCGCCCAGGGCATCTACCCCCTCCAGAACGTACGTCTTTGGGCTGCATTGGACACAAAGATTGCCGCGAAAGTTAACACCCAGAACAGGTCCACGTCCGGAAGGTCAAGCTGCTCAAGGCGCCCAAGTTCGACCTCGGTGCCCTCCTTACCCTTCACGGCGAGTCGTCCCACGACGAGTCGGGCCAGAAGGTACGCATTACAAACTTACTTACAAAAAATCCGTCTTACTAACAGACTGCATAGGTTGAGCGTGAGTTCAAGGAGACGGTTCTGGAGACCGTCTAAACGGTTTTGGGATGGACGGGTTGTCACGACGGTCGGGTTTTGCTCTTTATTAAAGGCATCAAAAAGGTGTTATCGTTTGAATCGAAAAATCAGAGCCAAAAACCCGATTTCCAATTACCAGCTTTTCTAGTGCTTCAGTGAACGGTCCACGGGCGGCATCGAGGCGTACATGGGAAGGGAAGATGCCCAGCTGGATTCGAAAGCACTTCATCGGAATAGCATTGTTGTCAGCAGTAACCGGCGCCCCCCATCGACACGCGGGATAGGTAATGGAATCCGATACTTTTTTTTTTCAATCTTCACTGCCATGTGCGATTGTGTCGCTACAAAGGGTGAGATTGATTTGTCTCACCAGTATTCCCTACCAGCCATGTGATGTGAGAAGTCATATTTACTGCCGAGCTCGACATGGCAAAGGTCATGAGGTAATCGAGTGGACTTAGGTTGATTTCCGATCTGGGGAGCCATTGCGTCCGCACATAGCTTTGTTGGATGGGTAACTTCTTACCTTACTGCTGACATGCTCAGCTGGTGGATCGTCTTGAGTATCGGGTTCGACAGTCATCTGCAAGCAGCAGCTGTTGGTAGAATGCATAATGTGTGCGTTCGTAACACATTCATAACTTTGTGCAAATATGCATCCGGTCACCGTGCGTTGTTCTTGAGCCCAACTTCGACCAGATGAGAGATGAATATAGCGGTCTGGAATTATTCGAGCTCTTCAACAAAATACCGCTCGGGGTCAGGCAGTCGACTATTGGAAGTTGGGCGTCCAGGCGTGCCCCGAAGATGAAATATCGCGGTCACGCAGGGCTTCTACTGGATGAGAGATGGTCTCGGGCCTGATTCGTAGCGTGGGCTTCCATAGACCACATGACTCTTTCATTCACACGACCACGGTTGTCGGGTGGTGATATACCACATTAATGCCCAACGATGAACGGAGGTTGACTCAAGTTCTGGCGGTGCCAGTGCGCGGCGCGGTGCGTGGGGAATGGGACCTGATTTTCCCTCGTGATGATGCACGAGGACGGGACAGGCACAGCCGTGGCAGACGGCTCCGCACAGCAATGCCGACGGCATCGAAGCGTCTGCCTACCGGGCCATACTCCAAACCGACTGCATCCCGGATCCAGAAAATTGTTCCGCTTCAGCAAACTGCGGTTTTCCAGCCGTGATGGTGCTGTACGGATGACCTCATAGCACCCCGTTTTTTTTATCGGCAGCCCACGCGATAAGGCATCGAGCGGTACCAATCTCTCAATGCCTTGCCCGTGGCTCAGTAGTCCCTTTCCACGCGCGCGCCACACACGCCATCTCCAACGAAACCCCAACTCCTGCGCCCCGACCCCTTGCACGCCGACCATACCTGCACCGCGACATGCGTTGACGAGAGCACGATCGAGAAAGAGGCCTGCGACATGGTGGATTCCGACGACGAGGTTGGCGACAGCCGCCGCAGCAGCTATGCGGCCCCCGCGCGCCGCAGCAACGGCATGCCGCTGTATCGCCAGAGCTCCAACATGAGCGAGTGAGTAGGATCCGCTATGCGCGCGAGAGAATAAAAAATAGGAAGAAAATTGCTGAGACGCACCACAGCGTCAGTCTCCTGACCGACGTCCAGATGGCGCAAGACGAGGTAAATCTACGATGCCGAAGCTGGCGTTTGCCGTCGGGAGTGGGAGGTCGGTAGCGGTTGGCGGGCGTTCGAGGTGCAAACCGCTATGGGGACCTTTTTTCCATCCTGCGGTGGTGTTGGGTGCTTCCCAACGCAGCTGGCTGACTTGCGAGTAGATCTTCTCCGGGCCCATGTCCGAGAGCGTGCCCACGAGCGTTACTGGATTCGCCCATCGCCAGCGCTCTCGCGCCGACTCGACCGCAAGCGTCACGAGCTTCACGTTCTACGACGAGGAGAGGGAGTCGATCGATACGCTCGAGGAGGAGGCTATTGCGGAGGAAGAGGCGGATCTGCTGGACGACGTCAACGGGTACGCGGATGAAGATGATGACCTGGAAAATGGCCACCACCACCGCCGCCGCTCGACTGGTCGCCGAAAATCGTCGACATATTCGGCGCGCTCCACGCGGTCGAGGCAGTCGGATAGCGCGCCACTGCTGCGCCGCGGCTCGAGTTCCAGCACCATGGCTTCCGGACACTGGCGAGGTGGTAGATCCACACAGAAGATTTACATCGCTACCGAAGACTTGACCATTGTGGTTGCTGGATTCTGCACTTCTATTCCTGGATATGCCTTGTATCTCCTACTCTGTATGCTAACGGCGGGACTTGGATACCTCATCTTTCGGTGGCTGCCTGGCTGGCGGATCAAGATTGTGGGAAAGGCCGCGCCGTTGCATGAGTGTGACTGGATGGTCATCGAGAACCAGTGGGGAGAGATGGCTGTGCAAAAAATCGGGAAACAAGCATATGGCCAGTCGTTGTCCTCGGTATTCGGAATCGTGGAAAAAGCCGGACACCGCGAGTACGACGAGGATGACGATCCAGTACTGAAGGAGTTGCGCACCCTGGACTACCGGTATATTCGATTCTGTTACCACCCTGTCAAGGACAAGTTCATCCTAGGCAACACTTGGAAGGACCCTGCCTGGACCGACGTAAGGACGATGCGCGACGGGCTTGACAACGAGGATAAAGCCCATCGGGAGCAAGTTTTCGGAAAGAACCTGATTGATATTGAGGAAAAGTCGACGTCTCAACTTTTGGTTGACGAAGCATTTCATCCTTTCTACGTCTTTCAGATCGCCAGTCTGATTCTCTGGTCCCTCGACCAGTATTATTACTACGCTGCCTGTATTTTCGTCATCTCGGTTGTCAGTATCACGACGACGTTGATTGAGACGAAGGCGACCATGCGTCGGCTCCGGGAAGTCTCGAGGTTCGAATGCGACGTACGAGTTCTCCGCAATGGCTTCTGGCGCTATGTCGAGTCCAGCGAACTCGTCCCGGGAGATATTTATGAAATTACCGACCCAAGTCTCGCGCAGGTCCCATGCGACAGCTTGCTTCTCTCTGGCGACTGCATTCTGAACGAGAGCATGCTTACAGGAGAATCTGTTCCCGTTTCCAAGGTACCCACCACCAACGAGGCTCTGGATTTTTTGAGCCTTAGTACTGCATCGGTCCATCCGGAGGTCGCGAGACACTTCCTTTTCTCAGGCACCAAGATCATCAGGGCACGGAGGCCGCAAGAAGATAAAGACGATGAGGCTGCGGCTCTAGCCTTGGTTGTTAGGACTGGGTTTAATACGACCAAGGGAGCGCTTGTCCGGTCTATGTTGTTCCCCAAACCGTCCGGATTCAAGTTCTACCGGGATTCCTTCAGGTACATTTCGGTCATGGCCATGATTGCTGGGGTTGGCTTCATCGTGTCATTCGTCAACTTCATGCGCCTAGGGCTTGCCTGGCATCTCATCGTCGTCCGAGCGCTGGATCTGATCACCATTGTGGTTCCTCCAGCGCTACCGGCTACGTTGACCATTGGGACCAACTTTGCTTTGAGCAGACTCAAAAAGAAGCAAATTTATTGCATCAGCCCGCAAAGAGTCAACGTAGGCGGCAAGCTCGACGTGGTCTGTTTCGACAAAACCGGTACCCTGACTGAAGAGGGCCTTGACGTATTAGGGCTTAGGGTGGTCCAGCAGCCAGCTAATAACTTCAGTGATATACTCACCGATTGCGGAACGGTCCTGCCCCATGCCGAGGATAGGTTTCCCGACGTGGACTACAAGAATCACCGGTCACTTTTGTACACCATGGCCACTTGCCACTCTCTTCGCAGCGTGGATGGAGAGCTTGTTGGAGACCCACTTGACGTCAAGATGTTCGACTTCACCAGCTGGAAATATGAAGAAGGAGAGCAAAGCGGAGGCGGTGGTGACAACGAAGAGGAAAGCCTAAGCATCTCTCCTTCAGTGGCCCGGCCTCCTCCTGGTCAAGAATACAACCTCGACAACCCCAATGACCCTAACCGCAAACCGATCGAGCTTGGCATCATAAAAGCGTACGAGTTCGTTTCCCAACTGCGTAGAGCCAGCGTAGTAGTTCGGCAATTTGGCGCGCGCGAAGGTTACATATACGTCAAAGGCGCACCCGAGTGCATGAAGGACATCTGCCGCCCCGAGAGCTTTCCGCCGGACTATGAGGAGCTTCTGAGCCACTACACCCACAGAGGATTCCGTGTCATTGCGTGCGCCGCGAAGACGATCCCAAAACTCAACTGGGTCAAGGTCCAGAAGATGAAGCGTGAGGAAGCCGAGTCTGACCTCAGCTTCGTCGGGTTCATCATCTTCGAGAATAAGCTCAAGCCTACGACGACCGGCATCATCGACGAGCTGGCCCAAGCCGGCATCCGCAAAGTCATGTGCACCGGTGACAACATCCTCACTGCCATCAGTGTCGCTAGGGAGTGCCACCTCATCGACAAAAGCGCCCATTGCTTTGTCCCGCACTTTGTCGAGGGTGATGCTCGCACACCTCTTGCTCGCCTATCTTGGGAGAGCATTGACAACCCAGCATTCAAACTGGACGAAAACACGCTCAAGCCGCTCCCACCTCCTCCTGAAGAAGACGCTTCCCTTCCTTACGATATTTCCAACCTACGCAACTATTCTGTCGCCATCAGCGGTGACGTCTTCCGCTGGATCATCGACTACGCCTCCGAAAAGGTGCTCCGGGAGATGCTCGTCTGCGGGCAAGTGTTCGCCCGCATGTCGCCGGACGAGAAGCACGAGCTGGTGGAGAAGCTCCAGAGCATCGACTACTGCTGCGGCTTCTGCGGCGACGGCGCCAACGACTGCGGAGCGCTCAAGGCGGCCGACGTGGGCATCTCGCTCTCGGAGGCCGAGGCGTCGGTCGCGGCGCCCTTCACCAGCCGTGTCTTCGACATCTCGTGCGTGCCCGAGGTCATCCGCGAGGGCCGGGCGGCGCTCGTCACCAGCTTCAGCTGCTTCAAGTACATGTCGCTGTACAGCGCGATCCAGTTCACGTCCGTCTCCTTCCTGTACGCGTCGGCGTCGAACCTGGGCGACTTCCAGTTCCTCTACATCGACCTGCTGCTCATCCTGCCCATCGCCATCTTCATGGGCTGGACCGAGGCCTACCCGGTGCTCGCGCGCAAGCGGCCGACGGCGTCGCTCGTGTCGCGGAAAGTGCTGACGCCGCTGCTGGGCCAGATCGCGCTGTGCGTGCTGTTCCAGGCGGTGGCGTTCCAGGCGGTGCGGCAGCAGCCGTGGTTCCGGCCGCCGGTGCTCGACCGCGAGCACAGCAACAGCAGGAACAGCGAGAACACGGCCCTCTTCCTGCTCAGCTGCTACCAGTACATCCTCTCGGCCATCGTGCTCAGCATCGGCAAGCCCTTCCGCCGCCCCATGCTGTCCAACGCCCCCTTCGTCTTCGCCCTCGCCTTCGCCCTCGTCGTCTCCTCGTACATGCTGCTGTTCGTCGCGCCCGACCCCGCCATGGACGAGGCGGAGGCGGAGGCGGAGGCGAAAGCCGGGTCTTCTTCGTTCGACGGCCAGGCCAGGTGGCTGTACGACCTCATGGAGCTGACGCCGCTGGGCTGGGGCTTCAAGGCCTTTTTGCTCACCCTCGGCGTCGGCGGCTTCGCCGTCGCGTGGGTCTGCGAGAAGTACGTGTTTCTGGGCTTGGCGCGGGCGATTGGCCGCGCGAGGGAGAGGCTGCAGCCTGGCAAGCGGAAGAAGAGGAAGGAGTATAAGATTATTGCTGAGGGGATGGCGTTGTAAGGGGATGGGTGGATGGTGATTGCAACAACACGCGCGCGCGTGTGTGTGTGTGTGTGTGTGTGTGTGTGTGGTAGAGAGAGAGAACGATGTATGTGTCTGTGTGCGCGTGCTTGAACAGTCTATCCAAACGTGTTTTGTATGGGCTTTCGGTGTCTAGTCGGCTGTTCGTGAATGGAGAGTGAGAGGAGGAGGGAGTGGTTGGTCTTGAATTCGCTTGGTCAACCGGTTGTGTGGTGAGATAGAGATGGTGGACGCTCGCGCGCGCGCACCAAGGGGGGTCAATGGCTAAGGACTATGGGGGGAAAAGTTTCCAGGGTTTTCTTTTGTTTTCTTTAGCTGGTATGATAAAGCCGAGTCTGGGTCTCTCATTTGACTTTATAGAACCGAGACAGAGATTTTTGTTGTATTTACTTTGGTACTTTGCTAGCGAACGAGGGGTGATGTGTGAGCGTGAGCAAACCTTTGTCAGGTTTCAATATCGTGTAAGTGTAGTGATATCATAATGTGTCGCTGAAGAACAAAAGAGGTGGTGGTGGGAGGATTACATTTAATGCTGTGGGCAGTTGAAGTAATTATCTGGACATGGATGCGAGTCTTGAGAATTACAGACCAATCTCAATCCAGACATAGGATTCCATTACCCGCATAAGTATGATACAACATCTTTGTACGCCAGGCTTGGGTGGGACAGTCCTTTTGCAATCTGGTATGGAGCCAAAGACTTCGGAGAGACCCACAAGAGATCTTCCCGCCCTTGCACTTTAGCTATCAGTCATGTCATCCGTCACATTTCCATACAAATGGCCTACAGGCTAATATGAAATTCGTTCGCTATGATTCAATTCCGAGACGAACATTCTTCAACACAGAATTCCTCCCAGCCTAGTACGCAACTTGCCTTTCTACCAGATTTCGAAGCTGAGCGCGAGCTCTAAGTGTATCAAGCCAGCCAAAGGAGCGCCCGCCTACCCACGCTATGTTCGAAAACCAATTTGTATATAACGCCATGCCATATCCATGCTACCCTGCGTTCGCCACCAACCAAATTCCAGATGACCTACCCATGCTCCTCAAATTCACAGATTTCATCTTTCGTCCCTGTCCTCTGGAAAGCTCTGCTGCAGCGCCCCCGCCGCTTCTAGGACGGCCTGGTTCTCTTCGAAGACTCTTTTCGTCAAGAACCCAGCAACGATGGCGCAACACCCTCCAAAGCGTAGCACCCACCCGACGCTATCATCGCCAGGGGTTCCCCTCGGCTTCTGCAGGGCTTTGAAAAGGATAGAGCTGAAGAGGGTGGCGATGACCTGAGGTGCGGCGATGGCGACGTTGTGGATGCCAAGAACGACTCCGGCCTGGTCGGCGGTGGCGTCATCTTCGCCGGCGGCAAGCAGGGCGGCGTCGCGGTCGTTGGCGGGGGCACGCAGCATGCCGCGGCGGATGGCGTCGCGCTTGGATATTTCTTGCGAGATGAGGGCGAAGGGGGCCCAATTAGTGACGGCCCAGGGGATGCCGATGAGGGCGACGATGATGGTGGCGCCGACGGTGGAGTGAACGAAGATGGTGCTCCAGACGAGCGCGGCGAACATGAAATGTGAGAGGAGCCAGGTGCGGCGGAGGGTTAGCGACTTGATTTGCAGGTGGTCGAGTACGCTGAAATGTTGTGCGAAAGACGACTTGCTCCCTTTATTCTTTTTCAGGCCGAAGTAGCCACCGCTGGCGTGGGAACTGGTCGGCGTGAGAGGAGTGGTGGGTTCGGGAACCGGTGCCTTAAAGGTTGGCGCTACAATCAGGGGGAGGAAAACGCTAGCAATGAAGGTGGTAATGGCGAATATGAGAAGCGCAAGGGTTCCCATACGAGTTCCTCTGTCCCACACTTTGTTGATTTCGTCCTCGGACATGTGAGGATTTTCCCGAAAGAACGAATCAGCGTAGATTTCCCCGACGTATGTTGTAGTGTAGAACAGGAAAGGGAACCATCCAATCCATGCCGCGAGCTGAACCTGGCAAACTCGAGACACCTGAGGCGGTAGCTGACGCACAGACCAAAAGAGGTTCTTAAAGAAGCTTGTTAGACCACCCGAAGCGGCAGGTGGACCTTCACTTCGCGGGTCACGCTCCGAGATGGTGGCGCAGGTTGTTGTCACGGTAGCGGCTAGCGCGATGCAGGCGATTGCGCAAAGGACTTTCATCTGCGTGTTCCCGAAGAAAGGGAACAGCGTCGGGAGATCGACGTATCCGGAGAGGTAGCCGAGAATATTGCCTATTCCAGAACATCGTATGAACCATGCATTAGCTGATTCTTGCTGATGCGTCGGCGCACAGTCTACTGCGAAAGCCCGGAGAGCGGCCTGCACTGTGCAAAGTTAGAAGCGCACTTGATCAGGTCAGGCAGGTCGCCACTTACGGACGTTGATGGCGAAGTCGAGGACGTATACCATCAGAACAGCAAAGAGGATCGTGGTGGTGCTCGTCGCAGGCGAATCCCAGGGTACGCCGAAAATGGACAAGAAGCCGGCCACTATTTCTTTGGCCCACGCTAAAAAGAACAACGATATGATGGTCGAGATGGCGCCGCCGATTACAAACGGCCGTCTTTTCCCATATTTCAACCTGCAGTTGTCGCTCTTGAGACCGACGTACGGCTGCACCAGCGTCCCCGAAAGCGGGCCGGCGATCCATACGAGAGCAAGCAGAGACTTGCTCAGGCCGAGAGATAATAGGTACGGCTATGGAAAGGCGGTTAGGATGGCGCTCAGCTGCCAGACTCAATGTGGCACTTACAGATCCATATGACAACTCAACGGACCATGCTATTTGCAGTCTGTAAGCCGGATCAGTGTTTGACACGTCGCCACTTGAGCGGATGCTTCGCCGAAAATGACGGCTTACCCTCCGGAGCCCAGAGTCAGTAGCAGCAGGTACCAAGTGCTCTTTGTCTCCTCCCCAGGCTCAGCGTCCCAGCCATCGTCGCTGAACGGCGAGGCAACGGGTTTCAAACGGCTGCCCTCATCATCCGAGGTCCGGGCAGACAGGAGCGGCGAGGTCTCGTTCATCTGGTCGCGGGACTGGCTTGCTCTCGGGCTGTTGATCGAAGAGCGGCCGAAAGAGACGATCTTCGGCAGCGGCGTGGCGGCGTCGTGATTTATCGGGCTGCCAGAGGAGTGCATAGGGGGAGGAGAGCCTGGCGATGGCGGGGATCGAGCACCTCCCATGGCGGGCGATGGTTGACCGGTGGAGGCGCCGTGTGTTCGGCAGGGTAGCGCGTGGCAGCAGGAGGTGGTCAGTAGCCAGAATCGGAAAGGAATCTGGGGGAAGTGGAGCCGCGGAGGGGCGAAGGGCTGAAAGAATGGGCTAGGAGTGGATGAGGGCCGGACGGTGGGCTTGGACGCCAGGAGAAGCCCGGGCGGAAGGCGCCATAGCTTGGGTCACGATGGAAGCCGGAATGTTCGACAATCGACGTCACCCGACGCCGGCACGCGTCGGGACTGGGCGGGCCTCAGCCGCAATTCGAGCAATGCTAAGTCAGGTGGTTTCGTCACACTGATGGCGGGCGAGGTCAGCGCTGGCAACATTTCATTCGCCGTGCCTGATCGACACTGAGGCAGGCGTGCGTCACGCAGGCCGGGCGTGGGGAAGAGCCCGTGTACCGTGGCCGCGGCTTGCCGTGCCTGGAGCCCGGGGGCCGCGCGAATCAGCTCTCCCTCTGCACCCGTCGCGCCTCCAACGAGCAGCCGTCAGCATGCGCCCGCCGTGCCCGCCGTGCAGCCCTACGGCAGCAGGCTAGCGGCCGCCGGCGGGCAGCGGCGGGCCAGGGAGCTAGCCCTCGCTCTGCCGCGGCTCCAGCGTGGGGAAGTTCAGCAGGTATTATTGTTGTGGTAGTGCTCTGCACGCAAGCCGGCCAAGACGTTGGCCGCAGCGCCTGGCAGCCAGACGAAGGTAATGCCCGTGACAACGCGCCCCTTCGGAGCGCACCTCGCCGTTGCCAGCGGCGAGAAGGTCGAAGGGACCGCGTGGCTACCTAGGAACGCGTGTGGCTGGCCCGTGCGCCCAACGTAATGTGGCCACAGCTTTCCTCAGGCCGGCCGACCCTTGCGACGGCGAAGCGCTGCGTCTCATCCATCGCCAACAACTCTCCCTGTCGCCTTGCCCAACGCCCGCGCAGCTATTCCTACCACGCACCTCCCGCTGCAGCTGCTCCCAGCTCAGTCACCGCCTGCGCCCCTTCGCCCAGCCGGTGCCCCCCACCGCTGTCGGCGTCGCGCCCGCCTGCCGCGCGCTATCTCTGCGCCGCGAAGCAGATGCTCATCTAGCCCACTTGCTCCACCATGGCCTCCTTTGTCGGTTGGGCTGTGACCGAGCTCGTCAGTATGTCGCCCACACCCCTCCGCCACTGCGCCCGCTGACGAGCGCATCGAGAGACTGCTGCTGACACTGCTGCCATGTAGAGCGCGAGACCAAAGATGCCGATACTGAGGGTTAGTCCCACAGCCGACCCCTCCCCTCGAGAGCCGATCCCTGACACAACTGCACAGAGCCCGAGGCTGGCCAGCAGGAGATCTACGCATCATGGTCGCTCTTCATCCTTATCTCGCTGCTCATAATAGCTCTCTTCACGAGCTACATGCTACAGACGAGGAAGATCCAGGCCGTGCACGAGACGGTTGTCTCTATTTTTGCCGGTATGCTCGACGCGCGCCTGTCAACTTGTCCCCCGCTTACCTGCAGACAGGTATGGTCGTTGGTCTGGTATTACGACTGACGGCGAACGAGGCTGTCCTGGGCGTTGTCAGCTTCAACTACCAATTCTTCTTCAATCTCCTCCTGCCGCCCATCATCCTCGCCTCCGGCTACGAGCTACACCAGGCGAACTTCTTCCGCCAGATCGGCACTATTCTCACCTTCGCCTTTGCCGGTACATTCATCTCTGCCCTGGTCCTCGGCATCTTCCTGTGGCTCTGGACCCGGCTGAACCTGGACGGCGTTTCTTTGTCCTTTGTCGAAGCCATTTCCGTCGGCGCCACACTTTCAGCCACGGATCCGGTTACGATTCTTGCCATTTTCAACACATACAAGGTCGATCCTAAGCTGTACACCGTCATCTTCGGCGAATCGATTCTGAACGATGCTATTGCTATCGTCCTTTTCGAGACTGCCCAGAGATACAAGGATGCCGACGGGGAGAGCTTGACAATCATCACTCTCTTTGAGTCAATTGGAATCTTCTTACTGGTTTTCTTTGGTAGTCTGGTCATCGGCCTCATCATTGGCGTCATGACTTCGCTACTTCTGAAGTTTACCTATGTGCGCCGTTTCCCCAAAATCGAGAGCTGTCTGGTCATTTTGATCGCATATCTCAGCTACTTCTTCTCCAATGCCATTCACATGTCCGGTAAGGATGCAGAGGCTCCAATGCGCTACAGCTTCAGCTAACGTGTGATGTAGGCATCGTCTCCCTCCTGTTTTGCGGCATCTGCTTGAAGCACTATGCCTACCACAACATGTCCAGACGCACACAGCTTACGTCCAAATTCGTCTTCCAGGTCATGGCCCAGCTTTCAGAAAACTTCATCTTCATCTACTTAGGTCTTTCCCTCTTCACCGAAACCGAGCTCGACTACAAACCGCTTTTTATCCTCGTCACCGTCATCGGCATCTGTATTGCCCGCTACTGCGCCGTCTTCCCTCTCTCGAGATTGGTCAACTGGGTTCTTCGTTACAAGGCCCGCAGGCGCGGTCGCGAAATGGCCGAAGAATTACCATGGTCCCACCAAGCCATGTTGTTCTGGGCTGGGCTTCGAGGAGCTGTTGGAGTCGCACTTGCAGCAGGTCTTAGTGGTACCAACGGTTACACGCTCCGCGCCACGGTTCTGGTTGTTGTCGTCCTTACTGTCATTATTTTTGGAGGCACAACGGCACGCATGCTTGAGATTCTGCAAATTCGGACGGGGGTGGTTGAAGAAATTGACTCAGATGATGAGTTCGACATCGAGATCGTACCAGGTGGTGGGAGTGGTGCAAGTGGCGTCACTTTTGCAGCCAAGCAAGGCCGCGGTATCGGCCATACCCCCAAGCCCAGCTCGAACGGCTTCGTTCTCACTCCAGTGGGCGTGGACGATTCCGGCCGTGGCAAGGGTTTCAGCAGCAGCACCATCAACGGCAGCTCTTCGCCCAACGCTCGACCCAACGGCGGCATGCCATCGCGCCGCAGCTCCAGCCGGGCGCAAAACCTCCGTGCTCAAGACTACGCTGAACAAGGCCTGCTCCGGGACGAGGACTCGGGCTCGAACTCGGACGTCGAAAACGAACTCGATTTACCGCCTTCAGCCCGCCGCTCGCCCGCTCGTCGCGCATCACCGAACGCTGCCGGCCCTGCCGCGTCATCGTCGCCATACACGGCGGATACGACTGTGGCAGTGGAGCCGATGGGAAGGTTGCAGAGAATGACGGGCGCCACGGCCGCAGCGAGGCAGTTGCTGACGGGCTTGAGTGAAGATCCGGCGAGCGCCTTCCGGCAGATCGACGAAGGCTTCATCAAGCCGCATCTGCTGCTTGATCCGGGGTCGGGAAGTCGGCATAGCGGTGGGCAAGGTGGTGCGTCGCATTGAGTAAGTTGGTGTGTTTTTGTGTTTTTTGTTCTTCGTTTATTCATTTACAGCCATGGGCTTTTCTCCGCCCCTGAGCAGCGCGAGGGAAAATATGCAATGGGCGGCGTTTAGCTTTCGTGTTTCTTATTCCATCCCTCCTTGTCTTGCAACGCGGAGAAGCGATAGGTGTCTTGATGGGAGATGGCTCGTCCTACTCGAGATAGCGGTTGCGTTGTCGCTGGCAGAAGGTGATAGACAGGTAGGCGCATCAGTGGCTACAGCAGGTAGGAAAAGATATACCGATCTCGCAAGTGGCACGAGATTTTGCATGGTGCAGGCGTGAAGCAACAGTAGAGATCTGCAACGTCGCTGACACAGAGGACCGTATGAGGTCGGTGGGCGTGCGTGCCAAAGGTAAATGAACTGCGAAGGAGATACTGTACATTATGTAGACATTGACCAACCAGCCATCACTCCGTTCCCATGCATTTCGCTCGATACATAAGGCACAAGTCTTCCTAGCTCATGTCTACATCATGTGTGTTGCGTTGTCAGAGCGTAGTACCGGCACTGAAGCGGGTTAGCATGGCTCAACTCACACCAGCCCCAACGCAGAAAGGCAACAACCCACACTTATAACTTGGAGAGCTGCACCACGACGACGACGATTCGCGATGTCCCGAATCACGTCGTAATTGGCGCCGGTGGTGGAGGCAACGAGAACAGACGTGTGGCGTTAGTGACCGAGGCAGCTTGCCGGCGCAGGCATTCCCAGAAGGACGAGAAGGGTGGAAAATGCGTTGATTGATGTGCGGATAGCGGAGAGAATAATACGCGGTTGCACGGAGCTCTTGGGGTGATCGTTCACGTCGATGGCGCCATCAGCCATATCAGGAAAGTTGATCTGCGCTGTGTCGATGGCCTAAGACTGAGCAAAAGTCGGCGTGGGATCTTTTTCTGCCCGACAATGTTTGTTCTATGAGGTGATCTGAACGGAGAGCTAGGTCGAGCAGAAATCCTCCTTGGGTCCTCAGTGCTATGTGAAAGCAATCGTAATGCCTTGGCGCCTGCTTGGTTCACACGCATCCCAGACAGAACAACACTAATCAGATGCTATTCTGCCTCATCTCTTGAGCACGATAACACTCATCTGTAAAGGCGGTAAAAAGGACTACTTTAGCAGCACAAACTAAGAAATATCTTTTCGTCCACAAAACTAAGCTAACTTTGGCCACTGGCTCTCTCAGCTCAAGTGAGTGAAATATTACCTGTATGCGCAGCTGCCAGTATCTGCCAGGCACCAGCAATCTATTGAAGTATCTCGAGGTCTTGCCATCTCCTCCCATCTAGAACCATGTGCCGCCAGATTCTATCCCTGCGAGGCAAGAGAGCCAGCAAAAGCCATACACCCATGAGCAACCCCCATCTTCAATAACGCCATCCCGACAAGCCCAGCCCATTAGCCTCTAATCGCATCAGGTATTACTCGATGATGAAGCTCAAAAAACAGGCCTTGTCCGTTTCCGTTTTCGATTCCGCGCGCACTCTTCGCCGCCGAAGTCATCCCCAGACTTTCACCTAGCCGGTCCAAGAGCAGCACTACGCCCAGATGCCACCGGCTTCGGCCGCAGCCAATATCTCATCCGTATTCTCCCTGATCTTCCTCATATACTCGAGCTCCTCCGCCTCCCTCCTCCCGACCCATTTCTCACCCCAGCTCTCCGTCGGCTTCAGCACCGCCTTCCTGCCCTTCCCGCTCAACAGCAAGCGATCCCTCTCCTGGCCGTCCCTGATCCTCACCTCTTCCTGCTCAGCCATGTTACGGCGACGCACGACCACCTGCCGCGGCGCGAACGCGGCCTTCTCTTCCTTCATCCGCGTCTGCTGCAGCAGCTCCTCCCTCTTGCGCAGCTTTTCGGCGAAGAGCGAAGGGTTGGCGACGTCGCGGTCGGTCGGGAGGATGACGACGGCGGTGTCGAGCAGGAAGTCCTCGGAGAACGTCTTGGGGATCTTGCGGAAGGCGGCCCTCTCCTCGAGGGTCGCGCGGCGCTGGACGATGCACGAGTCCGCCTCGCCGGCGCGGATGCAGCGGAGGCAGGCCGGGAAGCGGGGATGTGCGGCGAACAGCCGCGGCGCCGTGGTGTCGTCGTCGGCGTTGCTGGGGTCGAGCAGCGGCCCCAGGTGCGCGTTGCATGGCGAGCGACGGTTGGCTGGGCAGGGGAGGCCCTTGAGCCGGCATTGCAGGCAGGGTTCGATGGGAAACGGCTTTTTGGCACTGAACCAGGCGCGCGCGTGGAGCTCGGAGAGGGTGTGAGGGGATCGATAAGGGCCGAAGGTGGTGGGCGCTTGCAGGTCCAGTGGAGGCGGCTCTGAGTATGAAGATGGTATTGCAGACCGTCTGGCGTATGGAAGGTAGTAGGAATCACGAGTCGGAGACAGGGACCTGAGCCTGATTGAGTCGAGGTCAAAGTGGCCGTCTGGCGATTTCTTGTTGATTTTAGGATCCGGCGATTGAGGCGAAGTGCTTGAACTCTTCAAAGTGGAACCTATATCAAATGCGACGTGCGGCGCTGAGGCGGCTTGGGTAGTTCCCGAAGAGTGCTTGCTGTCACTGGGCTGACGAGTAGCCGGCTTGAACTCTGAGGAGCGATTGGCGGGCGAAGTGGCAGCGCTTGTTGGAGCAGTCGAGGTGGGTGAAGCACCGCCAGTGCTAGAACCAGGCGAGATGTTGGAGGTGACTACTGATCCACTTGGGGACACGAATTGGTGGGCTCCACCGGGGGAACCCGTGGGTGGTGGTGTTGAGGGTCGCATTGTGGAGTTAGATCCTCCGGGCTCGTCGGATTGCATGGTCTTTTGAAGATCTTCCTCCAAGATGGTGCCTGAGCGTGCCATGCTGCATCTGAAACCGGAGTGCTGCTGGCCTCGGCCGCCGTCCGGGTCGGCAACAAAGAGGCCGCTCATTGTCTGGAGCAAGCGCGACGGAACAGGAACTGTGAGACTGTGTTTGGTGGGTTTGAATTGGATGAAAGAAAGAAACAAAGGGCGAGGCGGGACAGAGATGTGAACAGAGGCCTGGCTGCGACTCGGGCTGCACGTGAATTGCCAGCACAGGAGGGCGCGTGATGTGTGCTCGAGACATTTTCAGTCAAGGCGTGAGATCCCAACGTGCGGCCAAGCGGTTCCCCGGGAAGTTGCGAGTTTCAGGCTAGGGCTACGCGGCACGGTTAGTGGGCCGTGGAGAACCGTGGTGGAAGGCGCGGGGAGCCTGGGCGGAAGGTGAGGCCGGCGGCGCTACCGCCCAGCCAGGTGACGGACAATGACGTTGCTTCACACTCCCACCCCGTTCTCTTGACCTTTTCGCTGGTATTATTATTGCTGAAGTGCTGCTCGCTAATGCAGGTTCCACGCGCTCGTACTGCTACTTACGACGGGTATCTTGACTCCATGCGAAAGCCGCGCCCCTCCCTAAAGCACAAATCCACCCACTCCCACGCAGCTCCATTTCCGGAGCCCCTTGCTGTCTTCCAGCTCCACGCACCACCAGAGCACGTCCTTCGCCTTCTGCACCTGCCCGCCCTCCTCGTATGCCCGGGCCAGCGTGAACCACGCCTCGGAATAGTCCCATCCCGTGCCAAGCTTGGTTAGCGATGATAGCAAGCTATATGCCCGATCCCTTGCCGCAAGTCGGTTGAGCTCCTCCGGGTCGGGCGCAACGCTCTTGGCATCCCTTGCGCTGCGTCCTTCCTTCGCTGACGCACGTTGCGCCGACTCGACCGGAATCACTTGACTGTACATGTCGAGCAGAATGTTGGACAGCCCCACCACAGCCCCCGGGTGATCGGGGTTGTGCGAAAGGCCCTTCTCAAAGTGTCCAAGAGCTTCGTGTGGCTCCGCCTCGGCCGCTGCAATCTCTCCACGCTGCAACCTGTCAGTATCTCGCACTTTACCAGTGTGTCATGTGGGGCTTACCGCAGCCCAGATGTCCGCCCACAGCTCCTCGATGCTCTTTCCGCCACCCCAGCCTCTTTCAAAAAATGCCTTGGCGCTTGACTGATCTTGCGAGATCTCCGACTCGAGGTTATCGGCAAGCTTGAAGGCTTCGTCAACAGCACCTTTGGCGTCTTCAAACAGCGCCGCGCGCGCGTAAAGCCCGGCAATGAAGAGCCACACGTCGATCAGGAGCGACGTCGTGTGTCTCCGCTCTTGCAGCACTGGAAAGCGTGGTTCTATGGCTGCGAAGTTGGCTTGGGGGAATGGCGCGGGTAGGCGAACGTCTTGGTGCGGCGGTTGATCGGCGTGGCCTTGCGGAGGCGGCTGCTTGCTGGGCGACATGTTGTGCGGGACCGGTCGAAGGGGCTGCTCTGCGCCAGAGCTCGATGGCGCGCTTCCTCGTCGCGTCGTTCCATTTGCGTTGCCGTCCGACTTCTCCGAGTCCTTTCCGGCCGAATCTGGAGACTTGGCGTTGCTGGCACTCCTCTTTCGCAGCTTGATGCTTCCGGTGCTAGACTTCTCGTGATGCTTGTGATGGAATAAGCCATGGTGGTGATGACTGTTGGGTTTGCCGGATTCATCCGTTACCTGAATTGTAGGCGCGCCTTCTGTGGCATTCGTCGACGGCCGGGACGACGTGCTTCTTCTCCCAGCTGGGACTGTCGAGTTCTGGTCTTGAGTTATGGTGTTCTTCCTGAGCGTCTTGGTCCTGCCAAAGAAACTTGCACGGTTGCCCGGCGTGTTTTGCACTGAGATGTCTACTGTCTCGGGCTGCTGGATAGCACCAGTCGGGTCTCCGTAAAGCCGTTTGTAAAGGCCCAACAGCTCCATACTAGCGTCGACCGCAGCTGTCGTTCCTTCAACGACCTCGAGAAGCAACAACTGTGTAACCTTCACTTGAAGGATGCCTTCTTTCTCAAAAGCCTCCATGCGGTCGACAAGACCCTTTTCTGTACTGCCCCGAGACTTCTCGAGATCGGCGGAGCTCTCATTCAGGTGTTCGCTGCGGTATACCTCACCTTGGTTTCCAAACAGGACAGTCGGGTCGTCGAACTGATCAAATGCCGCGTCGCACGTTCTCGCAGCTGTGTTGAAATCTGACTTTGCGGTAAGGAGCAGTGCTAGTAAGTGCCAGAGAGGGATCAGTTTCCGCTCGTGGACGTAGTTAACATCTTCCCCTTCAGCATCGCCGGCAACACCGTCGGGAGATCTCAGGCCATCACCGCGCGAGTTAGAGGAAAGAGCGCGCTTGACGACCTTGATCGCTCCATTGATGTCTCGCATCTCAGCAAGGAGCAACCCTAGGGCGTACAAGGTCTCGAGGTTAGTGGTGTCTTGATAATCTGGATGCAACGACTTTCGGAAGGCCTGGACTGCTTGTGCCTGGAAAGTTGACCTTGCAGTTGCCTCATAGGTAAGCCTCGCCCAGTGGGCGCGACTGATACCTACTGCACGGTGTGCGACGGCGAGAACACGAGGAGTGAGCAGGCTCTCGGTGGATCTCTTCGCATGAGGAGCCTCGGAAGTGGCCGTTCCTGGCCTCGACGCCGGTGTCTGTTGTTTCAACCACTTTTCGATTTGCTCACCCACCTCCTTAGCCTTTTCGGCATGTCTCCTTGTACCGAAACGGCAGAGGATCCTGACCGCCTCAGACGCGGTCCGAAGAACCGTGTTATCGTCATCCAAGCCAGGGTCTTCTTCTCCACTTTTTTCCGCACGATCCTTGCCCCTGCTGACGATCTCCACGTAAGAGTCGAAGGCCTTGAAAGCGAGGTCAAATTCTGCCAAAGAGGCATGGACAATGAAAAGGTGTCGCAATATCCGTGTCGAATGGTACGACTTCGTTGCTGCGCGATAAAGAATCTAGAAGGAATCATTAGCGTCTGCACAAGATGGTGCATGCCGACTCCACATACGTCGAGGACACCCTTGCCAACAGCAGCTTTGCCTCCTTCACCAAGCTCCTCGTCCGTCCAGGCTGGACCGCAGATGATTCGCCAGTTGCTCATGACAGACTCCGCCCATGCGTCCACCTCTTCATTCGATTCACTCGCCTTGGGGAATCGCGCCTCTTTTATCAGTAGCGACTCGTACACGGTCTCGGCGAGCTTGATTTCAGCGCGCTGTTGTAATCTTGCCGATAGGTACTGCTCTTCGGAAGCATGCTCCGCAGCACCCCCAAGCAGCGCATGCTGGGGGTCAGCAGAGCCACTGTACAGGGAACCCCGGCGAAGGATGATTGAAAGAGTATCGTAGTATGCCTTCCAGACAGCACGTCTCATGTCTGGCAGGTCGGATAGGGGCTCGCTAGGGAACTGTGCCTTGCCATTCTCCATCAAACGCGCCCACAACCGGAAAGCATGCAGGGCGGCGCCAAGGTCCTCGGGTCGATCGCCGGCCTTGCTAATGTCCAAAATGATGCACAAACGGGCAAGGAGGGCCTCAGACCAAGACTTGAACTGCATGGAAGCAGAGCTCAGAATGTCGGAGCCCACGAAATGTAGAACGGACTCATAGGTCTTGAGGGCTTCATCGATGGCGCCGCTTTTCTCCTGGGCGGATCCTGCAGTATGTAAGATGCGGTGCGCAGTAAGACCTCGAGTACTCCAACATACCCTTCAAGAAGGCGGCCTTGACGATGCAGACCTGGGTCCAGCCGGTGAAGGATTCGTCCCCATGGCGCAGATTGTCTATTGTCTCGGCGACATTGCTTGGTAACGTGGCCAGACTCTCGCTGGGCTGATCCAGTACCCAATGTATCCAGGCCAGACAGGTCTCGGCAGCGAAAACGTCCTGTTTGTGGGTAGTCTCCTGGTTCTTTGCGGCGGCCAACGAGTCGACCAGCGAAGGAAGATCGGGCGGCGGCGTGGTAGGCGTGGGCGGAGTGGACTCGTTGAGCTGTTGTCTGACGTGCGCGGCTACCTGGGCCTCGGCGCGGGCGGTCGTGTATATGCCTTGGCGGGGCAGGTCAGCAAGGGAGCTGGGCCTTAAAGGGAGGAACATACAGGTGCGGTGAGGAGCATGCTTCTCGATCTTGCGCGCGAGCTCGGGAAGAGCGTCCCAGCGGCCATTGCAGCGGGCCTCGTCAAGCTGGCCTATGTAGTTGAGGGCCTTCGCGTTTTCCTGCGCATGAAGCGATATCAGCATGAGGGGAAGGCTGAGCTCGAGGCCCGGGGTGACGTCGTGGGGCAGGGTTTGTTTCGCATGCGACGGCGGTGGGCACGTACAGCGGGCATTTTTGCAGTTGATGCCCTGGCCTGGAGCAGAGAGGCTGTCAGTATTTAAAGACCATGGATCGGGATAGGAGAGCCTGGCGTGCAAGCAGGAGCGCGTCTGGGGGAGCGGACAGGTCGCTGGAGCAGCTCTCCGACACGCGGCAGGGAGCACCCGCGACCCTGGTCCCTCGAGGGCCCGTGCGCAAATTTATTTTGCGGCATCATCACAATTCTCCGTCCTCCGCCCAAGCACCACCCCAGCCTGCAGCATGGCTCCCAGCCAGGACGTCTACGCGGCAAACGCCCTCAAGGCCGTCACCTACCGCCTCTCGTCCGTCCCCGCCAAGCAGCTCCCGGCCCTCATCCCCCACGTCACCGCAACGCTCCCCGCCTGCAAGCCCGTGCTCTCCGCTCCGCAGATTGCCTCTGGGAAGGATGCCTCTGAGACTGCCGTGCTGGTCCACAAGTTCAGGACCCAGATCTCCACCCTCCTCCAGGACCGCTCCGTCGAGGCACGATGGTCCGCCGTAATCCTGGCGAAGTCCGCCGTCGAGCTTGGCGGCTGGGAGATGCTGCAGAAGAGCGGCCCGTGGGTCAGAGGTCTCCTGGGCATCCTGACCAAGCCGGACCCGCCGACCACCAAAGTCCTGACCATCGTCACTTTGACTCGCATCTTCATGCTGACGCGTGATTACCAAACCCTCGTGAGAGAGATCACCACGCCTGCCCTGACCCCGTTCATCACTTCCTGTGTGAGCATCCTCTCCAGAGCCAGGACCGTAGACCAAGGCACCCCCCAGCTGGTTGAGACCATCCTTGAAAGCTTTGCCCGTCTGCTCCCGCGCCACCCTACCACTTTCCGGCCCCACCTAGGCAAGTTAAATCAGTATCTTTCCACTGTCATTGCCCAGTCCTCCACGGACGAGAATGCGTACCTCAGCGCCGATGGCCTGGCCGCTGCTAGGAACTTGTATTCACAACTTCCCAACTGCGCCGCGAAGAGCGGATCCAAGGAAGAGTGGGAGAAGTCGCTCCAAAACGTCATCATTGCCACCCACCAGGCTGCGGACAAGGTCTTCCGCGCGGTCATCGAGGAGTGGGAGTCGGTCACAGGCATTCAGCCTCCCAGCACCACAAACCGCACCTTGGATCAGGTTGTCCAGCAATCCGAACCAGATCAGTGCGGGTTTCCTGCTTGGACTGGCATCTATGCTGGGAGTTCGCGTCTGATCGGCCTGCTCGAGCTTCTGGCTAAGCTGACCGCTTCTTCCACTTCTACGTCCGGCCCCGTCAGCTACCGCATAGCGCATGTCATGGATCTCCTCACCCGCATCCTGTCCATCACCGCTCCCGCGGGTCAAGACAGAAAAAATCAGCGTCGCGGAATCGCCTTCAACGACCAAATTGGAAAGGAGGAGCGCAATGCCCTTTTCACGGTACTGCCGCAAATTCACGTAGCCGCTCTGGCTCTGTTTGAGGTTCTCGTGGATCGGTTCGGACGCGCTCTTTCTCCTGTCGTGGAATTTTTCCTCGAACGCCTGTCTTTCGTCTTTCAAGAAGAGAGATCACTCGCAAACGTCCGCGCCGCCTCTTATTCCACACTCTCCAAAGCCCTGCCCATCGTCGGCTCGACGCTTACCGCTCCGCAAGTGAAGAGTCTCAACACCATCATGCATACATGCTGCGAGGACCTCCTCCCGCGGGACAGCGACGCAGCGGCTGCCCCGAAGACGGGCCCCGCGACAGGCACCACCAAAAACCAATCGCAGCAGACGACGTCCATCAACGCCGACAGCTTCCTGAGCAACGCAAAGGACAAGTCATCGTCACCGCAAGCGGTCGTTCCCGACGGCCTGCGCGAAAGCGCGCACGCGCTCCTGCCGCTCCTCCTGATCCACCTCCCCGCACACGCCATGGACAACTCGGTCCGCGCGCGCATCGACAGCACCGCCGTCCTCGCCCGGCACGAGGAGGCCCTCCTCGCCAGCGTCCTCAGCCTCGACCCCAGGGGCAACCCCAGCCTGCTGCCGCTCCTGGCGCGGCTGCATCCCCAGTCGCCCGCCGTCGAGGCTCTGCTTCGGCCGCGGGTCCCGGCCATCCGGGCCAACGCTAGCGGCAACTTCAACCTCGCCTCCGAGGAGGACGACGAGGACGAGGACGAGGACGAGGACGAGGAAGAAGAGAAAGAAGAAGAGGCCGCAAAGACGCCGGCTCAAGCCGACGAGATGCAGCTCGACACCACCGAGGAACCGACGACGGGCGGCCTCCAGTCCGAGCATTCAGAGCCCGTCACCGTACGGTCGAAGCGAGTAGACGATGATAAGGAGGAGGAGGCAACACGCGCCGCTGAACCGGATGCCACCGCCCCCGAGGAACCTCAATCCGCGAGCAAACGACCGAACACGGAAACGACGGAAGCGCGTCAGCCTCGCTCGCCGAAGCGCGCGCGTGTCGAGAGCCCGCCGAGAGACGTGCCGCAGCCGGGACAGCAGGAACCGCCTGCGTCCACGCTGCCAGCGGCGGTGCCGCCTGTCGAGCCGGGGTATGGCATGGAGGATGAGGATGACGACGGCGATGTGGAGGTTCCGACGCTGGTGATGGGTGATGATGAAGATGAAGAGGAGAGTGGCGAGGATGAGTAAAATCCTCAATGGTACATGAAGCAGTCATCCGGACGTAGATGTAAGGTCTCAAGACCGATCAGTAGCAACCGGACGTGAAGTTCCACGCAAGCAAGTCGGAGTGCATCATGCTTGCCGAGAATAAAAATCTTCTGTGACCCACCGTCATGAGTAGACCGTTGCTTCCAATGTTCATGATTCGGAACTCGTCTATAACCAAACACGCCCTCGCAACAACCGCCAGGCAGATAGCTGCCGGAGCGCCGTGTAACTCCCCATGACTTTCTTTTTCGTCCTTCCAATATCCTGTGACTTCCAGTAGGATAAACAAAAGTCAAACTCCGTCATCAATGCTTTGTAAAACAACCTCCCGCGCCCGCCGCATTCCTTCGATGTCGCGCAGGAAAGGAAATAGGAAAAAAAAAAAAAAGGAGCATCTCTCACTCCTTCTTCAGCTCGGGGCCCCAAAAGTCGTCCGCCTGCTGCTGGCTCTGCTGCCTCTCCAGTTTCCGCCTCTTCGCCAAACCCTCGGCAAGCGTGCCCTCGGACGCGCCGCCCCGCTTCTGCGCCGCGTGCAGGCCGATCAGGTCGGCCTTCTCCGGGTCGCTGCACAGGTCGCGTTTGCGGGCGATGCGTTTGCATTCCTCGTCGAGGTCGGTGCCCTCGAGCACCCTGCGCTGCGCCTCGAGCAGCTGCGCGCACGCCCTGACGGTCGCGACGAGCTTGGTCCGCAGCTCCCACGCGGCGGCGGCCTGCTTGTCGTCCGAGGAGGGGGCGCCGGCGCTGCTGGCGGGGAACTTCGTGTCGACGTAGAATAGCGTCAGCGGCTCGTCGGCCAGCAGCATGGCGGCCAGCCAGATTTGGGCGGGCGTGTAGAAGAAGTACGCGTCCGAGATGGGTGCGATGCTCTTGAGCGTCGTGCGCGCGACGTTGTACGCAATGCCGATGCGGTTCACCATGGCGCGCTCGTCGCTGCTGCCGCCGGTGGACGACGGCGCTGATCGCTCCGGTAGCTTCAGCATCTCGGCCTGCGCGGCTTGCGGCGTCCTGCCCGAGCCGGGAAGCATCGCGGCCTCGCCCTTGGCCAGGGCTATGAGCTCCATGTGCCCGCCGTTCAGACCGCGGTACGGGTGCCTTATATCGAATGTGAAGCGCAGTGCTTGGGCGACGAGGTACTCGGGGGCGAGGATGTCCTCGGCGGTCATCCTCGCGCCCAGCAGCGGGGCAAGCTCGCCGGCCGGGGTCCAGTGGATTTCGGTCTTGGTGGCGAGGAAGAGGCATGTGGGCATGATCTTCTTGGGGTCGTAGACCATGATGGAGTTGAAGAGGTAGAAGCGCTTCACATACTGAACGGCAGTGGCCTTGTTGGCGCAAGGGGGTTAGCAGCGGGCTCAGCGGGCTCAGCGGGCTCAGCGGGGGACTTCGGGCGGCTCACGATGACGTTTGTGGGGAAGTTGAACTTGGTGTTCTTTTTGGCAAAGTCGGCAAACTCGACGCAGGTCTTGCAGATCTTGATAACCAGCTTGAGCTCTTCGTCCGGGGTGAGTGGGTCTATGTCGAGGGCGTCGGCGCCAGTACTGGCGCCGTTTTGTTGAGCGGCATCGTCGGCCGACTTCTGGGCCCTGAAGCGCTTGATGTTGGCCTTGACGCGCTCGGCGGCATTGACGTTGGTCGAGTCGCGCAGCGAGCGCAAGCGTTCGGAGGTGAAGGACCACAGGCGATACTGGGTGGAGGTGCGGTAAACCTCGTCCTCGGTCAAGTGCATGGTGTCGGCGGCGGCGGTGCCAGACGGCTCTGTCGCGCAGGGAGCGGGCGTTGAGTCGGCGCGCGCGTCGAGGCTGCAGCTCGGGTGCAACTTCCCTGCGTGCGACGGTTTCCACGGCCGCTGTGCCGCCCCAATTCTCCACAGCTTGGCGGTCTTGTCGCGCACAAGTCGTCGCTTCCCCGAATGCTTGTCCCACCCCAAGCCTTGTGGCAGCCTTCAGCTCTCCACTGCAACTCCGCCGCCGTCGCTGCCCGGCGCCAGCATCGTCTGCGTGCGCCACATCATGCTATCCTGTCCCGAGTGTAACGCGAGAGAGATCGGCCAGAACCAGATATGGGCTGCACGTCAGTGCCTGGGATACGGCAACCCTTCCCAGCACGGCTTTGCCGCAAGCCATCCCTGTAGCTGACTGGCTGCTACCCCGGTGTCCCGGACGTGGGCTCCCACCAGGCCTGATCGTCGCCGCTCCAAACCCCGGCGCCTGTTTTGATTGCGGCCCTGGGCGTCGCTGACATGCGGGGAAACGCTGGCTGCCGATAGGACTGTCTACCCTGTACCAGCCTTCGTAGTGCCTACGTATTTGAATCCCGCGCCCTCGCTGCTGAATCAGTCCAGACCGCACCCTTTCCCCTCTGCTGTTCCAGCTACGACCCCCGTCGTTGTCCGTTGACACTTCACTGGCCTTGTTGCTACCCTGCCATCCACTCACCAAATCGCGCGGTTCTCGCAGCTGCATCATGGCTGAGTCTTCTCCGAGCGCAGATAACGAGAAAAAAAATGAGGTGCAGCTGGAAAAGCTCAACTCAACCTGGACGGACCAAGCCACCATCAGTCCTGGGCTGGAAAAGCGCATCGTCAGGAAGTTCGACAAGCACATTGTGCCCTGGCTGTTCGCTCTCTGGCTTCTCGCTTTCATCGACCGGAGCAACATTGGCAATGCTAGAATCGACGGCTTGGAAGAGGATCTCGACCTCGACGCTGATAAATTTAATATCGCCCTCGCCATCTTCTACGTCCCCTACATCTGCTACGATGTTCCCAGCAATCTTGTCCTCAAATACTTCAAGGCTGGATACTACCTGCCTGGGATGGTAACCATCTGGGGCTTGATCAGTACCTTCATGGGCTTCGTGAAGTCTTACCACGGCCTTCTCGCCGCGAGGTTCTTCCTTGGTTTTGCTGAAGGTGGGCTCCTGGGTGGCATGATCATTTATCTGGCTATGTTCTACCGTCGCCATGAGCTTCTGTACCGCATTGGAATGTTCTACTGTGCTGCCCCACTAAGTGGTGCTTTTGGTGGTCTCCTGGCCACTGGTCTGGCAAGGATCAAGACCGACGGCTACAATGGCTGGCCGTTCATCTTCTTCATCGAAGGTGGGAAACGTGCTGTCCATCGCATGCATTCATCTTGCTGATTGATTTGGTTGCAGGTGCCATTACGGTGATTGTCGGTATAACGACCATGTTCTTCCTCCCCCATACTCCTGCCGAATCGAAGTTCTTGACGGAAGAAGAACGGAAAGGAGCAGTTTCACGCATGCACCTCGATTCCCATGGTGCCACCACAACTGGCAGCGTCGAAACCGAGAAATTCAGTTGGGCCTGGGTCAGGCGTGCCCTTCTGAACTGGCAAACGCTCATCCTCTCCCTGAACTTCTTCGCCATCATCACGCCTATTTACTCCTTCTCCCTATTTCTTCCTACTATTATCAAGACACTTGGCTACACCTCTGTCAAGGCTCAGCTACTTACCGTTCCTCCCAATGTCGGTGGTTTCTGCAGCGTTATCCTTGTCGGCCACCTCTCCGACAAATACAAAGTCCGCGGCCCCTTTATGATTGCCCTCGCAACGCTTGCCATCATTGGGTATATCATGCAAATCGCAAGCGCGCGGGCGCTCACACGCTATGGAGGCACTTTCTTCGTCGCAGCAGGAGTCTTCCCGTGCTCGCCTCTTGTGATGGGCTGGCTCGCTAACAACCTAGCTCCCCACTACGTCCGAGCAACGGGCACCGGCTTCCAACTCATGGTCGCCAACATGGCCGCCTTCATCGCGACTTTCACCTACCTGCAGAAAGATGCGTAAGTGGCCGTCTCTCCATTTCCGCCAACATGGCATGCGTCACTGCCCCGCATGCGTCACTGCCCCAAAGTGAGCGTTCTGGCTCGGCACCAACTTTTGACGCCGAGCGGGGTGGCTTTATGGGCTTGAGACTTGGCTCCCGGTTGAAGGATCATCATCCTTGCTGACTTCTTCTTTGCACATAGGCCAAGGTATACCAGCGGCCATGCCATCAACATTGGCGTGCTCTGCCTCTCGCTCGCGCTCAGCACGATCAATATCTGTTACTGTTTGTGGGAGAACAGGAAAAGGGCAAGTGGTAAGAGGGACTACAGACTGCAGGAAGGCGACGAGGGAATGCTTGGATACAGGCATCCGGAGTTCAAGTACACCATTTGAATTGAATTGGGATATTTGCAGTCATGGTTGCTACTGTTTCTCCGCCCTTGACGGCACCTGCTGTATCCAGCAAATAATGTCTCAATGCGACCATGTAGTCCTCACGTAGTTTAGAAGTGGTGGAGGAGAGATCTCGATCTGCCCGCCATATCTGTTTCAGTGTTGGCAAGGTTCTGAATCACTATTCGTTGCCGTACAAAATAAGCACGCCCACACGCGGAAGTGTGTTTTCGCCAAGTCAGCCACAAGATACACTGGTACATTCCTACCCAAGCATTCCACTGCAGCAACCAGTTGATACACTGATCGGTCCGCTAGGGTAGTGCAGGATTATGGAATGCAATCCTTCTTTGGTTCCGCTCATCTCCACAGGTCAGTCTAGATCTCACATCCTGTGTAACTGAGCGTTCGGTCTTGTTGTCGAGAGATTTACTCTATCTTCACCACGAGCCACGAAGAGACTTGGTTCTCGGAAAATTCTCTCGCGTTACAATAGTTCTCTGATGACTCAAGAGTCAAGCTTTGTCGTATGGAAGTAGACAAGTTAAACCGTTACCGCCGAAATTAAGAGAGTGGCGCAATAGATCGCTGCTAAGCTTAAAAATGTTGGCTTTTCTCAGAAGCTGGTGTTAGAGGTACTTAATTATTTTCTACCCCAGTAAGATGAGATGTCAGAGCTGTGATTTGGCTTCTAAAAAGGACGAAAGGGATAGCTAAACGAGTATATAGGCGCAAAGTGTTAAAGGGTAGGAGAAGAGCTATGCTGTGTTGGGGGGTTGAGGTCGTCTTGTATATATATCGGCTTGACAAAACAGCTTTGGCGCTTACAACTACACTTGAACCACAATGACGATACTAGTCTTCCAGGTTGCCACTAGTCATGACTTCATACAATCGAGACCTGATACTCAGCCTGGCTCCACAGAAGATACTACTTATGTATGTAATTGAATCCAATCTCTAGACGTGGATATTGTCGTGACCGTGGTCAATGTCGTCTAGATATTAGATTCAATTTTCTTGCGCGGGACTCAAGGGCTCAAATCTACGGTCCGTCAAATAATTGTTCAGTCAGGGCGTATCATGTCGATTCGGCGACCAAGGAATTCCGGACGAGTGATTTGACTTTATCGACTGTGGTGCAGTCATCCGAGCCAAAGCTGTACCGGAACGTAAAGTAGCCTGGAACGCAAGTCCCCCGCACCCCACATCTCCTCGGGCCAAAGCTTCAAGCACCAAGACTCCCCCTCAAGTTCCCGAGACATTTCATCGAAGTTGGGTATATTTGGCACACGAGATCCTCCAGCATGCCGCAAACAAGCGTGATATTGGAAATTGTTTCGATTCGAGTTAGTGAAAAGGAGTCAAAGTCCCCGAACCCGAGCCAATTCCCCAGCTCGTGATCATGTTCAGCCATTTGCTCTTTGCATTTCGCATATGCGCCGATGATGGAAAAAAACTCCTTTGTCATCCGAACCCAGAGAGAAAATGCTCCTCCTCAGACACTTCTTTCTATCCTTTCCCCCCTTATCCCCTGACCATTTTTAAACCCTCATTACCGAGCGAAATGGGACATTTACTCGGACTTGGCGGCCTGCTGAAGAGCCTTCTTGCCCCTAGGCTTGGCGGGCTTGTCGGCCTTGACGGGCTTCTGGGCGTGCTTGATGGCGCTAGCACGGGCAACGGCCTCCTTCTGGAGGTCAGCGCGGTAGTGGCGCTTGACGGTCGAGTTGATGACGTTCTTGTAGACCCTATCCCAAGCTGTCAACATTCACGATCCACCCATAACTTCCTCCAAATAGCAGAGCGCGCGCCGACAGCGGGACCTGTTCCGGAATTGCGGGGTACGTACTTGCGGGAGGAGGTGGAGGGGCCGAAGGTGGTGGTCTGGATGGCCGAGGCGGGCTTGTTGGCCTTGTTGGCCTTCTTGATGGTGAACTCGACACCGCCGTTCTTGGCGGGCTGGATACCGTAGGCCTTCAATCGCACAAGGTCGCGTTAGTCGGGATCGATCCTAAAGCCGTCGCTCATTGCCCGGAATTGGTAATACCTTGTCGTTGACGAAACCCTCGTACTACACGAAACACTAATCAGCCAGACTGTACGGGACGGTGCTTCGTGGTAAGAGCAATGCGGACCTTGCGGGAGTGCTTGTTGGTCAGGTTCATCGGGTCGCGGGAGAACTGGACACCACCGCCCTGCTTGCGCTTGAGGAGGAAAGCGCTGGTGTTGCGGGTGACCTCCCAGACGAGGTCGGCAGAGACGTTCTGAACCATTGTGGCGGATTTGGGGGGTTTGTTGGGGGTGGTGAAGTGTGTCGGGCGGCCGTCTCTCTTGTCGCTGTCCTGCACTCGTCTCGTGTGGTCGCCGTGTGTATTTCCAAAATTGCCCGTCGCGAAACTACCCCGCAAACGGCTTAGCTGCGGGAGAACAGAAACGCCGGCATCCGGTCTGGCCGGGGTGGCGCAGCCGGCGCTGACGACAGGTGATCGCCGGGGAACGTGTCCGGACGGCCCAAGCGCATTACCCTACCTTCAGCTACTGCACAGTAAATGAGCCAGCAGACCACCCTCATCAGCTCCATCCACGCCAGCACCATGCTGTAACAGCAGCCCCACAACTGCCGCCATATCCGCAGAACACCGCAGCACCAGCTATTCCGCACACGCGTCGCCGCTCCCTAATTCCGTTCCGTTCCGTTCTCTTTCGTCACCTAGTGTACTCCGCACGCAGCCGCGGTTCCGGGTCGTGTTAGGAATCCTGAGCTACCACCACCACCACCACCACCACCGCGAGCCCGCCTCGTCCACTCCACAGTCCATCTTCCCTCCAGAGAACCTCACGACACATCCCCCACCATGTTCGTGGACAACTATCTCGCCTACTCCATTGCCCTCTCCATCTTCGTAATCGCAACCGGTACGCCTCCTCATCCAACCTCCTGCCCAGACAAAGAGGCGCCAAGCCACACCAGCCCCAACATTCGAATCTCCACGCCAACCTTCTACAACGAACACAGCTGACCAATCCCAACCACAGCCCTCTACTTCACCCGCGCGCGCTGGAGCTCGCACCTGCCACACCTCCCCTTCAGCCGGTGGCTGTACTCGCGGCTCCCCGGCGGCCACGGCTCGTTCGAGGACGACATGGAGGCCGGCTTCAGCAGCGCGCACTTCGACCTCGCCGGCAACGTCGCCGGCGGCGACGCGCGCGCGGGGCTCGACGGCGCCGCCAAGGCCGAGGTGCGCCGCATCATGCGCGCCCGCGGCTGCGGCTTCGACGAGGCCCGCCGCGTCTACATGCAGGACCGCTTCTCCAAGAACAACATCGGCCCCGACGGCCTCCCGAGGGATCCCAAGTTCGTGTCCTTCTCGTGAGCTTTGGGGGAAGGGTGTACGTTTCATGCGGGGAGATGGAGCGATGGTGGGATTCGGTTGGGGATGTGAAGGCGAGACACCAACTATGGAAGAATTCAAGTCGGGGCGATCGAAAGCGATTTCGGTAGGGAAGGATAAAGGAGTTTGGAAAGTTGGGCTGGAAGCATTATCACCGGATTTGGATCACTTTTCCCTTTTTTTTTCTAGCAAGCGCGGGCGTTGGATTTGGAGGGGTTTGGCTTTCCTCATTTCTTTCCTCCTTTCATTTGTATTACCGACAGGAGTCTCCTCCGCATTTCTTTGTTTGCCCTCGTACTATCATTACCCCGGACTATTCCTGCCGGTTTTCCTTACTACTCCGCGGAAGCTCTCCCTTCCGTTGAAATACTCAATATCGCGGGCCCCATTTGGGCAGTAGAAGCTGTCAGCTTCTCACACGAAGTCACTGTCAATGGTGTGTCACTCAGCAGCAGCAGAAGCAGCAATTCGACTCTCGCCACCCATTCAGTATGTTCTTGGGAAGTGGATCGTTCGAATTGCTGCACACCTTACATTACTGACAAGCCCCATTTCGCAAAACAACATTTGGCTACTTACGTTCGTGCCCGTAGGCATTTGGAAATAACCCCTAAGACGCCGACCTTATTCCATCCTAGCAGGCTTGTCTGTGCCCACCAATAACTTTTGTTCTCATTCCCAGTGAATGCTGAGGGGTATTTCACACACCACCAACCATATGCTTTTACGACTTCAAATAAGAACTCAGAAAATGCATTCAGAAAAGCACGTAGCACGGCTGATGCTCTCAACGCCTGGGGTATCCCGGCTGCTGCGCGAAGCCCGGCGGCGGCATGCCAGGAGGCATTCCGGGAGGAGGAGGGCCCTGGCCAGGCGGCGGGAATCCAGGAGCGAAGTTCGGCGGAGGGGCGAAGCCCGGCGGCGGAGCAGCCGTGGGCGGAAACTGGCCGGGCGGAGGGGGGGCGGAGAAGCCGGGAGGAGCGTAGCCAGCGGGGCCGCCGTAGCCAGCCTGGGACGGCGGGGGGCGAGCGGGAAGGCCGGCGGGCGGCGGCGGCAGCGGATGGGACTGGACCGGAGTTGTGCGGCTCTGCTGGTGCGGCGGGGGTACGTTCTGGTAGTTGGGCGGCGGCGCGAAGCCAGCGGGAGCGGGAGGCGGCGTAGGGCCGGTACCGTTGAGCATGGCGGCGGGAGCGCTGGGAGCCGGGAGGGAAGGCTGCTGGAACAGCTGGGGGGGAAGGGGCTGCGTGGTCGGCTGGACACCGTGCTTGCGGGCCTCGGCCGCGAGAGCACGCTCAGCAGCATCACCGTGGCGCTCACCCTTGCCATCCTTCTTGTAGGCGTACTGGACGCTGATCTCCTTGTTCATGAGGTATTGGCCGTTCATGTTCGCAATGGCATCGTCGGACGACTCGAATGTAGCGAAGGAGACGAAGCCGTAACCCTTGGACAAGTTGTTCTCGTCGCGCGCGACCTGTGCGAGATCACGTTAGATCGGGTGAAAAGTAATGCGTGGACGAGTATGTGTACCTTTGGAGCCGAGACAAGACTGCCGAATCTCGAGAAGCAGTCGAACAAGACCTTCTCATCAACCATAGGGTCCAAGTTGCCGACGAAGAGCTCGGCGCCGACCTCGACGGTCTTCTGCTTGTCGGCGCTGGCCTTGTTGACACGGATAGGCTTACCGTAGAGGCGGATCTGGTTCATGATCTTGGCGGCATAGTCGGCCTCTTCCTCACTTTGGAACTCGACGAAGCCGTAGCCCTGGTGAGTCTGGGTAACGCGATCTTTCGGAAGGTGGACGTTTTGGATGCGGCCAGCCTGGAGCATGAGCTCCCAGACCAGCTTGTCAGACACACGCTCATCGAGGTTGCCGACGTAAACGGTGGCTTCCTTGTCCTGCTCCCTGCGAACATAATGGATCCTTAGTCTCATGGTGGCTTGGTTATGCCCAGAGCTGTTGAACGAGAACTTACCAATGACGGCTCGGGGCAGACATGATGGCGATGTGTAGATCACCGGAAGCTCAATGCAGCGGCACAGGTGCTGGGGGTCGGGAGCAGCTCCTGCAGTGGAGTGAAAGAAAGTGGTGGCTGCTGGCGCGAGGTTGCGATGATGTCGAGCTTCAAGAGCTTACATGGGGCGGCGGGCGGCGAGACGCGCGCGCGGCCCGGAAAACCTAAGCTTCGCGTTCAGCCGAGGCTTTGCCGGCGCATCGACTTTTCGGGCTCACGGTCCATGACGAAGCTCTGAGAGACTCTCCGACCAACATCGCCCGCTTCACACCATCTCGTCCACAACCCCATTCCCCCACCACCAGCCAAGATGTTCACTCTCTCCGAGGAGTCCAAGGTATGCATACACGCACAAATGTGCTCCATCTCGCGCCCACTGACCTTCTCGCAGGAGCGCATCTCTAAGCTCATTGACGTTTCCCGCGTCGCCATCCACTAGTACGCTGGTCTTGCCGTCCTTTTCGCTTGTTTCTGTTTCTGACAATCGCAAAGTGGATACCTTCCTTTGATCCTCTACTTTGGTATGGCCTGACCGAGAAGCCAAACATAACCGTTGCTGACATTGCCTCAGGCTGGTCGCAAAGCACACCCAAGCCCGCCATCATCAGGTCCGACCGAAGTGCCAACCTTACTTTCGAAGCGCACAATCTAACTCGAACAGGCTTTTCTCTCCCCTTGGTTAAAACCATTCACGATTCCTGGCGACCATCTACTTATTCCGACAAAACTGTACAATGTTATAAATCTTGCGGCACCGGGGACATTCGGCGAAAACGCGGCAAGGAATGTCAGAATTGCGCGGCTGGGAGCAGCTCCTCCCCCAAGGCGGGTAATCAAACCACGCAGATCATGTCCTGGAGCGTCGAAATACCCCAGAGCAATGATTTGATGATGTAATACTAGAAATAGAGACGGACCCTTTCTCCCTTCACTGTTACTACTCTTCGATTCATCATGTACTCACAGCTAGCATACCGCATTTGGATGTCCTATTCGATTCAGAGCATCTCGTCAAACCCGGAAGCCTCCAGCAACAACCACTACTTCTGCTGCTAATTCACCTGTCCAAACGCCATGCCATACCAAATCTATACATCCGGCAAGCGAACCATGGTCTGCTGTACCTCCTTCACTTTCTCCAAGAACAGTAGCTTCTCGACATCCGAAGCGAACTCTACCCTCGCTCCAGTAACCCACTTCTTGCCCTCAACCTTACCCGGCTCGCTCCCTCTCCTTCCGCCGGTCCCTGCCTGGATTTTGTCCAACGGAATGTTCAATCCCTTGATCTTGATCTCTTTCCTTCCTTCATCCTTGACGCGGACCGGACAAGTGCTGGAGTTGAGATCAAAGGCAAGATATCTTGGCCGGAATTGGGCGCTAAAATGGATCATAGCGAGATTCTCGCCGCTGTCAGGATCAGCCCAGAGTCTAGATTCTCCATCCCGCACATCTGCTCCTGGTAGGCTAAAACTCCGGAAAGGCCTTCGTGAATCCCCAGCGTCTTCTCAAACTTGAACACGCCCACCAGAAATTGGCCCATGAGCTCGTTTTGGAAGAGGGTTCCGCCTGGTGCTCTGTTATCAGCAAAGACTCCTTCTCAGACGGTGGAATTTCTTGAGATTGTGGTAAACGCGGCTCACCTTTGACGTCTTCGAAGACATAGTTAACCTAGGTCGTCTTCTCTACTTTGATGGGCTTCGCGCCATAAGCCCTATCATGAAACTTCAGCTCCGCAACAACCCGCCATCTTGGACTTGAGAACTGCGACCATGTGCAAAGCACTCGCCATGACAACTGTGTCTTGTATCAGCATCTGGACCCACAAAGACAACTGTTGCCTCCAGAAGAAGGCTTTTTCGGTCAGTGACGCGCACAGACGCAAATAATAGGAGAATGCGGTAGAAAACCTCTGCCAGCAAAGTAGCTAATTCGTCTACCTCATCTGCCTCAAATCTCTACTTGTCCGCTGATGCCATGTGCCGTAAAAGAAATGTCCTCCGTGGGTATAAAAAGAGCATGCAGCAAGAATCCACCCAATGCTCAACCATATACCTGCAGGCTTTTGGGGGGATGTATGATCGTTTTGTGAAGGTGAAAAGTGCACGTCGGTGCGATATGAGAGCCAGGTCCGAATTTTGGAGGTAAAGAAAAAGAGTTCCTATGCGAGGAACCAGCTCTTCAGAATTCAAACACGAAAGTAAGAAACCGAAGTGAGATGGCTCTTCAATTCTGAAGTCCATCAAGAATCAAGCAAGTGTAGCCGTTCAAATCACTTTCTGTGGTCTGCATGTTTTGAGCAGAGAATGACCTCTCTTGCTCAAGTTCCGCGGAAGAGGAACTGCATGTCCTCTGGGGTGAGTTTCTCAATAGCAACCTGTGAGGCTTGTCAGCATTGGGGGAATTCTCAAAAGAACCAGTTCGATGCTTACCTGATCGTTGTTGACGGTTCCGTTGATCAAGGCCGCCTTCTTTTCCTGAAGCATGACGATACGAGATTCCACGGAGTCCTCAATGACCAAGCGAGTAATAACACAGGGGCGCTTCTGTCCAATGCGGTGACAACGGTCGGCACTCTGCCACTCTGCGGCGGGATTCCACCAAGGATCGACGATGAAGACACGGGAAGCTTCTGTCAAGTTCAATGCAACTCCGCCAGCCTTCAGAGACACCAAGAAGACCTCGACATCGGCATTCTTCATGAAGTACTCGATGGATCTCTGGCGCTGGACGGGGCTCATGCTTCCGTCAAGCATGACAGTGTTGAAGCCAGCACGGCGGAGACGCCACTCGATGAGTTGCAGCATAGACGTGAATTGTGAGAAGACAATCGACTTGAGAGTCTGCTTCTTGCTGCGAAGTTTGTAGAGATCATAAATGAGCATCTCAATCTTCGTCGAAGACGTCCACTCGTCCATCTTGATTCGGTTGATGATGGAGTTTTTCTTGACAAGGTCTTCATCCTGCTCGATATCCGGTTGCTCCCAATCGATAGAAAGGGGAATGTGGCAGCGAGGACAATCCGCATCCGCACCAGAAGCCTCGCACGTTTGGACGTAGCTCTTGACGCAAGCCCTGCAAAACTCGTGGTGGCAGCGGGACCTGATGGCCTCTTCAGCCGGCTCATCACAAATGTTGCAGACCAGAACATTCTGACCGCCGTCGTTCTTCTTTTTCAGAATCAAATCGGGGTGGTCAGCAACCTGGCGCATCTGCATGATGAGACCGAAGATGTTGGCGTAATTGTTGAGCATAACACCACGCGAGACGTACGTGTCGAACTGACGGTGGGTGTTGCTCATAATGCTAGATGAGAAGTCGCGCTCCACTTCGCCAAAGAACTCGTTGTGAATCTTGATCTCCTTGGGAGGAAGTTCCATCGAGCTTGTGTAGTCGCGCTTCAAGCGTCGGAGCATGATACGCGCGGTGATCATGTGAAGCTTGTCCAGAGCGTCCTTCCGCTTGACCGGGTCATCGCCGGTGATGGGGTTGAGTAACTCCTGATTGAAGACCGACAGATGCTGCGCACCAGCATGACGGCATTTAGAACATTTGAAGTCCTTATCGAGGGTCCAATGCAACTGGGCACAGCTGCACTGCTTGCAGAAGTAATCCGCAAACGGGCGGACTTCCAGAAATCGGAGCAGTGAGAAAAACTCGCCAATGCGGTTCTGGACTGGGGTTCCAGACAAACACCATTTGTACTTGCCCTTGAGAGCAAAGCATGCCTTGGCAATGCCCGTCGTCCTTTGCTTGATGCTATGAGCCTCGTCAAGAATCAGGCGATGGTACTCAATAGCATGGATTGGTGATGCTTCTTTCACAATCTCGTCGGCGCGGGTCCAGCCCTTGACCTGCTTTCGGTGCAGAGACTCAAGGCTGTTATACGAGATCATAATGACGTCGTACTTCTTCAGGTCCTTTACTTCCAGCTTCTTAGACATTGCGTTCGAACCGTGGTAAACCAAAACCTTGAGTTTTCCATCAGTGTAGTCGCTGATTTCGTTCGACCATTGCATCAAAGCCACCGGTGGGACAAGAACCAACGTAGGAGCCTTGGCAGGATAGTCCGACATGATCAGCGAGACAGCTTGAATGGTTTTACCCATGCCCATCTCATCACCGAGCAAGCCACCCTTGTATTGAGTCTTCTCCTGCTTGATCATCCAGTCAAGACCTTCAAGCTGGAAAGACTTTAGCTTCCGACTGATTGAGGCTGGCTGCTGCACAGGAGTTGGCTTTATGATGGGAATTCTCTGAATGTCCTTCCACATAGTCTTGAGCTCTGGATGCGACCGCTCAAAGTTATCACGGTGACGCTTCTTCCTGCGCTCCCGGGGGTCTTGAATGAGGATGTACCGTGTCTGAAGACGGGCCCTCTCCTCTTCGGTGAGCTGAGGGACGTTGAAGCGAGCTGTATCAGTAGTGGAAGTCTGCAGTGCCGAGGAAGACATGTTGATAAGTGGTATGTCCTGAGACTCGGTGTCGTCCTCAGAGTCGTCTTCGGCGTCCGAGTCCACGAAGTCATCACCAGTGTCTTCACTCGGTAGGCCCACATCGTCACTCTCGGAGTCAATAATCATCTTGCCGCGGCTTGGGCGCGCTGCCCGAGTGCGTGTGGGAAGCTTCGTGGTCTTGCGAGGTTGAGCTTTGTCCTTGCCCTTAGAGCCTGCCGCGAGTGGCAGGACGTCAACGTCTGAAAGGTCTGAAGGTGCAGAGGATAGCTCTTCATCGTCGGTATCCTTGACTGCCGGCTTTGTCGGCTTGAAAGGGTTCCATGATTGATCGTCCTCTCCGTCGTCTTCACTGTCGTTGACCTCTCGCCTCGGCTTCTTGAAGCTGCCGCCACCATACTCTTCCTCCTGCAAGGTACGAGCGAGTTCTTCGTCATTGGCGGTACCTCCGTTTCCAGCCTTTGCCTGTGAAAGCCTCGTGCTTCTTGTTCGCTTCGCTCTGGTCGAGGGCGCAGGTGTGTTGGAATAGCTCGTAGCCGGGGTCTCGACCTCGGCAGAATGGTCGCGACTTGTCGAGTCAATCGACGACTCGGTGGAGGTAGCTTTCTTTGCCGAGGATCGCGCTGCCCGGGGCGCAGACATGATGGCGACCGCCTTCAAGGTGCCGACCTTGGGCGTGACAGTGTTGAGTTCGTCTGCACTGTCGGAGCTGTTCGGAACGACAGTGCGGGACCTCAAAGACCGGGCGCGAGTGTTGACAGGCACTGAAGAATCGGCTGCGGGTGAAGCGGTCGAAGAAGCTGCGCAGGGTCAGCAGAGGTCGCGCTGTAAAACCGGGCAGGCTGGTGTTGGGCGTTACGACGCAGCATCTGCCGCACGTAGAGAATCGGATGCGCTCCTCACTTACCAGACTGGGCTGACGCCCTGGGTCTACCTCGTGCCATGGCGGGAGTGAAACAGAAGACTAACACAGGCGACTGAATGAGCGATCGAACCCAAGCAAACGGCGAGCAGGCGGTGAGAGCGAGCGCAAGAAAGAGAGGCGGCAGCGGAGCGGATGTCTTACATTAAGTTAGCGGCTGTTAGCAGCTTCTGCGGTTTGCCACAAGGGAAATTGATGGCACCGGGTCGGGTCGGAACTCGACCAGTCGACGGATCAAAGAGAGAAAGAAAGAAAACGCCGGGACTCGTGGCGACCTCTGGGAGTCGGGGATCCTGCTCGATCAATGAAGTGGAGTCGACGACTGGTGCATCGGCCGCACGTCCCTTGCCGTGGTGCTTATCGCCACGGTCGGTCGCGTCGGTTCTCCGGATACGCGCGCCATCACGTGCTTGATCAATGGGCAATTTGCGTTGCAGCTGCGACGCTCCAATTGGTCTGAGCTCAAGAGCATCTGGAACAAGCTGAATGCCCGCTCCAAAGCGCCCTTTGACTGACATATGAGCTTGTGTTTTGTCTTCCTGCTGCGTGCTGCGCTGGACATCTTTCCGGGATCACGCGCGTCACACGTACTGTAGAGGCAGCGCATGGTCAATCTAACGTTCATGCGCGTTTGTAGCTCGACTGCCTATTCAGACATCCAAACGCACCTGGTCGGCCTTAGGTTGGACAGCCTGGAGCTATCAAGGTCCTCGCACCGCATACTGTTTTTGAATGCAGCCACCAATTGGCCGTGATTTCCGTCGTACCGCAGCGATGAAACACAAGCAAACCGTCCACAAACTCAAGCCATCTTTCAACAGAGCTGGTCATCTATACATATCACTCCGTTCAACTGATCTTTGTTGGGGTTCATCAAGTATTCGTACACGCCCGCGCATGGCCCTGTGCTGATCTGATGCTTTGCCGCCGCTGATTGAAAGGCTAGAATACAATCGAACGCGCTGTCCGCTCAGTTCCTGAACTTGCCGTAGAACGGAATACCAACGGCGTTGACCAGCATTCTTGCCTCCATATCGGTGTTTGCCGACGTCTTCACAATGATATGGCAACCCGGTATCATCTTGGGCGGGTACCTGCTCGAGATTAGCGGGCAAAGCTCGCACACAAGCCCGGTCGAACTCACATGTCGTAATTGACCTCAACCTCCGGGTACAAGGCCACAGCATCGGGGGGCAAACCAAACCCGATGTTGCCGCTGCTGTCTCCCGAAGTGCCCTTGGCTCCCTTCCATTCCTTGATCCTCGGCAGCACCAGGTCGATTGTCTTCCCCAGGAAATCGTACATGGCCTCACCCGTGAGCTCGGCCTTGACGGCGATAAATCTGCCTTCACGCAACCCCCATTGCGACACGCTCTGCCTGGACTTGTGAGCAGTGGTGCGAATGCCTGTTATGGCCTGGATAACCATGCCAGCAACGTGAAGGTGTGCTGAGTCTTCTGACGCTTTCTTCACCATGCTGTGGACCGTGATGCTCTCCAGCTTGGGAACGTTGTTGAACGTGATAGGCTTCCGCAGGAGACGGAGTGTGTCTCCACCGCGAGGGCCTCTCAGAGGGCGGTTCTTGAAGTATGGTGAATCGCCAACCCACTCTCGTAATCTCTGTGACTTTGGCGGTGCACGATAGCCTGGGGGGTGATGGTGGTACGCCAAGGTCATCAGGTCGGATTGGATTGTGCTTTCGTAGGTTTGCTCCAGGCGCGGCGATGTGAACGGTCCGGGGATGAACAGGCGAGAGGACGGATCGGCCTTGGGCGGAGGTTGGTGTGGATGCAGAGGGCCACGGTAGTACTTGGGGGATCGGAACTGGTATCTGCCACAGATCTGTCAGTAGATGGCTGCGGTAAACGTGCGCTGCCGGCGACGGAATATGCCACAGCGGCACCAATTGCAGTGTCGCGCACCTGCTGGATGGCAAGGGCCTTGCTCTCTGCTTCTGCCGCCCTATCGGATCCCATGTCTTGATGATTTCTCCTTCCGGGGGCGGCGCGGCGAACGACGAGGCGTCCTCCAGGTCATCGCTGGGGTCCGTGGCCGGCGACGAGGAGGCATTGCGGCGGCCAAGGGGCGCGGCGGCGCTCAAGCAGGGGCGCGCATCGGTGCGGAGGGCGCAGCTCAGGCGCGCGCCGAGCTCGCGGAGGGCCATTGTGGGGAGGAGGCTGGCGTGATGTTCAGCGAGGTCGTCGGCTTGATGCGCAGATCCAGAAAATCGGCGACTGCTGCGCACGGACAAAGCGCTTGATCCCCGGCGGGCCCCAGCTGAGGCCGTTAAGAACCATGACCATTGCAACAAACAGCACCTGCTCACATCGCAAGGGAGCTCGAGCTCTCCTGTCCGCTCCGACGCTGCGCCCCGCCGCATCCGACCTCTCGCACTCGCTTCGCCTTGCGCCGCAAACGAATCCTCCGCGCAAACAGCGCCAACGTCGCCGCCTGCCTACCCCACACTGTCTGAGCCCAGCCCAAGCCCACCAGCCCTCCCGGCCACCTTGCTTCATGGATGTCTGCGAAGTACGGCGGCGAGATCATGGAGGGGATGTCGCGATTCTTAAGCAGGCGCGGCAAGCGCTCCGCCGGTGAGAAGCGCAAGAGCAACAACAGCATCGAGGAGGTCAGTGAAGTGTCGCCATCAGCCGGACCGCGGGGTCATCGCCGCATGTTGCGCGGGGTCTCCACCTTCATCTTCACGGCCGCCACGCCTGAAAATGTCAGGAGCGCTTTGTGCGGCCGATGCTCTGCCTCGCCGGTCGACTGCCTGCTCCCAGGCCCTGCCTGCTAGACCTGACCTGCTAACACCACCACCAGCCTCCCCCACCAATCCCATCCGACCTGTACAACATTTTCTACACCGACGACAATAAGAGGCAAGACAGCGAAGAGGAGAAGAAAAAGGTGCGCGGAATCATGCTGGGTCCTCACGGCGGCTGCTGACGCACATGCAGGTCAAGGCGGTTGCGCAGCGCCTCACCGCCTACGGAATCAATACCCTCAAAGACCCCCAAATCACGTATGCGCTGCGATCCAGGATCACGAATGGCGACGTCAAGGAATCGACGGAGCTGCTGGTTCTCTTCGAGGATTCGGTGGACGGCATTTTGCGCGAATACAGCCCAAAGACGAAATTGCTTGGCGCCGAGAATAGGTGTTCGGTCACCTGCTATCTGGATTCGTTGCTCTTCGCTATGTTTGCAAGACTGGATTCCTTCGAGGCCATGCTGTTCGACTCCTTTGCCGACACTCCCCGAAGACGACTAGCAACTATCTTGCGGCTCTGGGTGAACCTCTTACGCGCCGGCAAGCTCATCACTGTTGACATCGTACGTAGAGTTCTATGCGCTCTTACCTTTCTGAACCAGGACTGATATTCTTCCGTATAGACGAAACATCTACAGGAAGCCCTGGCCCAGTGCGGCTGGGAGGATGCCGCGCACTTGAACCAGCAAGATGCGTCAGAAGCATTTACATTCATCACTGGTCAGCTGGAACTACCTTTGCTCACATTGAAGATGGACATCTATCACACGGGAAAAGAGGATGTTGCCGATGACCACAGATTTGTCAACGAGAGGTTGTTGGAGGTTGCTATACCGGAGGATAACCCGCACAGCGACGAACCAATAAAGCTCGAAGAATGTCTGGAGATCTACTTCAACAACCGTATTGAAGTCAGGCGCCATCTAGAACGGAGAGGCACCCTTCAGTCAGTCAGGGAGAATGAGGAGCCGATTCCGAGCGCCCCAGAAAAATCCAATGCGGTACATGTCGAATCGATTGACGTGACATCCGGACCGGAGTCGCCAGCCGCACCGACCTACAGTAGTGCCTCCAGTAGCCCCATATCGTCGGAGAGACCTGTTAACACTCGACACCGAACAGACAGTATTTTCAGCGAACGGCACTGCGGAGCTGGGGAATCATCCGAGAAGGCGCCCTCGACCGGGCCTGGACGTACCCGCTCAAGTTCCTTCGCCAAAAAGGAGATTACAATGCCTGCCTGGCAATTCTTTAGCTTGATTCGTGAGTGGTTAACTGTTAGACGGTCAGTTCAACAGAGCTAATCTCTTCACAGCCTGGTACACGGACAATGCGCCAGCCAACGATGCCCAAGTCGCTGCTCACTTTGCAGCGAAGCGCCCAATCTTGGGTATATGCTTAAAAAGATACTCGATGTTGCCCAACGGCCTCCCGGTACGACGTGGCACATTCATTGACATCCCATTGGAAATTGCGCTGCCCCATTTTATATCGGATGACCGAATGCAGGAAGAAGGGCCTTTATTCGGAAACTTTCAGCTTGTCCTGCAATCCGTGGTATGCCATCGCGGGGCGTCCGTGGATTCTGGGCACTACATTTCGCTTGTTCGCGGTCAGACTTCAAGAGCAGTCGGCTCGAGGGACGGACCGGAAAACTATCGACCTGACAATGATGATGAGCACACGCCCTGGATGCGATTTGATGACCTGGCGAAGGAACGTGTGACCCACGTTGACATCCAACAAGCCTTGAAGGAAGAGACACCATACCTCCTCTTCTACCAAGTCTGCCCCATCGACGAGGAACTGGCACGAGGAGATCCCCCTACCTACGAAGAGGCAAACTCAGAAGCTGCAGGTGGAGATGACAACATCCTAGCTGAGAAAGGTGAGCTTGCCATCGACACCTCCGACTGGGAGCCGAGCCGCCCGAGCCTCGAGCTCACGGAGAACCACATCCTGTCACCCAGCCAAGAAGTCCCCGGCTCCAACGACTCCGCTCGGGGACGTTCGAGCTTCAACAGCACGCGCCGCAACAGCATAGCCTTTGACGAAAGCAGCCTCGCATCGCGCAACGCCACCGGGCCGTCCACGCCAGCCGACGAGACACGCACGAGCTTCCTCTCCTCGCGCCGCGGTTCCAAGGCGGCGAAGAAGAACGGCGGCGGCAGCAAGAGCCGCCCCACCAGCCAGAGCGGCGAGGGCCGCCTCAGCATCACCATGTCCCGCCTCACGGGCCGCAAGAGCCGGGACCGCCTCGGCGAGAGCACCAACACGCTTCCGCTCCGCAGCGGCGACACCAAAGAAAAGGACGACACCAGCGGCGGCGATGACAGCAACGTCGAGGGCGACCCGAGCAACCCGCTCGTCCTCGTCGAAGCGCCGACAAATAACATCCATGCTCCGCAGAAGAGCTCAACGTCGATGGGCTTTGGCCGCACGAAGAAGGAGAAGAAGGCACGCAGGAGCAGCAGCGTGCCGCTGGCGGACGAGCTGGCCAAGGCGGAAGGTAGTGGGAAAGGGAAGGCGAAGAGAAAACCCCCGGATCGGGAGTGTGTCATCATGTGAGAGAACGGCGGACACTCGACACCACCCTTCTTGGTTCTCTCGCGCTCCTCTCCTTCCCGGCGCTGGCGTCTCTACCTTTTTTTTTGCATTTGCATATTTGGTTCCTTTGGCATCATTTGCGCGCTGAGAATAGCGTACTGCATGAAGCGAGCATTGCAATACACACCATCGCATCAGACCATGCTTTGCGTGCGGCATTTGAGCGCTTTTTCTTCATCATCTCCCCAGTCTTTCCACTTTTTCTGTTCCTTGTAGATAATACGTTTTAATTCCCTTCATCTCATGCTCCTTGCTCTTGATTTTCTTTTTCCTGATTTGGCACAAACCATTGATTCTTTACAGACACCATGGGGATACACAACGGGAAAGGACGGTGGGTACATATGGATGTAAAGACCGGGATGAGACGAATGATATCCAGTTGTTTAGGGGTTGGTCTGTACCGAGGGTGCATCGTGTTGGTAGATGGTAGATGAGTAAGGGCAACTTCTGGTACTTTGCGTTCGCATCAAGCTTAGGCAGTGAAACCTGGCGCATACACTCACGTGGATCAGGCGCGTTGGTTCCGATGCAAAAGTCAATCAGAGCACTACGCGACTTCGTTCAAAGGTGAAATTCAACTGCGCAAGGAGGTCACGATGGACGGATTTGAGAATCAGAATCTCAGATTATTTGGCCTCTGTGTACCTAAGCAACCCACCGTTGAGAAACTGCGGGTCTAAACTTTCCATCCGTCTGAAAAGGAAATCACTAGTGTGTCTTGCCTATTGTGCAGACCACCTTCTAACCCGAAGTCAAACGGCGTGAAAGAGAAAGCCGATTGCTGCAAGTCGTACGAACGACAAAGTGTGGGTGCTGTCCAGTCCTTGTCGTCCATGCCCTCACTCCTCACCAACCGAGGTTGGGGCAACCGCAGGTGCAGGAGCACTTGCCAGACTTCTTCTTGCCCTTGTTAGGACCAGCGAGTTCGTAGGCGCCGTCCCAAGCAAGGCAGCGGGAGTCGTTGCAGTCATCCGAGTTGCGGAAGAGGGTCTTGCACCAGGCAACACAACCCTTCTTTCCCTCGCCCTGCAATGATCGGGGTTTGTCAGTGCTGCTTATGGAGAAATTGAGGGAACAAGTGGAATCAAGTGAGTCGAGGTGAGTGGAGCTTTGGTGGAAGGGGGGAATCTGCATAAGGCTCACATCTTCCTGGGTGCCGGTCTCCCAGTCACAGGTGGACGGCACGATGCCGGCAATGTCGTTGCGCTTGATGTGGCTGGTGCGGCGGGAAATGTCGCTGTCGCTGTCATCGAAGATGGCGTCATAGACCTTATCGCAGAAATCGGCCTTGACAGTGACGGCGAGGAAGCAGGCCTGAATGACCAAGAAAGCAAGAATGACCTTGAAGGAGAACATCTTGTCGGGGTCGAAGAAGTGGAGAAGATTCTTCCTGGAATCAGAGTGCTTTGATTGAGTGGATGATCTGAGCCGGTGCGTCGAAGAAGTGACGAAGAGGTGAGGTCGGGTAGAAAGAAGCTCTGGTGGAGGATTTGAGGAGGAAGGGAGTGGTATATAGCCCTAGGGCAGCCGTGGCAGGTGCGCCTGCCTGCTCGGCTAAGCTTAGTGGGTTGTGCCTTCCATTTTCGATTAACCTTCCCTGCGTGTGATGCATAGGTTGCGATGAAGTTGCCTTTTGTGGCGGTCACTGGGTCGCCCGCACCGGCCCTACGTCCAGACACGGTTCTTCACCACTGTGGAAATGCTGTGATGCTCAGCATCAACCCGAGCGTTGCGGAACAACTCAAACTTCAAAAAAGGGCAGTTTGCGTCACATTGATGGCCTTGCAGTAGACGCGTACCCTTGCGTAGCCGAGAAAGACGCCTGAAATAGAAGCGCGAGACAAAGCTTCGCAGCTCGTTGATTGAGTCTTCTACGGCCGTATATGGAGGAATACCTACAGTCTTAAGGCCGATCTAGTGCAACGACTACATACCCACCCAGGCCAGGATGACCGCGGGGCACCGAGGACTCATGAAATATGCACAACGTGGTAGTTGTAGTTATACGTCTTGTTCTCGTCTGCCTCACCAGTGACGGTTACGGGGCCATCTCCGGCGCCCATTGGAAGGTGACCATCCTTGATGAGCTCGACCCGCTGCGGACCTGCCTTCATCCCCTTCACGCTGTGGGCATTCAGCCCTGGCTGTCCCGCAATCGACGCAAGAAGCTCACCTCCGCTCCAGACGTTAATACCAACACCGTGCGTGTCTGCCGGCAGTAAAATGGCGAAGTTGACGGCATCCTCGGCATTCTCGCAGCCAGAAGGTCGGCCCATGCGGTCGCCGGGGCAATTCGTGCCAGCTAGGCGATCGCGGTACCAAAAAGCACCAGCAAACTCGCCGAACGGCACAATCTGAGACGGATGTGTGGCACCTGCCTTCCAAGCGGCTACGAAGGGCGCAATGACGTGGAGCCAAGCCTTGTGGTCGTAGCCGTCAGTATAGAGGCCAATCTCCGGGCAGCTGGCGATTCCCTCTTGCCACACGTTACCAACATAGTGGCTTTCACCGGCATCGTTCCACGAGATGACCTGAACGAAATCGGGAGACAGGGCAAGCACTTGGGCCATGCGGTGGGCGAGATTCAGCTCGCCGCGGCGATACCAATTGCCGCTGCCATCAATGCGCTTGAACTGGAGCGAAGACATGGGCATCATGTACACTTTGCCGGCATTATGGGCACACTGTATGCCCACCTCATCAACAGCGGAGCTCACGTCGCTGATGCCGTCGTCCTTGAAAGGCCAGGCCGTTTCCCAGCTGAACACACCATCAACGACGGGATAGCGGTTGAAGAAGTTGTCATCATAAGCTGCGCCACCATGATCGTCGAAGTCCGGCACGAAGAAGGGGATGATTCCATAGCGGTCTTGAAGCTGGGCGCGGAACTTCAAGGTCCAGCCGTCGTTGGGGTGCGGAAGGTCAAAGTCCTTGCGGCCCCCCTGGAAGGTGCTGACGAAAGGCAAGCCTTGGTAGCGATAGTAAGCCGGATGGGCCTGATAGTGGACGAAAAGCGGGAGGAAATCAACGGGGTCGGCGAGAACATCCATATCGAAGGAGAAGAAGAGCTTGAAACCGGCGGCCTCGGCGGCGGCAAAGACCCAGGAAAGAGCGTTCAAGGACCAGTCGTCCTTCACGTTCTGGACGTTGAGAACAAAGGCATCGAATCCAACGGACATGGCCTCCCTGACATCGGTGTGGGCTTGATCGATGCTGCCCATGCTTCCAACCTGCGTTTCTGGTCAGCAAGCTGGGTGCAGGACAAAGGTAGAGCCAGCTGGGTACCATGTAATGGCAGAAGATGCCTTTCCGGCGACGGTGGCAGTCATGGTGGCAGTGATCAAACTGCGGCCGCTTGTCATGGAATTGCTGCTGATGACTGGGATGGGAATCGAAGGGCGGAGGTGGAGGCTGTTGCGGGGAAGCTTGGTCGCGCAGACCGGCGTCAGCCAGCAGGTCCTTGACCTCGCGCTTGCTCTTCTTCCAGAAATCCCCGATGCGATCCATTGTCGGCGGGCTCCATGGCGAAGGGCGGTGACGGATTATTTATCGATGGCGAGAGGTCGTGTTTAAGACGCTCGCGCTTCCGACGATCCGACTGGGCGCTGGGCGCGGGGGCAGCGGCGCCAGGCAGCGGAGCCAGGCAGCGGAGCCAGGCAGCGGGCCCCTGCAACGCCCCTGCACCGCCCCTGCACCTGCAGCCGAGCCGCTGACTTCGCGCCGCCGACGCGCTCCGAACACCTCTCTCAACTCGCCGCCCGTCGCCAATGCTTCCCCACGCATTCCCGATCCAGCCTGCCCGCATGGATTGATCGCGCATCCCACTGCTGCCGCTCCCACAATGTCCGCCCCCACTGCGCTGCAGCGGGCCCTCCTCACGGCCGCCAATGTCCTGATCCCCGTTGCTGTGCTAACCTTCGCCGTCGGCTTCTTCCCCTACAAGCCCTTTCTCCCCGGTCTTGCTGAATATGGCCCTTCGGTCTACGGCTCTCCGCCCGACGCCCCCTTCGATAAAGTTGTCTTCATGGTTGTGGATGCGCTCAGAAGGTGCGCGCATTGAAGCTCAGTCTCGGGGACCCTTTGCTGAATCGCGCAGTGATTTCGTCTTCTCCAATGCCTCTGGCTTTGCATTTACCCAAAGGTACGCCGACTGCTACACCCGACCGGCATCTCCGCTGACAACTCTGCAGCTTGATCTCCTCTGGCGCCGCTCTGCCCTTCACTGCCCATGCCACGTCCCCCACTATCACCATGCCCCGTGTAAAGGCAATCACCACTGGCTCCATCCCCTCCTTCCTAGACGTGATTCTCAACTTCGCCGAGTCCGATACCACATCTACTCTGGCGTCCCAAGACACATGGCTGGCCCAATTGAAGGCCAAGAAAGGAGGGAAACTCGTCATGTACGGGGACGACACCTGGCTGAAGCTGTTCCCGGAGACCTTCGAACGTGCCGATGGTACTTCGAGCTTCTTTGTTTCGGTTAGTTGGCGCCGCCAATCCATGTACATAAATACCAATGGAGCTGAGACTTGTAAACTGGCAGGATTTCACCGAAGTGGACAACAACGTGACGAGACATGTCCCCGGTGAGCTTCGCAACAGTGACTGGAATGCCATGATCATGCACTATCTTGGTCTTGACCACATCGGCCACAAGGCTGGGCCTTCGAGGTACATCTTTGCCTACCCTCTCCTCTTCAATGCGCAACTAACTTGCTCCCCCAGCCCGAACATGGTTCCGAAGCAGATCGAGATGGACGGAATCGTAGAACAAATCTACGACGCCATGGAGACTCAACCCCACCTTCAGTCAACCCTTTTGGTTCTGTGCGGTGACCATGGCATGAACGACGGCGGCAATCACGGCGGGTCGGCTCCGGGAGAAACATCTCCTGCTCTCGTCTTCATGTCTCCCAAGCTAAAAGAGATCTCGAAAGGCCTACCTTGCCCGGTAGCTCCGTCCCGTGACTTCGACTATTATGAGAAGATCGAACAGTCCGACATTGCCCCAACGCTTGCCGGCCTGCTTGGATTCCCTGTGCCGTTGAACAACCTGGGAGTTTTCATCCCTCACTTCCTACAAATGTGGCCAAGGGGTAAGTCTGAAGCTCGTGCCGACCAGAGATCATTGGATAGCAACTTACTCACAGTTGCATAGGAGATGACCAAGCCCAACTTCTCTTGAGAAACGCGTATCAGATTTTGCAAATCGCTGAAGCCACGTTCCCCAATTCTCCGTTCCAGGATCTGTCGTTTCTTGCCAAGTGCGACTTCGCCAGTTCAGCTGGCGACGAACTAGCCTGCAAATGGCTCAAAGTGAAAGATAGCCTCGAGAATGGCGTCAACAAGCCTCCGAAGGCCGAGCTCATTATTGATCAAACACTTGAGGTAAGTAACAATCAGAAATTTGGGAACTCGTCTAACGTTGTTCTAGTTCTGTCAAGCTGCTCAAGAGGTGCTGAGTAGCACTGCCAGCAACTACAATGTCACTCTCCTCATCATCGGTGCTGTCTTGGCCACGATCAGCATGGCTTTTGCTATCACGGTCATCTCCTCAAGTCTCTTCCCGACATCAGCCGCCGGCGTCTACTTTGCCTTGTTGACCGCCTTGTACGGAATCATGATGTTTGCGAGCAGCTACGTGGAAGAAGAGCAACACTTCTGGTATTGGGCGACGTCAGCGTGGTTTGCTCTCTTGTTCGTTCTCAAGTCGCGCAAGACCAACGTCCCCCGTAACGTTCTCCCGGTTGCAGCCTTGTTGCTGTGCCATCGGATTGCTCGTCGCTGGAACCAGACAGGTCAAAAGTACGCTGGTGCTCCTGATATTGTGCACAGCGTAATCATGACACACCCTGTTGTACTGTGGTCGCTGGTCAGCATAACATACATCCATCTCACGATGCGGATCAAGACGCACCTCACCCGCCGCTTCCCGAGGACTAGCCAGGGCAAGCAGCTTCAGACCTTCGCAGTCGGCAATGCATTCCTGTTATGTGCTGTGGCTTTCTTGTTCAAGCTCAGCTTCACCGCCCGAGACGCGCCGGAGCTTGTGCGCGGCGCCAGCCCGGGCGCGATGGCATTCTTGGAAAGCTTGAACCTCGTCAAGTTGGTCCGGTGCATCTTCATCGGTTCCACCGTCGGCGTCGGATGGGTAGTCTTGCGAGAAAACGCAGAAGGCAAGGGGAAGTCTGGCGGTAAGTCCACAATCGCACACTGCACACAGCGCCCTACCACACCGCTCCAACACTAACACCACGACAAGGCCTGATTGTAGACGCGCTGCACGACTTCCTCGCCCTCATACTCCTCACCCAAACGCGCGCCTCCAACATCCCGCTCTTCCTCCTGTTCCGGCTGCAACAGCACTACCTCGCAGAGCTCAACCCCAGCCCGACGGAGCACACGCTCACAGGCCTGCTCCTCGCCCACACATCCTTCTTCGCGCTCGGCAACTCCAACGCCATCTCCAGCATCGACCTGTCCAACGCCTACAACGGCGTCTCGGGCTACAACATCGTCGGCGTCGGCGTCCTGCTCTTCGTCGCAAACTGGGCGGGGCCCATCTACTGGACGTCGGCCTCGGTCCTGGGCCTCCTCGACGCCGCGCGCTGGAGCCGCGGCAGCAAGGCGCTGCGCCGCGTCATGCGGGAGAAGGAGAGGGAGAAGTGGAAGGAGGTGCAGCGCCGCGACGACGCGGCGGCGGCCGGGGGCAAGGTTGTCGCCGCCGTCTCCGAGCCCGGTCACCTCCCGCGGCTGAAGAGCGCCGTCGAGGGCGTCGGCGCGGTCGAGGAGGTCGAGGGCATGTGGTTCAGGCATTTTGCTCGCTTGACGGTCTGGGTCGCGGCCGGGGTCGTGGCCGTCATGGTGGCGTGCGCGGTGTTGAGGACGCATCTGTTTATCTGGACGGTGTTTAGTCCGAAGTACTTGTATGCGATGGCTTGGGCGGTGGGGTTCCATTTGGTGGTTAGTGGGGCGTTTGGGTGGACGGTTTGGCGGGTCGGTATCTGAGTGTGTGCTGGAGGTGATGAGGAAGAGGTCGCATGGCACCGAGAGAAAATTGATTGGACGCGGCGTTCGTGTAAATGGCGGATGGTACTTCTCGATGAGGGGAAGTTGTCGCTTTCTGCGAGTTATGAGGTGAGTTGGAAGGAAGTGTTTTTGGAATCTTTCTGCGAAAAGGGCAGTCACGCCCCGAAGGCACCGCAAGACTGACGCGGCTTAGGTAGCCACGGCATGGTCATCCAAGCATCGTCGGCCCGGGCAACGTCCCCGATCGGGCCAATGTTTGGGACTGGATACCTATCCCCGTCGACTGCGAGTACGCCAAAACTTGTTACCAATACAAGCAACTCGGCGATCACATTGCTCCTGCTCCTCAAGATTGTTCGCGTTCTCGCTGCGAGTTCATGCCAGGATATGGTTGGCACAACGGCATCGGCAGCTGCAACTGCGTTTGTTTCTGAAGAGTGCAGGGCATCACTACGAGAAGCTCTGGTGGGCATGACCGCCCCTCTCTCTGATCAGTGTCAATGTAGGCCAATCAATGCAAATGAAACTTCACATGAGGCGAATCCTCGTGATGATGTGTGCATATGTGGGATATGGCCCTTCCTGAAGCAGTGGCATCTGCTCCAACATGCACTCATTTACTGCGCGTGATGCGGGCTGAGGGACCAGGTCAGGCGGGTTGGGGCTTCGGGAGCAAAAGCATATAGGATCTTTTCCTCATGCAGCTTCCAAACCTTTTGCCCACCACCACTCTTCTTTTTTTCAGGCTACCACTCAATTTACCTGCTTGACACATCTTACTTTATATAACAAACAGATCACACCAAGAGGAAGCCCTTCCAAGCTCCCGACGGTCCCTCCAACGAGCCACTGAAGTACAGTCGCAGTATCCTCAAGATGCACTTCAAGACGGCTTTTGTCCTCACTCTCGGCATGGTCATCGGCCTCGCTGCCGGCGCTCCCGCTGAGGAGGCCGCCACCAAGACCACCACTGAGGCCAACGTCCCCAACAAGGTGGCTGCCGCTCCCGAGCACACGTGCACCATCTTTGACTGGCTTGGCTGGATCGACGAGGCGTGCAACTACAACGACGCTACTGGCATGCACGTAAGTCGTCTCAAGCGAAACCTCACCTCCGTTCGAAGACGAATTGGTTGTTTACTGACTGGACTTAGATGGGCGCCCACGAGACATGTGCCACGTACTGCGCTGAGATGGGCGACCACGCTCCGGACTGTTATGATGCTCGCTGCAAGCAGAGGCCTGGTCACTACGGCAGCGACGGCCAGTGCTACTGTCCTTGCGGCTCGCGTATCGTCTGCTGGTAGAGCTGACACGCAATGGCCTCCGCTCTCTCTCTGTCTCTCTCTGTCTCTGTCTCTGTCTCTCTGTCTCTGTTTCTCTCTCTGAGCGTAGTGGCATGAAAAGACGTGTGCGACATTCAAGCTCCGGATCACAGACCGGGGCATCACGGAAGGCCAAATCACGATCACAGACGGACATCGGGCACACTGATCTGTAGAGACGACTACTTATTAGCCAAATACATGGAGCCCTGGAGTGCTATACACACTCTCAATGAACGTGCCCATGCAAGCTGTGTGAGAGAGAAGTGACTCGCCTGCCCAGAATCCGTGCCTTCCTCATGCACCAAATTGACCCTCTCACGTGGGTCAAGCCCTCCTTTCCCCCATCCTCAGTCCTGATCCTCCGCATTTAATCAAAACTCGCCCTCCTCACCCGTACAACTGCCCACCAAACTCTCCTCAGCCCCATCCTTGATCCTCCTCCTCCAACCCACAAAGCAATCCAGTAAGCAGCGGCGACGCGATCCTGGTCGACTCGACTCCCACCGCGCAACAACAACACACGCTGACACCAAAACCTCACCCTCTCTTAGCAGTACAGCAAGCGCAGTAGGTCACCAACCATGCACGCCACTAGCCCGACCCTCATCATGCTCGGCCTCGCCCTGTGCGGCCTGACCGGTCTCGCCCAAGGCTTCGCCGTGCTCCCCATGGAGCTCAACAGCGCCGTCGACAAGCGCCAGTACAACCAGTGCGAGATGGTAAGATCAGCACTCCCCGCCTGGCTTTCTTTATTTTTAATTTTTTTTTTTACCAAAACACAGGCCACTGGAAAGTCGACCTGCATCACCTTCTGCGCCACCGAGATGGCGCACGTCGAGGAGCGGTACTGCCAGGGCTCGTACTGCCACGTCAAGCACAACACGGACCGGTTCTGCGGCCTCTGCGAGTGCGACTGCCATGTGCCTTGATCTCCTCCCCTTCGGCTGGTTCTGGATGGGGTGAAATCAAACGGATCTTCTGAAAGTGGCGATTATACGGTTTGACCACGATGGGAGAGATGGTGGACGATGGCACAATCTGGAGATGATAATTTGATTAGCTCTCTTTTCCTGAGAACTGTTTCGGTGATAGAGATATGAAAGGACACACCGACAAGCATGAAAGAAAACGTGGATGGGGCAGAAAAAATGGGAGATATCCAGGCATCCATTTATCTACAGCTCTATCCAGAACGTGAAGCTTGACCATCCATCCGCATCTCTCCCTCATCAAAACCCACACAGACCACTACAAACTACCTTGCGCCCCCTTCTTCCTCTCCCTTGCCGCCTTCTTTTGCTCTCTAACCCTCCTCTCCTTCCGCCGCCGCTCCTTGCGCGTGAACTCCGTCGCAGCCTTCATCGCGCGCTCCTCGCGCGTCCGCGCCGCCAGTCGCTGCACCTCGCCCGGCGCCAGCTCGCGAAAAACCAGCAAGTATCTCACCCGGTTCTCGAAGGGTAGCCCCGCCTCGTTCAGCGCGGCCGGGTTGACGAGACGGCGGTCGAGGCGCGTCCATCGAGCACTAATGATGCCGCGGCCGGCGGCTTGATCGTCGGGAGTTTGCGTTGCGGCGTCGACGATGCGGTAGCCGGTTGATATGTCCAAGTCGACGTCGGTGTCGTCGTCGTCATCATCGTCGTCGCCGGGTTCGCTGTTGTTGTCGTTGTCGTCTTCGTCAACCAGGCCGATGGTTGGGAAGCCGTACCGCGAGGCACGCGCCTCGGCCTCCTCCCACATCGCGTCCTCACCACCCCCGTCGGCAGCGGTGTCACCGAGACCATCGAGCTCGACGCGGAAGATGTGCACGGGTCTGGGATCGTCGTCGTCGTCGCCGATGCCGAGGATGTCGCCGCTGCGGACGAAGAAGCCGCCGTCGTCGTTGTGCTCTGGCAGGTCGTCCGACTCTTGTGCCTTCTTCCCGTTGATCTTCGGGACTTCGAAAGGGAAGATCCACCGGCCGTTGAGCGTGGCTCTGCGCCCGGCTTCCGTGACTGAGACGACCCAGCGCCGGGTGCGCGGGTCAATGGAGAAGGCGCAGTGATGCGCCGCGACGAACGGTCCGGGAAGGAAGATGGGGCGGGCGCCGCTGCTACCTGCGGCTGGCTGACGCTGGTTGTTGTAGGATGGGTCGGAGCCGATGCGGATCGTTTTCTGGGCGTCTAGCGGATCGGGGTGCGTGCGCGTGCGGATGAGGGATGGTAGGTTGCCACGGTGTCGGCGGGAGTGCTCGAACAGCAACTCTGTCTGCTCTTTGTTGAGCTCCCGCGTGATGATAATGAAGTCTAGATCGGCCTGGGAAAATGTGTTAGTATTGTGCGGATCACGCTTGAGGATTGAGTGTTGGCTTACACTGTCGAATTGGAACGGGAGATCGTAGTAGAATAAAGTGTCCAGAGAGAGATGCTTGCGGTGCGTCTTAACGTAGGTGGGGATGTAGTTCTGCGTCGGGCTGTTGGGGCGTGACCTGACAGAAGCTCTGGCCTGTTTCTCGAAATTTATCAGTTCGCGGTCATCGAAGGGAGATAAGTCGCTGTTCTGGGGTTCTTCCAAGAGAGACGGTGATGGATGCAGGTCGACGAGGAATAGGTTTGGCTTTCTGCCATTGGCGTTTTCCTCCTCGCAAGTGTTGCAAGGCTCATGATAACAGATGAGGCACTTGGGAGTCTCCATGGGTCTGGCTCGGCATTTACAGCACGCCCATAGTGCAGGCCCTCCTATGAGGCGGCCCAGGCTCTCCGTGGACGAACTCAGGCGTGAAACGATGGGCCGCTTCGGTTTTCTGGACTCTGCAGTCTCAGTCCCGGTGTCAGAGACACCAGCCTGCTCTTGGACCGGCGATTCATTCAGCAAGGAACCAGGACTTTCTACGCGGACTTCTCTCTCGTTGGGTTGTCCAAGCCAAGTTCTGGTTGGGGGGAAAAACCGTGGAATCATGTATCTGTAGACGAGTTTGTCGGTCTTCTTGTAGACGCAAAATATGATTTTTTGCAAGCTGTCGCCTTCGCCAGCGTCGAGAAACGCCCGCGTTGTTCGTAAGGCAATCTCCGCGGCTTCTCGATTTGGGAAGCCAAATCCGCCAGCGCTCAGGCAAGGAAACGCGATGCTCTTCAGGCCGCTGTCCACGGCGAGCTTCAGACAATTCCAGTAGCAGCTAGCCAACAAATCCTCGCCACCGACGGACTGGACGGCTTCGAAGTAATGTGGCCGAACGGTGTGAATGACTTTACGGCAGGGTAGATTATACGCATTAGTCATCACTGCTTGGCTCATCGTACAGCCTCCAAGGGCTCTGCATTCCTGTAGAAGCCCGGGTCCCGCTGCCTGGTGGACTCGGAAGCCTATAGAATCCGATGCACCAACATTTAAACCTCGGCTAGTTGCGTTAACGATGGCATCAACATCAAGCTTGGTGATGTCATGTAGTATCATGGAGATTTTGCGATTGACCTCGTCTTTTGGTACCGGCAATGACGCATCTGCAGAAGCTCTCGAAGAGTTCTGCAGCCAATCAGGCACAAACAACTCAGAGTTGACATAGAGCTGTGAAATACTTGGGATATCGGAGGCGGCCTTGAGCGGATATGCGTTCTTTGATGAACCGCGGAGGTCATCGTCCATTTCGGTAGTGTTGTTGTTGATATTTTGAGTTGTGAGCGAGCCTCTCAGCTTGGCCCGTCCAAAGACATGATCCCGCAGTCGTGTGAAGAATTGAGCGCTTCTTGCGACCTCTGGTGAGTCTCGCTGGAAATGCTCATGAAACCATGTGCTGGACTGTTTCAGTCCACTAGTGTCCACACGATATTGCTGACGGAACCCGCAGGCTACCAGACTGTCCTTGAATGAAGGGAACTCTTCAAAGCCAAACGACGGCAGGATGTCTTGAGAAAATGCTTCTTCATCCAAGATCTGGAAGGTCTTGCCATCTTTGGCCCAGACAATCGTCTTACTGTGCTGAGGTTCTCTAAGGACCCTGCGCATTTGTCAGCCCCAGCCGGAATGCGCATTCGCACTATCTTACCTGCTCAATGTCTCCAAGAATCCCTGAACGTCAAAAGCTGCGCCGGCGCCTCCAGGTGTAGATGTAGGTTCACTCATTTCATTTTCGTCGCCATGCTCTAGCTCGAGCTCAACATTCGGAAATCGTGTCTCGTCGAAGGACAATAACGCTTCCTCGGCATTTCTTTGGCTGTCGAATGTGACATATCCCCGGTCTTCAACGTGCGGATCAAGTGTAAAACGCTGGCAGCCCAATGTCTCAAAGAAAGCGAAAAGTCGTCTGTTTGCTTCGTCTCCTGTCGGCAAATTCGATATCCGGATCTTATGTTGTTCTTTTGGTTCTCCTGTATTAATTCTTGATGTTTCCGTTTTGTCATCTCCTATGGACGTGTCGATTGAGTGTATCTCGAAGGATTTCTCGCTCTTGTCTTTAATCACATCTTTTTCTCCCTGTGCGGTGAGATACTGGGGTGTTAACGCTCGTGATGCCTCCACGAAGGCCGCTAAATTGTCCTTCGTCGCATCGGGAACCGATTGAACTGCACTTGCAGAAAGCTCTGAGCGGCCTGCGTCCTGGCCAGGATCTATTCTGTGGTCTCCCACATCGTTTGCTGTGGTTTCTAGATTGTATCTTTGATAGTCGGGACTGGGCTGTCCGGCCTCGTAGCCAGAAGCGGTATCGGCAGACCAATGCGAGCTTGCCGCTTCTGTTTCATCTGACGAACTCCCTCTTCCGTGATACGCGTCCATACTAGCGGCAGACTTGTCGTCTTCCATTTGAGTGATTCTAGGCAATGCAAATGAAGCAAACCTCTCCAAATGGTTGGCAATATGGTTATGCAGGTTGCCGGCTACGCCCAAGTCATCGGCACCTGCAAAGCAAATCGGACAGTAATCGCGTGAATCACAGGTCGATGCTTCGGCTACTCCAATGAGCTGCCTGATTTGCATCTCGGAGAGGTCGCCGCCATGTGCATCATCCAAGTGGCTTCTGATGCCTGCTTGAGAAGAGTAGACAGCGTGGGAATGGCCTGGACATCGCCAGACTTTTCTGTGAGCGGAAGCCTCGTGGTCAAGCCATTCGCGGCGGCTGCGGAACATTTGGTCTTCCGACGAGCAGTGTTTGTAGGTGCACACGTAGGGTTGCAGGTCCTGCAAAATATGGGTTCTGGCTGAAATTAGCTGGGGCCATATCCCGAAGTGTTGTGATGCTTACTTCCAAGAGCGTGTTTTGGAATATCGCGCGGGACAAATGACATAACAGTAGGGGCATTCAAAGTCCCTTTCTCCATCTGCAGAGCTTGGTGGAGGGGGAAGATCAATGCCGTGGCCTCCCAGATCGCGGGCTGTTGTAGCAACTGAAGTGACTGACTGACTGTCGACAGCATCGTCCAATGTTCGATGATGTGCAGTCGCTTCGGTTCCGGAAAGAAGAGTGCGCGGATGAGCCTCACTCGGCGGTGCTCTAAGATCGAATTTGATGGCGCTTGGGGCATGTAGCGAAGACTCGACTCCATTCGTGCCCAGCTGGGGATTGGGAGCTCGGTCTTCGTCGATAGGGGCAACGTCTTCATTCGTTGGAGACGAATTGGCAAGCTTGTCTCTATGCTTTTTCCAGTACTTGAATTGCTGTCGTCTCTTCGTGATGGCCTTACTAAGGCGATCAACAAGAAACGCAACGTCCTCGTCCTTTCGTTGCGGGAAGCCGGCGCGGAGCTGGGTAAGAGAGTCGGCCACGTATTTTCTGTCATATTCAGCATACTGGCTGAGGACGTCGACGCCGGTGTCCGGGTCAACCTGTCTGTAGGTCGCAGCCTTTAGAGAGCGAATCCGTATGGTGGGGTTGCGGATCCTGATGGACAGACGGTAAAGGCTGTTGATGATGTCCACGATCTCGAACATTCTTTGCTGAAGCTCAAAGCGGGGCCTGTCTTCCTCGCTACCTCTACTCTCGTCGTCCGAGTCCTCGGAAGCGCTGTCATCGCTGAAGTCGGCACCAGCTGCCTGCTGCTCGTACGGCAGCCTTGCGCCCGACACGACGGCACGAGCCTCGTTGCAATTAATTTCGAGCTCGTGCAGTAGCTTCAGGACGTTGGAATGCAGCAGAGGGCTGTCCCGCAAGCGATAGTCGAGCGAGCTGTGGCCTTTCTGCTGGGCGCCCAGATTGCCACTCCAGACCCGGAATCGGCCGTACTCATCTTCGAGGCTGGTTGGATCGATTAGGCTTCGATGCTCGGAAGGACCGCTCTCCAGGGCAGCAGCGAGCAGACGGAAGCTACGGGAGCACGCGATGGTGTGGGCCCGGATTGAGACCATGGCGCCTGGTCGGATTCCGAGAACCACGGGGGCATGGCGGAAGGTTGAAGAGTTCGTGAGGGTTAATGTTGCAGAAGGCTGCAGCTGTTGTGTGGCACGATCGACACTGCCCCACTTCCGAAGAGGGCAAGCGTGCAGGATCTCACCTCCCCCGGTCTCTTTGGTGGCTGAGCACCACCGCCAGTTCCAACCTTTTGACATCGCTGCCTCAACCTCTGGTCCTGTCCAGTCCCTCCTCCGCAGCGCGTTCCTGTGCAGACTCTCCAGCCGCGAGCCTTGTCCACCGTGACCGCTTCCGCACAGACCATTGCTTCGCGCCGCTGCCATTCTGTGGGGGCCAAAGGCAGCAAACAGCTGACCTATGCTCCAACACAGTACAGCGTCTGATCGGTGACGCGACCTCTTGCCCCGGGCTGCTGCCGCTTGCGTCCTAGCTTGCGCTTCAGAATGAGCGGAGTAGAGCTCGCTGGCCTGGTTCTGGCCGTCCTTCCCCTTGTCATCTCCGCTCTTGAGGACTACAATGACGGCCTGGACCCGGTAAAGGCCTTCGTCAAGTGGGAAAACTACCTGCCCCAGTACATACGAAAGCTTCGGAACCAGCATGTGCACTACGAGCAAACCTTGCGCCTGCTGCTTGCTCCCATCACCACCGAGTACGAACTGGCCGAGATGATCGCGGATCCCCAGGGAGACCTGTGGAAAGACCCCGCCATGGCCAAAAGGCTCAAGTACAAGCTGGACGAATCATACGATGCCTATCACCAAACCATCAAAGACATCGAGAGGATCATGACAGCCATTGCCGAGAAGCTGGACCTCGAACGCGCCTCAAGCGTTTCCCGGAATGACCTGGAGGCCATGCTGCTTGCCAACGGCCAGCCGAAACCCACCCAGAAGTTTGAGTTCAAGAAGCGCGTCAGATTCTCCATGAACAAGAAGAAGGTCAAGAGGTTGCTGGAAGAGTTGGACGAGTGCAACAAGGAGCTGGAACGCTTTACCGAGAAGTCGGAGAAGCTGGAACCTTACCGGAAAAGCTCAAAACCCTCAATCGCACTGCGGCTGCAGAAGATACAGGCATACGCGCGAGTATTACACAATACCCTGGTGGATGCTTTCAGCTGCTCCTGCAAAGCTTCGCACTGCGCCAACCTACACCTCGAGAACCGAGACCTTCATTCTCAGGCTGGTGGCCGGAGACCGGTGGATGAACCAGGGACCATCTTCACTGTGTCATTCATGGGCAACTCCGGCTCCTGGGTGCTTCGAGAAACGCAGATCTGTTGTTCGGAAGAGGACGATGACCTCTCCACCAAAATGAGTGGTCTTCACGTGCATCGTCCGAGACGAAGCGTCAGTTTTTCACCAGCCACACCACCGCCTCCTCCAAAGCCATCACACTCTCCTCTGCGGACCAAAAGCGAAAGCTCTCATTTCAAAGAAGTGAAAGATCTCTGTCATGAGATGCAAAGTTTTGAAGGTGAAGGGAAGGCTCGCATTGGTTTCTCCATGGAGAACGGTAGGCTCCGTGGTGCTTACCCTGTTCCCCTCAACAGCCTTCGATATTCGCGCAAGGCAGAGACAGTCACTTTGGAAGATATTTTGAAGGATGGTGCGAAGGTGCGATTGAGCAAGAAGGACCGGTATAGCCTCGCTGTCACGGTCGCTTCTTCCATCCTCCAGTTGCATGCTTCGCCATGGATCGGTGATGATTGGAGCAAACGAGACATCCTGTTTTACCACACGGCATCCTCACACCGCTCCATCGACGTTGAGAACCCACACGTCAGCCAGAAACTCATGCCACTTCCGGGTAGTGTCAAGCCGATAGGATTCAGTAGCAAGAACACTACCTTGCTAGCGCTCGGCATTATACTTCTAGAACTCTACTTCGGCAAGCCTTGCGAGCAGCAGATGCCAGAGAATTTGAATATGGGGCCGAACAAGTCTCTAGCACTCCTCTGCACTGCCCATCACTGGTACGAGACAGATCAGGAGGATCTGTCTGCAGCCTTCCAAGGTGCAATTGCGCATTGCCTGAGGTGCTTTGCAGACCCGAGCGGCAGCCTTCAAGATTCGGAGTTTTTGCAGGCGGCTATGGAGCAGATCGTGTTGCCATTGCAAGATGAACTCTATCAATTTCTGGGCACAAAATGATGGCGTTCCCCTTTCCGAAAAACCCAAGTCCCGAGCACCCTCGATCGGCTTCCGCAAGTACTCACATTAGGTACTGGGCCCGACGATAGAGACCCTGTCCTCTAGACCACATCTCCTTGCCGATGGCGGAAGCCCAACTGCGAATGTGCCGCGAACCATACCGTATAGCTTCTATCGCCTCAGACCCCCGCAGGTAGCATAACGCAGTGCGCCACAGCGGGCTGAAAACAAAGCGTGGTGCGGAAACAAGCGTCGAGGCACGCAGACCTACCGGTAGCCGAACCAACGGGCAGCTACCCGGAACAGGCAACTGCCACAACAGGTCCTTGACGCATGTGACAGGCGCAACAATCAAACGTCACTGGTGCTGTGCCTGCAACGCGCAATGTTGCGCGGCGCTTCACGCGTGTCGACGTGATAGACAGCGCGAATCGGTCAATCTCTCGTCTGCTCAAACCTCGCGCCGAAAGCCAGCCGTGTCGGTCGGGGTCTGAGCGCAAAGAGTGCCCGAAATAATTTCTGATAGAAAAAAAATGAAGAGCAAAGGAAAGCAGAGACGCAAATGTGGCGCGTGCAGCCACGACGGCCGAAGAGCAGAACGTGGTCGCACGGACCAAAGCCAGCCAGCCAGGGGCGGGCACCGAACGTTCCAACTGCCACCCACCTGCCCATTCCATTCCCTTTCTTCCCCCCGTCACCACCGCTCGTGCTCTCGGATAATGACGCACATACGTACAAACACAACTCACACACCGTGTCCATCATCATGCCCCTTTGTTGATCGGGCTCGTTCCGCCCACTCGTTCGCTCGCTCCCGTCTCGCCTCCTTCCCATCCTCCGCTCGTCCCGCCGTCTCCGAGCTTCGCGGGTTTGCCTGAGTCAGGGACGGACGGGGGTCAAATAGAGAAAGAGAGCCGTGCTACGTACCATGGACAAATCTCATTATAACACACCCAAAGAGCAAACGCCACACCCACCTCCCGGTCCACAAAGCCAGCCCCTTATCCCCCTTACACTGCCTTCGAGTCGACCTTCACCGATCCCCCTCTTCAATCTATTTTCGGGCTTTCACATCGGAAAGGAGAAAAGTAGTAAACAGGTACAACAGAAAGTCGTTGTAAATAGAAGAGCGGAAATGAACGTCACTGCCTCCACCACGGTTGTGACTAAATTTGGGGAAGGACTTCACGTCTGCGCATGAAATGAAATTTTATCGTAGCACGCGAAATTGCACATCACTCGCCACCTTTGGGAAGGGTCAACGAGAAGGCCTTATTATTATTTCATGACGGCAGCCACGCGGCCGCCCGCACATATGATCTTGTCTTGATGTGGCTGCCATGTGGCGGCCCAAAAGCGGGCCTGATTGCCTGGACGGTCATAATGCTGCCGTCTCAACAACACGACCACACAGCATTGTCTAGATATGCGACAAGAAAAAGGGAAGTCAAGGGACACAGACGTTGTCTTCCATGTTTCATTCAGTCTTCACAGAGCCTGTATATCTGCAACGGCATGCGCCGCTACTTGGTAAATAAGGCAACAACCCGCCTTTCGAGCTTCGGACGCTACAGCACGTAATGTCCGACGCGGCCATTGTTTTATTCCACTCCCCACACGCCAAGCACGTCTCTCTTCCCTTCCATGGCGTTGTCGCCGTTCTTCTGCAACTTGTTGACCCGTCTGACTAATAGTCCGACTGCTAATGGGCCGATGATCGTGCACAACATGATCGCCCAGGTAACGACGAGGAAGATCTCGTCCGAACCACTCGACGAAGAGCCGAGTGTGGAAGCAAATATTCCCCTGCTCCGCGCAACTGATGAAATCAAAAAGCCGATCTCGCCACGCGCCACCATTGCACTGCCAACGATGGAGGCCGGGTACAGGGAAATGGGTTTCTTGGGGTTGCGCGAGGTATGCCGGAGGGCAGGCGTGCTATTGTCAGCATGCTCGTCCTGTTCGGGCGACGAGCCGTGCTGCCGAGCCGTCTCGTCGCTTCGTGGAGATGCCTGTGCTTGAGATGGGATCTGCTGCTCTTCACGTTGAGGTCGGAGAGCATCCGGGTGGCTGTGCTTCCCGTTCGGGTCTTTCGTCCGCTCGGCTTTGGCTTCCTTCTTCGCTGATGCACCCCAGAGGTGGGGCGTCGACGGCATGCGGAGCTTACGGAGTTTAAGACGCTCGGGGATGTACGGCGAAACAGAAAAACGGACTAGCCAGAGACCACATACCAGTTTCCCGAATACCATCAGGATTGTGTAGACAATCCCACGCCAAACAACAGAGCCGGTAAACATTTGAGAAATGGGAATGGAGAAGCCAATCGAGGCCTAACAACATCGTCAGAACCCGTGAGCTGGTCAATCTGCAGGGAGCACTCACGAAGAAAAGCGGTTTCAATATCTTCTCCACAGCCTGCTGGTAATATCGTTCGTAGATGGCGATCCCAGACATGTGAGCAGATGAGTAGCTTCGGATGCTCTCGCCGGGGTCAGTCACCTGAGAATCACTACTGTTCGAGACCACGCCGGCAGAAGATTGTCTGCCAGCATGACTCGCGTCCGTGCTCTGAGACCTTGCAACTGGCAAATGAGGCACTTCAGTGTCCCACCAGCTGATGGATGCACCGGCAAGGTAGGCGGTGAAGAGGTTCGAAGTGCCTGCAAAAGAGCCACCAGCGACGAAGCTGACGAGGACGGCGGTCTGAATGGAGAAGCTCATCTGATGCATGGACAAGAGCTTCTGCGTCAAGCCGGAAGGGCTTGCCTCACGGTGCTTGTTCAAGAAAAGAGTAGCAGGCTTGACGATCAGGCGGCAAGCAAGCGGGATCAGCACGGCGAATGCCAGCGAGACGAAGACAGGCCTGATGACGGCGGTTGCACTGAAAGAAGAATCGGATCCACCGAGGTTGGAGATGACTTCAACCATGGCCAGGCCTACAACATCGTCCATCATGGCAGCACTAGTGAGAACCACTCCAAGACGGGAGCGCGTAAGACCGCTGGTCCCAAGCACGGTGAAGGTTGTTCCCAAGCTGGTCGAACAGAGCGCAGCGCCCGCGGCGAAGGCCTGCAGAGGTGTCGCGCCGGCCAAGCCCTGCAACCCGAAGGAGAGGCCGATGGGCACGCCGATGCCTGTCACGGCAACGGCGACGGAGAGCAGCAGATTGGCTTTCAGGGACGCGAACGACGTCGAAAGACCGCCTGGTTGAAATGAGAGAGGTGCAGCGGAAAGGGATAGGGCCAGAACGCACCCTCGTATACGAGCAGTATCAAGCCGAGATAACCAAGCTGGACAATGGCCTCTTCGGTTGACTCCGAGAGCCATTTCGCCCCTGGGGTGCCCCAGACCACACCGACGAAGATCTGGCCGAGGAGGCCGCAGTAGACGGTGTTGTCCAGGATGGTATTGATGACATTGAGAATGACCAGGAACGAGCCCTGGGTCAGGATGGTGGTGATCCCTGGCTCGTGGTAGGGCAGCGAGGCGGCGCTACTGGAAGCCATGGCGACGGGGACGCTGCACGCGCGCGCTCCAACGGAACGGGGGGATGGTTGCGGGGCGGGGCCAAGCTCAGCTTGCGAGTGTGCGCCGTTGGTTGCGCCGGGGGGACGCTGAGAAAAGAAACCACATGCAGCAACGCAAAGGCTGGATCCCGGCTACGCAATCGCTGCAGGCCGCCGAGCAGCGCCTGCTTGCGCGCAAAGGGCTTGGCCGACTCTGGTCTCGGCCAAAGCAGCAACAGCGTCAGGGATCAGCGCGGTTGCGGTGCGCGCCCGTTCGCACGCGCCTCCCTAGTGCTTGCCCGGCGCGCCAACCCGACTCTCGCATGCCGTGCCCGACAGGGTCTATGCCGCTCTACTGTCGGCCGCGCAGTCCGCTGTCAACACAACACCACCCCGAAAGTCGCTGCGCCAACCCTCCCCGCTGACTCCGAGCGCTGCTTCCAATGCCGCGAAGGAACCATGGCTCCCCTTGAGCAGCAGTGGGTCATTGTCCAGCAAAAGACCTTTACGAAATGGTTAGTCGCTCGCCCCCCACTTGCCCTCCGCACTCCGCCCTGGTTCTGACGCGCCTCTGCCTGCAGGCTTAACAGCAAGATCTCCGCTCGCGGCCTGGTCATCAAGGACCTGTGCACCGACCTTTCCGATGGAACCCTCCTCATCCACCTGCTCGAGATCCTGTCCCAGGAATCTCTCGGCAAATACGCCTCGAAGCCCAAGCTGCGCGTCCAGAAATTCGAAAATGTCAACAAGGCGCTGGACTTTGTTAGGAATCGGAGCATCCAGCTGGTGAACATGGGCGCGGAGGATGTCGTCGACGGCAACCGTAAAATCATTCTGGGCCTGATCTGGACTCTCATTCTCCGCTTCACCATCAGCGACATCTCCGACCAGGGTTTGAGTGCGAAGGAGGGTCTGTTGCTGTGGTGCCAGAGGAAGACCGCCTGCTACGACGAGGTCGAGGTGCGGGACTTCTCTTCCAGCTGGAACGACGGTCTGGCTTTGTACGTTCTTCAAGCTCGATACAGAATAAAACCTCTTGATACTAACAGGGCCTCACAGCTGCGCTTTGCTCGATATCCATCGCCCCGACCTCATCGACTACGACTCGCTTGACAAGAACGACCACCATGGCAATATGAAGCTTGCATTCGAGATTGCTGCCAACGAGATCGGCATTCCGGACCTCCTTGACGTCGAGGACGTTTGCGACGTTGCCAAGCCCGATGAGCGTTCTCTGATGACCTACATCGCCTACTGGTTCCATGCCTTTTCGCAAATGGAGAAGGTCGAGAATGCCGGTCGTCGCGTCGAAAAGTTTGTACAAAGCATGCAGGGTGCTTGGGAGATGCAGAATTCCTTCGAGCGCCGTATGAGGGAGCTGCTGCGCCAGATCGCGGAGCAAAAAACGGAGTGGGAAGCTGGCGAGTTCGATGGAACCTATGCCGATGCGAAGCACCAATCTGCACTTTTCACAAGCTACAGAAGGAGCAAGAAGCGGGAGTGGGTTGCAGAGAAGTCGGATTTGACCAGCCTCTTGGGCAATATCAAGACCAAGCTCAGCACATATCGTTTACGCCCTTACACGCCACCGCCGGAGTTGAGTCTGGAGGCTCTGGATCAATCCTGGGCCGGACTTATGTCAGCAGAACGCGCAAGAAGCTCCGTCATCAACGAGACGATCAGAGAGTAAGTTGCTCGACTGGAGCCTATCAACTGGGACTAATAACGGGTGTAGTATCAAAAATGCCCTTCGCCGCTCATTTGCTGATAAAGCGAACGATCTGGCGCTTGCTCTTAACACACTGTCTGTCTCTTTATCAGGCCTCGAAGGTGACGTGGAAGACCAGCGGCAACACACGCAGAAGCTCAGCGAGAACGTGCAGCCTTTGGACCAGTTCTTGGACATAATTGCCAAAATCGACCAGCAATGTCAAGAGGCTAACATCGAGGAGAATGACTTCACAACATACACATACGACGAGCTTGAGTACGAGCTCGGATTAGTGAAAGCAAGCGTCTCGAAGAAGCTTGCTTTCCTCGACAACCAGATGGTGGCACGTAACATGACCAATTTGACACCCATTCAACTGGAGGAGTTCGAATCCGTCTTTAAGCACTTCGATCGTGATCTGAGCAACTCACTGACGGAGCTTGAGTTCTCGGCTGCGCTGGCCAGTCTCGGTCTCGTCTATGACGAGGAGGAAATGCACGAACAGTTCATGGAGACGAGCGAGGGAAGTAATTACGTGTCGTTCGAGCAGTTTATTCGGTTCATGGTCCACGAGACGGAAGACCAGAACAATGCCGACCAGGTCTTTGAGAGCTTCAGAGAAGTTGCGGATGGCAAGGTATGTGCATCAGAGCCGGCAGTGGAATATATGGAGACTGACATGGAGTAGCCTTACGTCACGGAGATGGATCTCCGCCATTCGCTCGTGCCGGACGAGATCATCGAAGACCTGATCAAGCAAATGCCAGAACACAAGGGCCCCGACTTGCAGGAGGACCGCGAACTGGCGAAGTACGACTACGTTACTTACATGAACAACTTCATTTCGGGCGGCGGCCGCGAGATGGAAGGAGCTAATGGAGACGCATCTTAAGTTGGCACATGGGATTGGCGGGATTGGGAGCTTGGTGTACATTCCATTCGCGGACGGAGGCGCACGGCGGTTTTGAGCTATTGTAATGGATGGCGGGTGCATTGGACCGGCGTGGTGGGGATTCTTCGCCTTACGCTCTGATGCAATTGGGTTACTTCTTGCCTATGGAGAGGCATTGTGGAGCCGGAAGGGTCTGTAATTAGCAACAACAACAACAGCAGCAGCAGCAGCAGCAGCAGCAGCGGCAGCAGCAGCGATAAAGCTTCCCGCCGCTCCGGCGTGGCGGCGGCAGTGGCAGTGGCAGTGGCAGTGGCAGTGGCAGATTTTGTATGCACGCGCGATCGACTAGCGGTGACGTGGATGCAGTGCCATATTTTGCGACAAAGTATTTCTGAAACACGCTGTGCTCATTGACCGTCGCAAGCTGATGGGGACGACGGGCAGCAGGGCAGCAGGGCGCGTCGCGAAAGGGGAGGCAGGGGGTGGGCGCAACGAATCAAGCTTCATTTGCTGGCGGGCTTGGGCTGTAGGCCGATGAGATGCGCCTAGGGCGGTGCAGCGGAGATGGCAAGGGCGCGCGGGCTGCGTTTCTGGAAATTCTAGCAGCGCCGGCTGTGCGATCGCCGCGGGTGGTGCGGCGGCGGCTATCCCGTGTCGCCAGGGCTGCCCCCAAGCAGCGGCGGCGGGATTCAGTTGACGGGCTCGGTGTCAGCGCCCAGTCTGCACGTCTGCAACCTCTAGGGTACCGCCCACGCCCCCCGCTACCCTGTCAAAACTTGAGCCACGCCCGCACGCGCTCACCTCCAGTTCGTGCACTCGCTCACCCTGCCTGCCTGCCCGCTCCCAGCTCGCCAAAGCGCCACGGCCAACGCTGCCCAAGTCTGCCTTCCCCCCGCCGGATCAGCAGCCTGCAGCATTGACTCGGTGCGAACAGCCGCCGTCGCGCGCATGAGCCTCACCGTACTTCGCGCTCTCTAAAAGTCGCCTCCCCCCGCCCCTATACCTGCCATACCTCGCCGGCCAAAGAGCCTCCCAAAGCACCCAGCCTTCCTCGGAGGCCCGCTTGCGCTGCTGCTCATTGTTCCCGGGCACGCTGCTGCGACGTCGAGCAGTCGATTGTCCAGTGAACCGCGGCCTGAGCGACCCCTCGGCGTCGGGCAGATACAGCCCTCCTCCTGACCATAGCCAACACCACAGCCCTCTTTGCGCCCGCAGGCGACGCGTACAATGACCTCGCATCCGTAAGTCGCGCCCATAGCTCGTTTCCGAATTGCGCCCTTGGCGCTGCGCTACCTCCCGCTGCCGCGCTGTCGCTACCCACGTGCGGACCTCCGCTCACTTCACCCGCTCCTCACCTCCGCACACCCCGTCGTTTTGGCTCGTTTCACACGACCCACACAGCGATACTCCGAAAAGTCGCTGCCTGCTGACGCCCGAATCTCTCAGTATGTACTCTCGCGACCAATTCATGAACCCCGGTCCCGCACCAAAGCCCCCAGCCGAACGCCCACGACTTGCTCTGACCCCGTCAACACAAGGTCTACCCGGCAACATGTCTCAGATGAGCTTGAACTCCCCCGGCTTTAATGGAGCCACCCCCATTCAGCGCCAACACACGGGAAGCGAGAGGAGTGGCAAAGACAATGTCATCAGAGATGGCTGGGCGAAGGTCAAAGAAGACGGCATGCTCAAGGGCATGTTCTGGAGCGAGAAGTACCTCGTTTTGAGGGAGTACCAGCTCGACTTCCTGAAGAGCAACAGCTCGCCCAAGGTATCTTTCACGATCTACCTCCGCGACGTGACCAATATCCAGCGGTCGGAAGACTACCCATTCTCCTTCGAGATCATCCGGACTGCGGCCACAGCTAACAACGGCCAATCGCCGCCCCGCGATGGCCCTACGAAGCAACTGATCTGTAAAGTCGAAACGGATGACGAGGTTTACGCTTGGATTGATTCCATCTACCAGCGCTGCCCCAGCATGGGCGGTGTGTCCAACCCCACCAACTTCACCCACAGAGTTCATGTCGGCTTTGATCCCACGAGCGGCGCCTTCGTCGGCCTGCCGCAGGAATGGGAGAGGCTTCTCACTGCCTCCGCAATCACCAAGGACGACTACCAGAAGAACCCCAAGGCTGTGCTCGAGGTTCTCGAGTTCTATACTGAGAAGCTAGTCAAGCGCTCCGAAGATCCCGCTCAGTTCTCGAGCCTTACTCCCACGCCCGGTGCCGAACCTAACAAACAGCTCGGCGGCTACGCTTCGAGTGGCGCGTCTGTCGCCGGCCCGCGTCCTGGCCCTCCCAATGGCTACCAACGCCAAGACAGCTACAGCACCACCAAGTCCCAGACCAGTGGCAACAGTCAGCAGTCTTCGTACCAGCAGGCCCAGGCCGATGCCCGGCTTGAGGAGGAGAGGCGCCGTAGGAAGGAAGAGGAGCGCAGGCAGCGCGAGCGTGAAGAGCAGCGCCGCGAAGCGGAGAGGAGGGAACGCGAAGAGCTGGCTGCGTACAACGCCTCCCTCCCCCAGAAGTCGTTACCAATGGCTAAGCAAGAGCTTGGCGGCTATGGCGACGAAAACAGCGACAGCAGCCCTGCCCGCTCTCAGCAGGACCGTTACAATCCCTCCCGCGCCGCTCCGCCAGCACCTACCGCCAACAAGCAGCCCCCAGGATCGCTCCGCCAGATGGCCGCTCAACGCCCCGCGCCTCCGGCTCCGAAGGCCCAGAACGGTTACCAGGGCAGCGCCCAAACGAAGATTCCCGCGAAGCCCCAACAATCTTCCCAGCAGAGGTACCCCCCAGGACAAGGTCCAGGTCACACGCGTAGTCCTAACAGTGCAAGTGCTAGTAGCCAAGCGCGTAGTCCCGCTGCCCCCAAGCCGCTCAACATCGCAACGAAGCAGCCGACCGGTGCTCCGAAGAACGATGCCGTCAAGGCTGCCGAAGCCGCGCTTACGAAGAAGGAGGACCCTCCCCCGGCCCGCAAAGAGGTCCGTATGTCGGCCATGTCCGAGGGCGAGGTCATGGCGAAGCTGCGTGAGGTTGTTTCCAAGGAAAAGCCTCTCGAGTCGTACAACAAACAGAAGAAGATCGGCCAGGGCGCCTCTGGCTCCGTCTACGTCGCCAGGATTCGGGAGAGCGCTCCTTCGCCGACCGCCCGCAGGGTGCTTGCCGAGAACGGGCCCAGGGCCCAGGTTGCCATCAAGCAGATGGATCTCCGCAACCAGCCCCGCAAGGAACTCATCGTCAACGAGATTATCGTCATGAAGGACTCGGTCCACCCCAACATCGTCAACTTCCTGGACGCCTTCCTGCAAGAGGAGTCTTCGGAACTCTGGGTGGTGATGGAGTTCATGGAGGGAGGTGCGCTGACGGATGTCATTGACAACAATCCCTCAATCAGCGAGGATCAAATTTCCACAATTTGTCTTGAGGTGAGTCTTCTGACAAGCAAATGTCATGATTTTTTGGAGTCACTAATGGATTTCGGCGTCTAGACTTGCAAGGGCCTCGAGCACCTCCACAACCAGAACATCATTCACCGTGATATCAAGAGTGACAACGTTCTTCTTGATGGTCGCGGCAATGTCAAGATCAGTAAGCGAGCGTTTTCTAGTTATACAGTGTTCACGATACTGACTTGTCTGCAGCCGATTTCGGTTTCTGCGCCAAGCTCACCGAGCAGCGCAGCAAACGTGCTACCATGGTCGGCACCCCGTACTGGATGGCACCCGAGGTCGTCAAGCAAAAGGAGTATGGCAGCAAGGTTGACATCTGGTCTCTCGGTATCATGGCGATCGAAATGATTGAATCTGAGCCGCCGTACCTCAACGAGGAGCCGCTCAAGGCTCTCTACCTGATCGCCACCAACGGAACTCCGCGCCTCAAGAAGCCCGAGAAGCTCTCCAAGGAGCTCAAGGCTTTCCTGAGCGTCTGTCTCTGCGTGGACGTCCGCTCTCGTGCCACGGCCACGGAGCTGCTCAGCCACGAGTTCTTGAAGAACGGATGCGGGCTGACGAGCCTTGCATCGCTGCTTGCCTTCCGTAAGAGCAGTTCCCACTAGACGGTCGCGATTAATACTTTCCTGGTTCCTATTTGACTACCCTTCTCTCGTTTAGGTGACGAGCCCAAGTCACGCCAAGTATGGAGCGAAGCCGCCCCGTGATCCAACCCTCGGAAGCAGTAGGTTGAGAGCACGTTCGCCCAGGCGGTTCGAAGTTCGAAGCCCCAGCCAAACCGGACGAATGGCGGGTCATGCGGAAAAACAATCTTCTCTTGGCCAGAAAGTGTCGGAAAAAGGATGAAAGATACCCAGTTGTGTGAAAACATCGCCTCTTCTTTACGCGCGTCCCTATGCAGGTTCGCACGACGCCAAAGTACTCGTTCACTCCCTTCGAGCGTTGCCGCCATTGGTCTCTCAGCGTGCATGTCTGCGTGCGTTCGAGCAAGCTGGCCTTCACAAAATTCTCTCAGTTGTTTCTTCTTTCAGGCGGTGGTGGTCGAGTCCTTTGACTGATTAGGCCATTGTGCTTTTTGTTACCTTTCTTTGGGCTGCAAAACGGCCTTTTTTCGTCATGAGGTTGCCGTGGACTATGCATTTTGATATCAGGGGCGCGAGGCGAGAGATGTCGGTGATGGTGGTTGAAATGGGCGGAATTTGCTTTTGATTTTTTTTTTTTCTGATCCCGCAAGTTTATTCATATTCCCGGGTGTCGCTAAGATGGACGGAGCCCAACGGATGATTAGTTACGCCTCTTGCTTGCCTACCTTTGTTTTATGGCTCTCTCATTTGCCCCAATACCCACCTCGTATTAGTCTGGTTTCCGGCATTGTGCGTGCAGCTCAGAGGCTGCTGGGAGGACGGAAATTCTGCAGGGGCGACTTGACTGCGAGGGAGGCCGGGACCAGTGTTCTTTGCTGCGTCGCCCGCCACTGGACAAGGTCAGCTGGTGACATGTCCTCGGCATTGGTAGCAGTTGAGGACGGGGTGGACGAGCATCAGGCTCTTGCGACAGTTGCGGACACGATAGACATGAATTCACGGGAGTTTAAGACGGGAACTCATGCGCCAGACCCAGATTTTTACCATGTGCTCGTTGTCTGAAGGTGACTCACGACGTCTTCGGGGATGTTGACACTGGTCGCACGATGACTGGTCGCTGGGTATGCTGACGGTGTAAGCGTGGTTGGTGCCTGCAGCCGAGGGGCCCACGCCAGCTTGAGCAACGTCACCGCTCTGCCCGGGAGCTCCAGCACAGAACTACAACGGCCAAGCCGCAGCTCCTCCCACCGCCGCCAACATCCTTATTCCGCCCTTTCCGCTCCCCTCGGATGTCTTGCTCCCTTTGAGTTTCCCCTGCTTGCTCTGCACAACGAGTGCCACGTTTCCGTTCGTTCGCAATGGCACCCGTCAGCTTCACGAAGGCCACCCTGCCATATCCGGTCTATTCCGCCGACTTCGACCCCTACAACCGCGGATACCTCGTCGTCGGCGGAGGCGGAGGTGAAGGTCGTAGCGGCGTTCCGAACCAGATCACCCTGCTCGATGTCTCGTCACGGTCCGCGATCGACGTGGCCGGCGAGATCGACTTGCCGCGCGACGAGGACGCCGTCATGTCGCTCGCCAACCTGGCCTCCAAGGACGGCCTCATCACCTTCGCTGGCGTAAATTCTTCCGAGAAGGACCGCTTGGCGGACAAGAACAAGCATCTAAGATCGTTCAAGATCGAATACCCCCAGAAGAAGAAGGCGGCACAAGAGGGAGCGGCGGCCGATGCGAAGGCGGAGAAAGGTAGCGTTGGATTCTTGGGCAAGACATCCTTGTTTACGCCGCCGACCACCACGGCCGCGAAAAAGGAGACCTATCAGCGTCTTTTGAGGCTCTCTCCAGCACGGCTACGGGAGTCGGGGAGCAGGCGCATCGGCGCAATAGCCACGGATTTCAACCCCGTGTCGGAGCTGGTCATCTTCGATGCCACGACAGCGGTGCCATCGGACTGGGATGTGATACAGAGGATAAACCCGGAGGAGGGCAAGGACATCAATGATATCGACATCAACGAGTCGTCTGAGGGCAACTTCTCCGTCGCATTTTGCACCAATCATCAGGTTTTCGTCTCGCGCATGACCTACGACTTCGAGAAGAAAAAGGCCACCTCCATAACTCCTGCGGACAGCCTCAGACCCGCGTATACTCTGCCCTTCCCGGATGTTTTCAAGGCCGGCTCGTCCCGGCCGACTATCAAATATGTCCGATACCTCACACCGCACCATATCCTGCTCTGCTGCAATCATGCCCAACGCAAAGGCGCTGAGCTTCTCATACTCCGCAAGCTTCCAGACGCGCCGGGTGAGGTCATCCTGCAGAAGAGGCTTCCGAGCCGCATAAAGGCTGCCGGAGGCATGGACGTCTGCGCGCTGAACGCAGACCCGGTGACCGGCGCACAGCAAATCGTGGTCGCTGTGGCCGGTCACGACATCTCAATCGAACTCTACACGCTCGAATACTCCGGCAAGACGACCGACACGCTGAGCCGGTTCAGCAGCTACAACACCCTCCGCGACGTCCACCCCCTCCAAATGACCAAGCTCACATTCTGCCCCTACCACTCACCCTGGCACTCCAGCTCGCCCGACGGGCCCCCCAAGACGCCCGGCCCGCAATACCTCCGCCTCGCGTCCACGTCGCTCGGCAACACGGTCGTCGTCGACACCTTCACCCTCGCGCCGCTGCGGCCCAGGCAGCCGCGCAGCCGGTACGTGCTCAAGGGCGGCGCCGCCGGCGGGCCGCTCGTCCACGCCCTCTCCGTGCTCGTCCTCGGCTTCTGCCTGCTCGTCACGCTGCTCTGCCTGCAGCAGTACCTCGACTTCACCGCCGCCCAGACCGGCCAGGACCCCTTTGTGCTCATCCGCGTGCCCGACGCCGTGCGGCAGTACCTCGACGCCGCGCGCGGCGGCCAGGCGTTCCTCCCGCCGGGCGCGCGCCAGTTCTTCCAGTCGGCGTCGGATTCCGTGTCGGACGCGGCGTCCGGCGCGGCAAGCGATATGGGCAGCAAGGCAAGCGACATGGGCAGCAGGGCGTCCGTCATCGTCGAGCAGACGGCCGCGAACGCGTACCGCCAGGCGGCGGACGCGGCGGACGAGGTCGTCCGCAAGGCGACGACGCTGCATCTGCGCACGCTGCTGGAGGCGTATGCGCCGGCGTACTTGAAGTCGTTGTACGATGATAGTGACAACAATGACGACAGCGACGGCGACGACGGCAGCAACAAGGCGATCCTCGTCCGCGCCACGGGCCCAACCGAAGTGGGCGAGCCGCAGCCGGGTGAGGACGATGGCGACGACGGCTCCGAGCGCCTCAGCGCAGAGGTGCACGGCAGCCGGGCGGCGGCGCGCCGGGCGGACGCGCACGCCCGCCGCTGGCAGGAGCTGGGCGAGGAGCAGAAGGCGGCGTGGCGGCGGCGGCTGGTCCGGTCCGGGGCGTGGGCGGTCGACGAGGGCGAGAGGGTGCTGAGGGGCGTGTTGTTCAGCGAGTATGCGGGGTTTGTGGGGAGGGTGACGGCCGAGGCGTTGAATGAGTAGGAGAGGTCTTTGAGACGTTTTTGTTTGCGGGAGAGGGGGCAGGGGGGGTTTGTAGTAGTAGTGATTCTGTCTCCTTTTTTTTTCTTTTTCCCTCCTATTTTATGGCATGTCATGGTCTGGTCGCTCTGGCTATGTGTGTGTGCGGTATGTATATATGATGATGGCATGGTGGATGTGAAGGTTTAATGTAAGAAGACTTGATGACGCTTTCTGCTCATGGGCTCCCTCTCGTCCTCTTCCATGGTCGTACAGACACTTGTCTGACTGTCTCAGATGGCGATGACTTGCTGAATTGTGAAGATGTAGGATGGCGCTGGCGCCGAGATGTATGAGAGGTGGTGAGAAGTTGTGAAAAATCAATCGATGGATCAGTGATGTCTGAGGGCGGAAAAACACATCACGAGCAAAAGAAGTGTAGCTTGGAGTCTCATTCGGTTATCCCTAAATAGTGATGGAGCCAGCTCCTTGTCTACTTGGTCTTTAGAGAGGGAAACCAAAAAAAAAAAAAAAAAAAAGGGAGTCCGGAAGACTGTTGATCCTGGTCCCAGTGTCAAATTGAACGTCCCCACTCCGCTCCGCTCGATCTCAACCGCCAATAACTGAACCCATTTCTAAAGGAGTGAGCATCCAAAACAGAAGAAAAAAAAAGCCCCCCCAAACAAAAAGCCAAAATCGAAGTAAGCCATCGCGCCCACACTGGCCTTGGCTGGCCGCAATGCTCGTCGTCCAGGCAATCGCCTAATCAGCAATTGGCGAGGCACTCGGCCTTCTGCTGGAGGGTGAGGCCGCGGCACCTGACAACACAGGCGCGGTGATAGCCACGCGAGCTGTTGGTGGTGTTCTCACCGTCATCATAGCGGGAGTGGTGGCCGTCGCCGACTGTATTATAAGCCGTAGCGATGGTGGTGGTGGTGGCGCTGATCACGCTGTTGACATTGCCGGTAGTGGGCGCGGTCGGCGGAGCGGCGGTGACAGGGCCTGCGAGGATGACGGCGGCGGCGGCGACGGCAGTGATGCGCATTTTCGCTGTCGTTTGGGGGCGAGAGGGTGGTGGCTGTGGTGTGCGGGCCGTGAGGGAAAGCCGTAGGCTGTTGGCTGTGTATGGGTGGGAGCGGTGGTGGTAGCGAGCGTACCTTGGGAAGCTGTAGCGTGCGCGTGAACTTTGTTGGAGCGCACGCGAGTGTGTGCAGATAAGGTTTCGAAGGTGAGGAAAGGGTTGGAGCCGGCGCAGGGGAAAATGCGAGCTTAATAGATCTTTAGGGAAAACAGAGGCACGCAACTACGCAGTCTGTTGCCAGGCCAGCGGGTTTTGTACTCACGTCATCACAGGTGGTACGGCTCACTCGACGCGAAAGTCTCAGTACGATGGCAGAATTTCAGAAGCAGAAATGAAAAGACTGTATTAGGTGTGCTTGAAGAAGTTGTTCGCTAAAGGACCCTATCTAGAGTCCTGCAAAGTGTCGAGCACCTGAAAAGAGTTCCTTCCTGTCTGTCGGTCGTGAACCCAGACTGCCTGCGCCAGCTAGAGGCCGTACTTGAAGGCGCACTTGATCACGCAGAGCATGTGCTGGAAGGTGCTGTCAGGGCACTTGTCCACGCAATCGTTGAAGTCGGCATCCGGGTCGCCAGAGCTCATGGCCTCGTTCTTGTTGTCGGCCGGCAAGGTCGGACGGTTTCCAGGAGTGAAGGTAGCCGTGGCGTTGACGCAGTCGACGACGGACTTGGCCGAGCTGTTGGGAGGAGCGGCGGCAGCCATGCCGGTGAGGACGCCGACGACGGCAGTGAGGACGGCGACGCGCATCTTGGCTTGGACGAAGATTGAGAGTGAGGTTGTGCTGTGCAAGACCATCAGCGATGGGTTGTGGAGGTAGCTGTGGTCGGGAACGTACCTTTTGTGAAGGAGTGTGCGAGAGCTTGCACGGTTTCTTGAGCTGATGCTGTGCGGAATGAATACGGTGAAGAAGAGGGAAAGGTTTGGATAGGGCGGAGGAAAGGCAAGGCTTTTATGAGCGACAACTCTCGCCCGGGGCGAAGGCACACGTGACTGGATTGTCGGGGCGGCATGTGCATGGTCAACTTTGGAAGGAAAAGGAAGGAGCCATCTCACGCTGCATGGCTCGCGTGTGAGAGTTTGGTTTGGTCTTGAGAGTCTTCATTGTCAGCACCTGGATGCCTCAGCTATTGCCTCCTTCGTGTCACTGTCATTGTGTAAATGAAGTTGGAAGAATGACTGCAGGTTTGTATTGTATACATGCTGGCAGCTATCTAATTATCATTCCCGACCACGAAGTTTTCAGCCCGTGTAAAGCTACTAGTACTGGAAGATGCCCGACCACCCATGCATCCCTGGAAATCAAGGAAGGCAGGTGAGAATGATCCCTGGTGGGATCAACCATGGCGCCGCCCGCGATGCAGTCGAACATTCAAGCGGGAGTAGATGAGCCAGCAGAGTCCGGGACGGCCAGGGTCGCAGTGTAAGCGCGCTCAACGCAATCCATGATGCAATCATCGTTGATGGTACCGCACCTCGCCTTGCAAGAGTAGATGAGCGGGTCCGAGCAAGTGTCGACGACGTGTCGCAGGCACTGCCTGTCGCCTCGACGGCACTGGTCGGCACACGGTGACAAAGCGACATGATTGGTGATGGCAGGAGCCGACACAGTGCGTGGGACGTTGTCACGGGCAGCCATGGAGACGACCTTCTGGGTGAGCGTGGTGCTGGTCTTCTCGGTGATGAAGGAAGGACAGCCAATGCCCCAAGCGTGCTGACAGCTCCAGTAGTACTGGTAGTTGCAGTAGACCTTGCAGTATTTGGAGCCGCGTGATCCACAGGCATTGTAGCATTCCTTGTTGTCGAAGTAAAGGCTGTACTGTTCGGGGTGGACGGCGTCCGCACTGACCGCGCCCGGAGCGTCATGGAAGGCCTTTTTGACGCAGCTGTTGATGCAGGGATAGAAGTTGGTGTGGTAAGTGCAGCCGGACAGACAGTTCTTGTCATTGTCGTCCATGCACTTCAAGAGGCAAGGTCCATCGTCGAGGTCACACTTTTCCGAGCACTCCTTCGTCGCAAGTGGTTCAAGCGCGGCGGCGGTCCGGGTGGCAGCGGGGTTGACCTCTGCGGCCACAGCGATGCTGGCCGTCGCGATGCCGAGCATCAGCAGTGAGATCAGCTTGAGACGCATGTTGGAAGCGCTGTGTGACCGTGTCAGTGGGATGAGCACAGCATCAAGCCAAGGTGAGAGCCAAATACCTGGAAGCGATGGCGTGTGGTTGTTCGAGGAAGAGGTTGGAGTGTCTCGGTCGCAAAAGAGCCAGAGTTATATGGGCGAGTGGACGGAGACACTGAGCCCCAATGCACGAGCTTGGATGACGTAAAGCTTCTGCTTCCATCTGCAGGTGGGGTGGGTATCTCTTACTAAACACGTGTGCTACAGCCCGGCGAACAGGTCGTCGATGGTGTTGGCCTTGCTCTTCTTCGTCTTTTTCTTCTTCTTCTGTCAAGAGACGGACTGCTAGCCTTGAAGACCCTCAATGAGTCCCAAAGTCACCCAATACCAAACAAAAGCTCTCAAGGCAAGTGCAGCCACGCACATGACATAGAGCCAGATAACTATAAGAATGCTAAAGAACTCAAGGAAAGAATCGACAACGATTGGTCTTTGAATTGACTCTGAACCGCTTCATTTTGACTATCTTGATCTACCTATCTTACAGATCCGCATTACGTGCGGCACTTGTCCTGCTGCGTGAACACATACCGGGCTACCTATGTGGGGACAATAGCAGCTGCCTGCTATCGTGTTTCAGATCTGCCCCCTCCTACTTAGGAACTACTCTTTCCCTCCTCCGCCCTACCCGCCTTCTGTACGTTCTTCCAACCTTCTCTTGGACATGATTGCGACAGGGACGAATTGGCGGCCCGCTTCTGCAACTGCTCTTCGCAACACTTCATCCCTATGCAGACTTCTCTTCAGCGACAACAGCCGTCAAAGACCAAAGACCAACCTCCACGCGCACAGCATCGGCGCCGTCGCCCATCCGAGATCTGGCACTCCCTCCAACCCCGAATATCCTCCATCGCGAACCTCCCTCCCGCTCCCTCAAGCGCTTCCGCCACCGACCCATCCATCTACAAACAACAAGCTCCACCCATCGTCTCTCTCATCAACACGATTCACCCGCCCCGATCTACCAATTCCCCGCCGCCGGAAGATCTCAGCAACGCTGCAGTGCAGTTCCAGACCCAACTGCCGACAAACCTTCTCCTCTCGAGCGTAAGCCCAACTCCAAGTCTCCAACAGCAACTAACCCACCCTTCTGCACGCGCCGTGCTGCAAGAAACTCGCTCTACATGCGCCAGAGGACACTAGGACAGCCTCTCACCAATGCGTCACCGCTCGAAACAACCACCATGACATAAATCGATATCTGCATTTGAACAGACTAGCTATGGCCTCAACACTTTTCCATAAGGCCGCTACCCATTGATAAGACCGGAGAACCCCGTTCAGATGATTTCCGCCACCTGTGTTCAGAAGAAAAACAGAAAACAAAAGTGATGGGGCAATCCACCGGGGAAAGCAGAAAACAGTCATCAGCAAAGTAGAACAAGCAAATCCCATCACCATCAACCCGAAATTCTCAACCAACCAGGCCAATCATCATCCAGGACTTGCACCTATCGCAAGAAGTTCCCAAAGGAAAGCCAAACGACAGGACACAAGAAACTAATGATGCCTGGTTAGTAATAGCTGACACGAGCCATGCCGTAGATACCGTTGGGGTTGCCACGGTCAAACTGGCTGTGGAACGAGTCACGACGGTACTCCTCGCGAGAGTGGGCAGGGTAAAGGCCCTGCGTCTCGGCGTTCTGGCGGCTGCGCGCCAGCTTGGCCTCATTGTTGGGGCCAGGGAACTCCTTCTCCGCGCCCACCAACGGCAGCAGCAACGGATCAGGGAAGTCCTGGAACGTGTAGAACAACTGCTCCTGTTAGCTACACCCGCCTCAACTCCAGACTCAGGAAAGAAACTCACCCTCGGGCGGCAGTTCGGTGACTCACACATCACCGAGGAGTTGCGGAACTTCTCGATGAGCGATTCCACGCCCTGGACAGTCGCGTATGACATGGCAGCCCTCTTGCTCGAACCCAGATGTCCAGGCCAGCCCTGAGCGTCAAGCTTGCTTTTGACATCGACAATGGTCATAGGCATGTCGAAATTGACAAAGGCGTAGCCAACGTTGCACATGTTGGCAAAGTCAATGCGAAGGTAGAGAAAGTCGAACTTTCCATGAACCCAGCTGTCCAGCAGAGCTTCCAGATCGTACTGGTCGGGGGGTTATTACTATCCACAGAGCATGGGAACAGAAAAACTTACTGTAGTCATCTGGTTGGGGATGTTGCGCAGCATCACAGTGGTACGCACATCCAGGCCACGCCTGATCTTTTCTACGTCAATCGCGTTGTTCTGGTCGTCGCGACGGCCAGAGCCGAAGGAAGTACGGCGCGCTGCAGAGTAAGCACGCTCGCGGAACGGCTGGACAGGTCCGCCCAACTGGTAGATCTGCACGGGACCGCTGTGACCTCCACGCGGAAGGATGGAAGCTCCACGCTGCAGGACCGGAATCGCAACGGTGGGCTCATAGCCCGTGGGCTGGAAACGCTCGACCTGAGCGAAGTACACGGACCCCTACATCCAAGTTAATCGTGTCTAGGCCACAGAAACAAATCCGCCTCTCACCTTGACCTCACGGCACACGGACCACTGCTTCAAGAGGTATTCCGTGAAAGCAAGCGAGTCCAGCTCCATACGGAACTGATAGCCGTATCCAACGGCGTTGGCGGTCGCACCCAGGCAAACCACGGCGCGCTGCGCCTCACTGCCAAGGACCTGATCCATCCAGGCCAACATGGCCAGAAAGGCCGGCTTGCGGTCACCGAACTTCTCACGGGCTTGAGTGATGTTGACGAGGACCTGGCCCTCGTACTTGTTGAAGCACGGCATGTCGGGGTGGCGGTTTCCCAGGAGGTGGGCATAGTCCGTGACCTTGAGGAACTGCAGGTGGCCCTCACATTCAAGCTCATGGTTGGCATTGATAGCAGCCTGAGCCTGGGACAGCATGTCAAACTCGAAGACAAGGGTTTTCGGACCAACCCTGCCAATGTTCTTGGCCTGGTCGAAGATGGAACTCGTCTGTTCACAATTAGGAAGTGAAGGGAGGCGGGCAAAGTGAGGTACATGATGACATGAGGTGAGGTAGTTGATGGGATGAAGTGAAGTAGATGAGGTGAGGTGGGTGGGTGAAGTGAGGTGAAATGAGGTAAGTGACAGTGAGATGAAATGAGGTGAGTGAGTAAAGCAGGAGCAGGAAACTTGCCTTGAACTTGAGGGGATCGGACTGAGTGCCGGCCAAAGGCTCGAACTTGACATAGCGAGAAAGGGGATGACCTTCTTTGCTGGTGAAGTAGACATTCTTGGGGTCGCTGAGGCTTCTGAGGATGGCGTCCAGGGTGGCAGCCTCAGGATCAAGGGCCAGCTGATGAGGAGGAAGGCCGACGACGCTCGTGGGACCCGGACCGGTCACACCAAGGGAGAGATTGACATTGCCAGCAACATTCTGGCCGGGAACAGAGAAAGGAGGGCTGGAGCTGGAGCCCAAGAAGCTCGAGGAAGGCATGTCTGCTGGAAGGGCAAGAAAGAGCGCGTCTGCGCGACGTTGGATTGTCAGAGAAAGCACAAGCTTCGGGTCGGAGACTGAAGGAAGGAGGATGGGTGGAGGGTCAAAAGAAGACCAGAAGGAGGGGGGGTGGAGCGGTATAAATAATGCCGGCAGCGAAGCAGCCGCAGCGGCCAAGCCAGCGCTCGGTAACGAGGCTCTAGTCCGCTTGAAGGACGGGCTAGTCCACTTGGAGCGATTGCGGCATCAAGCAGGCGAAGGTGAGGTGCGTTTCTGGCGGAAAGAGAAGCCGCTGGCACAGCAGGGAAGGCACGGTGAGGCACGGCGGTCCCGGCGTGAACCGCCGAACCGGAAGAGCAGCACACACAGCAACGTGGCTGCCAGACGCCGGAATCCAGGCCACACGATTTGCGGGCACGCACATGGAGTCGCAGATGGGCTTTTGGTGGGGTGAAGCTGCCATGGAGCGTGCTGTGATGCGGGAGCAACGATGCAGGCACGCTAAGACAACCCTTCGCCTCACCACGCTTGTACTCTCAAGCTCCGGTGTATGCCGGTGAGCCCGAGCACACTTCTCATACGAGCTGTGGATGTTCTACAAGGTTGGCAGGATGGCACGCTCCCCCGTTGTCGTTCGCTCCTATTTCGTACGGTTGAGGCGCCAACAAGGAGGCTATCACTCATTTAATGAGCATCAGCAGCAGTGGCACGTCTGCTACTACACCTCGCTGCCCGAAAGGGGGAACCCCTCGAAGCTCGGTGAGGCCTGGGTTTGTTGCAAGCGTTCCGGCATCACTGCTGCAGCCGCCATGCGAAGGACGCAAGAGGCGTCTCAGGAGAGGAGGCGGCGTGGAGAGCTGTTGCTAGTGGTATCACACCAGAGGCAAACTTTTATACCTAGCATCAGTGCCATCCGTCGTATGTCTACGCAGAGAAATGCTTAGGTGGGAGACGAGGCTTAAATTAAGACAAGCTTAAATTAAGACAGCGAGGCAAGCCTCACCCGCAATGACTGCAGGCTCTGAGTGTGCATTGTTGTCAAAGTGAGGTTGGCAAGACACGGCAAGGTGAGGTTGTGAGGTTGTAAGGTGAGGTCGTGAGTGAGGTGGTGAGGTGAGGTCTGGGGGCAGGGGTGACGGCGGCGGTAGGGCTGAGACACTGAGACATGGCCCGGGCGCGACAGCCGCCTTCAGCGCCCGCGCCCCGACTCCCGACCGCCGCATCATCACCGCCCGATCGTGCATCGCTGAAAGAAAGCACCTGTCCGCTGCGCCCGAGAGCTTCCCGCGCGGCGACTTGCAACGACGGCTCCCGCGGACGATGCGCGTGGCTTGAACCGCGCTGTTCAGTCACCCAGTTACTCAGTCACTCTGCATCGACGGCGCGGCTGCCTGCCCGACGCTCCCCCGGACAGCCCCCGCCTGCCCTGCACCGCTGCGCCTAGTCCCCCGCCTCTCCCTCTGCAGCCATGCCCGCCGCCCTAGACCCCGCCGATGACCTCGCCGCAGCCGTCCAGCAGGTCCGTTGCCCCCTGTCGCTGCTGAACCAAACTCATCATGCCAGATTACGCTTTCCTCGTCCGATGCCGACTCCATCGACCAGCTGGCCCCGCTGCTCAAGGATGCTCGCAACGATGGCAACCGTGCAGGCCACATCATCCAGGCCCTGAACCAAGTCTCGGCCGCCCGTGAGTCTGACATCGAGCGCATGTGCAACTCCAACCATCAGGAATTCGTCAACTCGGTCAACCAGCTGCTGCGCGTCAGAGAGGGCACCGTCGATCTGACTGCCGAGATCCTGAACCTGAGCCAGTCCATCCAGGCCAGCACTGAGAAGCTTGCCGGCCAGAAGAAGGCCCTCGTCGACTCGAGAGGCGTGCGCCAAAACGTCGACGAAGCCACCAAAGCACTGAACGCATGTCTCGAGGTTCTGCGGCTAGCTAACCAAGTCCACGACCTCCTTGCCAAGAAGAGTCATTATGCTGCTCTGCGTGCCCTGGATGAGTTGCAGAACGTCCATCTGCGCGAAGTCTCTCGCTACAAAATCGCCGAGATGATCGAGACGTCCGTCCCGGCCACCCAGAGACTCATCGCCGAGGCCGTCATGACAGATCTAAACACCTGGCTGTATCGCATCAGGGAGGCTTCGCAGTACATGGGTGAAGTTGCTTTCTATCACACCGACATGCGCCGGACACGCCACGAGGAACGCATCAAGGCCGACGAGTACCTCAATAAGTTCCGCTTGAACTCGGCCATTGAGCTTGTTGCCGATGAAGGAGATGAGTTTGACATCCTCAATGACGACGAGACAGAGATCAAGGTCGACTTTTCACCCTTGTTCGAGGCAATGCACATTTACGAGACGCTGGGTCGTAGCGACGAGTTTCGTACAGAGTACGCGGCTACAAGAAGAAGGCAGAAGGAGCTACTCATTCCAAGCTCGATCAATCTTCTGGATGAAGAAGACGGCGATTTGAGCAGCTTTTTGGAGAGTATTGCGGGTTTCGCCATTGTGGAGCGGACTACGATGAGGAAGACCGAAAACCTGCGCACAACAGTTGATGTAGGTTCACTCTTGTGCCTGTTGGGGACAGAAACTGAAAGTTACTCTAGGTTGACGAGCTTTGGGACTCCATGTGCCAAAGCGCCATCGCATTAATCACAAATGCGCTGCACACTATTGACAGTGACGAGAAGTTGCTGAGAATCAAGGGCCGGATCGCTCTATTTCTCCAAACTATGGAAGTGAGTCTTACCACAGGATGGACGAAGCCATGGTCCGAGACTGACTTTTATCTCAGAGCTGGGAGTATTCGGTATCTAGCATCAATGCTTTGCTTCTCACTCTATTTGAGAAGTACTCGCAGCTTCTCAAGAAGCGCTTCAGTGAGGACTTCCAGGAGATCGTGTCGACCGATGACTACATGCCAATGCCAATCCAAACTCCTGACGAGTATGATAAAGTGGTTAACGTCAGCTGGTACACATCAGAAAAGCCACAGGAGGAGCTCACGTATGCCTCATTTCCCCGCTACCGAAGACTCGTACTGATGCATCTCTAGCTTCCCCTGCGTGCTGCCATTCTCACAGATGTATCCGCTGTGCTGCATCGATATCCGCAACTTCCTTAACCAGATGTATCTATTCTCCGACGACAACTTCCAGCGCTCCACAGTCATTGATGAGACCCTTCGGAAGGTAGGTACACTTTACTCCACACTTGCAAGGACACATTCTAAATTCCAAATAGTCTCTGGACGACCTTCTGTGCTCGAAAGTTTGCCAGATGCTGGTGGACCGCCTCAGCTCGCAATATCCTGGACAGATCGTCCAAATCCTTACGAACCTGGAACACTTCGAGACCGCTTGCAAGGAGCTTGAGGTTCTCCTCTTCGAAGCGCGCTCGTCGAGCGCAGCTGCTGGCCCGATCGTTCTAAATGCAACCGAGGCCTTCCGCGCCGGCAAGAAGACGGCCGAGAAGCGCATCTTCGAGCTAGTCAACAGCAAGATTGATGACCTGATCGAGACCGCGGAATACGACTGGTAACTCCCCCCACCATATGAACGTTTGAAGCCCAAGGCACATGATGCTGACCACTCTATTTTCCCCCCCTCCACAGGGAGTCCACCAAGCCCGCGCCCGAGGTCAGCAACTACATGCAAGAGCTGACGCGCTACCTATCCAACATCATGAACTCGGTCCTCCTCGGCCTGCCCGCCGAGATCAAAGAGCTCATCTACTTCGACGCGCTCTCGCACGCGGGCGCCATGATCCTGTCGCTCCCGCTCGACGACTCGGTCCGGCGCATCTCGCCGGCGTCGATCAAGACGCTGTCGCAGGACGTCGAGTTCCTGTCGTCGTTCGTCGACACGCTCGCCAACCCCATCCTGCGCGAGAACCTCGACGAGCTGCTGCAGACGGTCACGCTCATGCAGACGGACGACCAGCTCGAGTTCTTCGACGTCTCGCAGCGCAACCGCAAGTACGGCCGCGTCGATCGCGAGCACGGCGCCATCCTGCTCGAGAAGGTCACTCAGGGCCAGAGCGTCATCGCCGACACGAGCAGGGCTGGTAAGCTCATGAACAGGATCGGCTTTGGTAGGGATTGAGAGAGAGAATAAGGCATGGTGTTTGTTTGTATGTGTATGTGTACCTGGGGGGCTGACTGCTACGTGCCGGGAAACCGGAGAGAGTTTTTGGTGTTGGGGGGATGTCTGATCTTGAGGTAAATGCGTATTATACGGTATTTTGCTTTATTTCGGTGTTGTCCCGCATAAGTTGCAGACCGGGTGTCACTCGCGTATCCATAGACAAAATCTTTAGGGAACCATCTCATTGACACAGACTTTCGATTCAAGCACAGCGCAACGGCTAGGAGGAAAAGAGACCTAGGACTTGATTGAGACTTTCAGTGTCATTTGAAACGAGTACATACAAAGAATCGTATTTTTTGGCTTACTACTCCGAACGCTAGACCACTCTTTGCAAGGGATTCTATCGAAACGGAAGAACCTACCAACCATTGCCTTCGACACTCTTAACCATTTTTGATACTTCCATTTTACCCTCTTTTTCTCAGATCATTGCAAGGGATATCAGAAGAGAAGAGAAGGAACAAAATTTACCATCCTCTCTTGGCCAGTCTCTCGCCCTCGGGCATCTTCTCGACGTTCAGGCCCACCATGGCCTCGCCCAGATCCATGCTAACCTCGGCAAGGACCTTGGGGTCGCGGAAGTGGGTGACGGCCTGGACGATGGCCTTGGCGCGCTTCTTGGCGTCGCCGCTCTTGAAGATGCCGGAGCCGACGAAGACGCCGTCGCAGCCGAGCTGCATCATGAGGGCGGCGTCGGCCGGGGTGGCGACGCCGCCGGCGGCGAAGTTGACGACGGGCAGGCGCTTGAGGGCGGCCGTCTGCCGGAGCAGGTCGAAGGGGGCGCCGATCTCCTTTGCGAAGATGCGCAGCTCCTCGTCCGACATGTTGGCCGCGCGCGCGATCTCGGCGTTGACGGTGCGCATGTGGCGGACGGCCTCGACGACGTCGCCGGTGCCGGCCTCGCCCTTGGTGCGGATCATGGCCGCGCCCTCGCTGATGCGCCGCAGCGCCTCGCCCAGGTTGCGGCAGCCGCACACGAACGGCACCCGGTACCCGTGCTTCTCGACGTGGTGCACGTTGTCGGCCGGCGTGAGGACTTCGGACTCGTCGATGTAGTCGACGCCGATGGCTTCGAGGATCTGGAGTATGGGTTAGCAAATAACGGAAGCATGGTACGGTTTGTGCGGCATCGGTTGGGGCTCGTGGCGCCGCCCTTGGCCCAGGCAGGGACTTTTGCTTGGCCTGGCTTGGTGGCTGAATAGGTATTTCCTCGGCGGCCCAGGAAAAAAGTCTCCAGGCCACGTATGGAGAGAGGACAAGCCTGATCCCTGCGCAGCAAGACACCACCCAGAGCTGATGTCGTAAGGCTTGTATGAGTGGAATGCATGGGGATCTGAGGACCCTCCCGGCAAGAACGGCGGAGAGACACGGAAGCCGGAGGCGGGAGCGGGAGCGGCGGACGGATGGAGGGGGCGGTGGTCGTGGTGGTCGTCTTTTCAGCGTACCTGGCACTCGACGAAGTGACCGATGCGGGCCTTCGCCATGACGGGAATAGTGACAGTGTCCATGATCTCCCTGATCATCTTGGGATCCGACATGCGTGCGACGCCGCCCTGGGCACGGATGTCTGCAGGCACCCTCTCGAGCGCCATGACTGCTGCTGCGCCAGCTTCCTCTGCTATGCGCGCCTGCTCGTGCGTCAGCGGAGGGCTGCCCGTGTGGGAAGGCAATTGGAAGCAAGTACCTGCTCGGCATTCACGACGTCCATGATGACTCCGCCCTTCAGCATGCGGGCCAGGCCGGCCTTGACCTGGAAGTTGTTGGCCTGGCCGTCTGCTGCGGCGCCGGTGCCGTTGGTGGTGGGGAGTTCCGAGGCCATTGTATCAGCTGTGGTGGCAGACGAGTGCTTGTGAGGGCGGAGAGAAGTGAGGAACGAAGAGAGAGAAAATATGCAGCTAAAGAAAGTGTATGATTTACGAAGGGAAAGAGTCGGGACAGTGAGTCACTAGCAGCCGGCTACCCGCGGCGTCAACGGCGACAGAAAATCGAATGTCGTTGACAAACCAAAGGGCGCGCCGCAGCAGCGATAGCGGGGGGCAATGCGCTAGTGGACATGCGGGCGGGATCTCGCATGATGAGCTGGCCGCGTCTGGACTCTTGGTGTCGCACAGCCGGCGGCCATGTATTGTCAGCGGGAGCCAAGGCTGGGGAGCAGCGACGAGGGGCACCTGCTTCCACCTGCTGCAGGGGCCGCAGAGCGACACGGCCCGAAGCTCATGACGTGGGTCCGGATACCTACCGCCCCGCCGAACCCGTGGAGCTCTCCTGCCGCTTCCTGACGCGTCCACCTGAGCCACCACGGTGTTCACTTTCCCGCATCCGCCTGCTTTCGCATTCCTTTCCCGTAAACTCATAACGACGAACTATGGCTGCCCTCCGCCTGCTCCGCCCGCTCTCCGTCGGCTTGACCGCGTCCGCTCTTCTCGCCACCCCGCTCCTTTACCGTCCGTCCTCCTTCCGCGTCTACTGCGACGGCGCCACCGGCCAGTCCGCCGTTTCCTCGCGCGACTGGTCCTTCGATCAATATTCGCGCGAAGCACGCACCCCAATTGTGCGAAAAGGCCGCGCCAATCCCCGCATTTGGCGCCAGATCAGCTCAGGGAGCATAATAGGTACGTTAGTCGGGCGAACCCGGGTCTCCACCTTCCCCCAAGGCCTGCTTGTGTGGGGTTCGGAAGATCATGCCGGACGAATGAAGCAGTGGTCGTCGCAACTAGCAGCTTTGTGACGTCTAGAAGCTTGTGGAGATGGTGTTGTCCCTTTATTGCTGTTGGACGTTGTGTATGAGAGAAGACCTACGCAAACAAGCTTTGACAACGGACTACGGCAATCTATCACCGGAAATTCAAGGGAAAGGAGAACGACTGGCAACACGTGGTGTTGGGTGGAACTTTGGAAGCATGACCAAACGCTGACGCTTGGCGTGTGATTCAGGCGTAATCGGTGGGCTGGCAGTCAGCACCTTCTCCAAACCATTGGCACTGCTCATTGGACTTCTTGTCTTGGGAAACCAGGTAGGTTCCCAGCGCGTTTATTGTGATTGTCCCCATCGAAGAAAAACTATACTGATTGAACATACGTTCCAGTTCCTCGAATCCCGCGGCATCCACATCATTCCGTACGGCAGGATTCAGAAGTATGCCAAGGGCATTGATGTTCGATCTGCACTGCAAGATAACATTGCTTTCAAGCTTTCTTTTGGCACAACTTTCATGCTAGCCGCGTTCGCCGAGTTTTAATGGGCTTTTCATACAAGTTTAACGAGCACGATATGTACGATTACGCAAAAATGGGTGGCATGGTCAGTTCACTGTAAGATGAGACTTTCAGCAATGGGTTCGGGTGGTTCGGTCACACGGTCTGCATGTACACAGCCTAATTCACGAAATAATCTCAGTAGCCCTGCGTATTTACCAGCTTCTCGCGCGATCGTTCGCGTGGTCAGCTTTGCTTTATCCAAATAAATGCGCATATCTCACTGCCGTCTTGTGTGCGTCCATTGCCACTTTCAAGACAGCTTCCCTCTTTCTTTTGAGGTGGTGGGTCATGCCGATGATTCTACCACCCATCCGCAACCGTTCCCAACTACGTCAGAACTGGTTTTGGGAATGCAGCATATATCTCAGCCGTCGGGCCGCTCTGATCTGAGTCAAATCCTGTGATCCATTGGCCACAACCCTGCCCCCCATATCTTACACTATTGCACACCGCTGAACACTATCATCTGTGGCTTCCTCAACTTCGAAGGTTCCCCATTCCGGACATGGACTGACGGACACTCGGGAGCCGTTCACAAAATACAGAGTGGAGACCAAGCTCCTATTATTACACATCATTTGGTTTACATGCCCTAGCAAATGTTTTTTTCTCTTTTAACCCCGCCTCTTCATCTCCTCGTGCTTGCGAACAGCATCTTCGAACATCGACCGACATGGCACCCTGCTGCCTAGTCGAGCACACAACAGGAAAGCCCCGCTCAACTTCCGGTGCAGCGAGTACGTCTCTTCCGGCGGCGGCGCTAGACGCTCGCGAACCATAGTGGGAATAAACCCTCGCACCCTGTCGGTGATGGTCTGGTCTCTGAAATCGTACACTGCCGGGCTGTCCGCCGTAAACGGCTCCGCCAGCGTGAGAACCGAGTCGATGTGTGCGTTCAGCATAGCTGAGGATTCTGCACCGGTGAGATAGCCGAGCTGGATTGAAAGATCGCGGATTGTGTTGCGGTCGTTGCGAGAAGCTGCGATGAGCACATTGACGTATGGCTCGGTGAACTCCAGCGGGTAATCGCGGGAAGCCCCAAAGTCAAGCAGTTCAATCTTCCTGTCCTGTGCGTTGTACAGGAAGTTGGTCCAGTTGGGGTCCGTTTGCATGAAGCGGAATTCGACTAATTCACGCAGACACAGTCGTAGGATGTTGGTGCCGATCCAGTCCCTCTCTTCCTGGCTGATTGAAGAGAGCTTTGTCACGCCCTTGCCGGACATCAATTCTGCCGTCAGCACCTCCTTGCCCGAAGCTTCGGGCACAACGGTCGGCACCCTGAACGTGTCTGTTTCATCAGCCAGAAGCTTTCTAAAACGCTCCTGGCACTCAGCTTCACGAAGATAGTCACATTCCCAGCCCAACTCCGTACGCGCGTTGGCAATCGTCTTGTCGAGAAATAGGCCCCTTGGCAGCAGCCGTGATGCCGTCAAAAGAAGTGAGAGGTTGCTCAAATCTGAATCAATCGAGTTGGCAACGCCGGGGTATTGGACCTTCACCGCCACGGCCTTTCCATTCGATTTGAGTACAGCTTTGTGCACCTGACCAATTGACGCTGCCGCAATGGGAACATCCTCGAAAGACTCGAACAAGTCTTTCCAGTTGCTGCCAAGGTTGCTTGCGAGGACTTTGTTGCGCTGAGAGGCAGGCATGTAGTCCGCACTGTCTTGGACTCTCTGCAGGACGTCATGGATCTGGGGAGGGAGCATCTTGATATCTGCCACATGTTCAGCGATTCACTTGCTATTGTGCCTTTTCACTCCACGACTCACCCTGGAAACTGATCATTTGGCCAAGCTTGAGAGCTGCGCCCCGCATTCTCGAGAGCTTAGCCACGAGCCTTTCCATGTTTCCAGCGCTAAGCATCAACGAAGCGCCCGTCGCCGCTCCTCCGGTAACGCGGCGCAAGCTCTCGCCAACGGCACCAAATGCCATGCTAGTTCCAAGACCGGCATATTCCCAGATCCTACCGAAGCGGGACGAGGGAACGCGGGACTCCCTTAACTGGTAAGCAGCCTTCTCGGCATCCGCGCTTATCTCTGGAGGGATCTGCGAAGTGTCAGTGGGCCGGTGCTGGATCTTGTGGAGTATTTGTGTAGATACCTCTGCTGTCGAAGGAGCGTTCGCGGCATCCTTCGCGATTTCCCTTGCTAGATTCTGGATTTCTGCGCGAGAATCTTTCTGCTCCACTGCCTTAGCGGGCTGTGGCGGGGGTGCTGGATTCGTCGCATCGGAATTGCGCACATTGAAAGTATCCTGGTCATGTCCCTCTGCGAGTGTGGTGTGATCGATGGGGGTCGGGCGGGCAAACTCCATTTCCAATTCCTTATGGCGATCGAGACCGGGCTTCCTTGCGCCAAGCATACGTGCCACTCGGGGAGAATGGAACACATCTAGGTTGATGCCTTCAGGGACCTCCTCTTGTTCAGGAATAGCTTGTTGTTTGGGCACTGGTTCCGGCTTGCCATGGCTCTCAGCAGAGTAGTAGACGTCGGCATTAATCGCACCATCGTCAACCTCCTCTTTTGATCCCTGCACGGCCTCGGCGACTTGTGGAAGCTTGACTCGCGGCAGGGACGAGAGCTCTGGGCTCGTCTTGCCTGAGCGAAACTGGAAAGTATCCGCGTTTGGCTCAGTCGTCAGATTGCCCTCGGAATCAGCCGATCTGCCAGGGATCTGAAACTCCGCCTCCCGCTGGCGTATCCTCGCCTCCTCAGCCGAGAGACGATCCCGCCCGCCAGGCGTTGGTATAGTAGACTCCGAGGAACTAACCGGCCGAATGCTTTCCGTACCGGCCGACTTTTCTTGCGCGAGTGGCGCCTTCGCAGGCTCCGGGGTAGGGCGATACGAGAAGAAATCAAATTTTTCTGAACCGGAGCGCAGGTCTGCGTCGGCCGCTGGTATCGTACCATCGGGCAATGGCCGTCTGTCTGCTTCCTTCTGGGTCACGTCCAGCTCATCCTTGGGCGGAGGCTGGTGCACGGCATTGTGTTCAGATTGGTCATAGTGATGGTCCTGGGCCAGGCCTGACTTCTGCTGGATCGGGGCATCGTCGCCCTTCACGGTACTCCTGCGAGGAACATGCTCATCGGGCTCGGCTGAGGTTTGTTCGGAGCGGGTGTAGGACGGCGGGGGTTCGTTGAAGCGTTGCGACAGGGCAATGGCGGCGCGAGCAGTGACGGTGACGCGATCGGTCTGGTTTTTGACGGCTCTGGCGAGGGACGAGGTCTGGGAATAGACATCGAGTTGGTGCGAGCGTAGAGCTATGTGCTGCTTGGCAACGGCGCGCGTCGCATTGAACAGCTTGGCCGCGTCGAGCAGCCGTCTGCCAGCCATTGGTGCGGAGGTTCGACGGAATTGCGTGCGCTACCGGGTCGGCATCGTGCAGAGAGCTGGGAGGGCTGGAGGAGGCCAGAGAAGTCGGCGGAGCTCTGGATTCGCTTGGTGGGCTCGTGCGCGAGAGGTGAGTCTTGCTCGGTCGATCAACGTCGTCATGCCGCTTCCCGCCAGCCCAGCCTGACACGTGACGCCGATAAAACAACATCCACCCATCGCGGCCCTCCGTGCTGCCCTGTTACTGGTGCGTGCTACCCGTAGTGTCTCGAAGATCCTCCTGCCATCAGCGCTATGCAGTCGGCTCTCTGGTTCCCCTCTTTCTGCTCTCTTTCATGGCTACATATCGAGATGTCTGTCCTTTGGAGTCGCGCTGCAGATAATTTGCTATTCCCATCGACCTTTGTTTGACCTTTTCCTTTTCCCTTGGTCTTCCCCGCGTCATAACTTTTCATGAATCTGTGCTCGACACACAGTCACGCCTGGAACCAACGCTACTTGACACCCACTTTCTGATCGTCCCGCACGCAGCACCTCCCCCCCATCCCCCATTCTCTTGAACGTCGTCCACCCACGCACACGCCGCACGACCGCACGCGCCCAGGATGAAGATCGGCTGTCTCCAGTACGCGCCGGAGGTGGGCCAGCTGCACACCAACATGGCCAAAGCCAACGTGCTCATCGACGACGCCATCGGGGACGGCCGGACGGCGGGGCTGGACTGGCTGCTGCTGCCGGAGCTGGCGCTGACGGGCTACAACTTCGCCTCGCTCGAGGCCATCGCGCCCTTCCTCGAGCCGACGGCGGCCGGCGCCTCGACCAAGTGGGCCGTCGACGTCGCGACCCGCCTGCGCTGCCACGTTACCGTGGGCTACCCGGAGCAGGCCGCCGACGGCCGCCGCTACAATTCCACCGTCACCGTCTCGCCCGCCGGCGCCGTGCTGGCCAACTACCGCAAGACCTTCCTCTACTACACCGACGAGACGTGGGCGCACGAGGGCGATCGCCAGTTCTTCTCCGGGAACCTGGGCACGCTGGGCCGGGTGTCAATGGTAAATTTTATACACATTCACTTTTCCCCGTTCCCCGGAACAAGTCCCAGGAATAAAGGAAACTTATGAGAAATAAACTCCACACAGGGCATATGCATGGACATCAACCCCCAAAAGTTCCTCGCGCCGTGGGACGCGTACGAGTTCGCCCGCGCCGCGCTGCAGGCCGACTCGCCCATCATCGCCCTCAACATGGCCTGGCTGACGCGCCAGACGGCCGACGAGGTGGCCGCACAGCGCGCCGACCCGGACGGCGAGACGCTCGCCTACTGGCTCGAGCGCTTCTTCCCGCTCATCGACGCCGCCAGCCGCCGCCCGCCCATCATCCTCGTCATGGCCAACCGCTGCGGCGTCGAGGGCGGCGCCGTCTACGCCGGCACCAGCACCGTCATGAAGGTCGAGCGCGGCGAGGTCCCCGTCCGCATCTTCGACATCCTCGGCCAGGGCGAGGAGAACCTGCTGGTCGCCGACTTGAACGAGGTCAGTTTGCCCGAGGCTCCGATATTGCTCTTTCTGGGAGCGCCTTTCATCGTTGCTGGGAGGGGATCAGAGTGCTAATGTGATCCAACAGGCGCCAAAATGGTCCGTGACTACTCGCTCAGAGCGACCACCGAATTCGTGATGCTATAAAGGTGGCAGGGATCCGAAGTGACGACAGCGAGCCGACAGACCCCATTTGGGGTTTGGCGAGTGTGTAGATGCTGTTTGGGTGTGATCGTCGCAGTGCGCGCGACAAATGAGGAGTTGCTGGCTTGTTGCACTCCCCCAAGCCCGGGAACGGCGTATTCCCGCAGTGGCTGCTCCAAGTGACACCATCAAGCACAATGTGGATGTGCAAGTAACTTCATTTCGCACTTGCGTACAATCCATATGTCCCCCGCTCATCGCGCCCGAAAATCATGCAAAGAAAGCCAGAATGTGCACCCGTCGACATCAGGAGAGAAGAAAGCACTTCATGAATGTTGCTTGAATTTTTGTCCCCACCGGACGACTACCGGTACTCCACCCCATTTTTTTGCTTTTTGCAAAAGAACTTTCGCCCAGCCGCAACGAACCCCGTGTCAAAAAAGGTCAAAAGGTATCGTACGTGAGCATCGTCGGTTGCTGAGGCGCTGATCCGGGCTTCAAATCGACTTGAGAGCGGATGAGGGCGAGGTAGCGGGTGTTGGCGAGTAGCTTAGATGCCGATGCGGGTCTTGCGCCAGTGCCTCCTCTTGGCGTTGTACCTGTACGGTGGTGAAGATGTCAGCGATGCTGCCGTCATGCTTGCCGTCTCCGACTGCGGGCGATTCCTTTCCGCAATCCGTTGGGGTTCCTGAGGAGTCGGCGGTGAGTGCAACGAACCTGATGGTGTTGCCGGTCCTGAGGCGAATCCACTGGGGGATGGGGCGGTTCTGCTTCTGCGCCTTCGCAAGCTTCTGCTTGGTGCGGAAAGACTTTTGGCTCTGTGTGTCCTCATGGTCAGCGCACGACGTTCGGCGACAGCATGCTGCAGCGAGCGGCTCGACGAGGGTCTGCGCGTACCGGCATCTTGACTGTTCGTGCGGCGTCGTCCGATGTCGATGGTGGGTGTTGTGGTTGTCGTCGCTGGCGAGAGTCGGGAGTTTCGCCGTAGGTTTTCGCGGTTGTGGGCCGAGATGGCGCTAGCCTCTTTTGTATTGGCGCACGGCTGCCCCAAGCCGCCGCCTTTCACAACGGCCAGCCCACCGACACTGCAGCAACGGTGCAGAGGCCCTCCTCGATGGCACGACAGCTATGGTCACAGCTGCGCCTACCGTCATCTGCACTGGGATGATCTATATCGTGATGAAGCAAACCTCTAAACCCTTGGTATCTCCGCCCCACCCTATCTAATGCTAAGCGAGCAGTACTAGGCGACTGCGAATCGCTAACCAAGAAGACCGTTACATGGTCGAAAATACCATATCTAACGGCTCGAGGCAGACCAAAACAATCGCTTGAAATTTCTGTTCGCCGTCCGCATGCAAATGCTACCGAATTTCCCTATGCAACCCGTCTGGTATCCCTAAGCGCCTCTCCATCTAATCATCAAGAATGAGAAAGAAACCAATAATGTAGACAAATCCTTTGATATCCTAACTCAAGCATAGAACGTCAATTGAACCCCTAGCGCTGCAGGTCTCGACACTTCTGCCAGAAGTTGTTCGATACGGTCTTGGTGCTCAGGCCACCGCGAGCCCTGGTGCACCGTTAGCATTTAGCATACTCGTTAGGCGGGTTCCAAGCTGACTTACGCAACAATCATCCTCCTAAACCATTGCCTCTCCTTCTCAGGCACTTTCGGCGCCGGAAAGTCTGGTGCATTCAGAGCGTTGTCTATCCACGTGCTGACCCGCGGGTGCTTTGTAACGATGCGCCGCAGTGGGAGCGTAACCTCTTCGAGGCTGGTGCGCTGGGCTTCGCCTGCTATGTTGAAAACGAGCACCTTGACGAGGAGTGGGCCGAGCGCCTCAAATACCTGGTCGAGTGCTGGCTTCACCGGTGATACTACGTCGTTTGACACAGTAACAAAGGATGCCCAGAAGTGAGCTGCAGCACGCTTAGGCAGAACGTCCGGCCCTTGGAGGCAGCGGATGGTGAACATGAAAACGAACTCAGCCGCCTGCGGTGGCTGGCCAAGAAGTATCAAGGCGTTATGGCGAAGAATCTGCTCCAACACCTCCACGCAGCTGTGCGCAACATCTGGCTCTGCCGATGGTTCGGAAATTGACTGTATGGTAGCCATAATGTGCTCAACGAGCAGCTTGGCTGCTTCAGTAACAGGAGTGCCATCTACTTTGAGCTGTGAGGAGTACGCGTTCAAGAAGGTGCACATCGTTGAAAGTATCAGCGTAAGACGTGGGGTATCGGTGGTCGAGCGCTGAACGAAGCTCACGAAGACGTGCGGAGGAAGGACAAGAGGTCCTGGCATTCGCTCGGCAAATCCACTCTTGAAAACGGTGCAAATGGCCTCGTTCACTTCGCCAAACTGCCCGAATACACTGCTTGGTTTAGTCATATTTCACTCCTCAAAGCGTGTAGGAGTAGACTTACTGTGCCATCATGTCTACGCACTTGATGATTCGATCTTGCAGTTCAATTCCGGCTGGCTGGGTATTCCAGAAACTCACGGTCGAGACATCTTCCTCTTCCAGATCGATCACCTCCAACTTCTCCGAGTCTTGGGATTGGAGAGCTTTGCCCATCGCAGAAATGCAATGAAGCGCTGTGCAAGCTGCTTGTTCTGCCTCTAGCGGCATGTTCTGACTCATGCTCTCGAGAGCCTTGCGCACGTCCTCCTCGATATATCTCAGAAGCAAGCCGATATATTGACAGCGCTCTTCATCCGACGGTATGGCCTGTAGGATGGAGCAGATGCCATTGATGACCTTCTCTTTTGTATATCTATCCGCAGTAGGGGAGTCCATGAATGCTTGGTAAGCATGCAGGAAGTTTGGTAGTTCCGGGACAAGCGCTTTCCTACAAGCGGAGCAGAGTAGGGCGATGGCCTTCGCGGAAAGGATCGCTGTTTCTGGAGAAGTGAGAGCGGAGAAAAGCGAATTGAGGGGGGCGACAAGGAACTCCTGGCGTCGAATGAAGAAGTCGGCATAGCGACCAAGCAAGTCAACCGCGGTACGTCTTGTCTTGGTGGGAACGCCGGGGCCGAAGACGTCTGTCGTGAGTAATGTGGATCCTAGAAGTTGTGACAAAATATCCTGGCAGGCCAATCTCCTCGCGGCTTCCTCCGACATCGCTTTGACGCAAAACAGAGAGGCCTCGACTTTCATCCAGTCTTGCTCTTTGATGCTGTTTAGAGCAATCCCAACAAAGCCGCTCAGAATCTCTACGCCACAGACACGGAATGTGTCGCTGAGGAAGTCCATCACATCGGTGCGAAAGGAGGCAAACGCTTTGACCGTATCGTCGTCCCAATGCTTCAAGCCCTCAGGGGGCGGGATGTGAATCTTCCCCCAATACTCTTCTGCCGCTTGAAGCAGGTGGCTCTTCATAATGGGCGAGAAGACAATGTCGTCGTCGATAGGATCAGCCATTTCGGAAGCGACATTCCCCCAAAACTCTAGCGCTTGTACAGAAGCGCTTTCATCTTCCACGGGATATCCGGGAACCTTGAGGATTTGGTGCATCAGAACTATTACTCTATTAGCACAAGACCCATACCACTTCACCATCATCGTTTGTGCCGACGAGAGACGTGCCGTAGTTGTCGCTCACTTTGAGATTGCATAAATGTAGAGGGGTTAAAAAGCAACTAGAACTTACCAAGGACGTTCTGCCAGTCGTCGGCGGTCACCAGCAAGCGTTCCAGAATAGCTGCACCGAAAGCAAGCAGCAAGGTGAGGAATGAGTCCGTGTCTGTATCACCCTCGAGTATGTTGCTCATTTGCTGCTCGCCCCAAGGGCTAGTGATCAAGTTGTGAATGAGCTGAATGTGCTCCGTTTCGAACAAGCTGCCTACTCTCTTTCTCAAGAGCTCTGCGAACCCCTCGGAAGAATTGTCCGGATCAGAATGCATGCAATGAACAGCCGGAACGATGAGAGATTGGATGAGCTTCTTGCGTCGGACCACGCTGTCCGCTTCGCTCTTGGTACGGGTGACAAAATAGGCCCATTCAACCATGCAGCCCATGCCCTCTTCGTGCAATCTGTCGGATGATGGGCCCGCATATTGGATAGCATGGCCTATGATTGCGACGAACTCCTCAGTGTTCTCTTCGATGCGGCCCTCGATCTTGGCTAGGACGCTGGTCCCATACGTCGTCCTTTTGACTTCCTCTACCAGGTTGCTACCGAACCAGAGAAGTGCGATAATCTGGGGGACTGCTAAGCTGCCAACAAGCTGATCAATGGGCGGATAATGCTCGAGGTCACTTGTTAAGACGGCTTCGCCTTTTACGAAAGAGCAGACAAGCTGGCGCGCACAGTGGTTCCAGGTTACGTTGCCATTGAGGAAGAACTGAACCAAGGTGGTGCAAAGCTTCCGCGTCACAAGGTCCTTTTCGCCCTCGGAGACGAGCTTCACGAGCCATCCAATGAGCCTGAAAAGGAGCTCATTGGCAGCGTTTTCGTCGAGAGATTGAGGGTCAGAAGTCAACTTGACTGTAAATGTCAAGGCGCCGAAGAACCGTACGTTGATGTCGCTGCTTGCGAGCAGAGCGTCGGCGATCTGCCATGCTTGAGGAGACCTTTGAAGTAGCTGGAGATCCTTTTCTACCTGACTGATGGTCTCTGGATCTCCAGGTTGATAGAGGCGCTTCACGAGGCCTTCGACCTCAGCAATGGATGTGACACCGGCCATGGTGGTCGCGGACGGTGCCCTGGTGTGGATTTAGCCCGAATCGTCCTAGAGGGCCTGGATTTTTAGTACGGGTCTCAAAGCGGGAATGCTCGTTTCCGGTCGGAAAGAGCGAGTGGCACGCCGCACAACTAGCCAGGGACAATCTTCACAGCGCTGGAAGTGAGGTAAGAAGCCAAGGTAGAAATACGCATAATCCGGCACTCGGGAAAGCGACTCACTTCGAGATTGCGGGGGGTGCTCGATCAGTCAGAGGAGTTGGCACAGCATTCGGGCGGGAACAGGCGGCTGTTGGTGTTTGCGCGGCAAAGGAAGGATGCCGGTCAATGCCAAAAGTGGTTGTCCGCAGCTGCAAGGCTGCAAGACCGGCGCTGGCTCCGCAGAATTTTTTTCGCGCGCGCAGTTTCGGGCTCGCAAACCGGACGAGTGTGGGAGTCGAGAGCCGCCGCAGGTGAGCATAGCCAGCCGCCGAGAAGCGGGCGGAGATTTGTCGAAGGCGTGGACAGGAGCAAAGCGGCGGGCGTGCGGGCGACGGGCGTTTTGTTTGCAGGGTTTGCAGCTGCAGCGGGCGCCTTGGCAGCTGCGGCGGGGCAGCCGCGGCTGGCGCCCGTGCTCAAGCCGGCATCCATCGCTCGTCATCTCTGGCTCTGGCAGCTCCCGTCAACCAGACTCCCCCACGCCGCCCGCAACCCGCATGCAGTTTGTGCGCTTCTTCGCGCGCAACGCCCACTCCGTCCCCATACAACCCCATGCTAGCCTAGCTTCGCTCTTCTTCAAACGACCCTTCCACTCCACCATCCCACGACGGAGCACCGCCGACAATATGGAGACCGTTGTGACCACTGAGCGCCTCACGCATCTGCGCCGATTGATGCTGGACAACCAGATCGATGTGTACAGTACGACCGTGTGCCCGCGCCCTCGCCCCATGCCGGATACTGATACTGATGCACCACGTCGCAGTCGTGCCCTCCGAAGATAGCCATCAGTCTGAATACATCGCGCCGTGCGACGCCCGCCGAGGTTTGACGCCGCCCCGACCACCATCATGCCCGCCGTCGATGCTCATACGTCGCATGTAGAGTTCATTTGCGGCTTTTCGGGCTCCGCAGGCACCGCCGTCATCACCCTCAACAAGGCCGCTCTCGCCACCGACGGTCGCTACTTCAACCAGGCCGAGAAGCAGCTGGACAGCAACTGGGAGCTCCTGAAGCAGGGACTGCAGGATGTTCCGACGTGGCAGGAATGGTAAACACCGCTACACATTTCTTTTAGGGCGTAATGCTGAAGGCTGCAGGACCGCCGATCAGTCAGAAGGCGGCAAGACCGTTGGCGTTGACCCTCAGATCATCACTGCGTGTGAGTGCACCGCCTTGAAGACATCTCCTTCTCAGAGCTAACGTGGCGCCAGCCGATGCACGTAAGCTCGCTGATAAGATTAAGAAGAAGGGTGGTGCCGACTTGAAGTCGGTCAGGGCGAATCTCGTCGACATTGTCTGGGGCAAGGCTAAGCCTGCGCGCCCGAACGAGAAGGTCCAGGTGCAGCCTTACGAATTCTCCGGCAAGGAGTTCAGTGAGAAGTTGTCAGACATACGCCAGGAGCTCAGCAAACGCAAGAGCGCCGGCTTCGTCGTCTGTATGTTTTCGTGACCGCTTTGCGTGACCTACCGCTGATTGTTGCTAGCGATGCTTGATGAGATCGCTTGGCTCTACAACTTGCGTGGAAATGAGTTCGTCTTGTCCACCTAACGTGCCTCTGATACGTACTGACAGGACCAGTATCCCATATAACCCCGTTTTCTTTTCCTACGCCGTGGTCACCCCGGAGGCGGCTACGCTCTATGTTAATTCTGACAAGCTTACCCCTGAAGTCAAGGCTCATTTGGGAGATTCTGTCGAAATCAGGCCGTACGACTCCATTTTTGGCGACATTGAGGCATTGAGCCAGAGTGCCGCCGCCAATGGCGAAGATTCCGAAACTCCGGCCCAGAAGTACCTGATCTCTAACAGGGCATCATGGGCGCTTGTGCAGAGCCTTGGCGGCGACAAGAAGGTCGATGAAGTTCGTAGCCCCATTGCTGATTCCAAGGCAGTCAAGAACAAGGCTGAGCTGGACGGCATGAGGGCATGCCACATCCGAGACGGAGCAGCTCTGATTGAGTACTTCGCATGGCTCGAGGATCAGCTCATTGCCAAGGGCGCGAAGCTCGACGAAGTCCAGGCTGCGGATAAGCTCGAGGCCATCAGATCGTGAGTAAGCATCCTAGGGCTTTACAAGCATAATTGCTTACCCCTTCTCAGGAAACACGAGAGGTTCGTTGGCTTGTCGTTCGATACCATTTCTTCTACCGGACCGAACGCAGCCGTCATCCACTACAAGCCTGAGCCAGGTAACTGCTCGGTGATCGACCCGAAAGCAGTCTACCTGTGCGATTCTGGCGCACAATATCGCGATGGCACCACGGACACGACGCGTACGCTCCATTTCGGTGAGCCCACGGCGATGGAGAAGAAGGCCTACACCCTTGTACTCAAGGGAAATGTTGCCCTTGAGAGGGCGAGATTCCCCAAGGGCACAAGCGGCTTCGCTCTCGACACCCTCGCCCGCCAATTCCTATGGGCAGAGGGTCTAGACTACCGCCACGGTACCGGCCACGGCGTCGGTTCTTTCTTGAACGTTCACGAGGGCCCCATTGGAATTGGCACCCGCGTGCAGTACTCGGAGGTTCCACTTGCCGTCGGAAACGTCATCTCGGATGAGCCAGGCTACTACGAGGACGGCAACTTCGGCATTCGGATAGAGAATGTCATCGTGGTTACGGAGGTCGACACGCCGCACAAGTTCGGCGACAAGCCATACCTGGGCTTCGAGCACGTCACTATGGTCCCTATGTGCCGCAAGCTTATCGATGAGTCGCTCCTCTCGCCGGCTGAGAAGAAGTGGCTCAATGACTACCATGCCGAGGTCCGCGAGAAGACGGGCCCGTACTTTAAAGACGATGCGCTCACAACGAAGTGGCTGGAGAGAGAGACGCAGCCCTACTAGATGCTGTATAGGGACGATGATATGGGAGCACCAGGAATGAACAAGTCATGAAGCAAGGAAATTCTATGTGAGAGTTTGGGTTAGATATCATGTACTGTTAGTATTGCATATTTAGAATCGGGAAGAAAACGAAAGAGTCACCTCGACGCCCGCAGTTTGTAGGCCGGTCCATGCTATGTTTACTGACCCAAATGACAGGAGCTCGAAGTACCGACAACAATGCTGAAATTGTAGAGCCAAGGAGGGTTGCGCCACAGTAATACGAGAGCGAAATAGTCTCGATCCATTGGTTAAGTTGTTGTTATAGGTTGTTGATGCCACGTAATTTCGCCTTGCATGCATGTAAGCCACCTGCAGCTCGCTCGACGACGTGCATCCCGAGGCTGAAGGGAAACCCCACTACTGATCAACCCACATCGCTCGCAACCGCAATCACGTCTCAGAACTTCGGGCAATAATTCCAACCTTGGCGCATCGGCACTGGCCGCTTACCTACAGCTCGCTTCACAGTCATTTTCTCGTCAAGTGTTGGCCTCATCTAGACGGAGTTGAGGCAGCTCAGCCTTGCTGATGGATGACTTCCTCCAGCATTTCAGGCTTGAAGCCACGACAAGAGGGAAGCATACATTCCATAGCTTCGACAGGAACGGTAGGAGAAGGGTGGAGAAGTGGACGCAAGAGCGAGATGTTGGCCGAGGAGCGTACGGAACCGTGTGGCTGCAGAGGCGTGCGAGGTCCAATGAGGTCCGGGCTGTAAAAGAGGTTGCCAAACACGTTCCTATGGATCATCTGAAAGAAATCAGGGCGATAGCGAAGTTCTCGAAGGCAAGGCAAATAACTGCAAACACTTTACGAAAGCATTTATTACAGTTGATCGCTAACGCTCTGCAGTACACCGAGTATTTTGCGCAGTTTTTTGGCTGGTACGAAGATCAACAGTCGTATTACTTGGCCATGGAGTACATGGAACACGGGTCTCTATATCAATATCTGAGAGTCGTGTCGGTGCCAATTCCGGAAGATCAAACAAAGGAAATCGTTGCACAGTTGCTGGAAGGCCTGCGCTTTATGCACGAGCACAACTACGCACATCGAGACCTCAAACCTGGAGTATGCTTCCCTTCATAAGCTATAAATGGCCCTCATGCTGATTCTAGGGCAGAATGTATTCATCGCGGCACCAGCTCCTAATTGGTGGGTCAAAATCGGTGACTTTGGTTGGTGCTGGTCAACATAAACTCTACAGACCTCTTCTAACTTTATGGATGTCAGGCATCTCCAAGCGTGTGACAGACGACACCACGCTCAACACTACTGGTGTTTACACAAAGGCATACTGCGCGCCCGAAATGAGAGGATTTGTCCGGGACCGTTTCGAGACAGACAGCTACGCGTACACATACGCCGTGGATATCTGGTCTCTTGGCATGATTGCATTCGAAATCTCGACCTTGAAACACCCTTTTCGGACAAAGAACGATCTGATAGCCTACTACGACAGTAAAGAAAAGTTTCCCGTGGAGGAGCTCACGGCGATCCCAATTTCGCAAGAGGGCATCAGTCTGATCTCGAGACTGCTCCAGCCGAGGCCTTCTGCGCGCCCCAATTCCCAGCAGGCACTTGCAGACCCTTGGCTTCAATCGCGAGAGTGCATAAGAGGAGGCGACACCATGTTCGAAGATGGCTCTACCGAAGAGACCGACAACGAGTTCGCATCAGCAGAGGAGACTTCCACGCCGGCCGAGCATGATTCTACAGTCAGGGCTCCCAAAGTAGAAGAAACCCACATGTCTTCGACCTCTGCAAAAAGCCAGATACCAGACCATGTCAGTACGGGTAGAACATCATCAGTCTCAGGCGAGGAACTTGTGCATAACCACGAAGACCTTCGTGGCACAGTGGGCACCAACCACAACTCTCCAAGAAACAGCCACTCTAGTGTGGCTGAGGAAACGATAACAAGGCCCCTCCGAGAAGACGGTGTGGCGCTTAGGAATTCCCCCAAGGAACATTCGCCAGCCTCTGAAGGGTCTGGAAGCTATTTCATATATGAAATTGCAAGCTCAGACTCTACAATCTCAGTGAACAAGAGGATCCATGGGCGTAGACGGGGGTCGATTGATAACTGGCTGGGTTCACAATACGGAGGCGACCTGAACGAACAAGAAATTGAAGCACAAAAAAGGGAAATCAAGAAAGCGAAACGAAATCTAACGGAAATGAGATTGAATCAACGTATCCATCGTTTAGGACGTATGGAGCGAATCAAGAGTACAGAAACCATTGATGGAAGTAGGGTGGAAAGGGGGAAACGACAACGTGAAGTGCAGAAACCAGGTGAGTTTGGGAAGTTTAGAACACAGCACAGGCTGACTAGCATGAAGTAGTGCATCCTGCCCGAACATATGTTCGGTCCAGAAAAGACAAGAAAGACAAGAGAGCGGAGTCGTCATGTATACTGATATGATACATGAGGAAAGTTGAGTTTCAAGTAGAGCTGTTAAGCTCACGAGATTTACAGAATTGGTAAATTCAAAACATGGATTTGGTTATTCAAGAAAATCATTCAACTCAGCCCTCCTTCCGGGATATCTGACACCAAACCGCCGCGTCCAAGTCGTTCGTTTTCGCCGTTCCTCATCCATTGCCGGCTGTCGGCCGCTCATGCCGAAGCGGCAACATTGCTACTGCTCCTGCTCTTGAGGTAGTCCTGCCTGTACTTGTTCTGGTCGGTCTCCTCGCCGCGGTTCAGCGGCGTCCACTTGGGCTCGTCCTGGAAGAGGCGCATCGCCTTGGTATACTAGAGTTTCACCGTCAGTGCCCCGATTTCCCCCCGCGGCATCCACTCTGGTACCGTCCGCAGTCCACTCACATTCTTCTCGTCGGTCGTGAAGCGATGATAAATGCCGGCAGGCATGATGACCAAGTCGTGCTTCTCGAGCCTGATGCGCACCCACTCGTCGCCCTCGCTGCGGACGTCGAAATAGCCCGCGCCGTCGAGGATGTAGCGGATCTCCTCGTCCTCGTGCAGGTGCTCGGAGAAGAAGTTCTTGACCTTGGTCTCGTATTCGGGCAGCGTCGTCGGCGAGATGGTCACCTCGTCGCGGTTCCTGTAGTTGCGCTCGGCGGCCAGCGCGTTGACGGCGTCCAGCGACGGGTAGTGGAAGTAGCGGATGCCCAGCGCCGCGAGGTAGTCGGCGGGGACGTCGCGACCCGAGTCGTGCGGCTCGCGTTGGTCGCCCTGTGCGCGAGAGAGAGAGCGTCGGTGTTAGCGGCCGGCGTTTGGGCGGTGGTGGGGATGCAGGAACACTGTGGGGAGCGGTACCGGAAGGTTGTCGAACCAGTAAGCCCTCATGATAAAAGTGTTGAGTCAAGCTGCTGCGTGCCAGAGAATGGGTCGGCGGAGGGGATTGGGAGGAGAGTTATGACGAGCGGGGCTTGGGCTTGGGCATATATTTTTGAGGGCTGCAGAATGGCGGGCTGGCGGGATGACGCCTTCTGCAGATCTGCGTCAGACTCAGCACCAACCGGCTGGCCGCGCTCCGTGCCTGCGCTGTGCTCTGTGCTGCCCCTCCTCCACACACTTCCAACCCCCGCATTCTGATTGGTTGCGCGGCGCCAGGGATCGTGTTACGCAATGCACACTCGCGGATGATCAATCGTGGCATGAGCATGATATATTTTTGTGGCGGCTGTGGCCTATCCAAAATTGTCGCTTGGTATAATAAGACATCGCTGCAGTTGCAAGGAAAAAGCAAACCAGGCTCTACGTTCTGTAGTCGCCGTTGATCGTGACATACTCGTGGCTGAAATCGCAAGTCCAGTACACAGCCTCCTCGCCAGGCGTTTCGCTCAACCTGACCAGAATCTCCAGGTCCTCGGCCTCAAGAATCTGGGCCGCGCGGGACTCATCAACCTTTTCGGGCTCACCCTTGACAAGCAGCTTCAGCTCCTCGGAACCATCCGTAGGGACAAAGCTGACGCTGGTCTGGGTGGGGACGACGCTTTCGACACCCTCGGCATAGCCGGTGGCGCACAGAATGCGGCCCCAGTTGGCGTCCTTGCCGTACAGCGCCGTCTTGACCAGGGGAGAACGAGCAATGGTGGATGCAACCTTCTTCGCGTCCGCGTACGTGGCAGCATTAGTAACCCGGATCGTGACGAACTTGGTGGCGCCCTCGCCATCGCGGACAACGAGCTGGGACAGATCAGCAGCGAAGTCGGTCAGGATCTTCTCAAGCTCGGCGTAGCCAGTGCTGGAGGCGGAGCTGATCTCAGAGCCACCGGCGGCGCCGTTGGCCAGGATGGCAACAGTGTCGTTAGTGCTCGTGTCACCGTCAATGGAAATCGAGTTGAAGCTCTTGGTGACGGCGGCAGTCAGAAGCGGCTGCAGGGCAGAAGGGGCAACGGGAGCGTCAGTGCAGATGATTCCGAGAAGAGTAGCCATGTTGGGGTGGATCATGCCAGCGCCCTTGGTCATGCCGACGATCGAGTACGTGGTGTTGGGGGAGCTGGGGAGGGTGAATTGCCGGGAGAGAAGCTTGGGGAACGTGTCGGTGGTGCAGATGGCGCGAGCAGCCTTGAGCCAGTTCGAGTGGTCGTTGCCCAGGCCTTGGTGGGCTGCCGGGATCTTATCGAGGATCTTCTGGATAGGGAGCCTGCAAGCTGCCGTTAGATGGACCAGCCAAGCGGGCAGGACGAGCCGGCATACCTCTGGCCGATGACACCAGTGCTCATGACGATGCTCTGGCTACCCTTGGCGTCGCTTTCGCCAAAGCACGCGTCTGCCTTCTGGCCCATTGCAATTGCATCCTCAATGCCGCCCTTGCCAGTGACGGCATTGGCGCAACCCGAATTAACAACGACGGACCGAATGCCTGCGCCGCTCCTCGTCTTGAGCATATCCCTGCTGACCGTCACGGGCGCAGCCTGGAACTTGTTGGTGGTGAAAACAGCGGCACCCGAGCAAGGCGTCTCGGACGCGATCAGAGCAAGGTCGTCGAAGCGCGTGTTCGAAGCCTTGACGCCGACGTGGGCGCTGGAGGCGAGGAAGCCCTTGGGATAAGTGCCAGAAGTGGGAATGTACTTCTGCTTGGCCGGGGGGATGGATCCCTCGCCAGGGGCAGAGTAGTTGCGCACGAAGCTCTTCATGGCGGGCACGAAGCGCTGGAGGGTGGACGGCCGGGAGGAGGCCATGTTGACGGCCCTGTCACTGCGCGTCAGCTGTCGGTCGGCAGCGAATGGAGGCCCAATTGGATGAGGAAAGAACACAGTACCTTTTATAGCCGAAGCTCGAGCTCCGACGACAAGCTGCAGAGGGTCTGACTGGTACGAGGGGTTTAGACTCACAACCCGCGCATGCGACTCACTCGGAAAACTTCCAAGCTCCCCCGATGACGGAGCGCCTTATCGCCGCCACAGCTCACACGTGCTGATTGGGCCACGACTTTCCATTGGCTCCACCATCGCCGACGCGTTCCCTGTCGCGAAAGCTGCGCCGCCGGAATGGTCAACAGCGCGCCCGCAACCCGCGCTGCCTTCACTGCGCTTGTTGGCTCCTTCAGGCACCACGAACAACCCGAACCGTCGCCAATGCCCAGCGCAAAGAGAAAGCGAGGCGCTGTCGACTCTGAAAACACCACTCCGCGAAAACGACGGCCTTCGCCGCTCGATGAGACCGAAGATGACGAGATAGCTCTTACTCCTTCGAAAAAGAGCACGCTCTCGAGACGCCAGACTGCTGCCGAGACGCTAAACAAGAGCCTTGCTCGTACTAAGCTCGACGACGAAGCAAACGGCCAACCCAACGGCGCAGCAACGCCCCGATCGCAACGAAGAGTTCTATTCGCAACACCTTCGAAGCACGACGACGACGAGGACGAGACCCCTAGTGGTACACCGACTATTGTCAGAAATGCAGACAGGTCTGCGCGCCGGAAAAGTGCCCGAAGGCTGCTACAACGCACCATTGACGGGGGCCAGAGCGATGAAGACGTAGAAGACGAGGATGCCCTGGCCCGCCAGATCTGGGATGAGGAAGAGGTAGATGAGCTAGGAGAGGATGAGGAAGCAATCGCAGCGTCTGAGCCCGCTGCAGTCCCGGAAACACCAACGAAGCGTGGGCGGGGGAGGCCCAAGGGGAGCACAAAGAAGAAACAACGCAGCCCAACACCACCGCAAGACCTCCCACCGCACGAGAAGTACTTCTGGCAGAACCGACCAGGCGGAACGAAGACATCGAATAACACGCTTCCCTCACATGCCCTGCTGAACCACGATGAGTACTTCACTCAGATGCAGAAATATGAGGATCCACATGAGGATGACATAGCCTATCTACACGCACTACACTCCCGCTCATTCGACCAGTGGGTATACGAGCTGGAGAATGGATTCAATATATGTCTTTATGGCTTCGGCTCAAAACGGAAGCTTGCCGAGGACTTCGCGGGCCATCTCTATCACCACCAGATCTCTGCGACAAACTCTACCCCCCGAATCATAATCATCAACGGCTACAACCCGACTCTCACCCCGAAGGACATCCTCACCACCATCCTCACATCTCTCCTCCCCTCCAGCGTCAAGCTCCCGGCGACTCCCCCCCTCCTCCACGCCCTCCTCCTCACCACCCTCGCCACCAAGCCCCCACCCACGCCCCTCACCCTGATAACCCACTCCCTCGACAGCGCCTCCCTCCGCCGCGCCGCGACCCAATCCCTCTTCGCCAGCCTCGCCTCGCACCCGCACATGGCGCTGCTCGCCACCGCCGACACGCCGACCTTCCCGCTCCTGTGGGACCTGGGCACGCGCTCGGCGCTGCGCCTGCTCTTCCACGACTGCACGACCTTCGCGCCCTTCGCGCCCGTCGAGCTCGACGCCGTCGAGGCCGCCAACGACCTGCTCGGCCGCAGCGGCCGCCGCGTCCAGGGCCGCGACGGCGTCGGCTTCGTCCTGCGCTCGCTGCCCGAAAACGCCCGCGCCCTCTTCCGCATCCTCGTCGCCGAGCAGCTCGCCGCCGGCGCGGACCTCGACGACGACGCTGCGGCCGCGGCGCTCGCGGCGCAGGCCGCTCATGACGATGATGATGCCGATGACGGTGACGACGATGTCTTTGGTTTCGCGGATGTGCCGCAGACGCCGAGTAAGAGGGGGAGGGGGCGGGGGGCCAAGAAAGCGGCGGCGGCGGCGAAGGAGGCGGCGCTGCTGCTGCCTTCGTCGGCGGCGCCCGTCGTCGTCGGCGTCGAGTATCGCGTGCTGTACCACAAGGCGGTCGAGGAGTTCGTCTGCAGCAACGAGATGGGCTTCCGGACGTTGCTGAAGGAGTTCCACGACCATCAGATGATCGAGAGCAGGAAGGACGGGGGCGGCGCCGAGAGGTTGTGGGTGCCGTTCCGGCGGGAGGATTTGGAGGGGTTGTTGGAGGAGTTGGTGGAGTGATGGGTCGTTCGCTTCCTTCCCCCGAACGGTACCTTTTTTTTTTTTTTGGTTTGGATACTGATATGGGGGATGGCGACTGAAATATTGGTTATAAAGTGAGCATAGTTTGCGGTGGCAGCATAGCATGTTTTTGCGAGATATACCAGAACGCGGAATAGAAATCATATTTATGTTTACAACTTTCATATTCGGCCAACATCAGTGGAAAGGTCAGGGGAGGCAGGCGGCTGCCCTTGGATTAGGAAAAATAGAAGTCGAAAGGCCCATCTGCAGCCTCAGAGCTGTGATGATGAGTGATTCGATTCTGATAGGGAGGGAGGGTGTCGAGATGATCAGGTAGTGTTTTTGCAAGGCGGACGTCGCGGCTCCGTCGTGCGGCACAGCCAAAGCAGGCTGCATATGTTGCACAAAGCCCTTGCACCTGACTGCACCCTGACCTTCAGCTGCGTGAGGCTCTAGCGGGGGTCCAGTAGTCTGACTCTTGAGGCTGGTATACCAGGCGCAATTTTGAACCCAGCGGAATAGTTACAAGTGTCCTCGGAATTGCGTCGCTTGATATACACGAATTCATTTGAGTGTGTCCTTTCCCATTTTCCGCGCCAAAAACGGCAGTAGGCTGGAAGATGCTATTTTTGGGCGATGGTTGCCAAGTGAGTGAGCGTCGGTTATGTATCACAAATTAGCAGTTCAAGCAACGTCAACTTGTTTGCCTGCAGCCTCGCGCATACAGCTCTCGATCGTCAACAACCCACAACTCATCGCCGCGAGAGGAAATGGCAGAGACAGTAGGACTCGCGCTGGCCGTTCCTGGCTTAGTAGATATCTGCCTGAAGTAAGCATAGTCAGCAGACGGGCCCCGATGCAGACGCTTTGCTGACACTACGTAGATCCGGCTCATTGCTCGTTCAGCGCTACAAAAACCATGCAAACGCCGAGAGGGAGGTGGCCGAAACTGTGCTGCAACTGCAAAGTATCTGGCTCGGCATACGGCACAAGCTCGAGCACCTCGGCTCCCAATGGAACGAGCTACCTCCTGAACTTCAAGCACACGAAAACAGCGTGCTCGTGGTCTTGCACAGTAAGCTCTGCGATGCGGGCGCAAGTCTGGACAGGCTCATCGGATTGCCAGAGGAACAAGCAGACCACCAGCGCGTTATGAAGAAAACCGGGGATGTCCGGAAGCTAAAGTATGCCTTGTGGGGGAAAAGGTCTCTGCAGGAAGCCATCGAGAATTTGGAAAGATGGGAAGACAGATTTCACCGCTCCCTGTCGATGATCACGATGATTAAGACCAAGTCGGCGCGGTATGCGATTCCCTCGACGCCGACAGCGAAAACCACCGTCACAGCTCAAAATTTCTGTAACTTCGTCGACCCCGCAGAGATTATCACCATCCAAGATGAACCCATATCCTTCTCCGACGCTGTACTGTGCGTGAGGAACCCGCCCGGCGAACGCGTTCTCGTCGATAGAGCCCCTCGCTCAATGAGCAAGGAGGTCGTGCAATCTCTCGCAGAAAAGTTCAGCGGAATGGATCCCTCGAAGACGAATCTACTCCCATGCCAGGGAGTGGTCGAGATAGCCGGAACCAACACCACCGACAGTTCCTTCCAGTTCGTCTTCAGCATCCCCAAACACGCCAGCGAAATCCGCACGCTCCGATCCGTCCTCCTCTCCAACGACAACAACACCACCAGCTCCTCGCTCAGCGAGCGGGTCCGCCTCGCCAAAGCCCTCGCCAACAGCATCATCTTCCTGCACCAAGCCCGCTTCGTGCACAAGAACATCCGGCCCGAGACGGTCGTCGTCTGCAGGACCGATGAGCTGGATGCTGCCGCCTCTTCAGCTCATGCACTCGGCACACCCTTCCTGACGGGCTTCGAGGCACTCCGCGACGAGGACGGCACGACGTCGCTGAAGGGCGACGACCGGCGCGAGCGCAACATCTACCGGCACCCGCTGCGACAAGGGATGCAGGCGCAGGACAAGTACAACGTGCGGTACGACGTGTACAGCCTCGGCGTCTGCCTGCTCGAGCTGGGGCTGTGGACGGCGTCGTTCGTACGCTACGGCGACGAGAATGCAGCGAGCGTCCGGGCGGACCTGGCCGCGGCCAAGTGGGCGTTGAAGAAGCAGCTCGTGGACATGGCGAGGCGCGAGCTGCCGGGGCGGATGGGCGCGATTTACGCCGACGTCGTGGTGGCGTGCCTGACGTGCCTGGACAGCGGGAGCGAGACGTTCGGGGACGTGCCGGAGGACGGTGGTGGTGGTGACAGGGATGGCGTCATCGTCGGGGTGCGGTATATCGAGAGAATACTGGAGCGGATGGAGCAGATTGTGGTGTGAGTATAGTCTGGAGCGGTGCAGTTGCATCGAGACATCACCCACCCATGCACGTGCAGCATGTCTGGTGCGACAGGGTCCATGGCCCCCTTGCATGCATGAACCAAGGCAGTGATACGCGCCGTTAGACAAGAAGAAGGCACCAGGGTGACTTGCCTAATCGGGCTATTGCGAGTGGGCACCTCCTTCCCACAACGAACGCGCCGATCGGAACGCCTTCCAAGCGCACCAAGCGCGCTTCCCGCGCTGCGTCCAAGACTGCCGAGGAAACGGAGGCTCCGGGACTCATCACTGCCCGAATCGTTCGCGCCGACCCGCGTGGTCGGGTAGACCCGAAAACCCGCTTTCTTGACCAGCTGCGACCAACAAGTCTCCAACAAAGGTGAGCTGCCCCATTCGCGCTGCTGTTTCGCCGCCCCACTAATCTCCACCACATCAATAAACGGCAGCCAACTGCCGGGATTCCAGCCTGCAGGCTCCAGTGACGTCGTGGACCAGTGTTCGGCGTTCGCCCAGAGTGCTGGGAGTCCCTACCCGGTATAGTGATTAGATGCACACAGCCAATACCCGAGGCTCGACCGAACCGCGGTACACGTTAGTCGCCACTACCACCACCACCATGCATTATTGCAGACAGGAGTCACACCACGCTCAACAGAAAATTCTTTAATGGTCGTATGACCAAGTCACTGCTCAATCTGCCGTCATGTAGAGCCGCTTTTGCATGAATGTCATTCTTACGTGCGTAGTCGAAGCAAGTTTCTCATGAGCCATTCTGCGTGGGCGCGTGAGTTGACAGCTGAACGCATAGGTAGTGACTTTTCAAACTCAACATACGCATCCACCCATACGATTCACGTATGTACATACGCTAGCGGATATCTCGATTGCTCTGTCAATTGAGAATATCGTGCTGAATTGGACATTTGAAGTCACGCTGGAAGACCAAGAGGAAGCAACTTTGTGAAAATATGTATATTCAGTTTTTCTGTGGTTCTAAACACCAGTGGGTATGCGATGCTGTATCTAGCTATATTCCATCTTTTTCATGAGCGACGGGACATATGTCTAGCAGAACACCCGCGAGCGCGAGTGACGTTACACGCTCGGATCCTGCTGCTATCCATGAAACAACTTCTGAAGCCAGCTGCGCCAACTACTTGGCCGCAGACGTGTCTGTAGACCAATCTTGCAGTCTATGGTATCATTCGGTAAAGGAAACAACAGGGAAGGAAAATGTCCCAACAGCGCCGCGGAATTATTAGGCGGCGCAGTCGAGGGGTAGTACGGGGAAATCAAAAACGCCAAGAGATGCCGTCAAGACGGACATCGATGGTGCCGGGACAATCGAGTCCTGCCGGATAATCGCTGCTTGCAGCAGGGAAGAAGTCGATCGACTGAAAAGGAGAGCATGCTCCGCCTTTTACACGTGCTGGTTGCCGTTCTCAACCTCCTTCTCCGTGTGCTCCGTCTTCTCGTTCTCGTCGCCGCTGGTGGCAGCCTCATCTCCCGAGACGAAGCCGTACTCCTTGGCCTTCGCGTCGATCTCGTCGTCGGAGAGGAAGGGAAGCTCCTTGGCCGCGGTGACGTAGCTCGTGTTGTCGAGGAAACCCTTGGCGAAGATCAGGTCGATCTCCTCAAGAGACCTCATGCGCGTCTCAGGGTAGAAGAAGTAGATGACGGGGAAGAAGCAGGCGTTGACCACGGCGAAGAAGAGGTAGGTGCCCCAGCCGATGCTGTCGATCATGACCGGAACGACCATGACGATCAAGAAGTTGAATAGCCAGTTGGTAATGGTCGAGACGGCGTTCGCCTTCGCGCGGGTCTTCAACGGGTTGATCTCGGCAGGGTACAACTGTTTTACGTTAGAATAGCGTTCTGTATCATGCATGATGTTGTGGAGGTTTGGAAGTGGTGGGGGGATCGGGGGTTGAGTTTGGGATTTTTTTTTTATCGAATCCAAGTCACTTACCCATGGGAGAGGCAGCCAAGTAGCACCGAAGAACGCAATGTAGGTGAAGAGACCAACAGCGGCGCCCTTGGCATCCTGGGGGTTGCCGGGAACCAAGCAGGCGAAGACAAGGACCATGGACAAGCACTGGCCAACAGTGCCGATCAGGAACAGCTTGCGGCGACCAGTGCGCTCAATCAGGAACCAGGAAGTGGTAGCGAAGATGGAGTAAACAATCATGTTCACACCGCCTAGGAGCAGAGACATGTCGGTAGTCTCACCAATGGTATCCTCGAATAGAATGGGGAAGTAGTAGATGACGGCGTTGCAACCACCAAGCTGCTGCATGAACTGGGACGAGGCACCGATGAGCATACGGCGGCAGTGCTGGGTCTTGCCGCCAGTGAGGAGGTCGCGGTAGCTGGTGTTGCCACCGGCGTGGCCAGAGGCGCGGATACCGTCCATGATGATGGAAGCCTGCAGCTTGGTCTCGTCGTCGTCGACAGTGAGACCACGGAGAGCAGCAATGACCTTCAAGGCATCGTCGGGGCGGTCCTTGCTGAGCAGCCAGCGGGGCGACTCGGGAAGACCGATCATGGCGAGGACAACGATCAGACCGAAGAAGATCTGGAAGGCGATGGGGAAGCGCCAGCTGAGGTCCTGGTTGCCGTAGCTGCAGCCATAGTCGATCCAGTAGGCGATCATGGTGCCGAAGGCGATGATACCACCCTCAATGCAGATCAGCAGGCCTCGGTTGGTCGACCTGGAACACTCGGCCTGGTAAGTTGGGATCGTCGAGGTGTTCATGCCGTTGCCAACGCCGGTGATGGTCCGGCCGATGATGAACTGAGCCATGGCCTTGCTGCCCTTGACAGCGGTGATCTGGATGACGACGCCGAGAATCATGACGGTAGCACCGATCATGATACCCTTTCTGCGGCCAAGCCTGTCGCCGTACATGAGCATGACGATGGCGCCGAGCAGACAGCCGACTTCGTAGATGGCAGTGACGAAACCCTGGTAGGTCTTGTCGTCATTGGTCTCGGGGAAGTAGGTGTTGAAGGGCTCAGAGGCGATAATGCCAGACATGACACCCTGATCGTAACCGAAGACTGGACGGAGAGGACGGTCAGCGTCAAGATGGCAAGCAGTGCGTGCAGGACTGAGAGCTTACGCAGGAAACCGGTGGTGGAGACGATGGAGACGACCATGCTGAGGGTCTTGCCCCGCATGCCCAGGAACTGGGGCGTCTTCACGTTGACTTCCGTCATGGTTGCGAGTTGCCGGCGGGAGGAATGTCGAGAGGGAAGTCAGCGCACTCGGCGCGGGAGGCACAGCGGTTTAAGAGCTGCGGACTCTGGGAGCCAGCCAGAGGTCGTGCGGAGCTGGGGCTTCTCGGAACCGGGGAACGAGGCTCAGCACGTCCCAGGGCAGTGTGTGGAGCGGGTATCAAAGAACAACAACGCTGGCACGATGGGGCAGAGCATGATCCGGGGGAGACGGCGTACTTAAGTGCTCGTGGGCGGCGGGCTGGAGGCCGGGCGCCCATCCCTGCGTGGGCATGCCGTCTAGCGCAACGGCTTTTTGCAGAGTCTGCTGGTGGATGCAACATCGTTTCCCACTCGGTACCAGGCAGAGGCAGCGGCGGGTTGGGCACGGGAGGTGAGGACGTCATGGGCCGGGGACGGAGGCCCAAGCAGGCGTAGCGCAGGCCGGTGTCTCCATGTGGGGGCTGGCTGGCGCGCCTGGTGCGGTGGACCCTGTGCTGAGGCGCTGGGTGCGCCCGTCGCCGCTCTCCATGGCGGGTGAGAGGCGATCTGCAGCCCAGCGCTGGAGTTCGCGCCGCCGGCCAAGCGCCCCCAAGACGCCCAGCCGGCCTTCGCTGCACCAAGCAACTATGCCGCGCGCCCGGCCCGCCTTCGCACTCCTTCGCAGCACCCGGCCTCGGCAAAGTTGCATGCGCGCGCGCGCCCTCCGCCCAGCGCCGCTCTCCCGCCGCCGATGACGTCGCCTGCCCGCTGCGCCGGCTGATGAATGACACGAGCCCTGGCGCCCTGGCTTGCCGTCGTGTGGCCCACGGCGCAAACCGGGTGCGGCACTCGCCCGGCGCGGCAGGGATGCGCCCTCGAGGATCCTCCGCCCTGGGGCGGCGGACGCGGCGTTTCGCAACCGACCAAGGGAGCGAAAGGTGGAGAGGAGGAGAGGAGCGGGCCCACCACCGCCCAGCTGCAGACTCGCAGTCGCTTGCTGGTGGGCCGCGGCCCCAGTGTTTCGTGGATTGATGACGAGCCTGGCTGCCGAAAGGGACGCCTTTTCCGGCCGCCCTCCCCCATCTTCTCGAGCCACCGCTCCCCGCGTGGTGCGAGCATCTCAGTCAGATATGCGTATCTCTGGCGCCGGCCCAACCTCGCGCCAACCAACGCCCTCACCGCATCTGCCACGCGCGCCTGTCGCCCACACGCCTGTCGCCCACACGCCCACACGCCCACCCCGGCGCCCGCTCGCCGTACGTACCGCGCTGCCTTGCTCGGCACTTGCCCGATACCGCCAGCCTGGTGGGTGCGATGACGGCTGAGTGGCGCGACACCAGCGGCCTGCAGCGATGCGCAGCCTCGTCGTCCATCAGGGTCCTGGTCTTCGCGGCCTCCGCATGTGCCGCATGCAGCAGCGCCGCGGCAGCCTGACCGCCCTCCCCAGTAGTAGCCCATGCCATGCCCATACCCTTACCCATACCCACAGCCCACCCGCACTAACGCGACGAGAAGGGGGGGGCCCGCAACACCAGAGCCGCCGACTTTCCCGTTCGGTCCCGCACGTGAGTCTGGAAAACAGCGCGCACGCAACCCACACCCATGCCCGGACAAGCATGTTTGCATGTCAGGCCAACAGCACGGCCAGACTGCAGTCGGTCCGACCGCCCTCGTTCGCTGCTCGAGATGGTGCTGTGATGGGGATAGTCGCGCGATGTATGACGACGTTGCGTCCTTTCCCAGGTACTTGGAAAGCCAGCCAAGTCGGCGACGAAATTTTTTTTTCCTTGATTCTGATTTGCGGTCCGCCTGATGACTCTGGGCAAGCGAAGAGAAAACAAGAGTCGGCAAAGAGCCAGGGCTCCCGCCTTGGGCGTTGCTTGCCGCTGTCTGGGCGTGCGTGGCGTCCTCTGGGCGCTGCGCGCAAAGTGCCTTGCGCCGTCAGTGGCTTGATGGGAGGCGATCGTTGCTTGTCCTCGCAGCCGGCCGCGAGTCAGCAGCCTGCCCGATCTGTCATCGGAGATGGAGCCTCTCGACACGCTGCGTGCTGCTGCCCCGGAGCATTACGTCGCACTACCCAGGAGCTGGCGCGTGTGCTGACAAGTGACAAATGCTTTGCCGACCGTACACGAACCGCTGGCGTTTGCCGGACGCCCGTTCGGAACCGCTGTTCTTGGCGTGCTGGCCAGACGTGAGATCAAGTAAACTTCTGTCAACCGCCTCGATTGCTCGTGGAGAATCCCTCCGGCATTGTCCGACTAGTAACATCGGCCAAACAGGGATCGGACTTTGCCAGAGCTGCGAAATCAGCACAGCCGTAAGCGGCAGCAATCACCGAACCGCCTTGTATGCAGCCTGCTGGGATGATGCGGCTTGTGGTAGGCGTATGTGGTGGCCGATGGAAACCGAATCCCGCTTTCCAAACTTCGACACGGTTGCAAGACCAGTGCAACACCCGTCACTAGCGCTCCCGTCTCTTGTGTTCAGGAGGCAGAGGTCCGCCTCGAGGCGGCTCGCCTCAAGTCTGAATTGCAATGTGGTTCAGCCAATCGGCCCACTTGGCGAGCAATACACTGAACTACCCACGTCCAAAACGAGCGAAGATATACAAACGGCTTGAAGATGCTGCGCATGGATGCTCTTTGCTTCATGTAGGGATGGATGTCACGGGCACCACAAAACAGGCACTGGTCTGTTCTCCCATCAGAGTTGCCTCCATCGACAGCAGCGCTACGGCAGCGCCAAAGACGCGGGAGACCCATCAACCGGGGCATCCAAACAGCCCGTCGAGGATGATCTCCCACCGCTGAATGCAAGAAACGACCGGGATGTCGTTCATCAAACGCTCTTGCTTGCCAGGAAGGTGATGTAAGATGGGGCCCTTCAGACCAGAACCGCCCCATACCGACTCTCAGAAACAGACAAAAGAAGAGAAAATCTTGGGGCCTAATGCAGGCAGACTTCTCGGGCGGCCAACTAGCCAGCAGATCATTCGCGCGGACAGCTGCTCCCAGCCACTCGATGCGCCGGTGCTCTGTCCGTCGACCAGCACATACTCCCAGTTGCCTGGACAGAATAGTGGTATAGGAAACCGTGCAGGAGGTCCACGGCAGTTAGTACTCGGATGTTCGTTGCCCGTTCGGCTTCTTCCCGTCTCTTTGAATATTCCCCTTACCCAGGCGTGGTGGAGTTGCAGAATCTTTTTTCTTCGTCCTTCCCTTTCCGGGGATTTCTCATTTTGCGCCGCCCCTCCCACCCCGCTCTCCACCCCTCCACACTCTCCACATCCCTCCGCCATGCCAATACCAACGCCAGTGCACCCTCCGCTCCGCTGCCCGTTGTCGTCCCTCTCCCTCTTGTTCTTGTCTCGGCTTAATCGCACCTCTTAGCAAAAGCTTCTTGCACTTGGCGCCATGGCCGGCATGTCCACCTCTTGATTTATTGCCTCCTCTTACCGCCCCCCGCACGGGGCTCAGTATTGTACGACACTCCCTCCTCACCTGTCCCCAACCCACCACGATTGCTCATCGGTACAAATTTTTTTTTTATCTGCGATCGCTGGCAACCGAAAACGCGGGGTCGAGCGAGCACGCGAGACGCAGGTGCGCTCCTTGGGGGCGCGCGCGCGCGAGCGCGAGCACGTCGTCGATGCGGCACGGATATCGCGTGCGCGCGCGGTGCACTTTGGCGGCCGGTCGTAGACGGGAGAGGATTCGTTGCTGTCCGTGTGCGATAAGAGACGACATCCGTGCTGAAGGTAGGCAAAGGGGGGTTGTGTGTGTGTGTGTGTGTGTGTGTGTGTGTGGCGCGCGCATGCGGCACGACGGACGGGCCCTAACGGGAGGGCGTTGAGCGTTTATTCGTTTCGGCGTTGCGTCGTGGGCGTGGTTCGACGTTTCGGCGTTGCCAGCGGGCCGCCGCAGCGGGCTTGCAGCTGTTTCCGTTTCGACATTTTTTTTTTCTCTTTTTTTTCGCGGTTTCCGCGAGCACTGGGCGATGGTTGTGGTCACTGCAAAAACGGGCGTACGTGGAGAAGGTTTGACGGTTGTCGAGAGGAGCTGAAGTGCTGCTGCTGGGGAAGGAGGCGGAAGTTCAAAGTTCCTTCGAGCTATGCGTTCATGGTCCATTTTTCTTGGCCCTCTCATGATGTCTGCGCGACATACTGTGGGTTGCGTCACTGTAGCACTGGCCCCCCCTCACTGCTGTCTACCGCCCGCTGGAAAACACCACGCAGCTGGCCGCGAGTATCTGGAGTCTGTAAAAATTTCCTAGAACGGATTTCTGACTAGCTGCGATGGGTTTGAGGGACGCGGCAGTGCGCTATCCGACACGCCGCAACTAGCCGTATCACGTGCTACTCGATATGGTAATCAGTTTGAAGTTGGTGACGCAAACGCGCTTCAAAAAGCAACAAGTTTTGACGCGCAACTCGGACATTGCCAATCTCGCTCCCCGTGCAGCCAATCCGAAAATCCGGTGCGCTCCGGATTACTCCCGTCAGAAAGAGTTATGCTCGACGCGAGAATCCGAATTTTGGGGATCGGCTGGCAACTGACTGATGCATGCATGTGCCCAACAAGTGGAGTAGTCCGGAGTGCATGGTACGGGGTGAGGATCGAGGAGGGGCGGCGGTGGCGGCCAACAGGAACCGCCACCACCACGACCACACTACTACCGACGCAGACGCCTGCCCCGAGACGCCTCCCAACAGCCTGGTTTGGAATCCTTTCGCTCCAGGGCCCCCACATTTCTCCCACACCCCGTGAAATTTCGATCCACGGGGAGAGGCCTGCACCGCGCGTTCGTTCGTGTACGGCTGTTAGGCGAGCATGTGGAGTAACTATCGATAGGAAAGCAGTTGCCGACCGCAGCTCCGTGAACCCCTGGGACCGGCGTCCTGTCAACCTGCCATGCCAGCATCCCAAAACACTCGGACATGTCCTGCCTGACCGGAATTACTATTCTGGTCGCCACGCTATTGACCTCCTGCATTACTACGGAGCACTTCACAACGCATCGTGCCATCGTGCGCAGGGCTGCCACGACAGCACTTTTCATTCCTTGGGTATCAGTTCCGGCCAAGAGGCCGCTATTGTACAACCCCTGAGTTCAATTCGTACATTCTCTCAAGCTTCCTTCCCCTCTTCCTTGCCCATTGCCTTTCCCCATGCCGCTTCGAAACCGCTGTCCTTCTCGATCATACTTGCCTCGCCCCCAAGCGCGGCGAACGCCGGCTCGTCGACTACCGATCCTCTGGCCGTAGTCGGACGCGTCTCAGTGCCTTTGCCAACATCTTCCGGCGGCTCAAACTCGAAGTTGCTGCTATACACCACTGCAGCAAATGCCTCGAGATCACGCACGTCCTCCATTGCCGAGAGGTACTCATTGTTCGTGCCGCTTCCGATTACATGTGCTTGGCGACAGAAAATCGCAAGCGTGTTCGCAACCTTGGTCTTTGCCGAGTTGGGGTCGGTAAGCTCAATGACACGCGCCGAATCGGCAGACACGGGCGGCAGCTTGTACGAGAGCGTGGCAATCTTGTTATCGATCAGGACAGAGAAGGTCGTGTCGAGAAGAAGCGTCAGGACGTGGGCGAAGGATGGCGACTCGATGATGTCAGATGTTTCGTCAAGTAGGCGGCGAAGAGGAGTGTTGTGCTCGGCACTGGCCGGATTCTCCTCGGTGGCCATGCCAGACTCGGAGAGGACGAAAGACTCCTTGTCGGCCGGAGGAAGAAGATATGCGAGCCACTTGCTTGCCCTGTGAATCCTTTTAGTGACCGTCTCTGCGCATCTCGAGAAAACTGCTTACCTCCGCTCCTCTTCCGTGGCACCTTCAACCTTCTTGCGCACCTCGAGCGTCAACTCGGACAGCCTCTCTAGTGTAATCTCTTCACGTGGATTCAACGGTCCGAACACGTCCATGACGGCCGAAACCACCTTCTCCATGATGTCTTTGCAGCCGCGGTGCAGCAGCCACCAACTGAAAGAGAGATACCTGCGGTTTGTTTCAAAGTCATTGCCGTAAGCTTGCTCGGCATTGTCATCGTCATGATTCTCCAGACTGATGCCGGTACCGTGCGCGGGAGGCGAGGCCAGAGTGACGACGCTGGCCAAGTAGTTGCGACGGCCGAGAAGGTTGAGCTGGATGCGAGTCAGGAGGATGAGGAGTGACAGGGTGTAGAGCAGGGTGAAGGCTCGCGCAATAGCTGTACCAGGTTAACAAGAAGCCTTGGCAGGGACCGAGAGGTGCGAGCGCCTTACAGTGAATCTTCATGTCGTTCCAGAGTTGAGCCTTGCTCTTTTTGGGCTTCGGGGGAGCCAAAGAAGCTCCATCGCTGCTCCCTTCGCCGGCGCCATTGCCAACGACCTGGCTGGCATGTACGATGCTCTCGCTCTGGAAACTCTTCAAGCTCCGGCCGTCGTCGTCGGCCGCGCTCGGAGCCTCGGAGGGCGCGTCGGTGGAGGCAATGTCCGACGGCGCAACGCTCCGCTGCAGACGTTCGGCCTTCTGCTTCTGCAGCTCGCTCAATGTCTGCTCGACGGGCAGGGCATGGAGAATGTTCTCGGTGGCGGTGGGCAGAATGGCGAGGACGGTGAAGGTGCAGTCTTCCTGGTTCTGCTCGAAGCGGCGGCGCAGGCTGTGAGAGGGTCGTCAGCGCGCGTGCTCTGGAGGGCTGGCCGCAGTCCGGGGGCGCACTTCTCGCGGGCGATGCGCTCGTCGCCCATGCGCTGGCGAGCCTCAGACAGCTTGCCCAGCAGGTATTGGCCGGCGAGGTAGCCAGCGCCGAGCACGCCGGCGCCGATGGCGAAGTTGGTGCGATTGCGCCTGAACCATCGGCGCGTAGCTGATATCATAGTGCTGGCTGGCGTGTCGGGTGCAGCTACATGCTCTGTCAAGTGACGGACGTCACGGAGGTTGGGGTGCGGGCGACCAGGTTGAGCGGGCCGAGGCTTGGGCGGGCTGGCTGGCTGGAGCGTGACAGGCTAGGCTGAGCCTGAGCGTGGAGTGAGCCGGAGTCAGCTGGGCTGCCGTGTGAAGATTGGCAGCCCAAAACCCCGCGGACGGCCCCAAGGACACCCGACTCTGACCCCACTGTAAATCCGTCATCGCACCCTCAACACCTCCGTTCCGTCCCCGGCCGCCCACTCTTGCTCCCAGTCCGCCTGCTGCCAACCAGCGAACCAGCTCTCCCAGCCCTCCGCATCCCTTTCGCAAGTGCTCGACCCCGCGAGCGCACCCCACCATGGAGCCGCGCCGCACCCCCGAATACGTACTCGAGGTCTTCGCGGACCCCACCTGCGTCAAAGATATCGTCAAAGGTACCTTTTCCTTTGCTGGCTGAAGGCCGGCTCTGCGCGCAGCTGCACGGCGCCGGCTGCCCTGGCGCGCAGCGGCGACACTGGACGTCCAAAGCTGACACGCAGAGCGCAGCCATCCTGCACACCATCTTCTTCCATCGCTACTTCACGCCGGTGACTCCGCTGCACCGCGACCTGCTCGACCTGACGCTGCCGGCCATCGACGACGTTGACCTCGAGACCCTGATCGACCGCCGCGCGGCCGAACTAGTGCGCGCCCTCGACACGGGCGCCGGTCACCAACAGCGCGGGCGCGGGCAGCTGGCCATACAGTTCTTCGAGAAGCGGCGGAGAAAGTCGTATTTTCCGTTTGGCGGCTTGGGCAAGGGGCGAGGCGACGAGGAGATTTGCTGGGAGTTGTGGACGCTCGATGTTACGCTCGCGACGCCCCGGAGCGACACTGAGGTCATCAAAGTGCGACGGGCGATGGAGAAGAGCCTGCACAAGACGGCGCTCAAGATTGTCACGATTGTCAACCGCGACAAGGACCACATCCCGCCGATTACGACGACGGAGACGAACCCTTTCCCATACCAGATTGTCGTGAACCCGCAAAGAGAAGGGTGGGGGCAGAGAATAGGCATATTCTGACCGTGGTTTCCACTTGGCGACGTCTACATTTGCATTTCCAGGGCGTTTCTATTACGAGCATTGTACCATCATGCCTGCATACCGGGAGTTGGGGCGGCAAAGTCGGGCCAAGGAGCCTGCGGGGTGGTTGACTATACACATTTCGGTCTTCTTGAGATACCCCGAAACAAGCACGAAATACTATTGGGTCCAACGTCAAAGTGTCGACGAGTGAAGCGTGGGTGGGATCTCAGCCAGCAGTACGGATACTCGGCTGTCGCTTACAGTCGGCTCTGGGCGCTGAATAGAGTTTTCACCGCGGAGTGGGGAGACATGGACCGACTTGGTCGCACAAGATGGCCTCGGGCAGTTTCTGTTCTGGCAGCGACCGTCTTTGTCTCCAAGGAGAAGCCACAGCTGCGGCAGGGCGATAGCCACACAGGGCGCAGCAACGAGGTGCGACAGTGCGACAGTCAAAGGCAGGGTTCATGCCGTCAACGCAGCACGTGCAAGTGGGCGCAGCCACGGTGCGGCAGCCAATCAGGCTCTCACGCATTGCCTCATCGGGCAAAGCGCATGGGCATGGGCTGCCCCATTAAGCGCGAAGCGAGCGGCTGAGACGGTCGAAGTTGGGGGCATTCGCTGAGCGGCCGTCAAATCGAGCCCCGCCAACACTGCGCGCACTGGATGAAGGCGATCAGCGCGCTGGGCCTGCCGCTGTCAGCCTAGCCACTTGCGAGCCTGGGCGGCGTTGGCTGCGGGATCAAAAATAGCAGCCCTTGGCGCTCTACGCGCACCCATTGGCTGGCAGCGGTGACGGTGACACGGCAGGATTCGAAGCACTGCCTGCTATATAACCTGCCAGAGTGCTCATCGGTGCCTGATTCGCAAGAGCATTTGTCCCTGGCCTGCCGTCATTCTGCAGCCCGAGTGTAGCAGTGAGGACTTTATCTTCACCCTGCCCCAGTCCAGTGCACTCGGCAATCATGGCCCCCACGCAGACGGTGCTGGTCTCCCTCCTCCTCGCACTGCTTCCCGCCACCGCCATGGCGCAAACCAGCAGCTCCGACTTCGACGACGAGTACAACAGCACCAAGCAAACGGTCAGCACCGGCATCATCGTCACCATCGTCATCGTCGTCCTGTTCGTCGTCGGCGGCCTCGCGTCCATTGTCGTCTTCTGCTGCGTCATACGCAGAAACAGAAAGCGCCGCCAGCGCCAGAGCAAGGAGATCAGCGCCGCGAACCAGAAGGCTGCCGAGCGCCGTGCCCTCGAGGGCGGCTACCACGCTGCGCCCCAACAGGAGGAAGGCGCGCTCCAACCTTACCACTATGGCCCTGCCGAGATGGACGCCTACCAACCCCCGGTGGAGATGGACTCGAGGGAGAGGGCAAAGGCCGAGATGCCATAAGAACTGGCCGAGAGCACGGGCAGCGGAAACCATTATGAGATACCACGCAAGAGTTTTGCATCATTTTCCTTTTCCACTATATCCCTGTAAGATATCACTCAGTAGGTACTGCGCCAACGATGAGCGCACGATTGCGCTGCGCGAACAGCATTCGCACCTTCCCATCATGTGTCGCGCTTTCCTCGCTGAGCAGCCATGCCCTTCCAGCCAATTCTTAAAGCTCCCTCGCTGCTCTCTCTCTCTCTCTCTCTCTCTCTCTCTCTCCATCATCTTCATCTGCATCCATACTGCCGGCATAGCGGTCTTCTCGTTCAGCTTCACTCATCATCACGCGCTTCGCTTTGCACACCGTCTCAACCACCAGCTCCGGCAACATCTTCTGACCGAGCTCTCTGCTCGCCGGCCAGACGCCACAGCCATCAGGCCCTTCCAAAGCCGTAACGAGAGTACCGCATCCACCGCATATCCAACATGCATAACCAAAATACCCTCCTGTTCGCCGCTCTTTCTATCCTGATCGCTGTCTTCCCAAACTTGGTCATGGCAGAAGAAAACTCTGGTCTCGATGGTGCGCTTATCGCTATTTTGACGATCGGCGGCCTCGTAGGGCTTGCCTTCTGGGGCACATTGATCGTAAGTGCACTTCCCGCCCTTCCACCTTTCAATTGTTCATGCTGACATGAAGAAATTTTTAGTACCTAATTTGTGTACTCGCGAAAAAGCATTTGAAGCATGATGCGGTACACACCAATTCATCACAAACGGCCCATCCTCAGCCTGCCCCCACGACATATTCGGCACCGAGTGCGGTCTGATGTTGCTCATCCGATGGCATAAAGAAGGATGCCAGAATTGTCTTGGAGAGACCTACCTTATCGAGCGAGGAGCGCTCAGAGCATAAGTGGACCATGGTTCCCTGCAGTGGTGATGAGTTGTGAAGGTTGTTGGTCTCACGCTAGAGGCGCAGTGTTGAGCTGAGGAGTTCAAACTGGCATTGTGTTTTCTCTATTCTTCATCCTACATAATGATCCTAAAGGTCACGTCGTTCCATGGCGAAGCATGAATGCAAAGAGGATTGAATCTTTACTTTTGAATGGTGTGCGGAAAGAAACAGGCACGCCAAGGCTGCTGCTTTTTCAGCCTTCCAGTTCCCAAGGACTTACTTTTCTTCACTAAATACTTCTCCGGCTGCAGGTCTTGCAGTGGACCATTGCCCTGAGCCTTTCACGCAGGCAAGTGATTTCAAATCCAAGAAACGCCCAAACACCACCCAACCCATCACCACCCACTCCGCTCCTCCCCTAGCCATCCCCCACCCCCATTTGCCGACAGATCCACCGACTGATTTTTGCTCCGCATCCTGCCCTCCCCGCTCCTCCCGCGCCAATCCCTCCTGCCCGCACCACCACCCGCTTTCCCGACCCCTTGATCCGCGATCAACGCCCGTCGTCGAGCCGACCAAAGCACCACCACCACGACAGCCACGACGACCATCGCCGCCGCCAAACCCACTCCTCCTCCTCCACTACCACCTGCACCTCCACCTCGCCCACCGCACCACCACCCCACAACCCTCGCCCCCACCACCCACGCCGGAAACACCCACGGCAGCGCCGCCCGCCTCGCCGCCAGCGTCGCCGACGGACTGACGCTCAGCGGCGGCGCGCCCACGATGAGGTCGTTGCCGGGGATCTGGCTGCGCACCAGCGTCACCGTGAGCAGGGGGCGCACGCCGCGGGGCGGACCCGCACTTGCTGCTCCTGATCCTGATCCACCTGCTCCTCCTCCTGATCCATCAACATGATGATCATCATTGACGCCATTGACGACGGCTTCACCACCATTACCAGTACCGCCAGTACCGTACCAACTCTCACCATCCGGCCAAATCTCCATCGGCCCGCCGAAGCCGTCGGGGTCCGTGGCGGCGCTCCAGGACGCGCGGAGCTTGATGGTCGCGGTCGTGGTTCCGGCTGTTGCGGATGCGGGCCGGAGCGACCACGCGAGGAGGGTGGCGTCGGCGGGGAGGAACCAGGGCGGGAAGGGGAAGGTCCGGAGGAACGACGTCAATATTGCAGAACGGGCCGGTGCTGCTGAGGGCGGCGCCGGCGCGGGGTCGCCGACGGGGACGTCGGCGATGGAGATGGGCGAGGAGAAGCGGCGGCTGGGGTCGGTGTTGCGGATGGAGATGGGCTGCTGGTCGTTGATGATGAGGTATTGGCGGGTGGAGTCGATGCGGAAGGTGAGGGCGAAGTTGGCCGGGGGGTGGTGGTGGTCTCTTGGTGTACTACTGCTGGCGCTGGAGGAGGAGGGGGAGGTGGGAGGGAAGAAGCGGGCGGTTCTGTTGGTGGGGCGTTAGTTGGAGTGTTTGGGAGAAGGTCGTGGAGTGGAGGTGTACGTGCTCGTAGATACGGATCAGTTCCTTGTGTTGGTTGATCTGTCTGGAGGGGAGGGTGACGTAGTCGTCCTCGGGCATGGGAGAGGGGAAGAAGAGCCACATCAAAGCGAATCCTGGAACAAAAATGGTCAGCATGGTTGTTAGAGCACAACAACGCTTGTATTAATGCACCTGTCCAAAGAGCCAAAGAAAGGTAGAGTGACCACAGGAGCCATGACTTCTGACGCATCATGTTGCCGCGCACAAAGGAACCTGGGGGAGAGGATGGTATCAGGCGCTCCATGATGGATTCCTGTACTGAGAAGGGAGATGCTGAGCGATCAAGAGGTAGGAGAAATATTCGTAGGGAGCCCATGATTTAGGGGATTCGAGCTTCAGCTAACCAATGAGCATGGCGCCCAGCGTCCATACGAACTAGATTCTGGGCATACGCGTCGGTGCGGAGCGGGAACGAGGGCGTGCGCGGCGATCATGGGCCGCGCACATGGCTTCAGCCACTGCAATGAGCTGGAAAGGGACCCTGCGGCGCCTCGCTATCACGTGCCAGCGTTATAAATGGGAGCTCCCTCAATTACCGGGAACGAGCCCACAGAGTCGCGTCTCTATTTTAGAGACATCATCTCGCCTTTCCATATGTCTGCGTGATCCTCTCCTTTTTTTCAATCTTCCACAACTTCTGGTCCTATCCTCGCATCTTGCAAACCATCTGCACTACGCTATCACTGAACATGAAACAGGGGTAAAACTGGCAAGCCATTCGCTCTAAGAACTATAGCGGCGTAATGGCCGCCAGCGTTTCACCGACGTCGATTGGTGCGAACGAAAACCAAAGCGTTCGTGATCTCGGTCACGATCCCGCCATCCATAGCTCATCGCTTTGTCGGCATGAATGCCGACTGCACAATGGCGTGGAAGACAGGCACTCGATCGTTCTGGTATTCAGCTGCACCACACTAGGATATAACCATCCCAATTGCAAGCCATGTTGTTTATATCTCCATTGAAGCTGGCTACTTCGAAATTCGTCCAATTCATGTATTGCAGCGGCAATAGTTAAAGGGACCACGCTCCTTGTGAGTCTTCAAAACTCCACATTCCCATCCTTCTCACGCCTTCATAAACGCAAGCCAGCCGCTCAAACCAGTAGCCAGAGAAGCCATGTGTGAGTGAGAAAGGAGACAAACGCCAAATCGCTATGCATGTCAGAGTTACGACATTCTCCCCCGGCAATGTTTTCAAGCCCTTGAAAAGGAAACCCATCGACGTTGACGCATTGTGAAAACCCGAATTGATGATCCTGTTCGCGATACCGCTTGTCCGCTGTACATGGTGTGAAAACGACCATTGGATGAGAGCCGCTACGGTTTGGGCGGGCCACGGCCTCTCAGGCAACTGTCTGTCGATGAAGAAGAGTTTTCGCCTTGCCCACGGTGTCGGAATTGCCATGAACTAAGAAGAGAGGATCAAGCGGCTGAGAAATTTGACTTGAAAGCCGTTGCTGTCGTCACAGCTCGATCGCGTCTTCAAAACTGTTGCCCTTGTCCTGGTACTTGCCACTTGGTGTGACACCACGTTCCTCGCTGTCCTCCTCGCTCCCTGTCTCTTCCTCATCATAGAGATCTTCATCCTCGTCAGTCATTCCTTCTTCGTCTTCTTCCTCCTCATCCGCCTCATCCGCCTCATCGTCGTCCTCATCATCATCGTTACCCTCCTCCGCTTCCTCGCCATTCCGTTCCTCTCCGTCTTCTTCCTCATCCAGAAGCGCCGGGTCAATCTCATCTTCATCCATCTCAGTGGTTTCGAGAGGCTGAGCATACTGATACGGGTCCTCGAAATGGCTGTCAAACTCTCCATGCTGGCAATACTGACTTTCAAGATCTTCGACGACAGACAGAGATTCCCCGGCGTGGTCAACTTCCATCACATGGTCATCGTCGTCTACGTTGGCCGAGGCTGTTTCCATCTTGACAGGGGCCTGACTTTCCTTTACGTCAGCTTCGTCGTCAGATGAGAGTATTGTAATCTCGTTGTCTTGCGTTCCTGTTCCGTTCGTTGTAGGGTTCTTGGAAGATTGCGTGGAAATGAATGGGTTGCTGTCCGGAACAACCGAGGTGAACGACTGCAAAGAAGGCGTAGCGCTATTGACCGGTTGAGAAGCAGGTACCTGATGACGGAAGTTGGATAACTTTCCGTCAGTAGGGGCTTCGAAAGCCTTTCCCTTGCCCTTATCTGTGCTCGCCAGCCAACGAGCTCCACCGTATTCCGAGCGAGGCAGGAACTTGCTCTCCCGGCTCCAGTACTTGGGAAGTTCAGTAGATGCTGGCCGCGCTCCAGGAAATGCGGATGCGCGGAAGTTGCTGTACGATCGAGCAAGAGGATCCACGGTTGAGTTTTGAACTGACTCTGACCTTTCCCTCTCGATCTGCTCTCGAATGTTTCGATAGTAGTCGATAGACTCAGACATGGATTTCTGAAGTGCGCGTGCCTTAGCAATGGTAGGATCCCGAAGATCCTCATCGTGGCCCTCATTGTTGATGGTGCTCGGTGCACTGGTGACTGTTTCTGTCTCCCGGTTTTCGCCTACCGAGGTGCGGCTTTGACTGAGTCGATAGTCTCGGGTCCCCATCCCAACTCTCCTCTTCCTTTCGGGAGGAGTCACTGATTCGCTATCGCCATCAGAGAGGATGGCTTCCTCGTCGTCATCGAACTCCCGGTACCGCTTCCGGCCCCGCCTATCACCATGCACGTCCTCGTAGCTGATACCGAGTGCTCTGAGCCTGAAGTAGTCTGTCTGAGTGGTGCTGATGCGACCGGTGTAGCTGCTTTCTTTTGGAATAAGAGGATCCCCAGACAGAAATCGCGCGCGGTGCCGGAGAAGTTGAGGCGGCTGTAGAGGAGCTTTCTTAGACTTCGAGACGCGAAACTCGTCTCTGTTGGGTCCAAGAGCATCAGACAGCATGCTGCTGCGACGACTGCCATTGCTTGGCAAAGCTCCAGACATCATGTACGACTGATTCTGCGAGCTAGTAGGGCGCCGCATATCCCGGTCGAGAATGTCGTGCACTCCAATGCTGGAGCTGAAGGAGCCACGGAAGTGTCCATTACCGCGCGAGCCGTTGCTAGCAGCCAACCTCCTCATGCTTGCGCCCATCGTACTCTTGAAGTCTTGAACATCGTTCTCGATCCCTGCGGGACCCCGTCGAGAGGCAGCAGCGTTCAGCGCGTCGCGACGAGCTTTCCTTCGCTCACGTCCGCGGCGCCTGAGCTTTTCTGACCACCAAATGCTTCTCCACTTCTGGCCATACTTGAATGCAAGACTTCTCGCGCGGAATTCATCAGCAACCTTCCGGTTCTTCTCTTCTTCGAATTCTTTCATGGCATCTATGATCACATTGTGTGCCATGTGCTCAACGAACTGACTGAGTAGGCCGACTTTAGGCTGCATGACAAGATTCTCGGTGATCCTGTCAATGGCTAGACCTGCCTGTCTCTCCTTACGGGCCTTATCTCTAGCAAGGGCCAAAGGATCTGGCTGAGGTTGAGCGGGAGGCGCCTTCGAAGCTTGTGTTATAGGCGGCGCAGGAGCGAAGCTTGTTGGTGGCGTGAAGCTTGTTGGTGGCGTGAAGCTTGGCGTCGCAGGGGTAAAAGTAGGAGCTGGGTTGAACTCTGAGGGCTGGGGAGGTTGAGCGGGGGTAGTACTTGTGGTGTTCCCAAGCGAGAACGGCGCTGATGGTTTTGAGATAGGCTCGACGGTAGAGGTTGGCGTAGAAAATTTGGAGGGGTTGAAAGCTCCAAGTGAAGGTCTTGGAGTCTGAGGATCGAAGTTCAATGAGGCAGAGGGGTTTGTGGGAGGAAAGGAAGGTGCAAGCGCGGAGCTTGGCGCCTGATCTTGAGCCAGCGCAGAAGGCGCTTGATTCTGACCAGGCTTGATGAAGAAATTAGCGGGCGATGTGTCTGAAACTCGAGACGGAGTGGAACCAAATGAGTTCTTGTTCTCGTCAGACTTTGCCGTGGCAGGAGTAAAAGAAGGGAAGGGGCTGCCTGCCGGTGTAGCAGTAGCCGTATTCCCCGGGACAGAGCTCTTCGTAGCAACGGGCGGGAAGCCAAAAATGCTGCTAGGCGGTTGGTTTTCCTTAGTAGCCTCCGAATTTGAGTCTACGGGTGGAAAACCGAAGGTGCTGCTCTGAGTAGACAGCGGCTGCTTGCCCAGCCCCGAGGGAGCCGTCGCTGTTGGGAAGAGAGGGGGTGTCGTAGTGAGAGCCAATGACGTCTGGCCTGAGGATGTCTGACCTGAGAACGCCGGGCGTTTTGGTGGCGAGCCTGGCGGCGTATCGCTAGGGTGCTCGAACGAGCTGGTCGGCGTCGTCGATTTCTGAGCTTGTGCTGGCTGACCGAAAGCCGAAAAGGGTGTCGGCTGAGCACCAAGCTGGAACGGGGATGATTGAGCAGCAAAAGTGTTTGATGCCGCAGCCGCAGATGCAGGCTTCGCGAAAGGAGATGGTGCCGCGGATAACACGCCTGACTGGAAAGGCGAGGAAGTTTCACTGAGGCTGGGCACAGCGGTTGTCGGAGTAGAAGCTGCTGAAAACGGTGAGAATGGATTGGAAACAAGAGAGCTTGGTGTGGACTGCATCGAACCTTGGCTGGAAGGAGTGCCAAACCCCCCAAAGGATGTAGCTGGAGCTGGAGTGGCAGGCTTTCCAAATGCTGATGGAGCAGCCGGTGCGCCGAAGCCAGGTGCAGCTTGGGTGAGAGTATTTTTGGGCGCTGCGGCAGCTGCTGCGGCAAATGGATTTGTGGGTTTATTGAAGGATGAGCCAGAAGTAGTCATTGTGTCCGTGTCGGATTCGGAATCCTGATTGACAAAGAGCGAGGGTTGAGCCGCATTGACATCAATCTCTTCAATCATTCCACGCTCCTTTGCTTGCTTGACCGTCATGCCACTGACGATGGCAGAATACGTCCTGTTAAATCGTTTGGCTTCCACCACCATCTCAGAACGAAACTGCTTCCTCAAATTCGGGCTGGCCGACGGGAAAACCTTGCCGGGAACAGAGGTAAGGTCGATAAACTCGGTTCCATCTTCCTTCTCCTTGATGGAGAAATCGTATGCCTCGCAAAACTCTCGCGCTTCTTCATAGTCATCCAAGTGCATGACTCTCGCGATCTCCTCCAGATTCCAGTCTTCGACTTTTCTCTCACCCCCCATCCGGTAGGCTGTCCAGATTTTGTTGAGCATGGACCTTCTAACCATGTTGAAGACCAATTCAGCCACGCAGGCCATGAGATAGGAAACCTGACTTGACTTGATAATGTTAAAGAACCTTCCCGCATTTGACTGGCCGATGGGGTGGCTGATCCTGGGGTTTAGGGGACCCAGGTCCTGGGAAGTGTCCGTTGCTGAGGTGTAAATCCTCAGTGCTGTCTGTACGCGGGGGTTCTTGATTATGTCCGCCGGCCATGATTGCAGTCTATCCTCAATATCCGGGACTATGGCTTCCATTTGGAACAGGATGCTGTAGGCGCGGAACTCGGGCTCGTTGGGGGAACGGTATCGCGCCCGGTTCTCGTCATAAAGGGTTATGAGGGTAAGAAGCGTCTTGTCGAGCTGCTCGCGGTCCTGGTGCCTATCGTATGACGAAGGTACCTCTTCCTTTGGCAGAGCCATCTGATGTAGGGAGAGAATGTGGAAGCGGGCAATGCGCTCGAAGCAATCGATCTGTATCCTGATATCGGGGGTCTTCGTGCATTGTTGAATAGTAAAGTCGTTCCGCACGGCGCGAGTCCGGTCCCAGAGGAACTTGTGCGCCTTCCCGAGATCGTGCTCAGAGAGAATGACGTTGAAAAGGTAATCGCACGTTTTCGAGAGTGTGGTCGGAGGCCTTAGGTCGGAGGGAAGCTGCTCTTCCAGGCCAGCAGCGGCGCGTCGAAACTTCTTGATCATGCGGGCTTCCGAAGGCTCTTTTGTGCCGGGTTCCTACAGAGGACGGTCAGGACCTGCCTCAGCCGTCCAAACGAGCCGCGGATCATACCAATTCCATCTCCCACACATCCTTTTGAACCACGCGTTCCACCCTCTCATACTCCGCGCACATGTCCGGGCAGGTCCCAACGATGGTGATGGCATCTTCCAAGCGGCGCGGCTTATCAGGGTCCTGGATCAATCCATTCGCGATCGCGTGCTTCCGTTCGAGAGCGCGGTTCGACTTGAGCTACGGTGCGAAAGGGATAGAGTCATTCTAGTTCTTCTTTCTTTTGGCCCGGCGGGAGGGGCAGAGTGAGGGGAGGAGAAGTCAACATACTGTTTCGTAGCGCTGAGGCCATGGAAGTCCTGCGGTCGAAGCCGGCTGAAAGCCGTTGGCCTGTGAGGTCGAATTGCTCGGGCGACGCGCCTGCGGGCCTCCAAATGTTTGCTTCTGACGGGGGCCGGTGGGTGCGCCTCTGGTCGATGTGCCCCTCGCAGCACCGCGACCGCGACCGCCGCGGAAGCTATGGCCGTTGCTCCCGTCGCTATCGCTGGCAGTGGCGGAGCCGTTGCGGTTGGCGTTGTGCGCTCCGCCGCGGGTGAAGGTCCTCGAGCGGGTAGGCTTCGCGCGGCCGCGCTCACCTCCGCGCGCTGACATGGCGGTCGGCAGGGTCGTGTTCCTCCTCAACGGTCGGTCTTGCTCATCGGGAGCGGCGCGATATCGAATGTAGCTGCACGGTGTGATGTGTGGCAGAGGGGGGCCCGAGCCGGAAACGGTGTGTTGAGCGCGGGTGCGGCGCTTTGTCGCGACCGGGTGGAGGTAAAAGGCGACGCGAAGCTCTGAGCTTGGACGCCCCCGCCAAGCATCAACTCCGCGGGCCCAGCCACATTTTCCTTATTGGGGAACAATCGCTGCCTTACTTCACTTCAGCTCGTGTCCCTCATAAATTCTCTATTGACACAAAGTTGCCACGTCACATGCTGAGCAGCGTTCGTGATAGATTGGCATGGCTGAACGTATGTCATTCACTTTGTCTATTTCTATTTTATTTTTTATTTTTTTGCAATCATTAATTTTGCATTCTAGACTTGTCTGCACGCGTCTACTTTGCGTGGTGTGAAGATATTGATTAACAGGCAAGTCCGAAACGGTTGGTTGGGCGGTCCATATCTTGACTCTTATTCCTAGTGTCCCTTCAAGCTTTGTGCTCTACAAATCTCAACACTATCTTGTATCAGCCCCCCTGCACAAATCGCATAACGGCTACGCACGGTATTCGTTCAGTATCACAGCTCGCCGCCAAAGTGCTCATGGTGCTCAGATTTTTGATGGGTAAGAAGTCCGAAATTGATATTAAGCACCGCGACGCCCTGTTGTCACTGTAGCACCACATCTACCAGTGTTGATGGTCCCAGATCGAAGCCCATACCACACACACACCGTCAATCCCGTGCTCGTCTGCGCCACTTTCAAAACTCCAAACCAAAGCTCAGAAGCTCGCTCGAACGCTGGACAGAAGTACGAAGAAGACAAGAAAGTGAGATTCATCCGAGAAACAAGATCGTGCCGGGAATAGAAGCAACTGTGCGACCAAGAAACAATTTTTTTACCCCAAGACTCCTCTCCGACAGAGGTACCCATAGTTTCCCAGAGAGAAGATGTCAGATAAAAACAAAGACGAACGCAATTTTAAACCAGTTAGCGAACAGTTTGCTTGCGCAACCCTGATGCGAATGTGCGACCATGCGGTGCGGATCTAGTAATCCAGCAGTAGGCCCGAGCCGTCCCACCAACTCCTACGCTTATCCGAAATAGCACAAGTATTCCCAAAGAAAGGAGAAAACGGCAGCCGCGGAACGAGCTGCTGGCAGCTTTTCGCAGAACAGTAAAACTTGTTCAGAGTTTTCCACCCAAAGACCTAGATCAGAAATACGCTAATGTAGAACCTTTGCCCAAAAGTCGTAGTCGTAGTTAGTCCAAGGAGGCGACCCTAGGCCAATGCCGAGTAATCGCGAACGCTGGACGTCCTTGCTAATCGGTCATGTCGTCGTAATAATTATACAGGTCATTCGAGGAAACGCTGTCGTGAACTTCGTCAAACACGGGACCCGTCGTGCGAGGGAGAGGCCGAATCAAAAGGAGTTCCGAGCTGAAGATAGAAAGCCTGTGGTTGAGTTGAACCTTTCAGTATCAACGTAACGCCTACCCATGGTAAGAGCCGTTCATGCTGTACTGTATGTTCGGATGACTCAAAGACCCGGTGCGAAACGTGTTGCTGTACGGCGGCTCGTCGTAGGTACTCGACTGACTCCGTATCCCGGGCATTACGGGCATGGCCCCTGATACGGGCATGGGCTGACCCATGGCAGGAGATGCTGCCGACATGCTGCCAACCTGAGGACCCGGGCTGTAGTTGTGTTGGGGCGAGAGTTGAGGGTTGTTGCCAAACGAAAAGTTGACGGCACCGGGGAAGTTCGTGCTGGATGGGGTGGCATAGGAGGTGTTCGAGCTTTGTGCCAGCGAGGCCGTCGACGAGGGAGAGAAGGATGGATTGGACTGGACTGTTCGCCAATCATTGTAATTCGAGGGCTGACTGACGTAGCTTGGATCCCGACTCATTGGGTAGGTAGGGTTGTCTACGTAGTTCGAAGGTTGCTTCGCATCAAAGCCATATCTGTCGTCGTACATCTGTGGAGGCATCATGGACGCCTGCTGGTACGCAGGTTGCAAATCGCTTGCATCGGAAAAGGGTTTTCCGACTGGCGGCACATAGCCCCGGAATTCGTTGCTGCTCGCCGGGAAAAAGCTGTTCACTTGCTGCGGCGTTGGGTCCGGAAGGCCGTTGGGGTGAGAGTAGTCCCAACCTTGGTTCTCAATCTCCAAAGCCCTCGTCGATTGGACCAAGTCTTCTTGCTCCTGACCGTGGTGCGACTTTTGGACTTCCTGAACCTCTTGAGTATCGACAGACGAATCCTGGCGCTGTCGTTTGCGCGAGGAACCGGTACTGGCTTTCTTGTTTTGGAGAGCGTGCTTGGGGTAGCACTTCATGCTGACCATGGTGTCACCGTCTGACATGAACCATTAGCTTTCCAGGCAGGTTCGCAACACAACAATCAGTCAACTCACCAACGCCGCCCGTCACGAAGTCAGACCAGTTCTGCGCAAGCATGTAGATGTCGTTCAAGAACAGATCGCGTTTTCCCTTTCGGTCGTCGCCATTGTGGTTGTCTTGATCGAACTGCAGGACACAGTCCTTGGTGGAGTGCTCCAAGAGTTCAATGCCGCCCTCCTTCTGGGCTTGGTGTAACAGGATGTGGACACCAAGGACGAGGCGTTCTGTCCTCTTGCATTAGCCTCAGTGGCACAACATGGAAGGCGCCCGCTTATCGTCGCTTACCGGGTTTCCTAAGATGGTCAGGCTCCTTGTGCCGGACTTCATCCATCGTTCCACACTCGGGATGCGGCATCGACTTCCACCAATCTTCGTGGGTCGTCGGCCACCACGGGGGAGCAGCTGGGCCGTCCTTGGGTTTGGAGCGCTTCTTCTGGGTGTTCTTCTCCGGATCCTGCCTCTTCTTCTTGTCGCTGCCGACATAAGGATAGTTGGATTGCTTTTTGGGTTCAATCGCCCTGATCCATGCCTTGAGAATGACCTTGCACGCAAGCTGTTGCATTTGATCCAGGCGACGGCCTAGGATGTCGAGCACCTGAGAGCGATCATCAATGGGAAAGCGCACGACTTGCTGCTCTTCAGGCTCAATGTCGGCACCGACGGCATCGGACCAGTCCTCGTTTTCGTCATCGTCATCCTCGGCGAGACTCTGGTTGCGCGAGGTGGAGCGCTGGCGCTTGCGCGAGCGGAGGGGCTCGGCAGCCGGGCTCTTGATCTTGACCTTGGACTTTTCTTGACTACGCACGCGCTGATTGGGCTGCGAGAAACTCGCATGGCGGCTTTCATCGGAGTCGGTCGTCACTTGACTCGCGTCTTCGACCCACTCCGGCGGTGCAGGCTCGTCGCTGGCTGCGGCACGGTCAGCAAGGGCTCGTCATCTGTGCGGCCGGCTTCGGCGGCTCGTGCGGGACACAAACCGTAGACCTGCGGGCCACCGCGGACAAACTGGGGCGGCAGGCTCTCAACGTGCGAGACAAGGTCGCGCCACTGCGGCGTGCGGGCCAGCTGCGGGCGGAGGTCGTCAAACTTGTCGGAGGGAAAGACGAAGGCGTCGCCCCTCTCGTCAAGTCCGACGACGACAAAGGCGTGGGCGGCGATGTTGCAGTCGCGGCGGAGGGCATGGGTGAGGGCGTGCGACGGCGATGGGGCCTAGCGATTAGGGTTAGCGGGGCCGTTGGCTGGCTGGCTGGCTGGCTGGCTGGCTGGCTGGATGGGAAATGCGGGGTATTGGTGAGGGCTGATACGCACGGGCGCCGTTCGCGGTTGTTGAGAGCTAACGCTCTGGGAGCTCATCCTGCTCGCTGCTGCTGCTGGAGGTGTGGCATCGAGCTTTGTCTTGGAGCTGGGCTGCGGGTGCCATTTTGCGCTTCCGGCAGGCGCCAGCCTGCACTCGGCCGGGTACTGGACCATCGTAGCGGAGCGGCGCAAGAGGTCGAGGGCTTGTTGTTAAGCGGGTCGGCGATGCAAGCCAGCTCAGCACGAGCGTGCTCTAAGCCCAAACAGTGCGCGTTCTCCGCGACTCGTCGCATGCACCGAGGCCGCGGGTTCTGGCATCGCAGGTGTTAGTCGCGGGCGCTATCGCTGGTCAAGACGGAAACATGGTTGACGGGACGGCGGGCGGGAGTGCCTGGAGGAGGGGACAAGAAACGGCTCGGAAGCAGCGCCCAACTTAAATACCGGCCGCCTTATCGGCGCGCAGATGCGGCTGCAATTGATGAGGACCGGCCTACCTGAGAAGCGTAGCGTCCCGTGCCTGGCCGCGACGGGAGTACTAGCAGCGGTCGTCGCTTGGCGGCAGATCGTGGGCAATCAAGCGCTGAGGGCGAGCGCGGAGTCTGCGGAGAGAAATGGATGCGGACGGTGCTGGATCGCCACCAGCCTGAGAGCAGTGCTGGCACACTGCGGCACACTGCGGCACGCTGCGGCACCCTGGGGGGGCACACTGGCACACACTGGCACACACTGGCCGGCAGCAGCGGCCTATCCGGAGCGGCGCGCGGGCGATCGGAGAGCGCGGCTGCTCCTGGTACGACCACAGGCGCGTGGCAGCTGATCTGGCGGGGAGGGCGAGCGGGCGCGGTGCTAAGGCCGCGAGACGGAGCGCTGGGAAGTGAGATGGTGCTGCACGTGGGCGATTATTGGCGGAACACTGGGCCGCGCGACACAACGAGATCGATGAGAGGCGCGATGAAACAGACGAGACGATTGGCGACGTTCGGGGGAGCTCCTCGCACACAGCCTGGCCGGCGCCGGGCTGGTATAAGAAGGCCGCGGGACACGACCATGCCATCCGCCCTTCCAGCGGCCAGCGCCCCCCCGCGCCGCGGCACCCCCCGGGCGAGCGCAGACGAGGCGAGGCAGCGTGCGTACGCGGTGCTACAAAACGAAAGAAAATTGCCAGGCCCTGTGGGGAGCGGGCGCGCGGGCAAGAGGTGGCCGCTGGGGCCGCAGCCGGGGCGGGTCGGCGCCGCATGCGAGCGAGCATCGATCTCGCGCCTGAGAGATTGCCGGCCGCCAGCGGTGTGTGTGGGCGCGCACGCAGAATGATGAAACCCGGCGAACCCTGGCCTTGGCAACGCTCTGGTGCCGTCGAGGACAGCCCGCTCGGAGGCGTCAGCGCGCGATCGCGGCGGGCGGCGATGCTGCGGAGAGGCCGGGGGCACAGGGGAGCCAGGCGGAGATCATCGGGACGCGCTTCCGCTGCCGCCGATTGCGTCTTGCGACACCTGGCCGCAGAACTCCACCGACCGGGGAAGGGAAAGAACAATGAATCTCGCGCGGCGGCGGCAGATCTGATGAGACCCATCGCATCGAGATAGACACGCAGCTCTCGAGATCGTAGTGCCCGCGCGATCTCACTCGCCCACAGGGCCTGCGCGCTAGCGTGACTCTGTGCGCCGGACCGCTCGACTGCTTCCGCGCAAGACGGCCGGCCGTTGATGCACGCTCTGCCACCACCCACCCTCCGCGCACTACCAGCGCCAGCCGCTGCCCCTTCGTCCAATTTGCCCCAGAACAGCAGACCGCCACGGCTCGCGTACCTGGCCTGCCGCCGGGCCGCCCGCTCGACTAGCACCAAACCATCGAGTCTACTAGGGCCCTCAGCCCTAGGAGTCGCCGGCCGCCCTCCGCGCAAAAAACAATGTGCGCCGCTGCGTGGCCGCCGTGCGCCGGGGCGAGCGGTGTCTGAGCCGGACCCTGTTTTTGCCCGCAAAAGCAAACGTCGCGCGGCCGGCAGAGTCTCGATTCCACCCGCCAGCCGCCGTCCAAAAGCAATTATCTGCAACGGAAACGGCCAGCCGAGCCAGAAGGGGCCCCTCTGCCCACCCGAAAGGTGCAAGCAGCGTCAAACGGGCGCTGGGGGAAGCCCAGCAGCGGCCCGCGGGCGTGACGCGCTCGACTGGCCGAGTCACTCGCTCTGAGTCGAGCCCTGCACGCGTTGATGCAGCAGCGCGATACGCCCCTGCTCACCACTTTCCCTTCTCAGCCCTCGACATATCAGTGCTTTTGGTACCCTAACCACCTACGTACAGCCATTCGCCGCCCCCGTGCCTGCCGCCCGGCTCTGGCACACTCGCATCCCCGCGCGGCCTGGCCCGCCGGCAGCGAGTGCCCGTTGGCCATCAGCAGCGCTCGCTTGACGGACGCGCCTGCGTCACGCCAACCGCAAACCGGGCTGCCGGGCTGCGCCAGCTTTTAGCATCTCACTGCGGTGTCACCGTCTCCACCGCGCCCAACAGGTTCGCCTCCTTGACCAGCTCGTAGAAAAGACCCTTGCGCCGCACCAACTCTGCCGGCGTGTCAAATTCGGCCACCTCGCCCTTGTCGAGCACCACGATCCGGTCCGAATCCAGGATCGTGTTGATCCGGTGCGCAATCGTAATAATTGTCCGGTTGCTAAAAACGGGGCTCCGCAGCGTCGTCTGAAGCATTGCATCCGTCTCGACATCGACCGCGGCCTGCATTTTCCCGCAACCCCCCGTTAGCCGAGACTCGTCCCTTGTTCAAGGGATATGACAGCGCATCAACTTACCGTCGCCTCATCCAGCACCAGGATGTTGCTCGGGGCGAGCAACGCGCGTGCCAGGGACACCAGCTGGCGCTGGCCCTGGCTGAGATTCGACCCTCCCTCGTGTATCTGTGCATCCAGTCTGCCGGGCATGCTCGCCACATACTCCTTGAGCCGCGCGTGGTCGAGTGCGCTCCACAGCTCCGTGTCATCGTGGACGTGGCCTGGGTCCAGGTTGTCGCGAACCGTGCCCTCGAACAGCGCCGCGTCTTGCGGGATGATGGCAAGCCGGCGCCGCAGATCGAGCAGGCCAATCGTGCTTGTGTTCAGGTCGTCGATGCTCACACAGCCGTCCGTCGGCTCAATGATGCGGAAGAGGGCCAGGGTCAGCGAGCTCTTCCCTGCACCCGTGCGACCGACCACGCCAATCTTCTCCCGTGCCTTGACGTCCAGGTTGATGTTTTTCAGCACCAAGTCCAGACCGGGCCTGTATCTGGTGCTGAAGTCGTTGAACTTCACCGCACCGTTGGACGGCCACGCGATCGGGGGCCTATTCTTGGAAATGATATCGGGCGCTTCGCTCGGCAAGCGAGCGTACTCCAACACACGTTCCACAGAGACGATATTGGTCTCAACCTCCACAGTCTGCCGGACGATCCAGTTGAGTGATTGGGTGATCTGCAACGCGTAAGACATGGCCAAACCCACCATACCGGCGGACAGGCCGCTGCCCGTTGACACAGAGACGATGGCAAAGCCTGCGGACGCCAGGATGATGATTGAGCCAATGAACTCGAGCCGGACCGCAAGCCAACGGTTTGCATTGATGGAGGGGAAGTAGGCCCGCAGATTAGCGTCCACGCGCCACTCATTTTCCTGGGCAAAGCGGCCCTGCTGCCGATAAGCACGGATGGTGGAAATTCCACTGAGCGACTCTTGGAAGTGCGCGTAGATGGGGCTCTTGCTAACACTGTCCAAGCGCTTGAGCTCTCGCGACGTGCGCAAGTAGTACCGCTGGATGTACAGGTACAGCCCCCCGAGCGGGATGATCAGCACAATGAAGATGGGCGTCGACGCCGAGATGACCGCAAGGGTGAACGTAGCTGTTGATCGGTCAGCCGAATGGAGAAGCGAGAGGCCGGTTGCATGTGAAGGCTTACCTCTTGCTGAATTGACGAAGAGCATGTTGAATGTGCGCCTGTGACGTTTGTTAGCAACGTTGTACGGGCGGGAAGACCCCTGTTGTTGGGCAGCTAGACTGACGCCAGAACCTCGTCCACGCGATAGATGTCACTGCCGGTAATGTTAGCTGCAAGCCAGAGAATTCGGCAAACAAATCTGGGATGTGTCTGGGCTGTGCATGTGGTGCAGCGTGCAGCAACCCCGCTCGCAACGCACCACTTGCATGCGGGCGGTGCACTTTCGTCTGCTTGCAGATTCGTGGAATCTCAACTTACCTGGAAAACCGATTCAGGATACGACCTGCCGGTGTGGTCTCGAAGAAGCTCATTGGCGATCTGAAGATTGCGAAAGCCATTCTCTCATGCAGCTTGCGGGATGCCTACAGGCAAGATGTCAGCTGCGCGATCTCTCCGCCAGAAACGGACCCAGCCGCGGCCACTTACCTCGATGGAGCAGAAGATCCACAGGATGAGGGTCTGAACGACTACAAGTGCAGCGGAGCCAAACCCAAAAGCAAAATAGATGCCGATGTATTTGCCCACGTTGCGGTTACTGCCGTACTCGCCGTTGACCTCAGACCACTGCTTCAACCAGACACTACCACCTAAGCCCTTGTTAGCACGGCTCGGCTGAAGATCGATGAACACGATGAGAGTGACGCAACATACCAATTTGAGCCATTTGCGCACCGACGAGAGTGAGTATGTAGATCGCGACTGCGATCAGGTTGCTGGTCTTTGCATACTCGGCGTAGACACTCCATTTGACCTTGCCCTGTTCCGAAAACTCCTTTGTCTGCTTGCTCTTCAAGCCGGCACCTTCTTCATCGGTAAGCTTACCACGAGGGCCGCGGAAGCTTGCAGTGCTAGCACGACGCAGCTCAAGACCAGTGTGCTTGCGGCCCGTGCCGCCGGCTGGCCGGATTGGAGCCAGTTGCCCGACACCCTCCTGCGCCTCTTCCGTCTCAAGCTGCTCGTCGGATCCTGTGCCGATGCCGTACACCGTTCCGGATTCGTCACTGCTTCCCACCTCACCATCGTCCTCAGAGTCTTCATTGTGTGCCGTACGGATAAGATTAGCAATTTCTCCCTTCATCGCCATCAGTTGTTCGTAGGTGCCATGCTCGATGACCTTGCCATCGCGCAGAAGGTGGACGTAATTCGCTTCCATGAGCACGGGGATCGAGTTGGTGGCCAGAATACGAGTTCGACTTGCGAGCAGACCGTGCGGTCCTAAAACATTATCGATGATGTGTCTGCCGACGTGCTGGTCCACGGCGGAAAGGACATCGTCAAGAAGGTAGATATCAGCGCGGGCGTAAACAGCTCTGGCCAGCGTCAAGCGTGCCTTTTGGCCGCCAGAAAGTGAAATACCACGCTCTCCGACTTCTGTCTGATCTCCGTCGGGAAGGGATGCGAAGTCATCTATGAGTGCGCAAGCCTTGACTGTGCGATCATAGAAGTGCGGGTCCCACCGGTAACCAAAGACAATATTTTCCCTGACAGACGCGTTCATGACCCACGACTGCTGTGCCACATACGCTGTCTTACCCTTCACTACAACGATACCCTTGACTTTCCAGAGATCGCCGAGCATGGCTTGCAGGAAAGACGACTTTCCAGCTCCAACACGGCCAACAACGCAAGTGAGTTCTCCTCTCCTCGCAGTGAAGTTGATGTCCTGCAGAGCAAGTCTCGACTCGGATTTGTTCCAGGTGAAAGTGCCATCCCGAATCCGAACACTTTCTTCTCCATCTTCATCCACCGGCGGCTCGTGGAGGACTGCATCCTTTTGAAGTTCTTCGGCCAGCAAGTAGCTGGTGAGACGCGCGACAGCGACGCTGGCTTCGATGACGGAGGTAATGACCATGGGCAGGATTGAGAGAGGGAACGTCAACAGGTTGAAAAGCGTCAAAGCCGGGAAAACAATGTCGGTGGTCAGCGGTCGGTCGTTCGTCAGGACAAAAACAGCGAAGGTAGAGCAAGACACCAAGAAAGGAGTCGTCGACCAAGTAAAGTTGGCGAATGCTTGGGCAGCGCCGATCTTCCTCAGAGTTTTGAGTTCCTGGTCGTTACGGATGAAGTTGAGCTTGTTTAAGAATGCCGTGGTCCACGCATAGAGCTTGATGGACTTCATATTGTTCAAGATTTCGGTCATCAGCCTGGTCCTGGCGTCCTTATTTTTCATCTGCTTCTTCTGCAGAGTCTTCATGATGCGGGCGATGAAACCGTTGACGGGAATCATAATTATCATGGCGCCAACACCGGCCAACATGCTCAATCCCACAAGCTTGTAGAGCGAGAGCATGCAAAGAACGATCTGGAAAGGAGCGGACCAAAGCTGAATACCAAATTGCGTCAGGTCTTGAAGACGCTGGGTATCCACGGCCATGTAGTTCACAATATCGCCGGTAGACTTGGCCGCACGTCCCTCGTTTGAGAGACGCAGAGCCTTTCCATAAATCGCGGCAGTAAGCGAAGATTTGACACGCATGCCAGTCTCGAAAGCCCTCTGGAAGTACTGATGGAGACAAGCCGTCTGGGTGACGGACACAGCAAACATTGCGAGAGCAATAGCTGCACCGCGGATGGGCGGTTCAGGATCATCTGTCCGATAAGAATCGACAAACCTAATCAGCAGACGGAGAAGCTGCGGCTGGACGAAGGCTAGGAGATCGCTGCCGCATTTGATCATGGCACCTCTCAGGTAGGGGGCACCAAAAGCCTTGCCCATCGCAATCCACAGAGAAGGGTGGCCCTTCTTGTCCAGCTCGTGTTGCCAGACGTGCGTGAACACCTCTACGGTGGCCTCTGTAGTGTCCCGCTTCCTCAGATTCCATAGATCATCCTGCGTCAAGAAGTTCTTGTAACCGTACTTCATCATCGGCGTCATCCAGCTAAAGGTAAGAACAGAGAAGATGTCGGCATATTCATACGGGCACTCGTCCTCGTCGCCGAGCGCATCGTAGGCGCTGAGCTGCTTTGGAACCAACCATTCGAGGACGAACTCGGTCAAAGCCAGCCCCACGCTCACACAAAACGTCGCAAAGTATGCCAAGTGCGTCTTGTAGAGATTCTGAGAGATGAGGGACCGGAGTTTGACGCCGTAGGCGAGGAGCAGGAGCAGCCAGTAGAACAAGACGACGCCATTGGAGTTCCGCGACCGGTAGTGCTCGAGGTACTGGATGTAAAAAACGACGCCGAACGAAACGATGGTGATGACGGTCGTCCAGAACCGGAAGTCACCGGCCCAGATGTGCTTGTAGTATTTGATTTGCAGAGCAGCCTGTAAGGCATGGGTGGCAACGAGAGCGACGATGAGGGACTAGGCGCACACATAGAGATTAGACTAAGGGCTGTGGCAGATTCTGGCAGGGAAGGCAGTCAACTCACCAGCTTCGCATAGAAATGCCAATTCCTCCGCACAGGTTGCGGGGTGCATTTGCGGAGAAGGTAGTACACCGCCGCGGCGCCGCCCAGGAGTCCAAGCAACACGGCAACCGTCATTATCCACACGTCGAGGAAACAGCTCGTCAGGTCCCAGCGATAGCGGCTCACTGGCCCCCAGCCCTCCGGATCACCGCATAGTGGCTGGTGCCTGTTGGAGTCGGCCGCCAAAAAGCCTGCGAAGACGGCGGTGTCGGAGGGCGCGTTCGGGGACAGCAGCGGCGACTGTGCAGCGTCGGAGATGTGCATTGAAGCTGTCGCTGCACGGAGCGGAGCGGTCGAAGGAGTCCACGCGGCGCAGAAAGGGCGGATGGGGGAGGGGGGAGGTTGAGAAGATGTGTAAGCGGGACCGACGCCCCGGGGCCGACTTCTTTTTAGATGGTAGGAACGAGCCAACGGGACGGTCGGGCTTCGAGACGTCACTCAGGTAAGCGGATAAGCTCCACGGATCGCCCCAAGGCATTAGCTCGCCAAGCCACCCACTCTTCCGGAATTAGCTTCGGCGATACCAGCGCGAAGCTGACCGAGTTGTTGACTGTCTCTTGATCCGTATATTGTGCAGCGAGACGCGAGCATCATAGCTCCGCTGGCGCAAACTACCTAGCAGATGCACTACCCGCTGCAACCGCCTTATTTGCCTTCGGCGAACTCAATGTGCTGCGAGCTAGCACCGCCCGCATCTGGCATGGCCGCATCCGCATCCGCATCCGTACTCCTGCTTGCTCCAGCCGCCATCTCCGCCACGAGGCCCGCGCCCATCTCCGCCATTTCAGGCTGCTTCTGCTGCCCTTCTCCGTACCATTCCTTCGCCGACATGCTCGTAAAATCTGCATCCTCGCCACCGCCTACCGATCCACTGCCGTCATAGGGAGGAGGTTGCTCCGCATCCTGAGTAAGTTCTTCACGGAACAGCATGTTGTCTACGGAAACGAATTCCTGGAAGCCGATCAATAACGAACACCTTGGCGCATGCCGAAATGGACTGGAACACTCACAGCAAGTGCCTGGGGAGCATCTTGGAAAGGCTCGCTGAGCGCCTTCTCGCTGGCATAGACCAGGAGAACCTCGCGATTTTCCATGGCCGCTGCCGCGAGAACATCAACCTCGGAGATGCGCTGCACGCTCCGCGTCAGCACCATCGCCCCTTTCTGTTGTCTGGATACACTTCACTCACCGACTTGGATATCTGGCCCGTGCTATCGTAGTGAATCCGCCACCAGTCAGTCGAAGTCCGTGCTGTCTCTGAGTCTCCCACCGCCACAGCTTCGCCCATGTTCTGATCAACGTCGAGGTTGCGCCGGCTTCGGATGTACGTCACCGCAGGATCCGACGAGATACCGCAAAGCTGGTACTTGACCGTCGGGTTATCCTCTGCTCCTTCTATCGGTTCCTTGAGAAGGCTGGAAAGCTCATCGTACGCCTTACGCGCCTCTTCTTCCTGGGTCTTGAGTACTATCCAGTGTCAGACAGCTTCCCCGAAACAGCAGCGTGCACCATACCTTCAAGTTTCCTCTTGACTCTATCGTAAACCCTCTGGATCTTCCGATGCAATCTGGCATCGCGTTCAGCGTTGGGGTTAGGCATGGGATCGCCCGTGGGACTGAGAGGTTGCATGGCCATAGCAGACATGGCTACCTCCAGTAGATCCAGTGAGCTCCCCGAGGTGCCGTTGTAGTGGAAATTTGAGTATCGTTTCGACTGTGCCTGGATCTGGCCGAGTTCATTTTTCCTATCCGCGCGGGCTCTTCTCATCTGCTTGGCCTTTGTCTCGTTCTGAGACATGTATCTGTCGACATACCAGGACGAAGGTATGGTCATGTTGAGCCCCGTTGCGGTCGAGTCCGGCTGCTTCACGACCATTACTAATATTTCAGCAAGGCTGCTGATTGACGCGTGTACATCCTTGGAGCCGTCAAGATCGTTGGACCAAATAGTCTCGTCCAGAACGTCGTACAACGACGCGGGAACATCAGCACCACGGTTACTCAGAATCGGCATCAAGCACTTGAAACTTGCGCTCGAGACCTCCTCTCCAGACCGGAGTTCTCGCGCAGTAGTCTCAAAAAGTGTGTCGTATCCAGCGCCAGGCTCAAGGTGTGAGGAAGCAGCGTGCCATGCCTCCAGAAACTTCACGGCTTCCGTATCCCCTGAGCTGCCTTCCCCGCTTTCAATCTTGTTCAGAGGTTCGACGCTTCCATATGCGCGATCAGTATAGTCTAGGAAGGCCATGATCCGCTGCGTCTCATGAATGATATCCAGGCGCGCATCGTCCTGGCGTACGTCGTCGAGGTCGATTGTTTGTGCTACAGCGATGGGGTTTCCAGCCCACCACTGCGGATCTTGGCCATAATGCGGCAGACTGTGCCCCTTCATGAGGAGTGCGTTGTGGGACCTGGGGATCGCGTTGAGGATGGTGAGCAATGAGGGAAGGTAGTCCTGAGAGGGAAGGGGCTTTATGAACGCTGGCTCGCCGGGTTCTCTCTTGCGTTGGGCGGGAGGGGGGTCGGGAACAGTGCTGGAAACGGTGGTCATGGCCCATTGGTTCTGCTCGTAGTACTCCCGGGTCGCAGGGCCAAACTGGACTCCTGATGCGCCCACCACGCCCGTCTCTTGGCCTGCTCCTGCATCTAGCATGGCGGTCAGCGTCTAGCTCGCGAAACTCCGTATTGCGGGCGCACCCAAGGCATGGGAGTCTGCCATGCCGGAGTCGTGCATACTATTACTCGGTGTGTTGGGCCGGGTGGCGGCGGTGCTCTGAGGGTATTGAGCCAGGGACTCGTTGGGATGGTCGATCTGAAAAGCTGCTCGCGCACTCGTCAGCCACCGCAGCGCAGGTGCAAGGAGTCACGTAGTTGGCACTTACAGGGCACACCAGCGTACTGGTTGCTGCCGCCATCGCGGTCTTGCGAGAAGAGAGTTTCGTCGTACTTGTCGGCAGCGTAACGGTTGGGATCCTGCTCGAAGTTGCCGATGGCGCGGTCCAGGTCCCCATTCGCATCCTGGACGAGCGTCAACTCATGCAGTCGTCAGGCTGAAGAGCGATTCTCTGACCTTGATATATCGCGGGGCAAGTTTTGGGTCGGGTCTTCTGCCGGTAACGATTTCGCAAAAGCTGAGGAAGCTGTCGACATCCTCTTGCGATGGAGTCGCCATGTTGCGACGGCGAGTGGGTGGTGTAGAAGCTATAGCTGGCGCATGGATGTTCGAGAGGGAGCAGCGCTTAGCAGAGTAGAATGCGTTCAAGCAAGCATGGCGCGGGCCGGAGAAGCGCAAGGTCCTGGAGCTGCTGCGGACTCACGAGCTGTTTGCGACCCCGCGGAAGCTTCGCGGACCTGGAGCTTCGGGAAATTGGATGACGCGCCGGTCCGTGCACCACCAGGTTCCTTTCTCACTTCACGCCACTGCATCATCAGATGTCCATCCTCAAAGAGCAGAGTTCCATTTTGTTTACCCAACGCCGGTCCGTGCTTTTAGACAATTAAGCGTGTCCATTCCAGCGTATTTCCATGCTTTTTGCACGGCCCAGCCTTATAGTACAACACATTTATACATCCTTGTCGCTCTCAGTTCCGCTTTCCGTACAGCCAGCTCATGTATCCGTCCATGCTGACAACATCTCTGGCCAGCAGCTCCGTTGCTATCGGCCGCTCTCGCTGCTCGAGATCGAGAACAACCTTTTCCTTGCCCTTTTCTTCCTCATCCTTCCGATCGCGCCATTCTCTACCGCTCCTGCTGATGTCACGCAGCCTCCGCTGATAATAGCTCAGCACCTTCTCTTCCTCTTCGAGGCCCTCCTTCCTGAGCTCAGGGTCGTCCAGCCCAACAGCCCGCCGCCTCTTGCACTCGTCATAGCGCTTTTTTGCATCCGCAGGCGAAAGCTCCTCGAACAGGTAGTCCACCGTCCATTCGGTTTCTTCCGTCACATCATCTACACGGTCGACGCTTTCACCGTTGACCTTGTTTTTAGTCCAGAGCTTCAAGGCAAGAAGTGGCCCGCAGGCTGCTTCACTTGCCTTGCTGCCATCAGAAGCGCTGGACTCCCCTGCAGATTTGGTGGCCGTGATATCATCGTGCGATTCATCAGGTGTCTCCAAAATGTTTTTCTCGAGTGCCTCGGGTTGAGCATGCGGAGCCACGGAGCTCCACTGGGGTTCCTCATCCGGAATTTCGAAGAGCTCTGGCAGCATCACAGCGTCAACTGGCTGGTGCTCAGGATCAGCGGGTCGGTTCGCAACGGGAAGCGTGCCATCTTCGTTCTCCCCAACAGCAGTTTCATCCGATGATGCCTGGTCACTCTCTAACCCAAGAACCTTTCTCTCCCACGCTTCCGTTCTTGCTTTGTTGGCGTCTTGGATTTTTCGGACTTCCTCTTCGGGCATTGCCTCGGCAAAAATGTACATGAACGGTTCGTTCCCCTCGCGAGCTTCGAAATGGAAACGGATGGACTGGTGGTTGAGTTAGCAACAAAATCTCCCAGCCATGCTCTACGGATGCTTACAGTCTCGGGGAACCTTTCCGTTGCCGTGTTCAACGCTTTGTTCAAGAGGTCGACGCTGATGCGGAATTCCTGATCGCCCAGGTGGCGTGTCCTGCTCTTGGGACTATGGAGCGCCATGTCCATTTCGTCCAGACTGACGTACTGGAAGCCGAAGATACGCTCAATGTTGTGAAAGGCAACGAAGATGCCATCCATCCTGCCCATGCGAACCTGCAGCGAGTATTTGAGCATGGTGGATCTCATCATGTCATAGTACTCGCGCTCAAACGATTCGAAATCACCAGTGCCCGTCTTGATCTGGTATCCCGTGTTCTCCTGCCAATCCTGCACATCCATCCGGATAGAAACGACGGCACGGGTTTTGAGATCGAACATACCGGTTCCGGGGAGGCGGCTGTCCCGGGCATCAAGCTGGGATCGCATGAGCATGTCACCCTGGGTGGTATAGTGATACGACTCCGGAACTTCACGTTCCTCATCCGAGACTTGGTCCGGGTGCCCCCTTCTGTAGCGCTCAAATTCTTCCGAGGGCATTGTGAGAAGTTTCTCCATGGAACGGCCTAGCATGCTCAGAATGTTGGCTGTATCGTACTGTTTGTCAGCATCAATAGCATATGTACCATTTTTCCACCGAAGAAAGATGGCAGCGGGCAACCGGTTGATCCTAGTAAAGGTGGAAAGCTTCTCCGGGAACTCTCTGGACAGCATTGTCGTGTTTACTTCTCGCCAGCGCGAAAGGAGGAAATGGAAATGAGCAAGAGCGGCGGTCATGCTCGAAGTGGAGCCAACATATCGCTTGTCGAGGCTGCGAGCAAGACCGGAGAGCGTTTCATCCTGTGACGAGGTGATGTACTTCTTCAGCAGGTCGAAGTTGAAGTCTGCAACCGGCATGATTTTTTGCAAATAGGGATCAAAGTTGTAGACCTGTGTTCTCGTGTCTTGGAGGTGATAAACACCAGGGCTATAGACGCAGTCAGCTACTGAAGCCTGTCGAGGGCGTTACGAACACGTACTTGAACAGCACCCGGTCTAGTCCATAAGCAAGTCGGGGGATTGGCGGTTGTTCCACCTCAATCGCTGGTCTTGTTAGCAGAGCAAGGATGAGGGGTCAGTCTGAGCTTACGGGTAAGCTGAACATCCTTGGCCGAGACGCTGTTGGGATACACTCGCCGTGGTTTTGGCGGTTTTTTGGCGCGCAGAAGCGCCTGCTTGATTGTTTCCGCTTTTTTGGTCTCCTTGGGGCGTTTGGCGGCTTCAGCCATGACCTCAGCAGCTCCCTTCTCCTTCTCAACGGCCCGCTCCAATATGTCCCCGATGTCGATGTCGGATGTATTCTCTACATTTTTCCCATCGGCCTTCTTGGCCGCCTCCTGCTTTTGCGCAGCCGCCCTCCTAGCCGCCCTCTTAGCCTCCCTCTCCGCAATTCTTGTCGCTCTTCTTTCCTTCTTTGCACTTGAACTTGACTGCGTCGGACTTTGGTCGTCTGGTGAAGATTTTTCAGTGGTGCCGGGGCCGACCGTGTTCCCGTCCACCTCAGGCGCCTTCGCAGGAACATCGTCCTTTTGTCGAATTCTGCGTATGGTTGGTGGACTGACGTCGCTCTCTTCTTCCTCTGATGTCTTTTCGGGGGTGGCAGTCTTTTTCCCTTCCTTCTTCACGCGCTCGGCCCTCCTCTTCAGCAACTTTCTTTTCTTGCTCTTGCTGGCGCTGACTTCTGGCTTTATAGGCTCGTCCCCAGGAGGAGAGGCGGCGGTGTTCTTGTAGACGAGGGCGGCGGCGTGGAAGCGGCGGGCGGCGCAAAAAGCATCAAGCGGTCGCGGGCTTCGGGCGGACGGCCCATTGCGCAGGCTGCGCAAACATGGCAGGCAAACGTAGGGATGCGAGGCTTGCAAGCGGCGCAAGAAGGTGCGGCCTAGCATTGGGCACGCAATGAGGGAGCGCACGGGGTGGAAGCGAAATAAAGGCAGCGGTGCAGGCTGGGAGGCGATCGAGTGCTGTGCGCAGAGCGGCGTTGATGTGCTCCAGCGCACAGAAAATGATGATCCGCCGATAGATCGGCGGGGCGCAGGGGGCCCGCGGCAAAGCCAACGCAGCCTTAGGCAGCCGGGATTGCCTGATCGGGAACGAAAAATACCGTGGCTGGCGCGCGGCGCTGCTAACGACTGGCGCGGCCACGACGTGAAACAGGGCGGCCGCTGTTTCGGGAGGGCGCTGCACACGGCGGGCGCGCGGTGACAGCGGGCAGCGCGTGCGGCGCGGCGTGGCCGCAGGCTCACCTCAGGCGGCAGCTCCCATACAATACGAGGGCGAAATCACAGGCGGTGGCCTGTGTCGCCGGCTTGGGGGAGCTGTCTGTCGCGTCCGGGCCCGCCCCTAGGCGCCATGCAGTTAATCCACTGACGTATTCCCGCAGCCGCCAACCCTGCATCGCCCGTCCAAGAGCTCACACAACTCTCCCCTCTCGCGCCTCACCGTGTCCGCCCGCGGGCCATGCTCCAAGAGCTCAACCCAGCCGCAGAGGCGATGGAACGCCTGCCCCAGCGCCCCGCCAGCAAGGACCCATCCCTTCCCGCCCCGCTGGTTGTGTCCTGAGCCGTCCAAATTGCATTCGAGCTCGGCCGCCCCACGCCATCCACCCATCGCCCTCCGCACCTCTGCGCCCGCCCTCCGCCCTCCGCCCCAGCTGAGCCTCGCCGCGACCTGCGACCCGCGACCCGCGACCCGCGACCCGCGAGCCTGACCGCGACTTCCGCCTGCGCCTCTCCATCCCGACGCGCGCGCCGTCGCGACTGCGCCGCGATGCAGACGTCGTCGTCCAAGAGCGCCAGAAGAAAAACCCTCTTCGGTGGCGCCCTGTCGCTCAATCCTCTGGCCGCCCTGACCCCCATCCACGATGCCGATGCCCCCAAAGAGAAGGCCGCCCCCAAGACGCTGCAGAAGCGCCGCGCCAGCTCTTTCCTTGACGTCTCGCGCACCTCTAGCCCCTTCGGCCCCGACACTTATTCGCCCAGGTCGCCCGCGCCCTCGGCCTCTCCTGTGCCATCGCCCATAGACACGAGGGGCGCCCGTATTCGCAATGTGCCCAGGATTTCCTCCTGGGTGTCAGCCCGCTCCCAGTCCGTGTCGGACGACCCGGACGACGAGCCGCTGAGCGCCGTGTCGAGCAAGGCGCCCTCGGTCAATTGGGGAGAATTGCACGATGTCGGCTTGCGCTCGCGCAATGTGCTCCTGCATGGCGAGGTGCAGACCAGCAGCACCCTCTTCCGCAAGAAGAAGGAATACCTGGTTCTGACCGAGACCCACATCGTCCGGTTCAAGAGCCTGCAAAAAGCCGGCGAAACCTTTACTGAACTGCTCTCTCCTTTGCACCGAAGCTCGTCCTTCAACCGCAGGCACAGTCAAAATCCTTCCTTCGGCTCCGCTCAGGATTTCCAATCCTTCGTATCAGACCATTCCGGTGATCGAAACGTGGGAACCCCGCTTCGCCAGATCATCGCCGTCTACCAGCTCGTCGATGATCGGCCATATTTCGCTTTCGAAATATCGTACATTGAGGAAGAGAGCAACAATGCCTACTCTATGACGCTACAATTCGGCTCTCCGGATGAAATGCGCACGTGGCTCAAGTCCATTCGGGTCGCCGCCAACCGCGTGCGGCACCTGGACGGATATCCCATCTCCGAACAAAACATCCGACTTGCCGCGAGGATCGTTGAGCGCGAAGGAGATTACGACCCGAACAATTTCGCTCTGTACAAGGTCATCCAGCGGCCCATGGGCCATTCCAAGGCGGCATCGTCGTCGACGGACGACCTCACCAAGGTCACGTCCAGTGTGTGTTTCCTTGCCGTCGGGATCCACAAGGTCCATTTGATCCCGGTCTTCAAGGCGCGGCAGCGCTCTTCAAGCCCCAATTTACTTTCGTATCCTCATGAGGTGTCGTTTGGACTCTTGACTCTCACGTCGGTACGGCTGAGCGACAGCGATGATACGTTTGAACTCGTGTTTAGGATGCCAATGCAAAAGCCGAAGACGCTTCTCATGGCTTCTCTTGCAGCCGGAGATATTGCGACGCGCCTTCACCACGTCGACCATTTCTTGCGCCCCGAATGGGATCCTCGCCCTTACATTTTCCTGGTTCCTGAGGCGGTCAAAGCACAGATCAACGCCAGTTTGACGCCTCAGACCGTTGATGAGATGTCGTTGGATCGAACACTGTGTGCGTATTGTATTGCTTACAACGTTCCGCCCAACATTATACGTTACCAGGTTACGTATCCGAACGAAGATTGGCCACACTTCCAGCTCTTGCCGCCTGATAATCCGCGAAGGCCTGTATATGGGCCGTTGGAGCTCCTTGCAGTCATGCGAGCTCTTCGCTACAACGAGACTTTCGGTACGATTTCCTTTGCGGGGATTCAACTGGACGTCCTCAACGAGCTGTACGATAGGTTCGGCGCCGACCACGTGTGCACGAGGACCAAGCGGGGCACTCCAATCAACCTGGCCGTGGAGGACCTGGAGAGATCTTGCCTCCTGGTGCAGGAGATCAGAGCGCTTGCCGTTACGAGTAGGAAAGTCCGCCGAATGGATTTCACCTCTTGCATTTCCCGGCAGCCCGCAGATTACGTGGACGAAAGTAAATCAAAAGACATCGGATGCGGCATCGTCGAAGCACTGTTCCCGCTGTGCAAGTACCAGACAACGAACGTCGATTGGATTGTACTGAACAACATACAGCTAGGCGAGACGGACTTGGATTACTTGATCGCTGCTGCTGCGGAGAAGATGTGTCACTTCCGTGGCCTTGAGATGCGACGGTGCGGCCTGAATGAGAGAAAAATGTCACTGGTGTTGGATGCACTGCGCACTCAGGAGAACACGCTCGAAGCCATCGACATCTCGGGCAATCCGGCACGCTTGGTCCCAGCCATTTTCGAGCCCCAGCTGAGCGTTTTCGGCTACATCCGCATCTTGAACCTCTGCAACGTCGCGCACACAGCCGGTCCCGAGCCGTTGGTCAAAGCCGATACCTTGCTCGCGTGGCGGCTGCATGCGCTCAACTTAAGCGGTACTGTTTTGAACAATGAGACAGTAGATGCTATATCCATATACTTGGCGAGCCCTCAGTCAAGTTCACTACGGGAGTTGCGAGTGGACCACACTGGCCTCACTGGCAGACAGATCGCCCAGTTGATGTTCTCCATGACCAGTCGTCCTAGTTCCTCTCGAGATCTCCTGATGGATGTCAGCCAAAACCGTATCGAAACCTTCCACGACGAGTTTTGTGCCGCGATTTCCCAGAACTATGCCCCAACGCAGCTCATCATCACGCTTGTGGACTACGAGGAGGAATCCAACTTCGCACAGCTGATCCTGGCGATTGCGAAGAACAAAACAATCAGGCAGCTCGACATCACCAAAGTTTCCCTGCCGAATGACGCCTCGGAGCAGACTTGCCAAGCGCTTGAACGGATGTTCACTGAAAATGACACCCTCGTCAGCTTGGACATGTCCGGTGAGAACTCGAAGCTTGAGATCGCCAAATTGGGCGTTGGGATCAATAAAGCCTTATGCGGGCTGCAGCACAACAAGTCCCTACAAGTACTGCACATTCAGAACCAGAACCTTGGATTGCAAGGAGCAAGCACGCTGGCAGATGTGCTCAAGGTCAACCAGACTCTGACGGAAGTTCACTGCGAGAACAACGGGATCCCTCTTCAAGGGTTTACGGATCTGGTGAATTCGCTGCATTACAACACGACGGTGCGATGGCTACCGCCCATGATTGAAAGCCGGCAAGAAACTCTTCGTCAGACCGAGATGGCTGTTAAGAACATGCGGGCCGACACTTCCCATCACGACAAGTCAAAGACGTCATCACTTCGCAACAAGGTCGCCATTAGAATGGGGAAGCATCCAGTTGAGCGGCATGCCCCTCAACAACTGTCGGAACAAGATGTGCAAGCAGCCTTGCGGTTGGTTGAGGAAAGTTGGGATAGACAAGCGCATCGTCTTGGCTTATATCTTCAGCGGAATTCCAACCTCGCTGCGGGCATTGACACGCCGCTGGAAGTCGAGGAAGAGCAATTCGAGAGACCCTACGAACGGCCAATGAGTATGGGCAGGATTCTCGAACAAGTGCAGATCGAACGCACGCCTACTGTTGAGAAAGATATGATGTTCGAGCCCGATGCGCTCAGCATCGATACAACAAGATCGATGACCACTACGCGCCAACAAAATCACCGACTCAGTCAGGAGGACTGGCCTCAGAGTCATGGGCAGAGCTTTGAGCACGACCAGACTTGGTTCGCATCTCGACCAGGCAGTGCAAGGACCATGGATGGCAACGAACCATCGGAAAGAAGGGACACTCTGGGGCAAGAGTCTGACTACGATGCTGTCACAGTGGCGTTGGCGAAGGAACTGGACGTGTCTTTGGAAGATGCGCAGACACTCATCGATACCGACTTCGCATCGCGGCTTGCACACATGAGCCCAGTGGGCTCGCCGACTTCTCCCACGTTTCCCCCTGCATCTCCAACGACACCGAGAGCGCTTCCGATACGAACCGGAAGGACGCAGCAGTGAAGGCAGCATTCACACGAATGGTCTCGGTCACTACTGACCCATCCGCATGTCGCCTACGAAAAAAAAAAAATATAAGGGTATTGGGAAGGTATTCGGGAAATGGACATTTTCTACAGGGCGGATTTGTGCATAAGGGCCACTTACGGAAAGAAGCTCCGCAGTAGAGCATGCATTCAGGCGTTGTATACCATAGGGCTTTTCCTTGCGTCCTTTTTCTGTTTCTCAAGCCGTCGCAATCTCGCTCCATCTGCTTCCAGTCAATCTTCTCCTACGCCTTGGAAGGCCTTCACATAAAGCGAAAAAGCATTTCTTGGGTTTTTCTTTCTTCTACTTGCTTCTTTCGGTCACTTTTGCATTTCCTTTGTTTAGCGGGATCCCAGCCGGCAACGAAGTTCACGGGTTCTACGAGCGTTCGGTATTTTGATCTTTTCAAGTCCATATTTTCCTTGCTTATTTCTCTTTTTTGCTTTTGGCGTCACAGAGACTTTGTCCGTTTCTCTTTCATCAAGGCGTCCTTCTTTCTGAGACTTCTTTCCTAAGCGTGGATATTGCCGCCTCGTAAGAGAAGACCAGGGTGTTTGTATGGAACGGCTGCGCCGAGAGCCAAGAAATGCTTCGACTTCACTGTACATAGAAGGATGGGATCGGAGGGTTCATACATACAGGGGGCAATCACAAACCGTTACCAGGCGTCAAGTGCCCAATTACTCCACACTAGCATTAAAGAAACGTGATAATCTTTTCTTCCACTGGGGGAGGTAGGTGTATATATATATATCAACAACAACAACTACGTTCTCCTTCTCTCCAGCTCTCCTCCCTCTCCATCGCCAACATGCGCCGCTTCTGCAGCAGCCGCACCTGCACGCCCACGAGATTGACGCCATAATCCGGCTCCAGATACAGCACGCCGTCGTCCGGCTCCGTCTCGCGCGTCGGGATGCCCAGCAGCGCGTACACGCGGTCGCGCGGGTCGCTCGCCACAAACGACAGCGCCACCGTCTTCGCGTGCAGCTCCTCAAACGTCATGCGGCACTCCTCCCCCCTCGACGATGATCCCCCAGTACCACCACCACCGCCGCCGCCGCCGCCTCCGTCGTCGTCATCATCGTCGTCACACAGCATCGTCGTCGTCGTCGTCGTCGTCGTCAGCCGCGATGCGCCGTTGTTCTTGTTGCTCTCGTTCCGCCGCTGCTCCGCCTGCCACAGGCTGCCCATGAGGTGCGCGTGCAGCGCGCCCGGCAGCCGGTGCAGCGGCAGCCGGTGCTTGAGCGCGACGATGCGGTCCGTGGCGCGCGCGACGGTGGCCCAGGCGATGCGGGCGCCAGAAGCAGAAGAAGAAGAAGAAGAAGAAGAAGAAGAAGAAGAAGAAGAAGAAGAAGAAGAAGAAGACGAAAGGCCCCAGTGCAGCGCCGTCGTGGCGGACGACAGTGCGATTTCCTGAATCACCCACACGCGGCGGAACCAGGGCAGGGCGTAGAAGGGGGCCAGCGCGGCCCAGCGGTCGGCGAGGAGGGCGGAGGTGCGCTTGGTGCGGTCTCTCGTGCGGTCTCTGCGGTCTCTGGTGGTGGTGGTGACGGTGGGAGAAGACGAGGAGGAGGGCAGGGAGGAGTAAGAGGACGATGATAGGTCATCCTCGGAGTAGGTGCGACGGAAACAGGACACGATGCCACTCGGAGAGGAGGAGGAGGAGGAGGAGGAGGAAGAAGAAGATTGCTCATCCTCCCACGTAGCGGGCGACTCGCCCGGGGCGAGCGTCTGGTTCGCCAGCGCGCAGAGGGCGTCGAACGCCGCGGCGGGCTGCCGCCGTTGGCCTCGAGCGGGCTGGCCCAGCCAGACGAGCACGCGCGCCGCGCGCTTGTAGATCAGGCGCATCAGGCGGACCTGGTGGCCCTTCTCGCGGTCGTCGGCCTGGTTGATGCAGATGCCGTCGGCCCAGACGACGCGCGGCTCCGCCGGCGAGCGGAAGCGCCGGAGCGCGTCGGCGAGGTTGGCGGTGATGCTGATGGCGGTGGTGTCGTTGCACTGGACGGTTGCGCGGAGCTCTGGGTTGCCCCATACGTAGGAGATTGCTTCGTAAGAGGGGGGTGGGGGGGATGTCGAGTCCAGGTCGGACGGAAAGAGACGGCATTTGATCGGCTCTGCTGGGGTTCCGGGCTGGATCTCAAGAAGACGGATGGTGTTTGAATGCGGAAGCGGTTGGTAAAGGTCGCCGGCTCTGGGAGACGTGGCTGACCTGCCATTGGGTGCGGCAAAGCTGGTTGGAGGTGGAACGAGGGCTACCGGCACGGCCATCGGTGCATGTTGGGACACTCGGATGTGCTCTGCACGATGTGCGGAGCGATTATCGGGCGTTTGCACTGAGTGGCGGTGGAGTGGAGTTGTCTTGGTGGACGCGGATGTTAGCATGTGTGGCGCAGTGCTGCGGGGATGATCAAAAGCTCTGCCCCGGCTTGCGGTGGGGTCCGAAAATCATGTCCAAGCGTAGGGTACAGCAAACAAGCTACCGCATGCGGCAGTCGGCGATGCATGTGCGGCCCAGGTTCGAGCCACGTCTGGAGTATGAAGATAGCCCATGGAATTTACTTGACTCTCAAACTTGACATCTTTGTAATATCTATCCGCTCGATCAACCATCATGAACTCACTCGTAAGGCTATCTACGTTCTTGCGCCCAGAAAACCAGGCTCGCTGCCGGGCTTCGGTGTCTTAAGCATTGCAGTCATCTTGTTGCTTAGCCCTTTTACATCAACTTCTCTCCCAACATCCAATCGTCTCATGCTAGCAACCCTAAATAAACCCAAGCAATAATAAAACATACACAATACCATAGCAGTCATTTTTTTTTTTTTAGCTGACTCTAGCCGTGCGAAAGGAGCGAAACCCCACGCTATGCTTTTGTAAGAAACTGCAATCCCCCCAAAGCGTTTTCCCACCCGTTAGTCGCCGCAGCAATCACTGGCTTGCAGAAAATAGATGCAACTGACGAGCAGCCAAAGAAGTGAAGGAAAGCCTGACTAGATCCCTATGCAATGTTTTTGGTCTCTTTTTTTTTTTACTCTCTATCTCCCTGTCCAGGCTATTCAAAAATAATGCCTTTTTCCGGTCAAACCAACCAATCGCTCCGCAATCGCTAGTGCTTGCCGGCTTGGTTTAAAGTAGTGCTACTGACCAAGAGAGAATAAAGGAAAAAAGTCGTAGGAAAGGGGAAACCCTAGTATACAACACGTATCATATGTTGATTGTGTAGCATCGACGCACCACTTTCAAATCACTGATCTCGCCTCGCCTCGCCTCACCACCTCATGTCGACGTAGCCACTTGTTTCCTTTCTTCACGGAGCAGCCTCCTCAACGGCCATCAAGTCGCTCGTGCCATTCGCATCCTCCGCGTCAGCCTCGGCCTCGGCCGCCGCGGTCTCCGCAGCCACCGCCTCAGCCTCAGCAGCCGCCTTCTCCGCCGCGACCCTCTCCTCCTCGACGGCCGCGTTCAGCGCGGCGACCTTGGCCTCGACGATGGCCTCGCCGACGATGGCCTCCTCGACCGCCGCCTTCCTCCGGAAGACGCGGGACCAGCGCTCGCCCCAGGCCTTGATCAGCTTCCCCTGCTCCTCGTCCATGCCCCTGCTGCCGTCCGCCTCGATGAAACCGTCGGCGGCGCCCTGAGACACGCCGGTGGTGACGTCGTCGATGACCTGGAAGAGCTGCCGCATGGCGTCGCGCTCCTTGGTCAGCGTGTCGTCCAGCAGTTGCAACTGCTCCTCCGGCAGGCCCTTTTGGAGCCTGGCAGAAACGATTTGGCGGACGCGGTTGGTGACCTTGCCGACGGTACCAGCTACCATCTCGAAGATCCAACTCTCAGACAGGGTGCCGCCAGCACCGAGGCGATCGCCAAGCGCCCACTGGACGACGCCCATAGGCGAGAGGATGGTGTAGTTCAGCAGCTTGTCGACGATGTTAACGGCGATGCCGGGCTGATCCTTCCAATACTCGGCGACGCTGGTGATGATCTGTCTGCGAGCCGTCTCCGAGGCCGGCCCAATTGCAAGGAGACGCTCCTTACAGCGCTCAATGCAAGAGAGGACGTGTGAAAGGGACTTGGATCCGATGAAGCAGATGCAGGTGACGTAAGCATCGGTGGAAGGGATGAGCACATCCGCAACGTTGTGCTCTGCAGCCTGCTGGTGAATTTTGTTGATGACCTCTTGAATCTCGTCCTCAGCCGCCTTCTTCTTGAGCAGGGCCAAAAGTTCACGGCCTTCAGGAGCGTAAGGAGTCTGGTCGGACTCGTACTTGAAGTCCGGAGTATCCTTTTCCTTGGCCTCAGAAACCAAGTTGGGCCACTCTTGGGGCAGGGTTTCTCTAATGCGCTTGGCAAAACTCAGGCGGATTTCCTTGTCCAAAGCCCCGATAATGAAAGCTTTGCGGGGGTGAACGTTAGGCATGTCGGCCTCCTCGGACCACTCAACCCACTTCCAGCGGAAGTCGAAGTTGCTCAGGTGATGAGCGAACCACTCCATGAAGCGGTAAGCAAGCTCCATGTCCATAACATCAACGTGGCGGAATAGGAAGCGAATGGCACGGCCAAGACTAGGGGCAATGGCGCCGGGGGCCAGCTTGCAGGCTTCGGTGATGATGGCGTGGTAGTAGACAAGCTTGTGCTCAGGTGTGGGAAGCGTAAACATCTGCGAGAAGACTGCATCGACTGCGACGTCCTCGGGCTTCCAGGCGGTGTCCTCCTCGGTTTCCTTGAGCCTGTCGAAGGGTGTGCCGCGCTTGACGAAGGTTCCCGGGGCCCAATAGCAGTCGATCTCAATCAAGAACTTGGCCACGGCTACGCGATTGAAGTCGAGGATGTTGATAGTGTCAATGAGCGAGTCGCGGAGCAATGACGCCGCAACGTCAGTGGTCTTGGGCACAGTCTCAACATCCTGGTCGGCGTACAAGGAAAAGTACGACTCGGGAAATAGAGGCCGGGGCCCAGGGTTGACAGGCGAGGGAACGGTAATGGCCGGGAACTCGAACTTGGTAGGCTCCTTGCTGTCCTCTTCGGAGCCGTTCTCCCTCTTGGCGGGCTTGTAGGGCTTCGGAATGAATGAAAGCTTCCAGCCATTCTCGGCCTCGTGCTGGAGCTGCTTCTGAAGGGAGCCGATGACACTCTGGTATCCAAACGGCCTCTCATCGGTGTTTCCTGCAACGCCCGGGAATTGCTCGACCATTGCCTCCAAGATATGCGAGGCGGACGCAACGATGCCCGTCTTCTCGAGAACGGCCGTGGCGCTCTCCTGGACGCCAGGAGCACCGGTGGAAATGACGTAGGGAACAGTGAGGAGAATGATCTTGACGAGCTCGAGGCCAACAGTCTGCGAAAAATGATCAGCACTTGTGTCAAGATTCTGGACATCCTCGACTACTCACATCCTCAGTGGAAGCAGCTTGCAAGTCCACGGCTCTGCTGAAAAGCTCGTCCAGGATGGACAAAACGCCCTCGCCTTCGAACAGACCTTGAAGACATGCCAGGAAGCGGAGCAGGAGCTTGAAAGTCCTCCAATTGCCCGCCTCCAGATTCTCCTGCGTGATTCTCTGCGTCTCGCCGAGAATTTCCTTGACGAGCTCGGGCTTCGTGTCGTTGATGTAGAGAACGACGGCGGCGGAGAAAGGGATCTTGAACGGCTGCTCCGTGACGAGCTGGAGCAGCAGGTGGAGGAAGCTCGCCTTGGCCTCCTCGTCTTCGTAATTGTCCGAGGCAAGGCGAGCAATGTCGCGCGCGTCGTCCTCGGCATCCCTGGCGGGAGACTCGGCAATGGTCAGCAGCTGCCTGCGCAGCTTGCCGACAATGGGCTCCTCGACGCGGCGGCGCGTGGGCCTGCGATCGTCGCGGCGGTCGTCACCTTCGTCGTCTGCGCACGATTGGGTCAGCCTTGGTGCAGGAACAGGTGGCAGGGGCGTGTCCGTACCGTTGTACCTGCGCTTGCGCTTGTTGCCGCGGTCGTAGAAGCGGCCAGACGGCCGCGGCGACGGGCCGTCAGCCATGTCGTCGTCTGCGTGGAGGTCGGTGTGGGCCCAGCGAGGACGGTGGGGGTTCGAGGATGACGGAGCGGGGCGGTAGAAGTCGCCGACCTTGTCCCAGTCCTGGTAGACGGAGTAGTAGGAGGATTTGGGAACACGGCGCGAGTAGCCCTGCCAGGAATTGTTGCGACGCCTGTGAGCTTCCAAGAGCTTGCGCGGGCCCACGGGCACACGCATCTCCCGAAAAACTGCCGGCTCGCTTGGCGGGTTTGGCGCATTTGCTTTGGCCTCCCGCCTCACCCTATCCAGCACCATCGTCGACTCAAAGTGAGACGCGAGCTCCAATCGCTTTGGGCTTGCCCCGCCGATATCATCTTCAACTTCACCGTCTTCCATGTCATCATGAGCATGCTGCTTGAACTCCAATGCTGCCTCACGCACGTCTCGATGGTAAGTAGAGGCATCCTGGTAGGTAATGCCTTCCATGGCCCTTGCCATGGCTGAAGGGTGCTCGCTTGATGATCACAAAGCCCAGATGCCGAACGGGAGTGGAGGAATAGCTACTGTTGGCGTTGGTGGTGCGACTGAAGACGTGTTCCTGCAATCTGAAGAGCCGTGCCCATCTTAAGCAAGTCTTCAGGAGTTCAACACCTCGTGCATGTGCATGTGCAGGCGCGGAGCACCTGCAGCTGACGCACTTGCTGCATGCAGGCCAGGCACCTGACGGGGAAGGTGGCATGCATCTGAATTTGCCTAAGCATTATTGTGAATTGTGTAGTCTGTATGCGCGCAACGATGATGATCAGACATGGGCAGCGATGATGATGATGATGATGATGATGATGATGATGATGACGGCGAAAATGGAAAACGGATCAAGCAACATCTTTGGATCGAAGAGACAGTTTCTTGAGCACACCAGTCCGTGTCAAGCTGAACCCGCGCCGTTGCCAGCCCACAAGCAGAGATTCCCCACCCTTGGTTGTTATGTGGCCTGAGCCTTGTTGGCCCATTCACAATGTCTTCCATAGCCAAAGCAGCCATCGTCTCCAGCAGCAGCAATGAAATCCAAGCCAACCATTTTTTTCAGCAGCCCTTTTGCCCGCGGAATAAGTAAAGCTTTGTCAAAGAAGCAGCCGATTTCCGAGTCTTTTGACGAGTGCATGAAAGGAGACAGCAAGAAAATGTTTTTCACACCCACCGGTGGAGAGAAGAGTTCGGAAGAATAGGCCGCTGCCGCTCTCACTTCGCTTTCAGAAAAATGGGGTAAGAAAAGGGAACAAGGAGAAGAAAAAAATGTTGAAATCTACCACCATTGGTATTCCTCTCACCGATACAACGTTGCAGCCACGAAAACCCAGACCCTGTCCCGCGCGTCCACATCCCGAGCCAAAGCTCCCCACGTATCCCAAATGACCCCAGGGAAAGAGCCCGAAGATGGAGACTGAACAACAGAAGCTGGAAACCCGCCGTTGAAAGTAAAGAGAAAGAAAGAAAGAAAGAAAGACGCTCATGCAGAAGCCTCGGCTCCAAGCTTCCCGACTTTCATCAGAACCCTTCAATTTTGATTGCTGCGTACCCAGTTTCGAGAAGCGCCGTTGGGCAGAACAAGTGACATCTACGGAGCAACCAAAGCGCGGAGGACCGAGCAAATTATACGTCTGCCCGATGAAGGAAACATCTTATTCGTGGAAAGTTTTTTCCTGCTTCCGTCCATCCGGGTGACGGGCCGCGCGTGTACTCGAGTGCCCTCCATGTTTGTCGCTGGAAGGCAGCGGCCATCAACCCAATTCTTTGCCCTTTGAAACCAAGCCGGGGCCGAGAAAAAGAGATGCCGTGCCAGAGCAATGAAAGACATAACATGACTTCATGACGCGTATGCTCGGCGGCTTCTCTAGTCCAACCGAGCAGCCATCTGATCTTTCGTGAGCGGCTTGAAGTCGGGCGACTCGAAGTCTAACCCCCGCGCAACCAGGGTCGGGCGGATGTGCGCAGGCACAAGCTTGGAGTTGAGATGAGGAGCAATCGAGAGTTCTTTTAAATCGTCAGCACCGCTCCTTTGCAAAACTTACATTTGGGAGGAAGGGCATACCGTGGTGGGAGAATTCAAAGAGGTTGGGTAGCTCCTTCACCGCGCCGTTGGGGTGACGGGAATCCGGGAACCTGGTGTTGGGGTCCCTGAGCTCATCGAAGAAGGGGTGGACCATTGCGTCGATTGCAGACAGCCTCTGGGTGGGCGTGTACTCGAGGAGCTTGGAGATCAGGTCAATGGCGTTCGGGTCAGCCTTGCGGAAAACCTGGTGATCTCACGTGTCAGAATCCGGCAATATTAAAAAAAAAAAAAACACAGTTGATCGCCCTAATAATACCTTGTTGAAGGGGTGCGGCTTGATCTGGGGGAACTTGTGCTCCATGTAGTTCGGGTTCATGGTGCGAATCTGATCCCTGGTCGGCGTTCCCAACACCTTGATGATTTCGACAAGCTGGTCGATACCCGACTCGCCGGGGAACAGCGGCTGGCCGAGCATCAGTTCCGCCATCACGCATCCAGTAGACCACACATCTATAGGGGTGGCGTCGTATTAGGTAAGCAGATCACGCGAACAAGGGAAGCGACCGAAATTGCGATGACGTACCGATCTTCGTCGTGTAGTTGGTCGCACCGAAAATCAGCTCCGGCGCTCTGTAGTAGCGCGAGCAGATGTAGGAGACGTTGGGCTCGTTCTCGATGAGGATCTTTGCACTACCGAAATCGCAAAGCTTCAGGATGCCGGTGTTGGGGTCGAGCAGCAGGTTCTGGGGCTTGATGTCTCGGTGGCAGATGCCCTGTGAGTGGATGTAGGCAAGAGAACGGAAGAGCTGGTAGATGTAGAGCTTGACTTCCAAAATGGGCATGACGGTCTTCAGCTTGTTGAAATATCTCGATGCGCGATAGACGGTCTCCGGGACGTATTCGAGCACGAGATTGAGGTAGACTTCATCCTTCTGCGGGCGATTGTCAGCCGAGTCGCTTACGGGAAGGGGGCAATGCCAATGCGGCGTCAGCGTACCCGCTCGCCATTGTTGTAGAAGAAGGCCTTGAGCTCGACGATGTTGGGGTGGCGCACGATGCGCATGATCTGCAGCTCACGGTTCTGTCATGCGTCACGAGTCAATGGGCACGTCCATGGCATAGGGAGAGGGGAGAGGGGATCATCTTGGCGGGCGCACCTTGAACCGCTTGTCCTGCAAGACCCGCTTAATGGCGGCGTCCTCGCCGCTGGGCGAGAGCTTGGTCTGGAAGACGACGCCGAACGAGCCATTGCCGACGATCTTGCACTGCGTGTAGGCCAGGTCCTTGTACTCGCCGGTCAAGCCGTCCTGGACCTTCTCCCGGATGACCTCTGGGGGGGCAACGTCAGCCAGCATGCACACACACACACAACACGGACTGGTGGGCGGGCATTGCGTCCTTACCACCCATGCGTAGGCTCGAGAAAGCCGATGGCCGGTTTTGCGACATTGCGGCGTGCTCAGCCGAGTGCTAGGGTCAGAATGGGGGAATTGCTATCGCGAGAAGGGCGGGCTGTTGGAGAGGAGCCGGCGGGAGAGTGGCTTGGGCTTGACGACGAGGTCCGTCGTGGGCAGCGGGCGCTCTCTCGGGCGGAGCGTCGGGTGGTGGGTGGGCGCGGGTGTACCTCGAGGCGTCGCAGCCGTTGGCGATGGTGCTTCGTTGGGGCAGCGGCGCGGGCGGCGGAGGAGGAGGAGAGCGGGTTGGTGGTGGTGGGCGTGGGCTCCGTCGATTGGCGACGCTGCGTGAGCGGGACGGGCAGCTTGGAGCGGGCTCGCAATGCAGCGCGCGGGTTTCGCAGGGTGGGTGTGGATGGGGTGCGGCGCGGTGGGAGGGCTGTAGTTGAGGAGCTTGCGGGCGGGGGGCTCGTGGTTTCGGGAGGGAATGACAAGCGGAGGTGATGATGCTGCGGCCCCGTCTGGAGAGAGAGTGGCCGCCGCGCTAAAGGTAGAGAGGCCTCTGCGGGTCACAAGGCGCGTGAATCAGGTTAAGCGTCCCTGGAGGCCCGGCGCAGCGCTCGAGGGGCGTTGGAGGGGTCTGGGAGGGGCACGACAAGAACGCGAGGAGCGTGAGGGCTTTTGCAGAGGGAGAATGATGCGGCAGGGCTGGGGAATGGATGGCAGAGGTTGCGGTGCGTGTTCGTTCGACGCAACCGCCCAGTGCGTCGGCGGGCTCTGGGACATCACGTGCAGGCTCAGTCGGGCAGCGGCAGGCACGACGGGACCAGCCCAGCAGCAGGCATGCTCTCCCGCCGCCGCGGGTCTAGGGTGCGTCTAGGGCCCGGCGCAGCGTCGCGGCCATGGTGTTTGGCGCCCTTGGGCCAGAGGGCAGTGGCCGCAGCGCCTGCTGCTGCTCAGGCCCGGCGGAGGATCGCCTCTGGCGGAGGAGGGGGACGCAGAGGGTCCTCAGCCAGTGGCCCAGTGGCCAGCCCGCCGGCCAGGGGCACGCTGACTCTGCGCCGTTTGAGACGCCTGGTAGGCTACAGCGCGAGGTGTGCTCGTGACTGCCGGCTCCATGCGCTCGCTCCGTGGCTCTGTCATTGCGATGGCCAGCCCCGCGCTGGGCTCATGACTATGCGCCACTCGCGCCAGCACCAGCGCCCTCGCCGCCGCCGCCGCCCTCGAGCTCTCAGCCGCAGCCCGCGATTGCTCCATCATTGCTCCCCCAAGCCCAAGCCCAGGCTCAGGCCCAGCGCACCGCACCGCACCGCACCGCACCCGCCCGCCAGGCAGCGCGTCCGAGCGCCGGGTCGCAAAAATAGCCCGCGCGGCGAGCGCTCTCTGCTAGCCAAGCAGCTACCCGGCACAACGTGGCCTGGACTAGTCAATAGAGTTCGGACACAAGCCGTTCGCACCTCCACATCGGGCGCGGGCTGCATGGCTGATGATGATGGCCCTGCCGCCTCGACACTCTGCCCAGGCCGCCGAGCACGTGCGCCCACGGCCAGTCCACGGCCAGCCGTGAGCCCACGTCCCGGTGTGCTGCCCGCCCCAGCACGCGAGCCGGTGCCGGCGATCTCCCACACGAGCGCATTGCCGTTAGGGGACGCGGCTCTGGTGGCATGAACTGCTCTCGCGAGACCTCACCTGCGCCCCAAAATAAATGCTCCCGAGATCCCCAAGCCGCGGTGGATCTCGCGCCTCAATTGGTCATGGATTAATCAATGCTCTATGCCTGCGCAACGTAATAACCACGCACGCCGCCTCCACAAACGGACACCACGTGCGGCGTTGCCTCTGCCAAGTCAGTAGTCCGCCCGCCGCCAGCTTGCTTCCAACGGCCGACCCCTGCTCCCGAGCCAGCTGCGGCAAAGCACCCATATTACCCCATTCGATCATTATTCGAAGCCCTCGCCATGGTGTGGCGCGCGTCATATATATCCGAGACAGTCGTCAGAATCTGACGCCGACCCACCCGAATCTCCAGGCTGATTGGGATCTGCGCCGCCAGCCTTGCCGCTGCCTTTCTGTTCTGTTTGCGACGCTTCGTACATGTCGCCAACGCTCTCCTCGCGCCGGAGCGGACTTCTCCGCCTCATTAAAGTCTGCCCGTCGCCCACCCCGAGCACCTTCGCCTCACTCGCCCGCTCCCAGCTGAGCTTGCTCCCGTCCCTGAAGCCCCTGGGCGTCGACGGGCTGCTGTGCGTCTTGCGCAGCGGCTCCGGGCTCTGCTCGCTCGCCATCATCTCGCCCTCCGTGTCCGACGTCGGTGTCGGCGGCGAGAACTCCAGCGCCGGGCTGCGCGGTCCGTCCGTCGACGCGTCTGACAAGTTCCCGCTGCTTGAGCCGAAGAACCGGAATCGCTTACGCTCCTCCGTGGACGACGAATGGCCGTGCCGCCGGTAATTGGGAGGGGGGCTGCTGGCCGGGCTGTCGAACTGCAGGCGCAAGGCTGTTTGGGACTTCTGCATCATCTGCTGTACCAGCGGCAGCTCCAGATAGCTGGCCCCCGACCGCACGAAAAGCACGAGTCCCAGGCAAAGGAGAATCAGCGTTGACTGCACCACCGCCATCCGCTTCTGGAACACCAGCTCGTCCGCAAGGAGCGTCAGACGCGTGCTGATAGCCAGCATTTCTCGCTGATGCTGTTCGCGACGGTTCTCCAGCTCGATCACCGTCGACTGCCACAGTTGGTCGTACTGCTGCCTCTGCAGTGCGTTAGCGGCCTAGGGTGCGCTGCATGTGAATGAGACACTCACGAATTCTCTTAGTTCTGCCATGACCGTGCTGTTCAGCTGATCCAAAAACTTCTCCGTCTTTCCAAGCTGTCGCTTTTCCACCTTGGAAAATGCATCCCGGAGGATTCGGGACTGATCTTCAATGTACTGCAGCGACAGCGTCGAATTGGATTCCAACATCTGCAGGCGCTTGTGTATCGACTTGAAAAAGCTCTCCTGAGTCGTGGGCGTCGCGTTTGGGGGCTGCGTTGCCGAATTCTTAGCCCCTTCGCCAGATTGGATGGATCTCGTCGACGTGCCATCAACTGCCACGTTTGATGCATCCTTGGGAGGCGGAGGGCTCTTCTGGTCCCCGTCGTACGAGGCATTGGTGGATGCAGTTGTGGCATTCTGGCTGGAACCGACTGAATGTCCTGCCTCTACTTGTGGACCGTCTGTCGAGGCCGACGCATGTTGGGGCTGCTCAACGTCCGTCTGGTTATGCGACGCTTGGGTGACGTTGCTAGACGGCTGGACCGCTGAGTCTGGATGGTCTGGTGGTGTGACAGACGAGACAGGCTGTAGGTTAGTTTGACTTGTGCTACCGTCTGGCACGCCAACGTTGATGGACGTAGCACTATCCTTGGGTGTGGGTCGATTCTCAGCTGTGGAAGAGCCGTCGACGGCTTGATTGGCCGTTTCAGATTGTATTGAATCTTCAGCCCCTCCAGATGGCGCGTCCGAGGGTGCAGCTGGTTCGGCCTCCTTCGGTGGTTCAGCAGCAGGTATCTCAACAGGCGCTTGCTCTTGTGCATTTGGCGGAATAGCGGGAAGGGCTTGGCTCTCGCTCTCCATAACTTCATCCAAATCCTCCTCCCCACGGGCCGCCTCTTCCTGATGGCGAAACTCTTCCATCATGGTCGTGCCGTGCACTCTGAGAAGCGACACCGGACAATAAAACTCGTTGCCAAAGTGCGTGAGGAATTCAATCCTGAGGTAACGGGCCCAAATTAGCGGATTCTCAACAAGGAATGCCTGGATGTCCCGGCTATTTCTGGCCTCAAAGGTGCCAAGCTCCTTCCAGCGTTCCAGCTTCACCGGGTAACGGTCAGACACGCTGACTCTGAAGGTGCGGAACATGGAACTGAAAAACTCGAAGTTGGCAAGAACAACGGTGTCGACCAGAATGTCGTCGCAAAGCTCAACAATGACGAATTTGTTCTCAGCACCGCATTCATTGAGCATGTAGCTATCCTTGTTCTCGACCAGGAGGGAAGACGAGCTCTTGCACTGCCGGTTCGTCTTGAGCACCGTGGCGGCGCAGTCGAAGGAGGCGTAGTTGAAGCGCTCTTTGCACGTCTTCCCGGCGTCCTTGCTCCGCGGCCTGTGTGACAGCTCCCCGGCGGCACCGCCCTCAGCGGTCTCCGCCGCCCGCTGCTGGCCCGAGGCCGAAACGGCTGCGGTCCGGTCAGCTTTGTTGCCAAACCCAAAGTCCAGCTCGATCTCCGCGTCCTCTCCAAGAAAATCCAACTCATTGTTGATGTTGACGGGCCTCGGCTTGCGTCCCTGGGTCCCAGCCGTCCCGCGACCCTGTCCCACGTTCTCCGGCGATTGTCCAGCCTTCGCCAGGTTCTGCATCTTCCACTCTTCGAAAGACAGAAAGTGGGCATTGTCCAGCGGAGAGTCGCCCTCGGCTTCGGCTTCGGCCTCTGGCGCGCCTGTTTTCTGGTCGTCGGTTCGTACCGGTTCAGCGGAGGGTTGCGCAGTGCCAGCTGCGCTTTGCGATCCCGTGTCGGAAGTCTCTCCGGTCGTACTGGAGCTGTGGGGCGATTGCGCGCCGATGGTGGAGCTCGAAACAATTTCATTTTCTCCGTGGCCAGCAGCATCACCGCCCGTGGGGGCGGCGACTGGGGCAGAAGGAGCACTTTCGCCGGACACGGTGTCGTTTGCAGCGGTCGCAGCAGCTGGAGGCGGCGGGCGCGATTTCAGGCATTGCTGCGGCAAAGTGTGGGTGATGTAGTTGATTTCCCTGGACCTGCAGGTGGAGATGGACGGCAAGGAGCTTATCGGCGAGTGGGCGTCGAAGGGGAGCGCGGCGGACTCGGTAGTGATATCAGCGAACGCGACGGTGTGCAGAAGAACAGCCGCGAGGAAGACATGTCGGCCAAGCTTGCACATTGCTTGAACATGTCAGTCGATACTTGGTGGGCGCATAGGAAAGGGCAGCGGAAACTCGCAGCAGGAGAGGTGCAGCAGGCGATGTCATAGGCCGAAGAAGCCAGCTCTCAGCTACGTCTTTCAGCCGCGCCGTCTGGGCCCCGGCATTCGCCGCAGCGGTGTGCGACCACCAACCACCAACCACCAACCACCCAACGGCCTCCCTGCCCTGTCCCGGCGTGCAGCCCACTTCACGTGTTGCAGACTTTTCAGATCACCGCATATGCACCGCCGTATTTCCAACATCTGATTTATCATTTACTATCGTCCCGGGCGCGGGGGCAGCCACCACCCTTGCTATTCGTTGGCCGTCACCGAAGCCCCCGCCCTCAATCGCTGCCTCTCTCACAAGAGCGCGTAGACATACCTGATCCTTTTTAAGTACCGCTGCCGCCAAAACTTGCCCGAATGCATGCATCGGCCTTGCTGAGGACCGTCTTTCAAAGAACCACCCATCCCGCCTTCTCGTCACTCTACATGAACAATGTGCGTGCTTCAATCAAGTAAAAGAACAGTTTAAAAAAAAAAGGGGTGGGGGAATGGAAAAAGAGAAATTGCGCGCAGGTAGACCCGAGCATGCCTTCGAACGCCATGCACGCAGAGATATAACGCGTCTCATGCCATGGAAAGGGTATGCTGCGCTCGAACAAAGCAATGCATACGCCGAAAAAAGAAGTGCAACGAGAGCTCGAAGAGAAAAGGGGCCCGCGTCGATTTCGCAGACCATCATGAGACTTACGGCAGAAGAAGAGCATAATCGTCATCGCAAATGAGCGGTCTTCCAACGCCAAATCCCAAATGTCCCACCCAAGTGCATTAGAATCCTTCGTCTCCGGCCCTGCAGAGACGTATTTGGTCAACCCATTCCGACCGGTTGACCTCTTCTGCGGTCAAGCGGCGGTTGGGATTGGGGTCGAGAATTGAATATATGACGTTGCGACATTGACGCTGCCAGCCTGTTAGCATGTTCCAGAAACCGGGTGAAAGGGGGTGACCTTACACGACGGAGCACCTCGATAGGCCTATAACCTGACTCCTCCTTGCGGTCTTCGAGGTATTTGGTGTAGAATTCATCCTCGCCCTTCTTCGCGACTCGCCAAAGGTGACGCCCTGTTCTCATGGCCATGTAAATGACGCCACAAGCCCAGACGTCAACAGCGCGGGGATCAAATTCTTCGTCCACGTATTCCTCTGGTGCGATATAGGGCGCCGAACCGCAGATGCCCGCGGTCATGTGAGCTTCCTCTTCCCAGGCCATGCGGAAACACTCGCCGTTACCGAAGTCGGTGATTTTGATGGCTCCGTGAGAAGTGAGAAGAAGGTTCTCGGGTTTCAGGTCACGGTGGGCGACACCCATGCCGTGAAGATAGTCAACGCCGCGCATGAGTTGCTTGAAGAAGCAGTCGGCTTCCACAACCTCGAGCTGGCCGGCCGCAAGGATGAGAGTGTAAAGGTCTCCACCGGCGCAATATTCCATGACCTCACAGAACTCACCCTTCTCGTCCTGGATGAGATCGAGTGTGTTGATGATGTTCGGGTGATGCATGGAAGAGGAAATGCAGAACTCGGAGGTCAGGCGCTTGTTGTACTTCTTGTCAGATTCACCGGGGCGCTGCTTGAATTCTTTGACGGCAAACAGCTGCTCGCGCTTGGGGTCCCTCGAGTCTTGCTTATGGGCTATCTTGACAATACCGAACGCGCCGCGTCCGATGATTTCCTGACACTTTCCGTATTTTTGCACCAGCGTCATGGAAGAGCTAGCACCGGCCTTGTGGTCTATGTTGAATTTCTCTTTGTCGTTGCGCAGCTGGTCGACCCACCCCGACATCAGACTCAGAGGCTGCTCCTCAGGGTTCGCTTCTTTCTTCTTTCCAAGCATCAAGTTCTGGAACATATCCTTGAGCTTCTCTTCACGCCTTTGGACTCGGAGTTGATGCTCGTGGCCGCCATCGTCGAGGTGCTTGAAACGCTTCGAGATGTTGGCGGCTGCCTGCTGTTCCTTCTTCTTCTCAGAATTGCTCTTGGAGCGATCCACCACGCTGGGGGGCTTCTTGTCATTCAGGGAGGCCGTACGGCGCGGCTCTGGCTTGGGTGAGCTGGTCGGGCCGTCGCCATTCGCCACCTTGGCTTCAGCTACTTTTTCGGGGATTTTCTCGGACGCCAGGTTGACCCTGGAGCTGTCCCGGGAATCCTCGCGGCGACCGAAGATGCCGCTTATCCTCGAGCTCATGGTGGGCTTCTTCGCGGGCAGGTTGGGCCTTGTGGCGCCGGCAGCTGCAGCGGCGACGGCTTGCGAGCCGTTGGCTGGCGGCGGCGCAAGAGTGGCATGCTGCGGCGGAGGGAGGGCGAAGTTGCCGTCGGACGAGGCGATGGACGAGGCGGAGGTGGAGGCAACGGGCGAGCCGGTGGCCTTTGAGCTCACGGCCGGCGAGGTCTTGTTGGCCATGATGTGACAGGGTGTGTGGTCGGACTTAAAGGCGGTGACGGGCGGAGAAGAGGGCAGTCGGCGGCGCGCAGTCGGTTGAGACTAGAGAGTCTCGGGGCTGGGGCAAAGCCCAGGAGGATGTGTTATTGGTCTCGCAAAACGGCGTTGTGTGGGAGAGCGCCCGCTGTCGGGGGAGGATGAGGTTGTCCGCAAGGCGTGGGGAGCAGGGTGGGCACAGCGAGGTAAAGCGGTCGGAGGAAGGCGAACCTTCCTTGGCAGCCGAGGCGCGTAGTGCTTCGAGCAGCCACTTGCTGGCGACTCGACCGGCTGACAAACTGCGCCGGCGTGTGACACGGACCGTGGGCGTTGTTGACCGCCGAAAGCGCGCAGGGCCAAAGTGCGCGAATGCGGGAGAAGACACGGGGAGGGCAGAGATTTGTCGCTTTTCAGGCTTGGGCTCGGGGGCGCGTGCTGTCGCAGGCGGCGGATTTCAAGTGATTATTCAAGCGCGGGCAGCGTGGTGCGCGGAAGTGGAAGAACGTGCCAGTATGTGCGCTATTTTACCACCACCGGTCGTCGGGAGGAAAAGATTTGAGCAGTGCGAGAATGGCCGCGGGCCCCGCGGGCGGAGAGAGCTGTTGCGCGGTGCACACGAGCGTCGCTGTGGCCTTCTTCACTGCCGCATGCGCTCACCGTGCTGCGGCATGCTGAGCAGGCGCCGGTGGTGATTGGGGCGGGCGCAGCAGGCTCTCAGCCCCGCCGCAGCTGGACAGCTGGACAGCGGCCGTACGTCATGCCCAGTATCCACCGTCTTTCATCACGGCCACAATGGCGGACGGTGCTGGCTTGTTCGGAGCTTGTCTCCCCGCCGTTCACGCGCGCGCGCGCTCCCCGCCGCCGGGCGCCTGCAATGCCGCCGCTGCGCGGTCGCCAGCCCTGCGCGTGGCTGTGGCGTTCGCCGGCGATGTGGCCCCGCAAGTCGCAGCCGGCCGGCCATGCGATCCGCATCGGCCGCCGGACGAGCGCGCGTCAACCTCCCCAATCTGTGACGATGCCGACGATGCGGGCGATGCGGCCGGCCGCTGGACTGCCCCTCTCCAATCTCGCTTGACCCCAAAGGCCGCGCTGCCATCCCCGATGCGCTAGACGCGGCACTGCCTCGCGCTTACACAGTGCAAAACCAGGAAGCGCTTCGATCCGGAGCCGTCCTGTCTGATCAGAAGAGCCGGTCCAGTGCGGCGACGGCAAAGCGGAAGACCAATGATTAAATCCCTCACCGCCGCGACCTCAACACCATCCGCAAGTGTAGCCTCCCCGATCCGGCGACCTGCGGCCCTCGCCTCAACACCACCTCCCCGCTCGCATCCCGCCTGCGACGGTGACATTGCGCCATGCAACGCCCAACTTCTGCGCGCGCCATCGCCGCCGCCACAGTTCGCGTAAGCGCTCGATATGACTTGCTGGCGCTGCAGTTGCGCCCGGCTCTACGCGACGGTATCCTGGAAATGCCGCACGCGTCCCTTCCGTACGCGCAGGTACTCCTGCCCTGCATGCATCAGCTTACTTTCGGCGGGGTGCCTAAGTGGTGGCTTCAGCATGAAAGGCCTCCCGATACCGCTTGCCCCTCCCGTGACACCAACGTGAGCATCGCCAGGTCGAGTGTCATGCCCTATTATCACTCTGAAGACACGGCCGACAGTGGTCTGAAGAGTACATGCGCCAGTGAGGCAACAGATGAAGAGGGAGGCAGAGGACACGAGGCGGCTGTTGGCATGTGTACGGAAGCGCCCGCCGATTGCCGTCGATCCAAGTAAGCTTTCTTGTGCTACGCGGTTGTGTATCCCTCTTGTTGTCTATGCTGTAGGCCCTCGCAAATTATATGTGCAAACATGCGCCACGCCCGCGGCCGGCCGCGAGCTCGTGCTGCCTCGTTTATTGCTTTTGCTCTCCGACCTGCCCCAGGAATAGTTACCATTGAGCGCCCCCGTGGGCGATCAGGCCGCCCTTTCCCCAGAGGCCTCGCCTGCATCGCTCTGCGCGTTGCTCTTGGCTTTCTCGACCAGCTTGGCTAGCGCCGAAACTGCAGGCTTGGGGGCTTCGCTGCCCAACTGCAAGGCATCAAAAAGACTCGGATTCCGCCGGATCGATTCCTTGCCCTCCACACGCCGGGTGAGGTAGAGTGTCGGCCGCCTCTGCCCGCGCTCTGCCAAGATTTTCTGCACTTCTTCCTCGTAAGCCGTTTCGTACACGTCGATGTCCACCGCACCTGGCGATTCGCACACCATGTGTTGATGATCAGGGGGCAATTCCTCTCCTGCGGGGCAGTTGAGGTCAAGGAACAACTGGTCTTCTAGGGGGTCATGAGCCTGTCCTTTGCCGATCTCCAGTCGCGGCGTTCGCGGCTCAGGAGGAGTCGGCGATAACTGCGTGTCTCGAGGATCGAGCCTGGGAGACTGCCCCGCACTCCCGGGTGTCGCAAGACCTGCTTCGTGGAGGTGCTCCGCCAGCTGCTCGACTTTTGGGGACGCGTCTATATCGTGATGGACGCCTTGTGTTGCTAGAGCGCTCTCTAAACACAACCTTTTGTCGGTCGTTTCGCTGTTCGACCTTGCCACCCTACCGTAAGGCCGCATTGAGAGCGGAGGTGCAACCATGCGGTGGCCAAAAATACCTTGCATGAGATCAGGCCGTTTCTTGAAGAGCAGCTGCTTGAAGCGTTTGACCGCTTTCATCTGGGTGCAGTGTAAGTTTCAACCGATCGTGTGGTGAAAGGCACGGGGTGCTACTTACCACAGTGATCAAGTGGCCCATGTTCCCCGTAATTGCAGCATTGACTTCCTCTTCCGTGGGAGGGTCGATTATGGTGGCGATGTTTTCTTCCTTGGGCAAAAGGCAATCCGTTCCCCTTCGAGTTACCCAGGGGTGGTTCTGGACCAGTCAACTCACTAAACTAACAGGAGACTTCATTTCACAACATACCCGGAGCTCATCCATGGTGATACGTTTGTCTGGGTCCTTTTCTAGTATCCGATGCATCAGATCAGCAAAGTCCACCTCGCACTCTTCCAACGCAACATTGTCGTTCCTGATGGCATCATAAAGCTCGATCATCCCAGTCTTCTCGAAAGGTATCTTCCCGAAGCGCAAGCAGTACAGCGTGACGCCCATTGACCAGATGTCAGCGGCTTTGCCAGATACATCGCCGTGCTTCGGGACGCAAAGCTCGGGAGGCATGAATGCAGGAGAGCCTGCCGACTTCTTGGTCTTCATCTCGGAGTCTTTTTCGAACATTTCGGAAACACCAAAGTCGACGATTTTCAGGACGTCATCGTCGGTGATCAGACAGTTGTCTGGTTTGATGTCGCGGTGAATGATGCCCTGCGCATGCACTGGAAAGGCGTTCAGTCAAACTACAGAGGCGCATGATCCTTGCTTTGGATCCACTTACAGTACTCTATACCAAGGATCATGTCACGGAACCAGCATCGACATTGTTCGTCATCATACGGATCAGCTCTTTCGTCTAGACCAACGCGCATGACCACGCCCTTTTTGCAGATCTCCAGCACCATGTACAACGAGTCCTCGTCCGGATCATCGAGCACCTCAATCAATGACACAAGGTTGGGGTGGTTGAGCTTCTTCATGACGGCAATCTCCTCCTTGATGAGGTCCAAAGAGTTGTTGGGTTCACTGCCGGAGTGACGGTGGAGAGGGAGGTTGAAGCCACGGCCAGCGGAATGCTGGTTCTTGCGATGCCTCACTCCGGGACTACGGAGCATGTTCGATTGCGCTCGCTTCCGCAATCGCGACTTCGAAAACTCCTTGACCGCCTGTGAAAATCTTTTCAGTACAGAGCCCGCGGTTGCAGATGATGTCCACAAGCTGAAAGGGTGCCGGCCGAGTTCGCCGCGACAAATTGCTTACATATTCGTTTCCATATTGGTCCACTGCCACATGGACAGCGCCAAACGAGCCTCTCCCGATCTCCTGGTCGATTATGTATTGGTTGATGCGGTGCTGAGCTGTGCCATCGTCTTCGCTGTTGCTGTACTCGGATCGGGCGTTCAGCGTTTCCTACGGTGCGACGTGGTCAGAATGGGTGGCGGCGCAAGTCATTGGGCATGGGACACAGACTTTGACTTCTCTGCTGGTAGAGGGAGCGCGGCGGTGGTGGCGTAGGGGACTCTGATAAGCCGGCGCAGAGCTGGTGGCCGAAGGCATGAGGGTCAGCGCAAGAGGGCGGCTATCCGGCAGATTCAGGGCGCGTACACATGCTTGATCGCAGGAGGCCTGGCGGTCTCGTCCGTATCTGGTACGGCTAGGGAAAGGTGGTCAGAGGGGTACAGGCCCGGGACGTCGTCAGCGGAGAGGTGCTGTTGCAAGCGCGAGGGCTGCGGCATTGCCACCGGGGTAAGGATGAAGGCGGGCTGAGAGGTGTGGTACACGAGCGATGGAGGAGGAATGCGCACGCAGAACGAGCTCGGAGGGCCTGGAGGAGGTAGGAGTGTGTGCCCTGCAGCGCGGTGGGTGTGGTGGAAGCTCAGGCTGATGCGCTTGCACCACCCCGCGCCAGGCCGATCTTTCCTGGACCCTTGTCGTCTTGGAAAGCTTGACCGTTGGAACTCGACGCAGCGTCGGGCTACCCAGACCTCCGATCCACCCATCCCGCATCTCGCATCCCGCATCTCGCCGCGTCACCCCCGACCGACAATCCGCCAACATGGTCATCTACTCCTTCTACATCTTCGATCGCCACAGTACGCCCCCCGCGCTCGCCCTTGACTTGCCCAACCTGCTCACCGTCTCGCAGCCGAGTGCATCTACAGCAAGCGATGGCTGCGTCCGTCCGGAGCCCACGCGAAGGCCGGGCGCCCCACCTCTGGCGGCAGTCTGATGAGCGACGGCGACCCCCAAGCCGGCCGCAAGATGCTGTCCAAAGAAGACGATGCGAAGCTCATGTTCGGCGCCGTCTTCTCCTTGCGAAACATGGTTAAGCAGCTAGGCGGAGAGGACGATACGTACGTGGACCCACCACGGAGCTCCCTGCATGCTTGCCGCTAACGCTCCGGCCTGCGTGCAGCTTCCTGTCCTTCCGCACCGGCGAATACAAGCTGCACTATTACGAGACGCCAACCCGCCTGAAGTTCGTCATGCTCACCGACACAAAAACGAACAACCTCCGTATAGTCTTGCACCAGATATGGGCCAATCTCTACGTCGAGTTTGTTGTAAAGAACCCTCTGTCGCCTGTGGAGCATCCAGGCGGTGCTGGCGTGGCCAACGAGCTCTTCGAGCTGGGATTAGATAGCTTCATTGTAAGCACTAACGCGACGCTCTCAACCGAGCACTATCCCTAACTCTTGTAACAGGACAGCGTCTTTCCTGGATGAGATCATAAGACTCGGCAATTGATCCTCAAAGTATCGTTGACTCGATTCAACTGTCACACAATCTCGCCACGTTCCCCGAGCGGGGAGCGCCCAAAGTAATCACGACGGTGTTCCGAACCCAGCCAGTGCTGGACATGGGCTATTGGGCGCGATTTGTTGATCCGATGCCCACCACTCATCCGCGTGGGGATGGCGAGGGGAACTGGAAAGACCTGGCATAGAAGACTGCCCATCTGTCGATACTTAGACCAACAGTTGAAAGCATTGGAACAAGTCCTTCCTTTCTTTGGCGTAATCTTTTATTTTTCGGCTATGCATGCATTCGACCCTTCTCAAACATGTCTCACCTTGTAAATCGCACGCGGTTTAGGCGAGGAGTTGGAGACTACAATTGGTTGCTCGTGTGTTATTTCAAGCCCTGAATCTTGATCCCGATACTTACCCTAACTACTTTCGCGGGTAGGTTAAATTTTTCGTGGAAAGTCGGATGGCAAATATTCTGTATTCTACGAGTCAAGATGTTGAAACGGGAACGACTATGTATTCCTCCGCATCCACTTGTTTACGGACTCTCCGGCACGACTGTAGGTCATCCCCTTCGCAATGTGACACCCGTCATGCCTTCTTGCCCATGAAGCTAAAGCTTGCTATGGCTTATTAGGTGAGTAATCTCACTGCTAGACCGTCCCACTTGTTCCGTAAAGCATGCGACTGGCTTTCTCCGTTCCAGCTTGCCGTTAGTCGATGATGTAGTCCGCCTCATGTCAACGGTGGACCCTTGAAGGCGGGTCCATGGCCAGCCATTTGCAAAACAGAGAGATAAGCAACAGAAACCGCTGACTATGAGATGCATTCTCATTGGTACATCGCTCCCCGGGGTGGATGCAAGAACGGGATCGTAAACCCCCAGAGCATCCTCCAAGGTGCCCATGGACACCAAGGTGCTCAATCTCGTCGAGGCTTCCTAACAGTATGTTGGGTCTAGGGGGAGTCGCTTCCGTTCTTGGGTCTAGGGGAAGTCGCTTCCGTTATTGGGTGTGTGGAACAGGACAAAAGGCCACACATGGCGGCAACTGAAACTATAAATTGCTTCTCATCCTGGGGCCTGCCTCTCTGCAATCTTGTCAACTTCGTTACTCGAAGAACTCAACCTTCTTTCCTCCCACAGCTAACGCCAAAGAAATGGTGACGACGAAAACAAAGAGGAAGATGGATAAGACGATATTGCCAGTCACTGTCTTGTCGGGCTTCCTGGTATGTCAATGTGCTTCTCGCAGTCTTCGATATCCCACAGGTGTTGCAAGCAAGGTGGCCAACAACCAAACATGTTTGTTTGTCCTTGCTTGTTTCAACCCAACAATCAAGCAAAGATCGAGGATTCTGTGAAACAAGCAAGTAAAGACGGAGGGCTGCTATCTTTGCAAAGATCTTTGACTGTTTGCTTGGCGTATACACGGACCACTATCGTGAGAATTTCTTGGTGTCTTGCCCCGATTCGGTGTGGATGACCCCCCCCCCCCCCCCCCCCCTTTTTCTTCCCTTTCCTCTTCCATAAGAGGGGTCGGGGGTCGGGGGTCATCTATACCGAATCGGGGCAAAACACCAAGAAATTCTCACGATAGTGGCCCGTGAATACGCCAAGCAAACAGTCAAAGATCTTGATCCTCCACCTACTAAACAAGCAAAGATCAGACCTCATCTTTGCTTGTCTTTGTTTGTTGGCCACCTTGAGTCGAGTTTCGCGAGGTGTCCCACACGACAAAGGCTTACAATAATGAAGGGCAGCGGCAAAACGACACTTCTCAAGAACGTCCTCCAATCCAACAAGCATGGCTTGAAAATTGCCGTCATTGTGAACGACATGGCTGAAGTGAACATCGACGGTGCCCATGTCGCCCGGCTGTCAGGAAAGGAAGACAAGGCCAACCTCGTCCAGATGCAAAACGGTATGCGTCCACACCTCCCAGCCTACTCTTCGCAGCACCACTTCTATTTTAACACTTACATGCTCGGTTAGGTTGTATCTGTTGTACCCTCCGCGGAGACTTCCTCGTTGAGCTGGCAAACATGGCCTGGGGTGGTCAGTTCGACTATGTCCTCATCGAGAGCAGCGGCATCAGCGAGCCACAGCAGGTCGCAGAGACTTTCACAGCCGCGCTCAGCGCAGAGATGCTCGACATCCCGGAGGAGATTCATCTCGAAGATCGGGAAGTCATCGAGAAAGTGTACGTGGCCATGCGCCCCTCCTACCGTGGGCGCCTTTGCTGACGGCGCGACTGCAAAACGCTCCAGTGCCAAAGCAGGCGGACTCGAGAAGATCGCCCGCATCGACACCATGGTCACCGTCGTGGACGCCTTTCGCTTCTTCGCCGAATTCAACACGGCCGACTTCCTGACGGACCGCTACGCGCGTGACGGCAATGCAGAGCAGGTGCCGGCCGAAGACGAACGCACCGTCTCGGACCTGATGGCAGACCAGATCGAGTTCGCCAACGTCGTCGTCATCAACAAGACGGACATGGTGGATCGCGCGACGCGTGAACGGATCCGTGGCTGCGTCAAGGCACTCAACCCGAACGCCAAGATCATAGAGACGCGACACGCGCAGGTCGATGCCAAGGAGATTGTCGGCACTGGCTCGTTCAAGCTTGAGGAGGCGCAGAGGATGAGCGGCTGGCTGGCCAGCCTGCAGGAGATGTTCATCATGGATGTGAATGGCAAGAAGAAGAAGGCGCCGAAGCCGGAAACTCTCGAGTAAGTCTTCATGCAACCACGCCTATTTACTGAAGACTTAGATGCTTAACCACGAACCTTCTTGTCACAGGTACGGCATCAACAGCTTTGTCTACCGTGCACGCAAGCCCTTCGACCCGACGAGATTGTACAAGCAGCTTGCGGGCAAGTTCGTCCTCATTCAGCCAGAACCAGAAGAGGAAGAGGATGAGGATGAGGAAGAGGAAGAGGAAGAGGAAGACTCGGAGGTGGAAGACGTTGGCTCTGGAAAGGGCAGTTCCAATGCCATGGACACTGACGACGGCGAAGTCCCCTCCTCCCGCGAGACAGCCCAGCAACAAACGAATCCCAAGCGCAAAGACTCAAAGGGCGGAGACTTGGTCGAGCAAGAGGATGAAGAAGAAGAGGATGACTTCTTCAAGAGCTTGCCTACCGACCCGGCCGCCATCGTTGCCGCCAAGGCTGCCGACCCCATCTGGGCCAAGATGCACCGCTCCAAAGGCTGGCTGTGGTTCGCGACGAGGCCGCAGCAAGCGGGCTCGTGGAACACGGCAGGCGCAATGCTACGTATCGAGTACGAGCAGGACTGGTACTGCGAAATGCCTGAGGAGGAGTGGGCGCCAGATGAAGAGGTCGCGGCCGCCATCAGGAAAGACTTCATCGGCGACTGGGGAGATAGAAGACAGGAAATAGTGTTCATCGGGGAGGGCTTGGACGAGAAGAAGATCACAGCGATACTGGACTCTTGTCTTTTGTCCGACAAGGAGTTCAAGAAATGGGAGAAGCTCATGCGTAGGGAAGACTTGGCCCTGGAGCGGAAGGAGGAAAAGTTGAGCGAGTGGTGGGATGATTCGTACTGGGCAGAATGGACGGTGGGCGAAGATCACGAGCACGATGAAGAGGATGGTCACCATCACCACCATGGTCACAAACACTAGATGGCCTGGAAATGGTGCAAGCACTTGTAGCAGAGGAAGATGGTGCAGACAGGCAAGCTGGTCTGTCTACTCATAGACGAAGAGGTGACTGATTGCCCAGTCTTCAGCATCTCGCAAATAGTCACTATTCAGGATGTCGTACTCATTTGCTGTTGAGTGAACCAGCTTAGGTTGCAGACACTGCAGGCCCAATAAAACAGAACTGACGCTGGACGACTTCACAGCATTTCGCCATCCCGCATTCCTCGCAAGATACTACTCGCTTGATATGGGGAGATTCAGTGGATGTCCACGTCCAAACTTCAAACACGTATACATGCACCTTTAGTGAGATAAATTTGGAGACTGGATCCTTTTGAAACCACCTCAGCTTGTGCTGCAAAGCCAAACCAGTGGCCCAGAGTGGCCCAAACAAGAAAGGAACTGTATCTACGGCGGTACCCGTTCTCTCCTTCAACCAAAGTGGTGTGCAGCGCTTGTCCCACCGGAAAAGATCCATGTTCATGGGACATGGGTTGAGTCGTCTAGCATATCGCATGATCATTTCTCGTTCCCTGAACCGCATCAGTGGAGCCAGCACTGGCGCCATCACGCGGGGGGACGCATTCCTGGATGTCGAGCTCGGAGTAGCAAGCGGTTAGCCGCCGCCGCCGGCGGGGCGAGAGGCGTTCGTGCAACATTTGGCCAACAGCCGGCGCTAAACTGCGTCTATTGCCGCCCGTCTATTCTCACGGCACCGTCGCTCTGGACGGCCGCCGTGGCCCAACAGAGCTGCATCGACTTTGATGAGAAACAATGTGCATGCAACACCAAGCCGCTAAGCGCGCGCTCCACGCCGTCAGCCAACCACGCGCCAACCACGCCGGCATCCGTCCTCGGCCAATCCGGCAGGCGGCGAAGCGCGTTACATAATCCGCCATGCGCGCCTCAACACGCAGATTCCTCCAACGCCTTGTTCACGCGTTGGGCGCCTTGGGCCGGCGTCTCGCCCCGTGCACTCCTTCCACGCTCCTTCTCGAATCGAATTCCGCAAACCCTTTCGATCCGGACCGACGCGCGGCTAGCAAACGACAGGCTGGCGGGTGATGCGTTGTTGGAGCTAATGGGGGGTTACGGGACCGAGAAATCCCCCGGGTTTTCCTTAGGTTGGAGATTATGACGTGGTCGGGCTGCCGGGTACGAAAAACTTGGTGCTCTCAGGGCAAGCCTCGTGCTGAGCGGTCTGCCAGCGAAGCCTCCATCCTCTCTTTCGGCCTGGGCTCACGAGTCAGCTGTGACAACAGATTTTTGAGCCGCACCGAAGCCGCTGTTGACAGGATGCCTGCCTGGCCTGACCTGACCTGACCTGAGATCGACCGGGATCGCTAACATGGGATTGCGACCGAACGTCGAGCATGTGAAATTTAGTGGAGAACTCCCCGTCGAAACGCAGAGTATGGGGTATTTCGTCATGATGGCGCAGAAATCTCACCTCCGCCGAGAAGAACGCGCTAGCCACCGACGAAAAATGGGAGCCGAAGCGGTGAACGAGCAGCAGAAATGCGCAACAGCATGGCCTGAAGCCCGGGACCCTCTCCACACAACAAGAAACACGTGAAGTTTAGATGCACATCCCTTTTTGTCATTACTCGGAATCGTCTATCCATAGCAGTCGTAGTTGCATCCTTCCATACTTGATCATCCGCCTGCATTCTCTACCTTTAACACGCTCCCCAGTGCTTTCCCTCTCTCGGAAAAATAAAAAATGATGATCAACCGTAGACCGTCGATATTCCGCAGATAGCTTGCCGGTTCGGAATATGACCGCCTAGCTGAGTTGCAGCTGCTGCAACCCAGGTTTTTGTTTCGCTTCGCTGTAAGTGCGAGAACCGCTTTACTCGGCCTTGGCCTGGTCGGCGGCAGCGCGGAGGTTGGCAGCGGTGGAGCCGCTCTGCGAGAAGAAGCGGGCGAACACGGGCTGGATGAAGGAGCGGAAGACAACCTGGGCACCACTGTGTAGACACGTCAGCTGACCGCCCAGTGCACGTCGTCGCATCTGGAGCAACTTACGAGGTCTGGGGCAGAGCCATCCAGAGGATCAAGACAAACTTGAAAGTGTAGTAGAAGGGGAACCAGTAGACAGCATTGACCAGGCTCTCAAACACGCTACAATCGTTATCAGTCAGAGCTACGGTGCGATAAGCACGGAATCGGGCACTTACGTGAAGAAAGCAAAGACAACCCAGTACTGTACGAAAAACTTGTCAGTAACAATGAAGACGATGGCGGGGAGCTCTGGAGGCTGCTTGTTCGACGTACCGTCAACCACTGCGAGAAATGTTAGCTATCTTGACACGTGCGGGGCGGTGTGCGGGCCACAGCCGCCGGCGGGGGCCACGTACCTGAGTATCATCGACCTTGGTGGTCGAAAAGAGGGCGTCCAGCGAGTAGTAGCCGGGCAGAGCGAAGCCGATGACGTTCACGAGGAACTCGCCGGCAATGTTGAAGAAGATCAGGAAGAAGTAGATGGCGGCGACGCCGAGGATGGCGTACACCTTGGGCACATTGGTCTGCTTCTCGAGGTTCACGAGGGCCGGGTACTTCGACAGCTGTAGGCGTGTGACGGGTCAGCGGTGAGCTCTAGCGCAGTGTTGGTGGTGACTGGCGGTGGTCGTGCTCGGCGTCGAGATTGCGACCGCGAGCGGGACAGGGAAGGGCTGGCGGCAACGTACCTCTTTGTCGAGCTGCGAGATCTGGTGCTGGGCCTTCTCCTGGAACGACATTGTGTACAGTGTGGGGGGTTTGGTTGGGTGATGAAGATTGGGGAATATGGGTGCAGATGCGAGGTTGCAGATGGAGCTGGTGGATGAGAACAGGTGGACGAGAGCGCGTGAGTTTGCTTTGTGTCGGCGGAATCGAGGGTCCGATGACGACAGGCCTCCAGTGCCTGCCTACCCGCCCGCATCGACGCGCCCACGCCCTGCCCACAACCACGGCCAGCAGAGCGCCAGCACGCTGCAGCCCGCTGCAGCCCGCCAGAGCCCAGCCTGTGCGCGTCTGCCGTCACCCTGTCCTGCAGGGCGATCCATGGTCCCGTCTGGCCGCACCTCAGTCGCCGGCGTAAACAAGCCCCGCACGTGACGGCGTCGGACTGAGGCAGGCGTGCGGCCGTCGGGCTCTAGCAACGGAAAACGAAGGTTTGTTTATCCTCAGCTGCAGCCACAACATCCTCACCCTCTCACCCCCCGGCCCATCGCCAAACCTTCACCCCTCCCGCCGCCGGAGCCCCCGCCTCCAGTGTGTCTTACGTCCGTCTGCACCGCCCCGCCTGACCGCTGCGCCTGCCTGCTGCAGCGCCCGAGCCCTGCTGCCGTTGCCCGGACGGCTTTGCCCGAGTCGCACGCACTGCGGTGCCTTGGGAATCTCCCGCGGCCGGCAAACCCCCGATCGACGCCATTGCAGCGCCAGTTGCTTTGAGAGCGGCCAGGCCTTGATCTGCACGAAGCCCAGCTATGGTCAGTTCTTCTTACCGCTATTTTTGTGGATCCGCGGGCCCGAGGCGCTGCCTGTAAACAGCCAAGGCAACCCGCACAAACAACCGCTGACCTCCAAGCACCAACACAGGCCCAATCCCACCCGCAGATGCCTACCATGCCCAACCAGGGCCGGCGTTCGCGCTCCACCACATCCATCAGTACTAAAGCGAGCCAGCGCCCCCTCAGCCGTGCCTCGACCACCAGCCTGCAATCGCAAACCACCCAGGATCAGCATAGCAACGACTTCCAGCAGTCCTATTCCCAGCACGGTCTTCCTCAGCCTCAGCAACACATGGGACACCAGGCGCAATCGCATATGCAGTATGCTCCCGTCGACCAGAGCCTGCTACAGGCCGCCCATTCCCTTGGCCACCAGGACAACATGATGATGCTGCAGTACCAGCAACATGCCGCGCCCCAAATGATGCCCCAACACTCCCAGGAGACCTCCTACGCCCATCCGCCGCCAAACCCGTACATGCATCTGCAACAGCAAGCTTCCGACTACGCCAACGGCAACCCCGTTGCTGCTGCCAGCGGCGCCGAGACGGACGACAAGAAGAAGAAGGGCGTCTCTGCCAGCGCCACCAACGACAAAGAGCTGCGTGAAATGCTCACCCGTGCCGACGGTAGATCATTGAAGGAGGTGGCGGACGAAGTATTACGCACCGAGCGGACCTCTCGCGCCGAGAAATCAAAACAGTTGTTTGCAATGTTATGGTAAGCAATCATCCAAGCGTTACACATGGTATGCTAATCATCTGTAGGCTGAGACAAACATGCAAGCATGCGAAGACCTCAGTACCTCGGAATCGTGTTTATTCGCAATACGCCGACCGCTGCGCAACGGAGCGCGTCCAACCGCTCAACCCTGCCTCCTTTGGAAAGCTCGTGAGGGTCATCTTCCCTGGCATTGCCACACGACGCTTGGGAGTCCGCGGCGAGTCCAAGTATCATTATGTTGACCTGGCTCTTGTGGATGACCCGGTCGATGGCCATGAAGTTGAGCGCGCCGGCAGTGCTCACAGCCAGGACTTTGGCCATACGCGCCAGGGATCTACTCACCTTGCCATTGATTTCAAGTGAGTAGTAGTCAACCGTCCCTGATGTCGTGACAATCAGTGCTGACAACCACCCGCAGCAGCATGCCTAGGCTACCAGCAGATACTGCTGTGTTTCCAGCTCAGGAGCAAACCGTCGAACCGCAGCAGCGATCCACGGAAACAGGAAGACCGTCGTTTGGCCGTGCGTTTGCTGAGCCCTATGTTCCTGGCTATGGCTCCGCGAGACAAACTTCGTCCACCTACACGCAGCACCTCAAATTCCCTCCTCCGCATCAGGACGATTTCCAGGAGAATGACTCGATCGAACTTCCTAATATTCACGATTACGTACCGCCAAAGACGGACATCGACGCTGCAAACGCATTAACAGCTCTGTATCGCACTCATTGCACCTCCCTTGTAGACTGCATTCGCTTCTGCAAGGAAAAGCAATTCTTCCGCTTGTTTACCTCATTCCACGGCACACTCACTGTGCCGGTTCAAAAACTGTTGGCGCATCCTGCCATGGCACCTTGGATTAGAGAGTGCGATTGGTTAATGTACCAAAAGATGATCCGTTTCGTCTCAAGGCTTACATTACAAGTAACGCCACCTGTGGTCTTGAATTTCTTAAACAACATTTCGCAGGAGTTGCATAAACACATCAGCAAGACCTTCCAGGGACATCCGCTTCACGTCCTCGAGGCAAGGCTAGAGCCGGCTACTCTCTTTGCCCAACTGCTTCATCGGATGCTACGTGCGAACCAGGCAGCCCACGCTGCTGCCGCCCTGCTAATGATCGACCAAAACCGGAACCAGATGTGGATGGATTGGGTCACATATGTCAACCCGAAGCGAGTTATGGAAAGCGAGCTGCCCAACTGCGGCTACGAGGAGACATACAAGATCCTCACCCAAGATGTCAGGAGTCTGTTGTTGCCACTTTCGACACCTGTGTGGTTGGAGAACGGCACGCATTATCAAGAGGCAGCGCTTCAAGCGGCGAGGCAACACGGCGACTCCCCCATCACGAATGAGACGGTCATCGACCGGCTAGCCAACTTCCTCTCTAGCCTTGGCACCCGCTTCCCGAATGCCGATGCTCGGACGCTCCTCCACTGCATCAGTGCTGTTGGCACAGCAGCCTGCCGCGAGATTACGGTGGAGAACGGGGCCAGCTTTTCTCCGTGGTGGATCACCAAGGTTTTTGTCGACGAGCTGAGTCTGTGGCTTGCATCGCTAGGAGGATTTTTGGCGCATCGGGCGCCCGAGCGCAAGCGGCCGTCGTCTCAGCTGTCGCCGATGGAGGCATCGTTGGGAAACAGGGCAGAGAATGGAGGGGCTGTTCGCGGCACTAACCAGGACGAGAGTCGGTTCAGTCTCGCGGCAGACTTCTCGGTGGATACGAGCTTTATGGGTTCTCAGGGCAAGGACGATTCGGGTAACGACAGTATGTTATAGCTATTGCCAGTCCGCGGACTACCTAAGCTGACAGGGCCCGCCGCAGTTAATGCTCGAAACGCCCAAGAGTCCTTCAACCAAAACAAATATCAGTCGTTCGGCATGGACTTTGAGGGCCAAGACCTCGACGACAGCGGCATCGGCATGTCGCTGATGGATGACAACCTCGGCACGTCGAAAGGCTACATCGGTGCAGACGCAAACAACTACGCACATGGCGGAATGAACTGAAGAGTCGACATCCGTCCCTCGCATCACACATGGTGCCAAAAGCCGAGCCACGAGTATACGACTGCCTCCGACTTTACGACTTGCATTGTGGACGGTGCAGGAGTACTCTGTTGATACCTCTAATCTTGTACATGGGTCCTCTGTGGCGATCGCTCCCGCTTGGGAGCTGACGTTTTGATTTCTTCTTGCCTTGGCTTCTTATCTTCGTTTCCCGCGTTTTGGTATTTGGGATTAGGTGATTTAGTAATCTGTTCCTTTCTTTGGGTTGGGAGTTGATATACAGGGCGGTGTTCGACGGCAATGTGTATTCGTCATTATCGGCAACGGGAATGGGTGGCTCTTGTGGGTACTTTTGGGAAGGGAGCATGCGATACCTCTGTTGGGTTGGACGTTGGAGTAGTGTTCTGTAGATCCGTTTAGCTTATGCGCAAGGACTTTTCGATCATCAAGCGGGCGGTGCTGATGTGTGGCTGAGTCGTCGGTGAGGGCTGGCGGTGCACAAATTATGACTGTGCGCCTTCGGTGACGCCGCTTGGTAATGGCGGCGACAGGGTCCCAGGGCAGCTCATATAAGTAATAAGGGACTGGCGCTGTTCTGGCTGCAGACTAAAATTCAAACGCCTTCTCTCCTGCCATATTTCGTCCATCAACCGGCAATCATGGCTGAATCGTTAGGAATGACGAAGGCGATCGACGCGTGCGCCGTGCCCGAAGCCGACACGGACGCGCCGCACCACCAAAAAGTTTCCAGCGCGGACAACACCGCCGTCGCGCAAGAAGCCGCAGCGCAACTGCAACAAGATCTGGCCTCTTCCACCACACCCGACTCCAGCCCTCAGCCGGCACGCCAACGGACACCAGCGCAGAGAAAACGAGACCGCAAAAAAGGCATAACCCGCCGCAACGACCACCACCTCGTCCGCGCCGAAGAAAAGGACGTCGCAGGATCACCAGCTTCCAGCCCCGAAGACAGCAGCAGCAGCTCGACCCGCTCCTCCTCCTCCTCCTCGCCCGCACCGCCCGCCAGCAACAACCCCAACAGCACCAGCGACACCGCGACGACGATCCCACGCTCGATGCCGGCACCGAAGAAGGCGGTGGCGGCGGCGGCGGCGGGCAGGATCGTGCCGCTCTTCATCGCGTCGCTCGGCAACCCGGGCGCGACGTACGCGCACACGCTGCACTCGGCCGGCCACACGGTGCTGGACGCCATCCGCGACCTGCGCCACTTCCCGCCGTGGCAGAAGGAGCGCTCGTTCGCCAACGGCCTCGTCAGCAAGCAGGCCGAGGCGGGCGTCAACCGGAACTTTTCGTGGCTGCCGGGCATCCTTGGCGGCGGCGCTGATCAGGCGGGGGCGGCGGGGAAGAACAGGTTGGAGGGGGAGGAGGCGTGGACGCTGTGGCAGAGCCCGAGCTTGATGAATGTGAGTGGGAAGGCGCTGGGGCAGGCGTGGGGGAGGTGGAAGAGGGAGTACACGGATGGGGAGTTGGTGGTCGTGCACGACGAGCTGGAGAGGCCGCTGGGGAAGGTGACGGTGAGGAGGGGCGGGAGCGCGAGGGGCCACAACGGGCTGAAGAGCTTGGCGCCGCAGTTTCCGAACACGCCGTATGTGAGGATCGGCGTGGGCATCGGGCGCCCCGAGAGCAGGGAGCCGGATGCTGTGGCGAAGTATGTGTTGAGGAAGATGACGCAGCAGGAGAGGGCCAAGGTTGAAGGGTGCGCGGATGAGGTGATTAGGAAGTTGTGGGAAGTGCAGGAGGGCAAGATATGAAGAGATGGAGTTGGATTGGGAAAGAAAGAAATCGTTTGTGGAGAGGGGGCATCCAACTCAACCCTGAGATCCGGCTCAAAAAGCACCTTGGCTACTCCAATGCTGTGTTCTCCACGGAGAAAGTTACTCTGGATTGTTTGGAAGCCACAGCCCGCCAACTGCAGCATGTCGCAGTGGAAATGGAACGACATGATCGAAGTTCGCCTTGTCTTGCCATAAACCAAGCGGCTATCGAGACAGGTTGCGTCTCCACGGATCGTATTGAGATTTTCACAGGGTAGAGACGGTTTGGCAGTGGGTCATTCTGCCTGCAAATCTAGCATCAACAGGCGTTTTAGCATATTGGTACAAGCCATAAGCACTTAGAGTGTAGAGTTTGCCATGTAAATATACTTCATTCGATATACTGCTTAATTTGGTCGCTCGCACTTTGTGCTTTCTGCGAGGAGTTCTGGAAACTTGCAATACATTGTTCTGTCAGTCTCGAAGTCTAGGACTGTTCCGGTTAAGTACAGAAACAGTCGGAGATTTGCCAGTCAGGTATTGTCTCTTGTCTTGTTCAATTAAACCCCGAGTTCCCTGGCATAAGAAGCACCTCCCATCACGGTGTTTTTCCAAGCTGACAAAAATTAGCATGGCAAACGCCGCACAACCAGTGGTGCTAAAGCATGTTCGTGATAAACATCATAACACGCCTTCTACCAACGTTGCAATTGACCCAAATGTTGTAATTTTCAGGACCATTCTAACACAGTTTCTCATACTATAAGGAACTGTTCCCCTGATAAGCCGTCTTCCATTGTCACAGCATTTCCATCCATCAGCCCGTGTACATAACAGGGGCCAACGAATGTCCACTCCTGCCTCATCGGGCCTTGATTCCCCTTGCGTTCTTTTGTCGCCTCCCTCAGTACGACGGGAGTTTTTGCCCCCTTCAGCACCACAATTTTATCGCCCTTCTCCGCATCCGGTGGCACCATGGCGTATCGCCCGTTTTCCAATATCGCAAAGACCCAATCCTCTAACTGCGACAGATGTTTTCTGACGTCGTCCCGCGCTTGCTTCGCCAAATCCTTCTTCGACCTACACCTCGTCCGCCCCTCCGAATCAATCTCAACCCGTGTCCACTCGCTATGCTTCACGCCCACCGGAGCCATCAACCACGCAGCGAACTTCGGCCGCAGCTCCTTCACATTCTCTTCCCGAAGCCTCCTGACTGGATACCGCGTGCAATCCAGCATCAGCGTGCGCCAGTACGTCTCGAACGCGCCCCAAGCACTACCCTCTCCCTCCACCCCCATCCGCTCCGGTCCGCCATACCTCTTCCCCCTCGTCCACCTCAGCCCGCTCGTCGCCCGCGAGCCTTCCCCCACCAACGCCTCCGCCTCCGCCTCCGCCTCCGCCTCTTCGTTTCCCTCTGGCTTCAGGAACGGCATCAGCGACGCATTGCCCGCCGCGATGCCCGCCTCCAGCACCTCATTCGGCATCCACGCAAGCGCGCACTCGCACCATTCCCATTCACTCCGCCTGGGACGTCGCACCAGGGCCAGATCCGCGACGCTCAGGCACGCGTCCAGCAGCAGTCCCCCGCGCCCGCCTGCAGTACCCTGCTGCATCTGCAGCTGGACCGGCACCGGCAACGACGACGACGACGACGACGACGACGGTCCGGCGAGAAAGTTGCGGCCTTCGCCCGACGCGTTGTAGATGCCGCGCTGCGCGAACAGGATCTTGAACGCGCCGGGGTTGGCGAAGTCCGGGACCCACGACGGGAGGTCCGGGTTGCGGAGGGGATGCTGCTGGGAGGTGCCGAGGGTCCAGGGCCCCTGGCAGAGGAGGTCGAGGTTGCCGGCGGCGTTGATGAGGGCGGCGGCGGCTTTGGTGTAGACGGCGGCGACGGGGTCGTGGTAGGTGGGGGTGAGGGAGAGGGGGTCGGACGACAGGTTGAGGAGGGCGAAGACTCGGTCGCGGGGGTCGGTGGCGTGGCAGTAGCGGAAGCGGGCGAGGATGTTGTGGAGGGAGGAGGAAGAGGTGGGGTGGTGGAGACGGTGGAGGTGGACGTCGTCTTGTTGTTCGGATTGTGCTGCTTGTTGTTGGGCGCATATGCGGCGTTGGTGGGCGAGGATTTGCGCGTGGGCGAGGCAGTATTCGAGCTGTCTCCGGAGCGTCCAACTGTGGCCGAAGGGCGTGTGGAAGGCGTCTGGCAAGCCATAGGCAGCTATGTGGTTGTCGACATCGAGGAAGTCATCGATGCGCTCCCAGGGAAGCGTCGCGCAGCCGGCAACCAGCACCACGCGCGGCGCCAGGGAGACCTCCTGCATGATCCACACCCGCTGCCATACCGGTGGCTTCCGAAACAGCTTCTCGAGAATGCCGGCCCAGTCACCCGGCGGCTCATTCAGAGCCTCCTCAAGACTATAGTAGCTAGAAAAGTCTTCCCGGACGCTCTTCTCAAGTCGAGTGATGGTGCCGATGGTCTCCATCGCAGACGCGCCGTTCTCCAGGATGGACGCGTCCTCGCCGAGCCAGAGGAGGTCAACGGAGCAGCGCTGGTATATTTCCCTCATGTGAAGGACTTGGCTGTCGCGCTCATCCGTGTTCTGCTGGTCGATGCAGAGTGCGTCAACCCACAGCTTGCGACGTCGGTCCGGTAGTCGCAAGTGGCGGAGTGCGACATGGAGGTTGTTGGTGATCCGTACCGTCTTTCCGTCGATAGTCACGGAATGCGTCCTCTCTGGATCGCCCCAGACGTAAGAGAGAGCTTCGTAATCGGGAGGATCGTCCAGAAACGCACTCTCCAAGAAGCATTCAACAGCAGCAGATGCATCTTGAGACGGATTCAAGGTCAAGATGCGAAACTTCCGGGCTCCTGGTGGGATCGGGGTGTAGTAGAGTCCATGTGTTGCCATGTGGCGCAGCTGTGGTTCTATGTGCAGACCAAACAGTACATGGAATGTTTGCAAGGAGAGCAGAGGCTGTTCGCAGCCTACCCGTAAGTGAAGGCACTCCAGGACGTTACGCAAGCTTTTATATAGAGAACCGGAGACTACTAGGCAACTACGAGGTGGGGACTGAAACATGCGGGCCGATGGCGATCATTCAGGAAACTGTGCCACATGAAGCTTGGCTGAATAATGCTTTCAAACTAGGTAAACATACCCGAATCGAAGAACGCTAATGCTATTATGTCTCGATCTTGGCTCAGTCTTGTTGCTCGGTTCTGACCTTATCAAATTCAATCCCCCAACGCACCCGCCATGCATACTCGTACAAAAATGGATATCGGATGAACAAAACAACAAAAACAAGAAGCTGTTGACAATTTCGGCCGTTAAGATCAATCGCCACCGCTTCAGGTCAGGCCGGTAGCGCCTCCAACAGCACCATTGGCAGCACCAGCAGCACTGGTGGCGGTACCGGTAGAGTTTCCCAATCTCTTCTTGACACCGTCGGTGTTGGCAGTCTTTTCGACCTGGTCCTTGGCGTTTCCAACGTTCTCTTTCGCGTTTCCGACATCGGCAGCCTGGTTGATCTTCCTGGGCTTGCGCTTCTCCTCGCCCGAGCTGTTCGGGCTCTTCTCACCCTCGCTCTTCTCGTCTTTCTTCTCAGCCCCGTTCTTGTAAGCCTGGCTCCGAGTATCGTTCATCAGGAAGTCAAGCCTGCCACCAGTCAGGTTGTTCAGCTTGTCGCCGATGGCAGTGCCCTTTGCAGCCGGCCCGTCTCCTCCCTGGTTGAACCACTTCATGATGTAGTAGCCGCCAAGGCCCCACAAGAACAGGAATGAAGCGCCCATGGTAGTCAGGAAGATGGTGGGCAGGACCACGAGGAGAGCGATGCCGACCATGAAAGCGGTAGCAAGAAGAGCGACGAGGACGGCGACAAGAAGAGCGGCGACCAGGGAGAAGACGAAAACGGTCAGAGTGAAGACGGCGAACATGACGAGCGGCAGGCCGGTCAAGGCGAAATTGGTGAGGAGGAAGGCCTTTACGTCGACGCATCAGCACTGCGGTTCGGAGCAGGTCAAAGAGAGACATACCGAGAGCTTGGGATTGTTGACGGCAAATGCTTGCAGCCTCGAGAACATCTCAGCCCGCTTCTCGGGCGGGAAGAGGCTGTCGAGGACATTCTGGGCCTTTTCCTGCACGGTGCCGGCGAGGGTTTGGATCGTGTTCAAAATGCCAGACATGGCGCGGCTCGTGCTCGGAGGATGTAGTCTGCGCAAGGGAGAAGCAGGGGATGATGAGCTGCAGACAAAGGCCAAATGTCCGGCGGGGAAGGATGGGTTAGTGACGGAAGCAGCAGGGCGGGAAGGAGTGGCGCGGATTGATATCCCGGGACTACTGGAGCCCCAGCGATCAACATGTGGCAACAAGTGGTCAAACAAGATCTGTAGTCGCACGCCAATGCGAATGGCGTCACTGCGACGGAGGGCGTGACGCGTCGAATCGAACGCGTCCTGCCGCGGGCGGTGAGGCTGCTTGGCGCCAAAAACCACCGGCTCCCAAAAAAAAGTCACCGCCTGCGCCAGCCCCGACCAACACCACTGCCGCTTCCAGCCGTTCCCAGCCAGCCCCAGCCAGCCCCAGCCAGCCATGCCCGACCCCAGCGAGAAGAAGCGCAAGCGCAATGCCGACAAGACCGACCGCCCCAGCAAAAAGGTTCAGATTGACCAGCCCACCCGCCCCGTGAAGCTCGCCTTCCTCGACGACAGCGACCAGCTCGGCCCCGTCGTTGGTATGCCTCCTCAGCCCTCACTCGCCCCTCTGCCGTCGAGCTGACGCCCCGCCGTAGCTGCCACCCCCGGCGTCTCCTTCTCCTCCGATCTCGCCCTCAAGCCCTACAAGAAAGAGATCGACAAGCGCCGCTATGAGCTCCTGCTGCATTCCTCCGACCACCCCAAGCTCGATTTTTCCGCGCGCCAGGAGCGCGATGGCACTGCCGAGAGCCTGCTCAAGCACTATGTCGGCGTGTACGATCCTGAGACCGGCGCCCTCCAAGTCATGGAGGCCCGGAAGCTGGTGCTGCGGAGCACCCTGAGAACCGAGGCCGAGGAAATGCGCGCCCAGAGGGAGGCAGCCGCCGACCAGGAGCGCAAGACCAACTTCGCCCTTCGCCAAGACCTGGGTAGAGAATTCGGTACGAAAAAGGCCAAGAAGGTTCTGGATTCCATCACCGAGAACGCAATCAATCCCACTGCTGGTGCTGCCGAGGGCAAGGTGACCGACTCTGTCGCCAAGGCCGTGTTGGAGTCCGTGACCGCCGCCACTGCCGACGCGCCCACCCGCGAAGCCTTGCAACAAGCCGTTGATGAGAACAAGCCTCGCCCAAAGGCCAATTTGGAGGCTACGACCCCGGCTGAAGTCTACCCGCTTGATGTGCTTATTGGTGGAGATAACATGCGCCTGATCGAGGTCAAGGCCTGGCTTGAGTCTGTTGAGAAGAAGGAGGATATCAGGACGGAGAGCCTGTTTGTTGCCAAGAGGTTGGTGTCGGTTGGATCGTCCAAGAACATCAAGAAGTTGAAGGTGCTGAAGTACATGTTGCTTCTCATCGACTTCATGGCCGCCTTGAAGCCCGCACGGAATGGGGCAAAGAAGCTCCCGCAGAGGGCGGACCTGGAGAAGAAGACCAACACGAGTGGTGCACTATTAGACGGTGTGAGGAGGAAATTTGCCGACGGCAAGTACGTGCATCTATTGCCCACCGCATCAAGATTAAGGATACTGATTACGACTTACAGCGAACTGACCAAGTGGCACGTTGACTACCTGATCACGCACGTCGCGGCACTATCTCTCTATGTCGATAATTTCGTCGTCGACACCTACGACATACGTGAAGACCTCAGACTTGACAACAAGCAGTAAGTTCCACACCCCTTTATTTTATACGAACGCTATACTGATGTCCTCTGCGGGGTTGGTCAATACTACCACGAGCTTGGTTGCAAGATAGCAAACCCCACGGAGAAGGAACGCGAGGCAGGGAAGTTCACCAAGGCCGATAGCGTCAACCACAGGATGGCCAAGCTGAAGATCCCTCTTGACTTCCCCAAGCAGAGGAACATCCCCATGCGTAAGAGGTAAACTCTCTCTAGCCATGGACTCGGCGCAACGCGTCATGTATCTGTATGCAATTGCAATCCAGAATCATGGTCCCGTAGGGATAATCATTATCGGGCAGGAAAGTGCGCTTTACCGAAAAAGGCAATTTTAGGATACCCGAATCTTGGCGTTACGGTTCAGAAAAAGCTACGTCTGCATCACACTTTCCGTCCGCCAACTGAGCACGCGTCAATTGTGCATGGCAACTGCATGTGGTGATTTCAGTCAGCCTTGTTGAGCCCGTATCGCGCTTTCCTCTCTCTTTAACTGTCTCTCACACTGCAGCTCCGTCGTCCCATACGACTCGCCTAAACATCATTATCCTCACCTATCTCGTCACACCTACGACGGCATTGTCATTTTTGCAAGTAGTCAGCAAGACACTGGTCTTGAGGGCATTCTGTTCTCCCTTGTCTTTCAGGCGACACACCAATGCCACGGAATCCGTCAAGTCACTCCCACCACAGTTACTACCACGGCCGTCGCACGAAATGGTCTCGACTGCGAGCCTATTGCCGCAAACGATGGAATCGTACTTTCCGGAAGCCTGAACCCGGATTGATCGATCTCAGGGGTTTTTCTAGCGAGACCGCTCTGCAGCGGCAAGGCAGCGACAGACGAAATTGCAGCATGCCCTGCGTCACCAGCTACACGACATTGGCTACTGAGTGGCAACACCACATGGTCGGCCGGGGCTTGATGGCATCCCCCCCTTCGCCCGACAACGCCGAAGAACTTGGTTCTCTTCCACCTCCCCCACCATACATGCCAGACATCCCCGACCCTGGAGCCCCGAAGGTGTCGGCTCAACGTGCTGCCGCTATGTACGCGCGGGGCGCGAGGGCTGTGGAGAGGCTTTCTGCGCCGTGGTGAGCACAGAGGAGAAGTGGGGCGGCAACGGCAAGCGCAACTACAAGGCTACGAGTGATGAGGAAGACGAATGATTGGCTCCTCCTCCGGAAGAGGCACATAACAATCCACCTGCAATTTCATACACAGCAGGCTTGCCAAGCCGCACTGCAGTGCCGATAAGCCGATGCCCGTCACTGCTCACTCGATCAACAATCTGATTTCTCCAACTTCCTCGAGCTCTTCCACCAGTATTCACAACAAGCAGCCATTAACGGCAACCAAGATATTTGGGGGCATGGAAAAGACACCGAAAGACAGGGAATCGTGCTCGTACATGCAGCCTGACCTTACAAGTGCAACGAACATGTCGTCTCAGATCGTCACGCCGCGAAAGACAGTCTTCGGGAAAGCGTTTGCTACAAAGACATCTCGTTACATGGCAAGCGAACCACGGTCCATTGTTTCAGACTGCACCTTTCGAAGCAGTTCAAACAAGGTCAACATGGCTTGACGTGGTACGATGTCAGGGCTTCATACAGGCGCAAGGTGGCTCCAGGATCTCGTGGCTTGTTTTCTCCCCCTTCCCTCATATTCAAGCAGCTGCGTACCTCTCGCTACCGTTGTCCCTGTGCCGATCGACGCAATGGTGACCCCCTAAGAGAAAGAATGACAAGTACATCCACGTCCGGATATCTACCTCACCTGCTCATAAAGAGAGGTTATTTGAACTTAAATCTAGATCAGCATTCTTCACAAAAGATTACCGTAGATGTAGGTTCAAACAGCTTTTTTTCCCCTGAGGAGGTGAAGCAGGTATCCAGATGTAGATACGAATATTAAAACTGTGTCAATGCATCCAGATATATGATTCCACTATTTATGTAGGTGGGTCAATTTCTTTCGTCGCCCACCACAGTGCAGGGATATCCCAAAATATCAACTCGTAAAGAAAACGATGCTCCGATAGGCCGATCAAGCAGTCAGCGAATCCACCTTTTCCAACTGCGGTGCTATTTCTACGAGGATCTTGACATTCTTTTCCTTCTCGTTGATGAGTGGCATGAAGCCCTTTTCAATCAGGTCTTCAAGCTGGATGCACCCCGTGATCATACGGCGAGGTTTCAAGTGACCTGCAAGACGTATTTTGTCAGTTTCCATGTATTACGCGGAAAAAAAGGGAAGGAAGGACGTGAAAGTAGGAAGAAAAAAGCAAAAAAAAAATCGAGGGCAGCGAGCTCCCGCTTACCATTCGCGAGATTCTCAATCACAGCTTCAAAGTCCTTCCGCTGGTATCCAAGCACAGCCGTGTAACTGGCTTCCTTGAAGGTGAGCATGTTGGGCTGGAACGGGACCTCCTTCTGCCAGATGGCAACATTTACGACGGTCCCGCGAGCCTTCACGGCCGCACATGCGGTCATGAGGCTGGCTCAGGTCAGTCTTTGGCACCAGATGCTTTTTGGAGGAGGGATGAGCAGGGCGGTGTGCTGAAACTCACCTCGAAGGCACACCGGCACAGTCAAAAACCACATCCGGTCCGTCGCCACCGCTCAGCTGTCTACTTATGGTCGCCAGGTCATACGTCTTCGGATCCAAGACGTGATGGGCCCCGAACTCCCGCGCGAACTTCTGCCTCTGCGCGGCGATCTCGCTCATGATGATCTTCTTGACATTCTTCGCCGCCAAACACTGCACGACGGCCAACCCGATGGGCCCGCCACCGAGCACCAACGCGGTGCTATCCTCGGTCAGGTTCCCCCCGGCCGCCTCGGTCGCGTGCCACGCGACGCTCAGCGGCTCGACGAGGGCGCCGACGTCGAGCGGGACGCCGTCGGGCAGGGGCAGGACGGCGCCGTTGGGCACGACGACGGCGTCGCTGAGCCCGCCGCCGCCGCCCGACAGGCCGACGAAGCCGCCGCTGTGGCACGCGTTCTCGACGCCGTTGCGGCAGGCGCCGCAGGCGCCGCAGTAGACGGTCGGCTGCACGACGACCTTTTGCCCCACGCGGAACGTCGTCCGGCCGCCGGCTTCGTGCGCGGGCGGCACGGCGGCCCCGATCTCGCGGATCACGCCCGAGAACTCGTGGCCGAGGGTGATGGGGATGGCGTCCTTGGTCAGCGGGTGCGGCTCGACGGGGGCGAAGGTCGGCCCGCTGAGGTATTCGTGCAGGTCGGTGCCGCAGATGCCGACGAAGGCGGGTGCGACCTGGGATGTGGTCAGTGGTGGGTATGGAGAGCAATCCAAGGAGCTGGGGAGAAGGTACCTTGATCTCGTTGGGGCCGGTGGACGCTTCGGGGATCTGCTCGATCCTGATGTCCTCCTTGCCGTAGTATCTTGCAGCGCGCATCATTTTGGAAGCAACTGTACCATTCAATTGCGTTGGATGTAGAAGAGGAGTGGGCTCAGGTTTTGGAATGGGGGGTTTATTTAAGTGAGCAGAGACTGCGCGGCACAACTCACGAGACGCTCAGGAGAGGTGCGGAGAAGAGCGAGGAGGAAGGAGCTGGATATGGAGCGTGGCGCCGGAGAGTAAGTGGAGGCGCATGATACTTGTAGCTGGGCGCCATGGCAGGAGAGGACGGATGGCGGTGCTGATCATTCCCAGGCCAGAGCCCAGAGCATCGACTTTCTCCGGTCGTGCGGCGAGGGTTAGCAGATGGCGGGGTTGGGCGATCTGGGGTAGACTGCGGGGCGCAACGCTATGACGGCATTGTCCTTGGGCTCGACATTAAACGGCTGCCGTATCCACGCGCGGGGTCATGGATGGCCATGAGATGTGGGGCCAGCAACCGTCTTCGTTGTCTTGGGAGGAGGAGTAAGGATCTGGGAGCCAATGTCACCCCCGCGCCGAGCAATGACAGGAGTTAGCAGCCATGCCGAGGAGGCAGATCTCGATGACAGCGACGCAATGAGGCGGAGTCGGAGCGGAGGCGGCGGAGAGCGAGGGTGCGAGTCGGGAGGGCGTCAGCGGCAACCTTCCGGTTTCGGCAAGCCGACGCTCTTGCCCGATCCGACAACCCCGACTTGTCCTTATCCGCTTGACTACCTCGGCCTTGTCCATGTCACTCCACCACCTCAGTTCTATTCGGATCCCACCGCCCGCTCCCTTTCCGTCCGGGCCTGCTTGGCCCTTTGCCTGCACTCTCCTTCGCTGGCAGTCCCCGCGGTATCGCCATCATGCGGCTCTTGTAGCACGACCCGGCCTCTGAGTTTGCTCAAACTGTGCAACATGCATGCTTTGCTGAGCATGTTACCCTCAGACCCCGCATCATCGCTAGCTGTGCACACGGGAAGCTGCAGTCCTATTCTGACCACACTGTGAGAATGCCAAAAATGTCGGTAGGTTCTACTTCTACTTGAGCTTGAACAATAGTGTATTAAATGGCGACTAGTATGAAGAACCTCGTGTGACCTGCCCGAGGGTCAATTAGCACAGCGGCGGAGACTGAAGGGTCGAGCATTCACTCCTGGTTGCTGGAACGCACCACTCCTCCTGGGTAGTATCTGAGGAGCAGCCACAGCCCAAAAGGCAGCTAGCCGCAGCTACCAGAAGCCTCACTCTGGCTGGAATGGACACGCTCTGCGCATGCCTATGTGCTACGCCCGCAAGGAGCCGTTTGGGAATTTCTCAGCCGTCGAGACCCGGTACATGGCGCCACCACGCTGCCGCCATTGGCAGTGTCTGAGACAATGTGGCAGACCTGGCAGCCACTTTAGTCTCCCGCTACCTGGTTGCCTCGCCTCTCTTGCGGTGAACTGTTTCGATCCGGGACAATCACCTTCTCTGTCGAATCCATCTGGGTATGCACTAAAAACCGAGTCTTCATCGGCTGTTCGCAATCTAGAATGCTGGACGTAGTAGACTGAGACAGCAGACGCACAAAAGAAAATTCCTCCGCAGCCACATCCCATTGACTTTTCTTTTTCCTCTCCAGGACTTTGTCCGGTAGGAAGGGTTGAGTCGTCCCTTTGCGCCTCTATTGGGGCACTGCCATTGTATGAACTGGGAAAGACCTTACGAACCATGATGAACTGATCAGAGGCTGATGCGACGGTGAGACTGACCAAGGAAGACGCCTAACCAGCCACGCAAGGCCGGAGCCTTTCCGACATGCTCTTACCGGGTAAGACTTGCAGCAGAGGAGGCGGTGGATCGACACGCTGTGGTCACTTTGGTTGATTTCATGCGACACGTCCCCAAGCGGTCACTTAAGCGTGAGCCCTCTCCCATGCGTCAACCATCGTATCAAGAGAAAAAGGCTGGAAATCAGACAGGGGTTTTTTTTTTTTCAATGCGCCTCCTCATCTCTTGCCTCGGAGATGATGCGCGTTATTCTTGTATGCGATCTTCCGCGAACCCATGATCCCAGCTGGTGCCCGCCGCGGAAGCGGACAAGTCACAGCGTTCAATGCAAGGCAGGCAAGGCAGACAGGCTTCCAGCGACCGGGGTCACAAGCAGTCGCAGGTTTAGCGCCAACGGCTACGACTTCACAGGCTCTGGCTTTTCCTCCCTCCCTTCCGATGCATATAACCCATGTCCCTGCTTGCATCCGCCCGCGCCGCCAATCAAAATCGCCATCATGTCTTGTCACATGACGTGTCCACTGATTTCGCAGAGCCGCTCTCTTGTTTCGCCTCGCCTACATGCACTTCAGCCTTACATTCGCCCAACTCGATGCCACAACAGCTTCGGATTATTGCTCGGCAAAGCTGGGCAGGGAGTTGCAACCGCATGTAGGAAACAAACACAACCAAGTGACTGATACACTAGTCTGGAAATTTCCGGGAATTCTTGATGGCTCACTAGACCGCGACGGCTAGAAGTGGAACGTCTCTACTGCACCGATAGCAATCCCGCGTGCACCAGCTACGGCATTGAACGCGACGGAACGCATAGATACGCCGACTTGAATGTGGTTATCTCGCCTCATATCAAGCAATCACCCGCAATCACGCGCGCAACCTGAATGGACAAGCCTGTATGTTTGTTCGCAACAGCAGTAGCACACGTTCGCGGTGTCGCCATCCCTTTGATACCGCGCAGCTGGCCTCTCCCGCCCACGCCGTGCCCGGCACGACACATGCGAACCGCATTCCACAGCACAACACCCGTGCTTTCTCGTGAGACGGGAGCCATCAGTGACTCACGGCACTTACCCAGCTTCTCTCATGCATTCCTGTCTCGCACGTACCCGCGGGCGGGGATGCGGCGATGTTCCGCGAAAGAGAATGATCTAGAGCCATCCCTGCCTCTGAGCTTGGTGTACTGCGCACAGACATGGTATTTTCCTTCTTCTGTCTCCCAATCTTTACTCTGGGCGGACGGCAAGTGAGTACCGGCTATATATTGGTCGCTGAGAGGTGGTGGGTGCGCAACGCGTACGACTCTAACCCAAGCCAAGCGAAGCAAGAAGCCAGCCCTTCCGACCCGGGTACCAGGTACATGAGATGGGGCTGATCTGTGCTTCTTTTTTGCCGCTGGTGCATTTGCGGTGCGTGGGTCATGCGTGGGTGCGCGTCAGTGGTGACTGGGAGCCTCGTTGTTTCTTTCCCTCGTGTGAAGGCGAAGAGAGGGAGAGGGATGGTGGCCGTGGGTGTGGCGCGACTATATATTCGAACTTCCGCCTGGCAAACTTTGCTGCACGCCATTCCCTCACCTCTCCATCTTCCAACTCAAGAGCTTTCGTGACGTCTTCTCACCCTTGTGTTCCCGATCTTTTCCTCGAATCAAACCTACACTTCTACAATCAATCACCTGGAGCAACATTCCAAGCTCCCCCCACAGTCGATCCAACAATGGCCATTTCCACCATCCCTCTCCCGGTCGTCTGGCCTTCGACCAGCTCCTCGACCAGCAGCTCCTCCTCGCTCCTCACACCCACATCAACAACACCAACCAGACACCGCCCTCACCACCACCAACCCACCTACATCCGCACCGGCATCGGCGGCGCTGGAAACTGGCACAAGGCCTCCTCCATCCCCCCACCACCGCCGCCACCACCCCAGTCTCCAGCAGCATCCGCCCACCAACACTATCACCACGACACCTCCGACAACCCCGCCTCACCGCTCCTCCTCCACCCCCACCCATCACCACTCTACCCACCGCCTCCTCACCACCACCACCACCTCCCTCCCCTCCGCCGCACCCAACCAGCACCATCCACCACCACCACAACAACCCCACCCCAATACTTTAAATCCGGCATCGGCGGCGCCGGCAACACGCACCCGCTCCCGCACCCGCTCGCCGCCCGCTCCCACCCTGGCCACCCCGGCCACGCCACCGCCGAGGAGTCAGCGCTGCTGTGCCGCCGCGCCGTCATCGAAAAGAGGCGGCGCCAGCAGCAGACCGCCACGTGCTACCACCACGTCGGCATCGGCGGGGCGGGCAACTTCCGCCGCGTGGTGGTGGTGGGGGGTCCGTCGGCTGGAGGTGATGGTGGAGATGGTGATGGTGATGGTGATGGTGGTGATGATGTTCTGCCGCGCTCGTCGCTGCCGATGGCTACTACTGCTGGTGGGAGTAAGAAGAGGTTGAGGGCGCAGAGGAGTGTGGGGGCTTTGTTGGGGGGGAGGGGGGGCAAGAGGGGTGCGGCGGCGGATTTGAGGGTGGAGGGGGCCGCGGCGGGGGAGGGGGAGGCGGAGGCGGAGGGGGAGGTGGAGGTGGAGGCGGAAGGGGGAGTGGCGCTGCCGAGGGCGATGGTGGAAGTGGGTGGTGGTGGTGGTGGTGGTAGGGGGAATGGAGGAGGGGCAGTGAAGAGGGTGAGTTGGGGGGAGTGCAGCGTGGATGAGTTCGAAGTCGACGGGTACGAGGGCGATGGGGAGGTGGAGGAGGGGAAGGGGGAGTGCGTGTATTACAGCAACGAACCGTTGCCGTACGGGGCGTTGGACGTTCTGCGGAGGAGGTTGGAGAGGGCTTTTGCGAGCCGCAGCGGGGGCGGTGGAAGTGAAGTGTTGGCGAGTCCGAGGGACAAGCGGCATGGGGCGGTGCTGGTGGGGAGTGAGGGTGAGAGGAGGGTGTTGAGGAGCCATCGGAGCATGTGGCGCTTCTGAGAAGTGCGTGAGGGCGCTGTTGCTGTGGTGAGTGGAAAGAGCATGGATGGGTACGGATTGTGGAGGCAGGGGTATTGGAGAACAGCTTAGCTTGCATGGAGGCGGCGGCGGGACCGTTTGCCGTGCGGGAAGGGTGGCTTCTGGGGCGCCGTGACCAAGGCTGCTTACAGTGGCTTCGCGCAACGGTGACGACCAGCAGGCAACTGGCAGCACTCCGAATGGACGAGCAGGGGTGAAGGGTGACAGAGCGGCGGAGCAGGGATGGAGAGTGTTTCGAGGGATGGTGAGGTTGCACAACTTTCATCTCGCTCTTTTGCCTTTGTGCAACTGTCTCGTTTGAGATTGACATCGGTACTGGGGAACCGGGCGTGGCGTTATCTTTTCCTTTCCCTAGATTGCACCAAGCGGCGACGCTTCACTTCTTCCCTCGGGCGTTTCTGGGATCACTCAGGCTCAACGGTTCTTTTGATTGCTTTTTGAAGTTCGACTTGTTCGATTGGGCATTATGCGGCGAATCAAGCACGCTATGCATAAAGTTCCAGCTAGTAAGAGGTACGCGATAGCGCAATGTAACTGCATAATACTCACATAAGACATATACAATGAGGCTGAGCGGTGGCGCTGAAAATGTCTTGGTCCCTCAGCACAACCGGTCTGGAAGTGGTGACCTGGTGGACGACAGTCAAACGCACACGACCCAGAAACCTCTGTGCATTCTCGAGACTGCACGACCGGGTGCTTGCAAGTTCCAAGTCTTCGTTGCATTTGCTTCTGTCAAGTAGCTGATATTTGGTCCGCCGGGAGAAGTCGAACATTCGGCCCCAGTGCTGCAGCGGTCAATGGACCTGAGGCGGCGAGAATCCACTTTCTTGGCCGGAATCTCGCATCTCGACAACTGTTGGTCGTACGCAAGATGGCACGATGCGGATGAGCGTTAGAGTGTCCCAGTGGCCCTCGGGCGCAGACACGGGCTCTGGCTCAGGGCCAGGTCGCAGCGAGATGAGGGACTTCTGCAGGTTTCCCCGAACTCAGTCCCAGTCATCGTCGTCGTCGTATGCCTCGTCCTCCTTTTTCTGAGCGGCGGCTCGCCTCAGCGTAGCGCTCTCCCCCTCGGTCATCTTCTCGCGCACCAGGACGCCGCACTTCAGCAGGCGCCTCTCCAGGTCACTCGTAGTGAACTTGTCGGTGCCGTATCCAAGACCCTCGAAGCCTACAATGCGGTCGACGCCCTGGCCGTCGCTGAAGGCAATGACGCACGGGAGCACCTGGACCTTGAGCTTGGTCACGAGGAAGGGGGCGTTGTCTACGTTGATGCGCAGGAATCGGGTGTCGAAGTGCTTGGGAGCCAGCGTCTGACGGGTGCAATGTTAGCGGCTGCTCGTCTGGGCACGAAGGGAGTATTCACCTCGAGGTGCGTGTCCATGATGCGGCAACGGGTAAAGTCGGCGTGGAAAAAGTGCACGACGCACAGCTTGGTGGAGGTGGTGATGTCCATCAGGGCCTTCTCGTCCTTGATCTCCTGGTAGGTGCCATGGTCGGAGTTGCGCATCTGCTTGGCGCGGGAGAACTCCTGGTGGAGCTGCTGCAGGCGCTGCTCGCGGAAGCCGTCGAGGGCATCGTCGTCCTCGAGCTCGGCGATCAGAGCATCCTCGTCGTCCGAGTCTCGCGTCTTGTCGACGATGGCGGCGACCTTGGCGTCGAGGTGGGACATTTTTTTCCGGGGTAGGGTGTTCACGGCATGGTTTGGCGGCGAGGGCGAGGGGCATCCATCGGCCTTCTCCTGTCAATCGCGGGCGCTAGTCGCCGCCACACCAATCCCACCGTTGCTCGCCGCTGCGCCAGCCCCGGGCATTTCTGCGCGGCTGCGGCTGCGGTTCGTGACCAGCTCTCGCACAAGGATCGTGGGGGCCGCGCAAGACACGGGATTGCGCGGCACCAGAAACGCGGGCGCCAGATTTGTGTGGTAAGCCTGCGCCACAGCTGTGCAGTCTACGTAGCCCGTTCGACGGTTTGACTTCAAAAGAGTCTGTCTACGTCCGTACTCAACCACTGCCTACCCGCCCTCACCGCTATCGCGCAACCGCTCCTTCTTGGCCACGCACGCTCCCTTTCAGTCGCGTCGCGGTCCTCCAATACGCCTCCCGACGCGTCGGCGGAATCTAGGACTCCAGCCCCTTACAGCCCTCCGCGCAGCCCGCACCGACCCCCAGTCCGCCGCGATCTCCCTCTAGCCCCGAGCGCCGTCCTTCGCTCCATGGCCGACGAGAAGAAACGCGACTTCGACCACGACTCCCCCAAGCCCGTCCGCTCTCCCACGCCCACCACCATGTCGTCCTCCGGCCTCTCCGGCAACCCGGTCCTGCCCGTGCTGGCCTACTGCGGCAGCTCCATCTTGATGACCGTTACGAACAAATATGTCTTATCAGGCACCGGCTTCAACCTCAACTTTTTCCTGCTCTGCGTCCAGGTATGCCGCCTTGCCCGCTCTGTGCGACACTCATCGTTGCTGACACGTCCCCAGTCGCTCGTATGCATTTTCGCCATCCAGTCGCTCAAGACCACCAAGGTCATCTCCTACCGCGACTTCAAGACCGAAGAGGCCAAGAAATGTGCGTTGCGCCGCTCCCCTCGGCCAATGAGTGCTGCTAACCCTGCGCAGGGCTTCCCATTACTATCCTCCTCATCGGCATGATCTACACGAGCACCAAGGCCCTGAAGTTCCTCTCCATCCCCGTCTACACCATCTTCAAGAACTTGACAATTATCCTCATCGCATACGGCGAGGTGCTTTGGTTCGGCGGCTCCGTCACACCCATGGCTCTGATGTCCTTCGGCCTCATGGTCCTGAGCTCCATTGTTGCCGCTTGGGCCGATATCCAGCATGCGCTGGCCAGCTTGGGCGGTGAAAGCTCTGAGGCTTCGGAGAAGATCTCCACCCTGAACGCCGGCTACATGTGGATGCTCTTGAACTGCATCTGCAGCGCTACCTACGTGCTGGGCATGCGCAAGCGCATCAAGCTCACCAACTTCAAGGACTTTGACAGTGAGTTCTGCGCGCGCACTCGGTAGCGGCAATAATATGCTAACCTTGAATCAGCCATGTTCTACAACAACCTTCTCTCCATCCCCATCCTGATTGCCGCCTCTCTCTTCGTCGAGGACTGGTCCAGCGCCAATCTGGAGAGGAACTTCCCCATCGAGAACCGCACCTCCATCATCCTCTCCATGGTCTTTTCCGGCCTTTCGACCATCTTCATCTCGTACACGTCGGCCTGGTGCGTCCGCGTCACCTCTTCCACCACCTACTCCATGGTCGGCGCCCTCAACAAGCTCCCCATCGCCGTCAGCGGTCTGGTCTTCTTCGATGCCCCGGTCACGTTCGGATCCGTCAGCGCCATCATGATTGGCTTCGTCAGCGGTATCGTCTACGCCGTGGCCAAGGTCAGGCAAAACGCGAGCAAGAGCGAGGCTCTACCCACGCAGAACGTTCCCATGAGCGCTAGCAGCGCCAGCATGAGGGATGGGTTGAAGGCCTAAGGCAAATGCCGTTTCGTCAGCTTCGACACGTTTTTCAATTCGAATGAGCCAAATGGGACACGAGCCATGTCGATTCAACCCGCTTTGTTCTCCAAGGCTCATGACAAAGTTCAAATCAAGGTAGACGGTGCCTCTTGGGCCCGGTGTTTGGCTTCGAGGTCATTTATTTTTGTCTATTTTGGAATCCCCTTTCGTAACTCAAGGCGGTGGTGCCCAAAATTATTACCTAGTACCTTCAAATCGAGTCATGCATAATGTACAAGCCCCCCTCGTCGGTGGTGCGATAGATTTACGTTGGTTTGGCGCGGATTTGATTTGATCTTTATATCTCTACATTTTGATTAGGTGTGTTTGGTTGATGTAGCGGTTGCCTGCAGCAGAAGATTGAGATACCTCACGATTGCAGTTGGATTGATCCAATTAGAGCCCACTTCCAACCTGATCAAGTTCACCAACTTCATGTCTGGTGGGAGCACGGTTGAGAACGGCCACTCTTCAAGTCAGGCTTCTTTTGATAGCAGAAATGAACCAGTGGGATCCTGAACTGATTTTTCTTGAGCTTTGTGATTCCAGTGATCCGTTAGCCATCAACGGAGGTGTGACGGCGACTCCCCGCATTGTTGCACCACTCAGGGCGAGAGACAGAATGCGCCAACTCGGTTGGTGACCAATCAGGAACTCGGCACAGACTATCACACTCAAGCTTCCGGGGTCGTGGAGCGCAAAGAATCTTGGACTGACGCAGCCAAACATGAATGCAACATGCCTAGAGTCCGGTAGGACCGTCTGAAATACGTACAAGTTGGACGGGGACGCTGCTTGTGCTGCAGCCCTTGATAAGACTTCTTCCTGAATGGTGCGGACCCATTGCCCTGAAGCTATTGCTTCCCGTTGTCAATTATCCAAAGCAATTCTCCTCTGTAGTTTTCGGTTCTGGCTGGGAATATTACACCAAACGCATGCTTGGCTCCGAAACTTCCCTGAGCTTTCCCAAAGCAATGATGGTGTTGGTTCACAAACACTTCACGCCTAGGACTACCCTTCACTGAATGCATTGACCGTCCTGACGTGGCTCATTGGCGAGTAAAACTTTAAGACATTACGGCAGTTTGGCTTTGCTGACGCACAACTCAATAGGCATTGTCTTAGGAGTGTTGGGTACAATCATAAACACAATGTACTACTTCCGACCCCATCCGCTCGACATATCCCAAGTTAAGTTAGCTTTGGCAGCTTACTTGCTGGGTACTTTCATGGAGAGATGCATCCCGAAGTCCAGTTTCATCGGGCACTGGTCCAAACCACGTCCATTCAACTCCAAAGAGCACACTGCAATCATCGCCATCGCCTCATCGGCAACACAAGTGGCGATTGCTGTCCAAGTCATTGCCGTCCAGAAGCTGTACTACGACAATGCCCTGAGTACAGCTATGTCCCTTCTTATCGTTGTATCAACACAGTGTCTTGGTTACGGCTTTGCGGGAGTCTTGCGGGAGAGGGTGGGGGAATGATGGCAACGACGTGGTGGGTGGGTGGGAATTTCGATCGGTGTGTTGCTGTTGGGGTGGGGTCGGGTGTGGTCAGGGATGCGGGTTGAGGGCTGTGATGGTGGCCGG